CACACGACAGCCGCGCTGGCAGCCGGTCGGAGGGTCCGCCGTGCGCGCCGAGCGGCACTCCGCGGCGCGTCACGACGCACGGCAGGTGCTGCGGGCTGCAGCGGACCCAGCAACGCCCGCAAGAGACGACAACATGTGCACAACACAGCACACGCGACACCCGCGCCGGACAGCTGGTCCCGCTTCCGTGGTACGTCGCTAAAACCTAACGTTATTAGTCCTAATTGTCAGTCGCTAAGGTCGTTCCGGCAGGTCTACTGCTGCTCCTGCTGTTCCGGCTCGATGACTGACATCTGCACGACGTCACCCCGCAGCCGACCCTGGGTTGCCGTGGTGACGCACCGACCTGTGGTCTGACCCCCGGTCACCGCACACGGTCACCATCGCGACCCGGTCCGTCTCGCGCCCGCCGTGGTCTATATTTGAAAGCGTGCACCGACAAATAGGCGCAGATATGCCTATTTGACGGGTATCTTCCGAGTCACGAGGCATATTTGATCAGATATATATCTGGCCGAGTCACGACTAGACTCTGTTTCGTGACTGCCGAGTCACCCAAGTTGGTATCTGACGGCCGATGTCACACGCACTTTTCCGCTCTACCGTCGCCGTGTCGCGTGCGCTGCTCGCGTTCGCTGCCGCGGCGGGCGTGGCGGCGTATTCCACCAATAGGGCACGCGATTCAGCACCACCGACGCCCGCACCGCGACGCCAGAGCCCGAAATCCACCCCCTGATGACAAGCCCCGCCACTTTGGCGGCCCGTAGCTCCGCGGCCCGGTCGCGCTACGTGCCGCCGCGCACCTCGTGGGACGTCCCGGTGTCGGACGCCGACAGCGCTAACACATTCCGCCCCGGGGTCGCGGACACCGGACCGCCAGCGGCCGAAAAGTACCCCTTGGGGGCATTGGGGGCATTCTCTAAAAATCGCCCCGGAGTCGCGGACACCGGACCGCCAGCGGCGGAAATGTACCCCTTGGGGGCATTGGGGGCATTCTCTAAAAATCCAGACCTGTCTCTGCAAGCATCTCTACTAGACACGTGCAATCATGGCGGTGGAACGCTGTTTTCAATGCCTGTGCGGTCCGCATCAGGCCTCCAGGGGGTGTGAGGGGTTCAAGGCAGCGATGCGGGTCTGTCCACCGCTATACTGGGCGATGGCTGCGCCGGCGACCCCCCAGCTGTGCGCTCATGTGCTGAACCTCGAATTAGAAGGAGTCAGAAGCACCTAGGCGGCCGTGTGGACGCTGAAGGTTGGAATTCCCCCCGTGGCGGATCGCGGGAGGCAATTTCAGTCCGAGCGGCGCACGCAGAAGTTGACGTTGACGTCGTGTCGCCAGCTGTGAACTAGGTCGAGCTTCGGGGACGGGGCGCGTCGCGGGGAGGCTTTCCAAAGGGCAGGGAAAGTGAGCACGCTCGCCGGGCTCGCCCCAGGCCGCGACATCGCGGGCGGCCGCGCAGCGTAGGATTCATCTTAGTCTGACCTTGCGCTGACAGAGCTCATCTTGCTCGAGCAGCGGTCCAATTGCACACTTGAGCGCTTGGCCCCCGGACAGCATCGGGCCTTCGAAGGGGCGGCGAATTCGCGCGCTTCAGGCAAATATCACAGAAGATACGTGCAATCGGGGCACCCTCATATATGTGTCCGCACGCACGTGCCGTCATGGACCAGGTCGGGCGCCACGGAGAGACGCACGCGGTGCGGGAGAGGCAAGTCATTGTGCTTCTCCCCGCGCAGACGAGCTTCAGGTGCAAAATGTATTATTCTATGCGCACCAGATGGTTGATGATCCCCGTTGCATGCGCTTGGCCCGCCGTTTGACGCGATAAAGTCGCTGTACGGGCGGCACCGACAGTGCTGCACAGTTTTGCATGAAAACAGTGCAGATGTACATGAGAATGTAAATTTGAGCGTTGCATGTAAATTACAGGCCAGAGCGTGCATAACTTTCGGAAAACATGTAAGTCATATTTCACAGTGAGAGATAGCCACTCCAGCGTGGAATTCTCCTCCAACGCCGTGGCCAGGGCCGCTGCACCCGCGTCGCCGATTCTGTTAGTCTTCGAGCTGAGCCTGCGCAGCGTGCAGCGCGGATGCTTGAGACATGACGCAAGGTGCGCCGCGCCCTCGTCGCCAAGATCGCAATACGCGAGGCCCAGGCACCGTAGCTGACACACCGAGTCCTGCCCGACGAGTGCGTCGGTCAGCTCCTTCGCGCCGCTCGCGCCAAACCCCCTGCTCGAGATGAGCTCGAACCGCTGCAGCGTGCGGTTGCGACGGAGACCTGACGCGATCTCGCGCACGCCCTGCTCCGTCAGGCTGGTTGCTCGCAGCGAGAGGGCGACGAGAGAGCTGTTGCGTTCCAGCATCCGTCCAAAATGCGCGGCGTCGTCGTCGCCAATTCCACAATACAAGCCCAGTTTGCGCAGTGACGTGTTGCCCCCCAGAGCCTCGGCAATGTCCGCGGCGTTGTACACGCATGGCCGCCCAGGACCAGCATCGGCGGAGATGCGCAGCTCTCGCAGTGCGCTGCTGCCTCTGAGCGCTGCCACCAGGGCCGACGACAGTGTCGACATCTGTTCGAGATTCGCAGCTGTTTCCCGGGAGATGAAGAGCTCGAACACCTCCACCGTGCTGTGGGGTAGAGCTGCGACCTCCGCGTGCGTGACGTCCCGGGCGGAGTGGTAGACCAGGCGCAGCTGTCGCAGCGCTTTGCTTGACCGCATCAAGTCGGCAATCTCCGCCTGCGTGCTCGCCGTATCGACGCCCCACGGCTTCACGCACAGGGAGCGGACGTGCACGGCGTCGCGCCATCTGAAGCCATGGCCGTTGAAGCAGTTGCACACGTCGACGGACTTTGAGCACCGCGGCGGGGCGATGTTGAACTCCGCCAGCGTGCTCTTGTTGAACGTGACGTCGTAGACCTTGAGATGTCGCAGCTTCGTAGTCCGCTGTATCCAGCTCCAGAACGCCCGCGTCTCCTCCGCGTCCCACACGTCGTCGCCGCGGCCCCTCACAGCGAGGCGCGTCAGGGAACCGAGCTCGCCGAACACATGACCCCATCCCTCGCTGCCTTCCCTGTTCAACAATACATCCAGGTGATCGAGGGCCGTCAGGCCGCGCACGGCGTCCCGCAGCGCCGCGACCATGTCCTCGCCGGTGCTGGGGTCCTCGCGCGTGAACGGCTCAAGCTGGAGGCGCAGGAACCGCAGGTGGTCCCTCGCCGTAGTCGATAGGAGGATCTCCTGAAGTAACCGCATGTGAGCATCCCGCTCGAAAGCGCGGCCGTCAACTTCCCGGCCATCGATGCCGGTCAAACGCAGCGGGCCGCCCCCCTCGTCAGTCCACGTCATCACCCTCCGCGCCAGCGCGAACCACTTCCGGTGCCGCGCGTCGCTCTCATCGCCTGGCGCCGGCAGGTCCTCGCCGAGCTCCCGCATCACGTCCAACAGCGCCTCGGCGTGCATCGCGGGCACGCGCAGCCCGCAGAAGAGGAGCTCCCCCGCGCAGGGCCCGTCATCCATCCGCCGCGCGAGAACGTGCAGGACTGGGTCACGCGGGCTCACGACGAGCACCGCCCGGCACCCGCGCAGCACCGCCTCGAGCACGCTCCATTGCGTCGCCGCCAGGCTGGCCTTGTCGTCGTCCGAGAGCCGGTCGAGGATGGAGGGCACCGTCGAGAGGACGCGCGCGAGGGTATCGCCATACCGCCCCCGAGGTCTCTGCGCACTACGGATCGAGCGCGCCCACTGTGAGCCGCGGGTTGCAGCTCCTGATGTGCTAGCAGCGCGTGGGCAAGCCCTCGCGCGAGGCAACGTGCCTGCAACGCACATCGAGCAGTTCTGGGGCTGTCTCACCGTTGCTGCCTCGCGCTCGACCGCGCTCCCGCCCACCACGTCGGCCTCGCGACCCGGGACCTGCATCATGGCCTCTGGTGCCGTCTCTCGCCTCGCCGGGCGGTCGCAACCGCGTCGATACCGCGAACCCTCGACAGGCAGTAGGTGAGGACCGCGTGGCTCGCTCTGGACGCCGAGGTTGAGGGCTTCTCGCACCGCGGTGTGGGGCTCGCCACTCTGAAGCGTGCCTTGCAGCCTGCGGGCGTAGAGACGGTGACGCGGGCAGATTCAGCATCGCGAACAAGTTCCTCTGAACGCGTCAGGCGGGACTTGGGGCGACGCCTCCGCCCAGCGAGCACAGCCAGGCTCGCTGCATATCCCGCAACCAAGGGGAAAGCGCGCGCACCTCGTCGTGAGAGCCTCGACTGCCGTCGCTCCGATGCGGACGGCACACTCGATACGTGGACGCTGCAAGGAGCACCGTTGGGGCAGGCCTCTCGATCGCGCTGACCCGTCACACGGGAGGAGCAATCCAGGCGGTGATGGTTGCCCCCTCAGACGACGCTCCCTGGTCGGCGCTGCCACCGTGAAGGACACCACGCTCGCGAACAGGTCCAATCGTCTCCGGATCTGCCGGCTGCCTGCGGCGTTCACCGCCAACGGCGGCGGGCGCGGCGTGACTGTTGGTGCATGACGACAGGGGGGGAGTGGGCCCTGCCCCGCCTGACAGCGCACGTCGTCGCAATCACTCATTCAGCGGCCCGTCCCGGCGAGCTCAGCGCCGACATGCGCCGGCCTCGAGCACCTGCAACATGCCATCACGACGCAGGCCTCGCAACGGCGGTGCATGCAGCCCCCGCGGAGGCGCGTCGTCGGACCCAGGCAGCACGTACATCGGATCGTCATCAGCCTCACGTGCGCTGCCCTCACACGCCGTCGCGGTGCACGCTGCGCCGACCGACAGCCGTCGCAGCACCCAGCAATGCTTGCGGCCCGTCGCGCCGACGCCCCGATATGTTCTCCTGAAGCCCCGTCTCGGGATCGTGGGTCACTATCGTCACATCCAAGTCACTAGCCTCGTCCTGCCATGCCGGTCGGGCCCAATGGGCGGGTTGCTCGTCGCCAACACGTGCAGGGCGCGCAGCGGCGAGCGCCCCCCTCCCGTCATCGGGCCGCGGCGGGGATCCGCACTGCCTGCGACCCGGAGGTCGTGGGGATGGCCTGCGGGGGCGAGGTGGCGCGCGCTCCCCCGCCGTCCGCGTCGTCCCCGTCCATGCACGCGTCGGCGTCGTCCGCGCGCTCGAAGCACGCCCGCACGCGCCCGAGCAGGTCGCCGTGCTCCGTCCACGTCCGCACGTGCGCGCGCACCCCGGCCTCCTTGGTGCCCTCGGACGAGCACACCGCGTCGCCCTCCGTCTGCTGGATGAGCTTGTGCAGCCCGTACGAGCGCCGCGCCAGCACCACGTCCTCCGGCCCGAGGCTCATGGCCAGGCACAGGTCGTTCGCGCCGTCCGCGCAGAGCACCACGCGCCGGAACCGCGGCGTGCTGTCCAGCTTCTTGAACGCGTCCAGCTCCAGGGACTTGCACATGTTGGCCGGGCACGCGATGCAGCCGTGCGGGGGGCGGGACCACGTGTGCCGCGGGAACACCGTCAGGCGGTACGCGCCCTCGTCGTGGCTGGGCGTCGGCGCGGGGCCCTTGCCCGCGTCCACGGGGGGCGCCGCGCCGCCTGCGTCGGCGGCGTGCGACACGTGCGCCCAGGACGCGGCGTTCGCGATGACCTCGTCCACGGTGTCCCGCACGCCGGCGGCGCGCAGCATGATGTCGATCAGCCAGTCGTTGCAGTCCGAGATCACCACCGTGTAGACGTCCCCGCGCTTGCGCGCCTCCCGCAACAGCTCCGCCGACTCCGCGGGGAACTCCATCTTCCCCATCTTCTCGAGGGTGCGCTCCATCATCTGCGGCGTGATCCCGCGGCGCTGCAGCGCGCTGCAGATCGCGTTCGACATCGGCACGCTGTTCTGCGGCTGCCGGATCGACATCCACACCGGCAGCGTGTCCGGCGCCAGCAGGCCCAGCAGCCGCCCGAAGCTGTCGTAGTCGATCAGCGTCTGGTCGAAGTCCAGCAGCAGCAGCGTCTTCTCCTCCGCCGCCTCGATCGCACGCCCCTGCGCCCCCTCTGGCGGCGGCGCGCCCGCCACCGCCGCCGCCGTCGCCGCAGCCGCGTCCTGCCCCGCCGCGTCCGTGACGGGCTGCTCGGCCTCGGCCACGTGCACCTGCGGGGCTGCGCGCGCCGCCGCCTGCTCCTCCGTGCACTGCATCTTCTTCGAGGGGGCGCGTCCGACGGTGCCCGTCTCGCGCGGCGCCTGCGCCTCGCCGACGGGCGCGTCATGGCCACCGTCCGGTCCCCGCCCCAGTGCGCCGTCGGTCGCCAGCGCGGCGCCCTCGGGAGCCAGCGCGGCCTCGTCCGCGGAGAGGGCGCGCTTGTGCGTGGGGTGTGCCTGCTGCGGGACCTCCTCGATCTCGAGGTTCACGCCCAGCTCAATCAGGTTGAAGCCTGCGAGTGCACGGATGCGGGTCGTGCATGAGACGGTCGCGCCGGGCGGCGGCGGCACAGCCGGGCGGGGGGGGGGTTGCGGAAGGCAGATCGCAACAGGCGCGCGGCGACGACGGACGCCGCAGCGGGGTTCGCGCGAGCGCGCGGCGCGTGCGGGTGCGGGCGCGGGCGCGCTCACCGTTGCGGAGGAACCAGCGGTCCATCTGGAAGCGCCGGCGCAGGGCGGGGCGGACGTCCTGCTGCTGCGACAGGTTGAGGAGGAGCGGAAGGATGGCCTCGTTCAGCAGCCGGTCGTCCGGGTCGCCCTTGAAGCTGAACACGGGGACGCCGTTGTGGGGGTCGTGCAGGAAGGCCAGGGGGGTGTCGTCGACGAGCAGCGTCTTGGAGAGGTCGCGGCCCAGGAGCGAGAGGTCCTTCACGCACGAGTAGTACCGGCTCTCGACCGTCGCGGGGCGGTACAGGCAGTGCGAGAACACCGTCCCGTCCGGGTCGATCGCCTCCACGATGGGCGCCGCGTAGTCCTCCAGCCCCGCCGTGAACAGCACCACCTCCGACACCTCCGCCAGCGACCGCAGAAAGTCCCCCAGACCCGGGCGCTCCACCACGAACACGCCGTCCACGTTCAGCGGGCCGCCCCGGCCCACCACGTAGCTCCGCACCTCGCGCGGGAGCCGCGGCGCGCGCCGCACCGTGTACGTGCTCACCAGCGTCCCGTCCAGGTCCAGCACCACCGTCAGCTTCCCGCGCATCTCCGCGCGCTGCGGTGGCAGCAGCGGGCCCTGGCCCCTCCCCGCGCCCTCGCGCCCCGCCAGCTGCGCGCCGTACACGCTCTTGTCGCCCCCCTCGGGCCCGAACAGGCCCTGCTGCTGCAGCTCCCGCACGTCCTTCGCCGACGGGCCCAGCGCCTTCTCCGGCGCCCCCGCGGCCTCGTCCTCCGCGGGCTTGATCCCCAGCGTCGGCGGCGCCCCCGCGGGCTTCTCCGCGTTGTGGCTCTCCAGCGCCTCGTCGCGCTCCGGCGTCGTCTGCACCTCCGACAGCCAGTGGCTCGGGTGCGGCACCACCAGGTCCCGCAGCGTCTCCACCAGCTCCGCGTGCGACGCCACCAGCCCCTCGACGCCCGCGGCGTGCCCCTCCGCGCCCTTGCGCGGGTGCCCCTGCGCGCCGTCCGACACCCGCAGCGTCTGCAGCTTCTGTATGAAGCGCGCGAGCTCCGTGTCCACGCGCAGGGCGTTGATGTCCGCCACCTGCGGCTTGCGGCACATCGGGCAGTCGAACATGTCCAGCACGCCCTCCGCGCGCGGGGCCGGGGCGGCGGCCGCGCCCTCCGCGGCGCCGTCGTTCGGCGGCTGCCCCCGCGCCGCCTCGGCGTCCTCGCGCGCCGCCCGCGCCTCGGCGTGCGCGCCCACGTCGGGCTTGATGGCGGCGGGCGCCGGCGGGCGGTGCGCGGCCTGGCTGCGGCCGAGGACCTTGGACGCGCAGTGGGCGACCATGCAGCCCCAGCAGAAGGAGTGGGCGCACGACAGGATCACCGGGTCCTGCAGCGGGCCCAGGCAGATGGCGCACGTGAAGTCGTCCAGCGCCGCCACGTCCACGCCGCCGTACGTCTCGCGCGCGAGGATCTCCGCCTGCGTGCGGGAGCGGGGCGCGGCGAGGGCACGTGGGGCACGGCCGACGGCGCAGGAAGGCCGGTGCGGCGCCGTGCGCGCGGGGTGTGTGCCGCAGGCGCGGCCGCTCCCGCCCCGCGCCGCGCGGACGGCGCGGCCGGTCGCGGGCGTCGTCGCCGCGCGGGGTGTGTGCCGCGCACCTGGGTGCCGATCGTCGCGAGCTCGGCCGAGGTGAAGAAGGGCTGGGAGCGCAGCACGTCGAGCGGGTTGACGGGGGCCGTGTCGGGGCCGAACGCCTCGACCATGAGCCTGTTCCGCTTCTTGCACGCCTTCACGACCGCGATGTAGTTCAGCGCGACCAGCTTCTTCAGGTCGTTGGCCGCGGACAGCAGCTGCGGCAGCGTCGCGTGCGGCCCCCTGTCCCCGTCGCCCTGCATCTGCACGTCCTCCTTGTCGCCCGCCTCCGCGAGGGAGCGGCGCAGGCGGTCGAACTCATCCTGCAGGGAACGACGCCGTCGGGGCCGCGGGGGTGGGCGCGCTGCGGCCGGCGGGGCGCGAGGGGCCGCGGCGTGGTGCGCGGGCCAACCGCCAGGTCGCGCCGCGCTGGCCCGCGCTCCCTGCGCGTCTGCGGGCGGCGCGGCGGCTCCGGAAGTGCGTCGGCCCGAGCGCCGCATCGCGGGCCTCTGATGCGCTCGCGCGGCGCCGCACGCGCGGGGGCCAGTGCCTCCCTCTGTGCGCCTCACCTTGAGCCGGGCCTCGTTCTCGAGGAAGTGCCTGCTGATCTTGCCCAGCTCGGCATCGAGCTGCCTCGCGAACTCCTGGCCGGTGGCGTCTGCACAGCGCGTCGCAAACGCCCACAGGGATGATTCCTTCGCCCCCAGAGCATAAAAGATTCCAGCGCGCCGTCACCCGTTGCAGCCCGGGGCCTTGCAGGCGCGCGGGGCGCCTCGATGGCTGCGACTGCCGTCGGAGACGGCGTTGGCGGGCGCACGCGGCGGGACCCGCGCTCCCAGGCGGTGCGCGGCATTGCGAGAACAGGATGGTTGCGACGACTCGAGCCGCGGCGCCGGCATGCGGCGTTCCGACAGCGCGACATGCTTTCCCACTTCCAAACTTGGCGAAGGAGCGCGTGCATCATCCGCCGCGAGCCGCAGGTGCGCGAGGGGAGCGGAAAACTAGGACGCGAGATACCCAGCAGCCTTGACGCGCGGTGGCGCCACCACCGGGCCCGGAAGTGCGGGTCCCGGGGGCCCGTCAGGCTCTCCGTCGGCACGTGCGCCCGTGGAGCACCGCGCGCGATCCCCGCACCTTGCCGCTGCACGTCCTCGTGGATGGCCTTCTTGCATAGCTTGAAGTTCAGCAGCGCGTCCTCGTGGCGCCGCGCCGCCTCCGCGGCCAGCCGCTTCCCGAACTTCACGACGGGCGCTCAGCACCGGCCCCCGCAGAGGCCGGGAACGCGGGCGCTGCCCTCCACGCGCGACGCACACTGCGCGAGGCTCTCGAGCGAGGAATCACGGCGCGCACCGGGCGTCCTGGCGGTCGTGGGTCGAGCCGCGAGTCTGTGTGCGGGCGGTCGCTCGCGGGGGCCCTAGAGCGCGGCCGCGGAGCGACGCTCTGGGCCGTGGGGCGTCAACGACTGCCTCCCTGAGTGCGGTTGCAGCGGGGAGTGGCCCGCCAGCAACGCCTCGAGGCTCGACCAGGCCGCGCGGCGCCCCGGACGCGTCGCACCGGGCACGACGAGCTCGGCGCGGCGCTGCAGGTCCAGGGACGCCCGCGGGTGGCGCTGGATTCCCGCCAGGGAGGGGGAGCGCGTCACAGCGGGCACGGGAACGCGGTCGGGTCGCGAGCTCACAGCGCCCCGGCCTCACTCGTCGTCGCCCTCGTCCTCGCCGTGCACGAAGTCGATGTCCAGGTCCTCGAACACCTCCTCGTCGTTGAGGGGGTCGTCCTCCCCCGCCTGCGCCTGCGCACCGCCCTGCTGCCCGTCCCAGTACTGCCCCCCGCCGCCCTGCGCGCCCTCGAGCGCGGCGAATCCGTCCATCATGTCGGCGTCGGTGAGGTGGATCGGGTTGCCCTCGTCGTCCACCAACACACCTGCACACACACACACACGCAGCAACGAGGGCGCGTGAGCGACGCCAACAGCCCCCCACGCACGCGCACGCACGCGGCGCACACACGCGGCGCGCCAGCTCTCGCCCGCGGCCCGCGCGGCACGCACCCGAGTCGGCCGCGTTGCCGTTCCCCGCGAAGCCCCCCTCGCCGTCGTCCCGCATGATGTCCGGCACGTCCTCCTCCTCCTCCTCCTCCTCCCCCTCCCCTCCTCCTCCTCCTCCCCTCCTCCTCCCCGCGCTCCTCCCCCTCGTCCCCCTCGTCCTCCTCCTCCTGCCCCCCCACGTCCACGTCCTCGTCGTCGTGGTCGTTCTGGATGACGTCGTCCTCCTCGTCGTCCATGTCGCTCAGCGACTCCGCGTCCGACAGCTGCTCGTCGTCCTCCGCCCCGCCCGACGGCCCGCTCGGCTCGCCCGCGGGCTGCGCGGGGGGCGCGGGGGCCTTGTGGGACGGCGCGCGAAGCGGCGCGACGGCCGCGGGCGGGCGCTCCGGCGACGCGGTCGGCGCGGGAACGGGCGACGGGGCCGCGGGACGGCGGCCGGCGCCGCTCCGTCGGCGGCCGCGGGCGCGGGCGGCGACCGCCGGGGAGCTGCAGCGGGGGGCTCGCCACGGGGACTTCGCGCCCTCCGCGTCGTCGCCCCGGGGCGCGTCCGGCGGCGCGGCCTGCCCGGGCGCGGGCGCCTCGTCCCGCGCGGGCTTCTCTGCCTCGGGCGACGCGGGCGCGGTCCCGGCCTCCGCGGCGTCGGGCGCGGCCGGCTTCTTCTTCTTGGCGTCGGGCTCCTCGTCGCTCTCCTCCTCCTCCTCCTCGCGCAGGCGCTTCTTCTCCTCGCGCGCGCGCTTGGCCTGCCGCGCCTCCTCCTCCTTCTTCCGCAGCGCCGCCGCGCGCGCCTTGCGCTGCCGCTCGCGCTTCTCGTGCTTCTTGCGCATCATCTCGTGCGGGTCGAAGCCCTCGGGGAGCTCCTGCCCCTCGTAGATGCCCAGGTCGCGCAGGGCCTTGGAGTTGGACAGCACCGCGCGCTCCAGCTCGTGCTTCTCGTAGCGGATGAACTCCGGGCACTCCTCGGTCGACAGCAGCGGGCGCGGCCAGAGCGCCTTGCGGTCGAGCATGTCGAACAGCTCCACCTCCTCCGTCGACCGCGCGATCTTCCGGTTGAGCGCGTGCAGCGACATGACCTCGTTCGTCATCTTGCGGTTCTTCAGCGCCTCCGCCAGCATGTCCTCCAGCAGGTGCTTGCGCTCGTCGTTCGACGTCTGCATGTCGAACTTCCCCGCGTCGATCACCTCGTTCGCCATGTCGATCTTCACCTTCTGGATGTTGTTGCGCACCAACGACTCCACCGAGTCCGCGAACAGCCGCTGCGAGCTCGCGTGCCCCAGCCCGCCCAGCAGCAGCCCCGTCACCTCGTCCGGCGCCTTGTTCCACACGTCCGGCCGCTTCTCCGCCTCGAGCACCGAGATCGGGGTCGGCGCGTCGTCCGCCTTCTTCTCCTCCCCGCCCTCCCCGGCGCCGCCCTCGGGCGCAGCAGCCGCCGCGCTCTTGTCGCCCTCCGCCGCAGCAGCAGCCTCGCCCTTGTCGCCCTCCGCCGCAGCAGCAGCCTCGCCCTTCGCGCCGTCCGCCGCCGACGCGTCCTTGGCGGCTGCCTGCGCGGGTGCCCTCCCCGCCGCGTCCCCGCTCGGCGACCGCGTTGCGGGGCCCGCCGCGTCGCCGTTGTTCCCCACGGTGCGGGCCGGCGACGCAGACGCAGCGCCGTCGGCGCCGGGCTTCTCCCCGTCGTCGCCCTTGGCCGCCCCGGGCTCAGCGCCGTCGGCGCCGGCCATCTCCTCGTCGTCGCTGTCGGCCACCGTCAACCGGGGCCGCGTCTGCTCCGCGACCGGCGCGGGCGGAGCCGCGGCGGGCGGCGCAGCCTCGGGCTTCGCCTCGGTCGCCGCGGCCTCGGGCTTCGCCTCGGTCGCCGCGGCCTCGGGCTTCGCCTCGGGCGGCACGGCCGCGTCCCCTTGCTGCTGCTCCGCCGCAGGCGCAGGCGGCGGCGCCCCGTCGACGTCCATCGCCTCCGGGCCCGCGGGCTTCGGCGGCGCGTCGGCGCCCTGCGCCCCTTGCCCCGGCTCCTGCGCGGGCTTCGCCGGGGCCGCGTCGCCGTCCGCTGCCGCCCCGTCCTTGGCCGCATCGCCGGTCCCGGCGTCGCCGTTCGCCGCGCCGTCCTTCGCCGGCTCGCCGCTGCCCGCGTCGCCGCCCCCTGCTTCCTGCGCCTTGGCCTCCCCCGCGGCGGCGTCCTTCGCCTCCGCGTCCTTCTTCTCGCCCCCCCCGGCGTCCGCGGCCTCTGCCTTGGCTCCGTCCTTGTCCTTGTCCTTGTCCTTGTCCTCGGGCTCGCCCTCGGCCTTCTTCTTCTTGGTCATGGCGAGCGTGCCGTCCTTGAGGATCATGGGGAGCGCGTCGTCGCTGGGGTCGAGGACCGTCTCGAAGTGGATGACGCGCACCTCCTTGGTCTGCCCGAAGCGGTGCGAGCGCGCGATGGCCTGCTCCTCCTGCTTCGGGTTGGGGTCCGGGTCGAAGATGATGACGGTGTCGGCGGCCTGCAGGTTGAGCCCCTGCCCCGCGGCGCGGATGGAGAGCAGGAAGCAGAAGACGTCGCTGTCGGGGGCGTTGAAGTCGCGGAGGGCGGCCTCGCGCTCCTCGTACGGCGTGTTGCCCTGGATGCGGCGGAACTTCATGCGGCGGTCCTCGCCGTCCTTGCCCGGGGGCGGCGGCACCAGGCGCCACGAGAGGTAGTCCTGCACGATCTGCAGCACCGAGGTGAACCCGGAGAAGAGCAGGACGCGGTGCCCGGAGTGGAAGAGCTTGACGAGGATGCGGTCGAGGACCCAGAGCTTGCCCGAGCAGCGGATCATGCTCTCCTCGTTGTGGAAGCCCTCCATGTCCGGGTAGGACTGCCGCGGGTGGTTGCACAGCTTCCGCAGCTCCATGCCGCGGTTCTGCACGCCGCAGTACCGCTTGCCCTGCTCGTACTGCTTGTGCCGCTTCTGGTCGTGCGGGTCGAGCCGCAGCGTGCTGCTCGCGGCCACCCACTCGTACGCCAGCAGCTGGAACTGCGACATGGGCACCTTGACCACCACGGGCACCTTGGGCGGGAGCTTCCCCTCGACGTCCTCGACCTTGCGCCGCAGCACGAAGGGCTCGAGGATCTGGTGCAGCCGGTTGACCACCACGATCTTCTTCTCCTTGGCCACGTCGTCCTCGAGGTTCTCCGCGCCGGTGCTGGACTCGTTGAACCACTGGTCGAACACCCCGCGGTCGTCGAAGAGGGACGGGAGGAGGAGGTTGAGCAGGCTCCACAGCTCGCGCAGGTCGTTCTGCAGCGGCGTGCCCGTGAGCAGCAGGCGGCGCTCCGAGCGGAAGGTGTCGATGTCGCGCGCGAGCTTGCTCTTGCGGTCCTTCATGCGGTGCGCCTCGTCGAGCACGATGTACTTCCACTCGATGCGCGCGAGCTGCGCGCGGTCCCGCATGAGCATCTCGAAGGTGGTCAGCAGCACGTTGAAGCGCACGTCGCGGACCTTCTCGCGGTACATCTTGTCGCGGTCCGCGCGCGTGCCCTTGTACCACACGCACGACACCGTCGGGAGCCACTGCAGGAGCTCCGTCTTCCAGTTGATCATCACCGCGTTGGGCACCACGATCAGGTGCGGCCCGCGGTTGGACTTGTGCTCCGCGAGGTAGGCGATCAGCGCCATCACCTGCACCGTCTTGCCCAGGCCCATCTCGTCCGCGAGGATCCCGTTGAGCTCGTTGTTGTACAGCGACACCATCCACTGCAGCCCGCGCATCTGGTACTCGCGCAGCGCCGCGCCGGGCGGCGGGCGCAGCAGCTGCGGCTGCCGCGACACGTTCTCCTGCGCGCTGTGCGCCATGTTGTGCAGCCGCCGCGGCGCGGTGACCCCGGCCTGCTTCTCCAGCTTCTTCAGCTCCACGTAGTGCTCCGACACCCGCTGCACCGCCGCCATGGCCTCCTGCTTCGCCTCCTGGTGCGTCGCGCCCCGGCTCAGCGCGTCCTGCTTGGCCTGCCGCCCGGCCTCCGCGGCCTCCTTGCGCACCTTGTTCTGCGCGAGCCGCTGCGCCAGGCTCTCCAGGTAGACGTCCGTGTTGCGCAGAAAGGCGTCAATCTCGCGGTACTTCTCGCCGTCCGCGCCCTGCGCCTGCTTCCCCACCAGCCGCGCGTACTCGTCCATGTCCTGCTTCTTCAGCGCGTTGATGCGCTGCATGCGCGCTAGCGCGTCCTCCTTGAGCAGCTCCCGCGACCACCGCTCGTGCAGCTTCTGCACCGCGATGTTCCGCGCCTGCAGGTCCCCGCGCGCCTCGTCGCGCCGCTCCAGGAACGTCTTCCGCGCCAGCACCACGTCCTTGATCTTGATCACGCGCTCCTGCTTCTTCCGCGCGTCCAGGTCGCGCTCCATCGTCGACCGGTACTTGACCACCTGGCCCAGGCCCCGCCGGTACACGTTCTCCGACATCTCCAGCACCTTCAGCTGCTCGTCCTCCACCAGGTTCCGCAGCACCTGCGACACGCGCGACGCGGGGGCGCGGGGGACGCGGTCGCACACACAAGCGCGCGCGGCGCGGGGGGGCGCAGGGGCCGCGCGACGCGGGCGGGGGCGGCGCACCTCCTGGAACTGCGTGAGACGCATCATCTTGAGGCGCGTGGTGATGGCGCCGCGGGGTATCTTCGGCACGTCGGGCCCCCGCAGCGCGTGCAAGGGGGGCAGCTGGCGGAAGCCCGGGTCCATGTGCTGCCGCCACTGCTGGAACGCGACCGTCGACGACCTCACGTGGTCCTGGGCGCGCTTCCTGAGGTTTTCCTTCATCTTCTGCGGTCGGGCGCCGGGGACGCGCGGCGGTGGGCGACGCGGGCACGAGCCCGCCCCTCCGCCCGGCGCGGAGCGGGCGCAGGCGGCCGCGGGAGCCGGGGCTCGTCGCGAGGAGGGCACACCTGCAGGATCGCGAACTCGTCCGCGCCGAAGGGCTGCTGGGCCGCGCTCGGCGCCGCGAGGGACGTCTGCGGGTGGGCCGCGCTCTGCACCGTCGCGAGCGGGTGGCTGTCCGGGACGTAGCGCTGGCGCGCCGCGCTGTGATCTCCGCCAGCGTGACCCCCGTTCGCCGCCGGCGTGGCGCCCATGCGCTGCGCCGCGGAGCCCCGCGAGCCCTCCACGGCTCCACCTGGGTGCTGTTTGGCGCCCTGGTCGGGGGACGGCGGCTTGCACGCGGAAATATCAGACGCCTCAACCTTCTTCTTGTGCCGCAGCGCGTTCTCGACCTTCATCTGGGCACGGAGCACCTCCATCTGCCGCCCGGACACGACCTGAGCCCCATCTCTGCAGAGAGGCCGTCCGCGAGCGGGGGGGATCGCGTTGGACGGACGACGGGTGAACCCTTAGCACGGACGGGTCGGTGTCAATCGGGACGCGCGCTCCAGCGGGCCAGGGCGCGCATCACGGCAGCACGCTGGAGCAAAACGCCACGGCACGAGCCGCTCCGTTCCCGGGGCGCCACGCACCGGATCCGCTGGGCGACGGGCCGTGTCAGATTCGTGGGGTCGGGCATGCGCGCCCCCGCGCGGCCGTTGCCCGCCATCTGCGCCTCTCCGTCCGTCATCCTGCGTCCCGCTCTCTGCCTCCCTCCCGCAGTCCGTGCGCGCCGCACGCCCTCACCGCGCGCCGAGGCCGGACATCTCGCACGAGCGTGCCTAGCGTCGTTCGAAGGGCGGCGCTCCCCGCCGTTGTCCGACGTCCCGCGCGCCCCTCGGACCCGCTGCTAGCTCCCTGCTGTGCGAGGCACGGTGACCGGGACCAGGACACGGCGATATGCCTACCCGTCGATCCCCACCGGCTCTCCTGCGCGACACGTGCGACGCGCGCGCGCCGGTCGGGCCGGATCAGCCCCGCGCGCCGCGGAACGGTTCCGAACCGCGCCCGGACGAGTCCCCGGGGTCGTGCGGCCCCTCCGCGGCAGCGCCGCCGCACAGACGGCGGCACTCGGGGCCCGGGCGCGCGTCGCCGGCAGCACTCGCGGCGGGCACCCGGCGAGGGCGATGTCGCAGGCTGCGCGCCCCCCCACGACCCCCTGAGGACCCTGCAGTGCACCCGACGCTTGCCCCGGCGCGCACAGAGCATCGCCGGCCCGCGGGCCCGCGCCGACGCGCGCGGAGATGGGCGACGACGTGCAGCTCCAGAGCGCGATCCTCGCGTCCCTCCAGGGGCAGGGCCGCATCCCCCCCACGCAACCCTCCCGCCCGCTGGCCAGGCGAGCCCCTCCACCGCCCCGCACGCGCGCGCCGGGCCAGCGAGCGCCCGGGGACCCGCGGCGGCCACGCGGCCGCCCCGCAGCCCGCACGCCCCGCGCGCGCTCACCGCCGGCGAGGAAGCTTCCTGCCTGCAGGGCGGGGTCGAGCAACCATGGAGCGCTCGCGCGGGACGGAATTCGGCCGGTGGGCGGAGGGAATAGGGCAGCGAACGCCAGGTGAGGTCGCCGGACAGCGGCTCCCGTCCGTGGCCGCGTCGCTGCGGCGGAGAGCTCGCCGCGCCTCAACAGCGCACAGGCCGCGGCCCGCGCGGGCGGCGGGAGGCCCCAGGCGGGACCGCCGCGCGCTCCCCGACGCGGCTGACGTCGTCGTGCACCGCGCAGGGCGGGGAACCGGGCCATATCGCCGGTGAAGCGGCGAAGCACGCCGAGCAACAACACCTCGGGACGCGGCACTCCCAGCACCTCGAAAAAGGAGCTCGCCGTGTCAGGCAAGCGCGCCGCCCTCCGCGCCCGCGATCCGAAGCCTGCATGACCGCCCCGCCCGGGCGGCCCGACGCGGCGCGCGGGCCCGGGCAGAGCGCGCCACGGGCAGCCTGCGCGCTGGCCATGCTCGTCGCGCGATGACTTCAGGTGCGGGTACTTGATGAAGCACTGATCCGACGCAGGCTGCAAGCACTGCCAGCGCACCAACCACACGTCGGATCAGTGCTTCATCAAGTACCCGCACCTGAAGTCATCGCGCGACGAGCATGGCCAACGCTGGCGCGCACCGCCAGGCCCCGCGCCGCGGTGTATCCACGCGAGCGCGCCGCGAGAACGCGCTCCCGTCCCGCGCCGCGGTGCAGGCACGACGACGAGCAAGTTTCCGCAGTGGTCGCGGTGGATGGGGAGCGGGTACGTGACGGCCATCGTGGACGACGACGGGACCAGCCGCGGGAAGATGGAGGGCATCAGCGGGGAGGCGTGCGCGCTCCTGTACGACGCGCCCGCCAAGGACGTCGCCGACGCGATCAAGGCTGGTTGCTTCAGGTCCGTCACGACGCCCCACGCCGCACGCAAACGCACCCTCGCCATCGGTGCCCGCTCCGTCGCGCCGGCCCCGCGCGTGGACGGACGGCGACGTGCCCGCCCCCCGCATTGGCGTGCGCGCAGGGCGCAGTTCACGTTCAAGACGGGGCACACCCCCCCGGGCGCGAAGCACCCCCCCTCGTTCAGCGTCATCCTGGGCGCGCCGTCCGGGGGCGTGGCGGGGAGCAGCCCGGACGCGCTGGTCCTGCGCGCGGACTGCCGGGACCGTTTCTGGGCGCTGGAGCAGGTCAGCAGCAAGGGCGACGTGCGGCTGCTGCACCAGGCGGAGGACCGGGAGCTGCGGCCGGGGACGCAGGTGCAGTGCCGGGTGGAGGTGCGCGAGGGGGCGCACCTCACGGTGTTCAACGGCGCGACGCGGGTGATGGACGGCGTGGCGACGCCGATGGACGAGCCGCAGCACACGGGCGGGAAGGCGCTGGTGCCGGTGCTGGGGCTCATGGTGACGCGGTCGCGGCTGGAGTGGAGCGCGTTCAGCGTGGAGCCCGCGGCGGGCGGGGTGCCGAGCCAGGTGGACCCGAGCGGGAAGCTGGCGAGCATGGACGCGCTGCTGGTGGAGATGATTGAGCGCGACGTGATCAGCACCGACCTGGGGATCACGTTCGACGACATCGCGTCGCTGGACACGGCGAAGCGGCTGCTCAACGAGGCGGTGTCGCTCCCGCTGATCGTCCCGGAGTTCTTCACGGGCATCCGCGAGCCGTGGAAGGGCATCCTGCTCTTCGGCCCGCCCGGGACGGGCAAGACGCTGCTCGCCAAGGCGGTCGCCGGCATGAACGGCGTCAAGTTCTTCAACTGCTCCCCCGCGACGATGACGTCCAAGTGGCGCGGCGAGAGCGAGAAGCTGTGCCGCACGCTCTTCTCGCTGGCGCGGCACCACGCGCCGTCCATCATCTTCTTCGACGAGGTCGACGCGCTCGTGACGTCGCGCGGGATGGACGGCGAGCACGAGGCCAGCCGGCGGTTCAAGAGCGAGCTGCTCTCGCAGATGGACGGCATCACCAGCGACGCCGCACCGGGGAAGAACGTCGTGGTGGTGGCCACCACCAACATCCCCTGGGACCTCGACGACGCCATGCGCCGCCGCCTCGAGAAGCGCATCTACGTCCCGCTCCCGGACGCGGAGGCGCGCGCGGCCATGTTCCGGCTGCACCTCAAGGGGCTGCGCACCGACGGGAACATCGACGTGGACTGGCTGGTGGAGCGCAGCGAGGGCATGTCCGGCGCGGACATCAAGCTGCTCTGCAGGGACGCGTCCATGATGCCCATGCGCCGCCTCATCGTCGACCGCACCCCGCTCGAAATCAGAGAGATGCGCGACAAGGTACGCACCCCCGCGCTGGCGACGGACCGCGCGCGCGCCCGAGCGAGCCCGACGACGCCGACGCCGACGCGTTTGGTTCCTCGAGGCCGCGCCCGTGCTGCTGGGTCACACCGCAAGGCCTGCGCGTGTTGTGTGTCGCGCGTGCAGGGCATGCTGGCGCCGGAGAACGTGGCGACGATCATGGAGGACTTCCGTGCGGCGCTGGCGAACATGAGCGGGAGCGTCAGTCAGAAGGACGTGCAGCGCTTCGAGAAGTGGAACAAGGAGTACGCGTCCACATGACACACCGCACGTGGCAACGCACGTGGCGGCGCTCGGCACCCGCAGGAGCCGATGTGATTGCGCGCAGACGCGTGTGCGCGCAGTCAGAGGTGGACCGTCCGCGGACGCTGCGCCTGCGTGTCGTCTCGCTGACCGCATGTTGCGCACGAGCGGGTGCACCCGCTGGGCCTCTCGTCGCGGTTTCAGATAGGAGCGTCACATCGATCGCGCTCTCGCTCAGACCGCGGTGCGCGATCAGCCGATCGGCTCGTGCCCACGTGCCCCCGGTGGCACTCCCACCGAGTCAGTCACGCCCTGCCCCGCGCGTTGCGAGCCGAGGAGGGGGGCGGCGCGCAGCCTGTTGATGAGGCAGCCGTGCCCCGCGGCCTGCTGGTGCTGGATGGCCGCCGCCCAGCTCCCGAACGTCATGCCACAGTCCAAGCACCTGCACCTGGTGTGCCACTTGGGCATTTTCCTGCATAGGTGGGGGAACAGCGCGGCAGGCGCTCATCGGACGCGTCATTCCAGGACAGCACTCAGATTCCCGGTGGGGCGCCGTCGATCCACGGCGTCCGATGCGTGAACGTGATGCGTACCGGGGACAAGCACACGGCGTTTCCGCCATGCGGCGATTGCCCGCAGAATGTGGCCTGGTGTGCGTCGGAACGACCAATGCGGCGTCGTTGAAAGGATATACTGCCCGCAAGGTGCGACGTGCGGCGGTCGTACGGTCTGCGCGCGCCAGGGGCCCGGCGTGACTCTCTGCCTGGCGGGCCGCTCGGGCGAACGAGCACGGCACGGTCGGTTGTGCGTGCGGACCTGTGTTTGTCCTGAGACCCTGGTGCGTCTTGATTCGGACCAACCGTGTCGACTGAGCACGCCCGCCGATCGCCGCGCCCAATGAAGCTGCGGCCCTCCCACCACCTACCCGGTAGCTTCACGGGGGACTCGTTGTTCCACCCCGCTGTGCGTCTGACAGCATCCGGGCCGCGGGCACCGCACCGTTTCGCGCAGAGCGCACAGTCAGGAGTGCGGAGGCAGTGCACCGAGCAGCGCTCGCGCGCTCCTGACACGGCACGCGTCCGGAGCACCGGCGACCCCTTGCCAGGGGTGGACTGGCGTCCGGGGGGTACCGCCACCCATCATATCGATAAAACTCACCTCCACACTCCCCATCATGGCCGTCGCATCGCCTCTCCGCCTCGCAACTTGCCGTCTGCGTCCGTCCGAGCGGATGTTCAACGATGCACACATGGCTCGGCGGGCGACGTCTCGTGCCCCGCGCTGTGTGTTGCACGCCGCTCTGCGATGTCCGCCCACGAGCACTGCGTCGCGGCCCCCCCCGATCCCAGCGCGCCCCCGTGTTCCCCCCCGGCACGCCCGCGCCACACAGCGTGTTCCTCCACGCCGCGCTCGCCACTGCCCTACTTTCGCCGGTACATACGCACGTTTTCGGCATGCACCTGTGACGCCACGGCGGCAGACGCGAGAGAACACGCGCCGTCCGCGGTCCGCGCCACGCCACGCAGGCAGTCTTTCTGGTGACTTCCACGGAGGATCGCCGCGCGACGGTGCAATGTTTTTCTTCCATGCGGCGCGAGGCCGTTCAGGTGGCTGGCTGGTTCCATGTGCTCTGCGTCTCGTGCCGTTTGACTGCGCCCCGGGCGGCAGGGAGGACATGGTTGTACTCCCCGGCGGGCGTTTGGGCCGATGGGCGGCCCGGCGGCTCGTTGGCGCCCGGCGCGTGCGAGCCCTGGATAGAGTCGAGGCAATTGCCGGTGGAAAGGAGACGTCTGGCCGCCGCAGAGGCGAGAGAGGAGAGACGCTCACTTCGGTACCATGTCGGACGAGGTCGTGTGCAAGAAGCCGGAGCTGGAGGAGGAGTGCAAGCCCAAGTGCATAAAGTTCCTCGCGGAATACCAGGCGTGCGCCGAGCGCGTCCAGGCGGACACGACGGGTGCGCGTCCCTTGCAGAGACAGTCCTGTGCCCCACCGCGCAGGGCGGGCGACACGGACGTCACCAGCGGCGGGGGGCGCGGACGCTGCTGCGACCATCCCGGCGAGCCGCGCGGCCGCCCCTCCCGGCGCCCCACGGGGACCTGGGCCTCCCTGTTGCGTTGCCCTCGGCAAACCCAGCGCTGCGCTCACTCCCTGCGCGCTCTCCCCGCCGCAGGAGAGGCGCACTGCACGGGGCAGTACTTCGACTACTGGCGGTGTGTGGACAAGTGCGTGGCCCCGAAGTTGTTCAAGCACCTCAAGTGAGTGCAGTGTGGCAGCCAACAAACAGAGCCCGCCCCGGCACGGAGACCCACTGCCGGGCGCGCTGTGACATCGACTCTCTCCACCGCTCTACACAGTCTCGCTCGCGTGTCCCCAACAGGGCTGCCTGCCGCCCCGTCGACGGCGGAGCGGCCCCTGCACCGAGCGGTGGAGACCACGGCCCCCCCAGCGGCCCCAGCCCGCGAGAACGGCGCGTTCCGCATCGGCTGCACCACGAACGCGGATGCCCGGCCGCGGCCGCGTCGCGTCGCGCGGCGGTGGTGCGCTTTGCGGGACCCGCGGCCGGCGAGCCTCATGTCGGCCAGCAGGGGCGGCGCGCCACGGACCCTGGCAGCAACGCCGGCGGGACCACCGCGGGCTGCTCGCCCCGGGCGGCGGCTCGCATGCCTGCAGGCGTCGCTGCAACGATGCGGTGTCGTGACCCACCACATGTGGCAGGGCGACACGGTGACGCGCCCATGGCGCGGACCGGAACGGTCACGCCGGTCGCGCCGGTGCGCGCACGCCGCGTCCAAGCGGCGACACGCTGCCACATCGGGCGGCCGCAGCGCTGCTCGGTTCGGCGGGACGCGCGCCCATCACGGCACAGCAGCACACATGCGCGCCGAGGCCCTTGCCACGTAGCGGCTCGCGCGTCCCTGCGCTCCGCTCGGCGGCGCCCGACCCCGAGGAGGCGGATGCGAGCGGGTTGCGCGCGGTGGGTGGTGGCTGCGAGTGCGTCGCGCGCGAGGTGTGTGTGTCGGTTACAGCGCCGGCCTCCAGTGCGGGGGCTGTCTTAGATCTCGAGCCCGTCCCGGAGCACCGAGTCCTTGATGACGACGACGATGCCGTCCTTGATGACGAAGCCCTCGGTCTCGCGGTTGGCCTCCTTGACGCCCTCCTTGTTGACGATCTTGACGTTGTTGCCGATGCGCACGTTCTTGTCGAGGATGCACTTGCGGATGGTGCACCCGTCCCCGATGCCGAGCCCGGTCCCCATGAGGCTCCACTTGTCGTCCGTGTTCTCGTAGTAGTCGGCGCCCATGATGAGCGCGTCCTCAATCAGCGTGTTCTCGCCGATCGCGGTGCGCAGCCCGATCACGCTGTGCCGCACCGTCGACCCCGCGCGGATGACGCAGCCGTCGCCGATGATGCTGTTCTCCACCGCCGCGCCGGTGATCTTCGAGGGCGGGAGGAAGCGCGACATGGTGTAGATGGGCGCCATGCGGTCGTAGAACGAGAACGCCGGGTCCGTGCCCGTCAGGTTCAGGTTCGAGTTGTAGAACGACTCGATCGTCCCGATGTCCTCCCAGTACCCGTCGAACAGGTGCGCCTGCACGTGCTTGCCCATGTCCTTGGCGCCGGGGATCACCTCGCTCCCGAAGTCGTTCGCGTCGGGGAACGTGGTGCTCAGCAGCTCGCGGATCACCTTGGCCTTGAGCACGTAGATGCCCATCGACGCGATGTAGGGCATCTCCGCCGCGCGCTCCTCGTCGAGGCCCAGGACCGTGGTGTCGACCTGCATCGCGCGCAGGGCGTCGCCGCTGGGCTTCTCCGCGAACTCCACGATCTTGCCCGACCCGTCGATCTTCATCAGGCCGAAGGACGACGCGCGGTCCTCGCCGCAGGGCAGCGCGGCCACGGTGATGTCGGCGCCCGTCTCGCGGTGCTTGTCGATGAACTCCGAGTAGTCCATGCGGTACAGGTGGTCGCCCGCGAGGACGAGGAAGTCCTCGATCCCGTCGCGCTCGGCCTCCTGGAACAGCCACAGGTACTGCCGCACCGCGTCCGCCGTGCCCTGGAACCAGTTGGGGTTGACCGCCGTCTGCGAGGCCGCGAGCACCTCGACGAACCCGCGCTGCGTGAAGGAGCCCACGCTCTTGTTGTACGCGTTCGACAGGTGCCGGTTCAGCGACGCCGAGTTGAACTGCGTCAGGCAGTACACCTTGTTGATGCCCGAGTTCAGGCAGTTCGACACCGGGATGTCGATCAGGCGGTAGTTCGCGCCCAGCGGCACCGCGGGCTTCGCGCGCTTCTTCGTCAGCGGGTACAGCCGCGTCCCCGCGCCGCCGCCCAGGATGATGCCCAGCACCGACTTGGCGTAGTCGTCGCGCACGTACCCCGGCTCCGGGGACCGCGCCGTGACGCCGTTCGTGGTCGTCGTCTCCGACGACACGTCGATCGCCGCCTGCACCGGGGCGAACGCCTGCGCGCACACGCAACCACGCGGCCTGTCTCGCCCCGCCCAGGCTGTTAGGCAGGTATGCGCGCGACGCCGCGCCCCGGGACCGCGGACCGCGGAGCCCGCCGCGCGCAGGCACGTCCCGCGTCCACGGGGGCCGCGCGGTTGCGCGGTCGGGGCTGCGCGGCGCGGGAAAGCGGCGGTGCGGGGGGCCGAGGCCGTGCGCGATGCGCGAGGGACAACCAGCGGCCGCATCGCGGTTTCCGGGGGCGGGCTGCGGCCGCGGGCGGTCACCCGGGCGGCGCGCGATCTCGACCGGGACGGCGCGGCGAGAAAAGAAACATCACGGCGGCGCGCTCGCCGGGGACGGCAAAGCGCTCCTGGTCGAGCTGGTGGCGCCTCGGGGCGCAGCGGGGGCGCCTTCCGGCCGATCGGATGCGCGACGATGCGGGAATGGTCTGGAGAATTCGGGGACGGGACGTGGCGCGCGTCGCGGGCCGCGCCCCCGCGATCGCGGCTCGCTAGCTGTCGAGGGGGGAAGCGCACCTTGCCCTTGCGAGCCGACTTCGCCACAGCCGTGGGGATGCCGACGCCGCGGATGCGCCCGACGGAAGACAGGCCTGCGAGTGATCCGAAAACGAATATCGCGTGTGCTGCGGGGCCGTGCGATGCGCGCTAGCGGGTATGCCCGTCGCGAGCACGCGAGGGGGGCTCGCCGAGGGCGGGCAGAGGCCCGCGCGGGGCACGAGCGGTTTCGACACATGTGCGACGGGCCCGTCGACGGCGCGCGGGGGCCGCGGGCGGCCAGCTGGCGCCACGGCCCGGCACTGTGAGGCGACCCACGGCACCCCCGTTTGCGTGGCACGGGGGGCGTGTCGAGTCGGCGCGTGGCGCAAAATAAAGTTGAGTTTCACTTGGTGCCCCATCGGTGGTTTCCCCCGGTCGCACCTGCCGCGCTGGGCGCACACGAGGCGCGACCTGCAGTGCTGTTCATGGTGCTAAGCGGCCGCGTTCGCAGGGCACGATCGGCAACTCAACCCTCGCTCTCCCGTCGTATACGCACACGCTCAGACCGGGACGCAACTCGTCGACTACCGAGCGGTCGCGACGCCGCGTGGCAAAGGAGCTCCGCAAAACGGAGTAGAAGGCGCACGCCCCCGGGCCCCCGCAACGCGCCGCGCTGGGTCACTTCGCGCCGCAGAAGAAGCGTCCGGCGGCAGAGCATCGCTTGGGCCGGGCGCGCCGACACGCAGACCCCAGGGACCGCCTCGCAGCGCACGGCAAGGCCCGCGGGGCGCAGCAGGCGACATGAGCCGGCCGCCCGGGGACCCAGACGTCGTGGAGCGCCTGCGGGCGAAGTACAGCAACGTCTCGCAGGTGCGCTGCGCCCACGGCCGCCCCCCCGCTCGCTGCGGCCCGCCCCACGGCCGCTGCTGTGTCCAGCGCAAAGATGCCCGCCGGGCACGCGTCCGACCCCGAGGGCCCGCGAGGCTCCCCGCCGCGCTCGCTCGATGACGACGCGGTCGCACCTGGGCACGGCCACGCGCCCAGCGCGGCACCAAGGCCTGTGGTGCGCTGCGGAGTGCGCGACGTGCCTCGCCTCGGCCGTGCGCTGCGTGCCCACCACCTCCCCCGCGGACGCGCGCCGCACGCAGGCACTGGGAGACGCGGACGACGCCGAACAGGCAGACAACGGACAGGACAGCCGAGCTGCGGCCGCGGACCGCATGCGCGCCGACTCGAGCGTGTCGGCGCGGCTGTGCCAGGTGACCCGCCCGCACGCCCTCGCCGCCTGCACGCCGCCTCCTCCCGCGGGGGACTCCTCTCGCGGCCCCGCTGTGCGTGGGCGCACGAGCCACCGCGCCCGGCCCACGCGGCGCGCACGTCGTCGATTCCGTCCGTGCGCTCGTCGGTGTGTGCTCGCGGCGCCCCTGTTCGACGCCTGCGCATCGAAAGAAACGTGTCCCCGGGCGCCCCCCGCAGAGGTGCAACGGGACGGGCGTGGAGACGGAGATCTACAACCACCGCCGCATCGACCGCTGCTGCGGGGAGTGCGACGGGGAGGGGGTGTTCATCAGAGGCGCCCCCCCGCGCCCCACGCCGGCCGAGACGCCCGCGGACGGCGCCGGCACGGTGCGCCCCGCCCCGCGCGTCGCTGCGCCGCGCCCCCAGGCGTGCCTGCGGCGGAGGGGGGTTGACGCGCCACTCCCCACTCCCCCGGACGCGTGCAGGTGTCCCGCGAGAAGGACGAGGCGAGCAAGCGCGCGGCCATCTTACGGAGCCTCGGCCGCATCAAGGCGGCGGTGAAGAAGTACGCGCAGGAGCTGAGCGACGCGGAGGGGCGGCTTGCGGCGTGCGACGCAGACGACATGCGCGGCGCGCTGGAGGAGCTCGTCGGGCAGCTGCGGCGCCACGTGGAGTCGCTGCAGGGACAGCAGAAGGCGTTCGAGGGGAAGCTGGAGGCGCTCGGGACGCCGAGCCTGGCGGGGGCGGGCGGGCCGCCGGTGCCCGACAGCTTGCGGGCGGACGCGGAGGGCGCGCCCGTGCAGCAGTGACGCGACGTGCCCGACTCGCCGGCCGACAGCGCTGCGTCACGGTTCCACTCGCAGCGGTGCTGCGCTCACGTCGGCGGTGCCGAGGGGGGGGTCGCTTGCATGGGAGGGGGGGTCGCTTGCCAGCGCGCCCGGGCTCAATAGGAGCGCCTCGCTGTCTCCGTCGCGTCGTTTGGTCACTCGGCGTGCGTGGGACGTGACTCTCATAGCGGTTGGGGGAGCGAAGCGACACGGCAGCGGCAAGCACAGCGACGCTCGCCCATGGGCACCCTGCGGGCCTGCCGCAGCCAGGCCACTAGCGGTATCCGATTCATCGAGGTGAGGGAGGCTCATGCGCGGCGTGTCGCGCCCGAACACACGCGTGAGCAGCCCGCAGTCGGAGGCACCGCGCCCTCCCTGCTCTACTACAGCCGCGCCGGGACACAGTCGTCGCCCTGCCGCGCGTGCACTGCCAGCGTGCGCCACACGGCATCCCACAGGACCGCCCCTGTGCCCCGAGGACGTCGAGGCGCGACGCACCCTCACGGAAATCCCTGCGCTGCACCACCCGCAGGGCTGCCGGTCCTTCGCGCTCCCCGGACATAGAGGGTGCGTCGAGCGGCGCCCCGTGCGAGCTGTCCCCGGCGTCCCCGTGCGGCGCTGCCTGCTGCATCGCTGCGCGCCTGCAGCGGCGAGGGCGATGTCGAGTAGCGCCCACCGGAAGAGCTGCGACGTGGCGGTGGTGGGCGCGGGCGCCGCGGGGCTCGCCGCGGCGAAAGAGCTGCGATCCGAGGGACACAGCGTGGTCGTTTTCGAGGCGGGCGAGGGCGTCGGCGGCGTGTGGAGGTGCGCTCGCCTCGTGGTGGTCACCGCGCCCACTGCCCGCGCCCGTCCCGCGCCGACACGGCCGCAGCGCGCCTCCCTCGCGCCCGCCGACGGCTCCTCCCTCCTTCCGCTCCCGCAGGTACGACGAGCGCGTCGACAGCGACCCGCTCGGGCGCGCGCGGGACTCCTCGGCGGTGCACTCGTCCATGTACCAGGGCCTCCGCACGAACCTCCCGCGCGAGCTCATGGGGTACCCGGACCTCCCCTTCCACCCCATGGCGATGGGCGACCGTTCCGTGGACCCCCGGCGGTTCTGCGGGCACAGCGAGGTGCTGGCCTACCTGGAGGTGTACGCCGAGCGGTTCGACCTGCTGCCGCTGATCCGGCTGGGGACCAAGGTGGTGTCGTGCCGGCCGGGGAGCGAGGAGGGCGCGCACGGGCGGGCGTGGGACGTGGTGACGGAGGGACCGGGCGGGGCCACGGAGCGGAGCCGGTTCGACGCCGTCGTGGTGTGCAACGGGCACTACTTCCAGCCGCGCCTGCCCGACGTGGAGGTCGCGGAGGGCTTCGGCGGCGTCGTGATGCACTCCCACAACTACCGCAACCCCGAGGACTTCGCAGGTCCGCCCCCGCCCGCCCGCAGCGAGGCCGTTTGCGCGCCGGCCACCGCCCGCCTCGCGCGACGGTCCCCCCCCGCGCGGCGCCCCCCGTGCGCGTGCAGGCAAGGTCGTTCTCGTGCTGGGCGCGTCGGCGAGCGGCGAGGACATCTCGCGGGAGCTCACGTCGTCGGCAGCGCACGTGTACCTGTCGGCGCGCACGTGGATGAACCCGCAGTGGGGCGGCGACACGGCCCCCACGGGCGACGGCGGCAACCTCGAGCGCGTGGCCAACCTCGTGCGCGTCGACGCGGACGGCACCGCGCACTTCGCGGACGGCTCCGCCTCGGCGCGGCCGCTGGACGCCGTGCTGTACGCCACGGGCTACCACTACGCGTTCCCGTTCCTGGACGAGGGCGCCGCGGAGGTCCGCGTGGAGGACAACCGCGTCGCGCCGCTGTACCTGGACGTGTTCCCGCCCGCGCAGGCCCCGTCGCTGTCCTTCATCGGCCTGCCGTGGAAGGTGGTGCCCTTCCCGCAGTTCAGCGTGCAGGCCGCGTGGGTCGCGCGCGTGCTGTCCGGGCGCGCGGCGGTCCCGTCGCGGGAGGAGATGGAGGCGGCGTGCGCGGAGCGGTACGGCGCGCTCGAGGCCGACGGCGTGGCGCAGCGGCACTCGCACCGCCAGGGCGAGGACCAGTGGGCGTACAACGCGATGCTCGCGGACCTGGGCGGGGAGGGCATGCCGCGGCTTTCGGAGTGGCGCGCGCGGATGTACAAGGCCACGGGGCTCACCAAGCGCGCCAAGCCGGACCTGTACCGCGACGTGCACGACGACGCCGAGTGGCTGCGGGCCGCGGAGGAGGAGTTCGCCGCCATGGTGGGCGGCGCGAAGCGGGAGCAGCTCGCGGGGTGACGGCGCTCGCCGGGGGCGGCGCGGCCTGCCAGTTTTGTGTGACGGGGAGGTGTTGCAGTGTCAGGCGACTCGCCGCGAGGTGTCGCAGGCTGCCCGGGACTGTAGCGGGGACGTCTTGGCGCGCAGGCGCGCGCGCTTGGGCCAGTGTGCAGTCGACATTCTGGCTGTGTCGCCGGTGCCGCCCGAGAGTGCGTCTGAAGAGGCCCGCGTCGCCCCCGAGCCAAATGGCGGGCCTGGCCGGAGGGGATGTCAGCGCGGTAGCATGGGACCTGCACAAGGAACGCATGGCGGTCGGGACGGAGGACGGGTCCGTCCAGGTGTGCGCGCGGGAGACGGCCGCGTGGGCGTCCTCCACCGACGGCAAGCTGCACCGCAGGGAGGTTGCGACTGAAGGTCCGCGTGCAGCCCCGCCAGACCGCGCGCACGGACGTCATGCTTCGCCCCGCGCACATTCGGACGCGGTGGATCCCGTCCGCCCGCCTTCCGGAGATATGGGACCTGTGCGGGGCCGTGTTCGGGGCCGACGTGCTGCGCTGCTCATTGCCGCCCTCGTCCACGCCGGTGCAGGATCGGCCTGGCAGCCTCTCTGCGACAGCTGGCGCGCACACGGAGGGTGCGTGCGTCAACTGTGCTGGGCCGAGCCCTCGGCCGGCCCGCTGCTGGCGTCGTGCGGAGAGGACGGTGCTGTCTGCATTTGGGAGCAGGAGGCGCCGTCGCGCGATGGCCAGGACGGTGCGCGGTTCAAGGAGGTGGCCAAGTTCACCCCCACGACCGACCCAATCGTCGACGTCAAGTGGGCGCCGGCAGCGCCCGGGAGGGACCTCGCGCTCGCGGCAGGTGCGCTGCGGCACCCCCCGCCAGCGCCCCCGCCCGGTCCAGCACGCCCCCCGCGCCCGCTCCAGGTCACGCGCACCGGCGGGCCACGACGCGGCGACCCCTCACGTCCAGTTCGGCCCTGCCCGGTTGGCGTCGCGCCTCGGTCTTGTGCGTCTCGCGGCGCCAACTTGCGCCGCGGCTGATGACGACGTTCGCAGGCTCCGATGGCGGGTACGTGTACGTGTTCGAGGGCTGCTCGGCTGCCTCCGACGAGGGGGGGAAGGGCGCGGGCTGGTGGCCGCGGCGGTGGTCGCTTGCGCACCTGTTCAGTCCCGGGGGAGGGTTGGGCGGCGCTCGGGGACACGCAGGTGCGAGCGAGCAGCGACGCCCTCCACGCACTGGTCCGCGCTCGTCTCCGCGGGCCCCCGCGTGCGCGCCACCGGTGCCCAGCAACCGCAAGACAAGAGGCTGCGCACCTCCCCGCTGGTGCCCCTTGCAGTGACGAGCTTGAGCTGGCGGCCCGCGACGGACGACGTGGAGCCGATGCTGGCGGTGGGGACGACCGCGGGCGCGCAGGTGTGGGTCCACCACGTCAGCGCGCTCAAGTGGGCGCGGTCCACCTCGCTCGCCCTCCCGCCGGGCCCCGTCACCGCGCTGTCGTGGGCCGCGCCCCTGGCCCGCCGGAGCGAGCTCCTCGCCGTGGCCGTCACGACGCCCCCCGGCGCCGCGGTCGCGGTGGTCGGCCTCGAGGGGGAGTCTGGGGAGCTGCGCGCGACCGAGTTGCAGCGCATGGAGCACGACGCGGCGGTGGACGGGCTCGAGTGGGACGCGCTGGGGCTCGACTTCGTGGCGTGTTTGTCCGGCGGGCGCGGGCTGGTCCTGTGGGAGCACGACATGGGCGGGCGCTGGCGGCGCAAGGAGCGCACCGTGGACGCGGCGCTGCTGGACGAGATGCACCGGGCGCAGGAGGCGGCGATGGTGGAGTGACGGCGCGCGCGGGCCGTGGCGGTGCGCCTGGAAGATGAGCGGTCGCGCGGCGTGTGACGCGGTGGGGGGAGTCCTTAACCTGGAGGTACAAGGAAAGGTCGCGCGCGTGGTCGTTGCGGGGCGCGCCGCGGGGCGGGCGACATGCAGCGAGCTGTTGCGGTGCGAGGCCGTCGGTGCAGATATGTCGCATCGAGGCCCGAGGCGGCGTTGAGCTTGGGTGCGGATGGTCAGGGGCCGCGCACGACGGGCCGAGGTCGCACGCAGCGCACAGTCGATCACGATCCAGTAGCATGGCACGATGAGGTGCTAGTCGTAGCCTGATGATCATCGTTTGAGGGTCGTAGGGGCGCGGGGGCCGCACGTCCGTGGTGTTGCGCTGCACGTCGCCTCGAGACCCGGGACCATGGAGGCGCTGCTGACACCGCTGTTCGCGCACGTGCTCGGCAGGTTCGTCAAGGAGTCGAAGGAGGGCACGGGGGCGGATGGTGAGCCCACCGTGATGCGGTGTCCGGCATCGTCGTGCTGTTGCAGGCCTCTCCCGCGTGCCGACAGGCGCCGAGGACGATCATCAAAGTCCGTCGCGGATAGTCGATGATTTCAACACGGCGTACGTGCAAGAAAGAGCCCTGTTTCCCACCTCTACACGCCTGGCGTGCCGCCCAGACATGACTGTGCTGCCCCCGCATCACTGATGGCGCTGCAGGCCTCCGAGCACGTCTTTCTGGGGGGTCCCTGGTCCTCCACAACCTCGATCTGGATCTCCAGCACCTCGTGCCACCGTCCCTTCCCTTCATCATCTCGCGCGCGACTTGCAGCGAGTTGCGGGTTGAGGTCCCGTGGACGGCGCTGCACTCGCGGCCTCTCAAAGTGGTCGTAAGAGGGCTGCAGGTCCGGACCCTCCGCAACGCGCCACCCCATCGCGCGCCCGCCCCTGCGCGACATCCTCGGCGTCCGTTGCCCTGTACACGGTCGCCCAAAGCACCACGCGACGACAACCAAACCAACGCGCCGCGCGTCCCCGCTGCGCAGGTGGAGGCCGAGATCGGCAGTGCTGGCGGCGGCACGCAGCGCAAGCAGAGGCCTGTGGGGTCGGACCAGGCCCCCGCGGCCCCCGCGGCACAGCTGCGGTCCCTCTTGTCGACGCTCGAGGTGGTCCTGGAGAGCGCCACCCTCACGCTGCGGTCCGCCGGCGCCGAGCTGACGGTCCTCTTGCACCATGCACAGCTCTGCCGCGGCAGTCCTGCGCAGCCCCCCGACGACGTCGGCTTCGAGGCGCCTCCGGTGGGCCCCGGGTCGGACATCGTGCACGCGGCCCTGTCCGTGTCCCGCGTGGCGCTGCACGTGTCCGAGCCGCGCACGGCGGACCGCGTGACCTCCAGGCGCCGCATCTGCAACGCGCTGGTTCAGCTGGAAGCCGTCGAGTGCGCGGCGTCGGTCCCGATTCAGTTGTACGACGAGCGCGAGTGGGAGGTGGAGGTGGAGGACGACGCGGGGGGCGCGCAGGAGCGGACGGAGGCGGAGCAGCACGTCGTGGTCGTGTGCGCTGGCGCCCGCGCGGTGACGATCGCGTGCACGCCGCGGCAGATCGCCCTGCTGGACGGAATGCGGCGCGAGTGGCGGGCGGCGGGGGTGAGCGGGGCCGGGCGGGACGTGGGCGCGGACGAGGAGCGCGCGGCGCCGTCTGCGACCAGCCCCGGCGTCGAGGCGCGCGTCGTCGAGAACGCGACTGCGCTTGCAGGTCAGCAGGACGCGAGGGCAGACGCCACCGCACCCGCTCGCGCGTCCTGGTACTCGAGCGCGTGGAGCTTCGTCGCTGGCACCCGCTACGCCGGTGAGTCCGCCGAGGAAGTGCCGAAGCTGTCCCCGGAGCCCGCCAGCACGGAGAGCAGTCCGCGCAGACGCGCTGCTGCGGGGCTGAGACTCCTGCGGCCGAGCCGTGTCTTCGTCTTCAGCTCGGTGACTACGCTCGAGGCGCTTTTTGCGTACGATGGACCTCAGGTGCCCGCCGAAGAGGGCCAAGACCCCGAGGGCACACCCCCGCAGGGCCTGCACCTGCTCGCTGTCGTCGAGGCGACCACCGCGGAGACCTGGGTGTCGACGGTGAGCATGGCTCCGCGATCGGTCGGACTGCGGTGCGGTAGGCTGCTCGTCCACCGAATGGTCAAGGAAACCGCCGGCGGGTGGACGGCAGGCGACGGCCGCGCGCTGCCCGACGGGCTGTTGTTGGTTCGCACGCTCCCGACTCCCTGTCTGTCGGACCCGACGGGGATGACGCTGATGCCCCCTCTGGCCCACGCGCGTGGCCTGATGGCTCCGGTGCTGTCCATGCACGCGGCGTCCGAGGGCAAGTTCGCCTGCGTCATGCGTGCATCGATGCCGGATGGCGAGGGCCAGCTGCGTGTCGTCCCAGACGCTGTCGAGATGCAGCTCGGAATGGTTCTCGCCGCGGCGAACCCCGGTCTTCTGCGGGACGCCCAGATCTTCGTGCGGGAGGCCGGCTTCTTGGCGGAGCAACACGGAACGGGCGAAGCCGGCGCGCCGTCGCGGGCCGCCGCGAGCACGGTGACGCTGACCTGCGCCCTTTTGGAGGTGTCGCTACTGTCCGACGACGGCAAGCGTCCCAGCGCGCTGACGGTCCAGACGACCAACTCCATGGCATCGATGCGCGGCAGGGACGTCAGGGTCGAGGCGCGGGTGGCGCAGGCATGGGCGCAGCCGCCGGCGGACGCCTGCCGTCCGCTCCAGGTCTCGATACCGTTCGGGCCGGGGAAGGGCGCTGGGCGCGACAAGGCGGCCACTCCCGGCGCACCGTCACCGCTTGCGCTGCTGCACGACCCAGTCACGCTCCGCTACGAGCGCACCGCATACGTGGCGGAGATCAGCGCGTCGGAAGTGCGTCTGCACGTCCCTTCCGGGGCCCCTCCCGCGGTGGAAGCAGCCGTGCTCGGGTTCCAAGCTGGCGCATCCGGCCACCCCGTGTCCGCAATGGTCGTCGACGCACAGGGCGTTTCCGACGGTCCCGACGAGGCCTCGCGGGGTGAATGCGTCGAAGTTGTGCTCGGTCAGCTCGTGGCGCGCCAGGACGCGGGGCGGCTGCAGTTCCAGCCAGTCACTGCCCGCATCTCTGCGCACGGCGGACAGTCCGCGCACCTGACCGTCGGGATCGACCACGCCATTGTCGACACCGCGGAGCGGCTTGAGCTCCGCTGCGCGATGCTCGAAGTCAGCGCGGACGACCGCGCTTGGCTGCGAGCGAACAATTTTTCCGCCACGCTGTCGTCGGAGCACTCACCCGAGGGCTTCCGCGAGCTCCAAGCCGTCAGTATCGAGCGAGTGGACTTCGCGTGGACCTCGCAATGCGCTGCGGACGTCGACACGCTGCTGCAGGCCATGCGCGTGGTTCGGGGGTCGCCGCGCCAACAGCGCATGGTTGCTTCGAAACCAGACGTCTGCGCCGCCCTCATCTCCGGCGGCAAATGCTCCACATCGACCTCGATCGCCATCGCAGCGATCGAGGGTTCCATTCAACTACGGTCGGACTGCCCCGTCTCGTTTGGCGGCGTCAACGTCAGCATGCACCGCAACGTCTCCCCACGCAGCGATCCTGCCGCACAACCCGACCAAGATCCGTCTAGCATATCTTCATTCGTCCTCGATGTCGAAGTGGACGACTCGCTCACGGCAGCCGTGACGCAGACCTTCTCGATCGGCCGTACGCACCCGTTGCTCAAACTCTGCATCGACCCCGCCGCCGACGGCGACGACGCAGCGCAGTCCACGTTGCCGCCGCTCGCGGTATCCGTCACAAAGTCGAGCCGCGGTAATGCGGTCGGGAGCTATTCCGCGCTCCAGGGCGCGACGCAGGACGTCTCGGCGCACTGCGGCAGGGTTCTCGCGGCGCTGGGCCCGCAGGAGCTCGCGATGGACCTCCCTGCGCTGATCCCGGACGCGCTGCTCGCCGCACCACCGCACACCGCGGGCCCCTCGGGCGCCGGCACCCGCGCGTGCGTGCACCTGCGTCAGCTCAGCGCGGAGCTGCTGGGGGAGTGGGGCGCGGTGCAGCTCTCGGCGCACGCATGCCGGGTGTCCGCGGTGTTCGGGGGCGCGAGATGGCGCGACGACGACTGCGTGGACGTGGCGCGGGAGGCGTCGTTCGCGCCCGCGTCGGACGCCGTGTTCTGGAGGGTGGTGGCAGCAAAGGACGACGCACTGCGGTTCGCGGGGCGCCCGGGCCTCGCCTGGGGCGTCCGCACGTCGCTGCCGGGTCTGCTGCTGCACGGGCGCCCGCACGTCGACGACGCCCCCTCGGACGGCCCGGTGCGGGTCGACGAGGCCGTGCTGCTGCCTGCGCCCTGCGACGCGGTCTTCAGCGCCGCGAGCGTCGGGTCCTCGCTCGAGGCCGAGCTGAGCATGAGCAACTGGTCGTACACGCTGGCTCCGGCGATCGTCGCCACGCTGTGGCGGCAGCTCAAGGGGTTCCTGTCGCTCAAAGACGGCCTGCGGCCTGCGGGGGAGGAGCGGGACGACGCTGCGCGCGCGCCGGTGCGGGACGACCTGGGCAGCGGCGCGTTCGTGCGCAGCAACTGCGCGGCGGACGTCTCCGCGGAGTGCCAGTGCGTCTTGGACGACGAGGCGGGGCGGCAGGTCGCGTGGACGTACGACCAACCGCGGCCCGTGCATGCGCTCGCGGTAGACGCCCGCGCCGGCGACGTCCGCCTCGAGAGCTGGTCGGTGGTCGCATCTGACGATCTCGATGACACCGACGGCCGGTGGGAGACGGTTCCGCTGTCGCGTTCGGAATCAGAAGGGTGCTTTCGTGTGGCCAACGCGCGGCCCGCTGAGCGATGGCGCGTCTCCTGGGCCGGGGACATCGAGGCGCAAGACGTGCGGTCGACGCTCGTCGTCAACCCGGACACGGACTCGAGCGCCGCGTTGCCGCCGCTGACGCCGTCCATGCGCGTTGGCTTCAACACGCAACACTTCGCCGTCCGACTGGCAGCTGACGACCGCGACGGCGTTCCCGGGGAGTTCGCTGTGCTGCGCGGCAGCGATATGAGGACCAGCTTTGCGTCGTGGCCCGTGAACCGACGCGCCGGAGCGGCTGCGATCGAGGCGACCGCAGCAGCGGACCTGGAGGCATCGGTCATCGGCGCCGACGGGCTCCCCGAACTGCTCGTGCAGCAAGCGAAGGTGCGGGCAGACTTCTGCATGAACGATCACGCGCCCGCGGGCGGCGACCTGTCCGAGACCAGCACCGGCGGGAGGGGCCAGCGACCATGGCACACATGTCCCCGGGACGCTGCGTTGCTGGGGAAGACCCTGCGGTTGGCTGCCGACGAGGACTTTGTGGTGTTCGCGAACGCGCACATTCTCAGGGCCCTCCGGCGCGCGCTCCGCGTCGTCCCCGCGTGGAGTGCGGGCATGATGGCGGTGTTTGCACAGGGCGCGGAGGCGCGCCCGGAGAGTGTGTCCGAGGCGCAGCAGGGGGCACCGGCGGTCGCAGAGCTGGTCTGCACCGTGGAGAACCGCTGCGAGTACGACGTACAGGTCGCACAAGCCGGAGCCCCCGGACACGCGACGACCATCCCATCAGAGACAACCGTCCCGTTTCTGTGGCGCTTTTCGCCGTGGGCGGCGCCCCAGGCACAGCGATCGATACTCGTACGTCTCACGTCGTCCAGTTCGACACGGGACGCCGCGGGGCAGTGGCAGGCATGCTCGGCAGTGCTTCCCGACGACCAACACCTCCGGGGGTGGAGCCGCGGCGTGTCTTTGGTCAAGGCCGGCAGCAGGGTGCTGGACGCGCCGCTTCTGCGCCCCACCGAGCAGATCGCGACGGCGCGAGTGGTCGTGGTCGTCGCGACGCAGCCGAACGAGGGCCGCACGACGATCCAAATCATGCCCGCGGTCGAAGTCGTCAACGCGACCAGCCACCCCGTGCCCGCGTCGCTCCTCCATCCCGGGCAGGCCGCTCGTGCGCAGAACGCCAAGGCACGTGCTGTCTCTACCGCGCTGACCCTTGAGCCGGGTGGTCCGTTCGGCGGCGCTGCTGCCACGTCAGTGCTCCCGCTCTCGCTCGCGGGCGAGGCGGGCGCGTGCTCGGAACTGGTCGTTGCGGGAGCTGTGGTGTCGCTGGACGCGAAGCGCCTCGAGGCCGCCCAGCCGCAGCTGGTCTGCATTCCTGCCAGCAACGACTGCCAGGCCCCCGCGGTGCTCGCCGTCGCGGCGGGGCGCCACGCAGGCGTCCTCGTCGTAGCGCTGATCCCGGCCCTCACCCTGAGGAATCTGTGCCCGACGTCGCTCCTGCTGCGCCCCGGCCTCGCCCCGGCCGCGATGTGGGGCATGCGGTCCGCGCCACTGTCCGAAGAGGAGCTCTCGCGCGCGCCCTGCATCGCCGTCTCGCCCGGGTCCACGACGCAGTGGTCGCCGACGTTCGCCGGCGACGTGCCTACGCCGCACGCACTCGCGAGCAGGCTGGAGCTCCGCCTGCGCCTCCCAAGCGGCGACGCGGCAGCGGACGGGCGGCACGGCGCTGCGTGGTCCGGGGGCCTGTCCCCGCAGAGCGTTGCGGCGTCCGGCGATGCCGTACTGTGCTCCCTGCGCTTGCCCGACGACGAAGGTCCGGGCGATCGGTCGCTGCCCTTTCAGATTTCAGTTGGAGCACTGGCGGCAGGGTTTCCCGCCTTCCAGATCGTCGTCGCACCCGTCGCGACGTTCTGCGACTTCACAGGTCTCCGCCTGCACCTCGCGGCGGATGCAGCCGTCGGACAACCCCTGCCGCGGCTGCCCTGCAAGGTCGCAGAGACTGTGGACCTGCCCCTGCGGGGAAAGCTCGCTCAAGCGAGGCCATTGGCGTGCGTCGTCGGCATCCCAGCGCTCCTGCAACAAGGGGGCCGGATGGACCTCACGGTGGCGGCACGAGCTCCAGGGCATCTCCTCGGCAGGGCATCACTGGCGGTCGGGAGCGGCGCGCTCGTGCGGTTGAGGAGCGCCGAGAGCGGGGACGGCCGCCCGATGAGGGACGGGGAAACTTCCAGCCTCGCGGACGACCCGGGGCGAGGGGCCGCGGCGTTGGTTGCGGTGCAAGTGCACGAGAGCACAGCCCCGAGCGCGCAGCTCGTGTTCTGGGACGCCCTGGGGGCGCGTCCGCTGACTCCCGAGGCGGCGATGGCGGCGGGGCCGCGTTGGGCGGCTGTGTCCGCTTCTCCCGCGGTGTGCGTTGTCAACCACTGGTACCACCCGCTCTGCTTCCGCGTGACCTCAAAGCTGGGCGTTGTTGTGGAGGCGGACGTGGCGGCGAACGGTCCCACTTGGGTCGCTCTGGAGGACGTGGCGGCCGAGGGGACGCTGGAGCTCGAAGGGCGGTTCGGCGTGGAACGAGCGGGCGCCGCGTGGGGCGCTGCGTTTCCCCTGCTGCAGCCCACGACGGTGCGGGGCTTTCTTCCGGGCGCCGGCGGAGAGCCGCCGCGGAGCCTGGCGAAAGTTGTCGTCGCGCGGGAGGGAGGCCAGATCATCGTGAGCGTGGCGCCCGACGCGGACCCGCCGGTGGTGATCGAGAACAGAACTGGGAGCAACATGCGCGCCGCACTGTCCTTCCCGCAGCGTCGCGACGGGGGACAGCACTCGTTCGCGCCGCCGAAGACGGTCGTCCACCTCCCGCACGGGTCGATCACCGACGCCGACTGGTCCAGCGACGCACCCGGGACCGCTCAGGGCCCGCTGGACAGCCAGCGCGTGATGTTCTTCTCACCCGACCACGCACAGCTCCTGGACCGGCTCGGAGACGCGGTGCACAGACGCGGCAGGATCGTGAGACCGCCGCCAGCCATGCTGCTGCTCCTGGAGGCGGGGGACGGCGACGGCGAGCTTGAGGAGTGGGCGGAAGCGGCGGGGGTGCCCTGCACGCCGGGAACGTACAACCTGGCCGGCGGACGGCGATGCCGCGTCGCTTGGGTCGGCGCTAGCCTGTGCGTGACGATCCTTGACGCGGGCACGGACGTGGCGCCGCAGGTGGACCGGAGACGCAGGCAGCTGCGGGTGTCGGCGCAGGCTGGGCGACGCGCCCAGGTCGTGCTGCTTGGCGGCTCCGTGCTCAAAGACCGCAAACCAGGTGGCTGTCCATACCAGGAGATTGCGTGTCTGACGCTCCTCAAGCCGTCCGCGACGCTCTTCGCGGGGCCGGAGGCGTCCGATTGCACCGACACGGTGTCGACGAAGATCGACGTCGCAGGAGCGGGGCTGCAGGTCGACAACCTCCTCGCGGGCCTAGATGGCGAGCAAGTCATGCTGTCGACGTCGTCCGCGGGTCGCGAGCCCCGCCCGGTGCTGCTCAGGCTCCACGTGGCCCGTGGCGCAGTCGCACCGTGGCGGCAGGAGCGCACGTGGGTTCGTCTGGTGTCCAGCTCCACGCCGCCGCTGGCTGTCAAGCTCGATGACTCCCTGAGGCAGCTCATGTCCGCGGTCGAGGCCCAGGACCTGCTGTCGTGCGCCCTGGTGCCGCCACAGAGCGCAGCCGCGCCAACCGACCCCCCCTCCGACGCAGCTCGCGTCGACCCCGGCGTTCTTGCGGCCACGGAGCTCGAGCACATGTACGTGCGCGTGGTCGAGGACGCACAGCGCGAGTTCCTGTTGGTCGAGCAGTTCGCCATCGCGCCGCTGCACATGTCGTTGTCGGCGCAGCTCTCCGCCCCGCTCTCCGGCGCGCTGGGAGCGCTGCCCCTCGGGACGCGCGACGCGCCCGCCTTCATGCCGGCGCTACGGCTCGGGGCGACCGCCGGCCCGCGGCACGTCCTGCAGTCGGCCCTCCTCGCGCACCTCACCGCCGAGGCCATGCTCAACGCCCCCAGCGTCGTCGGCGGCCTGGAGCTCCTCCTCAATCCCGGTGGCGTCGCTGCGTCCCTCCGGCGGGGGCTCAACGACCTGATCGCCATGCCGATGGACGGCATGGAGCGCGGGTCTGCTGCAGGGTTCCTGGCGGGACTGGGGCAGGGCTCGCTGTCGCTGATACGGCAGGTCTCGGGGTCGACGGTGCTGTCCGTCTCCGGGTTCTCGTCCGCGGTGTCGCGCGCCATCTCCCGCGCGCAGGAGCAGCCGGAGGCGCCCGCGCACGACGACGAGCACGACGTGCTCGCGGGACCAACGTTTCTGGGCAGCATCGGACGCGGGCTGTTGCAGACCGCCACGGCGCCGATATCCGGTACGCTCGGGCTCATCGGGTGGGGCGGGAACCGCGTCGCCGCCGCGCTCGGGGTCATCCACAGCGTGGCGCCACAGGCCGGTGCGTGGCAGCGGTGCAGCGGGTGGTGTCCGCCGTGCTCCGCGGTGCAGATGCTCGTCGCGAACGCCGCATTCTGCGCACTCGGCGCCACGCCCGCGGGGCAGGCGGCTGCGCCGATGGTGGTGGAGGGCGTGGCGTACAGATGCGCGGCAGCGCACGTGCACCTGCGCAAGGGGGGGGAGTTCCGGCACCTGGGCGAGGACGGGTGGCGCATGCGCGGGTCCGGTGCGACGCTGCTGATCGCCGCGAGCGGCGTCTGCCTCATCGAAGGCGGTGCGGGGGGCCGTTGCCTTGCGGTGGCGCACCCGGACATCGCAGGGTTCGAGGTCCTGGAGGACGGCAAGGTGCTCGCCGCGTTCGCCCACTGCGCAGTGCTCCTGGGCGCCGTCGGGGAGTCCTCCGACGGCGGCAGGACGCCGGTGGGCGACGTGGGGTCCGTGGTGAGCGAGACACACACGGTGCAGGGTGCCAAGATCGTGCTGGAGCTGCCGCGCCCGCACGGGGACGCGATCGCACGCGAGGTCGAGGAGCACCTGAGGTGACGCGGTCGTTGCGTATAGTACTAGCGTAGACAGGCAGCGAGCCGATCACATCACGCAGGCGCTGTGAGCTGTCGCAGACGGCGCGCCCGGCCTCACTTCCCGGGCTTTTTGTCGTCGCCGTACGTGTCCGCCATGGACCGGATGACCCACTCGTAGCACGCGAGCGTCACCGCGGCCGACGGCGCCGCCTTGATCACGCTGGGCAGCACCCCCTTGAAGAACCCTTGCACCCCCTCCTTCGCCGCGATGTCCCGCGCCACGTGCATCGCCGTCCAGTGCGCGAGGTCGTCGCTGACGCGCGCGCCGTACCGCAGCGACCGCCGCAGCCCCGCCACCTGGTACCGCTTCTTGACCACGTCCAGGGGGTGTGTCACCACCTTCGAACACACCCCCGCCGCCAGCCCGCACAGGAACTGCACCACCGGCTTGCCCTTCGACACCCCCGTCGTCGGACCGCTCTGCGTTCGCGAGCAGCGCACGCGCGTGCACGCGTTCGAGGCGATGCACGTCAACGCAACGGTGCTGCCGGCACATGCGCGGGGCGAGACACAGGCGCGCACCTTGTCGACCTTGGCCATCTCGAAGTTCTGCGCGGCCCGGTTGAGCACGTCGTACAGTCCGAACTGCAGCGCCGAGTACGGCACGATCTCAAGGAGCGTGATGCCCATGCCGCGGTAGATGCCCGCCCACCCGTGGTCGCGGATGATCCCGCGCCCGGCGTCCAGGAGCCCGCTGCGCAGCGTTTCGACCGCGGGGGCGGCTGTTCGGCGGCGCGCGCCGGCCGCGACGGGGCGCGCAGGGTGCCGTGTCTCGCGGAGCAGTCGGGGCGCGCGGCGGGGAGGGCGGAGCGCACTTGTACACGCGGGGCTCGCCCTGCGCCGCGAGCGTCGTCCGAAGCAGGTCGAACGGGTAGCTCGCGGCCGTCCCGGCCATCCCTGCCAGCCCGCCGGTGATGAACGCCACCGACGGTGTCTCGCCGTACCCGGACGCGCGCGCCAGCTTGCGCGTGTGCTGCAGGGTCACGAACTGCACCGCCGTGTACGGAATCGTCAGCAGCTGGCCCGGGACGGTGCCGCGCCACAGCCCCGAGATGCCTTCCTCCCTGACGATGGTGCGCACTGCTTGCGTGATGCCCGTGTAGTGCCTGTGCGTGTTGGTGCTCGCCTCCAGCTGCACCTGGAGACGGATCTTGATGACGTCCAGCGGCCCAACTGCACGTTGCCGCAAGGAACGCGCGGATTCTCGCGGCCGACGCGCGAGGGGGCGCGGCGGGACGCGCCGCCGTAGAGGGGCCCGCGCGGTGTGCGCCCGCCCGCGCGCGAAACGGTGCACGCAGGGGGAGGCGCTCCACCAGGCTCGGCCCGCGCGCGGCCAGGACATCAATCTCGGGCGCGCGTGTCGCACCCACGAAGCGGGAGATGCATCCCGCGATGCTCCCGGCAACGGCGTCCAGCGTGGCTCGCCTCGCGGAGCCCTGCTTCTTGGACTCCCCGACGACGGCCCCCCCCATCGTGTCCCGCGCCACCCGCCCGTTGCCGCCCCGCTGGTGCCCCCAGGTGTGCGTGCGGACGCGTCGCCCGTTGCTCCCAGCAAGGCCAGTCAGCACGCGCCGCCCTCCGCCCACGCAGCGAACGAGCCGCTCCCGCCGCCCTCACTCAAAGCTGTCCTTCTACGCGTCGTCCGCCTCCCTCGACAGCCGCAGGCGGGCACAGGTTCGTCAGAGACGGGCACTCTAGGGTAGAGGCAGGACCAGGCGCGCAGCGTGCCGCTCCGACGACGAACAGGCAGCTTGGTGCAACGCGTGACTGTCGGTATTGCGTACATGCGAGTCCCCTTCGCGGCGCGGCGCGCGCAGGCCGCGGGGCGCTGCAGGAGGCCTCGAGCCCAGGCCCCAAGAGGTGTTCAGCAGGCGGCCGGCGCACGCGGTCCGGCGCGCGTGACGAGGTCCAGGCGGCGCGCCCGAGTCAGTCACATTGCGAGCTCGCCATGACCACCCTCGACAACGCCATCCACCTGGTGGACACCCTCGTGGCGTCCATCCAGCAGCAGATGGCCACTGGACCGTCCACCTCCGCCGCCGCCCCCGCGCAGGGCGCCCCCGCCGCCGCGAAACCAAAGGCGGAGAAGAAGCAGAAGAAGGAGAAGAAGGAAAAGGCCCCGCCCGCCCCGTCCGCGGGCTTCACTCCGCCAGGTTTGTTCCCCGTCCCGGGCAATGCACGGCCGCGCGACACGCCTCCTCGTTCCTATCTGTCGTACCGCACAATTCGCGCTGCTCGAGCGCGGAGGAGCCAGCCAGCGGCGCCCAGCGCGCGCCCGAGCTGCCAGCGTCCCCGCACCCCTCTGCAGCGGAGCACGAGCTGTTCTACAAGGGGCGGATCTGCGTGGCCCGCATTACGTCGGTCGAGGAGCACCCCACGGGGTCGGACAAGCTGTGGGTGATGAAGGTGGACGTCGGCGGCGAGGAGCGCCAGCTGTGCGCGGGCCTGCGCGCCTTCTTCCCGGACAGGGCCGACCTGCAGGGGCGGCTCGTCGCGACCGTGGTCAACCTCAAGGCGGCCAAGCTCGGGGGCGTCAACTCCGAGGCCATGATCCTCGCCGCGAGCGTCGCGAGCGACGGCGCGAAGGAGACGGTCGTGCCGCTGGCGCCGCCCGCGGACTGCCAGCCGGGGGACGTGGTGTACCTCGAGGGGGAGCAGGCGACGGGTGAGCGACGCGGAGCGACGGGGCGGGGCGCGTGGCGCCGCCGCGGCCGCGACGACTGCCCGGGTGCGCGTGCATGTTCTGCGTGGGTTCACGGTGCGTCGTTTGTGTTTGTGCGCGCGCAGAGGAGTTCCCGAAGACGTGCAAGCACTGGTCGAAGATCGTGGAGGGTCTGGCGGTCGGCGGCAAGGTGGCGCGGTGGAACGGGACCGCGATGGTGACGGCGAAGGGGCCCCTCAGTGCAGACATCGCGGACGGCGCAGAGATCCACTAGCGGCGGAATGTGACGGGCCGTGACGCGGCGCCCGTGCGCAGGCCTCGGTGCTCCTCTGCGACGCCTGCCCGGGCGCTCACCGAGTCGGCCCCCGCGATGCATGCCAGCACACAGCACCGCTGCTGTGTCGGCCCTGGTTCGCCGAGTCCCGGAACTGTGCGCCAGCGTTGTGGAACACGGCACGACTATGCTTCTCATCTGCACCCGGTGCGATCAGGCTCTAGTGTGCACGTGGACAGTTTACGGTGGCAGCGAACATCTTGTTGGTACACACCATGCCGCGAATCCAGCATGTTGACCTGTCGGGGTACGTGACCCCACGTTGCACGCTGCGCCGCAGCGATCGAGCGCGCACGCGCCGCACGACAGCCCCGCGCCACCGCTTGAATGCCTCCACGCGCTCTAACACACAGAGCGTGCCCACCAGCCCGACTGGCGCGGGGCGTTCCAGTGGCTGCGGCAGAGCGACGCTCAGCGTTTCCGCGCGAGTGCGTCCGACAAGGGGAGCGCCCACCGGCCCCTGCGATCACTTCGCGCCGCGCACGTGTCCGAGACGGAGAGGCGCGGCCGGTGGCGCGGTGTGGACTCAAACGCAGCGGTGCCGAAAGCGCCCGCCCGCTGCGACAGGTCGCACGGCCGGCGTGGTGATGCTCGACGCGGCGAGCGGATAGCTCAGGCGTGGTTCCACGCCCAGGAGGGTAGAAACGCGGAGGAAGCGCGCCATGCCGGCGACGTCGCGGGTGCGTCGCAGCACGCGCGCCTCAGAGGCGATGGCGGTCGCCGCGGCCAAGCCGAAGGCGAAGGCGCGGCCGTACCGGCAGCGCGAGTGCGTGCGCGCGATCATGGTCCCGACGGACCCCGACCAGCCCATCTGGGAGCACTGCTGTCGCACCAGGGCGTGCGCTCACCAGACTGGAGGGCACAAGGCCATCGTGGAGAAGTACCGCGTGCCGATACCGGGGAGGGAGAAGAAGAAGGGAACCAAACGCGCGTCGAAGAAGGCCAAGCGAGGGCGGTCACCGGTGAGCGCACCGTGCGTCGCAACGTCCCTTCCGCCATCAGCCAGACCCCGCGCAACGCGTGCTCCGGGACTGAGCGGGCCCCCACGCCGCCTGAAACGCACGTCCGGATCACTGACGACCGTCCGCGGTGCACACACAAGCAGCGCAGCGCGCCAGCGGCCCCTGCGAGCGCACCCGCGCCCGGCGCATACAAACGCCGCCCGGCGCTCCGTGCGCGCTGCGTCCGCAGAAGAAGCACGACACCTTCGGGGCCTCGAACCTGGGCGGCGACGACGGAGACGGCGACCCCCCGGACGACGACCAGCGCCCGGGCGGCCCCAGCGGCGCGGCGGAGCAGCGCGGCAGCAGTGGGCAGGCCCCGCAGCAGCAGCGCCCGCCCTCCGCGCGCCCGACCATGGACATCGTGCTCGAGGAGAGCGGCGACATCACCTTCATGCCCACATCCGGGCCTGCGGGGCGCCAGTTCAGCCGCTCGGACTCCATGCACGTGCTCGGGCGGCCCAGGTCGTTCCAGCACCCAGCTACGCGGCGGACGGTGTCGTCGCTGTCGGGCTTCGGGGCCGGCGGGATGGGCCCGATGCGCTCCGCGAGCGCCGTCGGGGACGGTGCAGCCCAGCTGCGCGCGCGGGAGAGCTCGCGCCACCTGGCGCGCGAGGTGACGCTGTCTGGGCACCTGCGGCCGGAGGAGCAGGCCGCGGTGGACGAGGCGGCGGCGAGCGCGCAGGGCACGCAGGCGGGGAGCCGTCCGGTGTCGCGGCAGGCGTCGCTGCTGTCGCGGATCGCGTCGCTGCGGTCGATGAGGGCCTCGGAGCGGCTCGCGGGCGGGGCGAGCACGCGCAGCATGGCGCTCGGCGGGCGCGCGATGTCGCGGCAGGGGTCGATGCGGGTCTCGAGCCCGGCGGTCGTGGCGGGGGGCGAGGCGCTCGCGCAGCGCGCGATGTCCCGTCAGGCCTCGATGCTCGGCGGGGCGCAGTCCGTGCGGGTGCCGACGCGCGGGCAGCTGGACCTGGGCGGCGACGCGGAGCAGCTGGGCGCGCAGGCGAGCATGCGCGGGATGCACCCGGGGGGCATGATGTCCCGTCAGGCGTCGATGCTTGGCGGGGCGCGGTCGGTGCGGGTGCCGACGCGCGGGCAGCTGGACCTGGGCGGAGACGCGCCGCCCGTGGGCGCGCAGGCGAGCATGCGCGGGATGCACCCGGGGGGGGCCGGCCGCGCCGCGACGCGCCAGGACCTGCTGGCCCGACAGGCGACGGGCATGTCGATGCAGCCGTCCGTGATCCGACTCGGGGACGACGAGGACGTCGCCGTCGTGGACGCGCCGCTCGGCGCGCAGGCGAGCATGCGGAACGTGCTGCAGCCGGGCAGCCGCGCGGCGTCGCGGCAGGCGGTCCCGGCGGGCGCTGTGGAGCAGGGCCCCCCCGGGGCGCGGGCGAGCGTGCGGTCGATGCAACCGGGCAGCCGTGTGGCGTCGCGCGCGTCGTCGATGGTGCACCCTCGGATGACGTTGGACGTCGAGGAGGCGGAGCGCACGCAGGGAGCGCAGGCCCCGGGGGGAGTCAGCGCGCGCAGCCTGGCTCCGGGGAGCCGGATGGCGTCGCGCACGGCGTCCATGGTGCGGCCCGGGGCTTCGCTGGACGTCGGGGGGTCGGAGCACGGCGGCGAGGCCAGCGTGCGCGAGATGCAGCCGGGAAGCACCTTTGTGTCGCGGGAGGCCTCGAGGTCGTCGCAGCAGCCGTCGCGCAGGGCGGAAAGCAGCGTCGCGGGCGTCGAGGCCCTGGTGGGAGCGCAGGCGAGCATGCGCCTCGCACAGCCGGAGGGCCGCACGACGTCGCAGGCGACGATGCTGTCGCAGGCAGCGTCGATGCGGACCTCGGAGTTCGCGGTCGAGGCGGCCGAGGAAGCGGCCCGGGAGCAGTTGGCGGCGCAGGGCAGCGTGGTCCAGCCCGGCAGCCGGGCGACGTCCCGCGCGGCGTCCATGGTTCGCCCGGCCGCAACCCTCGACGTGGATGATGTTGGGGCGGTGGAGGTGCGGGGGGGAGTCAGCACGCGGAGCATGCAGCCCGGGGGGCAGCCCGTGTCGCGACAGGCGTCGGCGATGTCCGGTCGCGGGGCCATGCGCGCTGCGGCGCAGGGCGAGCCTCTGGAGGCGGCGGTGCAAGGGGCGCCCGCTGGCGACCTGCGGGGCGGGGCGTCGCGGCACGCGTCGGCGCGGTCGGTTGGGCTGCCGGCGGGAGCGAGCGGCGCGCTCGTGAGGCCGGTCGGGTCGAGTGCCGGCGGCTCCGTGAGCCTGCGTGGTGCCGAAGACTCCGCGGGGCTGCGCCAGGTGTCGCACCGCTCGCAGGTCTCCGGAGAGGCGGACGTGCCGCAGGAGCTGTCGCTGCAGGAAGTGGCCGCTGGTCGGAGCGAGCGGAGCATGCGCGGCGCCGGGGAGGAGCCGCACGTGGTGGGTGGGCCCAGCGCCATGAGCGTGGGCGGGGTGTCTGTCCAGCAGAGCTGGCGCTCCGGGCCGCCGATCGACGAGGATGCAAGCGTACCGCCCAGGCACGGCGCGCACGCGTCGCGGCAGTTCTCCAGCACCGACGTGGTGGCAGACATAGAGGAGCCAACACCCCCCGCGGGGACAGAGCCGCCGGAGGAGCACGGCACCGGGCGCTCCTCGCGCCGCTCGTCCCCGCGGCGCAAGGTCCGCCGCAACACCCGCTACACCGCGTCCGACGCGCCCTCGGACACCGACCGCTGGCTCACCAGCAGCGACACGGGCTCGGCGGGGAGCGGAGCCGGCGGGGCTGACGACGAGGTCGCGCGCCGCGACACCGACCCCGACCTGCGGCGGCCGGCCCCGCCGACCGCGGCCGAGCCGCGTCGGGTGGCTGGGCGCCCTGCGGGCACGGGGCGCCCCAGGGGGCCGGCCGCCCCGCCTGCGCTGCGCACGCGACCGGCCGACGAGACTGTGGAGATGCCGCCTCGCCCGGACAGCCGCGCGTCAGGCGCGCGTGTCCGGTGGCACGACACGGCGGGGGAGTCGGGCGACAGCGGGGGAAGGCAGCCTGCAGCAACGTGGGCAACTGCCGTGGAGCCACGGGCCGGAGGTCCGCCCGAGCCTGTCCGGGCGGCTGCACAGCCTGCGAGGTCCGCGATGCCGCGAGGCACGCGCAAGACGCGCGGGCGCGGAAGTCCGGGGCGGAGTCCGCGCGCGGCGCCGCGAGGTGCCAGGCCCGGCGTGCGCGGGCGGCCGCGCGAGGCCGCTGCGGCCGACGAGGAGCCGCTCGAGGCGCGGTGGGAGTCGGACGCGGACAGCGACGAGGAGCAGCACGTCGCGGAGGCGCCCCCGGCGCGTGCGGGCGCCGACGTGCCGCTGGCGGCGCGCGACACCACTGTGCTGGACCTGGGCCCGCGTGCCGGCGAGGATGCGGTCGCGGGGCAGGCAGCGTCGAGCATGCGGAATGTCCTGCAGCGGGGGCCCGAGGGCGGGGGTGCTCGGCCGCCGCTCGAGTCGCAGGAGACGGAGCTGATCGACTTTGGAGGGGCTGATGCCGCGCGCGCCGTTGGACACGCCGCGCCCCAGGCGGCCGCGAGCATGCGGGCAGCGGCTGGCCCGCATGTAGCGGCGCGCGCCCGCGCACCCGCGCCCGGGGCCGACGCCTCTCCTGACGAGGAGGGGTACTATTACGAGGACGCGTACGACTACGCGTACGACGACGACGCAGGGCAGGGGGAGTACTACGAGCCGGGCTACGGCGGCGCGTGGGAGGGCATGGACGCGTACGCCCCTGCGGACGTCGCGTACGACGACGCGTACGCCCCGGACGCCCCGTTGACGATGGAGGATGTGGCCGAGTTGGTGACGGAGACGGCGGAGGACCTGCGGCTGCAGCAGGAGGAGCTGCAGGAGGTGCTCGAGACGGTGGCGGTGCTGGAGGACGGGCGCGAGGCGGACCGCGCGGAGCTGGAGCGCGAGCGGCGGCGCGCGGCGGTGATGCGGGAGATCGTCAAGGAGCAGCAGGCGCTGCTGCTGGAGACGTCGCCGATGTTCCTGGCCGCGGTGGTGGCCGGGAGCGGGCCGCCCGGCGCGGCGGGGGGCGCGGCGGGGTCGTCGGCGGCGGAGGGCGTGATCGCGGCGCGGCTGGCAATGCTGGGCGACGACCTCGCGCAGCCGTTCGTGCCGCCCAGGGGAGACGCGGGGAAGAGCGAGGCGATGGAGCAGGTGCGTGGTGTCGCTGCGTGCGGAGCATATTGGTCGTGGCGCGCGGGGCCGTGCGGGCGTTGCTCTGCGTTGCTCAGTGGTGGTTGTTGTTCCCGTTGTGCGTTGCAGTTGGCGGAGCTGGCCGGTTCGCTGCGCAAGGAGATGACCGTGAAGGAGCAGGAGCTCGAGGAGGCCAAGTCGGCGGCGCGCACGCTCTCCCGCGAGGTGGACACGCTCCGGAGCCACCTGGACGCGTGCCTGGCTGGGAGCGGCGACGAGGGCGACGCGCTGCGCCAGGAGGTTGGGACGCTGCGCGCGGTCGTGGAGAAGCTGCGCGACCGCGTCGGCGCTGCGGAGAAGCGCGAGGACGACGCTCGGAAGGAGCTGAAGCGCGTGCAGGTGGTGCATGCCGACGCGCTGGCGCAGCTGGCGCAGTGGAACGCGACGGCGGCGCTGCTGGAGGCCAAGGTTGCGGACGCGGTGCCGCGCGCTCTGGCGGCCGCGTCCGGCGAAGGCACGTCGGAGGACGAGAGCAGCCTTTCGCCCGCCAGCCAGTATCAGTAGCAGTAGTTGCCGCGAATAGCCTGCACGGCGGGGACGCACGAATCACAGCGGAGCTGTAACGCTCCGTCACGGCGGCCGGACGCACCGCCCCGTCGCCACGTCCACCGCGCCGAGCAGCGGCTGTGCTGCATGCTGCAGCTCCACCAACACCCCCCCCCCTGACGGATGTATCGCCAAGGGCCGCACCTCGCGCGCCTCATCCACGCCCGGCCCGTGAAGCGCGCGCTCCTCGCCGAACGCCAGCTCCGTGCCCCACGCCCCGCTCTCCCGCGCCACGGCCAGCAGCGGCCCTCGCGCGCCCATCCGCACTCCCACGACCGCGAAGCTGAAGTCACGGGCTTCCGCCGCGCCCCCCGGAACCAAGAACAGCCTCGTGTCGTCGCGGTCGCACGCGCTCACGTCGACGCCGCGTCTCCGCACGACCGTCCCGCCCGACAAATCTATTTCTACTAGCTCGAGACCCCCCCCCGGTGCACACAGCAGGCCGAGGCGGTCGCGCGCCACGGACATGCACAGCACCACCAGCGGCACCCCCAGCGCGCGCCACGCCGCCGCGTCCGCCGAGGCCCCCTCGGCGCGCGCGCGCACCCACACCACCCCCTCCTGAGTCAGGACCACGTGCGCCGGGCCGATGGCTGCGCGCACGCGCGTCCAAAGGTCGTGCTGCGTGAGATCCTTCGCGTCGCAGCCCGCGAGGCGAGCGGCCGTCCGCACCTCGACGCACCCCGAGGCAGACAGGCAGCAGCGTGCGTCGCCCGCAGAGAGCGCCCGCCCGAGCGCGTCGGGCAGGGGCACCGCGACACCCTCGTTCCACGCCTTGTGCAGCAGGGACTGGAGGAGCGTGAGCACGTCCTCGACGGGCGACCTGTCGCCGTCCTGCGCGCGTGGCTGGTAGGGGGGGGTGTCGAGCCACTGACACCACAGGTGCACGCGGTGGCGCGCAAGGGACGCAGGGAACGCCGCGGGGGGTTCCTCGAGGCGCCGCTGAAGCAGAACCATGCCGGAGATCGACCTGTCGAGCGGCAGCTCCTGCAGCGATCGCGGAGGACGGACAGGGAGCCCGGCGTGAGCGGAGAATATCGAAACACGAGTGCGGATTACTACTCAGCGGATAGCTGTCGCGCCGCGCGGGACGCACCTGGACTGGTTCAGCGAGCGGCTCCGCGACGACCTCGATGCCGTCCTCCCCGACGGTGAGCATGCTCAGGTGCGTGGCCTGCAGGCACGTCGCCACCCCCGTCACCAGCCGCTGCGCCCACATCCGCTCCCCGACGCGCTCCGCGCCGTGCGCGAGGCTCAGGGCGGTGTGCAGCGGGGAGCTGAACACCGCCTCCTGGTCGTGCGCCGGCCCGGGCAGCCCGAGCGGCCACTTGGAGCACACCTCCAGCATGTCCAGCTGACGCAGCCCCGGACGCCCCCCGGCGGTCGCCGCGGCGCAGGAGAACAGGTCCTCCCAGCTCGACGATAGTCCGCGCAGCGTCGCGAGCGCACCGGTCTGCGCCGGCGCCACCTCGTACGCCTCGAGCGGCCCCCCGTAGCGCGACGCGAGCAGCACGGGGCGCGCTCCGCAGCCCGGGGCGGGCGCGGCGCCCCATGCCACGCTCGTGGACGCGCCGAGGTCCTCCATTAATCCGCTGCACTGCTCGCACAGGCTGCTCTTCTTCACGACCGTCCCGAACACCGCCTTGTGGCGCTGCGCGTCCCACCCGCCGCCTGACGTGGCAGCATGGCGTGGCTGCGCCGGGGGCTCCACGGGCCGGCCGGACGCGAGCAGATCCGTCGCTTCCGGCGTGAGCCGCGCCACGCAGGGCCACTGGAGGTCCGGACACAGGGCGTCGCCTGCAGGGGCGCGGCGGAGTGACGGCGGCGTGTGCGGGGCGTCGTCGCGGCACGGCTGCACGAACGCGTTCGGCTCTCGGGACCGCGCGCCGCACCTGAGAGAGTCTCTCGCGCCCAGTTGATGCCCTGCAGGCGCCGCCAGCCCTCCGATGGGTCCCGCAACACGCCCTCCGCCCACCAGTGGCACCCCTGCTCCGCCCCGCCTCCGCCAGCGATGGACGTCGCCGCGAGCCTGTCCGCCACGTCCCCGCCGTCGGCGCCCGCGTCCAGCCGCCGCACGTACACGCGGCCGCCCCGCACCGCCCCACACGCGTCTGCGTCGGCGCCCCTGGCAAACAGGCGCACCGTGCCCTGCCACGACGCGACCGCGATCCAGCGCTCGTCGGGCGAGAAGCTCAGGTCCACGACGCGCATCATCGCGCGCGCGGTATCCATGTCGTGCACGTCGCTGTACACCAGACGCCACTCCTTCACCGTCCACGTCGCACCACCACGCGCCTCGCTCGCGGCCGTGTCCCACACCTCGACGGCCCCCTCGATGCCGGCGACGGCCAGGAGCCCCCCCGTCGGACTGAACGCCGCGGCGGAGCAGGCGGACCCTGCCAGCAACACCCCCCCCAAGTGGTACGGCAACCATCTTGCGTCGTGCGCGTCGGACGGGGCCGAGCGCACCTCGGACGCGTGCGAGAGCGCGGTCGTGAGGCAGAAGGTGCCGGCCGCGCCCGTCACGGCGACGAGCAGGGCGTGCGCGGGGTCGCGGAGGGTGCGGAGTGCGGCGCTGGTTGCGTAAAAGGGCACCGACAGGGCCCCGACCGGACGCAGCTGACCGCCCCGGACGACGAAGATCTCCACGTGCGCAGCGTGGCACACCGCGAGGTACCGGCCGCACGGCGACCACGCGACCGACGCGGGGTGCCGCACCGCTGCGTTGCGCGGCGCGCTGCACGGCAGCGTGAGGGTCTGGAGGAGCCGCACGTGCTGGTACGTCTGGCCGACCTGGTAGATGAGTAGCTCCTGCGATCGGAACGCCGCGCGCGGGACAGAGTGAGGCCGTCGGGCGTGCGTGCGCGGCGCCTCCGTCTGTCCCCGCTTGCTCTGAGCCCCGCTCGATATTCGCGGGCCGGTGCCGCGCAACACACCCAAACAACGACACAGGATGCATGCCACCGTGCTGCCCGCTCTGTCCACCAGCGCAGCCGCGCCTCCTCCGCGTCGCCCGCGCACCTGCGCCCCCTGCAGCACCGCCAGCCAGTTGCTACACGGCCGACCGGCGACGTGCCTCCCGATCCCCGCGGGCCGCATGTCACCCCATGACGCCCGGCTCCGCAGTCAGTCCCCCATCCCCTCGCGCCGCGACCGGCCCCCGCGGGCGCTCCCACGCGCCGGCGCGCACGTCTCCTACGCGCGCCCGCCAATGGGTGTGTGCTGCGGCGGGGCGCGCAATACAGGCCGAACGGCGGCGAGGACGAGGTGCTCGGTGAGCCGAGTGTGACCGCGTGGCGCCCGCGCGGCCCGCTGCGGGCGAGCGCGCGCGCGGGCGGCGTGGGCCCCCACGTACCCCTCTGGTGGCCCGACTGCCGGGCGCGTCGCGACGCGGGCGGGCTCACGGGCGTGGGCCGGCGGAGGGCGCCGGCATAGTTAGGAAACGGCGCTCTGCGACGGGAAGCGGGCGCGATTCCACGCGCGTCGAAGGGGAGCGCGCGGGAGAGAGTTTTCTCGACGTGCTGTTGCGGCCGGACGCTGCGCGAGGGGGGCGTGCGGCCGCGTGGGTCCTGGAAACGAGGTGCGCGTGCACGTTATTGGCGGCGAGGCCGCGTGTCGGGCCTCGACGAGGAGGCGGAAGCGCGTTTTTCCGCATGTTGCTTCGCCCTTGCATCCGCACCTCGAGCCGCGAGGGCGCGGGGGTCTTCGCGCCGCGCCCGCGTCTTGATCCAGCGGCACGTCCCGCCGTGCGTCAGCGGGTGCGGCGCCGGGGGCACTCCGAGGTTTCTGGCCGCGCCACGCGCGCCACGCACAGCCCACGCAACGCATGCGTCCCGGCCCCTCCGCCTCGGCAGGGCTGCTGCGCCCGGATTCAGCAGCGCCGGCCTCCGGGTACCTCCCGTGCTGTGACGCCCGTGCACCCCACGGCCGCAATGGAGCCTACACCCGCGCGCATGCGTTGCAGGAGCAAGTGCCGGTGCCTTCCGCGCGCTGTGCCTGTCTGGTCGCGAGGTCAGGGGCGCGCCGACCGCGGCACACCGGGACAAGGCGTCGAGGGGAGGGCGCAGGGCACACACCATCGCGCGAGGCGCCCGGACGGTTGCAGGAGGGCTGAGCCATGCAGTCCACGCTGTTGCGGGAGACGGGCCACGTCACCCTCGAGTGGCTGATGCGCATGGAGCGCCTGCGGGAGGACGCCAGAAACAACCAGGGTCCCAAGGCGAGCCTCGCCTGCGCAGCGCCTCCCGCGCCCGTCCCCCAGCCGGCTTCCAAGCACGCGCGCCCCCTCGCGGCCGAGCGCGAGCGGCTGGCGCCCCGCCCGCTGCCCCAGCCGACGCGGCCCGCCCTCGGCCACGCTGCGCGCAGGTCGGCATCCGCGACCTCATGGAGAAGTGCCACAACCCGGAGGTGACGGTGGCGCAGCTGCGCCCCACCAGCCCCGCGTCCGTTGAGGCCTTCTGCCGCCTCGGCGTCGACCCCGCGGAGCTCCTGGTGCGGCCCGCGCGGTTCAAGGACGACGACCACGTCGCGAAGGTGCGTTATCACGCCGGAGAGCCCCGAACCCGCGCCCCCCGTGTGCCCGGGCGCCCCGGCGTTGACTCGCTGCGACGCCGCCCCGCGCCGGGTCCCCGCAGGCCAAGCACGCGCGCCTGATCAAGCGGCGCGACGAGCTCCTGAACCGCCTCGAGGCCGAGCGCGACGCGATCGCCCAGGGCGACGACGCGCGCAAAGTGCGCGGGCAAGCGGCGCGGGCTCTCGGGGCGGTCAAGCAGCAGGCGCAGCACGAGCGGCTCATGCAGGCGCAGCAGCGCGTCGAGGTGCGCACGCCCGCGCGGACCGCGGCCCCCGCCCGCCGCGAGCCGCCCCCCGCCGCGCCTGCCTCGTCCACCCGCCGCGCACGCATGACGACCCGCCGGGGCTGCGTTGCGGCGCGCAGGAGATGTCGATCGACCGGCTGGTGAACGGGGAGCTGATCCGGGAGAAGAAGAACCGGCGCGTGAACGAGCGGAGCATGAAGGTCACGCAGCGGCTGGAGCAGCGCACCCAGGGGCTGTCGTCGATGACCACAGAGGCCATCGACATCCACCAGGACCGCGCGAAGGGGCACGACTACGTGATGGAGACGCAGAACGAGGCGTCGTGGGCGCTGACGATGGAGCGCGACGAGGCGGCGCAGCGGCGGAAGGCGGCGGCGGAGGCGGCGCGGCGCGACGACGCGAAGCAGCGGCAGCACGCGTGGCAGCTGGCGCGGCAGCGGGCGGCGGCGCTGAAGGCGAGCGAGGCGGAGCGGCGGCGGCTGGAGATGGAGGAGCGGCGGCTGGAGATGGAGGAGCGGGAGCGGGAGCGGCGGCGGGAGGCGCAGCTGATGGCCAGGGAGCGGCGGGAGGCGGGGCTGCGGCGGCAGGAGCAGGCGCGCGGGGCGCGGGAGCGCGCGGAGGCGGAGGAGGAGGCGTGGCGCGCGGAGATGGAGGCGCGGATAGGCGCGGAGCGGCCGGCGAGCGCGCGGACGGCGCGGTCGCACTCGCTGGGCGGCGGGCGGAGCGCGGCGAGCGTGGCGAGCACGCGGCGCGAGGACGGGAAGCCCGCGCGGTGGGAGGAGGTCGAGGAGTACGAGGCGGAGCGCCGGGCGCGGATCCTGCGCGAGCACGAGCGCAAGAAGCGGCAGGTGGAGGAGAAGAAGCGGATGGCGCACCTGGACCTGGAGAAGCGGCAGGTCGAGCGGGTGCTGCGCGCGGAGGACAACGCGATGCGGCGGGAGGCGGAGGGGCGGCGGCGCGCGTACGAGCGCGAGCGGCTGGGCGAGCGGCTGGACAAGGAGATGGAGGCGTGGTGGCGGGACCAGGACCGGTGGAGGGGCGCGCTGCAGGACCGGCGCGACGGGGCGATCAAGAGCGCGCAGGAGCGGTGGCAGGACAAGTTCAACAAGCAGGGGCAGCGGCAGAGCATCATGTTTGCCGCCAACAACCTCCAGCGCGCCGGCGTGCGCGCGGGCGCGCGCGCCATGCACAACGAGCTCGACGAAGACACGTTCCGAAGCAGCATCGCCGCGGCGAAGAACAAGGCCCACTGACGCTCGGCCGTGTAACGCGCCAACCACCACCGACGCACGCAACCACTCTTTGTGTCAGCGCGGGACCAGGCAGTCTCGTCTTGCGTCACACGGGCGCGGGAGCGGTTCGTCCGCGGCTACTGCGTGTCCATGGCCTCCCCGTCGTCGGCGTCCTGCACCTCGTTGAACATGTACTGGCTGGCGTACTCGGTCAGGAACTGCGCCGACCGCTTCACGTCGACGAACTGCGTGTACACCTTGCTGATGTCCTCGATCTCCACCTCCGTGCCCTTGCGCTTCTGGCACACGATCGACGACGCCGTGATGAGCTGGATGGCGTACCGCAGGCTCGTCTCGTGCCCGATCTTGGTCAGCAGGTCCTTGGCGTCGTCGCTCATCTCCACGTCCTCCTCCTCGCACCGGATGTCGAGGATCTGCCGGATCTCGTTCTCGCTGTACGGCGTCGTCGAGATGATCAGCAGGCGGTCCAGCAGGTCGATGGGGATGCCGTGCGGCGACCGGTAGTTGGTCCCGCGGATGCGCGTGATGCCGCGGTTGGTGGCCACGACCAGGATCGGCGCCATGTCGCTCTCGAGCGCGCGGTTCAGGAACGAGAAGCACTCGATGTCGAGCATGTGCACCTCGTCGATGAAGAGCACGCCCGGGACGATCTCCGCCTTGCCCTCCTCGCGCCACTCGGCGACCTTGGCGTCGATCTGCTCGCGCACCTCCGCGCGGATCTCGCCCGTGTCCCCGCTGAACAGCGCGAGGAACCCCTGCGCGCGCGAGTTGATGACGTCGATCTCGTGCAGCGTCACCACGTGCACCACCTCCTTGCGCTTCTGGAGCTCGCCCTCGGGGCACTGCACGAAGCGCTGCTGCGGGCCCATCGCGTCGAAGTCGTGCGCGCGCGCGAACGACCGCCCGAGCCGGTTGATCCGCCCGCTGGCCTTGTCGATGGTGATGATGTCCCCCGCGGTGACCTTCTGCCCCTGCAGCGCCTCGATCATCTTCTGCCCGAGGTCGTACACCGTCTCCATCTCCGTCGTCTTCAGCGTCAGCTTCCCGCTCTTCGCCGCCTGCCCCGCCGGCGCCTGGTCCACCTCCACCTCCACCACCTCGCCCTCAATGATCTCCGTCTCCTCCTTGATCCGCACCCCGATCGCCTTGCGGAACGCCTGCGTCAGCGCCTCCGTCTTCGACATCTCCATCGAGTAGATCTCCGACGCTGCACGCACGCACGCACGGCGACGCAGGCCACAGCGTGAGCGCGTCAGGCAGGCACCGGCGCCGGTCAGGGCGCGGGGCGTGCGGGCGGCGGGGGGCGGGCGCGCGCGCGGCAGGTGCTGCCTCTGTGGGGCGCACCGGTGGACATGGCGAACGGCGTCTCCTCCCCCAGGGCCTTGGCCATGCCCATCGCAATGGCCGTCTTGCCGGTGCCGGGCTGGCCGGCGAGCAGGACCGCGCGCCCCGCGATCTTGCCGTCCCGAATCATCTGGAGGATGATGCCCGCCGCCTGCGGAGCGCGAAGCGCGGGGCGGCGCGGGTGGGCGCTGCAACACGCAGCCAGCGGGGCCGCACGCGGCGCCGCGGACGGGCCGCGACCGCCGCGGATCGAGCAGACCGCGGAGCACATGCGGCGGGATGCAGAGCGCATTGGGTCTGCGTCTATCGCGGCCCGCGGGACCCAAACGGCCGTCCAGCGCAGGTCCCGCAGTGGAGGGAATCACGCGCAGGGGCGCGCGGGCGCGGCCGACGCGAGCGGGCGCCGGGAGACCAGGGCTTGGCCGTGCGGCGCAGCGCGGGCCGCCGCGCCGGGGCGCGTCCCGGTGTTCGGCGCGCCCCGCTCGCCGGGCCCAGATCTGGAGCGGGAGGCCGCGGGCCCGTGCAGGTCGCCGGGGGGCTCTGCGGGCGCTCCCTCGCGGCCGCGGCACGCAGGACGCCGCACGCATCCACCGCGGCGCGGCGCCGCCCCCGCGGGCCCGCTCGGCCGCGCGCGCGAGGCACGCCCGCTGGACGGCAGCGCTGCGGCCGCCGCGCGCACCCGCGCGCGTCGCTATTTCAGCGGCCCTACAGCGGCCGACGCGCCCCGACAGCGCGAGGAACCCTCGGGGCGCGCGGAGCAGGCAGGAGGGAGCGAGCGGCGCGCACCTTGCGTGCTTGGACCTGGCCCACCATGCCCTGCGACACCTTGCGCGCCTCGAGGACGTCATCGAGTCCGAGGCCGCGGATATGCGAGTGGGCCCCGATACGCTCGATGCGCGTGAGATCCTTGATCTCTGCCGCGACCTTCACGTCGTTCGCGGCCATCCTGCCCGCCTCTTCAAGCGCGCACCTCCAGCGCTGCCGTCCGCGGCGACCCTGGGCTATCAAAGAGCTGCTGGGACGTCGTTCTCGAGACCTGGGACCGGGGACTCCTTCGCCGCGCCGCTGCAAGCTCGCCGTTTTCCCGCGCGGCGCCGTGCGCGGCCCCCAAGAGGCCCTGCGGCACCTGAGCAAGGCCGCGGGACCTCTCCGCGCGGCGCGGGGGACGAGGGGGCGCCGCGCGCCGGCCCGCGCGCACTGCGGCGGACGCGGGCAACGCAATCCGGACGGTCTCCAACCTCGGCGGCGTCCGACGGAGCGTTCCAGCGCGTGCACGTTCTGGCAGGTGGTGCGCAGCAGCGACTGGCTGTGGCGGGGCCCGGGAGCGGGGCGTTCCTTCGCGGTCGCGGGGGCGGCGGATAGGTAGGGAAGCGGGCGAGCGATGGCGAGCTTGAAGATCCTGGTGGTGGGCCCGGAGCGCGTCGGAAAGACGTGCTTGTGTCAAATGCTGGCCGAGCAGCCGCAGACGCTGCCGGGCTACAACGCGACCAAGGGCGTCAGGTGCGGACCCTACGCATGTGGGCCGCGCGCCCGCGTCCGCTCCGGCCCCGGCCAAGACGCGTCGGCGACGAGCGGGCGCTGCACACTGCACGGACAACATTTCGGGCCCGCCCACGAACAACCCTGCGCGGCATTCGACCGCGAGCGGCCAGATTCCACCCGTTCGCGACTCAGACTCCGCGTCACGGCGCGACACCGCGCGAACCACCCCACCCACGCGCTGTGCGACGCACGCCCTCCACTGCCTTGGCAGCCCTCACCCACGCACTCTCGACCCGGCAGCCTCCCGGGCGCGCCCGGACTCTGCCTGAGCGCCCCGCGCCCCCCGCCGCGCTCGCAGGGTGCAAGAGATCGAGCGGCGGCTGGAGGGGCGCAACGTCAACGTGCAGCTGTGGGACGTGGCGGGGAGCGCGCAGCCGTTCTGGGCGGTGCTCGGGAGGGACATCGACGGTATCCTGCTGTGCCACGACCCCCGGGTGAGCCCCCGCGCCCACCGAACCCCCCCCCTGACGCCGTTGCGTTCGCCTCGCCCCCACGCAGCGCCCGTGCCGCGCCCGACGCGGAGCCAGCGCCCCTCGCATGACGCCCGCGCGCGTGCCGCGTCGCTGCGTGCAGGACGCGTCCGGGGAGGCGGCGCTGGAGAAGCTGTACACGCAGCTGGCGCAACCGGCGAAGCTGGCCATGAGTCAGTGCATGACGCTGGCGCTGGACTTCGAGGGCGGCACGGACAGCAACGGGCTCACGCGCAAGCTGAAGAAGCTCCAGGGCGCGGTGCTGGACCTGTCGCCCGCGAAGGCGCGCATGTCGCTGCAGCGGTTGTTGCCTGCGCTGGACAAGATGTTCGCGGCGTGCGCGGCGAAGCAGGCGAAGAAGGCGCAGGCGAACGAGGCCGCGCCGGGGGTGCAGGACGACGAGGACGAGGTCGCGGAGGTCGCGTGACGCGCGCCGACAGCGCGTGCTGGGTGGGCAACAGGCGCCGCGCGATGTGACCGGGGCGCAGAGCGGGAACCGATCGCGCACCAGAGCAGCTTGAACGTCGCAGCAGGCGATTCCTCACATGCTCTTCCGCGGGCGGCGTCGCGGTGGGTTGTCCCAGACGGGGTTGCGTCAGACTCAGGGCAGCCGCGCTTAACACATGCTCGGAGGCGCGCTTGCACCCACGCGCACGCCGGGTTGAGCGCATCGCACATGGCGCGCGCCCGCTGCTGCCGGCGGTCGCGTCAGCTGGCGTCGGCACAGGCGAACGGTGCTGAGGGGACTCGGTGGTCATGCCCGTTCTGTTCCCGCTGGGCCATCGCGAACCGCTGTGCATGCAGCGCCTAGATGCGCAACCATCGCCCGCAAGCGGCCTGCGAGGCGTCCGCCGTTGCGTCCCTGGAGACCCCCGCCAGCACAGGGCGACCTCCCGGACCAGCAGCGCCGCCGCGCGACACCGACTTCCGCCCGAGGACCGGACCGTGTCCTGGTTTCCACGTCACAGCCCAAGGCCCTACCCAGCGACCCCTCTGAGACGCCACGCATCCCTGGGCGCTCATACAACTGCCCACGCTCAAACGACTCGGACGACGCGACCTCCTCGCCTCACCAGCGCGCGGCGTCTGCGCCGCGCGCGTCACGCCCCGCCCCGCGGCAGCTCCGCCAGGTCCGCGCTCCGCAGGCGCCCCTCGGACGTCATCTCCCACGCCATGTCGACCAGCGGCGCGAGCTCCCGCAGGTCGTGGCTCACCACCAGCAGCGTGCACTGCCCCTTGAGCTTCTCCAGCAGCTCCACGAGCTCCCGCCGCACCCGCCAGTCCAGCCCCGCCAGCGGCTCGTCGAGCAGCAGCACCCCCGGCCCGCGCACCAGCTGCGCCGCGAGCGCGAGCCGCCGCTTGTACCCGTCGGACAGCGAGTGCGTCGCGGTCTCGAACCCCACGTGCCCGAGGCCCGTCGCCTCGCACACCTGCTGCACGCGGTCGACCAGCGCCTGGCGCTCAAACGGCGACATGGAGCGCAGCGGGGCGCCGTAGACGAGCTCCTGGAGGAGCGTGCGGCCGAGGAAGTGCCGCTCGGGGAACTGGAAGACGAGCCCCACGCCCGCGCCGCGCTCGGCGCCCGTCAGGCCGGGCGTCGGGGGGGGGGTGTTGTAGTAGGGGTGGATGTGAATGTCCCCCCCCGTGGGCTCCGCGAGGCCCGCGATGATCTGCAACAGCGTCGACTTGCCCGCGCCGCTGCGCCCGAAGATCAGGCCCATCTGCCCGGGCGGCACGGCGAGGCTGACGTCGGTCAGGAGGGGGGTCGGGGACGACGCCGGGTGGAAGTCCACGCCGCACACGTGCAGCCAGGGCGCGGGGTCCGGCTCCTGCACGCGCTGCTGCTGCTCCAGCAGCGCCTGGAACCCCTTGTACACGTCCTGCAGGGCCCGCGCGGCGTCGCTGTCCGGCTGCGCCCGCAAACGCCAGCGCCGCCCGGCTGGCCGCGCCCCCCGGCGACACGCGGCGCCCCGGGGAAGCGCGCGCGGCGTCGCTGCGGGGCAGGGGCGGGTCGGCATGTTGGCGGCCGCGCTACAGGTCGATGTCGATGTCGTCGAGGTTGACGTCGTCTCCCAGGTCTAGTGCTGCCGGGGCGGTGCTCTGCGCGGGCGGCGCCGCGTCGGCGTCGTCGTCGTTGCTGCGCTGGTGACGGCCTTTCGATCGCTTCGCTGCCCTGTCCGCCAGCAGCTCCTCCATGAGCGCCTGCAGAGGAGAGGAGCACAGGGTCGGTGTGCGCGCGAAGCATGCGCCGCGACCCCCGTGATGAACGGTATCACGGATACACCGAGCGTTTCTGTCGTCGGTTCGCGGACGGCGTGCGTGTGTGTCGGCTGCCTCACCTGCGTGCCCTTGCCTTTCGCCTGCGACGTCGCGAGGTACGCCAGGTTCCCCTCCAGCGCCCTGCGTTTCGACAGCTTGGGGTCCTGTTGAACGGCCTCTTCGAGCTGCTTCTTGATTCGCCTGTTCTTGCGCTCGTTGGACCTCCGTGACGCCTTCTCAGGCTCCTGCGGCTCCCGCACGCACGGGCGCGCCAATGTGGGCGATAATCGGTGGCGCTACATGACGCTACCGTATATCCCGTCTGAAATCGCGCACAGTCAGGCGCGCGGGCCCGCTGCTCGTCGCCAGGGTGCACAGACACTGCAGGCTCGCGCGGCTGCTCGTCCCGCCCCGGGGCGCTCACGGCGCCGACGCCCACCTGCTTCGTCGCTCTCAGAAACGCTTTGAGCTGCTGCTTCGCGACGCGCGAGCTCATGTCAGAACGACCCAACCAGCGCAGCCACCGCGCGCGTGACCCTCCACGGCAACCAGCTGCGGCCGCTCCAATGCAACCAAGTCCAGCGCACACACCCACCCACTGCTCCACTAGCGAGCACGCACTGCCCTCGTTCAGCCCCCCGCAGCGCCCATCCGCCCCCGCGGCAGCCAACAACACAACACACCCCCCCAAGCGATCGACACACGTCACACCGCATGCCCGCTCACTGCTTGGGCACGCCGTCGAACCGCAGCGCGGGCGTCCCGGGCTCGGCCTCCGCCGCGTCCGCGCCGGCGTCCACCACCGCGATGTCCTCGAGCCCCAGCGCCTGCAGCAGAAACACCCTGTTGTCCTCGATGGCCTGCCGCTCGCTGTACGGCGTGCGCAGGTCCAGCGCGACGCGCCCCCCCGCGGCCGCCGCGGCCATCTTGAACTTCGCGAACGGCATCACCGTCTTCATCACCATCTTGTCGTTCTTTCCCTCGAACTCGGCCTCCCCCGCGGCCTTGACCGCCTCCAGCGCGCGCTGCTCGACGCCGTCCGCGAAGCGGCCCTTCTCGAAGCCCGCCGCGAGCGCGCCGAGCGCGGCCGCGCGCCACCCGGTGTACTCGGCGGCCACGTGCACCGTGCACGTCTTGGCGACCATCGGCACCGGCGGCGGGGCGCCCTTGATCTTCTTGGGGTTCTCGTGCCGCCGGATGGCGCTGCGGGCGTTCACGACGAGCTTCTCGATGTACTCGCCCGCCATGAGCACGCTCACGTCGGGCTCCGGCAGCGCGGGCCACCCCGCGGTGAGCACGGAGCCCTGGCGGCCGAGGACCTTGCCCCACACGTGCTCCATCGTGTGCGGGGCGATGGGCGCGAGGAGGCGCGCCTGGACCTCGACGAAGCGCTCGACGAGGTCGCGCCGCATCGGCTCCGTCGCGCACGCCTGCCGGTACTTGTCGCGCGCGCTCACCAGGTCGTAGAAGCCCACGCGCAGCGCCGTCTTGAAGTTCATGCCCTCGAAGGCCTCGCGCGCGCCCGCGGCGGCCTGGTTGATCGACTGCTCGAAGATGCGGTCCGCGAAGGTCCAGGGCGCGTCCGGCGCGCGGAGGTCCCCCGCGAGCGTCTCCTCGTACCACGTCAGCTCCTTGGTCAGGCGCAGGATCGCCGCGTTGGCCACGGCCTCCTCGAAGTTCGCGTCGTCGACGCCGTCGCCCGCGTCCGCGAGCGCGATGCGCATGGCGTCCGCGGAGTACTCCTTGATCGCCTGGTGGAGCGTCATGAAGTTGCCCGTCGACTTGGACATCTTCTCGCTGTTGAGCAGGAGGTGGCCGTTGCAGCGGTACGCGCGCGGCCACTTGTCGCGCTGGAAGAACGCCACGTGGTTGTACAGCGCGAACGTCAGGTGGTTCCCGATCAGGTCCTTCCCGGACACCCGCAGGTCGAAGGGGTACCAAAAGTTGAACTCGCGCTTCATGGCCGCCAGCGCGTCCGCGGGCACCGCGCAGTCCGCGGGCGCCGGGCCGTCGCCGAGGACGTGGTCCCACACCTCGTCCGTCAGCGCCTCGGGCGCGCACGCCCCGGGGGTCTTGCCGTACATGTCGCCCTCCCCCTGGAGGATGTGCGCGACGGTGTAGAACGCCATGTAGATCGTCGAGTCGGACAGCGACTCGATGAGGTACTCCGGGTCCCACGGGAGCCGCGTGCCCAGCCCGAACGACCGGCTGCACGCCCACTGCTGCAGCCACCCCAGCGTGTGCTCAAACATGTTGCGCGTCTCGTCCGCGTACAGCTCCATGCCCGCGAGCGCGCCCTCCGCGAGCGCGCGCCACTCCTCCTCGCCGTACGTCACGTACCACTGGTCCGTCAGCGCCACCACGCAGTCGTCGCCCGACCGCGACACCACGGGCTTCTCCGGCTCCGAGTACATCACCGCCTGGTTCGCCGCGAGCATCTCGTCGCGGATGACGGTCTTCACCTCGTTCACCTTGCGGCCCTTGTACGCGCCGACCGTCATCACGCCGTCCGTGAACCCCTTCAGGTACACCATCCCCTTGGCCTCCGTCAGCTTCGCCGTGTCGTTCTGGCTCGCGATCTTCAGGTCCGTGCACACCTTGACCGCCGCCAGGTCGCCGAAGCCCGGGATGTCGATGATCGGGATCGGCTCGTACGGCAGGACCCACTCCTCCGCGATGCCAAACTTCTCGCGCAGCTTGGGCTTCTCCTTCAGGTCCATCAGCGCGCGGTAGTCGTCGGGCGCGTCCGACGGCACGCTCGTCACCACGCCCGTGCCCTTCGACATGGAGATCGTCAGGAGCGGGAGGCAGTAGAGCTTCTCGACCGTGCAGTTGGGCGCCGTCAGCGCCACGCCAAACAGGTCCGTCCCGCGGAAGTGCCGCAGCACGTGGTACTCCCCGAACTCCCCCCCGAGCTTGTCCTGGTACGCCAGGTTCCGGGCCGCGCGCTCGCACATCACCCACGCCTCGCCGCCGGGCGCCCTCACCGCCACGTAGTCCCCGTCGGGCAGGACCCAGCAGTTGGTCTGCCCGTACATGGTCTCCGGGCGCAGCGTGGCCGCCATGAGGAACACGCCCCCGGGCGCCTCCCCGCCCGCGAGGAGCTCCCCGAGCGCGCCCGGCGCGCCGTCGAGGACCTTCATCTTGATGAGGGTGTACTCCTGCGGCCCGACGCCCTCGCCCGTCGCGCGGTCGTGGTCGGCGCACGGCTGCCCGTCGAGCGGCGAGTACACCGCGAGGCGCTTGTCCTTGACCACGCGGCCCTGCTTGCGCAGCGTGTTGAACTGCCACCGCACGAACGAGTCGTAATACGGCTGCACGTCCGTGGTGATGAACGACCGCCGCCAGTCGATCCCGCACCCCATCAGCGACATGTCGCGCTTCGCCAGCGGCGGGAAGAACTCCAGCCAGTGGTTCGGGTCCGCGAACGCCCCGATCTCCTCGTCCGCGAGACCCATCGACCGCATGATGCCCCACTGCGTCGTCGACGTCCCGGCCTTGGCCGCCGCCTGCGCGACGCAGGCGCGCGCAGCGGGTCGGTCACGCGGCGCGCGCGGAAACCGCGGCGGGGCTGCGCGTGCGCGGGGGCGCTGCGGCGCACCTTGGATTTCTTCCCGACGAACTTCGTGGGGTCCGCGGGCCCGGCATCGGCGCCGGCGGGCTCGGCGGGCGGCGCAGGGGCGCTGGCGTCCGGGAACTGGGGCGGGTTGCCGTACTTGGCGATCTCGTTCTTCAGCTTGTCGGCGCAGGCCTTGATCGGCATGCCGGTGCAGTGGAACGCCTGCGCGGGCGGGCGCGGGTGCGGGTGAGCGCCGCGGGGGCGCGGCGCGGTGCGCTGGGCCGGCTCACGCGCGCGCGCCTGGCGTGCGGCGCACCTGGGGGAAGAGGACGCGCTTGCCGCACAGGCGGTGGTACGCCGAGGCGAACTCCAGCTTCGAGAGGGAGAACGCGTGGCCGAGGTGGAGCAGCCCGTTCATGTACGGGTACGGGAAGTTCCCGTAGAACTTCCCCTCGGGCGCGTTCCCGTCCACGGGCGCGTGCGCCTCGAAGATGCGCTCCGCCTCCCACCGCTGCACGCAGGGCGCACGGGACGCGACGGGCGCGGGTTCGCGGGCGGAGCGGGGTGTGCGCGATGCGGCTGGCGGCTGGAGGGCGACGGTGACGCGAAACGGCGCACGCGGGGCGCCGCGCGGAGGGCCTGGGAGGGCCCCGGGGGCGCGCCGCCGGCAGCGCCCGGCCGCGCGTCGCGGATCGCGGCGGCGCGGTGCGCGCGGTCGTTGCCCGAGGGCGCGGGACCAGCGCCCGCGCCCGCCAGGGCCCGCGGCACCCGGGCGCCCGGGCACGGCAGCGGTGCGGTGGCGGCGTCCCCGGCGGTGGGTCATTGCGGCCGCGCACCTTCTGGGAGGCCTCCTGGATCTCGAGCAGGAGGTCCCGGCGCGCGTGCGACTGGGGCTCGGGCTTCGACATCCCGGCGGAGGCCTGCGCAGTGGCCAGGCGCGTGGCGGGGGGCAGGGCCTCGGAGCGGGGGCCGGCGCGTCTGGTTCCGCGCCTGGTTGAGCGCGACCAGCTGTAGTGGGCGCGGAGGCGCCCGTCGCGGCCGGTTCGCGCGCACCGGGCAGTCGGACTGCTGTCAGGGGGGGCCTCGGTGTGGGATCCTCCCAATCAGCTTCCAGGCCGTGCGCGCGCGTGATGGGCGCGGCGCGGGGCGCGCGAGCCGCACAAGCCCCACGACACAATCTTCGTTCGAAGTCTAGCGCGTCAGGACTTCGAGGGAAGCGCAGGTGAGGCCGCTGGCGTGGATATCTCCCGCTTCGCCCGCACCTCGGCTTCGCGCCGCGACCGGGATCGCTCCGATCGCGCCGGGCGCCGGAGTCGCCCCATCTGGAGCTCGTCTTTCGTCGCCGCGCGCCCGCACACTTCTTCACGCGCCCGGTGACGAAATCCGGAAGCCCTCGTCTCCTCGGCCACTCTCTCCGCAGGGTCGAGTTCGCAGGCCCCCCCTCCGCGCGACACACCGTCCCGCTCGGCTTCTCCCAAGTGGCGGACGGTCCTCCCGGGCGGATTCCCTCCCCCGAGCACGTCAGGAGCCAGGCCGCGCGAGAACCCTGATCATGGCGCCCACCTGCACCGGCCTCGCCGGCGCCAAGGTCCCCGTGGCCGCGGGGACCCGCCGCGCCGCGCGCACGAGGCACATCACCCGCGCCGCTAGCAACCCGCAGCCACGCAAGTCGGGCGTCGCGCGCGTCGCCACGGACAAGATGGCGGCAAGCGCGCCCGTCAAGGTCAACATCGGCGACGGACCCGGGGGTGAGCGCCCGCGCCGCCGCGCCCAGGCGGGCGCACGCACGCCACGCATGCCCCGCGCGCCGCCCCGCCGCGCCTGGCGGGCGCGCGCGCGCCGCCGCGCCCCTCGCGCCCGCCGCCGCCTACCGCCCGCCCAACATCCGGCGCTGGGCGCCTGGGCCGGGCCCGATCGCGCACACCCACACGCCGCGCGCCCGCCCTCTGCGCGTCGCACGCTCATCGCGCCGCGCGCGACGCCCCGCGGGCCCGCCTCGCGCCGTCGCGGCCGTCCCTCCCACCGCCTGCTGCCCTCGCCCACTCCCGCCCCGCGCCACCGCCCCACGCCGCGCCGCCGCGCCCCCGCTCCGCAGGCGGCGGCTTCACGACGATCGACCCCAACTCGCGCCGCATCAAGCCGGACGCGAAGGGCCGCAAGGTGATCAAGGTGACGTACACGGTGTTGGAGGCCCAGTACCAGAGCGCGCTGTCGACCGCGGTGAAGAAGATCAACGACACGAACCAGGAGGTGCGATCCCCGCGCGCCCGGATCTACCCGCGAGCGCGCAAACACACACGCATCGCGCCGCCGCGGCCCCGCCAGCCGCGGAGGCGCTCTGGGCCCACAAAAACGCATCGCTCGGCGCCCCGGCGCGCCCCCCGCGCCGCCCGCGCGTCCGCTCGGCCCGATTGGGCGCTCTCAATTCCGTCCCTCGCCCGCGGTCGTCCGCTCCCGCCGCGCGCCCGCCCGCGCACGCCCGCGCGCGGCCCCCCGGTCGATCTGCCGTTGCCCCTTTCTAGATCCAGCCGCAACCGCGCGCCCCCCGGTTCGCCCGCGCCGCAGATCTGCTTCGAGATCGTGGGCTACCTGCTCGAGGAGCTCCGCGACGACAAGAACCTGGAGATGTTCCGCGAGGACGTGGCGTCGTCCAACGTCTTCATCGGCTCGCTCATCTTCATCGAGGAGCTGGCGGAGCGCATCGTGGGCGTCGTGCAGCCGCTGCGCGAGGAGCTGGACGCGTGCCTGATCTTCCCGTCGATGCCCCAGGTGATGAAGCTGAACAAGCTCGGGTCGTTCTCCATGTCGCAGCTCGGGCAGTCGAAGAGCGCCATGAGCGACTTCATCAAGAGCGCGCGCAAGAACAACGACAACTTCGAGGAGGGCCTCCTCAAGCTCGTCCGCACGCTGCCCAAGGTCCTCAAGTTCCTCCCCTCGGACAAGGCCCAGGACGCGCGCAACTTCGTCCTCTCGCTCCAGTACTGGGTCGGCGGCGACAAGCAGAACCTCGAGAACCTCCTCCTCAACGTCGCGCAGCAGTACGTCCCCGGCTGCGAGAACGTCGGCACCGAGGGCGCCATCGCCGAGCCCGTCGAGTACCCCGAGACGGGCATCTGGCACCCGCTCGGCGGCATCTACGAGGACCTCAAGGAGTATCTCAACTGGTACGACACGCGCAAGGACATGGCGCCCGGGCCCGACGCGCCCGTCATCGGGCTCGTGCTGCAGCGCTCGCACATCGTGACCGGCGACTCGGGCCACTACGACGGCGTCGTCACCGCGCTCGAGGCGCGCGGCGTCCGCGTGATCCCCGTCTTTGCCGGCGGCCTCGACTTCTCCGTGCCCGTGAACAAGTTCTTCTACGACCCGCTCGGGTCCGGGACGACGTACGTGGACACGGTCATCTCGCTGACGGGCTTCGCGCTCGTCGGCGGGCCGGCGCGCCAGGACGCGCCCAAGGCCATCGATGCGCTCAAGAGGCTCGACGTGCCGTACCTGGTGTCGGTGCCGCTGGTGTTCCAGACGACGAACGAGTGGCAGGACTCGGACCTCGGCGTGCACCCCGTGCAGGTCGCGCTGCAGGTCGCGCTCCCGGAGCTCGACGGAGCCATTGAGCCGGTGGTGTTCGCGGGCCGCGAGCCGCAGTCGGGCAAGTCGGCCGCGCTGCCGGACCGCGTGGAGGTCGTGGTCGAGCGCGCGATCCGCTGGGCGCGCCTGCGCAAGAAGAAGAACGCCGAGAAGAAGCTCGCCATCACGGTGTTCTCCTTCCCGCCCGACAAGGGCAACGTCGGCACCGCCGCCTACCTCAACGTGTTCGGGTCGATCTTCAAGGTCCTGCAGAACCTCAAGCGCCAGGGCTACGACGTCGGGCAGCTCCCGATGACGGAGAAGGCGCTCATCGAGTCGGTCCTGCACGACCAGGAGGCCAAGTTCAACTCGGAGGAGCTCAACATCGCCTACAAGATGGAGGTCGACGAGTACCAGCGCCTCTGCCCGTACGCCGACGCGCTCGAGGAGAACTGGGGCAAGCCGCCCGGCCAGCTCAACACCAACGGGCAGCAGCTCCTCGTCTACGGCAAGCAGTTCGGCAACGTGTTCATCGGCGTGCAGCCCACGTTCGGGTACGAGGGCGACCCGATGCGCCTGCTCTTCTCGCGCTCGGCGTCGCCGCACCACGGCTTCGCGGCGTACTACACGTTCGTCGAGAAGATCTTCGGCGCCGACGCCGTGCTGCACTTCGGCACGCACGGCTCGCTCGAGTTCATGCCCGGGAAGCAGGTGGGCATGGCGGGCACGTGCTACCCGGACTCGCTCATCGGCACGCTGCCCAACCTCTACTACTACGCGGCCAACAACCCGTCGGAGGCCACGATCGCCAAGCGCCGGTCGTACGCCAACACCATTTCGTACCTGACGCCGCCGGCGGAGAATGCGGGCCTGTACAAGGGCCTCAAGGAGCTCAAGGAGCTCATCTCGAGCTACCAGGGCCTCAAGGACGGCGGCCGCGGGCCCGCCATCTGCAACTCGATCGTCGCCACGGCGCGCGAGTGCAACCTGGACCGCGACGTGAAGCTGCCCACGCTCGAGGAGGACACCAAGGACCTGACGGCGGACGAGCGCGACCTCATCGTCGGCAACGTGTACCGCAAGCTGATGGAGATCGAGTCGCGCCTGCTGCCGTGCGGCCTGCACGTGGTGGGCGTGCCGCCCACGGCGACGGAGGCGGTGGCGACGCTGGTGAACATCGCGGAGATCGACCGGCCGGAGAACAACCCGCCGCTGCTGGGCCTGCCGACGATCCTGGCGCGCGCGGCCGGGCGCGACATCGAGGAGGTTTACGCCGGCAACAACGCGGGCAACCTGGACGACGTGCAGTTCCTGCAGGACATCACCGAGACGGCGCGCGCGTGCGTGAGCAAGTTCGTCGCCGCGCGCACGGGCATCGACGGGCGCATCGGCTTCAACCTGTGGTCGGAGGTCGGCAAGTGGTTTGGTGTGTCGGAGGACCCCTGGGTGGCCGCGGTGCGCAACACCAAGTTCGCGTCGGCCGACCGCGACGAGCTGCGCAAGCTGTTCGACTTCATCGAGTTCTGCCTGACCCAGGCGGTCAAGGACAACGAGGTCGGCGCGCTGGTCGAGGCCCTCGACGGCAAGTTCACCATGCCGGGCCCCGGCGGCGACCCGATCCGCAACCCGAACGTCCTGCCGACGGGCAAGAACATCCACGCGCTCGACCCCCAGTCGATCCCGACCAGCGCCGCGCTCGCGAACGCCAAGGTCGTGGTGGACCGCCTGCTGGAGCGCCAGCGTGAGGAGAACGACGGCAAGTACCCGGAGTCGATCGCGGTGGTGCTGTGGGGCACGGACAACATCAAGACGTACGGCGAGTCGCTGGCGCAGGTGATGTGGATGGTCGGCGTGCGCCCGAAGCCGGACGCGCTGGGCCGCGTGAACAAGCTGGAGGTCATCCCGCTGGAGGAGCTCGGCCGCCCGCGCATCGACGTGGTGGTCAACTGCTCGGGCGTGTTCCGCGACCTGTTCGTCAACCAGATGGCGCTGCTCGACCGCGCGATCAAGATGGCCGCCGAGCAGGACGAGCCCCTGGAGATGAACTACGTGCGCAAGAACGCCATGGAGCAGGCCGAGCGCGACGGCATGACGCTGCGCCAGGCCGCCTCGCGCGTGTTCTCCAACGCCTCGGGCTCGTACTCGTCGAACGTCAACCTGGCCGTCGAGAACTCGTCGTGGCAGGACGAGCAGCAGCTCCAGGAGATGTACCTGTCGCGCAAGGCCTTCGCCTTCGACTCGGACCGCCCGGGCGCCGGCGGGCAGATGAACCGCGAGGTGTTCGAGTCGGCGCTGAAGAAGGTCGACGTGACGTTCCAGAACCTGGACTCGTCGGAGATTTCGCTGACGGACGTGTCGCACTACTTCGACAGCGACCCGACGAACCTGGTGCAGGGCCTGCGCGCGGACGGCAAGAAGCCCGCGTCGTTCATCGCCGACACGACGACGGCGAACGCGCAGGTGCGCTCGCTGGGCGAGACGGTCCGCCTCGACGCGCGCACCAAGCTGCTCAACCCCAAGTGGTACGAGGGCATGCTCGGCTCGGGCTACGAGGGCGTGCGCGAGATCCAGAAGCGCCTCACCAACACCATGGGCTGGTCGGCCACCTCGGGCCAGGTCGACAACTGGGTCTACGACGAGGCCAACTCCACCTTCATCGAGGACGAGGAGATGGCCAAGCGCCTGATGGACACCAACCCGGCCTCGTTCCGGAAGCTGGTGTCGACCTTCCTCGAGGCGTACGGCCGCGGGTACTGGGACGCCACCGACGAGCAGCTCGAGCGTCTCAAGCAGCTGTACATGGACACGGAGGACAAGATCGAGGGCGTCGAGTAAGCAACCGCCGCCACGCACGCGGCACGTCGGCACGTCAACGTCTCGCCAGAGAGAGCGAGCGGTTTTGAACCCTTTTTGCCCCCCAATCCACCTCCGCACCCCCCCTTCCCGCCGTACCCCTCCCCGCTGGCCTGGCCTACGCTGGCAGCACGGGGGAGCGGCAGGACCGCGCTCTGGCAGCTGCGGCCACAGTTGCCGGGGCGCGCTTGCCGTCCCCCCGTCGCCTCGCGCACCCAATTCAGATCGAACACCGCCCGCCGGTACCCCAGCGAAACTCTCCGCGCCCTAGCGGGATCCTCGTGGCTCTCATTGGCCGTCACGGCCCAGCCAGGGTACTGTAAGCAGGAACCATCCAAACAGTCTCACACAAGTCTCAAGTCTCAGTATACCTCACAGTGTCACGCCGCACCGCGGCGACGACGACGCACCCCGTGCATCGTTCTTCGGCGTCGCGCTCCGCGTCACCGCGCTACAGCGCCATGATCTCGGGCGTCGTCTCCGCGCGCATGCGCCCAAGCCGCTCCATGCGCTGCGGAGGGACCCCCTGCCCCGGCCCGCTGGTCACCTCTTCCTCGCTCCCCGCCTCCGACGGGCGCGGCTGCCTCCCGGCCGCGTCCCCGGGCGAGCTCCGCGCCGCCGTCACCGCGTCGGGCGTCCCCTCGAGCGTGTCCGCGTCCCGCAGCCCGCTGTCCGGCGAGAAGCTCGCGCTGCGGTCGGGCGACGCGGTCTCGCGCGCGTTGTACGCCGCGGCCGCGACGTCGTCCAGCGACGGCTCCTGGTAGATCGTGTCCAGCGCCGTCGCCCACCCGCCCCCGCGCCGCGACGTCGCGCCCAGCGCCGCCATCTGCGCGGCGGTGTCCCCCTCCCGCAGCGACGGCGCCGGCGAGGGCGCCTCCGCGGCCAGCGCCGCCGCGTGCTTGAACGGCGTCGGCGTGTCCCTGTCGAGCGCGAACGTGTCGATAAACTGCCCCTTCTCCAACCCCTGGATCGCGCTGCCGCAGATCGGACACGCGAACTTGTCGCGCAGGAGCTGCTCGGCGCAGTCCTGCGCGGCGGCGGGGACGCGCGCGGGGGGCGGTGAGGGCGCGGCGGCGGGCGAGGGGGCCCGTGGGCGCAGCGGCCCGCGTCGGGGGAGGAGGGGCGAGGGGCGCACCGCACACATGACGGCGTGCATGCAGGGCAGGAGCCGGCAGCCGCGGGGCTCGTCCATGCACACGACGCACTGCTTCGCCTCGTCCTCGGCGCGCGCGGCGGCCTCCATGTCGTCGAGGGCCTCGGCGGTGTGCCCCAGTGCCTTGTGGGCCTCCGCGCGGAGCGCGTAGAGGTCCCCGCACTCGTTCTCCGGCGGATTCTGCTTCAGGGCCGACGTGGTCGTCTCCACGCAGGCCTTGGCGTCCCCCACGGCGAGGAGCGCGGCCGCGCGCGCCCGCAGCGCCCCCATGTGGTCCGGCTGCACGCGCAGGACGTTCGTCACGTCCCGCAGCGCCTCGCGGTGCCGGCTGAGGCGCGAGAACGCCAGCCCGCGCTCGTACCGCGCGCGGACGTTCCCGGGGAGCACCTCGAGCGCCCGGGTGAACTCTCGAACTGCTTCAATGTACTTGTGCTGCGACAGCAGCGCGTTGCCCTGCGGTGCCGGGTGCGCGCGCGCGGAGCGTCGTCCTCGGGCGGCGAGGGTGCGGGAACCCGCGGGCGCGCGGCCCCTGCGCGCGCGGCTGCGCGGCCCGGAGCGCCTCTCTGTCGTTGTCATGCGGAGCGGGGGGCGGGGGATCCGCGGGCGCGGGCGCACCTTCAGCACGGACGCCTGCGCGCGGTGCTCTCTCCGGATCTTCTGCTGCGCGGCGTCGTCCGCGGCGCGCGCGAGGGGCCGCTCCTCGCGCGCCTCGGCGGCCCGCGTCGCTTGTCGAGCAGCGGCCTCCTCGGCCAGCGTGTCGTGCGCGTGCGCGCTCGCGCCGCAGCCCATGGCGCCGCGCGCGGGTTCTCCAGCTACCTCTGAGCCCGGCGGTGCGCCGCGGCGGTGTGTGCGGCGCTCGCTGCTACGGCGGGGGCCGCTGTCCGAGCCAGCGCCCGTCCCACGAGTAGTCCGGCGCCGGCAGCGTCTGGATGTTGAGCGACCGGATCGCCTGGACGATGAGCGGGTGCTGCGTCCTCTCGAACAGCCGCAGCGCGCGCGGGGTGAGCCTCCCCAGCTCCAGCACCCTCTGCGTGCGCGCACTGGGAGCGGGGGCAATCGGGCGCGCACGGGCGGGCGCGCGCGGGCGGCGGGCGGCGGGCGGCGCGCGATGCGCGGGGCACCGGGGCCGCACCACGAATATCGCGCAGACGATGTCCTCGGGGAGCCCCTCGAGTGATTCGCAGTCCCCAATACGGTTGGCCACCTTGTCGATGCACAGCGAGTGGAGGGACGGCGGGCCCGGAAAATGGGGCATCCACGGCGGGCTGCCGCGGAGGGGGCCGGCGCGCCTCGCCGGGCGCGCGGAAGCCGCGCGTGCGGAGCGCGGCGGGGGCGAGTGGAAACCGCCAGCGGTGAGGCCGAGAGCACGGCCCACGGAGCGACGGCTGCGCGCACAAGCTGTCCCGTGTCGAGCAGAGTGTGTGCGTGCGTCGCGCGCGCGCCCTCCCTCGAGGTGCGCGCATGCGTGCGAGCTGACGTCAGCGGAGGGGGGGGAGGCATGCCGGGCCGCCGGCGCGTCTCGCGGCCGTCCGGCTTCGTTGCCGCGCGAGGCGCGCCGCCTCGCCCTCCTCCCCCACCTCGGGCGCGAGTTCGGGTGGTACGGAGGGGCAGTAGGTGTTCCCCCGAGATGTCTACGACGACGCTTCGAACCACCTAGAGCCCGGGCACCCGCCCGCCGGCGACCACACCGCCTCCTGGACCTGACCCACTGGCGGACAAGACATTATGGAAACGAGTGGCGCACACAACGACCCTCGTACGGACCCCGCAGCGATGGCGCTCAACTGCTTGCTGGCCGCGGACGCCGTTTCGCCCCCTTGGCACAGGCTCGGTCCCTCGACGCACTCCGGAGAAGAACTCGCGGCAAGCTCGTTCCAGAGGATAGGCGTACTCCGCGTACGACCCTCGCATATCGCCGCTTGAGCCGCCGGAGTTGCTGCTCGTAGTCCGCGTGCCCTTATCGCGACGGTGGCACGCCGCCCGGCTGCCCCGCTCCGCTCTCGCCCGGTTCCGCTGTTTCGGCAGAGGAGTGGAGAAGCGGGAGGCCCTTGCGGGCCTGGTGTCGCGACTTGGACGCTGGAGACACGGACGTTCGGCTCTGCACGTTTGGAGGCGCGTTGGCCGGAGCAAGCACGACCTCGTGGCGTTTCGCAAGGACTTCTGGCAGGAAGCACGGCAGGACCGCGATAGGCGGCTTTCAGGCGCGCAGTTCGTCGACCCGACCATGCGCTGCCCCGGCGTTCGCTACCGCCCGACACCTTCGTCGACTGCCCTCGTCATCTTCACCTGGCTCTCATCTATCAACTGGCTATCAACTCTGCTGCCTTCGCCCGCCAGCACGGCGTCATCGAGCTCGTTCACCGGACTGCTGCACCTGGAGTTTCATCGCCTCATCTCATCTATCCCGCACCTGGACATCGGAGCAACCTTCGCTTGGAGCGCTGACTGATTGCACCGCCCAGTTGTCGCGCTGGCGCGCTTGTCGAGTTTGTCGTTCGTGGTCACGTAGCCCCTGCTGCTGCCGCTAGACGCTCGCACCCACCATCACCACCAGCCCCAGCCTAGGCCGTCGTCAACGTTTCACGGACCCCCAAGACCCCCAGACAACCACTACACCGTTTCGGGCATTTGGCCCCACGGCGTCTCTCGACGCCCCCTGCACGGAAGCAACACACATCACTGCTTGCTCGCACCGCGTCACGGTCTCACCGGGTGCCGGAACGTCAGCTCGCGGTGCCACAGCCCTCTCGATCTCGCGTCGCGCGGAGACGCGCTGCGTCCGCACGCTCGCGTGTCCGTGGCTACTGCAGTGCCACTTGCACACAGCACCAGTGTTGACGAGGAGAGCAGAGCCGTGGCAGCTTCGCAGTCGCGCGCCTGCCTCGTGCTTGCCGCGTGCCCACGGCGCGTCTGGGTGATCTCTTGCGCGGCGACTGAGTTCCCACCGCTCATAGAGCGGGATGCATGCCACGCTGACGTGCCTGTGACGCGTGTGAGCCTCGGGCGTCATCCCGACCCCTGGGGTCCGTGTCATTCGACGGCGCTGGGGTCACCTGCTGGCTGCTGCGCGCGCGTGACCCGTCGCCGTGTCTTGTCTTGCGGGAGGTGTTTCGTTCATACATCAACAGTCCCCCCGGGCTCACGTCGCCGCCGCGCTGGCTCGATGGGACAGGCCGCGCGTACCCACGAGCTGTTCGCGACCATCACGTCGTGCCCTGCGTTGCGCGCCCAAGCGCAGGCGGTTTCAGCAAGGCGATCAGTCGCGCCGGGTTTCAGCAAGAGGGCGTTGCGTTGGCGGCCAGCAAGGCTGCGGCCTGGGCGGGGCAGGCGGGACGCAGGAGAGGGTAGGCGTGGCGCTGCGCGCCGGGCGGGGGCTGCTGTGGCTCGCGGAGCACCCCCGCCGCGATGGACATGCTGGGAGGGTTCCTGCCCGAGCAGACGGGGGGCGAGGGCCAGGGCACGGACGCCGCGAACGCGAGGTGCGAGGCCCCTCCTCTCAGTGCCCTCCCGCGCGCGCGCGCAGAGGCGCGGGCTGCGGGCGGCCGAGAGGTGCTGTGCACGCACGCGCTCTTGCGCGGCGCACTTCGTGCTCACCAGCCCTTTCTGGGAAGCCGCTTCGGCGCCGGCGGAGAGACACAGCGAGCACGTCGTCCATCCCGCCGCAGGAACGACATTCCGCGTCCGGAGCACGTCGGGGCCGCGCCTGACGAGTACGGCTTTGTGGATGGGCACGAGGACGACGGAGCGGGCTGCAGCCGGTGCGCGAGTCTGTCGTATTCTCAGGAGTACCTCAACGCCTTCGGGGTGAGCACAAATCCCGCTCCGTCTCACGCGGGAGCAGTGCGCCGCGGCGCGCATCACTGCAACGAGGGTACACGCCGCGCCCGGGCGCCTGCCGCGCCGCCGTCACCCGACACGCACAATCCGACCACGTTACCAACTCCCGAGCGCGCACAGCGGAACCTCCGCGCCGAGACCCCCCCCTGGCGCCCCACAACGCCGCCCCAAGCAGCGTTCCATCCTTCGTGCTCCCGGGCCCGCCCCGCAGGTGCGCCTGTGCGCGACGTGCAAGAGCGAGGACGGCCTGCTGCCCAAGAGCACTGCGCGCGAGGCGTACTGCCTGCCCGCGTCCGACCTCGACAAGCTCGGTTGTATCAAGAAACCCAACCCCCGGAAGAAGCAGTGGGGCTTCATGGTGCTCCTCCTCAAGTCCCAGGTGCGCCCCGGCAGCGCAGCGCGCGGCGGGCGGCGCGGCGCAGCCCGCGGCTCTGCGGGCGGCGCGTGTGCGACGCATGGCCGTGCGGGGGGTTGCACTGCGCAGGTGGAGGCGGCGGCGGTGAAGCGGTACGGGAGCTTGGAGCGGTGCGAGGACGAGCGGCGGCGGCGGGTGCAGGAGCGCGTGAAGAAGAGGATGAAGAAGCGGACGCGGGAGGACGACGGCGACGAGGACGAGGCCAAGAAGATACGGTGCGCCACCACGCGACGGGGCGACCGCGACCGCGCGCCCTCGCCCACGCTGCCGCCCCCGCGACGCAGCGACGCAGCGCTGGCGGCCCCGGCGCCCCGCGACGGCGGCAGGCGGGTCTCGCGCTGCGGCTGACGTGATGACGACGCGCTGGCGTTCCCTGGGGGCGCAGGGCGGAGGAGGTGCTGCGGGAAGCGGAGGAGGCGCGGAGGGAGCAGTACAGGCCGCTGCGAACGACGGAGCAGCTGCGGGAGCAGGGCCTTGACGTGGAGGAGATCTAGTGACTCGTTCTCTGTACATGTACACGCAGCACAGCGGGGCCGGCGCGCCGAACGCGGACGCCCCCGACGGCACACCCGGCCCGTGCGCGTCATTGCGGCGCGCGCCGCGCCGCCGCTGGGACGCGGTGGCCGGGCGCCGGGGCCGCCGTGCGCGTAGATAAACCCTGTTAGGGCACCGGATTTCAGAGCGGTCTCGCGCCTCGCGTGCGTGGCGACGTGCCGTTCAAGTGCGCGGTGTGCCTTCCTCGTGTCGTTGGTTGTCTCGCCGGGGGGTTCGCGTGTGGGTTCGACCCTGTGCGGGCGCGCACGAGACTCCCCAGGAGCAGGTCTGGCGGCAGGACGTCGAGCGGCGCGGCGCCCTCCCGCGGGGTCAAGGGGGCGCGCGGCGGCGGGTGGCGGCTGTTCACTGTCACGACATTCAGCTGAGCGGTGTACGGCATCATGGCTCAGTCGTGCGTGCACACGTCGTGCAGGGCCCTGGCGGGGAGGGCGGTCGTCTCCGCTCGCGCGCGGGCGTCGGCGCCCCCTGCGCGCCGCACCTGCTGCAGGACGTTTGCCGTCGCGGCTGACAAGCCCGAGCAAGCGTGGAAGGTGCCCCGGCCGGACAGCCTGGGGCGCTTCGGGGATTACGGCGGCAAGTACGTGCCCGAGACGCTCATCTCGGCGCTGGCGGAGCTGGAGGAGGCCTATGCGAAGTTTTCCAACGATCCTGAGTTCAAGGCACGAACCCTCTCGCCCACCACGCTGCTCGCGCGGGGGGGACACCTGCACCAGCTCCTTCCCACGAAGGCCGCCGCCAGCTCCGGGCCCGCTCGATGCGTTTCCGGCGCCCCCCACCTCCAGCGCGAACAGGAGCCTCGCATGCCGGCGTTGAAACCTCTCACACGGCCGGCACAGGACGCTGTCCGCCCGGTTGAAGCTGCACCACGGGCTCCCGCGCGCCCTCCCGCGTCCACGGCTGCCTCCGCCCTCGTGCGCGCACCACACGCCGGCGCCGCTCTCCCGGCCGCGGAGTGTGTTTGCGAAAACAACCTGCCCCCCCGCGAGCCTCGGCTCTGCCGCGCCCCCCTCCATCACGCGCGACACAGCACGGCGCCGCGCTGCCCCGCGTTTCCCGGTGTCTAGCACCCCCCACCGACGACCCGCCCGTCCCTCGGCATCCAAGCTCCGCACCGCCCCTCCCTCGCGCGCGGCGGGGTCGCACCTCCTGGCCCTCACTCGCGCCCCGCCCCGCCCCCGCTCCGTCGCAGGAGGAGCTCGACGGCCTGCTGAAGGACTACGTCGGCCGTGCGTCCCCGCTGTACTTCGCCAAGGGCCTGTCGGAGCACTACAAGCGCCCCGACGGCTCGATGCCCCACATCTACCTCAAGCGCGAGGACCTCAACCACACCGGTGCGCGCGCCCCCGCGACCGCGCCGCCGCTGCACGCGTGCCCGCCAGCTGCGAGGCAGCGGCGTCTCCTGTGCGCGCGGTGTCTGACTTGGTGCTGCGGGTTTCTCGGCGCAACGCAGGCGCGCACAAGATCAACAACTCGCTCGGGCAGGGCCTGCTGTGCAAGCGCATGGGGAAGAAGCGCATCATCGCGGAGACGGGCGCGGGGCAGCACGGCGTGGCCACGGCGACGGTGTGCGCGCTGCTGGGCCTGGAGTGCATCATCTACATGGGCGCGAAGGACATGGAGCGCCAGGCGCTGAACGTGTTCCGCATGCGGCTCCTCGGCGCGGAGGTCGTGCCGGTCACGAGCGGCACGTCGACGCTCAAGGACGCCACGTCGGAGGCCATCCGCGACTGGGTGACCAACGTCGAGACGACGCACTACATCCTGGGCAGCGTCGCGGGCCCGCACCCGTACCCGATGATGGTGCGCGACTTCCACGCGTGCATCGGCAAGGAGACGCGCGCGCAGTGCCTCGAGAAGTGGGGGGGTCTCCCGGACATCCTCATCGCGTGCGTGGGCGGCGGGTCCAACGCGATGGGCCTCTTCCACGAGTTCGTCGACGACGACTCGGTCCGCATCGTCGGCGTCGAGGCCGCGGGCTTCGGCGTCGACACGGACAAGCACGCCGCCACGCTCACCAAGGGGCGCCCGGGCGTGCTCCACGGCTCGATGTCGTACCTCATCCAGGACACCGAGGGGCAGGTCGTGGACCCGCACTCCATCTCCGCGGGCCTCGACTACCCGGGCGTCGGCCCCGAGCACTCGTTCCTCAAGGACACCAAGCGCGCCGAGTACCACGCCGTGACCGACGCCGAGGCGCTCGAGGCCTTCCAGCTGCTCTCCAGGGTCGAGGGCATCATCCCCGCGCTCGAGACGTCGCACGCGCTCGCCTACCTCGACAAGCTCTGCCCCACGGTCGCCGACGGGACCAAGATCGTGCTCAACCTCTCGGGCCGCGGCGACAAGGACGTGCAGTCCGCCGCCAAGCACATCAACCTGGAGTAGACCGCCGTGTGATTCCGGGAACCGACGCGCCCGAACCTCGCCGCGCGCCCTGACGCATGTGCCATGGCCGGGGGAGGACTCCGCGCGAGTCCCCGGGCGGGGGGGGCTCGTTGGTGCGCGCTGCGGCGGCGCAGGAGGTAGACGGAGACATCGCGCCGCGCGCGGAGCCTGTTTCGCCGCGTTCCGACACGCAGGGCGTGGGTAGGTTACCATGGGCCCTCCAGAGCTGCGCGCGCTGGCCGGGCGCGGGCCGCGTTGCGTTTGTGCTCGCGTCGGAAGTGCCGAGCTTGCGCCGTGCCGGCGCCCGCTGCTGCGCGCGGCGCACGCGCGGCCGTGCGGGCGCCGTGCGGCGCACGGATGGGGTAGGTGTCGCAGGATGGAGCAGGCGCTGCGGGTGCGCGCCACGCCGAGCTCGCCGGCGGTCGAGACCGAGCTCGCGGCCCTCATCGAGAGCGCGGGCGTTGAGTCGTCCGTCGTGGTCACGGCGCACTGGGACGACGGCGGTGGGAGGTCCCTGGTGGGCGCGGAGGTTCCCAACCCGAAGCTGGCCAAGCCCGACGCGGAGCGGGGCCAGTGCCTGCTCCGGGTGCCGCTGGAGGTCTGTCTGAGCTTCGACCTCCCCGGGGCGAGCCCGTCCGTGCGGGAGGCCGCGGAGATGCAGCCGCTGCTGAGCAGCGACGCGCCGTGGGAGATCAAGCTCGCGGGAATGATGCTCTACGCGGCCCGCTGCGGCGACTCAAGCGCCCCGGAGTGCGCCTTCTGGTCCACGTACATCAACTTCATCCCCCGGGACCTCGCGTCGGTCCTCGTCCTCACGCAGGACGAGCTCGAGCTCACCTGCGACAACCAGCTCCAGCAGCGGTGAGGCCCCGTGGCGCCCCCAGCGCAGCAGCTCGCACCGCCGTCCTGCCGAGCCTCCGCGAGCACGCCTTGTCAAGTCGCGCGACGCCCTCCGACCCGCGCGCTGCGCCTGCAGAGCCGCGCAATGGAAGAAGTGGGTGGAGCGGGCGTTCAGGGAGTACTTCGTCCCGGGCAGGCCTCTCGCGGGCGCCTGCAAGGGCCTCGACGACCTGCTCTGGGCCGTCGCGGCCGTGGAGACGCGCGCGTTCGGCGCCCGGGGCAGCGCGGCCGGCGACACGCAGGCGCACACGCTGGTGCCCGTGCTCGACATGGCGAACCACGAGCCCCTCGCGCTGTCGCACCACGCGCCGGACCCCGCGACCAACACGTACGCGCTGTTCTGTTACGGTCCCGTCCCGGCCCCCGGCCAGGACGTGCCCATAACCTACGGCGCGCGCACCAACCGCGACCTGATGGAACAGTACGGCTTCTTCCTGCGCGGGAACCCGTCCGAGCGGATCGACCTGCCCGAGGCGCTGCGGGAGGTGCCCCGCAGCGGGGGGATCTTCGCGGCGGACGCGCACCCGGTGCGGCTGAGTCGGGCGCGCGTCATCCACGTGCTGGGCCTCGGCGACGACTCGGGGGCGGAGCCGACGGGCGGCGCGCTCGAGGAGATGGAGACGGAGCGCGCGGGGCGGGTGATCGCGGCGGGGCGCTCGCTGCTCGCGAGTCTGGGGTGGGGGTCGATGAAGGCGGTGCGCGGGCAGAGCGACGCGGACGAGGAGGGGCTGCTGCGGCAGGTGGCGGCGTGGGCGGAGGAGGAGGCGCGGGCGAAGCTCGCGGAGCTCGCGGGGGCGCTGGGCGCGACGGTGGAGGGCGCGGGCGACGTGGAGGGGGGGGTGTTGGTGCTGGAAGACGCGGTGGCGTCCGCGGGTCTGTCCGGCGGGGCGACGGCGGCGGCGGGGTACGCGATCGAGAGCGTGCGCATGCTGGAGGCGCTGCGGGAGGCGTGCGAGGCCCTCGTGGCGGCCGGCGTGGAGGAGGCGGCCCAGGTGCAGCCGCGCGACGAGGCGGCGCTGCTGGGGAGGCTCGTGGAGGCGCACGGCGCGGGGCGGCTGGAGGAGCTGATGAACAGCCGCGAGGGCGCGGGCGCGCGGGGGGTCGCGTTCCAGGCCTGGGCCGCCGCGCAGGAGCTGAGCGACGACGAGGAGGCCGCCGTGCAGGCCGCGGTGTTCCTGACGCAGGGCATCACTCCCCCCCCGGTGTCGACGGAGCGGTCCCTGTCGCTGGAGCGCGACACGAGCGTCGGCTTCTCGGTCGTGCCGGGTGAGGGCGAGGTGGAGCAGGCTGCGACGCACAAGTACGGCATGCGCACCCTGGGGCCCGCGTCGCGGACGATGCTCTCGCCGAAGGGAGGGCAGGAGGCGCTCGTGGCCGCTGACGCGCTGGGCACGTCGCTCGCTGTGCAGCGGCGGCGGTCCGCCGTCGAGCTCGTAGGTACGTGCATCGTAGCGCAGCGCTGCCACACCATCTTGCCTGACCCTGCAGGCGCGCGGCGACGACGAGCATGCCTTGACAGCGCTCTCCGCACCCCACCGACGCGCAGGGCGGAAGTACCTGAACCCGGGGGAAGCTGCTATTCCCGCGACGGTGAACGCAGCCAGCCGGATCCTGGAGGCGCTCATGAGCATCCCGGACGCCGACGAGCGCGCGGCGATGCTTCCGGAGGCCTTTACGCCGCCCTCGGACGACACCCCCGCTGCGAGGGAGGGGGAGGACTTGCTATACACCACCCCCGTGGTCTTGCTGCAGGCGGTCGACCTCGAGCTGCTGCGGTCCGCGGACGACGAACGCCGCGTGGCCGAACTGGAGCGCCTGCGCGACGACGTCGCGTGGTTCTGCGGGTTCTGAGCGCCGCGACGCCGGGCCGTAGCTATCCCGGGTCCCACGGCGGGCGCGGGTGCACATTTTGGCACGCCACGTGCGGCCGCCGCGCATCGCTCGCCCGCATCTGGAAGCACCTGCGGACTGAAGAAGGTTCTGCGCCGCGGCGAACTCGCCGTGCGGCCCGCTGCCTTCTGGAAGCCCTGCCACGTGCAGGCATGCGATGCGTTGCGCGCGTGCGCAGGGATCGAGACTGTGCGCATGTACCTGCTGCACGACTGCGGAGGCCACGGTCTGGCTCGGGGTCGTGACCCGGCAGCACTGTGAGCGATCTTGAGCATAGCACTGTTGTGTCAAGGGGGGGGGGTTGATGAAGAGGGTCCTGTTCCAAGATCTGTCCGGCCCCGGGCCCCCCTTGTCCAAGTAACGCACCCCATGCACCACGAATGGTACCTGCCACGTGTGTCATTCACCCGGCTCCCCGGGCACTGGTCCGTCCCTTCTCCAGGCCGCTGTCATCCTCCCGTTCGCACACAGGCGCTGCCCCACGAGTTCGACACAAATTCAGCGACAGCGGCGCGCAGGCCGGTTCCGCTGACGAGAGCAACTCGCGTGCATGCACGGCTGCAATCACTCACGCACATGCCTGCATGGTCATGCGCGCTCGCACGAACGCGCCGCGCGTGGGCCCCGCGGCGGCCTGCCCTCGTCGCTAGGCGGATCACAGGATGCTTTCGTCGGCGGCGGCGCTGGACCGCCAGACCCGGCAGGTGTTGTCTTTGGACCCCGTGATGATGTAGCTCCCCTCGTAGTTGAACGAGCACGAGAAGATCTCGTCGCGGTGCCCCTCCAGCGTCTGCACGCACCCGCCCGTCGCCACGTCCCACACGCACGCCGTGCCGTCGCTGCTCGCCGTCAGCGCCTTGGTGCCCTGCGGGTTGAACGCCGCCTTGCTGATCTCGCCCGTGTGGCCCGTGAGCTCGTGCTCGCACTGCCCCGTCGCCGTGTTGTAGATCCGCGCCGTGCCGTCCGCCGACGCGCTCAGGTACGCGCTCCCCGACGCGTTCCAGCACACGTCCAGGACCTCGTCCGTGTGGCCCTGCTTGATGCTCAGACACCGGCCCATGCGGCAGTCCCACACGCGCAGCGTCTTGTCCGCGGACCCCGACACCGCCATGTCGCCCGCCCAGTTGAACTGCGCCGCCGACACCTCCCCGCGGTGCCCCGCCAGCGTGTGCACGCACGCCCCCGTCCGCACGTCCCAGATCTTGCACGTGTTGTCGAACGACCCCGTCAAAATCGCCTGCGCAGCACCGCACCCGCACAGGCACGTCAGCACGCGGCACGCCGCGCAGCGTCGCAAGCATCACGTCGCGCAGCCACACACACACTCAAGGCGGGTCCGCACCCGGCCCTCCGTGGAGAAGTTCAGCGACACGATCTCCGCGGCGTGTCCCTGCAGCGTGTTGAGCTCCTCGCCCGTCTCCACGTCCCAGAGCTTGGCCGAGTTGTCCATGGACCCCGTGGCGATGGCGGTCGACTGGGGGTTGAACGACACGCACACGATCTCCGTGAAGTGGCCCCGGAGCGTGTAGTACAGCTGCCCCGTGTTCGCGTCCCTGCGGCGGCGCGGCGCGGCGCGTGCGCGGCGCGTGAGCAGCGCGACGCGGCAAGGCAGAGCACGCGCGGGGGCGGCGGCGCGGGCGGGGCGCACCAGAGCTTGCACGTCTTGTCGAAGGAGCCCGTGGCGACCTTGTCGCCGTACGGGTTGTTGAACGCGATGGCGTAGACCACGTTCTTGTGCCCCTCGAGCGTGTGCACCTCCTCGCCGGTGTACGTGTCCCAGATCTTGCACGTGCGGTCGTACGACCCCGTGATGAAGCGGTCGCCCTGCTTGTTGAACGCGCAGTTCGTCAGCGGCAGCAGGTGCGCGCGCAGGACCTTGTAGAGCTCGAAGTTGCCGTGCGGGTCGTGGTTGAGCTTCTCGACGAGCCGCCGGAGCAGCTGCGCGACCACCGTGCGGTGCTTCTGGCTCAGGAGGGGCTCCCGCGACACCACGCGGTCCGCCAGCGCCTGCGCGCGCGCGGGGAGGGGGCGCCGGGCGCGGTGGGGCGCGCAGCTCCAGCGTGGGCCGCAGCAGCGCGGCGGCACGGGGGCGTCGGGGCCGCGGGGCGCGGGACCGCAACCAGCCGAGGTCGGGCGAGGCGGGGATGCGAGTGGCGGGCGAATTCGGCGGTGGGGCCGGCGCAGCGGACGCAGGAGATGCCCGCGGCCAACCGAAGCGGCGCGCGCTGCGGACGGCGGCCACCGATGCGGGATCTGTCGGGCCGGCATTGATTCTCCAAGAGCGGGCCTTCCCTGGAGGGCCGCGGCGGGGCGCGCCCGATCGCCTGGGCGGCGCGGCCGGCCGGAGCCTCTAGGTGCGGGAGCGGCAGGAGAGGGCCGCGGGGGGTGCGGCGCGGCGCGTTCGATCCCGCGGCCGCGCGGGCGCGGCCCCGCGGCGCAGGCACGCACCTGGAGATCCATTTCGGCGGACAGGTCGAGCAGGTCGACGGACTTTTGCCGCAGCTCCCCGTTGCGGTCGTATTCGATGATAATGCCGGGCGGGTAGTACCGCAGGAGGAACTTCCTGAGCTTGACGGTTGCGTGCGTGCTCGCCGTCTGCGGCCGCGCCATCCCGTAGCCCCCGTACATCCTGCCCCGCGGACGCCCGCCCGGAGCGAGAGCGTACGAAGCGGGGGGCGCGCCTCACGCTGCGCGCGCGGCTACCGGCGCCCAGACGAGCTCCGCGGCTCCGCGCGCGCCCGCTGCGTCGAGGAGGGCCGGTCCGGGAGGCGCGAGGGCCGCGGCTTCGCAGGCGCCCCCCCGCGGTGCGCCTTGGGTGCGCTGGCAGTGCTAGTGCGCGCGAGCGCCGGCTGCGCGCGAATGCGAGTTCGTTCGCGGGGGCGCGGGGCAATGGACGCTAGGCTGCGCGTGCCGGGCGCGGCCCCGGGGCGAAATTGGCGCGGGGCGCGCGGGGCGGGCGCCCTGATGCGGTCGGGCTGGCAGTGCGGGGGTCGGCCTCGGGATTCGGGCGCGCCGGGGGCAAGGGCGGGCGGGACCGCGGCGCATCGCGCATGTTCGCGAGAGCGCGCGCGACGCCAAGCTCGCCGGGACGCCGAGCCCCCCACGACGCGTCTGCAACGGCCACATCACTCGCAGCCTGCTGCAACAACACGCTTCAGAGGCCTGGCCAAGGCCCTCCAGGCACGCGAACGAAGAGCAGGAGCGCCCGCCTGGCGTAGCTGCTGCTTGGCGTCTCTCTCGTGCGCGCGATGATCGCGGCACGGGCCGACACGGGCTCGTACATGGCCCAGCACACTGCGCGGAGCACGCTGCACGGCCAGCTGCGCGCCGCGATGTGCCCCGCGCCCCCCGACAAGCTCCTGACGGACCGCGCCGCGTACATCTCGTACCTCGAGAGCCAGCTGGTGCGCCACGCCGTGCAACGGGCCCACCGCCGCGACGCCAACGCGAGGGGTCTCAGCACCGGTTGCTTGCCTCGTGCGACGCGCCGCGCCGGCTCTCCGCCCTCCCTGCCCCTGCACCGGGAAGTTCGCTCTCGTGTCGTCGCAGGAGAGGGTCACAAACACCTGCATGACCGTCCAGTCCTACGAGGCGAGGCTCCACGACGCCGCGGACGTTGCCCGGCGCTGCGAGGCCCAGGTGCGACGCCGCGGCGACCCCACGCGCGCCCCCGCACGCCCTGTTCCGCCGAATCCTGCCCACCCGTCCGTCTCGGGCGGCCCGCGGCGCGGTAGCACGTCAGCCCAGCCACACCGTCACGCCGCCCACACCCGCCCCGCGCGGCCACACGCCCGCAGATGCTCGAGATGTCCTCCCGCCTCCAGTCCACGCGCGGCTCCGCGGCGGACGCCGACGCCGCCCAGCGCAAGGCCTTCGCGGCGCTCCTGCAGCGCGTGGCTGACCTGGAGGGCGAGCTCCGGGAGCGGCCGTTCGGCGGCGGCGGCCCGGGCGCGCTCAAGCCCACGGGCGCTGCGGCAGGTCCGTCCCGCGCGCCCCGCGCCTTGCCCGCTCACGCGCTTGTTGCCGGCTGCTGCCAACGGCCGTAGCCCGCGCCGCACGCGCCGCAGGGCTGGCCGGGGAGGCCGAGGGCCACGCGCTGGACCTGCGCGTGCTGGACGCGAAGTTCCGCGCGTGGGCGGTGGAGCACGAGCGCCGCACGGAGCGCCGCATGCGCGAGGCGGAGGAGCGCATTGTGGCGCGCATCGAGACGGCGCTGAGCGACCTGGGCTCGCACCGCGCGTCGCTGGACGCGCGCGTGGGCGAGGTGCGCGCGGAGCTGACGGACGCGATGGGGGAGTTCCGCGACGAGGCCGCGGGGCTGCTGGGGGAGTTGCAGGGGGAGTCCCGCGCGCTGCGGGAGGGCCGGAGCGAGGCGGTCCGCGGGGCGGTGGCGGAGGCGTTCGCGGGCGCGGCGACGCGGGCGGATGTCGCCGCAGCGCTCGACGCGGTCGAGGCGATGGCTGGCGTGCAGGGGGTGCTGGCGGGGGAGCTGGGGCGCCTCACGGGCGAGCGCGGGGACGCGGCGGCGCGCGTGGCGGACCTCCGGGCCGCGATGGCGCAGGCCGTGCCGGAGGGCGGCGGCGAGCTCGACGCCGCGGCGTGGGGCCGCGCGCTGGACGCGGTGAGTGCGCTGGAGGCGGCGGTGCAGGGCGGCCCGGCGGGGGGCGTCGCGGGCGGCGCGGCGGCGACGCAGGACATGCGGGAGTCGGTGCAGGTGCGTGCGCCGCGAGCGTCGCGACGCCCGCGCCAGCGTCACGGGCGCGCGCGCATGCGTGACGGGTGCGCGCGCGTTGCGGGTGCGCTTGCAGGCGATCGGGCGCGAGGTGGTGTCTGCGGCGCGCAGCCGCGTCGCGGCGGCCGGCCGCCGGCGAGGGCGCCCGCCGCCGCGCGCGCCCAGCTCGGCGCCCGCCCCGCGCGACAGCCCCGTGGGCGCCGGCCGGGACGCGTCCGCGGGCGAGACGTCCAGCGTGGTCGATGCGCACACGCAGATCATCCAGGAGCAGGGATCGCTGATCGACCAGGTCATGTCAGCGGTCGGCGGCATCAAGCGCGACGTCGGGTCAAGTGCGCCCCGCCGCGCCCCTTTCCCGCCCCGCCCCGCCCCGCCGCGGTGCGCTCACGGCTCCCTCCGCCGCGCCCCCGCGCAGGTTCCGCGCAGCTCGAGGTCCTCGCGTCCGTCGTCGAGAAGCTGGCAGAGCGCGTCAGCCAGGGAGGGTCGCCCGGGGGCGGCCGCGCGCGGTCCCTGAGCCCGCCGCGCGACCGCCCGCCGTTCGTCGTGCCCACCTCACCGTCGTACACCGACAGGTGCGCCGCGCGCGCTCGTGCACCTGCACGCGCACGTGCCGTACTGCGCGGCGCGCCCTGCGTCGCACCGCGCCGCTGCTCACGCGCCGGCCCCGCGCCGCGCACGCAGGGTGAAGAAGCAGTTCTACGAGGCCGAGGCCGCGTCGGCGGGCCGCCCCCCGCGGCCCGGGTCCAGCGCCACGTCGCGCCCCGGAGCGCACCGCAGCACCAGCGCCAGCCCCGCCGGGTCGCCGTACCGGCCCTCCTACCGACCGTCGCCGTCGCGGCCGCCGGAGTACGGCGCGGACGTGCCGTACGGCGCCCCGAGGGGCGGCGAGGCGCCGCACGCCGGCGGCGCGGCGCAGTGGCGCGCGGGCGGCGCGGGGGGGCTCCGGAGGCAGGACACGCTCACAGAGGCGCTCGCGAGCCTGGAGGAGACGCGTCGAGTGCTGGAGGGGTCGCGGCGGCTGAGCGCGGGGCCCGGAGAGCTGCCGCGACCGACCGCCGGGGTCCCCGGGCGTGGCGCGGGCGGCCAGGACCAGCGGGCGCCGGACGGGGCGGCCTGGGAGCGTGCCATGAGGCGCAAGGCGCGGCTGCAAGAGCTGTACGCGCAGCTGCAGGCGTTGTGAGGCGTTCGTGCGCGTGCGGCCCCGCAGGCCCCGCGGCCTGCGTTGGGGTGAGGGCTTAGACCGCCAGCCAGGGCGCGCACGCTGGCGGCGTAATTCGGCCCGCACGCGCGCTCCCAGGGGACCGGGGCCGCAGCTGGAGGGGCGGGGAGGGCTGGGAGCGTATCTGGCGCGCGCCGAGACGCAGGACCCGCCGCGGCGGCGAGGTCAAGACGACCTCCTTGGAATGGACCGTTGCAGCGTCTGGCACGTGTGGGCCCGGCCGCCCGCTGCCGTGCGCGCACGGGGTGGAACTTGTGCGCAGCTGGTGCGTGGCGATAGCGCGGATTCACAGGGGCCACAGAATGCGGCACGAACGTCCGTTCGACGCGCGGCGGGAGGGGCCTGCCGGGAGATTCAGGGGGCTGGGCCGGGTGCGCGGGCCGCCGGTGGACGAAGCCGGTACGAGACCGCGCCACCGGGCTCGATTCCTTTCAAAACACCAGCGGAGCCGCGAAACCCGCGGACGTGGTTCTTGCCAGCAACGCTTTCTGGCCCTCGGGCACAGGCGACCTCCAAGGTCCGCGGGCGCCCGTTCGCTGCGCGAGGGGGGCCGAAACGTGGGTCGGCGCAATGTTTACGATGCGTGCCGCCGCGATGACCTGTCGTCGCGCGCCGCGGCACGCGCTACGTGGCGCGCGGCGGGCGCCATGTCCAACCTGAGTCGAGTGGACGGCGCGTCGGGCGGTGCCGTTCGGGCGCCGTGGGCGCCGCCCCGCGGCCGAGACGGGCAGTTTGAGCAGCGACTTCGGCACTGTCAACGCGCCGAACACCGAAGCTGCCCTCGCTCCCCAGCTGCGACGACGGTGCGCGCCCTCGCCCTCAACAAGGAGGCGTGCTGCCCCGACCGGGCCCGCTGCTGCGTGTTCCGCCCGTGCCGTGCGCGACATCGAACGCTCAGAATACCGATTTTCGCCGCGTGTGCGCCGCAACGCTGCTGGCACGCCCTGCGCGCCGTTCTCCGCCTCCTTCGTGGAGCGGGGCATGCGCGGCCCAGACCAGGCCGCCGTGCCGCCAATCGGTGGTGCCAGCTTCCGCGCACGCCGTCCCGCCCACTCTAGTCGAAGTAGTTGACCGCACAGTGCCGGCGTCGGCGCGGTTGGCGCCACGCACGCGCGCAGCTCGGGCTGCAAGCTCTGCCCGCCGGCAATTTGCCCTGGCCTCGTTCCCTCGTCGCAGGTCCTCCGTGAAGACGGTCCGCCGGAGCATGATGAACAAGGTCGGAGTTTTGGCGTTGGCTGCGGGCCTCGCCGTAGCCAACGCGTGCCCTGAGGCCGCGGTCCTCACCGAGAGGGCTGGCAAGTTTGGACTGTCCCACTATGACGCTAGGTGCGTGATTTCGCCCCGCAAGCGCGCGCGCCGCACCCTCCGCGGGCTGAAGGGCGTGCATCGCGCGGTCCCGCCCCGCGGTACTGCGCGGCGCGCCCCCGCCAGAAATGCCACCTCTGCTGCCGCCACGCCTCCCGGCGCTCCATCGCGCCCGCGAAACCGCCGCGCGGCCGCGCCTGCGCGCCCTCCCTCCCGCGTTCTGCGCGCCCGCAGCGACACCGGCGGTTTTCGCGGACCCCGCCTCGCCGTCGCCTGCCGACCTCTCCTGGGCCGCCGCCCCCCCCTCCCGCGCCCGTTTCAAACTCCCGCGCCCCGCGCCCCCCGCGCCCCGCCCCGGCGGCATCTCACCCCTCCCTCCATCCCTTCCCGCGCAGCTCCAAGTGCTCGTGGCGCCTGAACGCGGAGCGCCCGACGGCCATCTCGGTGGACTCGATCGACACCGAGGTGCTCTTCGACGAGGTCACGGTGCGCGCGGACGGGCAGGTCGTGGGCCGCTTCTCCGGCACGCACGCGTCGGCGCCCATCGTGGTGTCGGGCGACGTGGAGGTGGTGTTTGAGTCGGACTCGGACGTGCAGGGCTCGGGCTTCTCCATGTCGTACGCGCCCGCGGAGGACGCGCCCGTCTCGTGCGGCGCCGGCTCCCCGCTGTCGTTCACGGCCTCGGCCGTGTCCACCCCGATCGAGATCCCCGCCGGCGAGACGTGCGAGGTGACGATCGCGCCCCAGGTCCGCCTCATCTCGGGCGACGTGTTCGTGGCCGGCGCCAAGTCGGTCGAGGTCAACGGCGCCGCCCCCGTGGCCCTCGCGGGCTGCGGCAAGTTCTCCGTCGACGTCGCCCGCGAGCTCAAGCTGCGCCTGGTGGGCTCGGGCGACCAGGTGGTGCTCGGCGCCGTGTTCGGCGAGGACGCCTCGACCCTGGCCATTGAGAAGCAGTTCTCGTGCCGCGAGATGACCTACTCGCGCCGCCTGCAGGGCACCTTCCGCCACCTGCAGCAGAACAACGGCACCAACGCCACCACCGCCGCGCCGGCCACCACCGCCGCGGGCGCCACCACCGCGCCGGGCGCCACCACCGCCGCGCCGGGCGCCACCACCGTGGCCTCGAACGCCACCACGGTGCCCGCCACCACGGTGCCCGTGATCAACCCCGGCGGCGTGTCGGCTTCCACCATCAGCACCATCCGCTCCCAGCTCCAGGGCGCACAGGGTACGCAGGTCACCGTGTCGTCGGTCGCCATCGGTGGCGCGAACTCGCAGTGGACGTGCGCCCAGATCACCGCCCTGTACGACGGCATCGCGCTGGCGCTCTTCAACTTCACCGACGTGAACGTCATCGCGACCGCCGCCTCCAACGTCTCCCCCGAGGGGGCCCTGCTGTCCCGCGGCATCAAGCCCTTCAGCTGCGCAAAGCTGCGGCGCCAGCTGTTCCAGGCCGGCAACGGCACGGCGACCTTCACCAGCTTCTCGTTCAAGGCCACCACGGCGCTCGGCGCGCAGCTCCTGACGCGCACGCAGCAGATCGCCAACGGCACCATCAGCCTCGCCACGGAGCTGGCCAAGAACCCCGCGGTGACGTCGCAGATCTCGACCATCTCCCAAATCGCCACCAACACCACGGGCGTGTCCTCGACCTCGATCGTCGGCGCCACACCCGCGCCGGCCACCCAAGCTCCGGTGACCGCGGGGCCGACCGGCACCTCGGGCCCCGTCGCCACGACCCTGGCGCCGACCCTGCCGCCCAAGATCACCAACGTTGACCAGGCGCAGACCGCGGTCACCGCCGAACTCGAACGGCTGCGTCAGCGCATCGCCGATGGCGGCACCGCCAGCCGCGTGACGGCCTCCACGCGGGCCACGTACACGAGCCGGCTGTCGTGCGCGGACCGCAACGCCCTCAACTTCGCCATGGGCCAGGTGCTCTTCAACCTGGGCTCGGCCGACATCGTGCGGCTCTACATCACGAACGGGCTGCTGACGCTGACCACCGATGGCGACTGCGCCCGCCGTCGCTCCCTGTCGGAGATCGACTCGGAGATGTCGCGCCGCCTGCAGCAGAATTTCGTGTACACCACCGAGGGCACCTTCATCGCCTCGGACCCCGCCACGGCCGCCGCCATCCAGGCCAACGTGAACCAGCTCGGCGCGGGCGGCGGCACGGCGCTGATCGCGGCGCTGCAGAACCTCGGCACCCTGATTCCTGTGCCTGCGTCGGCCGAAGGGTCGGCCACGGTGCAGGTCGTGTCGGCTGCGGAGCTCCAGAGCGCGGTCGGCGGCGCGTCGACGGCGGTGCTGTCGGCTGCCATCGCGGCCATGGTTGCGTGCGCCGCCCTCCTCTTCTAAGAGGACGGCTGGCAAGGACAAGGATGTTAGCACAACTGCCTCCCACCCCTCCCCAACCCGACATCAGTGGCGGCTCGCACTTTTTCAGCGACCAGGAAAAGAAATCTCCACGATCGTCGCCACGACCACCAAGAGGTACCCCTCCAGAACCGGGCAGTTCCGGCCCTGACTCGGCCGGCATATCAATGGTGGATTCTGTGAGTCATACTTGAACGACCGTCATTCGTCTCACCCGGTCGACCAGAGCCACTCGATCACGCCACCGTGCCAGGCCCGCGCAACGACACGTGATCGCCGCACGCTCGTTCGCGTTGCGGCGGGCTCGTTGGTCCGCGCGCAGCGCTCTCGTCGCAGCTGCGAGGGCGACGCTGTCACAGCTCCCATGGCGCTGCACCCCACCCCTGACAACCACCGCGCGGACCCGCTGCTCAACGTGTGCTTCCAGGAGCGGCCCGAGTAGCGGGTGACGTGAGGGGCTGTCACCTGACATGCGTGATGTCTTGCGTATGTCTTGCCTGGGCAGGGTCGCCGGCCGACGACATCGGGACGCGTGGTGGGGCTTGCCGACGAGTACCCGCACGCCCGCGGGGCTCGTCACTCATCGAAGACTTCACTCAAGCTGCGTGCGCAGGTGCTGGGACCCCGACACCTGTTGCTGCAGCTTGCTCATCCTGCGTGCGGGTACTCCACCGCGTCGTTGCTCTCGGCCACCCCTGTCCTGGTTAACGTGACCTCCGGTGAGGTGAGGTGAGGTGTCACATTCTTCGCGTCGTCAGCCATAAGGCTTTGGGACCTGAAAAGATCATTCGACTAGGTGTTCAATACAGCGCGGGACGGGCCCGCCCCGCCTCGACGCCTGTCTGTCCCCCGGCCACCTCGTCTCGCGGGCAGACCCCCCCCCTCCGATCCCCGCCCGCCCACCAACCCTACAGGATCAGCGACTCAGTGATCTTCCAGATGCCCCGCACCGGCCGCACGACGTACTCGATCTCGTACGGGTTGCTGTACTGCGCCTCTACGGTCCCGTCCCTGCCCCACAGCGTCGCGCGCTCGTGGACCCGACACCGCACCAGTGCCGCGCCGGCCTGCCCCTCGCCCAGGTGCCGCACGACGCCCGCGCCGCCCGAGGGCCCCACGGGCGACACGCGGAGCACCCGCAGGGACTCCAGCGAGTACTTCCAGAACCAGCCGCGCCGCTGCGCGTCCCGCGCCCGCTCCAGCCACTCCCCCGCCAGCGGGTCGCCCACCACCGAGTCCAGGCCCTCCGTGCGGCACCCGGGGCCCATGATCTCCTGCTTGACCTGCTGCCACCGCCGCACGACGCGCTCCGCGTCCTTCGCCGTCAGCCGGTCGCTCGCCGGCATCTCCATCGCGTCGACCTTGTACACCCCCCCCCCTGCGACGACGAGAAGAGAAACGGCGCGCACGGACCTGTCAGCGCGGGCGACGGCGCCGCGCGGCGCTGCCTGCTCACGCGCCAGCCCACATGCACGCACTCAGGCGGCGCTGCCTTGCCGCGCCGCACCTGTCCGCTGCGAGTAGCTGCTGTCTGGCGCAAAGTACGCGCGCGCGGGGACGAGCCGCTCCCTGGCCTGCGACCCCAGCGACGGCCCGACCGCCGTCACCGCCGCCGCCGCCGCCGCCAGCGCGCCCGCCGCGGCCGCGACCTTCCCCACGGGCGCCAGCGCCCGCAAGCGGCGCCAGGGCCGCCGTGCTGCGCCACGACGAGCGCGCCCCCGCCAGCGCGGCCCGCTCGTCCGCCGCACCCGCCGCGCCCACGTCCACCCCGGCCGCGAACCCGCCGCGCTCGCCCGCGTGCGCGCGCGGTCCCGCACCGCTCCGCGCGCGCCCGTCACCGACCGCCACACCCGCCGCACCGCGGCGCCGGCGTCCTCGACGCCCTCGATCACGCGCACGAGCGCGCGCGGGTGCGCGGCGTCGTGCACGGAGAGGTAGTGCGACACGCGGCTGTCGCCGAAGTAGGCCACCAGCGCAGGGTCCGGGGGGTCCTCCCTCGTGTCCCGGCACTCCGGGAAGCACAGGCGCGCGAGCCAGGACTCCACGAGGAGGCACATGCCGGGCAGGAGGTCCTCGGCGTCCGGGGAGTTCATCCGCACGAACCCGAGCGCCTTCTGCGGCGCGGGCAGGTCGCGGGACGCGCCGCGCCCGGTGCCGGCCGCGCGCCCCGCGCGCTCCGCGTCCGCGAGGAGCATCTCCGCGCGCGCCACGTCGCCCATCAGCACCGCGCAGCACGCGCGGTCCATCGCCTCGGCCCCGGCGAGGTCCGCGGTGCCGTGCGCGCCCGACGCGCGCATCAGCCGGTCGGCCTGCCGCACGAGCCCCGCCTGCCGCGTCACGAACCCGCACGTCACGTACGCGCGCGCCACGGCCAGCAGCAGCGCGGGCGTCGCCCACGGGAACGCCGCGCGGTCCTGCGCCACCGCCCCCCAGTCCATGAGGTCCACCACCTCGGACGCGCGGAGCTTCCCCAGCGCCAGCGACGCGAACCCCGCGTCCACCTCCACCGCGCCCGCCGCGTCCGGGTCCGCGAGCAGCATCCCCAGGATCCCCAGCGCCTGCGCGCGGTTCCCTGCACCTCGCAAACAAACACACACACACACACTCATGCACTGCGCCGCCAGCGACGAAGCGCGCCCCCCCGCGGCGCCCCCCCCGCGGGCGCGGGCCGCAACGCACCTTGGGTCTCCGGCGCGAGCGGGTCGTCGAGCTGCTCGAGCACGCAGTGTGGCACGAGCTCGCCGAGGGCGCTCTCGATCTCGGTCTCGAGGCCCGGGGCGAGGGGCGGCGAGCCGGCGCCGCGGAGGATGTTCAGGGCCTCCTCCATGCGCGCGCAGGCGAGGGGGACCTGGTCCGGCAACGCGAGGGCCTCCTGTGCGCGCCCGCAGTGCGCGAGGGCCATGGCCAGCGCCAGGTCGCGCCGGAAGGACACCAGCTGGCGCATGCGGAGGACGCGGGCGCCGGTCTCGAGGACGAGGTCGTACTCGCCGATCTCGAGCAGGAGGATGAGCGCGCCGGGCAGGTCGGACCACGTCACCTGCGCGGGGGGGGTGTTCGGCGGTTGCGGGCGACCGAGGCGGGCGGCGTGCGGCGGGGCCGCGGTGGTGCGCCGCGGTGGTGCGGCGCGACGCGCGGCGGGAGCACGTGGGGCTGGCGCAGCAGGAGCGCGGTCGGGCGCGGGGCGGGGCGTGCCTGGAAGCCCTGTCCCGAGGACGCGAGGCCCGCAGTGGCTCGGAGGGAGTCCCGCGCGTCGCAGAGGAGGCCCTCGCGGACGGCGACGGCGGTGGAGCTGAAGCCCTCCTCAACCGGCTGCGCCATGGCCGCCTCGTACGCGCTCGTGATCTCGCTGTCGAGGTAGCGGATCCTGCCACGGAGGCCGAGCAGCTGGCTCATCTCCACGGGGAGGTTGAACAGGAGGTTCCCCGCCGCGTCCTTCGTCACCAGCCCGCTGGTCGAGGCAGGCTCCTCCGCATACGGAGCCGCGTGCGACGAGGACACCCTGGACGACTTGCGCGGGGGCGGCGAGCCCTTGGGCGCCGGGAGGAGGAACTGCGGATCGACCGCGCCCGGGAGGCGCCGCGAATCCGGCACGGAGCGCGCGCGCACAGAGCGGGGCGCGGACCGAATTCGAGCTGCCGGGCGGGAGCCGCTGCGCGCGCCCGCCGGGCCCGCGAGGGGCCTCGCGTGGCCCTGCGCGTGCATGGATTCAATTCACGGCCCCCGCGGGCACGCCTCGCGCGTCGGGCGACCGGGCAGCCGGCGGTGGCGGGAAACCTGGCGGGCCCGCTGCGGAGCTCAACAACGAAGCGCTCGGCGGCGACACTGGCCTCGCACGCGGCCGCCGCGCGCCTTCTCGCCCCGCCCCCCGTGTCGGGACGGTCCCGGACCCACGGCGAGGACCCCCGGGGGGCTCCGCTGACCGGGAATCAAGATGCACGTAAACACCCCCCCCCTGGTCAGTACCCGCCCCCTGCACCGGTCCGGACGGCGCTGCGTGCACAGCGCAGTCCGCTGCGTGACGTGGGGCGCTTGTCTGCTGCTAGCAGCGTCAGCATGCGGCCGCGCAAGACGGCGTGTGCCACGTAGGGTTGGCGTTGGCGCAAGGCACGTGGCGCGGACGGCGGGCCGCGCGTGGCAGGAACGTCGCGGTGGATCTGGCTGGCGGGGCCCGCGGCGGGGGCGCGAGGGGCGGGCGGCAGCGGCGCGGTACGTGCGCGGCTATTGCGCGGCGTCGCCGCCGGCAGCGAACGCGTCGGGTCGCGACGGCCGCCGGAATCCGCCGCCAGGAGGGCTGCCCGGAGCTGCCGCCCCTGTCGGCCGGGCGTGTCGCGCGCGGGCCGGGTGCGCGCCACGTGGTCCCACGGCGAAGGTGGGCCACGGAAGGAATTAAGGCCGTGCTGCATTCACGCGGCGGAGTGCTCCGGAAGTGGGTGCAGGGAACGCTGCGTGGTCGCTGTGCGCTCCGTCCCGCATCGTCCGCGGCCCGCACACACACGTCAGGGGTGACCGCGCTCAGGTCGGACTGGCAGCAGTGGTGGGCGACCTCGGCGCGCGGGGCGCTCGATGCCCGGCCAGGCCGCTCTGCGCGGCCACTCCATCGACAAAGTTGTCTCTTCGACATCAAGTGATTGAGAAGTCATCATGGCCGAGCAGGGTACGTTTGCCGTGAAGGTGAGTTTGCGACAAGCTCCAGCGCCCGCGATGGTGGTCCGCGGCTGGTACGCGGACCGCGGCAGCTTCTTCGTATTAGATTCCTCGCACAGACGCGGCGCTGTGCCGGTTCGTCGCCGTGCCTGCGACGGCCACGGGACGCTCGGCTCACAGCGTCCTGGTCCTCGCGCGCGCGCTGCGACGCCTCTCACATCGCTCCCCCCGGTAATTCCGGGCAAGTTCGTCAGCCGCTACCACGTCGTCCGACGCATGGGGCACGGGTGCCACGCACGACGCCGGGCCGGCGGCAGTCTTTTAGCTCGTCTGGTCACCGAGCAGCAGCCAGCCGCAGCGCTCTCCCGGGGCCCGGCGCCGCCTCCCACGCGCGCGCAAGTCTTCGCCGCCGCCTGCTGCACGTCCCCGTGCGCTGCGCCAGGCCCGGCCCGCCGCGAGCCTCGCGGGCCGTGCTCGCCTTGCTTGCGGCCACACCTCCAGCCAGAGCGCCCGCGGCGCCCCTGCGCGCCCCCGCGCCGTTTATAGACCCGGCCCGGCACGCCTCGCACTGCTCCTTCGCGGCCACCCGGCGCGCGGCCTCCGCCCCGCGCCCCGCGGCCCGCGAACCCCGTGCGAGCACCTACCACACCAGGCCAAGCCCACCTCGGTCGCGCGCAGGTGGGCCTGGCCCAGATGCTCAAGGGCGGCGTCATCATGGACGTCACCAACGTCGAGGAGGCCCGCATCGCCGAGGAGGCCGGCGCCGTCGCCGTCATGGCCCTGGAGCGCGTCCCCGCCGACATCCGCCGCGTACGCGCCCCGCCACGCGCCCGCCGCCGCCCCGCCGCCCCGCGCCGCCCTGCCTCACCCGCCCGCCCCGCCCCCCGCGCAGGACGGCGGCATCGCGCGCATGTCGGACCCGACGATGATCAAGCGCATCAAAGAGAACATCACCATCCCGGTGATGGCCAAGTCGCGCATCGGGCACTTCGTGGAGTGCCAGATCCTGGAGTCGCTGGGCATCGACTACATCGACGAGTCGGAGGTCCTCACGCCGGCCGACGACATCCACCACACGAACAAGCACTCGTTCAAGGTGCCCTTTGTGTGCGGGTGCCGCGACCTGGGCGAGGCGCTGCGCCGCGTGGCCGAGGGCGCGGCCATGATCCGCACCAAGGGCGAGGCCGGCACGGGCAACGTCGTCGAGGCCGTCCGCCACGCGCGCGCCGTGCTGGGCGCCATCCGCCAGCTCCAGACCATGGACGACGACGAGCTCTACGTCTACGCCAAGGAGATCCGCGCCCCCGTGGAGCTCGTGCGCCAGACCAAGGCGCTCGGCCGCCTCCCCGTCGTCAACTTCGCGGCCGGCGGCGTCGCCACCCCCGCCGACGCCGCCCTGATGATGCAGCTCGGCATGGACGGCGTGTTCGTCGGGTCGGGCATCTTCAAGTCCGCGGACCCCGCGCGCCGCGCCCGCGCGATCGTGCAGGCGGTGACGCACTACAACGACCCCAAGGTGCTCGCCGAGGTGTCGAGCGACCTGGGCGAGCCCATGGTCGGCATCGACTGCAAGGCCAAGGGCTTCCAGTCGTACGCGCAGCGCTCGGAGTAGACGCGCACGGACCTGCAGGACAAAGACTTGTGAAGTGACCATGCACGGACCAGACCGGGGCGCAGGTTTCCATGCGGGACTCTGTTGCCAGTCCAGTCATCCTGCTTGCGACACCCGCATTTCGTTTCGTGCGCGGGTGCTCAATTACTACTTTGTGTGCGCGAGGGCGACAAGGGTGGCAGCGGGCGCGTTGCCGTCGTTCTCCGTCGCTGCGGTCCCTGCGGGCGTGGGCGCGTCGCTGTGGGGGACTTTTGTGCACGCCGCAGGGGGCCTCCGCCGAGGGCGCGGGCGAGCGAGGGCTCGCTGCGGGCACGCGTCGGCATACGTGCACAGTTCATAGCTCTCCCCGCGGCCCTCTGTGTCGGCGGTTCTTCGTCAGGCGCCGCGTCCTTTCTCACTGCAGTGTTTCAGTGCGCCAGCTCTCGCAGCACGTCCGCGGCGGTGGCTTGTGAAGTGCGCGAACGGCACCGGCCTGTAGATCCCTTGATCCGTACAGCCGCGGTGGCTGTTTCTTCGCGTGAGAGCGCTGTGGAGCGGACCTGACAGCATCATCAGGTCGAGCGGCTCGCTGGTGACCAGGCGGTCCAGGTCGCGGGAGGTCGCGAGGCCCTTGAGCCCCTCTGGATCTGGGAACTCGGCTGGGGCCGACATGCGCCCTCCCGAGTACGAAGAGATCGAGGAGACCCCACGAAGGCAAGAGCCCTGCAGCGCGCGCCCACGGAGCCCCGTCCCCGAACGAATGCTCCCGACGCGGCGAGAGCCACGGTCGCTCGTCGCGCGTGCACGGAGCCGATCACGAGCCCGACCGCGCGGCCCCTCCGCAGCCCCCGTGCAAGTGCTCACACAGCCGGGCCACGACCGCCGCTGAACTCGCAGGGTGTGCGTCAGCGCGCCGCCGTGGGTGCACCGCAAGATCATCAACCCTCTCCTGGGCTACCTCCAGCAGGGCACGGACCCCTCGACGCTCGCGTGGTCCGTTGCGTGGGGCTTCAACCTGGGCCTGTGCCCCCTGCTCGGCATCTCCACGCCCGTCTGCCTCCTCGCCGCGTACCTCGCGGGGCCCACGCGCCTCCACAGCGCCGCCATGCTCGTCGGCAACGTCTGCTCCATCCCCTTCGAGGTCCTCCTCATCGTGCCGTACATTCGCCTGGGCGGCGCCATCACCGGCAGCGAGGCCGGGGCGAACTTCAGCCCCGTGTCCGTCTGGCAGCTGCTCAAGCACGCCCCCGCCGGGGCCCTCGAGGCGCTCCTCGTCGGCATCTTCGCGTGGGCGCTGCTGCTCGTGCCGCTCGTGGCGGCGCTGGCGTTCGCGCTCAAGCCCGCCATGCGCGCGCTGTCGGCGCGCATCGCGCCGGACGGCGACGCGGCGCCGCTGTTCGACACGGGCCTCGAGACGAGCTCGCAGCGCGGCGCGACAGAGCTCTGGGGCCTCGCGTACGACCCCCCCCCGGCAGAGATTGCCACGCGGGCAACGCGGGGCGCGGGGGGGGCGGGTGACGCGAAAGTGTGAGCCGCGGCCGCGAGAGAGGTGCCTGCGGTGTCACAGCGCGCGGTCCGGCCCGTGCGAGCGTCAGCGCGCCCCCGAGGGCGCGGTGAGCTTCTCCGGCGGAATGTCGCTCTTGTTCTTGCTGCGCGGGACAGCCACGCCGTCGCCGAGGACGGCCTTCGAGGGGTCCCGGAAGAACATGTTCTCCGCGTCCTCGGAGTGGTACACGCACGACACCTCCGGGGACCCCTGGAGGTCCCCCACGTACGCAAACGTGTTCATCCGCGACTTGCACGCCTGCACCTGCTCCTTGTCCACGAGCTCGCGCTTCTCCAGCACCTGCACACACGCGTCTCGGCCTCGCGGTGGGCGCGCCGGCGCGTGCCGCGCGGCCGGGCGCGCGAGCGGGGGCGGGGGAGCGCGCACGCACCTGGACGTTGGCGCGGCGGAGGACGCAGCCGGGCTTGACCTCGGGCTGCGTGACGTAGACGTTGAAGGGGTTGAAGGAGACGAACACGCGCGAGTCGAACACCATCGCGGAGTACCCGTTGGCCATGCAGATCTCAGAGTTGGGGGTGCGCTCGTCGATGGCGTACGTGGACGCGATGTTGTCGGGCTCGAAGTTCGCCTCGCTGTCGAACCACACCCCCGCGCCCATGCCCAGAATAAACGCCCCCGCGATCAGCGCCTTCGTCGCGCCGTTCAGGCCCCCCCCACCGTCGCTGCCGACCGCCTGCGCCGCGACGACGGCGCGCGCAGGCGGTCGGGGAGGTGCGGCACGCGCAGAGCGTCGCATTTCGATGCGACTCGTGACGCAGGCTCGCGGCTGCGAGCCGTGCGGGCCGTCAAAGTCGCGAGCAGGAGCAGCAGAGGTGTCGCGCACAGCACGGTGCGGGCTCTTCAGGCGCCTCGCGGTACGCAGGGGGGCGCACCTCGTGGCGTTCTTGGCGGCCCGCCGCCCATGTTCTCCGTCTGTGGTGGACCGGGGCTGCGGGGCCGCGGCGGAGGGTACGGGGGCACATCCGGGGTTCGCGGGACGCGCTGCGCGGGCCCCGCGCGCGACTGCTGGAACTCGCCATCCCCAAACGCCCTCGAGATGCCGAACCTTGCCCGGAACCGCGCAGGAGCCGCGCGCAGCGCGCCCCGACGGGGGGCGGGTGCCCGCGCACAGCTGCCAGGACAGCGCTCGACTGCGCTCCCGCACACCACCGAGCCACTCATCCTCTCCCGCTGTCGCGCGCAGGTGCAGCCTTGAACTCTCCCCACGCGGAGTCCGCGCTCCTAACGAGCCGCACCCACTCGACGGGGAGCCGCCTGGCAACGCAACGCAACCTTGTGCCGCTAGGAATCCGCGCCCCTCCGTGGTCAACGCGTTCGACTTTCAGCGGCGAAGCGCAGTGTGGCGCCGCTGCCCGCCGGCGCACGCCGTCGTGCCCGCCGCAGTCTGCACGTCGGACGACGTGAGTTGCAGCATCAGTCAGCCTGTGCTGCCTCAGGCGGAGGCCCCGCGCAACGCTTCTGCTTGGAAGGCCGCTACTGCGCCGCGCGCCGCCGCTGGCCGCGTATTCGCGGCCCACCTGCGAGGAGTGGCACCGTCCGAGGTTCATCCGACATGGCGGCTTCCAGCATGGCAAAGGTCGTTCTTGTGGTCGCAGTGCTGCTGCTGGCCATCGGCGCTGCGACCGCCAACTGCCCGCTCCGCGAAGAGGACGTCGAAGAGGTCCGTCGCCCGCATCACGACGCGCGAGTCCCGTCGGCCGCTCGACTTGTGCGGCTCGCGCGACTGTTCAGCGCTGTGGCTCAACAGTGCGTTCCGCACTGGATTCGCACGGTTTGGCCGGAAAGGCAGCGTCGGCGCCTCGTCGCTCTACCTATCTGCTCGGCTCGGGCAAATATGTTGCAGCGAACACCCCGCAGTACCTGCTGTTGACCCGCCAAGAGGCGGAGTCAACGTTTGCACACTCCTGGACATCGAGCCGCGCGCACCACCCTCGAACGACCATGTTCCGCCTACTTCTGGCAATCACCGCACGCACTGTGATCGTCGCCGCGATACAGGTGGCGAGCGTGCCTTGTTCGTCGCAGAACGAGCCCCCATTTTCGGGGAGACGTTCGATCCATTGACTCCGCACTTTGACCCCCGCACGTCACACAATCCTCGCAACCGCTCGACACAGCAGGCCGACCCCGCCTACACTGGCCGCAGTGCTTCAAGAGGATCATGGCAGCTTCGATGAACGGCGAGCCAGAGCCGACGTGCTTCGATGGCCTCACCGAGTCGCAGGCCAAAGCGGTGAGACGCCTGCTGCCAGCCCCCACGACACGTGCCGTGTACGTCGATGCGAGCGGCCCTTCCTGACGTGAGGAGGTGCTGCGCCGGCCGATCTCCTCTGCAGTGTGTGGAAGCATTCATGGCCGCGCAGGAGGATGACTCTCAGACAGCGGCAACTCCCGAGCCCGCCCCCACGATGCCCCCGGCGGGCGCCATGCCGCCCAAGATCACCACCCTCGTCGCCGCGCAGGCCGAGGTGGCCGCCGAGATCGCCCGGCTGCGTGAGCGCGCGTCCTCTGGGTTGTGGTCGGCCCGCGTGACGGCTATCTCTGAGGCAACGTACACGGTCCAGCTGACGTGCGCGGAGCGCACCGCCCTCAACCTCGCCCTGGGCCAGTCGCTCTTCAACTTGGCCTCGCGCGAGATCGTGCAGCTCTACATCGACAACCAGCTGCTGACGCTGACCACCACGGGTTTCTGCGCCAGGCGCGCCCTCTTGGGAACTGCCCGCGGCCTGCAGCAGTCCTTTGTGTACAGCACCTTTGGTTCCCTCATCATGTCGGACCCTCCAACGGCTGCCGCCATGCAAGCGCACGCTGACGCGCAAGGGTCGGGCGGTGGGAACCAGGTCATGCAATCGTTACAGGAGATGGGCACGCTGACGGCCTTGCCATCCTCGATCTCCGTGAGCGCGACGGCTTCGATGATGTCCGGATCTTCCCTGTCTTCTTCGGTGCTGGTGAGCGCGTCCTCGACGCCGGCTGTGTGTGCGATAGTTGCCCTTCTTCTGACGGCGCTACTCCTCTTCTGAAGGGTCGCTACGCGTCGCACGCGACGACTCTGGCGATCTTCAAGCAGCATTCACGGCAGTCAGGCCGAGCTTGTGACGCACGGGCTGCTCCCCCGCCGAGGGTGGTGAAATAGATATGATTGTTGTCAGACGAGGTTCGGGCTCCAAGGTCCCCCTGGAGCCAGACCTCAAAGCGTATGACAAGCGGGTCGCCCGAGGCCTTGACAGACCTGGCGCCGCCACACGCCCATGCCGCGAATCGACCATGCCTGGCAGCACAGGCTGCTCATTTCAAAGGATCGGTCCGCCCCCGCACCCTCAATGCCCGCATGCACCGCGAGCTCGACCATGCATATCACCGTGCCTAGCACGCCCGCAGCCGCCCCAGTGAGCGCGGCGTGAGTTCAGTGAATCCCTCCTCCCTACAAGCGGTTGCAACGCAAGTCACGGTTGTCTCCACGGAACGGTGAGTCTCCGCTGCCACCGCCCTCACAGCCCCGGGCTCGCCCCTCGTAGCTCCCCTCCCCCTCCGGCACGCCCCTTCCCGTTACCTGCGCGACGACTTGCTGCGCCGCCTGTCCGAGCGCTCCTCCTTGCGGTCCCGCCGCCCGCGGTCGCTCCCCCGATCCTCGCGCGACCGCTTCTTCCTCTTCTCCTTCTTGTCCTTCCCCCGCTTCCCCTTGCGCCGCTCCTCCTTCTCCCGCCGCCGCCGTTTCGAGTCCTTCCTGCGCTTTTCGTCGTCGTGCCCGCGCCGCCGCTTCCCGCTCCGGTGCCGGTCCAGCGCCGACACGATCTCGAGCAGACCCCGCTCCGCCGTCGTCAGGCGCTCCGGCCCCGCCGACGTCCCCTTCCGCCCCTGCAGCTCCTGCAACTGCCGCTGGAGGTCGGCGACGCTGCGCGGGCCGGAACCCTCCCCGCCGCCGCGCCCCGACGAAGAGCCAGAGTCCGAAGACGACGACGACGATCCCGACGACGACGACGCAGCGGACGGCGACGCCGATCTCGAGCGTTCCCGCGCCGGCCCGCCAGCGCTGGGGCCTTTCGGCGACGCTGCTCGTTCTGCCGCCACCTGGCGGCCGTCTCCTGCTCCCTCACCGCGCCGCTGCTCTCCGTCGTCGGCCTCGTCCGCGTCTTCGTCCGAGTCCGAGTCCTGGAAGATGGCGCGGAACACGTCCAGCGGCCGCTCTATCGGGGGCGGTGCTGGCGCAGGTGCGCTCTCGGGCGCCCCCGGCGCGCTCCCCGCAGCACCTTCGACCGCGTTCGATGGCCCAACCGCGGGCGGCGGCGCGGGCGGCGTCGGTGGAGGCGGAAAGGAGGGATGTGTTAGTGCAGGCGGCGGTGGTGCGCTGCCAGGCTGCGGTGGCGGCGCCTGCGCGGCGGCTGCGAACCCCATGGACGCGAGGAAGTCATCGGCCTGGTCGCCGGTGCCGCCGGCCTCCCCGCTGGGCTGCGGCGGGGCCACTGGTGGCGGCGCAGGGTACGCAGGCTCAGGCGCTGCCCGCACGGGCGGGGGCGGCGGGAACGATCGATCCTGCGCCGTCTCTGGAGCTTGCGGGGCCGCGGCAGCGGGCTCCGCGGCGGGCACGCGGCCCTCCGCGAGCATGCGCTGCGTCTCCGGCAGCGAGATTGTGTCCGTGTGGGAGCGCGGCACGGCGCCGCCCGCTGCGCCAGCACGCGGCTTGCCCTTGAACGGATCGCGGACGCCGAACCGCTTGCACACGACGGGCACGGGGCGCCACTCCTCCTCCCACCGCCGCACCTCCAGCGCGCCCGGCTTCCCAGCCGACGGCTCCGGCACCACCGGCGCCGCTGGCTTCGGCAGCCCGGACAGGGCCCCGCCTGGCCGCAGGCCACCCTCTCCGACGTCAAGGCTCCCCTGCACGCCCTCCACGGTCCCTTTGACGAACTTCTGACTCAGGGACGCCAGCAGCCGCTCCCGGTCCCCCTGCGCGATGCTGCCGAGCGGAGCGCTCCGCTGCGGACCTGGGCCGTGATCTTCCCGACGCGGAGCCGCCGCCGGCGGCGGCCCCGTGGGAACCGCCGCTCCGTCGCCCATGTAGGGTGCTGCCCGCTGGCCGATGCGCGACATCGCCCCGGCGACCTGCACCGCCTCCCGCGCCCTCGCGACCACCCAGCGGTAGTACTCCGCGCCGTCCCCGCCCCGCAGGAACCGGAACCGCTCGTCGTCCGCGTTGCGCACGCGTGCTATGTCCTCCAGCGCAGGCCCGTTGCGCGCCACGAACGTCGCGAGCGTCTCGATGGCCTTCCGCAGCGCCGCGTCGTCGGGGGGCGGCGGCCGCGCGGCGGCGGCCTGCACGGCCGTGGCCCCGCGTTGCCGCGGCGGCGACGGCGCGCGCGGCGGTGGCTGCGGCGGGAAGGTGTGTCGCGGGGTGAACGACCGCGGGACGCGCGGCGGCTCCATGCGCGGCGGTGGCTCCTCCTCGTCCGCCATGAGGAACCCCGCGATGAAGGATTCGCGCCGGGGCGCGAGCCCGCGGAGCCGCGCCCCGGTCTCCCCCGGGGCGGTGAGCGACAGCATGCGCTGGCCGTCCGGGGCGGCCGGGTCCGGCAGGGCGCGCGCGTGCGGGTCGACCTCCTCGAAGCTCACGCCGCTGGTCAGCATCGGCCGCGCGCCGCGGCCCCGCAGCTTCGCGAACCCGTCCGCGCCGAGACCGAGCGCGCCCGCGCCCCCGCGGGACAGAGGGTGCGAGGTCGGCAGCGCGCCGAGGCCGCCGCGGCCGGGGCCGGCGTCCTCGTCCTCGTAGTAGTCGTCGGCCTCGCCGAACATGGTGTCCTCGTCGAAGGCCCCGGTGCCGAACGCGGTGCCGCGCGCACGCCGCGACTGCAGCGCCTCCTTCTTCTTCGCGGCGGCGCCGTCGCGGATCTCCTTGACCTCCGCGTACCGCCCAGCGTAGGGGTCGTACGCCAGGCCGAACCGGTCCCGCTTGGGCTTTGTCCTGCGGCGAAACGCAGAGGAAACAAAAGGAGTTCGAGATCCCTCGAGTGCAACAGACAGCGACGGCCTCGTGTGTTCCACCGGTGCGGACGCGCCGCAACCCCCCTGCACGCGGCAAGTGCGGCCCCCGCATGCTCACCGGAAGACCTCCGTGTTGTCGGTGCCCTGCTGTCCCGCCCACGACGAGTCCTTGCGCCCGAGCCCCTTGCCCTTCCGCCAGCCCATCTTGACGAGCAGCTCCGCCCCCACGCCCTCCCCCGCGCCGCTCCCGCCCGCGAGGAGCGCGCCCAGCGCCCCCTCCGCCGCCAGCGTCGCCGCCACCGACCGCCCCGCTGCCACGTCCTTCTCCGTCCGCCGCCGCTCCGCCTCCGTCGCGTGGTCCCCGAACGTGTCGAACTCCGTGCGCGCCGTCAGCGTCGTCTTCTTCGCCTCCCGCAGCTCGTCGTCGTCGTAGTAGTCCTCGACGCTGGCCTGCGCAACCTTGGCCCTGGCGCCGCGCGAGGACACGAACGCCGACGGCGTCCACCCCGCCTCAGACCCGACCGTGTTGAAGTACCCTGCAGACGCAGGGCGGAGCGCCGGGCGATTCGCACGTCTCGTGCCCAAGCAAGACATCACGCACATTGATGCGTTGTTCGCAAACGATCGTGACAGCGCCGTCGCGGAGCACCCCGTGCCTGGCATTGCTCGTGCGGGCGCGCGTTGCGGGGGATCGCTGCGCGGCAGGCCGGGGGCACGTCGTGGCGGAGGCGCGCCTGCACTGAAGCCGCCCGTGAACGCGCCGTGGAACCGCCGCCGACCCTGCTCGTCGGTGACGACCTGCTCGTGGACCGGCTTCCCCTTCGTGACGGCCGGGTCCTGCACCCGCGTCCTGCAGCACCAGCGGCACCGTGAACGCCGCGCTCACCAGCAGGCTCTCGCGGGGGACCACGGCGGCGAGCAGCGCGCCCGGAAGCGATGCCCACGCAGACATCGTGTGCAGTGTCGCCGCGATGGACACCGCCCTGTAGGACACCATCCTGCGCGTGCAGAGCGGAAGCAGCGACTGCGGTGCCCGCGGGCAACTACTCGCCTATATTGGCTGCCTCTGACATCGTCTCCCTTCTGAAGCGCGGTCCCGAAGAAGACAAAGTCATCGTCCTCCGAATCCAGCGTCGCGCGCGTGGCTCGAGCCCCTGCATGCCCGGCGGTGGCCATCTCCCCCGCCCCAAGTCCTGGAGCGCACCTACAGCGCCCTACCAGACGGCGACATGACCCCGGCGACAACGCCAACAGAAATCTGTTCTTCAAGTGCCACCATATACGCAGGACTGCGACCTACCGCAGTCGGCACCGCATCCTGGTCCGCCTGCAGCAACAGCGTTCCCTCTGGGCCGCTCCCCGCGTAAAAGTGGACCTCACGCGGCACGGAACCCCGCGCCGTCGCACGACTGTCTCGTCAGGCGCGCGCGGAGCCCCCACGGCGCCCGCCTGCGCGGCTGTGCACAGGCTCCAGGGTCCATCTCTGACCAGTGAGACGCAGCTCCGGCAGACCCCCCCGCGGCGCACGCGCGCACTTGGGGCGCCGGAGGCGCGGTGCCGAGGCCGTTGCTGTGCCCTGGTGCTATGGGCGGTATGACGGTCCCGCTCCGCAAGCCGCAGTGGCCCCCACGGACTGGCGATCTGGGGCGATCAGAATCTCAGCGCGTGGGGCACGGAGCGCGGCCGAGGCCGCACGCGAGGCGGCCGGAAGTCGTGATCGACGGAGAGAGCTACCGCCCGAATGTCGGGATATGTTTGTTGAATAGGTGCGCCCCGGCCCGCCCGCACCTGGCAAAAAGTTGTGCCTGCCTCCGCAGCGCTAGCCGCACGTCTGCCGGGGTCGCAAGACCCGTGCACGCGGAGCTTGTGTCTGCCTGACGCGCTCGCAGCACTTTTCGGCCGCACCCGTCGCGCACACGCCCGCAACGGTGGCTTGCCCCAAGTTTCGGCCCGGGTCGCGGGCACGCGCACGCGCACCGCCAGGGCCCGCCCGCGCGCCGACTGCAGCCCGTGCGGATGCCACGGCACCGACGCCGCCGTCGCAGGCCCGCCAGGCGCCCCCCGCGGCGCACCGGCAAAGTCCCGCGCGACTGCGAGTGCTGCTCTCCGGGTCGTTCCCGCAGTGATAACAAGGTCTTCCTCGGGCGGAGGGTGACGAGTCGGTCGCAGTTCTTGCTACAGATGCCCCAGGGCGGCATGGACGCGGGCGAGGAGCCCCTGCAGGCGGCGTTCCGGGAGCTGCAGGAGGAGACGGGCATCACGTCGGTGGAGACGGTGGCGACCATCCCGCGGTGGCTGGTGTACGACTTCCCCGACGAGCTGCGCGCGGCCATGAGCTCGTCGTGGCGCAACTACCGGGGGCAGGCGCAGCAGTGGTTCTTGATGCGCTTCACAGGTGGGGGGGTGGCAACCGTTTCCACGCATCGGGGGGGCGGGCGGCGCCCACGCGCGCGCCGCGAGGGCGCGGAGGTGTCGTTGGCTGGTGCTCGCGTGGCTGTGCGGAGCCGCGGGACCGCCGCGTGGGTCCCTCAGAGCTGGGGGTTGTGTCTGTGGTGACGCGGCGACCTGTGTGCGGCGCACGTGCAGGTGACGACTCGGAAATATGTCTCGAACAGCCAGGCCACAAGCGGGAGTTCGCGAACTACACCTGGGCGGACCTGCAGTCGGCCCCGCGAACCTGCGTGCCCTTCAAGCGGCACGTGTACGAGGTGAGCGGCAGGCACCCCCCGCCTACTGACTGACTCCCCCACGCGCCCGCGGCGTGTGCGAGGCACCGGCACATTCCAGGAGCAGCTCGTGCGTGCGTCACGCGGCACGTGCGCGGGTGCACCCCGATCATGCGGCGCAACGCTGCAGCGCGTCCCGCTCATGCGCGCGCAGGAGGTCGTCAGGGAGTTCGCGCCGATCGTGCAGGGAGGCGCCATGCCCTCGGGGGTGGTGTCGCTGGACGAGGGGAGCTAGCAAGTCGCGCTCCTCGCGCTCCAATCGCGCGCGCCTGCCTCCGAGCCCCTGCATGTACATACGCCACGCAGCCCTCGCGTGTGACTCACGCCACGTACAGCTCGCGTTCGCGCGGCTTCTGGTCACCCGCCTCGCGCTCCTGCCGCGGGGCCTTCCTGACGCAGCCAACCTGACAACTCCCGAAAGCTCCGAGGTGTTCATTGCCGCCGCGCACGCTTCAAATCGGCCACATTACACGAGGTGGCGTGGAAGAAGCACCGGGATGTCGTTCAGGGCTACGTTCTTGCTGTGCGCCGTGCTGGGCGCCCTCGCTGGCATGAGCAGCTGCACCTTCGTCCGCGACCTGCGCGCCGGTGAGTCGCTTCGACTGCCGGGACCGACCTCGCGCATCCCTCGCTCGAGCTGCGCGCTGGCTGCCCGCGGGCCCGCAGGAGCCGCCAGCTGCGCCCACATTGTCGCCATGTGACAACTGCAGTCACTCGACACGCGCATTCGCCCGCGAGCGCCCTCCCGCCCCCGCGCCTCGCAGGGACGTCCGAGGTCGGGTCCGTGCGCTCCTTGCTGCAGTCTCCGCTCGAGACGTTCCAGCAGCAGGGCATCCTAGCCGCTGCGGGCGCAGCTGGCGACGACGAGGACGACGGCGGCGACGACGGCGTCTGGCCGCCGGACTTCCTGAACGCCGAGAACTCCCTCTACAACAGATTCCTCGGGGCCGTCGAGGACGGCACGGCGCGGGCCGTTGGCCCTGAGCGCCGCGAGAGGATCAAGAACCGATTTCAGTTGATCTGCGGCCCTGGCTGCCGGTGGAGGCGTCGCAGGGGCGGAGACTGAGCCTAGCGGCACGAACGCCGCGTCGCAGTACGTACGCTGGGGACGCCCTCGCGCGGCGCGCCGCTGCATGTGAGTTTGAGAAGTTTCAGCGTGCGGCGTTCACAAGAGATCGCAGCCTGTCTCTGCTGCGCGCGCTAGGAAGTCTGTCGCTCGCTGCAGTCGCTCCTCGTGGTACGCTGCGCTGCCGCGAGGCTGGGCCGCCCCGGCTGCTGCCCCCGGCAGCCGCAGCACCGTCCTATCGATGAGGTCCGCGACCGACGGGTCCCGCACCTTTCGCACGAAGAAGTGGCCCTTCGACGCTGCCTGCGTGTCTTGTTCAGGAGACGGAGAAAGGATGAGAACCGCCGGTCATGAGCGGTGGTGGTGTGCAGCGCCGCGTCAGAAAGCAACCCTGTCGGAAAGCGTTGCAGCTGGGCAGCGGCGCGGGGCAGAGCGCTCACGTGCACGACGTCCTGCGCCTGCACGATCGGCGCGTGCTGCGAGGCGGACCCGTCGCGCGGCCACGGGACGTGCCAGAGCGTCCGACCGGCGACGGTGCTGTTCATCCGCGGACTGTTGCACGCCAGCATCTGGAAGAACGACTCCGGCGACGACACCGTGTTGACCATCCACGCTTGCATGTGCCGAGAGAGCCCGTCCGAGCCTGCAAGCCGACGCGTACATGCGAAGCTCACCACGCAGGTGTCGCACTGCACCGGTTCGACGTGCGCTGTGCGTCAGCGCGAGGGCGGCGCTCGCCTGCGATGGCGTACGTGACCAGGTTTCGGTGCGCGCAGATCCACGCCTCGCCCTTGAGCAGCTGCCACTCGGCAGGGAGCGACCTGTCGGCGACGTGCAGTGGGTCGGCGAGACTGGCGTTGCCAGTGCCCGCGATACCTGCGGCCGCCGCGAGGAGCGAGCACGTCACGCCATGCGCCATGCAATGGCGCAGCACGAACGCAGCGCAGCCTGCGCCCCGCGCAATTGGACCACAATCAGCGCATGTGCGGTGTTCGAAGCTCTGACGCGCTGGTTGGCCACACGCGAGGGCCCCGCATCGAGCCAGCATCGCGGCAGGCTCCGAGCGGGCGCTCGGGGTCGCACCGTTGTCGATCCAGACTTTCTGGAAGCGGTCGCGGCGGAACCACCGGCTGCCGTCCACGTCGGGCCTCTCGAGGTTCTGGTTGTGGACGAAGGACGCGCCCTCCGGCGCCGTGGCCAGCGCGCGCCGCATGACGTCGGGGCTCAGCATCGGGTAGCACGTCGCGCTGACGTTGATGAAGTGCGTCCACCGCGGGTGCTCGAGCGCCACGGCCATGGCCCGCAGCGTCGCGAGAACCATCGAGAAGCCGCGGTAGGTCACCCTGCGGAGCGCGTCCTGCCTCGGTCGGTGAGGGAACGGCCCGGACACGGGGCGGTCAAGACCACCAACGCAAAGCGCTGGCGAGGAAAGCGTCACGCGGGAACCATCCACGCCGGCCCTGTATGGGCGGTGCGTGCGTCCGGACGGGGCGGCGGCATGGTCGCGTCGAACGCCGCGAGCCGTCGCGCACCTGACGGGAGGGTCGAGGAGCAGGATGTTGCTGTGTCTGCGCGGAGACTCCACCCAGGACTGCAGGAGGGTGCGCTCCTTGGAGGACGCCTTGCCGTCGAGGTTGACGATGTACAAGTTGTCCGCGTGCCAGAGCCGCCGCACGAGCCGCTGAATGCGGCGCACGTCCCCCCTGGTTCCTTGCACGAAGAACGCTATCGAGGCCTCGCCCTGCCCACCGTGTTCCGGTATCGCGCCGTCACCAGAGATATCGGTGTCGCACAGCGGAGCCGTTACGAGAGACCCACTGCCCTTCGCCGTCTGCGACAGCGGCACGACGGTTTGACCTCTCCAGGCGTCCTGCAGGGCGACGAGGAGCGGTGCGAGGCGTGATCTACGCGCGGCCTTACCGACGTGACTCTCAGCTCGCCTGCGGACGCACCCCTCGGAGCAGGACGAGTCCAGCCGAGCCGAGGAGCGCGACGACGCCCAGCAGGGCCGCTACGCAGGCCGATCGAAGCCGCATCGGGACCACGGCCGCCCGCAGGCGCCTGGGGAGAGCCCACGACCTCCACCTCGCCAGCATCCCGCTACCTCGCCGCGGACTGGGACGTCGTCGCAGCGGCGATCCGCATCAGGCGCTGCAATGCGTCAGCGCCGCGGCACGGCTCCGGAATCTCTACCTACCGCGCACGACTCGTCCGCGGATGCGACGGCACCGTTGCGTAAGCTCGGCAGCGCGACGGGGGCCTTCAGCCGGCGACCTGCAGTTCAGCGGAGCCCCCCGCCCGCGATGACGTGGCAAGCTGCGCTGTCAGGTTCGCCGGCGTGTGACGTGCGGGGGTCGCGGCCAGATCCTGCGTAACAGCGCGTCGCGGGAAGCGGCTATCAGCGGCAGAGCTATCCTCTCTGCGCCGCCCCCGCCGTGCCCGTCGCCCCCCCGTCAGCCCACAATCTTCCCCACGACATCATATTTGCTCGTGAACTTGGCCTCCCAGTCCTTGAGCACCCCGAGCTCGGTCTGCGAGCACCGGCACCAGCACAGCCGTCTCCGCAAGCTCGTGGGCCCGCCCCGCGCGCTCCCGACCGCACGGGCCGACCCCCATGGGTGGCGGTGGGCCGACGCACCTGACTCAGCCCGTCGAGGTTGCTCGTGAAGTCCTTGGGGTCCTGCGACATCTTCGCGAGCGCCCGCGCGATCTCGTTCCCCGCGAACGACTCGTACGCCCCGTCCGGCCCGTAGAACATCCGCCCGCGCGACATGTCAAACACCGTCCCGCGCACCGCCACGTAGATCGGGTCCCCCGGCCGCTTGCCTGCGCGACACAGCACGCAACGCTCCTGCGTGGGGCGCACAGCCGCGGCGAGCGCGCGCGCGGGAGGCCACGCAGCGCCACCGCGGCAACACGGCACCTGTGAAGGGTTTGATGTCCTCGAGCGTGAACTCCTTGGGCGGCGCGACCTCCCCGACCTCGGCGCATCGCTTCCGGATCGCCGCGTGCCACGCCGCCAGCGTCGACTCCTCGTGCGGGCTGCAGCAACACGGCAAGCGGAGGCGGGCGCGTGGGTCCTGGAGCAGCACGGGCGCGCCACGGGCCCTCGCGACGCACGCGCGCCCGACCAGCTCTCACGCCGGTCGTTGCGTCGCGAGCGGCGCGGGCAGCGCGTTCGCGGCGTTCGCTGTACAGGGGGCCCGCGCTGAGGGGAGCGCCACCCACCTCATGGAGAAGCCCTCGGTGGAGTCGTCCGGGGGGAACCGGATCTTGAGCCCCCTGTACGAATCGCCCAGGATCTCCTCGTTGAAGGGCTCGCGCGCCAGGAGGTGTGCGGCCTCGCGCCCCGCGGCCCCGTTGAGCACGCCCAGGGGCCCGAACGCGTTGCACGGCGTCACGTCGTACACTTTCCCGTTGATCGCAATGTAGATGGGACGGTTGGGGTCCATGCCGTTGCACCTCCTGCGAGCGAACGCAGCAGCGCGCGGCGGACGCGACGGTGACGCGCTGGCCTCTTGCCGCAGCGCCAGAGGAGGCCACCGCCCGGCGCGGCGTACACGGCCCGGGTGCGTGCACGCGTGCGTCGTCGCTCGCAGCTCCGAAAGAACGGGAGTCCGTCACGGGCGCCGAGTCCGTGGTTTCGGGTCGCATGTGCAGCTGCGTGCACCGCCTGCAGGCGCGACACGGGGTTCGAGGGGCGCCGCACCCGAGAGCGTGCCGCGTGATCCGTCCGCACTCCGCGGGCGTGTATCCCTTCAGCTTCTTCGCCGTCGCGCGCACCACCGCGCGCGCCATGCTCAGGAAGAGCGCCGTACCGAGCACCGTCGCGCCCACCACCAGGGCCGACGCCCACGTGGGCGCGTCGCTCGCAGCGGACATGGCGCGAGCAGGAGAGCCGCCGGGCGGTGCTGCGCGTGGCGGCGCGCGCGTCCGGCGTTGACTCCGCGCCCGCGGGCGGTTGGGTTCGGTCTGCCAAAAGGCGACTCCACCAGCGACACGGCGTCCGACGTTGCGCGCGCGCGCGGTCACGCAGGGGCGCCGCGGCGCGCTCGGCGCACATTCCCGAGCGCTGCATTCGCGAGTGCACTCGCATTTCTCGACCACACACCACGGACGGCGGGCCGATCGCCGCGCCTGCGTTGGACGCGCGCGTCGAAGCCTCGCTTGCGGGCCGACCTGCCGCGCTCCGGAACGGAACACGTCGGTGCGCGTTGCGGCGAGACTTGATGCCGAACTGGAGACTGTCGGAGCACTGACACCTTCTCCCACGAGAAAGCACGAGCGAGGGACACCAGGCAAGGGACACTCGATGACCTGCGCCGCCGACGGGGCGCCGACGCGCTGTTTGACCGCTTTTGCATCACTCAGATCTACTCAGTCCGTTGCACGCGCGTCGATGGCAATATGCCAGGTGCACGAGCAGCGTGGCCACGACGCTCGTGGCGTGCCCGGGATTTCCCTCGCACGGCCCTTCCGACCAGCAACCGCGATCGCGATCGTTCCAAAGCATCGAGTTCTCCAGCTTGCGCTCGTTTTTCCGGTCATGCCTCGCGCTAGACGACGCGCAAAGCGAACTCGGCTCGGCGATATGAGCCCGGGCCCGGCGCCCGCTGAGTGATCAAACGCCTCAGACTGTCAGCCAGACGGGCATCTTAGGTCAACAACCCCGCGTCCCTGCGAGCGGACGGCCGTCGCAGCGCCCTGCGTGGGCGGGCTCTCGCTCGGTCAGCGCCAGCAGCGCAAAGCGGCGGCCGCACGCACCGGGACCTTGCGAACGCCAGACACCGCCGCTAGCACGCCCTACCGCTCCTCACTAGCACGCCCGTGCGCGTTTGGCCCCGACGCCGCGCCCCGTCGACCCCGTTGCCCCCTGCAGTCAACAACACACCACAAGATGCACGGAGCCGCGGACCTGATCCTCGGCACCGGCGCGGCCGAGTTCACGCTAGAGCGGACGCTGTCCCCGCCGGACATGGCCCCGCGGATGGCCGTCCACGACGTCTCGTGCTACTCGTCGTGCGCTGAGACGCCAGTGGCGGGTGCGGCGGTGGCCGCCACCAGGCCGCTCGGGTCGCAGACCTCGGTGCTCGACGACGACACGCGCAGTCCGGCGTCCCCCAGGCGAGGCACGCGCGGGGCCAGCGAGCGCCGCAGCAGCGAGCGCCGCAGCAGCCGCCCTCTGATGCCTGCTGCTGTGGTGGCGCGGCTGCGCGCCCACGGCATCGCGTCGCCGATGGAGGCGTCGCCGACCGCTGCGCACTGCGGGGGCCACATCGTGGGGCCGCTGCCGGCGGTGGGGTCGTCGACCCAGCTGCTGCGGGGCGCCCTGCTGCGCCACGCCACGCACGCGTCGATGGACGAGCTGACGGGGCCGCCCCCGTCGGAGCAGCGTGCCAGCATGCCTTCGATCGGGCTGGACGGCTCGGATGCGCCGGCGTACTGCAGCACGCCGGACGCGCCCTGGATGCAGGCGGCGTGCGAAGCGCACGCGCAGGCGCACTGCTCCAGCGAGGAGCGCAAGGCGCAACACGCGGCGAGCAGCGCCGCGGCCGAGCGGCGGCTGCCCCGGGAGAAGCGCGCGTCGACCCCGCTCGGCGTGCGCGGCCCCGGCGGCCCCGGCGGCCTGCGGCGCATGCAGACGGCGGTGGTGCCGTCCCTGCCGCAGTCCTTCTACGGCGACTCGCGCCCGGGCGTGAGCGTCAACGGCAGCTCCTGTGGGTGCAGCGGCGTCGACGTGGCCTTCGAGAAGCAGCTCGGCCCGCGCTCGAACCGCCGCACCGTCGGCGCCACGAACAAGATGCCCGACCAGGGCCGCCGCCACGCCCCCTGCGCGCGCGTCAGCTGCGGCGGAGCCGTCGTCCCGGTCGACGCGACGACGCTCGGCGACAGCGGCGTGGGCGCGAGCAACACCGCGTCTCAGACGGTCTCCAACAACTACCAGGAGATGCTCGACGGCAGCGACGCGGACGGGCGCCAGGACAAGCCGCCCCGCGGGTACACGTCCGCGAAGACGTCGCTCGAGAACTCCCGCGAGGAGCGCCCGTACGACGGCCGCCCCGGCCCGCCGTGCAAGGGGCGCTTCCACGCTGCCCGCCCGCTCCCTCTTCCCCCCACCGCCCTCCCCGCGCCCCGCGGCAACGGCCGCAAGCCCGGCGTCGGCTGCCTCGGATGCTTTCGCGCGTAGCCCTGCGCGCGCGGAACCCATCCGAACCGACCGCCCTCTGAAAGCCGCCCCTGTATGAAGCTCTGCCGTGTGCGACAGTCTCGTCGCCCCTGTATGAAGCGCTGCCGCCCGCCCTGCCCCGAGCGAGCCCGAGATCGATCCCGGCCGCACGGAACAGGTGTACCCGACGCGTCCGTCGTTTCTGCCCGATCCTGTCTGGACGCGAAATGAATTCAAACCACCCCCCCTTGAAACTCTCAACCTGCGGCCCCTCCCCCCGCCCTTGAAGAGGAACCGCCCCTCCAACTCATGCATCTTGCCCCGTCCTTACATCCGAGCGCTACCTCTCCTCCGTTGCGAAGGACAGGTGCGCGGTCCTACCCTGCGCCGTCGTCGGTCGCGTTGCTGGTCCACCCAAGCACCACAATTCATCTCCGTTGTTCCTCACCCCGGGTCACGCGGACCCCCTCAATCACGCGACCGACGCAACACCCCCCGCGACGCCGTGCCTCGAGCCGCGCCGTGAGCCTACAAATGGCCCCCAAACAGCGCACAGCGTGATGCGCATGCCCCTCGTAGCCTCTTGTAGCCTCTGCCGCGGCTTGCTCTGCCTGCCTGTCCGTCCCCCCCCCTCGTCCGACCATGTTCCCCCCCCCGCCCCCCCACGCGACTCCTTCCACCTTGTAGCCATATCTGCTCTGTGTTCCGTATGTAGCCCCCCCTCGCGTGCGCCCCCGAGCGACGAACCACTCTGTATTGGAATGACGTCCTCGCGCCATACGTGGCGACCTGGCATGCGATCGCGGCACATTCCTTGCCGCGCGAACTGCCCCGAACATCCTCCACCTGTCAACCCCACGCCTCCACGCGCCATCTCCGACGCCCCGCTCCACCGCTGTCGTCCGACCACCCACCGCCGTCTCATGAGATCCCCCACCAGCCAGAATCCTGCCCCACCTCTCCTGATGAGGAGAACGCCTCCGACACGCTGACCTAGAATCTAGGCCCCGTAGATCCGAGAGAGCAATTCGACGCTCCCGCCCAGTTCCCGCCTTCCCCCCCCCATCACGTGCCTACAAGCCGCTGCGATGTGGCACCCTCCGACTACATGCACCGACACACACAGACACGCACCAAAGTGGAAGTTGTGACATCCCTTGCCTCCCCTCGTCCCCGCGCCAACGGGCGTCCCGCCCCGCTCCTTGCACGCATCGCGTCCCCCGCGCACTTCCTCGCGTAAATAAGCCATAATCTTGGTTGTGCACGTCTGTATTAATCATCATATCATATCATATCATATCTTGTGCAGCCCGTCAGCCCTCGTTCGGCGTGACCGTCGAGTGCTGCGGACGCAGCGACAGCGACGTCAGGAACACCGCCGCCGAGATCACCACCATGTGCCACGACCGCAAAAAGTCCCTGCGCACATGTCAACGCACACACACACACGCGTCGTCGTCGCTCGCTTAACCCCAGCCGCTCCCCCGCGCAGCCCGCCCTCGCCACGTCCCGCGCGCACATGGATCCGCGAGCCTCACCTGTCGATTGAGAACCCGTAGAGAGTCAGGCCCAGGGGGTGGCTGCTGAGGTAGTCCTGGAACGCCTGCCTGCGCTCGTACCCCGTGGAGCCCCCCGCGCCGGCGAGCGTGCGCGACAGGTGCAGCGACGCGAAGGCCTGCGGGATCATCCGCGCGCGGTGCGTCACGACGGTCGCTGCGCGCACCACCGCCCACACCCCCACGATGTGCACGATGTTGTTCAGGATCAGATACACCGAAAGCGCCGTGTCCTCCGCCACAGCGAACTCCGTGCCCTCGCGGTGCCTGCAGACCAGCGCCACGCACGGCACGCAGCTCAGCACACCACCGCAGCGCCCGCGCCCACGCGGGACAACACAACGCACCAGCGCGCGGCGCACGGCGCGAGCGCGGCGGCAGAGGCGCGGCGGGCCCGCTCACTTGGCGTGTCCCTCGATGGTGTCGACCATCAGGAAGTACATGCTGTAGGCGGTCTCGAGGGCGATGAGCAGGGTGGACCCGACGAGCACGAGCCGGAAGCGGTGCGAGATGGCGCTGAGGAGCTCCTTGAGCGCGGTGTGCTCCTTGAGCAGCGCGCTGAGGTCCTCGTCGCGGTCGAGCGGCGCGGAGGGCGACGGCGCGGGCTCGTCCGACTGCCCGCGGAGGAGGCGCGCGCGGAGCTCCGTGTCGCTGCCCGGGGCGTGCGCGTCGAGGGCGCCCGAGACGGACGGGCGCGACGACTGCACGCCGTTGGTGAGCGCGCCGTGGTAGAGGTGCAGGCGCAGGAGGACCAGCGCGCAGCACAGGCGGAAGAGCGCGCACGGGACGAGGAACACCGCCTGGGAGTACGTCGCGGACAGGATCGCCAGGCTGATCACCGCGGACGCCGCGGGCCGCCCGATCGGCTCGCCAGTCCACGGGTCGAGCAGCTCCCAGAACTCCCGCTGCAGAGAGAGCACGCCGGCGGGCCGCGGGGGGGGGAGTTCGAGATTCAGGCGGACCGGAGGCGTGGCTGCAGTGCGGAACGGTGCAGTGCAGTGCGGTGCGGTGCGGTGCGGTGCGGTGCGGTGGTGGTGCGGCGCGCACGTGTGCGATGAAGTAGATGCATCCGATGGAGTGGACGACGAAGAACGGGACGAGGATCGCGGCGATCTCGGTGCCGAAGAGGCCCACGAGGTTGGCATACCCGACCGCGGAGGCGCGATCCCACAGCGGCCGCGTGTACTTGCCCTCATACCTGCGGGCGGCGGCGCTGTGCGGCGCGAGAGTTGGTGCGTGCCGGGGGCTCTGCGGCGCACGGGGCGCGGGGGGCGCGCGGGGCGCACCTGAGCATGAGCATGGACCAGAGGTCGTGTCGGTAGCACACGCGCGCGAGCCAGCCCATGGAGAAGGCAAAGAGCAGGATGCGGAAGGTTTGGACCGAGGACAGCGCGCCCGAGTAGTGCGCGTGGTTGAGCTTGCACTCCTCGAACAGGAGCCTGCGCGGGAGGGGGGACGCGGGGCCCGGCGCGCTGGTCACGGCGTCGGGGGCGGTGTTGCGGGCGAACGAAGGCGCAGATGTCGCTGCTGTGCCCGTGGTTGGCGCTGCCTTGAGTCCGGCCGACCACCACAGGCTTTCAAAAGTTTTTGACTTCGCTCTACTGAGCTGCACCCCGGACCCTCGACTTGCTGCCGCGGCGGACCGAACGGCGGGGGCAACAAATGCAAAAAGGCCAGAGTCCACAAAGGTGAACTGCACCAGGTGCCAGTTCAAGCTACAGCAGTTTCTGGCATCGTCGACCGGGCGGCAGGTGACGAGAACCACGGGCAATCAACTGACCGGCGAGTGCGGCGGCGGTAATGAAAAACACGAGGAGATCTAGCGCCACTTCCTCCGAGGCGTTGCGAACAGCTGAATACGATGGATGTCAAACACGGACTCCTATACAACGTGCTCCGCGCCTCGTGCGTCGCGCGCGAGATGCGCAGGCCCGCCGCGGTGGCGCGCAACCACCACGGTGGGACCCATGGCGTGTCCTATGTTCGGGAGACACTGACCTGTAAATTGGGACTACCAGGCCGAGCAGTACCACCATTGTGACGCCGAAGATCCGCGCCGCTGCCCGGGACGACCCCGCGACGTACCCACCGCTCTCCACGCACATCGGAGCTGCTGGAGCCCCCAGCCACCTCAGGCCGATGGCCAGACGATCGCAGCGGGCATAACCCTGATCGAGGAGTCTATGCTGAAGGTCCCCGTCCGGCTGCCGGGACGCCCGCTCCGGCACGGCCGGAAGCTCGTCTGCTGCTGCTGCATACGTGGGCAGCCGGCGCGCACTGGTGCCGAACACCTTGCGGTAATCCCGCTCCGGGATGAAGCCGCCCGACATCCTCCCCGCGCCGCCGAGCAGCGGCGGCGAGCCGCGCGCCGGACGCCCGTGACAGTGCTGCGGTTGCCAGTGCAGCTTCGCAGCCACACACAAGCGCCACACGCCGAGGAGCGATCGCGCGCCGAGTCGCCGGAAGCCCCCACCGCGCGCGGACAACGTTGGCGGGATCGGCTCCGGCGCCGCCGTTCGATGGCGACCCCCCCTGTGGCGTGATGGGACGTCCCCCCCCGCGGCGGGGCGCTGGGGCCGGCAGAGGCGGCGGCGGCGGCGCAGGGGCGATGCACTAGGTCGCTACGGTCGACAGTTCGCTACGTGCAGCCTTGACGCCTTGTAGCGTGTTCAGTTGGGCGCTGGAAGTACCTTGTGCTGCTGTCGCGGCTGGAAGACGCTAGGCGCCCTGCGGGGGGCGAGCGGGGCGCAGCATGCCTCGCTACTACTGCGAGTACTGCGACACGTTCCTCACGCACGACTCGGCGACCGTCCGCAAGCAGCACTACACCGGCCTGAAGCACAAGTCCAATGTTCGCCGGTACTACAGCGAGTTCCTCCGGATCGCCGAAGACCCTCTAGCAGGCGACAAGGTACGCCACCACGCCCCGGAATCGCGCGCAGATGTGCGCCGGCACGCGCGCGCCAGCGCGGTCGACACCTGCCGCCGTGCTCCACCGTCGCCCGCGCACGGCCCTCGGGCGCAACCGCGGCACCGGCGCGCCCCCAACCACGCACGCTGCCCACCCTCCATCCGCAGTCGGCGAAGGCGGCCTTCCAAGCACGCGTCGCGGCGCAGTTCAACCAGCTGATGATGTCTGGAGGGCCCTCCGGCCTGCCCCCGTTCGGACCGCCAGGCAAGATCCGCGCCCTGGCATCGAACACTCGCCCAAAACTCACGCTACGCTCACGCGGCGCGGCGCTCGCGAGCCCCCACGGTCCCGCGCTCCCCCTCCCCCCCACCCCTCGCAGGCGGCTTCCCGCCCCCAGGAGGCGCGCCGCCGTGGGGCGGCCGTCCGCCGCCCGGGGGGCCGGCTCCACCCTCTGGCCCGCCCCCGGCCGGCTTCCCCGGACCCCCCCCGGGGGGCATGCCCGGAGGCCCCCGTCCGCCGCCTGGCAACCCCATGGGCGGCCCGGGGCCCGGCGCGCCGCCGACGAGCGGTCCGCCGCACGGCGCGTTCCCCGGTCCGCCGCCGCCGGGGTCCGCGCCGATGGGCGGCGGGTTCCCGCCGCCACCAGGGGGGGTCCCGCCACCAGGGGGGGGTATCCTGCGCCGCCGTAGCGGAGGACGGGCGACGGGCACGGACGCGCGAGTGCCACGGCGCATTGATCGACCGCGGCAGCCTGCTCGGGCGGACTCTGTGACGCTTGTTACGCGGTGGAGCGAGCGTGCTGCATGTGCGCAGCGCTGCTGCCAGTTGGAACACGGCGCCGTTGGTGCCGGCTCGCGTGGCGCTGAGGCGACGCGAGCGCGTCCTCACTGAGTTTGCGTCTTGTTTGTTCGGGCAGCACAGCCTGTATCCGCTGGCTCGCCGTCGCTGCCCCCCCCCGTCATCGCGTGCGCTCTCGACCGCCCCGGTTCACGCACAGTGCGCTCCGTTGGGCGCGTTCGTGGGCTTCGGCGGTGTACGTCACAGCGGCTAGCACCGCTAGTCGGTGTCCATCGCGCTCCCCGCGGGCGCCCCCTCGGTGACGCTCACCAGGTCCCAGATGCGCTCCTTGTTCACCGGCGCGGTGCCCGGAGGGTACACCACGGGCTTCTTCCGACTGTACGTCTTCGGGTTCGGCGTCTCGTGGTTCCGCAGGTACTCCACGCCCTCCTGCACCCAACACACCCCCCCGCACCACGTCAGGACGCACACACACACAGCAACAACCCCCCCCCACGCACTCCGCGCGCGCACACACCCCCAGGCCCGCCCCCGCACCTTGGTGATGATGCACAGGTCCACGTTGCTCCCCGACCCCAGGTCGTTGAAGATGCCGCTTCGGATGGCCCGCGCGACGAGCGCCATCGCCTCCTGCTTGTCCATGCCGTCCCTGTAGCCCGCCTCGAACACGGCCATCGCGTTGAGGCTCCCGGAGCCCATGGTGCAGAACGGGAGCGCGTCGGTGGAGCCGTGCGGGTAGACGGTGAACAGGTGCGGGCCCGCGGCGTCGAACCCGCCGAGGACGAGCGCGGCGGAGATGTAGCCCTGGTACCGGAAGAGGTGCGACTTGAGCAGCGTCATGGCGGAGACCACGCGCGAGGGGCGCCCCGTGGAGTACCGGTGGAGCTCCAGCTGGGACGCCACCATCGCCGTGACGTTCTCCGTGTCCGCCGCGGTGCCTGCGGGCGCGCGGGAACACGGCGGGGGTCGGCGGGGGCGCGGGGCGGCGGGCGCGCGGGCGCGCGGCGTGTTGCGCCTGCAACGTGCCTGCGCCGCAGCAGTAGATGTTCGGGGCGATGTAGTGGATTTTCTCGCAGTTCTTGTCCGCCACTGTCGATCCCGCTGTCGACCGGGTGTCCGCCCCGAGCACCACCCCGTCCTGCGCGGCCACGCGGGCGGGGGAGCCCGTGCGGTTGATCGCGCCGCGCAGCGCGCCACGCGGGGGCCGAGGTGGTCCGCGGGCCACGCGAGGAGGAGCGGGCAGATACGGAGATGCGACACCGGGGGGCGAACGGCGGCTATGCAGGTGTGGGCGCCCAGGGTGCCAGCCGAAAGACCAAGGCCCAAAACGTCGGGCAGTTCGCGGCGCACGGCGCTCGAGGCGTCGTTTCCGACATCCACGTCGACAGTTCAAAATGAAACCAAGCTCTGCTGCGCGCGGCGCCTCTTCCCGCGCGCCTGCGCCCGCGTGCGGGCCCTACTCGGTCGCTGGGTGCCCAGGCAGCGAGCGCACCTTGAACACGACCCCCGCGATCGTCGTCCCCGTCTTCAGCGTCTTCGGGGGCTTCACTCCGCGCTTCTCCAGCGTCGCATTGCGCTGGCACAGCTCGAAGCTGAACCCGCCGTCCTCCTCGACGCCCATCGCCCCTCCGCTCCCGCCCCTGCTCGTCCCACGCAGCCGCCTCGCACGTCCAGAACACGAGCTCTAGTGCACGCGGTCGAAAGATCCTACGTCGAGGGATGCGCGTCTGCCCTGGACCCGCGCGCGCGGGGCCCGAAGCGCCGCGGCAGGCTCGCTTTTCTACGCCCTGCCAGCGCGGTCGAGGCCCCGGACCGTCGCACTGCGCGCCGTGGGCGCGCGACGGCCGCGGACCGGGCCAGAACCGACGGCGGCGATCCGAGGGAGCGAGCAGGGCGTGCAGGCCTCGGAGCGTGCAGAATCAACGCGGCGTGCGGCACTAGCGGCAGCTCTCGAGTGAAACTGGGCGCTCTAGCGGCCCGCGCAGCTAGGGAAAACGTCAGGGCTGCGTGTTTCCGCGCTCCACGCGTTCCTCCACATCGTCGCACCTCGTTCGCCCCGTCTCGTGCGAACAGCGCGTGTCTGCGGGCCGCGGCGGCCTCCCCACTGCCGGCGAGCAAGGCGCCCCGGGCCGCGCGGCCAGCGCAGGGATGCACCTCAAGGACGACGTCCTGCAGGCGATGGGGATGGGGAAGGTCTTCAAGGACGCCACGGCCGCGATCAACGCCCTCGACTTCCACCGCACCGAGGACCTCCTGGTCACCTCCGGCGACGACGACCAGGCCCGCCGCCCCGCGCACGACCCCCGCCGCCCGCCCGCCCGCGCCCCGCGCGCACTGGCTCGCCCCACCTCACCGCCGCCGCCCGCGCGTGCGCCGCGCAGGTGTGTCTGTACAACGTGGAGACGGGGCGGCGGGAGTGCGTGGTGCACTCGCGCAAGTACGGCGCGGGCAACATCTGCTTCACGCACCACCCGGGCACGGTGGTGTACTCGTCGCGGAAGGGCCCGAACCACGCGGTGCGGTACCACGCGCTGCACGACAACCGCTACCTGCGGTACTTCGACCGGCACGAGGACACCGTGCGGTCGCTCGCGGTGTCCCCGATCAACGACCTGCTCATCTCCTGCGGCGCGGACAACAAGGTCTACCTCTGGGACCTCCGCAGCCCCACCGCGCAGGGCGTCATGGGCACCAAGAACGACCCCTGCGCCGCCTTCGACGAACAGGGGCTCATCTTCGCCGTCGCCACCGCGTCGGGGCTCGTGAAGATGTACGACATGCGCAAGTACCAGCACGGCGAGTTCGAGCGCTTCCACATTGCCGACGCCGACGGCGCGGAGCCCACCATCGCGTCGCTGCGGTTCTCGCTCGACGGGAAACGCATGCTCGCCGTCGGCGGCGGCGCGGTGTACGTCCTCGACGCCTTCGACGGCAGGTGGGCGCCCCCGCCGCCCGCACGCCGCGCCCGACCCTTGCTGCGCCTGCGTCGGCGTGAAACAACACCCCCCCCCAGCGCCGTGCCGGGTGCCCGTGCAGCCAGCTGTGCCGCGTGGCTACTGGCGACGGTGGGCCCGGGTCGCACGGCACGACCGGCGCGGGCGCTCCGACCCCGGCGCACCACCGCCCTCTCGGCGCGTGCTTCACGCCCGACGGGCGGTGCGTCATGACGGGCTGCGAGGACCGCAGCATCCGCGTGTACGAGATCGAGGAGGGCGGCAAGGTCGACGCGCCGCGGGAGGTGGCGTGCTGGCCCGGGCACGCGGGCCGCCCGACGTGCGTGCGCTTTGCCCCGCGCAGACTGCTCGCGGCCTCCGCGTGCCAGGGGCTCGCGCTGTGGGTGCCGGACCTGTCGAAATGCGGCACGGACCTCTTCGCGGAGTAGGCCGCGGCGGAGCGCGGGTGTGACGGCGCCTCCGCGGGCCTCGCCGCGTGTGCTGACTCGACGCCAGCGGAGAGGTTAGGGCGAGTAGGGTGTGACGGCGCGCGCTGCGCGGTGTGGGCGCCCCGGCGCGGGCGCGCGTCACTTTCTGCGCTCAGTACGCAACACAGGCGCGTCAATCCTAGGCGCCGGAACGCGCTCGCTTGTCGTCGCGCAGCCTAGCCCCACACAGACACGTGCCGAGCGCGCGTCTGCGTCGAGCTACGGCAGGATGCTCGTTCCCAGGGCGTGCACTGTGGGCCGGTGCGCCAGCGCGCCCGCGGAGCGCCGCCACCGCGCGCCCGGCGCCCCGCACCGGCCGGGCGGTTGCCCCGGGCGCGTGGGGCAGTTGGGCGCCGCGAAATGCGGCTGCTCGCGGCACCAGCGCGCCGTCGTTGCGCGCTCCGAGACGGACACGGACACGCAAGCGGGATCGGCGTTCCTGTCGGACATGCTGACGTTCGAGTCGGACACGCAGGCGCACTCGATGGACGACGACGCCGAGGAGCGCGCGCTGCAGCTCGTCAACCGCGCGACGAGCACGCTCCGCCGCGCGGAGGAGCTCCTTCAGAAGAACGAGGGCGATCAGGGCGGCCGGAGGGGCCCGGCAGCCCCGCGCGGGGGCGCACCTCCCGGTTCGCGCACCACCAAACCACAGCGCAGCACCGCCTCCCGGAAGGCTCCGGCCCCGGACGCCAAGAACGGCGCCGCGAAGACGTCGCCGAGCGCGAGTCGCAGCGGCTCGGATGCCTCGCGGGCCGGGCGGGTCGGCGCGGAGGGAGGGAAGACGGCCGAGGGAGGCGCTAGGGCACCTGGGGCTGGTGCCGCGGAGAACGGGTACTCTGGCGGGTCCGACGCGGAGTTCGGACACGCCCGCTTCGACCCCTTCGCGGGGCCGCGCCCGTCCGCGGGCGCCGACGGTCCAGCGCCGCTGCGGCTCAAGGAGGAGGTGGGCAACCAGGGCGTCGAGCTGGCGTTCAAGGAGCCCGAGGCACGACTCCCATTCCGCCCCACGACGTACCCCTCGAACTCCAGCGCCCCGGAGCCGCCCCCTGCGAGCGTATCACGCGCTGTGCGTGCGTGGGGCCGGGGTGCCCTACTTGGGGCACCTCAGGCCGCGTCTGCCCCGCTGCTGGGCCTGCCGCTCGTTTTCCCCGGCCTGCGCGCGAATCGTTCGGTCGCGTGCGTCCGGAACAATGCCTCGCAGGCGGAGGCGCGCTCGCTGGACCTCACGTTCGAGACGGAGGGGGAGGCCAAGCGCGCCAAGGCCACCAAGGAGATCACGCTCCAGCTCGAGTCCGTGCTGGACCTCACGACGGCCGCCGCGCCCCCGAAGCAGGCGGCCGAGGAGGCGGCGTCAGGTGCGGCCACGCGCCGCCCAGCCCCGCGCGCGCCCGCACGAGTGCCTGATGTTGCTCACAAGCGCGCGCTGGCGTCGGTGCCTGCAGAGGAGCCGGTGAAGGAGGTGCTCGGTCGACAGCTCGCGGACGGCGCGGGGACGCTCCCGGACGGCACGCGGTGGTCGAAGCAGAGCGGCGTGGAGTACGGGGCCAACGGGCTGCGCAAGCGGTGGAACCTGCTGCGCGGGGAGACGGTGGACGGCGTGAAGTTCGAGGAGTGCTGGTGGGAGGCGACGGACTGGGGCGGGTACAAGGAGCTGGGCGCGACGAAGAGCGGGAGCAGCGAGGACGGCGCGGCGTGGGAGCAGTCGTGGAAGGAGGTGCTGGGGCGCGACGGTCCGCGGCGGATCCCGTTCGTGGAGCGCATGGCGCACAAGAAGGCGCGGAGCGCGGGGGGCGCGGAGGAGTGGGAGGAGCAGTGGGGGGAGAAGTACTTGGCGCGCGGGCCGTCGCAGAAGTACGCGGACAAGTACGGGCGGACGCCGACCGACATCTGGCACGAGCGGTGGGGGGAGGACTACGACGGGCGCGGCGGGTGCGTGAAGTGGACGGACCGGTGGTCGGAGCGCGACACGGGGTACGGGTGGCGCAAGTGGGGCGAGAAGTGGGACGAGCGCTTTGCCAACGGGACGGGGTCCAAGAACGGGGAGACGTGGAACGAGGAGGCGGACGGGTACCGGTACAACCGGTGGTGGGGCGAGGACCACATGGGCGGCGGGCAGGTCCGGAAGCACGGGCACAGCACGACGGGGGAGTACTGGGACCACGTGGAGCACATGGACACCTACTACAACCCCATCCCGCACTTCGACTTCGGGATGGCGCTCAACCACTCGCCCGAGCTGCGGAGCCTGGCGGTCATGCCGCGCGACGCCAAGGAGCGCGAGCTCGGCGGGGATGCTGCGGACGGCGGCGACGGCACCACCGGTGGCGGGCTGGCCGACTTCTGAGCGGGGCTGGGGCGCGGCGCAGCGTGTTGTGACGCAGTGCGGGTCACAGTGTCTTTGCAAGCAGCGCGCGACGCTTGGAGCACGCTGTCGCCTCGCTCACTTGCACATGGTTATCTAGGTCGCTGCATATATACACGCAAGACACTACGAACGCGGCGAAGCGCGGCTCCGAGATCGCGTGTCGCCCCCACGCACCGCCCAGCTCACGGTGCCTGTGGAGCGCTCGCCCCGGCAGCGCCGCCCGCAGCCCCCTCCTCTGGCCCGGTTTCGGCCTGCCGCAGCACCGTCGCCGCGGGGACGGGGGAGAAGTACAGGTCCATCGCCTCCCGGAACCGCTGCATGTACTGCTCCGGCGAGATCACCGTCGGGCGCCCGGCCGCGACTCCCCCCAGGATGCCGCTCGACTTGACCCACGTCTCGAGCTGCTTGTCCCACGTGAACTGGCGCAAAAAGTCGATCACGCCCAGGACCAGGTGCCCCGACGCCGGGTCGACGCCCGCGAGCAGCGAGTAGTCCATCACCGACAGCTTCGAGAGGAAGGATGTGTCCTCCCACAGTGCCCGCCGCGCCCGCGCCCAGGACGCCGCATCCACCCAGATCTGCTCGCCAGGGAGAGTCTCGAGCAAGTTCTGGTCCCACAGCACCGCGGGGCCCCTCCCGCGCGCGTCCCCGCCCTCTCCGACATCGCCCACGACCTCGCACGACCCCCCCTCGCCGTCGCCGCCCGCGCCGTTCAGCGCCGCCGCCTCCGACGCCCCCACCTCGGCCTGGTGCCGGTTCCGCGTCGAGCCCTTCAGGTCGTACACGTGCGTCGGCCGCCGGCCCGCCAGCACGTTCTCCATCACCAGCAGATCAATCGACGCGTCGCGCACCCTCGGAGCGTCGCGCTCGGGCTTCGCCGCCTGCCCCGCGGCCCCGCCTTGCGCCCCCGCCGCGCCACCGGCGCCGCCCGCTGTCCCGGCGCGCGCCGCCGCCGCGGCCCCCGCGCTCGCGCCCGCCTGCGCCCCCGACGGGTTCTTCACGACGACGGTGAAGGCGCCGAGGATGCGCGCGAGGCACGTGGGGCGGTCCCCGCGACCCGCGACGTGCGCGAGGTACTCGGGCGCGTACTGCAGGAACGCCTGCTTCTCCGGGCGCGACATGGCCTTGAGAACAAGGCGGTCGTCCCACGTCTTGGCGAAGTACGACCCCGAGCGGCCGCCGCCGCTCTGCCAGGGCTGGCAGCGCAGGAGCGAGGCCACGAAGCCATCGTTCGCGGCCGCCGGTGACCCGCCGGGCAGCCAGAGCGCGCGGACCTCCTCGAACTGCGCGGCGAAGTATGCTTCTACTTGGAACACAGCCCCCGACCCTGACGCGTCCGTGAACGCGTAGCGCACGTGCACGCCCTCGCGAGACTCGATCACCGATGGCGTGGAGCTGCTCGCCGGCAGCGGCGGCGTCCCGGACCGCGGCGGGGCCCCGCCGTCGCCCACAAGCGGTTGCGAGAGGCGCCCGGAGCCTAGTCCCGCCGCCGGGGCCACGCCCGTGGCGCTCCGCCGACGAGACTGGCTGCGCGGGCGCGCGACTGCCGCCGCGCCGCCCGACAGCTGCTGGCGCGCGACGGAGACCAGGCTCGCGAACCCGCGCGCCGCCAACGCATGCGCGATGATCGATGCAGGCTCCGAGTCGTACACGGGCACCGGCACCGCTGACGACGTGGCAGGGGAGCGCCGCGGAGCGCCCGCGACGCCCTCGAAGAGCAGCGCGCGGCCGGGGATCGCGGCGGAGGCGGTGGAGCCCAGCGGCACCACGGTGGCCCCGTCAGCCTCCGAGGGGCCCTGACGCATGCCTTGGAGGGGCCCGAGGTCGAGCCGCTGCGGGATGTTGCTGATGAAGTGGTGCATGCGCGGGCCCGCGGCGTTCGACGCGCGCCCGGTCCCCTGCGCGGGCGTCGGCGGCGCAGGTTCCACGGAGGCGTCACTCGCCGAGGCGACGCGCGGCAGGGCCTGCTCCGCGGCCGAGTTGCTGCGGTGCAGGCGTCGCAGCTCCTCCGGCACGGCGGAGATCGTCCCGACGGAGTCCCTGTTGGACCCTGACAGGTCGGCGCTCGTCAGGTCGGACGCCGGGCCCGACTCCGACTGCAGGAGCTGCTCCGTGGTGAGAAGCCCGGCGTCGCAGAAGAGACGCTTCGCCGCCGCGGACGCCGTGGCTGGCGTCGCGCTGCCGCTGGCGTCGCCGGCCTGCGCCGCGTCCGTGGACAGCTGCGGCACCGAGGCGACAGGCCGCCACCAGCGCCGCGGGGCGGGGGGGGCGGGGCTCGGGGGCTGCGGGGAGGCCGGGAGCGCGGGCGACGCCGCGCCGGAGTCGGCCCGTCCGCGCGAGCCGGCCGCGTCCGGCACCGCGCCCTGCTCGGGGGGCACTCCCTCTGGTACAAGCTTGACCCAGGCGGGGGTCAATTGTTTCATCGCGCCGTCGGGTCCCTGCGGCGCGGGAGGCGCGAGCCGCTGCGACCACGCAGCCGCGCGCTGCGCGAGCCGGCAGCGCAGCCGCGCCACCTCCGCCACCGCAACCCACGGCCCCTCGACCGCGCCGCCCGCCGCGTCCGCGCCCTCCGCCGACCCCGCCGCCGCCACCTCCGCAGCGCCCCTCGCCCACCGCACAAACACGTCGCGCTCCTCCACGGCCTCCGCGGCGCCAGGGCCGTCGTCCGCCGCAGCCACGGCGGCGTCCACCGCGCTGTACACACTCGCCACCTCCGCCTCGAGCGCGCGCGCCTCCGCGACGGCGCGGCGGCGGGCCAGCGCGCCGTCGTGCGGCACCTGCCGCTGCGGCGGCAGCAGCGCGGCCAGCGGCTGCAGCGCGTCCTGCTGCAGCCGCAGCACCATGCGCCCCACCCCCAGGAATCGGATGTAGTCGCCGTGGAGGCGCATGCCGGCCACGTGCACGGCGCTCGCGGACAGCAGCAGCTCGAAGAAGTGCCCGATCGAGATGCCGCAGACTGCCGGGCTCAGGAGGACCCTGCGGGCCCCGGACTGCGCGCTGTCGGCCGGGGCGCCGCCGGCGGGGTTGGTGCGCGGGGCGGCCCACATCCACACGTGGCCGTCGCCCGCGCCCGGGAGCGTGCGGCTCTCGTCGATCTTGTACACCGCGGCCGTGACGCGCGCGTTCCCGAGCGCCCACGTCAGCAGGTGCGCCGCGGGCCCGTCGCCGCAGCGCGCGTGCGAGCAGGTCCGGGCGGCCTTCGCGGGCCGCAGCACGCTGAGCAGGAACGCCCCGAGGCTGACGTCGCGCGCCCCGAGCACGTCGAAGGTCTCGCGCGACGGGGGGCAGCACACCACTCCGCGCGACGGGTTCGCCTTGCGATAGAGCACCTGCACGGGCCCAAAGACAGCTCCCCGCGCCTCCTCCGGCGCGGCGGGCGCGCAGTCGCACTGCGCGTACGGCGACCGTGGCACGTAGCTCCCTGGTCGCGCCGCCGCGGCCTCTGCGGCCCAGCGCGCCACCTCCGTCGCTGCCCGGCGGGCCAGCGCAGCCGCGTCGGCGCCGCCAACCCCGGGGCGCGCGCCGTCGCCGTCCGCTGCGGCGCCAGGCTGCTCGCGCTCGCTCGCGGCGGCGAACGCGGCCGGCGCGCACACCGCGAGCGTGTCCGCCATCAGCAGCGCCTCCTGCAGCTGCTGCACGGCCGTCACGACGCCCGCCTCCACTGCCGACGTCAGGGGGGGCAACAACTCCACGCTAGGGGCCCGCACGAGCACCGTCCCGCCGAGACCGACGTCGCAGCCGTCGAACACCATCAGCGGGCGGTCGGCGCCGCGCCCCGCGCCCCCGGCGTGCCGTGCGGGCAGGATGTGGAACGACGCACACGTCCCGAGGCAGCGCGGCTCCAGCTGCTCGAGCGTCGCCGCAACGCGCCCCCGCGTGAGCCTGGCGACGCGTTCCAGCGTCTCGGCGCCGATGTTGAGCGCGAGCGACACCCCCCGCTCCAGCAGCAGCTGCTGCGCGTGCCGCGCCACGGTGCCCTCCACGAGAAGCACGCTCGGCCCCGCACGACAGATGAACTCCACGGCCTGCGCAAGATACTCACGCTCCTGCTCGAGAAGCGTGTCCAGCGACGACAGCCTGCACGCAGAGCCACCAGCAACACTCGGGCGTTGTCGTTGCACAGCACGGCCTGCGAGCCACGCAGGGCGCGGTGCGACGCACGCGGCGTCGCGTACCGGTCGGTGGTGCGGTGGTACTCGAGGGCGCCGAGGAGGCACGCCACGCGCGGCTCGTCCACGTGCGTCCGCATGCGCCGGTGCGCCACGTTGCGGGCCAGCACCGCGCCCGACACGACCTCCCCGGCCGCGTCCGCGCCCGCCGCGGTGTCCACGCAGCCGACGACTTGAATGTAGCGCAGCGGGGACCGCCCCTCTCCGGTCTCCGCCAGCTGCGACAGGTCGAGGCGCGTCGCAGCGTCCCACGCAAGCGCAGCGGCTGCCGCGCGCCACTCGTGCGGGAGGCCTCGGAGCTCGGGCCACCTGTCGAACACGAGGCGCATGACCGCCTCGCAGTGCGCGCGCGCCACGTCGAGCAACGGCTTCCGCGTCTCCGGCGCGGGATGTTGCACCCCTTGCGAGGGGGGGCCTGACGCAGCTGACGCAGGCGGGGCCACGGCGGCAGGGCCGACAGCTCCGTTGACGCGCGGGCCACCCTCGTCGCCGCCGTCGCGTCCGAGGCTGTCGGCTCGCGACTCGTGCCCCGTGCTGGCATCGGGGCCTGCGTTGTTGTTGCCGCGGGTGTGCGCGTGGGGGGCGTCCGCGCCGGGGGCGGCGTGCACGATGCTGCCACGGGGCGATATGACGTTCGGGGGGGCTACGTTGGAGTGGCCTGCGCAGCGGTGCGGACGCCGGGGCGAGGTTGATCAGGGGGGGGTGTTCGACGACTGTGTCAGGAGGGCTCGTCGACAGCGCTCGCGTCGACCTGGCTGCCCGAATGCTGGCAAAGCGCCCGTGGCGGGAGGACGTCGCCTGGTTGCTCGCCGGGCGCTGGCAGGGCTACACGGCGGCATGCTGTGTTCGAGCACCGCCCGCCGAGCGTCGAGGTGGTGGTGCACCGCCACACACGGCCCGGCAGGTATCGGGGAGTCTGAGCGACGCGCGCTCCTCTGGTGAGCTCGCGTGGCCGATGGACGACCCAGCGCTGCGCCGCGTTGCAAACGATCGGTGCGTGCTGTGACGGGTCCGGGGGGCTGTTCCCGGGTGCCGCACCTGCGGGAGAGTACGTGCTGAGGGAGAAGCAGAAGTTGCAGACCCGTTTGGGCGGTTCCCCGGGCGCCAGCGACAGGAACTGGGTGCACCGGTGGCAGAAGATGCGCCCGCAGACCCGGCAGTGGTGCCTCCGCAGCAGGATCGTGAACGGCGTGTCGCACTCGTAGCAGACCTGCGCGATGGTCGACGCCAACGTCAGGGCGTCGCAGGCCACGGGCCAGTGCGGTGGTGCAGTGGCGCGCAGCGGGCTGACGTGGCCGTGGAGAGCGCGCACGCGCACCTTGCACGTGTGGTCGTCCATCCAGAGAGTCCTGTCCTCGGCGTCATCCGCCCCAATCCCCTGCACGCGCGTGAGACAGCATGCAATTCAGCCAAACAGAGGGCAAACAGGCTGGAGCTCACTGCCTGGTCGCGGGCAGTGGACCGCAATACAGTGCGGTAGCGCTGGAGCAAAGAACCAGACTACACGACCCGAAATTTCCAGACAAGTCGCCCCAAGAGATCTTCGGGACGGTGGGGGGCGCAGCGCACTGTCAACAGGGAGTTCACCACGAGGCGTCGCAGCGTGGGAAACATGGTCTGTGAGAACCCCTCGCCGTCGCTCCTCAGGACCTGAACTACGAAATCAGGCGCCCTCCTGCCCTCCACGTCGTCCTGAAGACCGCTGCCACGGCGACTTCATGGGTGCAGGTGCAGGACCCCAGTGGCAGCGAGCCCACGCGTACTCATGCCCCGCGGGTGACTCGAAACGGTCGAACAGTACAGGCGGGACTTGGCAGGCCGGCCACGACGCGACGCCGAAGGCTGCAGGCGCCGGAAGAGGCCTGGTGGGGTTGTCCTGCCATGACGGAGGGGACGCGCGGCAGGAGGAGGTCCGACGGCTATTGCGCCACCGTGCCGAGCGCAGACGCGTACGTAGCGAAGGCAGGACGTGGTCGTCCCGAAACCCAGCGGAAACTATCCCAGCGTTGATCGGTGTTCCGTTGAGACACATCCAGCCTAGCATGTTCGCTAACGCCGCGAGGTGCGCTCCCGCACGCGTCTGCACGAACAGACACGTTCCTCAAGCTTGCCATCATCATGAATTCGCTCGTTCGTCAGTGTTCGCCCCCACACGCGTCCTGTGCGCACCAGAGTGCCTCCAGAGCCACGAACACCCACATCGCGCTCGTCCCTCTCACGACGTGCCCGCAGCGGCTCTGCCGTCTGTGCGACGAAGGCCCCGTCCTCTGCACACGCTCGGGCGGCGCCGTTCCCCCGGGCCGCGCCCGCATCGCACCCGTTCACGGGCTGCCGGAGCCCGGCCGGGCCCCACGGGACGTTCCAGGCGCAAGCGCGGCCTCAGTCCCTGCACGTGAGTACCCCACTGAAGCGTCTCTGGCCATCGGACGACAACACCGCATGTATGGCCCTGTTTCGTGCTCTCGCACGCCGCATACCTTTGCCGTGCCAAGAGCGGCCTCGCACGCGGCCCCGCGCGCACCGCAGGTGGTGCGCTCGGCCAAGGGCATCACGTACACCTCCTACGAGGGCAACAGCTTCAAGATCAACTTCAAGAAGGCCGGCGTGACCCTCCTGATCGACCCGTGGCTGGTGGGGGACCTCACCTTCGGCGGCCTCGGTACGCCCCCCCACCGCGACCGGGTCCACACGCCGCGGAACTCCAACACCGCAACGGTCTCCTCCGCCGCCCAGCACCGTCGCGTCCGTCGCCCCCACCAGCTCGCACCCCCCCCCAAGTGTCAGCACATTTCACACCCCCGCTCCCTGCCACGCCCCCCCCCGCAGGCGAGTGGTTCTACGCGGGGAAGAAGGTCGATGCGCTCCCGCCGTTCGAGGAGTCGAGCCAGTGCGACGCGATCGTCCTGACTCAGGGCCTCGACGACCACGCGCACAAGCCTACGCTGGAGCGCCTCGACAAGGAGATCCCCGTGATCGCGTCGCCGACGGGCGCGGAGGTCGCGCGCTCGCTGGGCTTCCGCAGCGTGACGCCGCTGCCGCACGGGGCGTCCGCGTCGATCCTGGACGGGAGGATCAAGATCACGGCCACGCAGGGCGCGCTGGTGGGCCCGCCGTGGTCGACGCGCGAGAACGGGTTCGTCATGGAGGAGGTAGGTGCCCTCGGGCGCGGGGCGGCGCGGCCGGCGGCGACGCGCGTGCTGTCGGCCGGCGGCGACGCGCGTGTGTGGGCGCGTTGTTGCTGACTGCGGGGGGGGGTGTTTGCTGACGGTGTTGGCGTGGGTGCGTGCTGCGCAGATGGTGGACGGCGGCGCGCGCGTGTACTACGAGCCGCACTGCGACTACGCGGGCGACCTGGCCGCGACGGTCGGCAAGGTTGACGTGGTGGTGTCGCCGGTGCGCACCGTGTCGCTGGGGTCGTACCCGCTGGTCAAGGGCCTCGAGTACATGCCGCTCGTCAAGGCGCTCAAGCCGCAGGTGCTGGTCGGGATGAACAACGCGGAGACCACGCAGGTGGGGCTCCTGAGTCAGGGCATCAAGACGGAGGGGACTCTCGAGCAGGTCCCGGGGGCCCTGCAGGCCGAGGGCATCGAGACCAAGTTCGTGACGGTCAAGACGGGGCAGCCCGAGGAGATCGCGCTGCAGTGACGCGTGTGACGCCCCGCGCGTACGTCTTCACACCCCCTCACTTGGACCGCTTGTAGATCTTCTTCAGGAGCGGCATGAAGACCGCGGCGGGCACCTTCGTCTGCCCCTCGATCTTGCCCACCAGCTCCTTGTGCGACTCCTCCTCGTACTTCTTGAAGAGCGCCTCCAACCCCATCTCCCGGTACAGGGCCTTGATCTTCGCCACGTGCTCCTTCTCCGGCCGCCCGTAGTGCTCCTGGACGACCTTGCGCTGCGCGGGCGTCGCGCGCTCCAGCGCGTTCACCACCAGCCAGCTGCACTTGCTGTCCTCGATGTCGGTGCCCACCTTGCCGATGACCTCGGGGTCGCCGTAGCAGTCCAGGTAGTCGTCCTGGATCTGGAAGTACTGCCCCATCTCGATGCAGATGTCCTGCGCCACGCGGTACGCGCCCTCGTCCTCCACGCCCGCCAGGCGCATCCCCAGCGCCACGGGCAGGTAAAAGGTGTAGAAGGCCGTTTTGAAGGTCACGATCCGGAGGTACGTGTCGAGCGTGTACCGCTCGAGGTTCTTCTGCCCGATCGGCGCCGTGATCAGGTCCAGCTGCTGCCCGTGCGACGTCTGGAAGGTCACCTCGTGGAACAGGTCCAGGAGGTGCACGTAGCACGCCCGCCCGCGGAACCGCCGCCGCAGGACGTTGTAGATCGCCGCCTCGAGCAGGATGCAGTCGTTGCACGCGATCATGCCCACCTTGGGCACCTTGTACCAGCACGGCTGCCCGCGCCGCGTCACGCTGCCGTCCATGATGTCGTCCGCCACGAGGAAAAACGCCTGCAGCAGCTCGATGCACCACCCCGCGACGTTCGCGTCCTTCACCTCCTCCGCCGTCGGCTCGCGGTCCAGCAGCGCGCAGAGCGCGTCCAGCACGGCCATCCCGCGGTTGAGCTTCCCGCCGGGCACGTTGTAATCGAGCATCTCCTTGAGCCACTCGCGCGCCTCCTTGGGCTGCCCGGCGAGGAGGGGGTCGTCGAGGATCTCGTCACGCATCTCGTAGTAGACCTTGGTGAACTCCTGCGGGGGGCCACGGGCGCGTCGCGGGCTCGGGGCGCGTGCGCGGCGGGGGCCGGGCCTGTGGGCGCAGGAGGGGGGGCCCGGGCGCGGGAGGCGTCCGCGGCGGTCGCGATGGTATGTTTGAGCGAGGTGCGTGACGGGAGCTGGGCCCGGCGGCCGGCAGGCGGCGCGATGGTCGATCGCCCGCCCCGGTTTCCCTCTTTGCATGCATCCAGGGACGGCAACAGAGCGAAAGAGCGCGCCGCAGCGGTGCTCGGATGCGCGTGCGGGACGCTCAGGGATCGTGGCGGGGCGCTGGCACAGCGAGCAGGCGCCATCGCGTCCGCACGAGGCGGGGCGCCGCGTGCCCGCCTGCGCGTGCTGCGGCGCAAGGTAAACGCCGCCCCTGGCGCCGCGTTTCCGCACAGAGCAGCGAACCGATTCTTGATGCAATGGTGCTACCATGGAGTCTCGCAGGGGACCGTTCAAACCGCCACATGTGCCCGGCGCGGGCCCCGTCGCGGGGCGGGCCTGCGAGGCGAGACGCGAGCACGGGAGCGCGCGCGGCCGCGGCAGACGCGCCGCCGCTGCACCGGCACAGCGCGCGCCGGCGCGCCCCCTGCCGCTCTCTCCGCCCGGGTGCGCGCACGGCGTCGGGCCGGCGCACCTCCTTGGTCTGGGACGTGGCCTTGGCCTTGGTGGCCGCAGGCGAGCCCGCCGCGGGGCCGTCCGCCTTTCGTTTCTTGTCGCCGCCCATCTCCGCCACGGAACTCCCTCCCTGCGCCACCGCGCGCGCGCAATCACGGCCGTCCGGGCGCAACTGCGCCTCACAGAGTCCCCCCGGGCACTTGGTGCAACGCATGCACGTGCGCCGGTCTGCCCAGGGGGCGAGCGGTGAAAGTGCGGCGATTGGGACACCCGCGCGGGAGTGCCGCTGCCGCTGGCCCGGCGCCCGGGAGGCGGCCGCGGGGCGTGGCGATGGGGCCACGTGGGTTGCCTGGTGGAATGCGCGGACGCGAATGATGAGACCGTGACGGTGCGGCAGGAGTTTGACTGTTTTGAGGGGTGGGTTGCCAGGACGGGGGGAATTCCGACTCGGGATCCTCGAATCACAATGAGTCTGTGCGCAGGCAACCTAGTTGCGCATGATGCATGACCTGCTGCGCACGCAGCGGGCGCATGGTGGGCGCCGGGGCGTCTCCGAATGCGGGCGCCAGTCACGACGCAAGTGTACGCTTCTTCCAAATAGGGCTGGGAGTCAATGAGTCGACCAACCGGGGTGGTGCGCATCAGCGTCCGCTGCGCGCCCGGCGAGCCGCCGAAGACCCTTCCTCGGCGGCGTCGTTCCAAGCAGGCGACGTCCGAGTCGCTCACGCTGAGCTGACCCGATCTCCTGCCTTGGCAGCGTTGAGCAACAATGACAGCGTCTTTGCTCCCATGCCGTGGGGGCGGGGGGGGGGGAAGGAAGGACGAAGGTTGGCTGTAGCGGCAGGCCGAGGACGTTGCCTCTTTCAGGCCCATCCTGCGTGCTGGAGTGGAATCGCTTCGACATGGGTGCGCGGCCGCGGTTGTCGTCGCGGCTACATCACCACGCAGCACGTGGGCTGGCTGGGCGGACTCTTCTCCGGCTCCGTCTCGAGCACGCCGTCGCGGATCATCGCGTCCAGCTCCGACACCACCCTGCAGGGCACGATGCACGAGCCGGCGCGGATCAGCCCTGGAGCGCATGTCCGCTGCCGAAGCTTGCACCACGCCGGCATCGGGGCCGCTGCCGTGTGACCGCGAGCGTGGGGGCGGGCACGCACTCTTCCATGGCGGGCCGGTCGCTGGCACGCGGGGCCCACGCGCGGCGCAGGAGGTCCTTGAGCTGCACGGGCCACGTAGGGGGGAGGTCCGGGCGCGCCCCGTGGTTGGCGACGCGGGAGGCGTAGGCCCAGAGGGCCTCGGCGCAGGGCTTCTTGAACTCCTTGACGCGCAGGCGGTACGCGAAGAGCTCCCACGCGATCATGGCCCACGAGAACACGTCGACGCGGTCGTTGTACGTCTTCTCGCACCGGAACACCTCCGGCGCCATGTACATCAGCGAGCCCGTCCGTCCTGCAGCGCTGGGGCGGCGGGCGCGTGAGCAGCGGCGCGGGAGCGCGGGAACGAGCAGAGCGTGGTTGCGCGGCAGCGCGTGGCGCGGGGGCGCACCCGTCATGGTCTCCGTCGCCATGGCGGCGTGCCGCGCGTACGCCGCGTGCTTCCCGCGGTTGTGCGGGCGGTCCGGCCTATGCCGCGCCATCCGCCCCGACCGACCCTCCGCGGCCTCCTCCGCCGCCGCCGCCGCCGCCGCCGCCGCCTCCTGCTCCTCGATCTCCTCCGCCACGCGCTGCAGGTCCAGCTGCGACCCCACCTGCTCCAGCATCCTCGTCGTCCCCTCCGTCTGCTGCGCCACCAGCTTGCTCAGGCCGAAGTCGGCGATCTTCACGTCCGCCCGCGAGAGGTCCTGGTCCGACGTGAGGAGGTTCTCGCACTTGACGTCGCGGTGGATCACCTGCGGCCGCGACGCGTGCAGGTACGCCAGCCCCCCCGCGACCTGCCTCAGCCACCGCGCCGCGTCCCGCCACGCGTACGGCCGCGGGGCCCCCGGGCCCGCCATCGCGGCGTGGAGGATCACCGTCCGCAGGTTCTCCCCGGGCTCGTACTCCTGCGCCAGGAACACGTCGCCCATCTCCGTGCCGGCCTCCTCGCGCTTGAGGTCCTCCAGCTTCTTGCTGAGCGACGTGCGGCGCGGCGCCGACGACCGCGAGAGCGCGTGCGCGTTCCGGATGGTCCCGATGCCGCGGAACTCCACGATCGACGGGTGCCGGATCGACCGCATCACCTGGATCTCCGCCAGCCAGTCGGCGTACGTGCCAGCGTCCATCTCCTTGCTCGGAGACAGCTCCTGCGACGCGGACCACGCGCGGCGCTGCAGGCTCTCGACGTGCTCGCGGGCATCGAGGTGCGTGCGCGCGGGCGCGCGCGCCGCCCTGGCGCGCAACGGGCGGCGGTGACCTGACGGCGGGGTCCTGACGCAGGGCCGGGCGCCGGCGGGGCGGGGGGCGGGCGCGGCGCACCTTGACGGCGAGGAGCTCCGTGGACCCGTCGCGGCGCGTGTGCTCCTTGAGCCAGACGGCGCCGAACGCGCCCTGCCCGAGCTTGCGGATGGTCTTCAGGCTGCGAAAGTCAATCTCCACGGTTCCGAACATGTTGCGCAGCAGGTGGCCGTGCTGCGTGCTCTCGTACTTCGGGCCGGCGCGCTTCTCGGGCTCGGCCGGAGACGGCTCCGCCTCCGGCAGCTCCACCGCGGGCCGCGGCTCCGTCTCGGCGTCGTCGCTGGCGGCGCGCGGGGCGTCCGCTGCGGGCTGGGGCGGCAGCACGACGCGCACTTTCGGGCGCGCCGTGCTCCTGTTCGCCGACTGGTTCATCGACGCGGAGGGCGGGTCCACGCGGGGCGAGTTCTCGCGCGTGGGCGAGCGCGCCGTGGGGAAGGCTGTGCCCGCCACCAGCTCGTCGCGCGCCGGCTCCTCGTCCGACGCGCGAGCGGGCCGCGCGGGCAGGACGATGCGCACTGGGCGTTCGTGCGCGCCCATGGGGTCGGGTCCGCTCTCCGCGCGGCAGGTGCACCTGCGGCAGCACGATTGGGCGACGGCAACTCTCAGGGCCGCCGCCGCCGCTGCGACGTTCCAGAGGCGGCGAACGGCGTGTGGCGGGTGCCCCGAACAGAGAGGAGCGGTTGCTGCCCGCCCCGCTGTCTCGTCGAGGGCCGGCCGCCACCGCCAGCCGCAGCCCGCGTGCGAGCCTGTGTGGTTGCCATCGGACGGCGACGGGGGGGGCGTGGAGCCACGGCGCAAGACAAACGGGCGCGCCGCGGCGCACGCGTAGGATACCACGTGCGAGAAGGACGAAAGATGTTGCAGACCGCGACGAGCGGCGCCCGCAGGCGGGGACGCACCTGTAACTGAATTGAGGCGCTCCTGTGCGGGAGCGGAGGCGCGCGGGTAGCGAGCTCAAAGTGCCCGTGTGAGGTCCGCTTGGGCGACGAGGAGCCCGTCACTGCGGCGGCCCGCGCGCGCTTGGCCCCATGTGCCCCGCGGCGCGTAGGGGTCTGATGCTACCAGATTGGTCGCCGTCAGCAGTGGTGTCGTGGACCCAGGCCCGGTGCGACTCGCCCGCAGGCGGTCCGTACCGGAAGGGCGCGTCGCAGATCGTACGCGCGGGGACTTTCGGACCGTACGCCGCGCACGACGCAGCGCCCATGGGTGCTGTTGCGCAGACGTGCGCGCACGTGGGCGTGGGCGCAAGCGACCGTCGGCGGCCCGCATGCTCGATGCTGACAGCGCCAACGATGCCTCGATGCCTTCGGCGCCGCGTGGCGACGCACGGGACGTCAATCGGCGCGACATTCGTGTGTTATGGTTCCGGTGCCCCACCAGCGCGACGTGGTTCGCCGGGGGCCGGCGCCTGCGGCCACGAGCCTGAACAGGGATAGCGCTGCGGCGCAGGGGCGTGAATTCATCTTCTGGAGGCCGCCCCGCCCCCCGCGCGACGACGTTTGTTTCCGTCCGCGTGGGGGCGACACTCGACCGCCGCGTGCCGTCGACCTGTACGGGGCCGCGGCCCCGCGGCCTGGCACGCCGTTGCGCGCACGCTGCGGTGGAGTTTCGGCGTCGCGGCGGGCGTCACGTGCCGTCGCAGTCCTTGTGTGTCGTACCTGACGCGCGGCAGGGGCCCCTCACGGCGCACGTTGCGACACCGGGCAGCCGCCGCGCGGCACTGCCGAAGGTGCCCACGATCCGGAGCTTGCATCCAGGCGACGCATCGCTGCGCGCCGCCCCCCGACGCAGAGGCCCTGCTGTGCTGCGCCACCCTAGGTCGCATCACCTTCGCCCGCCATGGCGATGGACTTCCAGAAGGCGCTGCTGGACGAGCTGATGGGCGAGGACCGCAACGAGCTGACGGACCAGCGGAAGGAGCGCGAGGTGACGGACCCCGACGCGTGCCGGTTTTTCATCGCCGGCCTCTGCCCGTACGGGCTGTTCAAGAACACGCGGTCGGACCTGGGGGAGTGCGGGTACCGGTACCACGACGAGAACCTGCAGCAGAAGTGGAAGGAGATGGACCAGGCGGAGAAAGACAGGTGCGGTGCCGCGCACGGAAGCATGGCCAGGCTGGCGCGCCGCGCCGACACCGTGGGCGCGGCCTCCGAGGGCGCGAACCGCGCGCGGCGCGGCGGTGCGGACGCGGGACACGCCGTTGCGTGCGGCGGCTGAGGGGCACGGGGACGGTCCGACCGTGGAACGCGGCTTGGCACTCGAGCGGTTCCTGCTGCCTGCACGGCGCGACCGCGGCGCGCACACGTCGCTTTCTGCAGGATTGGGTACGAGCGCGACCTGTACGAGTGTCTGGACGGGCTCATTCGCGACCTGGAGCGGAAAATCAAAGCCCGCAAGGCCGAGGCTGAGGAGAAGAACGCGCCCTCGCCGCTCCTGCCCTCGGACCAGGCCTACTTCGACGACCTCGATGCCAGGTGCGCGCAGCACCCGGCGCACGCGCCGCCCGCCCCCGCGCAAAGGCATCCCGCGTCACATGCGCGCCGGGCCACGCAGCCAGAGCGACCCCAGGAATGCGGGCGCGGCGGCGCCCACAGAGCTCGCCATCCCGGCGGCCGCGCAGGATCAAGACCCTCCTGGACGAGTCGTCGAAGCTCGCGGAGGACGGCAACATCGACGCCTCCGAGGCGAAGATGGAGGAGGCGAGCGCGCTCAAGAAGCGGCGCGACGCCGAGTACGCGGAGAAGGTCGAGCCGCGGCAGAAGCTCGAGGTGTGCGACGTCTGCGGGGTGTACATGAACAGCCTCGACAACGAGGCGCGCCGGAACGACCACTTCAACGGCAAGCAGTACCAGGGGTGGAAGACCATCCGCGAGACGCACAAGGCGCTCGAGGACCGCATCGGGCCGCAGCGACTGCCCCCGCCCCCGGCCGCCAGGTGCGCGAGGAACCCTCCCCTGCGCGCGTGCGGCGCGCTCGCCCGTCCCGGGCTGTCGCCGTTGCAGTGCGTGAGTGAGGGGGCGTGTGCGAGACTTGCAGGTCGCACTCGCCGGAGCGGGGCGGGTCGCGGCACCGCAGCCGGGATCGCGGGTACTCGCGGGAGCACGACCGGGGCTACGACAGGCGGGAGCGGGGCTACGACAGGGGGCACCACCGGGGAGACTACTACGACGGACGCCACCGGGAGCGCGGGTACGAGCGGGACAGGCGAGGATACGACAGGTCGGTCGCGCCGCGCTGCCTCGGATGACGCTGGCCGGGAGCGTCGCTGGGCCGCTGTGTGCGCGTGGTGTGCGTGCTGGGCGGGCCGTGCTCGCGTGCTGACGCGCGAGTCGCTGGCGTGTGCGCAGGCGAGACGACTACCGGTCGCGGGACCGGTCGCGGGACCGGTCGCGGGACAGGTACGACCGCAGGAACGACAGGGGGGGGTCTTACCACGACAGGTACGACCACCGCGGATACGACGCGCGCCGCGACCGTCGATGAGCGTGCCTGGCTACAGCTCTGACAGGATGTCGGCCTGGGGCCTGGGGGCGGGCCGGGGAACCCCGCGTGGGAGCGCCGGGTGCAACGAGGCCCTGGCACAGGGCGCTGACGCCTGCGACGGGCGGCCGCCCGGCCGGGGCCCGCGCCGCCGCTGTGAGACGCGCTGCTCGCGGGCATCACGCGTCATGCAACGTGCGTGTGCGCGCGCCTCGTCCGTGGGCACGCGGGAGGGGTGAAGCGACCACAAAGCGCGCTGCGGTGGAGTTTTGCGCAGTGCCTGTTCCTGAGCACGATGGGCAGCTTGGGCGTGACGCGCACACGCACGTTGGTTGCGGCGGTTGAGTCACATGCAGTGAACACCTGCTCGCCCGCACACCGCGCCGCGCGTCGCACGACCTGCCATGTCGGCTGCCCGTCTGCGTGCCCCTATGCACGCGCTCGACCCAACAAGGCGGCAGGCGTAGGACGCGGGGCGATTGGGCGGAAGAAGGGGGAAAGGGGGAGTGGAGGGGACGTGTGACATGCTGAACTGGGGGGGGGGGCGGAGACTGAGTCAGGGCGGGCGCCCCTGATCACGGGGGATGGCGAGAAGAGCGGAGAGCATAGCGAGCCGCCGCCCGCGAACGGCGGGCCGGGGGCGTCGTGGGATGTGCGGACCGACTCCCCCCTGGCGCAGTTGTCGGGCCGGGCGCACACGAAGAATGTCCAAGGGGTTTCGTGCTGCCGCGGCCCGACTACCTGGTGTAGGCTGTCTTCTAATTTTTTTTTGTTTTTTTGTGCCTCCGCGCCGCGGTCGTCGTGGGCCGCGGGGGGTGCTCCGAGTAGTGGTGTCTCCGAGGGGTGCCCGCGCCGGGCCGGGGCCGCAGCCGGGGGCGTCGGTCCCGGGGGGCGCGGGGAGATACAGGGCGCCCGGCTCGCGCGGCGCGTCACTTGGACGGCTTCGTGCGCGCCTTCTTGGCCAGGTGGTCGGGGTGCGGCCACTGCCGGGGCCGCCAGTGCAGCTTCGAGCGGACGATCTGGACGCCCTTCTGGTGCTCGAAGGTCCGGAGGTGCTCGTCGATGATCCGCGGCGTCGCGCTGATGATGTGCTGCCCCTTCCAGTACTTGCACAGGTTGACGCTCTGCAGCGTCGTCACCACGTCGTCCGGCTTGATGCACGTCGCGCGGCTGAGGTCGCGCACCGTCATGTGTCCGCGGTGCTCCTTGAGCGTCTCGAGCAGCGCGCGCAGCCAGTACGACCGGTACGACACCAGGCCCAGGTCCGAGAGCGGGCGCTCGGGGGTGCCGGGCTTGCCCTCGGCCTTGCTGAGCTCGTACGAGAACGAGATCAGCCCGCGGCCGTAGCCCTTGCGCTGGTGCGAGGGCAGCGTGAGGATGCACGCCAGGTTGAAGTCCTCCAGGCTGTGCTTCTCCTTGCTGAAGTAGCCCACGATGTGCGCGCCCTTCGCGTCCACCTCGCACATGACGTAGAACAGAAAGTGCTCCACGTCGAAGTACAGCGTCTTGTGGTCCAGGAACAGCTTCGAGAGGAGGCACAGGTTCTGCGCGGGGACGGGCACGGGTGGGGGCGGTGGTTTGAAGCAGCCGTCGGCGGGGGCGGCGGGGCCCGGGCGCGGGCGGGGCGGCGTCGCGGCGCGGTCCCGGCGCGGCACGGGGCGGCGCGGGGCCGGCGCGGGGCGGGCGGCGCGCGGGGCGGGCGGGGCACGCGGGGCCGCCTGGACAGCGTGCGCCGGGGTGGCGGCCGCACCTGGCAGTAGACCTTGGCGTCGGCGCCGTCGACCTCGTAGAACGCGATCTGCTCGCCGTTCGAGTTCTCCGACTTGGAGCCCAGGTAGACCTGCTTGCCCGGCGGCGCGCGGTGGGCGCACTTGCTGCAGTGCTGGGAGTACGTCCTGCACTTCCGGAAGTACTTGAGGCAGAACTCGCACACGTACAGCTTGTGGCAATCGCTGTAAGGAGCCGGGTACGGCGAGAAGTACCACGTGTCGAGCTCGTGCCGGCCCAGCTCGACCTTCTGCAGCGCGGGGCGAGTAACGGTTGACCGGCCGTGAGCGGGCGGGCGCGTCGAGGCGCCCCGGCACGCGGGCCGCGCGCATGGAGGCGGCGGCGACGCGCACCGCGGGCGGGCGCGGCGGGTCTGCGGCGCCGGCGCCAAGGGGCGCGCGTGCGCGGTTCGGCCCGGGCCGCCGCGTGGGCGCGCGAGGGGGCGCGGGGGCGCGGCTTCGGGGGGTGGAATCGTACGTGGATGTTCTTGACCTTGGTTTTCTCGTGGTGCTCCTTCTCGAGGTGGCGGTCAAGCGGAGGCAGCTCGTCGATGCCCTTCTGTACGTGGTGCACCTCCTCAATGCGCCGCTTGAGCCGCCGAGTGAGCTTCTGTTGCGTCTCTCCGGTGGGCGACATGAGATCAGACGCGATGGGCGACACCAGCTCCGTCGCGACGCCTTTAGGGTCGTAGGCGCGCACTCGGTCCTCCGAAACCCACTCATCCAGCCGCTTGTCGCAGTCCACGTAGTGCACGTAGTAATTCATCCCCCCGTCGTCCCCAACCTTGCGCTCGACGACCTCCGCGAGGCCTGCAGGCAAAGAATCAGCGCCCCAAGATGGGCTCCAGCAAGGCAGGAGGGCGGCTCCCCGCGCGCCCACGGGGGCCGAGCGCCCGAAGCGACGCGCGTTTCACGGCCGAACAGGGGTCTGCGCGTGGGCCTGGGGCACTCACGGTCCCGGTTGTCGAAAGAGGCCGAGCACAGCACCTTCGCGCCCACCTTCCACAGACCCGCCTGCACGCACAGAATAATGCCCGCGTGAGGCGCCCCGCCGCACGAAGAATTTGCCAGGAGGCCGGCGCGCGCGCGCTGGGGCCCGCGGCGGCCGAGGCGCGCCGCACCGCCGCGCCCCGCACCACGCCCGAGCAGGCGCGCCTGGCACGAACGCCTCAGGCTTTCTGGGCGCGCGTCCGCCCCGCACGCGGCAGATACTGCGCCCCGGGCGCGCCCCGCACCTTCTCGTCGCTCAGGTCGGTGTCGATGCACAGCGCCGAGCCCCCCTTGAGGCGCTGCGGCACCGTCATGGTGAGCGACTGCGGCAAGGTGAGCGCACTGAGGCCGTCCGCCGATGGAGGTGGCATGCTCCGTCGCCGCTGGAGGCCATTCAGCCGCCGCGGACAGGTGCAGAGTCGCTCGTGATGGGGCGAGAGCGGCCGCGCGGGCGCCCCGCGGCGCCTATGTGCGCGGCTGAGCCCCTGGCGTGGCTGGTCCGACCAGGGAGCGTGGGCAGAAAGGCGCGGCCCGGGCGGCTGTGCGGGCCCGAGGGGCCGGCGCGAGCGGCCGCGGCGGCAGTCTGTACGTGAACGAGCGGGATGCAGTCCACGGCGAGGTTCGTGGCGGCCCCCGCGGCGCGGCCTGCGGTGCGGCCTCGTGCTGCTTGCGTCGCGCAGGCGTCGAAGGCCGCGGAGTTCCGCAGCCTGTCGGTCGAGGCGATCGACGAGAAGGTCGACGGCCTCAAGCGGGAGCTGTTCGACATGCGGATGAAGCAGGCGACCCGGCAGGTGCGAGTGCGACTCAGCTGCCCACCAGGCGCCAATGCCGCCCCGCACAGGCGCCGGGCGCGGTGATGCCGCGGCCCGGCCGGCCGCTCTCATTCAGAAACGGCGGCCCGGGGCGTAACTCGCCCCGCCCGCGCAGGCGACGCCTCGCAGTCGTTCTCTTGGCTCTGGCCCATCCTGCGGATGCTCCGCCACCCGCGGGGGTGGGGCCCGTCCGGCGCGCTCAAGCGGAGCCGCTAAATGTCCGCCGTCGCTTCGCGCATCGCGACGCAGGAGGTGAAGTCGCACGAGTTCAAGCTGAAGAAGAAGGAGGTGGCTCGTCTGCTCACCGTGCGCCGTGAGAAGACGCTGGAGCAGGGGCTGGACCGCCGGACCGCGAACAAGCTGGAGAAGAACGCCCTGCTCAAGGAGGGCGCCCTGGTGCGGTGATTGGCGCGCAGCAACGCGCTGTGAGTGCGACGCAGCAGCGCTATCCGTCGCCGTGGACTCACACGCGCCGCTCCGCCGACCGAACCCACACCGGCCGACCGGAACCCTCCCTGTCGACGCGCATCGGGCCCGAGCAGACCGCGGCTGCCCCCCGGTGACGCACAAGGCCCCATTTACAACAAGCACACGCCCCCTCCGCACTCGCGAGCCCCGCAGCGCGGCACCCGCAGCTCGCAGAACCACCGTCGCGCCGACGCCCGTCCCGCCCCGCCCCGCCCCGCACCCGCGCGCGCTCACTCCGCCTCGCCGCCGCCTGCGCCGTCATCCAGCCCGCGCCCGCGCCGCTGCTTCTTCGGCGGCGGCGGACGCATCCCTTCGACGGCGCTCATCGTCGCCTTGTTCTTCGACCCCGGGGGCCGCCCCCTGCCCCTCCCCCGCTTCGCCACCTTGCCCCGCGCTGCCGCCGCCCGCCTCTCGGGCGCACCCTCGCCCCTCAGCTGCCTCCACCGCCGCATGCACATGTTGTCGGTCCGGTACTTCTGCACGGCCACCACACACACGCCACCGCGCCGTTCGCGGCCCACCAGCGACGCACAGCGCAAGCGCACACACCACACCACACCCACGCACGCAGCAGCTCACCTCGCCCCCGTGCGTCACCTTGGACACCTCCGCGGCCACCTTGATCCACGGCACCGGCGGCCCGCCCGCCGCCGCCACCGCCGCCTCCAGCGCCGCGTCCTCCTCCGCGCAGAACGCCCCGCGCTCCACCGAGGGGTGCAGGTAGTTCGTGAAGCGCTCCCTGCGAGGGGGCGCGCCGGGGGGGCGGATCAGAGCGCGGCAGAGCCCTGCAGCGCGAGGTTGCTGCGCGGGACGTCGTGTTCGGAGCGGCGCTGGCGGCGTGGCGGCGACCGCGGGCACGCACCTGCACTGGTGAGCGGACCGGCCGGGGATGTGCCCCGCGATGCGCGTCCAGCTGCCGTACCCCTCCGTCCCCAGCGCGTCCACCGCCGCCACCAGCGCCGCGTCCTCCTCGCGCCTCCACGGCCGGTACCGCACCGCCGCCTCCCCCGCGGGCTCCGCGCCCGCCGGGCCCTCCTCCGGCGCCGCCTCCCCGCCGCCGCCACCCCCCGCGGCCGCGCCAGCCTCGCCGCCGTCCGTGACCGCCGCGGCGCCCTCCATCTCTCGCACCCGCTGCATCATCAGCGCCTCGATGCGTGCCTGCACCGTGTCCCTCCACCGGTGCGCGCACGCCACGTGGCTCCGCCCCCCGCCCACGAACCCCGCGACCTGCAGCCACGACCCCTCCCCGTACAGCCCCACCGCCACCGCCAGCCGCTTGTCCTCCTCCGGCGCCCACCGGTCCACCTGCCGCCCCGTACGGTCCGTCCGCTTCCCGCTCGGCCGCACCTCCGCCCACCGCAGCATGCACTCCGCCGCGCTCCGCCCGCCGCCCACCTTCTTCGCCACCGCCGGCCACAGCGCCGTCTTCGCGCGCGGCCGGTGCGCTGCCACCGCCTTGGCCAGCCGCGCATCCTCCTCGCGCCGCCACGCGCCGCCGTGCCGCGCGCCCGGCCGCAGCGCGCTGTGCCATCGCACCCTGCACGCCGCCCCCGTCACCTCGCCGCCGCCGCCCCCCGCGGCCCCCCGCAGCTTCCCCGCCACGTGCCGCTCCCAGTCCTCACCCGACATCCCCTCCACCGCCGCCACACTCTCCGCGCTCGCCATGTCCGTGCCGTCGCGGATGCCCTGCAGCGCCTCCCGCAGCGCGGCGCCCGTGCGCGCCGGCGCGCCCCCGGGCCCGACCTCCCGCAGCACCGCGTGCGTCTGCACGCGCATCACGTGCTCCCGCACCAGCCGACGCAGCGACTCGTCGCTCGCCGCGTCCCAGCGCCAGCTCTGCGTGCCCGCCCGCAGCGGCGCGTGCCGCACCACCCCCGCCAGCTCCTTCGCATCCCGGTTGAGCGGCGTCCCCGTCGGCAGCCGCCAGTACCGCGACGCGCCCGCCGGGGCCGCCGCGGGCGCGTTGCGGCCCACCGGCCCCGGCGCGCGGCTCGCGGCGCCGCCGTCCGCGCCCCCGCCGAGCACGAGCGCCTGCCGCTGCAGCGCGCGGTTCTTCGCGAGAGCATCGTCGACAGCCTCCAGCAACGGGCCCGCGACGTGCGCCTGCATCGCGCGGTTGCTCTCGATCGCGTCCCGCAGCGCCGCGACCTTCTCCGCGCGCGTCGGCGCCGCCGCTCCCTCGCGCCCGACGCCGCCCGCCCCGCGCGACCTCGCGTCCCGCTGCAGCATTGGCCGCCGCCACACTCCGACGCGCATCTCGAACCCGCGCGCGAGCGCCCGGGACACCGCGTCGCCGCCGGAGGGGGGCGCGCAGCCCACGTCCTCCCAGGAGAGGCCGGAGTCGGACGGCGCGTCGGCATCGTGCGGCCCGCGGCCCTCGCTGCACGGTTCGTTAAAAGTGCTGCGGGTAGGGGGGTGGGGGGGTGTTTTGTTGGGGGGTGCGCCGGGGGCGTGGCGGGGCTAGTGGTGTGCGTGGGGGAGGAGAGGGCGGCGCGCTGGCCGCGCGAGGGGCCGTGTGTCGCCTGTGTGTGTGCGACGCTGTGGTGGGGCGGCCGGGGGGGGCGCACGCGCGGTGCGTCGTTGCTGGCTGCGGGAGCGTGGACTCGCCTGGGTCTCTTCTTGCCCCCGTTCGTCTGCGTGCGCCGGAGCACGAAGCCGCACACCCGGCAGGTGATGGTTGTGCCCCCCCAGGCCTCCAGGAGCAGGTCCTCCTCGTCCGACTGCACCTCGTCGAGGCAGCGCGGACAACAGACCATCGCCACGAAGTCTTCCCGTACGGCCGCGCTCAAGCCCTTTCGCAGCCCTCTGACGACGTCGCACCGCACTGGGCAACGAACGCGCGCGCCCTCCTCGGCCCGTCGAGCGAAGCGGCGCCGCACACCATGCCAATCAGACGTTCGTCGAGGGTACAGTGCGAGCGCCGTAAGACAAAGCGGCGAACGGCCACGCAGCGGCGTTGCGGACCGCAGAGAAGCTCGCAGGCACCACTATGCCCCCTTGCACATCCGACCACGCGTGTCTGACACCCCACTAGCCAGTCCCTCGCGCCCTGGCGACGCAACGTGGCCGAGGCGGCGCCGCGCGGCCCCCAAAGGCGGCGCGGGGGCCGTGAAACTTGACTGGATCTCTCAGACTGTCGCGGAGTGTCACGGGCGCGTTGGCGGCCCGGGCCGTTGCCTGCAGGCCCGCGCGCGCCCCGGCATTGCACATCTGCAACTCGCGGCGACCAGGCGCGCATCGCAGCCGCATATTCCGAAGCCCGCGCGCCACACGCGCACAGCCCTGGTCAGCAGCGTCGAAGGGTGACGTTTGTCTCGTCCGACGCGCCGCTGAACCCTCGAGACAGATGAGACGCGCCGGCTTCTCACTCTCCCGGCCATGACGAGCACCGGGTTCGACGCCAGAGGCCCCGTTGGCCGCCCCGGGCGTGGAAGCGCTTGAACCGCGCCCCACGCTCTCAGCGCGGTCGTGCCGCCCAGGGGACCCACTGCGAGGACTCCTGTGCGGGGCCGCGTCTGCGCCTTGTGAGCGAGGCGGAGGGGCGCCCGAACACGGGTTTGCGGGGGCCGGAGGCGAGATTGACGCTGGTGGAACATGAGCAACACGGTTGCGGATGTGGCAGCGCTGGCCGCGCAGGCGGCACAGCGGCGGGTTGAGCGCATGGGCTCGATCGAGCACCGCACCGTGGTGGTGGCAGACCATCGCGAGGTCGTGCGGAGGGTTCGCGAGGTGCTGGCTCCTGAAGTGAAGGCTGGGCGCGAGCTCGGCGCCGAGCTGAGGCAAAGGTGGGGGCCCATTTCTAGCGCTGTTGCTTCCTCACATTGCGAGGCGTCGACACGCGCCGTTCCGTGTGGCCTTGAGCCCCGCGCGCGCCCGCCGTGCTGCGCTCCTGCACACAGCATAGCAGCGCCCTCCCCGCGCCGATACATTCCTGCCGCAAAGCGTCGCAAACTCGATCGCGCTCCACGCAACAACCTCAAGAGACGCCCACCGCCTATCCTCCGCGCCCATCCGCGCCCTCCGCAGCTCGTTTCACGTGCCACCTCACCACTGCTGCCGCCCACAACAGCCCGCAACGATCCCGCAGCCCACGGTCCGCCTCCGCAGCGCCCTCACCGCTCCGGCCCGTATCCCTCCGCGCAGGCTCGCCGGCCGGGAGGCCCGGCAACGCGCGCGAGACGCGCAGGCACATGCGCGCGCCCAGGCCCTCGCCGACATGGACCGCGCCTCGTGGCGGGTCGTCGCGGCCGCCGCCGAGGTCGTCCGCAGGCTCTGCATCACGGTCTCGCCGACCGGCGCCCCGAACGGCGCCGCGGCCGCCCGTCCGCTTCTGGCGGACGTGTTTGCCAGCGCTGCCAGCGCAGTGTACGCCACCGCCGCGCCGCACGCGCCCGCGGGGGCGCCGCTGGGGTCCATGGACGCACGGCGGCTCGGCGAGGCGCTCGGCTCGGCCGCCGCGGAGACCGCGCGGCTGCACGCGGCGGCGTCGGGCGTGCGCGGCGCAGGGTGCGGCGTGGGCGAGGCGGTGGGGACGCTGGCGCAGGCCGGGCAGCTGTGTCGGTCTGGCTGCGGGCTGAGCTCGGTGCAGCTGCTGCAGGTGTCCCTCGGGGCGCTGCGCCTGCGGGCGGCGCAGCTCCGGGTGCTGCTTGCGGCGGGCGTGCTTGCATGGTGCGCCGCCGAGGTGGCGGGGGGGCCGGCGCGGCGGCGGCGGCGCAGCGCGGCGCTCGCGGACGGCACGCAGCTGTCGCTGGCGGAGATGGTCGCGAGCGCGCTCGCACCGGCGCTGGGGTGCGCGGGGGAGGAGCTCGACACAGCCCTCGCCCTGTTCTGCGACCACGAGGCGGTGGCGTGGCTCGTGCGGTCGCACAGGAGCGTCCTCGGCGCGGAAATCGAGCTGCTCGTCGCGCCCGTCGCCGCAGCGCTCCTGCGCCCCGCGGCCGCGAGCCCTGCGCAGCGCCCCCGGCGCGCCAAGAGCGGCGAGCGGGGCGCGGAGGCCGCGTCGCCGGCGCCGGCGTGGGCGCGCGCGGTGCTGGACGCGGCGCCGGCCACGCCGCACCCCGCCCCGCGACGCTCGCACGGCGCCGACGGGTCGGAATGCAACGACTACGTGTCGGAGGGCGGCGACGACTTGTCGGGCCTGCTCAGCGACGACGAGGTGGCGCGGATATTCAAGCAACCGTCCACGGCGCCGACGTCGACGATAGCAGCCCTCGCGGCGTACCAGGCGGGCTCCCCTGCGCGCCAGCCTGCCAGGGGGGTGTTTGGCGGCGCCGCTGTCAGCCCGCGGGGGTCCACTGCGGCGGGCGGCGGGGACGAGGAGGCGGCGGGGCAGGCGATCGCGGTCACGGTGCGCCGGGACGCGGGCGCCGCGGGCGACGGCGGGCATGACGACGACGACGTCAGCAGCGTCGCAGGGTGGTCTGCCGGTTCTGCACCGGCGGCGCCGAGCGTGCCCGCGCTGGACGAGGGGGAGCGCGGCAGCGTGCCGTCCGTGCACGGCGACGGGGCCTCTGCGGCGGCGGACGGAGAGCTGCGCAGGACACCTCCACCGCACCCGGGTCTGGCAGGACGCAAGCGCAGCAGCCGGCACGTGATCCTCGTCCCGCAGGAGGCGTCCCCGGCGCCCAACACCGGCGTGGCGGTGATCCGCCCCAAGGCCCACATGGACGTGGGCGAAGAGAAGCGCCGTGTGCGCCGACAGCTCGACCTCACCGCCGAGGCCCTGCAGGCGCGCCGGCGACCCGACGCGCGGCCCGGGGGCGGCAGGAAGACCTCCAAGCCGAAGAAGCTGGTCAAGGAGGACAAGCCCCCGTGGCGGCCGCACAAGGTGTCGTCGCTGTACGCGTTTGGGGTCGACATCTGGCGGCCGGACAAGGACGCGGCGCGGCGGCGCCTTGCGCGGCGGCGCGCGCGGCGTGCGACCAAGGAGGCCATCAAGGAGCAGTACCGCTGGGCGCACGTGCGGCCACAGGTGGCCGCGGCGCAGGAGGGGGTCAAGGGCGCGCGGACGACGCCAGGGTCGCCGCGGCACGCGTCGCCGCTCGCGCGCCGGGCGAGCTTCGGGGACGCTGGCGCGGACGATGCGCCCGTGCTGGGCCTGGCTGGGGCGGGCGACGCGGCGCAGGAGGGCGGCGTGGAGGGGGCACTGGTGGGCGACGGACGCGGCGCCGGAGGGCCGATGACGTGGCGCGTGGGGAGCCGTGTTAGCGGGGATGGGTTCGAGATTCCGGAAGATGGGGCGGCGGGCGGCCTGGACGCCGAGGGCGCGGAGGGGGGGAGTCCGCACACTCCCCGCAGTCCCCGGCGGCGGCGGGCGGCGGGGCACGCGCGCAGGTCCGCAGACGGGGGGCGGGAAGCAGCGCCGCAGCGTGAGCTGGACGGTAGCAGCCAGGACGCGGCGACGGGCGGCGCGGAGGGCGCGAGCGTGCGCGAGCGTGCGGCCATCTTTGGCCAAGTGGCCACGCCAGCGTCCAGCCGGGCAGCGGCGCCGGCGGGCTCCGGGCGGACGGGCACGGCGACGAAGGCCACGGGGAGCCCAGGCACGGCGTCGGTGGGGAGCGCGGTGCCGGGGGGAGGGAGTGAAGACGCACAGACGCAGGGGGGGGCGTCGGTGGACGCCCCCACCCCTGCCGAGCGCCCTCAGACGGCGGCGTCGTCGTCGTGCGCGTACTCGGTGTCGCGATCGGTGCAGTCGGCGGACCGCCCAGCCGGCTGGGGCCTACAGTCGCTTCTGAGCCGGACGGGGGGCGCTGACGTTGTCCCGCCGTCGGCAGACAAGCGCAATGCACGTCTGGAGCGCTACGCGATCGGGAGGGGCGTCGCAGACCCGGCAGTGTCCGCGGGCCAGTCCCCGTCGTCCACCCCAGCGTCGCGCAGCCACCACGACGCCCCGTCGGCCCCCGCCGAAGACTCCCCCCCTCCTGACACTGATTCCAAGTCCGCCGAGGGCGCCGAGGGCGCCGAGGCGGAGCGGGAGGACGCGAGTATGCGCAGCCGGAGCACTTCGGCCGCGGAGCTCGACGAGGACGACATCCGCTGGACGCCTGCGGCGGCGGGCGGTGAGGGGGGCCTGCCGCCGATGGGCGCGCTTCCCGGGCGAGACTCCCTGGGCTCCATGGCCGAGGAGGCGCACGGGCTGCTGGACACGAGCTTCGACGCCATCCGCGACCTGGACGAGCTGATGGGGAGCGGTGGCGGCGGGACCGACGCCAGCGGCGACGCGACGGCGCTGGGCGCCGCCGCCGGGGGCGACCACGTCACGGTCGTCGTCGACGTCGACGGCGTACGGCAGAGCGGCGTCAGGGAGAGCCGTGGAGCCGACGAAGCGGGCCGAGACGGCGCAGGCACGACGACAGCTGCGGGACCACCAAAGGCTGTGTCTCTGCCGTCTCCGCTCACCCCCGAGACGGTGCGCCGGCGCGTCTACCACGTCATGGGCGTACCCGGGTCCCCCGTCGGCCCGCAGCTGCCACGTGCGCCGCCGGACGCAGGGACCGGCGCGCACGCAGCGTCCCCGCCCAGCACTGCTGATGGCGGGGAGCCTGGGGCCCCGCAGCACAGGGTCCAGGACCGCGCAGGCGCTGGGACCGCGTCCGTGCGGTCGCCCGCGCGCGCCGAGGTCGACGCCGTGCTTCTGCGCGTCCTGTCGGGCGCCGGTGCCGCCAAGCCAGCGGCTGCGACGCGGCAACCCTCGACGGAGGCATCCCGCGCCCCCGTCGCGGAGATCACCGACGACGAGCTGGCGGCGGTGTCCGACCCGGTCCTTCGCGACCTCGTCGCGCGGGCGATGGGTCCGCGGCGGGCGACGCAGTTCCTGGCATCGAACAGGGAGGGCATCCGCGCCGCTGCGTCGCCAGCGGACCCGACTCCCGCGCACGGCACGGGGCTCGCTGCTGCAGACGAGGCGGGTGCAGGTGCAGCGCACGGCCAGCCCGGCGTTGCGCGCGCGCAGCAACAGCAGCCGCGCTCCGAGGTGACGCGACCCCGCGCAGAAGATGAGTCGAGGGGGGGCGAATCCGGAGGTCAAATTGGTGACCTTTTGCCGCAGCCCGGGTCGTACGGTGCCGCAGCGAGTGCGGTGGGCGACGTCGTCGTCGGCGTCCCCGTCGGCAGCCAGGCGCAGCAGCAACACGGATTGGCCACAGCGGCACATCCCATCGCTGCCAGCGGGGCCTCGCCTAGGTCGTTGCCTGCCCCAGTTCAGGCTGGTCACGAGCGCGTGCTGCGCCAAACGTCGATGGAAGCGGCGCAGGTGCCCCCGCGCGCCACCACCTCGGTTCCAACGCAGTCAACCGGCGGACCCGATCCATCGGGCGTGCATGTCACTCCCCTCTCGGAGCGCAGCGCGGCACAGCGAGCGACGCAGGGCGGCCAGGCGTCGCCGCCGGCACAACAGCCCCCCCTGACAGATACCGGCGGACCTGCGGCGCTGCGGGCGTCCCCGTTGGAAGCGCAAGCGCGATCCACAGCGGGCCCGCTCGCGGCTACATCTCCGGGGACGCCCGCAGGGGCGGGCGCGCAGCCGACGGCGCGGGGCGTGCCGGGCGCGCAGGACAGCGGTGCGCCGCTACTCTCCGCACACCTGGCGGGTCGCGCGTCCACCAACGAGGCACGCGAGGCCGCCCTCGACGACGCGGCAGATGTGCATGCGCCAGCTGGACCGCTCTCTTCCGGGTTCAACCCACCCCCGCCGCGCCAGGATGCCACCCAACCCTATGACTCGCTGTCAGACGCACGGATCGTCGACGGCGTGCCTGTTCCGCTGGCCGGACAGGCCCTGGACGCAGCGGACGCGAGAGCGAGCGCTGGTCCGTCGCCCGCGCGCGGCGGCCCGCGTCCAGCTGTGGAGGCGAGCCCCGGGTCCGCTCTGGACAGCGACGGTGGTGCCGATGCAGGCCGTGCGCCCCTGGCTGACCTCAACACGTGCACCGTAGCGGACCTTCTCCCTTTCGACCGCGTCGAGGACAAGATCGCGGAGCGCATCGTCGCCTCGCAGCCGTACGCGAGCTGGGGCGACCTGGATGGGCGAGTCAAGGGGGTTGGTCCCCCAGTCATCACGCAGCTGAAGAACGCCGGGTTCCAGCTGCCTGAAGACGAAGATGACGACAAGTCGGCTGCGCTGGTGCGTGCTGCACTGCAGCCAGGCAGCACCACGCCGGATCAGGGCGGCCACGGTGTCGAGTTGCGGAGCGCAGGCAGCTCGTCGCCGGGCGCGCAGGGACTCGCTGCTCGCGAACCGACAGACGCGCTGCCGGGTCTCTGGCCGGCCGCGCAGGGGGAGGCCTTGTCCGTTGACGCCTCGGGGGTCCTCGGGGGCGCGATGGAGGCGGTGGCTGCGCCGAAAGTGGTCACACCCGTGCAGGGCTACGACGACATCGCGGGCGACGAGGGACAGGAGGGCCACATGCTCACCACCGCGGTGCTCAGCCTGAAGGCCGCCGCGAGTCCCGGCGGCACCACCCCTAGATCCTCAATCGCTGCTGAGGACGCTGGCGACGCCGAGCAGGCGGAGGCCGGGGGCCACGCAGCAACGATGACGCCTGGCGACAACGCGGCAGAGGGCTCGCGCGCTGCACGTGTGCTTGCGCCAGGGGCTGCAGGGCAGCACGTGTCTCCCAGCGAGACAGCGCTGTTGCACTCATCGGAGCAAGCCGTGCGGGGAGGCTTGTCGCAGGCTCTCGCGGCGGGGCCGGGAGATGTACGCGGATCGGATGCCTACGTGGCGGGCAGGTCGACAGCCAGGAGCGTCTTCCAGCGCCTCACGGCGTTCCAGCATCAGGCGGCAGATGCTCTGCCATCAGGCGGGAGCGTCGCCCAGCGCGCAGCCGCCGCCCAGCAGGCAGGCGGCGCTACCACGGCGAGCAAGATCTCCGGCGCAGCCACGGAGCCGACCACGGGGCTGAAAGTGCCTGTCGACGCGCGAGCCTCCGCCGTGGGGCCTGTACGCAGTGCTGACCAACAGCGAGCCCAGGACGCTTCGTCTCGGCATCGCCCGCGTGCGGAGAGCCTATCAACGACGGGCCAGACGCATCCCCCGGCCCGCGGTGGCGCACAGCAGTCGGCGACGTCGCAGGGCGCTCCAAGCGGCGTCACAGTTACGCTGCCACGCGGCCCAGCGCATGCGCCCCCGCAGATCGTGCTGTCGCCGCCGCGCCTGGCGGAGGGCGATCCAGATACGCCGAAGCAGATCCCGACCGGCTCGCTGGAGCGGTTCATCAGCGACCCTGGCCAGAGCGAGCCAGCAATGCACCTTGCCAGCAGCCGTTCGCCCTCGGCGCACCGGCGCAGCAGCATATCGCCGGCGCATGGCGTCCGGAAGGGCAGCTTGGCGTCGGCGCGTCGATCGCTGGGTAGGCAGGCCCGTGGGCGCCAGGACGCCCAGCACCGCGCAGCAGCGTCCGTGCAGGGGCCCGGCGGGGCGCCTCTTTCGGAGGTGATGGGGTCGATCCCGGAGAACCGGTCGTACGCTTCGCTGTCGAGCACGGTGGGCGAGCGCCCCTCGAACGTCTCGGGCCCGTCGGTGGCAGCGCCTCCGCCACCCGTCGCGCCGAAGTCGCCATTCAGGCGCGGCGGCGGGGTCGCGGGGACCGCGGCGGGCGAAGGCGGCGGCGACCAGGACGTGCGCGAGGAGATAGCGGCGCGCCTCGAGGACGCCGTGCGTCGCGGGCTGATCAAGGTTGACTCAGGGGGGTTGTACTCCTCCACGGAGGGCGACGTGAGCGGGGAGGGGCACGCGGCGTCCCAGGCCGCGAGGGAGATCTTGCGATTCGCGTCGCTCGCGGACGGCCTCGGCGAGGGGCCGCAGCCGGGGGACGAGGAAGCAGATCCCCAGGCTGCTGCAGTGGTCGCCAGCGGGGTTGCCGGCGACGCCGCAGTGCACACCCCGGAGGCTTCCGGGGGCGGTGGCTACGATGGGAGCGCGGGCGTCGAGTGGGCTGCGAAGTACGGGGAGGCGTCGGCCGAGCAGGGGGTGTCATCTTCACCGCCGTTGTCAGGTCTGTCGCCGTTCACGGCCGGCGCCACGCCCGAATCCGTGACCGGTCCGGGGCAGGGCACGTCAACGACGGCCCCGCGCGCCACCCGCGTCACGCCGGCGTCCGAAGTCGACGCGCCGGGATGGTCGCTGTCGCCGACGCAACCGGCCCGCCGCGTGGCCAGCGTCGGAGCCGGGTTCCGCGGGGACGCGCTGCAGGCGGCGCGCGCGGCAGAGGAAGAAGCCGCCGCGTCGGGTTGGAAGTTCGTCCCGCCGGCGGACGTCCACGACGCGGACGAGCAGGCCTCGCGCGCCTCGCACACCTCCGCCGGCGTCCTGGACGAGGCCGGTCTGCGCGCGGTGGGGGACTCCTGGACGGGCCACGCGTCGGTGTTGCTCACGCAGGGCAGCACGGGCGACGGCGCGCTGCAGTTCCTCGGGGAGCACCCCCCTGACAGCGGGTGGCGGGGGTCTGCGCCGGGGACGCCTTGGCAGGGCGGGACGTACGAGAGCGGGGCGTACGCGAACGCCACGTCGTCACCGACGCACGTGTCGCCGAAGGCGCGCCACACCGTGCCGGACGTGCACTTGGGCCGTGCGAGCGAAGAGGCGGAGCCTGGCTCCGGCGCAGGCGGCGGGAGCCCTCAGAGCGGCGCCGCGTTCCCCGCGGTCGCAGTGGTGCCACCGGAGGGCGCAGACGCCCTGCATGGCCACCTGGCGTCGGACGGCGACGACGACAGCGAGGACGGCGTTCCCGGGGGGGACTCTGTCACCGGGGCAGTCCCCCCCACTGCGGAGGGCGTCCAGCGGCTCATCGAGAACGTGGACGCCGAGCAGCTGTCGGCGCTCGTGGACGCCGTGGAGCGCAGCAACCGGCAGCGCGGCCGCGGACCGCGCGCCCCCGGGGAGGGGGAGTCAGCGCTGGACAAGCTCCTGTCATCCATCAAGGCGGCGGAGGCGCGGGAGGCCGCGGGGCTGCCGTCCGGGCTGCGCATCGCCGCGAAGAAGAGCGCCGCGGAGGAGCCCGCGGACGAGGAGCTGCCGCAGCGCGAGTCGTCGCGCGAAGGCAGCAGCAGCGCCACGGCATCCGTGCACAGGCCGAAGAAACTCCCCGCGGGCGCCGTGCCGGCCATTGCGGGCTTCGACCCGGCTGGCAGCCGCGCGGTGGCCGCCGAGGGCGCTGCGCGCGCGCTGCAGCGGTGGATCGGTGCCGGGAACGCGGAGGGTGTGCTGCAGGGTGGGGGGACTGTGGAGGCCTCCACGTCGACCCCCCCGGAGTCGTCATCCCCCGTCGTGCTCCGCGTCCAGGTGTCGCCCGGCGGCACGCGGCGCGAGATCGCGCTGTCGGCCGCGGACGGGGAGTCCGTGGAGATACCCCCCACACCCCCCACCCCGCGGTCCGACGTGGGCGTCGGCAGCGACATGGACGGCGTCGACGGCGCGCAGGAGGCAAGCGGAGACGCGGCGGGCGGCGCCGAGAAGCTCACGCCGTCGCGGAGGGAGGCCTGCGAGGAGCCGCCCTTCGCAGGCTTTCTGTTCGAGTCGCCGGAGAAGAAGGCGCGGCTGGCGGGGGCGGGAGAGACGGTCGCGGGGCACAGCAAGCCCGCCGCGCTGCCCAAGGGTGCGCCGCCCGCCCCGCCGCCGCTGCCGGGCGCGGCCGAGAAGAGGGCGCCACCGCCGGCGCCACCCCCCCCGGGGACACCCAAGACCCCCCCGCCGCCGCCGCGGCGGCCGCCTCCCGCGCCGGCGCCGCCCCGGCTCGGCGTGCAGTCCGCGGGGAAGCAGGCGGGTCTGCAGCGGCAGGCGTCGCGCAGGAAGGCTTTGCGGCTGAAGCAGCTGCACTGGTCCAAGGTGCCTGCCCGGGAGGGCACGGTGTGGGCGAAGCTGCAGCAGCTGTCCGGCGACGACCTCACGATGGACTGGAACGACCTGGAGGACATGTTCGCCATCCAGGAGAACCTCGCGGCGCGCCGCATGGCCGAGCAGGCCAGGGAGGCGGGCGACGACGTCGTGGCCATCTTGGGGCCGAAGCGCGCGCACATGTTGTCGATCCAGCTGCAGGGCATCAAGCGGCCGATCAACCAGGTCCTCGCGGGCATCATCGCGTGCGACGTGCGGTCCTTCCTGCCCGACGAGATTGCCACGCTGCGCGAAGCGCTGCCGGAGCCCGCTGAGCGGCGCGACCTGGAGGACTACGTGCGCGGGCGGCACCACAAGTACAAGGGGAAGAGCGACGTGTCCGTGCTCGTGCCCGCGGAGGCCTACTTTGTGCGGGTGAGCGCCCGAGCGCCCTCTGCTGCGCGCAGCGCGCCAACCGCTGTTGCTCGCTGCTTGCAGCCCCGCGCGACCGCTGCGCCCTCACGCCGCGGTGTCCCCGCTCGTCCACGCAGATCCTGCCGCTCCCGCGGCTCTCGGGCCGCCTGGGCGCCATGCACGCGGCCGTGCAGTGGGACTCGATCGTGCTCAAGGCCCGCGACAACCTCATGGCGGTCCAGCGGGGCACCGAGTGCGCGCGCGAGTGCCGCTCCCTGCACGTCATCCTCGGCGCCGTCCTCAAGGTCGGCAACCGCCTGAACGCGGAGACCCCGCGCGGAGACGCCAGCGGGTTCCGCATCACATACCTGTCGCAGCTGGGGGACATCAAGGCTCACGACCAGCGCACGTCGATCCTCCACTTCATCGTCCGGGAGCTCCTCCGCGGCCCGGAGTGCTCCTCCGTGCAGAGGGTGTGCGACGAGGTCGCGCCGATCACGCAGGCGGCGCACGTCGACTTGGCGGGGACGCGCGGGCTCATCGAGGAGCTGGCGATGCACCACGCGCAGGTGTCGTCGGAGATCATCGAGGCGACGAAGCTCGCGAACTCCGAGAAGCAGGAGCCGCTGTCCACGACGGACGAGCACCTGTGCACGGTGGCGCTGCTCAGCCGCCGGCAGGTCGCGGCGACGCACCACAGCTTCCTGCACGCGATGCTGCCGTTCTGCGCCGCCGCCGAGGACGGCCTGCGCGCCCTCCGCACCACCGAGGCCACGATGAACGACGGCCTGCGGGAGGCGAGTGTCTTCTTTGGGGACGAGCACGACGTGAAGAACCCGCAGCGGGTGCTGTGCGTGCTGAGCGACTTCTTCAAGCTGTTCAGACGCACGCTGACCGACATCAAGAAGCAGGAGACGGAGAGGGCCGAGGCGGAGGCGCGCCTTCGCGGGCCGTCGTGGTCGCAGACCAACACCCCCCGCCACACCCCCCCCGGCACCCCCCCGCGGTCCCCGTCCCCCGACGCCCGCCGCGGACGCGCGTCGTCCACCAACACGGGCGTCCCACCGCGCGCAGTGGCGCCGGGTATCAAGGACAAGGTTGCGCAGGCGCAGGTGCCGACGTCGGCAGCAGGGACGCCGCGCGCCACGCGCGAGCGCCGGACGGCCACGCAGCACACCCCGAACCTGCTGGACTCGGTCGTGCTGCGGCCAGAGGACGCCGGAGCGTCGCTGCGTAGCGTGTCGAACCCGGAGTTGGGCGAGTCGCTCGGGGGCGGCACCGTGGCCATGAGCCTCGGGGAGCGCTTCGAGAACGTCGACGTGCTCACGGCGGCCGAGGAGCTCGTCCGCAAGGTCTCCGGCGGCCTCGCATCGGCGCTCAGCGACCCGGGGGGGCTCACAGCAGCCATGCAGCAGAGCGCTGCCGCCCAGCCTCCTCAGACGCAGACGAAGTCCCCACCGCCGGCATCGCCGCCCGCCCGCGCTGGCCACAGGTCTATCCCACCAGCGCCACCGCTGCCCGCCAGCGCCGGCCACAGGTCCCCCCCACCAGCGCCACCGCTGCCCGCCAGCGCCAGCCACAGGTCCCCCCCACCAGCGCCACCGCTGCCCGTCAGCGCCAGCCACAGGTCCCCCCCACCCGTGCGCGTGCCCCCGCCCCCACCGCCAATCCCGGAGGGATTGCGGTAACGCCTCCTCGATCACATGCACACATGAAACAGCATGTCGCATCTAGCTAGCGACGCGACACGACGGCATGTAATGGACAATCAGTGACGGAACGTGTCAAAACGGAGGTCATATTGACCAAGGAAAGGGATGTCAACACAAAAGCTCGCACGTGATCGCGCCGCCGCCCCACTCGTCGCGCCCGTCCCCACCCCCGCGTCCGCTCTTTCGGGCTCACAACGCAAAGCTGCGCCGCGCACAATCACCCGGTCGCCGCAGCGAGCGCCTCGAGCCACCTCTCCTGCCCCCACGGCACCTCCGCCGCCAGCCCCGCCGCGGACGAACCCTCCGCCCACGCCGCCCCGTGCCGCCCCACGAACTCCTGCAGCGTGGTGCGGCCCAGCACCCTCCCGTACAGGTTCCCCGCACTCCCCCCCACCCCCGATCCCTCGATTTCCGCCGCCACGTACATCCCCGGAGCAGCGTCGCACACCCCCCCCGCAGCGCCCCCATATTCGCCGACCCCCTCCCAGCCCCGCAGCACCACTCGCCGATTCGTGCACGTCCGCCCCATCAAGCACCCCGCGGGCTTCTTCGCGAACCCGTCCACCAGCACCAGATGCACCCTGCCGTGCTCCTCGCCGCACCGCGCCGCCAGCGCCTCCCGGAACGCACCGATCGCCTCCCTCAAACGCTCGGCCTTCACGTGCTCAGGCACGTCGTCCTCGTAGTGCCGCGCCGCGTGCGTCTTGTCCCGCCGCGAGTACGCGAACAGATAGCCCTGGTCGTAGCGGTGCGTGCGCAGCAGGTCCATGGTGTCCGCGTGGTCGGCCGCAGTCTCCCCGCAGAAGCCGACGATGATATCGGTCGACAGCGCGACGCCCGGGATCGCGGCGCGCGCGTGCGCGACAAGGTCGTCGTACGCCTCGCGCGAGTGCCCCCGCTTCATACGCTCGAGCATCCGCGAGCTCCCGGACTGGGCCGGCATGTGCAATAACTTGCACACGTTCGCGCGCGAGGCGATCACGGAGAGCACGTCGTCCGAGAAGTCCTTCGGGTGCGGCGACGTGAAGCGCACGCGCATCTCCGGGTCCACCTGCGCCACAAGGTCCAGCAGCTGCGCGAAGGTCGTCGCGCCGTCCCGCCGCGGCTTGTACACGCTGCGGAATCCCCGCGCGTACACGCCCGCGAACGGGTCCGCCGCCTCCTCGGCGCGCCCCGGCCGCGGAGAGGATCCTGGTGCCGCGGCGCCGGAGACGTCCGCGTAGGAGTTCACGTTCTGCCCCAGGAGGGTTACCTGCAGGCCGGCGTGGTGCTTGTCATTTCGGAACAGTGCCTGGGTGCGCGCGTGCGAGCTGCAGGTGGCGGCCGGCGCGCGCGCACCTCCTTGTACCCAGCCTGACTCAGTTGTTCTACTTCGGCCAGTATGGAGTCGACGGGGCGGGAGCGCTCGCGGCCGCGCGTGAACGGCACGATGCAGAACGAGCACATGTTGTTGCACCCGCGCATGATCGAGCTGAACGCCGACGGCCAGCCGCCCTCGCGGGACGGCAGCACGTCCGCGTACGTCTCCTCCAGGCTGAGCTGCACGTTCATCGCCCCCGGGCCGGCCGCGCCGAGCGGGCCGCCGCCGGGACCGCCGCGCACGACGTCGATGAGGCGGGGCAGGTCGCGGTACGCGTCCGGGCCGGCGATGACGTCCGCAACCCTCTCTTCGCCTTCCAGGAGCTTCGATTTGAGCCGTTCCGCCATGCAGCCGAGGATGCCGACCGTGGGCGGAGCGCGCGGGGCCGTGGCCGGGCTGCCGCCCGCGCGCCGGTGGTCGCGCAGGGCCTCGGCGCGCTTCCGCCGCACGCCCTTGTACGCCCCCAGGCGGCCCCAGATGCGCTGTTCCGCGTTGTCCCGGATGGCGCACGTGTTGAGTAGGATGATATCTGCGAGTGCGTGGAAAGAGACCGGTTTTGCGGCGGTTGCGTGAGCAGTCCGAGGCCTGATGTCAAAGAAGGGGAAGGGATGGGTACCTGCGTCGTCCGGGGTGGTCGCAGGGGCGTGGCCAGAGGACTGCAGGATCGAGCGGACGATCTCGGTGTCAGACTGGTTCATCTGGCACCCGTACGTCTCGACGAAGAACTTCCAGCGCTGCTGCTCTGTGCCCCCAGGTTTCCCCGCCTCGTGCTCCACAGCGTCCCCGCCACCGGCTCCCGAAACGAAATCGAGGTGTCCCACTCCTGATGCAGCTGTCTGACTCCCGGACTTGCCCCCTGCGTCTTTGAGGAAGTCCCCAAGCGAGGGTCCATTGAGGCGCCTCTCCCCGTGCCGCCTGGAAGCGCCATCGCTTTGGCCCTCGCTGCTGGAAAACAGGCGTGCCGATCCCGCGCAACACGAGGCCGCAGGTCCGCGCGCCGCGTGGCCGGCGAGCAGCCGGGCGAGCAGCCCCGACGACGCCATTCGATGGCACACTGGCCACACGGGCCATCCGCGCGTCATGTCGACCCCCACGGCACCCCAAGCCCTCTGCACCCACTGCGCTGGCAGCGTGCAGCCGCGCGGCCCATGAGCCCGAGCAGCGGCCAGCACGCCGTGCTGCACGTGCACCAGCATCACCCCCCCCCTGACTGGACACCAAAATGAGCGCACTGTCACATCCCGGCGGTCACGCGGACATGCGGCCGGCGAAGAACCACTTCCCTGGCAGCTGCAGCATCGCGTAGTTCAGCACGCAGAGCTCCACCATGATCCCGAACACGACCATTCCTAGTTTCGGAAACAACTGCCGCACCCCCAGCAGATACGGACCCTGCACCGCACGACCACGCGAACACGCAGCTCTCCGACCCACGCGCGCGCAACGCCCCCGCGCGCGTCCATCGCAGCGCGGCAGGGCAGCATGGGCCCGAGGCCTCACGGGCTGTGTGGTTGCTACGTGGGGCACGTACCAGGGGAATGAGGGAGCCCGTCGCGACGATGGCGATGTAGCACGAGAGCGTGTCTGTCCAGGGGAGGCCGCCCGCGGCGCGTCCCGAGCTCAGCGGGCTGCCCCGGTCGCTGGAGGACCGGGACCTGGCTCCCAGGGTCATGCAGAGGCGCAGGTATTGGGAAAAGAAGGCTAGGAAGATGAAGGTGACCCACTGGTACGTGAGGAGGTAGCCGTAGAAGGGCTCGATGGTCGAAGGGATGATCCAGAGCGCCGCGAGGGCCGCCGCGAGCAGCGAGGTGATGCCCACAACCCCCGAGGTCAGGTGGAACCGGGGGGGGAGTCTCCAGCCGCCGGGGTACTCCGGGATCAGCGACGGCGAGCGCGACGTCCAGTCGCTGAAGAACACCACGGACTTGCGCAGCGACGAAGGCCTGCGCGCTCAATCGAGGGGGCGATGTCATCTTGAACGTGGGATCAGATAGGGCACGTGGGGAGAGCGTGGCGGCACAGTTCGCGGCGCGGCGTGCTGCGCTCTGCCGCGGGACGCGTCCGTCGGGGGCGCACATGTTGACTGCGGACTGTCCGAGCTGCATCAGCGCCAGTTTGAATCCGGGCTTCTTGTTGTTGACGATAATCGCCCACAGTGCCACGAGCCACGGCAGCGGGACGAGCACCAGCCGCGCGAAGGCGTCGCCCAGGCCGACGCCTGTCGCGAGCGACGCGCTGAGCGGGATCGGCGCCAGCCGCGCCCTGCAAAACAACACGTGGAACACGCGCACATGTTCTGCCTCCGCGTTCCTGCCGCGGGCACTGAGTCGCATCCGTGCGCGCGGCGCGTGCGCGTACCTGCACGCGTTCCAGTCCTTGACCTGCTCCATGATGAACCCAGACCACCAGTCCCAGGGCTTGAGGGGTCCTAGCGTGAAGTGAAGGACCTTGATTTGGCTCTCCGGAATCATCCAGCGGCCCGAGTTCAGGATGTACAGCCCGATGTCGCCGTTGTACCCCGTCGTGAGGCGCGCCGTGCGCAGGCTCGGGTCGAGCTTCGGCCCGCTTGGCTGGAAGATAGGGGCTTCGACAAACTCGGAATAGTATTCGTTCAGGAATCCCTGGTCGCCGCCGGTGTAGGACTGGAGCTGCGAGATCTTGGCGAGCATGTCGTCGAACACCTCCGCGGACGGGTCGAGGACCATGACGCCCGAGTTGAAGCGCTCGGAGTGCCGCACGACCACGCACAGGCCCGGGCACGCAAACAGCTCGTCGATGTTCTGCGTGACGAGGATGTCGCTGTCCAGGTAGATCACTGCGGCGCACGGGGTACGGGACGCGCGCGTGGGGGCGGCGCTCGGCGCTGCGGGCGCGGTCCGAGGCACGACGCCCCACGGAGCATTGCAGCACTGCTGTAGCGCGGCGGTGCCAGAGAGGGGGCGTCGCTGCGCGGGGTCGGCGCAGGGCGGCACCTTTGTCGTACTCGACGAGGTTCCAGACCGTCAGTTTCGAATACACCCCCCAGAACTTGGCGGGGAAGTTGTTCTTCCCGACGGCGGAGGGGCCCGTGCCGGGGTTGGCGATGGTCGCGATGCGCTTGACGATCCAGCCGTCGCCCTCGAGGATCGAAGCGACCGTGTCGGACACAGCCTCGGTCGCGAGGACCACCAGATCCCTGCGTCGGCGCGTCGGGCGACACAACATCGTGCGGCGCTGCCCAGCGGCGCGGCACAGCAGCGGCTGCAGGCCTCGGAGCGGCTGGTCAGCCGGCGAGCGATCAGCACGGCTGGCGAGGAGGGGTCCGGGCGGCGCGCCGCACCTGTTGGTGCCGGTGTCGCGGATGCTTTGCCCGAGAACGCGCGTGCCGAGCAGGAAGTTGTCCGTGTAGATCAAGGCAACGTATGCCTCTTTCCTCTGCCTGAGGTGGCGCCCCGCACGTCCCGCTGGCGCCGCGCCGCCGCGCAGAGCGGGCCCGGCCTCCGGGGGTGGCCCTGGGAGATCGAGCAGGCCGCCAGGGGCGCGACTGTGGGGTTCTCGCCGCGCCGCGGTGCAGAGGCAAAGTGCTAGGAATGCCAAAGCTGCAACGGTGCCCAGAAGGCGGCGGCTCGCCCGCACGACGGCAGGCGCGCCCATCATGTGCTAGCTCCTGAGCGCCCCTTTCGAGCCTCCCTATTCGCTAGATAGGTCGCTTGGCGGGCCCACACTCTAAATCTGGGATCTGCGTGGGATGATCGAGCTAGTGATCAGATTGATACGGCTACTGATTGCATAACGTCGTTGGTTTCGACGGGACGCGCTCTGGAGCAAGTTTGTAGCCCCAGGCCGCGCTCGATTCCTTCGAGAACACTGCGGCCTATCCTGAACGAAGCGGAGATCTCCCGGAGCGTGGCGGAGCGGCCAGATGTAGGCGCGCGGGCTTGCACGCGGCCGTGCCGCGTCCTGGGAGGAGACGCCACTCCTTTGACTAAGGGGCCGTGGGGGGCCGTGTTGCAGAGGTGAATGCCTGGCTCTCTGCGCGCCCGACGATGCTTCGGCAGGTGGTCGACAATCGGTGGATCAACTGATCGCTATACCTGTGGGCTCGGACGCCTGGAGGGTACGCAACGCAGGCGGCAGGTACAGGCCCCGCAGGCTGCCATTCGTGGACATGCCGGCGAAAAAGTCCGCGCTGGACGCTGTCCTGGGCGATATCAGCGATTCGGACGACAGCAGCAGCGGGGCGAGCGCGGGAGGGTCAGCGCGCAAGGATGAGAGCGGGGCACGTAGCCCAGCAGAGGACGAGGCTCCGGCGCCGAAGCGCAAGAAGCTCACGGACGTCAAGGCCGAGGACCTGATGAAGCACGGCTACAAGACGGGACCGTCCGTCCTGTTCATGAAGGACAAACAAGACGTGCGTGCCCCGCCACCTGCCTGTGCACTGCTCGGCGCCGTTTCCTCTCGCGACGCAGCCTCACGCGCGGGTCTCGGGCCGGCGCCGCGTGCAGATCGACTACAACTTCGCGTGGGGCGACGGGCGGGACGAGCGGGCGCAGGGGGAGCCCGAGGAGGACTTTTTCGACAGGGAGCGCACGCGCGTCGCCGCGAACGAGGCGGCCGCGCAGAGCGCCGACCTGGCCCTCAGAACCATCGCGCACGTGAGCCTCGCAGCCCTCGACGCACGCGACCGCCCACCCACGCCTCACTCCCCCCCCCCAACACCCACACCCCCCATCACACAGCTCTCAGCGGCCGCGCGCGCCGCTGGCGTCCGCAGGCGGCCAAGCTGCGCGAGCAGGCGCGCGAGGAGAAGCAGGCGCGCCGCGGCGGCAAGGAGGCGTCGGTCAACCAGAAGGAGAAGCGCAAGCGCAACCTCGGGCAGCAGGGCTCCGGGAAGAACTACGTCGAGGAGGAGAAACGCGTCGCGCGGGAGTTCGGAATGTACAGCGGCTTCGACTAGGCGCGCGGGGCCGCGGGCGCGCCGCTTACGGCCGCCGCACGTCACCTCGCGCACTCCCGCGCTGTGTACGCTGGCTTTCCGGCGCCGCCCGACAGGCGTCACACGTGCTCGGACGCCGCCGCGTCGGCGGCCTTTCCGAGCGCCTCCATGAAGGCGCTGCTGTTCAGCATGCCGGTGCCACCCAGGAGGAACTTCATGCCCGCAGCCCAGCCCTCGTTCCGCGCGCCCTGCGCGTTGAGCTGCGCGACGATGCGCGCCTCCTCGTACGTCGCGCCGCCGACCATGAAGACCACGACCTTGCGCGGCGGGCTCGTGCGCCCCAGCGTCGTCAGCGACGACCCCCCCAGGAACGGGAACGCCTGCTCCCGCAGCCGGCCGCGCGCGACGGCCTCCAGCGTCGCCAGGAGCTGCGGCTGGTGCATCGTGTACACGTTTTCCACCCCCTTGAGTCCCTTGAACAGGGTGCCCGCCTTGGCCATGAAGGTCCGCGTGCCGTAGAGGTCGCCGTCGCGCCGCGCCTGGCCCGCGTGGTCAAGGAGGACCTTCTGCAGCGCCCGCGCGCGCCGCACGAGCGGGTCGCTCGCCTGCGCGGCCAGCTTCAGCGCCAGATCCCCGCACCGCTGCTGCAGCTCGGTCTCGTACCGCAGCTGCAGGAGGAGGAGCAGGCGGAGGCGGTCGCGGTCCGTGAGGCCCCTCCCGGCGTCCGTGAAGCACAGCTGCTCCACCTCGGTCGCGTGCTGCGACGGCGAGGACACGCCCCCCATCGACAGCTCCTGCTCGAGCCGCGACGCGGCCATCAGCGACCGCGCGTCGACGATCCGCGACATCTCCGAGAGCAGCGCGACGTGCTTGCTCACGTTCGTCGACTTGACGCGGTACTCCGGGAACGTGTCCAGCACACGCTGCATGTCCTGCACCGACGCCACGCCGGCGCCGCGCAGGCTCTTCGGCGCCGACTCCTGCAGGGAGTCGACGAGCGCCTTGACCGCGCCGCCCAGGTCGCCGAACGAGTCGTACCGGTGCTCGGCGTAGAACCCGTCGTCGTGCGCGTCCAGCACCGCCTGTGCCACGTCCTTGTGGATCTTCGGGACGTGCGTGAGGTCCACGACGTTGTCCTTGATGCCGAGCAGCTCGTGCACCATCGCCTGGTACGTCCACTGCATCAGGAGCGGGCCCACGGGGTCCTCCCGGCGGTCCAGCACCAGCACGTGGCACGACGTGTCGGAGCGGCCGCCGAAGTCGAACAGCTCCGCGTCCTTCTCGTGCATGAGCGACCAGAGACCCTCTCCTATCCGCCTGCGAGCGAGCGGGCGCGGTGGGCGTGGGGCGCGACGGTGCGGACGCGGTGTGCGCGTGTGCGCGGGTGTGCGAGGCGTACCGGCAGTGGGCCGACGAGGCCTGGACGCGGACGAGCGGGCGGGACTTGAGGGCGAGGAGCACGGCGGCGAGGGCTTCGATGCAGCGGTCCTCCATGTACTGCGTGGGGCCGGGCATGGCCGCGGGCGGGAGGAGGGCGCACTCCGGGTGCGGGTTGGGGGCCTCGAAGAGGTACGAGGTGATCGCGAGGAAGTCGCCGTAGAGCTCCTGGGAGCAGTCGGTGGAGGGGGCGAGGGTTTGCGGGGCGCGGGCGCCGCGTGCGGGGCGGGAAGGGGCCAGAGGTAGCGCGCGTGGAGGCCGCGCCACAAGGGGTCGCGGGATTCGGAAAACGCGCGAGGTCGCCGTTCGCGGCGCTGTGACGGGGAGGGACGCAAGAATCGCGCGCGTTTGCGTCGCGGACGGCCAGGACAGGGAGCGGAAGAGACGCCTGTTGGTCCGCACGGCCTCGCCGCACCTGCACGCACTCCACGGCCTCCTTCTTGTCCGCCTGGGCGAGCACTTCGAGGGCGGAGTCGTGGATGGTGTTCGTGAAGTAGATGCGGTACTTCCCGTAGAGCGGCTCCGCCAGCTCCCTCCGCAGGCGGTCCACGTTCTCCGCCGTGGGGCGCAGCACGGCCACGCACGTCAGGTACGGCAGCGCGTCGCGCTTCCTGTCGTCCACGAGGCCCAGGAGGTACACCTGCTCGAACAGCAGCTCCGTCTGCGTGGCCACCAGCGCCACCATCCGCTCCGTCTCTCGGTCCAGCAACAGCGCCTTCATCCCCTCCACCTGCGCGATGGCCTTGTGTAAATACGCCCTCCAGATACCCACCAGCTCTCCCTCGTCCACCCGCCCCGTCCCCGTGCTCGAACTCGCCGCCATGGCGCCCCAGCACCACCGTCACCTCCCGCCACTCCACACGCCCCGCCGGCCCCTGCAGCCCCCTCCGTCGGCCCTGCACCCCCCAGCTGACAACGCCTCCACGCAACAACCCCGCGCAGCCACCCGCGCGGCGCACCTCCGCGCCCCGGGACCACCGCGCTACACTCCAGTCGAAGTGCCAAGTGCGCAAACGACTCGCACCCGGTCCCGCGCCACGGATCACCTCGCACGCGCCACGGCGAAAGACAACGTGTCGCGGACGCCAGCGCCGCGGCCCCTCGTCCCTGGAACCGGCGGTCAGACCCACGACGACCCTGACAGTCGCGAAGTGATCCTTGCGGAGTGCAACACGTGCCATTGCGGGAACGCGCCGGCCCTCCCGGCACTCCGCGAGCGCCCATGATCGCAGCCCTGCGCGCCCCCGCCGTCCGCCAGCCCGCCCCCGTCAGCTTCTCGCGCTCGTCCGCACGCCGCGCCGCCCCGCGAGTCTCACTTCGCGTCCTGGGTAAGCAACGCGGCCCTCCCCCGCTGCGCCGGCGCGCTATATCGCCCGCTGGTCCGTGCTGCTCGTCGTTGCTGGTGTAGACGCGGGCATCTCGCGGATCGCACGGCCGGCAGCGGCACCGTCGGTCGCCCGCCGGGCTGGCTCGTTGTCTGGTGCCAAGGGTGCCGAATGAAATGCTCTGCGATGTCGCGGAAAAACCCGATCGCTCGCATCGCCTGGCATGATCGCGCCGACCACACTCAGCCGCGCGCTCTCGATGCGTCGCAAGCGTCAGAAATTCGCCAGTCGACGGCGTGCGCGCACAACGATGCTGGCCCCATGGACCCACGCAGCGCCTGCTGACGCCACCCATTGCCCCCGCGCCATCTCCATTCCTCCTCGCAGCAGCCATGGAGAAGATCACCTTCGGCGACAACCTCCCCGGCTACGTGTGCGGCCCCAAGGGCGCGCCCGGCCTCCTCGTCCTCCAGGTGCAGCGCGCTCCCCGCCCCCGCCCCGAAGTGGCGCCCCGCCCCGCACCCGCCCCGCACGGGCCCCACCGAGCCGACCCCTCGCGCGCAGGAGTGGTGGGGCATCACGCCCGAGATCCAGGAGCACGCGAAGGTCTACTCGGAGATTTGTGGCTTCCGCTGCCTGGTCCCGGACCTGTACAAGGGCAAGGTGCGCAAGGATCCCTCCGAAGCGCCGCTCAGTGGATCTGCTACGCTGCTAGCGCCATGATGGTGCCAAATGCGGCGCCGTGCTCTCGCGGGAAACAGCCACCGGGACGTCAACGTCCTCAATGGATAAGTCCGCCGTTCGTGGGTTCAGGGCAGCGCATTTCCCGTTGATTGCGCGTTGCAGATCGGCGTTGACAAGGAGGAGGCATCGCATCTGATGTCCAAGCTCGGTGAGTCGCCTGCTGCCCCCGAACGGCCGGCAACCACACCGCCCCTCTTCCGGGGTGCCCGCGGCCACGCGTGTTCGCGGCCACCGAACGCAAGAAGCCGTCCCCGTTCGCGCCTTGCAGACTGGGTCCAGGCGTTTGGCGAGATGAAGCAGGCCGCCGAGTATCTCCGCTCCGAGGGGTCGGCCAAGGTCGGCGCCGTCGGCTTCTGTGAGCGCCCGCGCCCCTCCCGCACGCCACCGCTCGCCCGAGCAGACCCGCGTCCTTGCGGCGTCGCTCGACCACCGCGCGCCCGTGCTCGTGCTCGCATGCAGGCATGGGCGGCGCTCTGTCGCTCTGCGCCGCGCAACACTCCGGCATCGACGCCGCCGTGCCCTTCTACGGCTGCCCGGGCGAGGAGGCGTGCGACCCGTCCAAGCTCACCGTGCCCGTCCAGGGCCACTTCGGCGCGGACGACCCCATGAAGGTGCCTGACACCCACTCACACCCCCACCTCACGTGGCATCGAAAGCCGCTCCGTTCAGCGCCGAACTCCCTGTCAAAGGGAGCTCCTGCCTGCCTGATGGACTCGCACTCGTCCGGCGGTCGCCCCACGCCGCCGTCCACATCTCCGTCGTCGTCCGCAGGGCTTTTCGGATGTCGACACGGCCAAGGCGCTGGACGCCAAACTGAAGGCCTCCCCGGGCAAGGGCGAGGTGTTCATCTACGAGGGCGAGTCCCACGCGTTCATGAATCGCACGGACGAGGAGAACACCAAGAAGCGCGAGATGATGGGCTTCACCACGCCCAAGCCGGAGAACCAAAAGCTCGCGCGCGAGCGCTCCGCGGAGTTCCTCAAGAAGGCCCTGGCGTGAAGCGGAGCGGGTGGAGCGCCCGGGGCGAGCAAGCGTGGGCACCGGGGCGCCGGGCCCGCGGCGAGGAGGCATAGAGGTGCTGATAGTTCTTCGCTGACCTAGGTGCTGAGCAGGCTTGCGCGCGCGCAGCGGCGGTGTGGACGCTCGCTGCGAGCGATCTGTGAGCCACGCTTCATTTGATATCGGAAAGACGACGCACGTTCTCGTCCCAGTGAGCCCGCCCCAGTCGTGCGAGCCTTACAGTGAAAAAATATGCTGCTCCTCGCTCTGGCGAGCGAATCGCGACTATGGTCTGCGCTGGCGCCGCGCGGCTGCGACCGCCGCGCGTAGAACGCGAAGGCGAGGGCGCCTCGCAAAGAGCGCGGACTTGAAGTGCCCAGTCAGCATCGCGCGGACAAATTGCGAGCAGGTCCCCCCTGGTCGCAGGAGGTAGGGCGGGGCGTGACGGGGGGAGGAGGGCTCGGTGACGAGCACGCGCCGCTTGGTCATCGTGGTTCGAAGAATCATTGAGCCACCCACCGAGCACTGAGCGACGAGTGCGTTCGCGGCAGGGGCTGTGTCGGAGAGACGCGTGGCCACTGAAATATAAGCTGGCGGAGTTGACGGAAAGGCCGCTGGCCGCCCGCACAATGGTAGGTCTCCGCAGCGGCTGGCAAAGGGGGGGCGGGAAGGGGGGGGGTCGTTATCAAGCAGACTGGTCAGCTGGTGCCGGGCTCGCCGCAGCACGCTCGTTCGCGTCCTTGGAGCGGCGCTTCGAGCGCTCGCACTTCTGCATCGAGATGATCGTCGCCAGGATCTCGCTGAACGCCGGCCGGTCCTCCGGCTCTCGCGCCATGCAGCGCTCGGCCAGCTCCTTGATGCCCGCGTGCGTGCCCTCGGGGAACTCGAACTTGTGCCCCTGCTCGAGCACGCGCGCGATGATCTGCGGGACGCGCAGGCCGTCGAACGGTCGCTTGCCGGTGACCATCTGCCACACGACGACGCCGAACGAGTACACGTCCGCCGCGGGGCTCAGGCGGCCGTCGCGGAGGAGCTCCGGAGGCATGTGCGTGACGGTCCCTGCGGCGTTGCGGCGGCGGAGGAGCGGGGGGTGTTGGATTGCGCAGCCGGCTGGGGGGGGTCGCTGGCGGGCGCGTGCACAGGCTTGGTCTGAGGCCGCGGGGGGACGCACCGAACTTGGAGACCTTGGCCTCCGTCGTGACGACTTGCGAGAGGCCGAAGTCGCCGACCTTGGCCGTGAAGCCCTTGTGCGCGTCGCGGCGCGGCAGGAGCATGACGTTGTTCGCCGACAGGTCCCCGTGGACGATCGAGCGGCCGTGCATGTGCGCCATGCCGCCCGCGACCTCCCGGCACACCGAGAGGATCGCCGCCACGTCCTTGACGCCCCCCGCCTCGTCAGTGAACTCCCCCCTGTCGCACATCTGCTGCAGGTTGCCCAGCCCGCAAAACTCCTGCACAATCCACGTCTCCCACTCCTCCTCGCCGTCCTCGAGCACCTTCCCGCTCGGCCGCTGCGCGAACTTGAAGCTCTGCACCAGGTTGGGGTGCGAGATGTTGCAGGAGAGCACCGCCTCGAGCGCCTCGCTGCTCTCCTCGCCGCGCGGCGGGCCGTGCAGCATGATCTTCACCGCCACCATCGCGCCGTCCCACAGCCCGCGGTACACCTTGCCGTACCCGCCCTCGCCGAGCACCTTGCCCAGCCGCACGTCGACGAACGGCGGCTTGCTCGACGGCATCGCCCTCGACCCCATCCCGCGCCCGGACCCGCTCCGCACGCTCTGCAGCGCGCTCTGCCGCTGCGTCTCGCTGCTGTTCGCCGCCGGCTGCACGGGCGTCGTGTCGTCGATCATCGTCACCAGGTACAGCCGCCGCTCGTCCATCTCCGACGTCCCGGGCTTGCACCGCGACGGAATGAGCGTGTCCAGCGCGTTCACGTCCATCGCCTCGTCCACGGGCTTGCACCGGCACGCGACGCTCCGGCCCGTGCCGTGCGTCACGCCCGAGATCGAGAACGTCCCCTTCGCCGCCGTCACCTCGCTGTACCGCGCGCACAGCTGCGCGCCGGTCATGCCCGCGACGTCGACGCGGTCCCAGAGCGTGAACGACTCCTCCTCCGCGGAGGGGGAGTCCGGGAAGAATTTCTTGTACCCCTGGTTGCCGTACAACACGCGCCAGCCCTCTCCGACGTCGACGAGGGCCACCGCCTCGGTGAGCGCGTCGATGGCGCGCATGCGGCGCAGCTCGCCGGAGTCCAGCTCGGTGAACTCGACCGACAGCCGGGAGGAGTAGCGCTGCGACTGGGCCAGCGGGACGGGCCCGCCCGACGCGGTCGACTGGATGACGCTCGCCTGGAGCTGGTCCCGCTCAATCTCGCGCACAACCATCTCCGCGAAGTTGCGCAGGGTCGCAGCCTGCGCGCACGGGGCGCCGCGGGACCGTGGTGGTGCACACGCGGCAGAAAGCGAGCCGGGGGGGGACGGCGCGGCGTCGGGGGCGGTGGCCGACGTGCGCGGCGGCCGCGCGGGGCGTACAGGTCGGCGGGGCCCCGCGGCGCACCTGGCCGTCGCTGAACTCGGGGTGGGGGACGCTGTCGAGCACACAGAGCGTCCCGAGGCGGTAGCCGTCCGTGGTGACGAGCGGCGCGCCGGCGTAGAACCGCAGGGAGTTGTCGCAGCACACCATCGGGTGCTCCTTGAACTTGTCCTCCTTGGAGGCGTCCTTCACGACGAGCACTTCTGGCTTCTCGGAGGTGAGCGCCCAGGCGCAGAAGGTCTGCTTGCGGGGCACGCGCGGCCCGCACGCCATCCCGGCGGCCGACTTACTGAAGTGCAGCTCCTCGTCGATGAGCGAGATCACCGATATCGGCATCTGCGGCGCGAGAGTGCACACGAGGTCAGGGCTAGCTCGGCTGCGTCGGGGCGAGAGGGAGCATTGTCCTAGAAGCCGGCAGCTGGTGGCTGTTGGATGATTGGGACAGGTTCGAGGCGCCGACGTCGGCGGGGCGCACACGGCGCGACGGGAAAACGATGGAAGCATCGAAGCTGTGGGGCCCCCGAGACGCGTGCTGGGGGGGCGCGCGCCGTGCGTGCGCACTCACGTTGAATATCTGCGTCATGAGCTTGGTGATGTGGTCGTAGCGCTCCTCGCTGGTGCAGGACCCGATGATGCCCAGGGAGTGCAACTTGGCTACCCGCTCCGCGTCGTTGGCTGGGGTGGGGGCGGGCTGGAAGCCACTCGTCGGATCCGCGGCCATCGTCTCGATGCCGGCTTCGAGGAGCGCTGCAGCGTCGGACATCTTGGTCGAGGCCATGGGCGTCAAGTGGTCCCTCTCTGTGTTCTGAGCGTCTGCCGTCGTCCCCTGCGACCGGTCGGCGGGGCCGTAGCGAGCGCGTCGGTCAAGACATCTTTGCGACGCGTAGCACGCGGCACTGGGAGTCGCTCAGCGTCGAGGGCCCGCTCCTGGGAGCACCACACAGTCACGCGCGGGCGCGAACGCGGCGGCTCTGCGTATTGAGCAGCTCCTGCGCCGATATTCTCTCGCAAAACAACCCCGACACCGCTCCGCCGGGCAGGATGTGCCAGATGCCGCCCGGTGCGGCGGGGGCGGCTCACCTTGCTCTCGCCTCCCTCCAGCACATTGACGCCCGGAAACGGCTCTGCCGCTTCATGGAGCGACCGCTGCGGCGGACGTGACGCGACACAGCCCATCGTGTCCTTCACCCCGCGCTCGCGGCGGGGGTTGGAGGCACGCTGGGCGAAGAAACGCGGCTTGCCACTAGAGCAGCCTTCAGCGCCTGCAGCGATCCGTCTCCGGGGAATGTGGGCGTGCCCGTGCTTCGGACAGGCCGCTTCTGCCCCGGGCCGCCCTCGAGCGTCGCCCCAGTCACCGCTGGGGCCGGGTGGAGGCTCTCCGGGGTCCAGGTCAGACAGTAGGGAAATGGATATCGTGCGGCGATCCGGCGATTCAGGAAGCCACCATCCTGTCCACACACAGTCTCTAGCGCGCCAACGCGCGCCCACGCGCGCCGCTGCCCGCCCGCTCGCCCCCGCCGCCGTATCCGCGTCACAGGGACGCGTGCCCGCGTCCACGCCACGCCCCGGCCCGCGGCCCAGCGCCACGTGGTGTTCCTCCTGGTGACCCCATATGGCACAACATCGGAGGCCCCCAGCTCGGCACTTACGGCACGGCACGGGCCCGCCGGCACGCCCTCGCGCGCGGGAGGGTGGCGCGCGCCGGGGGCGGCAGGTTCACGTGGCACGGGGGGTGTGTCGGACGTGCGTAGCTCGTCACAGTGGTCACGTTCACCTGCGCAGCCTGTCGCGCGTCCAGGTGGCCTAGCGGGCCGCGGCTTTCGCGCGTGGCTGGCGCGCAGGAGGGGCCGGTGGCACGCCGGTGTGCCGAGGGGCGAGACGAGCTCGCGTGGGAGCGTCGTCGCGTGTCGCGGGTAGAGATGCAGACGGGAGGGGGCGGTGCCCGGGAGGAAACGGGCTCCGAAGACGGGGATGCTTGGGTGAGTACGGTGGGCGAGGGTCGGACTTGGGCGTTTGAACGGCCACGTGCGGCACCGCGACGCGCAGCAGTTCCTGTTCCGAGGGGGGGGGTGTCACTGGAGGAAAACTAGGGATTTTCGTCACGGAGTCGACGGATTGTTTGCAAGGCCCGTGTGGATGCGCCTGGCCGCGTTCGAGCCCTCGGGAGCCGAGAATCGCTGTGCCATGTGGAGATGCTGCCTAGAGGTGGAAGGAGGGGAGAGGGTGGGCGGGGGGGGGACCTAGATCGGCGACAAATGTTGCACGCGGTGTTCGACCACGCGCTGGCCGCGGCAATTCGCCGGCGGTAGCACAAGGGGGGTGTCTGCGGGGATGTGCTGCGGGATCGTGTGGTGGTTCTGGCCGCCGGTTCTGGCGCGCGCCAGCACGGGGGAAAATCGCCCGAAGTGCGCTACAAGCTGGCCGCCTGCAGGTCGAGCACCTCCATCAGCACGTCCGACGACGTCGGGCGCTCCTCGGGGTCTGCGGCGAGGCACCGCCTCGCCAGGGCGCTGTACGCGAACGGCAGCGTGTCCGGGAACTCCAGCTGCGCCGCGCCGCTGAGAACACGCGCCGCCACCTTCGCCGGGTGCGCCCCGCCGTGCGGGCGCTCGCACGTGGCCATCTGCCACATGAGCACGCCAAACGAAAACACGTCCGCCTTGGTGGTCGCCTCGGCGCCGCGCAGGACCTCCGGCGGCATGTGCGTCGTCGTGCCCAGCGGCTGCCCGTCCTCCGTCCGCAGCGCCGTCGCGAGGCCGTACCCGGCCACCTTGGCCATGCATCCCTCGAACCGGTCGGGGCTCGCCATGAGCATGACGTTCCTCGCCGACAGGTCCCCGTGCACGATGTGGCGGCTGTGGAGGTGCACGAGCGCGCTCGCGACCTCGCGGCAGATGTGCAGCGCCGCGCCCACGCCCGCGCCGCGCGCCAGGAACTCCCGCCGGTCGCACGCGTCCTGCAGCGAGCCCATCCCGCAGTACTCCTGCACGATCCAGACGTCGCACGCCTGCCCCGCCGCGAGCGGCGCCGTCGCTACCCGCTCGCCCCCACCCTCGTCCCCGTCCGCGCGGATGGCGTACTTGTACGTCTGCACCAGCCCGGGATGGGAGACTAGCACCGAGAGCATCGACTGCAGAACGGTGCGGAGGTCCTCCTCCGTGCTGGTTGGCGCCATGGCGCACCGCAGCGCCCGCACCGACACCACCGCGCCGTCCCAGAGGCCCCGGAAGATGCGCAGGGACGCGGACTGCGACGACGTCGGAGAACCAAGGCGAGTGAGTGAGGCAGGGTGCGACCGCGACGTGCGGCGTTTGGCGAGCTTCCTCGGGGGTGGGATGGACGGACGTACCTGCGACGTGAGGCGCCCGAGCTTGACGTCGACGAACGGCGCCTGCACGCGCTCGCCGTTGACGACCGGGGCGCTCTGTTTGCTCGTCAGGCCCGACTCCCAGCTGTAGAGCGACGCGACCGTCGTCGCGCCGTTGGCGGCCGCGTCGACGGCGGTGACGCTGTTGGCGATCGCGGCGCGCTCGATGCTGTCCCGGCCGCTGAGGTTCGTGCTGTGCGTCTCCTCGAGCGGGCAGAGCTGTATGACCTGGCGCGTGCGCTCCACCGAGCCTCGGTGCGGCAGGCGCGCCATGGCGCCCTGGCCGCTGTCGTCCTTGCGCATGATGACGAGGTAGAGGAGCGTGTCGGGGGCCTTCGCGGGCGCGGCGCGGTACCTGAGCGTGCTCGTGCGCAGCATCAGCGCGTTGATGTCCGCTGCCTGGTCCGCGGGCGCGCACCGGCACGACAGCCGCGGGAGCGCGATCGCGTCGTTCCCGGGCCACCGCCGCACCGTCGCCGCGAGCGAGAAGGTCCCCCGGCGCGCCGCCACGTCGCGGTAGCCCTGCGCGCCCACCGCGCCTTCGACGTCGATCATGTCCCACAAGGTGTCGCTGGGCTTGATGCCCGCGCAGCCAAACAGGGCGTAGAACTCCGAGTTCCCGTACAGGCAGCGCCAGCCGTTCGCGGCGTCCACGAGCAGCACGGCCTCGTTCAAAGAGTCAACTGCACGCCACTTGCGGCGCTGCTCCCCCACGATGCTGCGAGCGCGGCACGGGGCGAGAGCGGCGTGGGCGCAGCGCACCACGCAACCGGAGCGACGACGCGGTGCCGCGTGCCGGGCGCTGCTGCAGCTCGACGGGGTGCTCTCACCTCGTGAACTCGCCGAACACCGCGGACGGGACGCGGCGGAAGGAGCCCGTTCGTCGCCGCACGAGGCTCTCGCTCGGGGGTTCCGCGGCCGCCCCCGGCGCGCTGTCCATGGCCCGGAGCGGCGCGGGGTTGGACGAGATGGGCGCGGCGGGGCCCCGCATGAAGCCCTTCTCGAGCTCCCGCACCGCGAACTCGGCGAAGTTGGCCAGGAGCGCGATGTGGCGCTCGGAGAAGTCCTGGTGCGGCGCCGTGTCGGCCACGCAGAGCGTCCCGAGGCGGTATCCGTCGCTGGTGACCAGCGGCGCGCCGGCGTAGAAGCGCTGGGCTTGCGGGCCGGTGACTTGCGGGTTCCGCATGAAGCGCAGGTCTTTCGTGCAGTCTGGCACGACCAGCACCTCGGGGCGCTCCCCGAGGAGCGTCCAGGAGCACATGCTGACCTCGCGTGCCATCTGGAGCACGGTCTCGCCCGCAGCGGACTTGGCCCACGCGCGCTCGTCGTCGAGCAGCCACAGCACGCACGTCTTGACCTGCGAGAGGAGGGCGGCGTGCGTCTCCGCGGTCACTTCGCGGCGCGCGCCCGGGGCAGCCGTGCTCGTCATCGCCCGGCGTTGCTTAGTCACGGGCTGCAGCGCTCCCCCGAGCGGCCCGAGGGCGCGCGCGCGCACCTGGAGCAGCTCGCGGATGAGGCTCGTGATGCGGTCGTACTGCGGCTCGGGCGGAGTGTCCAATACGCCCAGGGACCGCAGCTTGCACACGCGGGCCTCCTCGTCGCCTGGCTTTGACGCGGCGCTGCACCCCGACGGCCGCACGACGTGGTCCTCGATCGCACTGATCACCGGCGTGCCCTCCGCCGCCATCGGCGACCCACACTCCCCCCCGCCGCACGCGGCGCTGCACTGCCCAACCTGCGAGCAACGCACCATGGGGCCGCGTGCGCGTCAGCGCGCGTCCTCGCAGGCTCGAACCGCGCCGGGCGCCACGCACGCGGATACAGGGGCCGTGGGTGCGGTCGTCGCCTGCGCGTGCGGCCCCGCGCGCGCGCACACGCGACGGTGCCCCTTTGGAGGCACGTCCCGCCCGGGGGGCCCGACGCGGGCCCTCCGAGCCCGGTATTTCCGCCCGACGCAAGGTTCCATGACGCTATCAGCCGACCAGGCCCGCAAAATGCGGCAATCAGCACTTCGGGGCGCACCCGCGCAATGTTTGTGGCGCCGCCATTGGAGCTACACCCCGGCCGGTCGCCCGCGCTCGCCGTCGCGCCGTCCGAGACGCGCGCCGAGGCCCTGCTGATGCACCACAGCATGATTCCCTACGCAGCAGCGCTCCACGCCATCGTGCCCCCCGTCGCGGCTGTCGGCTTGCCCCTCGCGAGGCGCCTGCCAGCTCTCACGTTTGAGCGCCCTCGAATACGCGCGCGCTGCTCCGCTTGCTACGCTCCGAGCCCTCAGCGCAACGATCCAAGTGACCCGGGCGGAGCGGCCGCGGCCGCCACGCTCCCCGCGAGCGCCGGGGGTGTTATTAGGTGACCCTGGAATGTGACCTAATGCCTGGGAGGGGCACGCCGCCTCCACGCAGGCCGCCGCGCCCTCGCCGGGGACCCGCGCGGCTCTCCCGAGGACCACACCGCATCGCGCACCGGCGCGGTCCGCGATTCGAGCGCGCCGACGCGGCAGTCACGCCCGTCGGCAGTGCCAGGTGTCGCTTGTGCCATTGCGCGCGCGCGACGGGCTGGCCCTCCCGCAGGGCGTATCCGGACCGGACTCGCGCGAGCCGTCGGCGTCGCGCAGAGGTCAGCCGGGACGTCGAAGCTCCCGTCTCTGGCCGGGCGGCAGCGCGGCGCGATGTTCAACCTCGTCACACGCGCGCTGTTGGTCGGTCGGAACGACGCAGCGGGAGCCGCGGGGCCGCTCTGAGGTCGCTCGCCGGGACCGTACGCTGGCGAAGAGGCGCTGGCTGTGCGCAGGCAGCGCACCGACGCGCTGTGTGCGCGCCGGGGCGCCCTGCGAGTCTGTCGTGCCGCAACGGTGCGTCCGGGCGGGCGCGGCCGACGGCCGGCTTGGTGGGGGGCCGATGGCTGTGCGCGCGCTCGAGTGAGGCGTCACGCGGCTCGCGCCGCCGCGCGGGGACGTGTGGCCCACGCAGCTGCACGGAAGCGCAGCGTGATGCCATCTCCCGGCGCTGCTGTGGGCGCGGTGGCGGCGACGCGCGCGATGCGCGCCGCAGCTGGGTCCGGCGGCCATGCGCTGCGTCTCCGCGACCGCCGCGCGCCGGGCGGCGGCGGCTGCATGCCTCGAGCGCGGTCAACGACCGCGTGTGGCTCACGACCGCTTTCCCGGGACTGACGTGTGATACCGGGACTGAAACTCTGCGTTCCGGTGCCCCGTATGTAGGATGATCGCGCGGCGTGGTAGTCCTCGCACGCTGCGGCCTCGTGCGCACCCCGAGCGCGTGGGACTGACAGTGGTGGATGCCTCCCCTGCCGCACGTCACGGCGCCCTGCGCGCCCGCCCACAAGGGGGGGGCTGCGGGGGCCGCAGGGTACGTGCAGACTCGCTCCCCGCTGTGTTGCTGGAACGAAGGCCTTGCAGTGCCGGTAGCGTGCTTGCACTGAGTTGGTCTTGCGTGTGTCCCTCACGATGGCTGCGCGGCGCGCCGGGCTCGTGCTCGGGCGGCTCGGAGCTTTTGGTCGCATGGCCGAGGCGTCGACCGCCTCGTCGTCGGCCTCCAGCGCTGCCTTGACGAGCTCGCGGATCTCGACCGTGTCGTCTGTGCCCGCTGAGGCCATGCGAAGCGCCCCCGCGTTCTCGCACAGGTCGTTCGCGTCGCAGCCTGCGCCCGTGGGCAGCGGGAACGCGCCCACGATCGCCGTGGACCCCGACTCGGGCCTGCCCCCGACCTTCCACGCCCAGATGAACCCGACGCCCTACATCGACTACCACGTCGGTGCGCCCCCGACCCGCTCCTGCGCAACTCACTTTTCCGCCACGCCCCGCGCTCCGTGCGGCTCCCCCGCGCGCACGCGGTCTCCCGGCGGGCGCTGCCCTGTCTCAGCCTGCTGCCGCAACACGCGTGCCCAGAGTCCCTGCGGGCGCCCCAGACACCGGCACGCAAGCTCACTTGCCATGACATCCGGCCGCGGGAGCCACGCGCCCCCTGCCTGCCTACACCGGCCGCAGTCCACGGCCCTGGACCCACTGCTGCGTTGCCGCCCCGTCTTCCCCGCTCCCCGCCCCGGACCCGCATGACCCCGCCAGGCCTTGCGCGACAGCGGCACTCCTGGGTCGAGGCCGCCGGCTGGCACAGCTTGCAACGCTTCCACGCCCTCAGCGGCCGCCTCACGCGCCTTCAACAGCGCCTGCAGCCCAGCACCCTGGCCAGTGCCCGCTCGCGGGTACTCCGCGGCCCCTTTCGGCCGGCGACCCCGCTTTTCCTCCCCACCTCCCACCGGCGTCCGCCGCCCGCGGCCCCTCTGCGCGCCCCCCGGCCTCGAAGCAGCCTCCCTCGACCTTGCTCGGCAACCACCGCGCCCCCCCGCCCGCCCCGCGCCCGCCCCACGCGCACCCGCCCCCGCACCGCCTCCCGAGCATCCCCACCTCACCCGCCCGGCCGCCCGCTCCACCGCGCAGGCGACAACGACAACCACAAGCGCCTGCCCCCCGGCGGCGACGTGGGCGCCCGCGCGTTCAACTACTTCATCCTGAACTCCGGCCGCTTCATCTACGCGTCCGCCGCGCGCCTCATGGTCCTCAAGCTCCTCATGACGTGGTCCGCCGCCAAGGACGTGCTCGCCATGGCCTCGCTCGAGGTCAATCTTGACTCGATCCCCGAGGGCCAGACGGTCACGGTCAAGTGGCGCGGCAAGCCCGTCTTCATCAAGCACCGCTCCGCCGACGACATCGCCAAGGTGCGCGCCCGCGAACCGCCCGACGCACCCCGCGCGCGCACGTCGCATGCCTGCGCCCGCAGGGGGCGGCGAGGCCGCGTGTGCGGTGCTCGCGGAGAGAGAGAGAGCGTCGCGGGCGCGTGCGCCGCGCTGCGCTGCGTGCCTCACGCGTGTGCCTGCGCGCGGTGCGTGGCGGTGTTTGCAGGCGGCTGCCGTGCCGGTGTCGGAGCTGAAGCACGCGGAGGCGGACGACGAGCGCGTGGTGAAGCCGGAGTGGCTGGTGGTGCTCGGGGTGTGCACGCACCTCGGCTGCGTGCCGATCGCCAACGCGGGCGACTACAGCGGGTGGTTTTGCCCGTGCCACGGCAGCCACTACGACGGCAGCGGACGCATCCGGAAGGGCCCCGCGCCGCTCAACCTCGAAGTCCCGGAGTACAAGTTCCTCGACGACAGCACCATGGTGATCGGTTGAGCGCCTCAGGCTGCCTGACCCGCCTCATGGTTGTCTACAGACTCTCCCTCTTTGCAAGGACGGCGCCGGTGGCGGTGCGAGGCGCCCCGCGGGACGCCATGTGATCCGACACGGCTCGCTGCCGACGTGCGTCGGCTCCTCGGGTCATGCGGCGCAACGTCGCCGCATGCTCGGCTGTCGCACTGGTGACTTCGGGGCATACTAGGCGCTGAGCGCGGAAGAGCGGACGGTACGTGCGGTGGAGGCCGCGTCGGCGCGCTCGGGGCGAGATCTCAGGTCGGCTGGGGGCGTGGGGGTGTCGGCGACAGCAGGGGCTGCCTCCCGGTGCCGCTGCATGGGCGCGCGGGCGGGGGGCACGGCGTAAAGTAGCCATCAGATCGCGAGCTTTGATTTGAACCTTCGTTTGGGATCGACGTGTTGTGTTTGAGCGGCCCGACGACCCAGCAGCGCGAAAAGCAGTATCGGGCTTTTGGCAGTCGTGTCTCCGGCGGCTGCCCCCTGCGGCGTGGACGAGCGGCTCGGAGACGCGTAGTTGAGAGCAGATGATCGTCGCAGGTGCGTGTCAGGCCCATCCGAGTCCCTCCCCGCGTGCTGCAGCCGAGATGCACCCTCCAGTGATGCTGCCCATCGCCGCGTCCAAAGCGACGCATCACCGCGATGCCGGGCCGCATCGCCTTCTCCATCATCGAATGAGTCGTCTGGGTGCTTGCGGCGCCGGTTTCTTGCCAGAGACGGCGAGAGACGACACGTAGGGAACCTGTCGCACCGCTGTATGTTCCTCCCTCCCGCGAGGCGAAATTGCCGATTTTTTTATACGAACCCCGCCACCCTTCTCTCATCGATCTCTCTGCGGAAGCAACGCGCTGATCGTTCACGTGCACCGTGCCACGCAGCCCCCAGCGCCCGGCCCATTGGGCGTCGGCCTGCGCCAGGGTCGGCCGTGCGCCCGCGGATCGTCCCCGCCGCCGCGCGAAGGCCGCTCATCGCCGGCAACTGGAAGCAGAACCCCGCCACGGCCGAGGCCGCCGAGTCGCTCGCGCAGCTGGTCGCCGCCGCGGCGCGCACCTTTGCCCGCGACAGGTCGGACCTGGCGTCCGGCGTCGAGATCGCGGTCGCGCCGCCCGCGCCCTACCTCTCGCTCGTGCACAACGCGGTCCGATGGACGCAGGTCCAGGTACGCCCCCTCGCAGCCTCCGCCTGAAACATGCGCACACTCGTTGCACACCAGACGTCGCGCCGCCGCCCCGGCTGGACGACTCCTGCGCTGTCCGACGCACCCCCGCTCTGCTCCCAGATGACGCGCCGCTCCAGGCTCGCCGCGCCGTTCGCGATGAGATCGGATTCACTCAACGGCGTCTTGCGCGCCCGGCTCCGGGGTGCCCCGCGCAGGTTGCGGCGCAGAACTGCCACTGGGAGGAGACCGGCGCGTTCACCGGCGAGGTGGGTCCGGGGATGCTCAAGTCGCTCGGCGTCGACCTCGTCATCCTCGGGCACTCGGAGCGGCGCATGCTGTTTGGGGAGACGGACGCTGAGGTCAACCGGAAGCTCAGGGCGGCGCTGGCCAAGGGCCTGCGCGTGATCCTGTGCGTGGGGGAGTCCAAGGAGGAGTACGAGGCGCAGCTGGCGAAGCACGTGTGTTGCATGCAGCTGGCCAAGGGTCTGGCGGGGGTGTCTCCAGAGGAGATGGACCGCGTGGTGATCGCGTACGAGCCGGTCTGGGCGATCGGGACGGGCCTGAGCGCGACGCCGGAGATCGCACAGGCGGTGCACGCGGACATTCGTGCGTGGCTCGCGGACACGTATGGACGCGAGGTTGCGGACCGCGTCATCGTGCAGTACGGTGCGTGCCCTGCCCGCGGGGCCCATGTACTTCACGCGACATATTCTTCCCTGCGTGCGCACGCGATCGGGTGGCCGGGGAGGCCCGACACGGCTGCCTCGGTCGTTGACACATGAACAGTCACGCCGTTGCGCGTTCGAACGCGTGGTCGCGTCGATCCGTGTCCGCAGGCGGATCGGTGACTCCGGAGACCGTCGACGACCTGATCCGGTGCCCCGACGTGGACGGCTTCCTCGTCGGAGGCGCGTCGCTCGCCGCCGACAAGTTCGCGCGCATCTTCTCCTTCACTCCCCCCGGCACCCCCCCCCGCGGCCCGACCGTCGCGCCCCGCGTCGTCAAGGCCGAGCGCGCCCTGGCGACGAAGAACGTCCTCGGGGAGAGCGCCGTGTGGGACGCGGAGCGCAACGAGCTCTTTTGGATCGACATTCAGGGCAAGGAGCTGTGGCGGTGGGCGCCGGAGTCGTTCGAGGACCCCAAGTGCGTGCCGCTCGCGGAGACGCCGGGCTTCGTGGCGCTGCACCGCGACGGCGCGCTCGTCCTCGGCCTCGACCAGAGCGGCATCGTGCGCTACGACCCGGACTCAGGCGCCACGTCGACGGTCGTGGCCGGCGCCGACTTCGAGGCCGGGCTGGACACGCGCCCGAACGACACGCGCGCGGACCGCCACGGCAACCTCGTCGTCGGGAGCTACAACAACGCCCACCGCACGAACGCGCGGGCCCTGGCCGGCCTGTACCGCCTCACGCCGCAAGGGAGGCTCGAGGAGATCCTGTCGCACCGGTACCGCGTGTCGAACGCGATCTGCTTCGCGCCTCACGGCGGCGAGATGTACTTCTGCGACTCCCCCACGCGCCGCGTGTGGGCGTACCAATACGCCCCCGCGGGGCCTCTCGGGCCGCGGCGGCTCGTGTACGAGATGGGCCCCGAGCTCGCGGGCGTGCCGGACGGCGCGCAGGTCGACGCGGACGGGTTCGTGTGGGTCACGCTGTCGGGCGCCGCGCAGGTCGTCCGCCTGTGCCCACGCACCGGCGACATTGACGCGGTCGTCGAGCTGCCGGTCTCGAGCCCGACGAGCGTGACGTTCGGCGGCCCCGGCCTCGCCACCATGTACATCACGACGCGCGGGCCGGACGGCGGCGCACTGTACAGGGCGACGATTCCGGGCGTGCGCGGGGTCGCTGAGCCGACGTACGGCGCTGCGGAGAGCAAGGCCGTCGTGGGGGGCGACCCGGGGGGCAACGCCGGGCCGACGATCGTGCAGCAGGAGCCCGTCTCGCAGATGAACGGCGGGCCGACGGTGCTGTAGATCGTCGTCGCTGCAGCGAGGTGTGATTTCCCCTCACTGGTTCAAAATGTGTCCAACAACGGCCATGTGCACCTGGTCCGCCACGCCCGCGCGTCGCAGCGTGTCCTGGTCATTCGTTACACGCGCGCGGCAGCTACTTGGCCTCGACGGGCGGATAGATGCCAACGAGGGGCGTGCCGTCAGTGCGCAGTTCGTTGGCCGGCACGTGCTCCCAGTACCCGTCCTTGTCCTTGCGCACGGGCGGGAAGAACACGGGCTCCACGCTCGTGTCGTACGCGCTGAGCCCGAAGCCCGTGTGCACGTCCAATTTGAGCATCGTCCAGCCATCCATCTCCGGGCGCATCTGCTTGCCGTGGTGGAAGAGCATCTGGTGCTCGGGCTTGATGCCCGTCTTCTTCTCGATGTTGGCCTTCAGGTCGGCGACGGTCTGGTCGTACTTGACGCGCACGTCCGCGACAGTCGGCGGGTGCTCGTCGCCGCGCTTGAACGACACGAAGAGCTGGATGCCCATGGCCATCACCTCCTCGGGGGACGCGTACGCCGCTGCACGGAGGGGGCGCCGCGGTCGGAGTCGCGTGGACGCGGAGCGCAGCGCAGCTAGGCTACCCACTGAATGCTTTCAAGGTTGTTGCAGTTGCAAGGGCGCACGCGAGGAGGCGACTCTGCCGCCGATGCTCGCGGTTGTCCGACGCGGCGAGGCACCGAAGCGGCTGTGTTTGGGCACGCGGACAGGCGGAGAGAGGCGCGTCAGAGCGAAGCCGCGAGGCCGCTACGTTGAAACCACCTCGGTGTTTCCAACTCGCGATATCTCTCTCCAGGCGCGGGGTGGCGCGACATGGCTGTGACAGCGTGAAGGTCGCTCACCCATCTTTGCGGCGTGGCTCGTCTACAGCCGTGCGAGCGCGGGTCCGCCGTGGGAACCGGCAGCAACGTCTCTCAGCAGGCGGCAATGCCGGGAGGATGTCGCGGACGCAGGTGCGGGGGGAGTTCGTCGATCTGGCGCGGAGCGTGGCGTCGGCGGCCTCTCATACGCACAGAGACCCGGTCAGACCGGCTCGCCGCGCCGGACGGCCCAGCTGTCAGGCACCCTCGGGGACTCAAAACCACGGACGCACAGACCCCCCCACACACATCATACGCCACCGGGCGGTGGCGGACGCGAGACGAAGCTTCCCTCAGGGATACAGCGACGCGCGAGCGACTTTCACCGGCGCCGTCCGCCCCGGGATGTGCGTGCCGGCAGTACAGCACCTCTCGCACGTTGCCGCAGCTCCATCTGGCGGGGGCCGCAGCGAGCTTCTCACAGGCCGGCCTCGACCCACTTGCTGTCGGCGCGCAGGAGGCGGTGCGTCACGTAGCAGTCCTTGTACTTCCCGAAGGGCGCTTTTCGCATCACGAAGCAGAACTCTTCGTCCGCGTCGTTCCCCCGCGGGCTGACGCGCACCCGCACGTTCCGCCGCCCGCCAGGATAGTCCTGCACAGCGCGCGCCGCGTGCACAGTCAGGGCGTTCGCGGCGCGCTCCATCCCCCCGCGCGTCGAGACAGGCGCACGTAGTCGCGGCAGGGCGCACCTCCTCTCCTAGGATCTCGAAGGCCTCGAGGTTGACGAGGGCCGGGTACTCCCCCGCCACGGTGCCCATGAAGTGGTCCTGGATGTAGAGGTCGCTGCTGCGGCCCATGTACCGCGAGCGCTCCATCGCGTCCGCGTCGCCGCAAAACTCAAACAACACGTGCAGGCCGTGGTCGCGGCGCGGGGTGTGGTTGTTCTGCAGCGCCTCGAGCTGCAGCGCGACCGCCGTCTGCGGGTCCATGTCCAGCGTCGGGTACACCTGCGGCCGCGGCGGGGTCGCGGGGAGGTGGGGAGATGCAACCGCGCGCGGACTGGCGCGCACAGCGGCGTGATGTCCGGCGACGGGCGCTGGATCGAAGGATCTTGGTAATGAGATCTCGGAAATACACGAAGTTGTCGCGTTAGCCGAGGGTCGGGACGCCCTACGGGCCAGAGTGGGGGCCAGTGTTGGGTGCGAAAACCGGGGTGGCGTCGACCGCTCTGAATCACCGTGGGCCGCGATGGCGTCCCCAGCGTATGATCGATCGGCCGAGATGCGTCTCGACTTCCCGCGAGCGTTGCGCCCCGGCAGGCGGTGCCTTGGGAGCAGGCCCAGCACGAGGCGATCCGTGCGACCAACGAACGCCGCGGCGTGACTCACGTTCGGCAGCCCGACGTTCTGCGGGTTCCGGCAGATCCCCTTGCACTTCCCGACGTCGCGGCAGAACGGACACGCCTCGCTGGTGGGCAGGAACTCCACCGACGGGGCAGTGCTGCGGGCCCCGACGAGCCGCGCCGGGCGCCGCGCCGGGCGCGACGCCAGCGGGACCCGCGGCTGGGTCGCCGCGTGCGCAGCGCGCGCCGTGTGGGCCACGGCGGGCGCACACGCGTGCGTGCTCGCCATTTTGGCGCCGTGACGGGGCAGGGATGGACGGTCCGGCGGTCGCTGGAGGGGACGGGTGTGGCTATGTGCCGGGGGCTGCGTCTGGGCGTGTTGATGCGTGTCGCGGGCTCGAGTGTCCGGCGGGCGGCGAAGACGCGCGCGGGGGGGGTAAAAGCCGTATGGCAGACCGGAGTGCTGCCGGGGCCTCGAATAGGCGCTGCCGCGCGCGGGCGCGGCACACTGGAGTGGTTCCTCTGTCACGGACTGTAGTCACGATGCTGGGACGCGCGCTGAGGAATGTTGCCAAGCAGGTGGCGCCCCTGTCGCGGGGGTTCGCCACGGAGCTCCCCGAGCGCAAGGTGGTCGTGCTCGGCGCCGCTGGCGGGATCGGCCAGCCCCTGTCGATGCTCATGAAGGTGAGGAACCGTCGACGCGACGCGGCACCGCGAACGGTTGGCGCGCCGTTTTCGACGGCCCCGGTGCAGCTGTCTGTAGGTCACCCACGGTGTGCCGCCGCTCCGGGCGCCCGCGGACGTGCAACCGCCCCGCACCGGCGGGAGGATATCTCGGTTGTCCGCCTGGCGCGCGAGTCATCGCTTGAGCGCGGCGACACGGGCCCGTTCGTTGTCCCGCTGGGCACGACCAGGCGCGATGCGCCCGCGTCGCGTCGCTCCGTGGCCTTTCCGTGCCGCGCGCCCACGAACGCCGTGCTCGGAAAGTGAATCTGGCGTACCCATCGCCCGCCAGCCGCTTCAGCCCTCTTGCTCCCGCCACGGTGCCAGGCCTCTGCTCTGGGCCAACAGACAGGCGGCCGCCCCGTCCACTCCCCGCCTGAACGCCACTCAGCGCCCCCCGCCCCCGCTGCCACGCCCCTCTCCATGCCGGCAAGGCGCCGTTCACCCCCTGGGGCGCACCGCGCCGACCGCGTCGCCGCCCCATGGCAGCGGCCGTTGCAGACGCCGTGCCACGCCGCACACCCCGCATCATTCGCTCCGCCCCCGCCGCCCGCGCAGCCCCTGATCGTTCCCCCGTCCGCCCCCCGCGCCGCGCCCCGCAGATGAACCCGCTGGTGTCGGAGCTCGCCCTCTATGACATCGCGGGCACCCCTGGCGTCGCTGCCGACGTCGGGCACATGAACATGCGCGCCAAGGTGGCCGGTTTCGCCGGTGACGACCAGCTCGGCGACGCCCTCAAGGTAACCACGCCGCAACCACCACCGCACCGCCCCGCGCGCCCGCCCCACCACCCTGCGCACACCCACCCACCGCGCCCGCGCCCCCGCGCGACCCGCAGGGCGCCGACCTCGTCGTCATCCCGGCGGGCGTGCCCCGCAAGCCCGGCATGACCCGCGACGACCTCTTCAAGATCAACGCGGGCATCGTCAAGTCTCTCATCGAGGCCGTCGGCAAGCACTGCCCGAGCGCGCTCATCAACATGATCTCGAACCCGGTCAACTCGACGGTGCCGATCGCCGCGGAGACGCTCAAGTCGATGGGCGTGTACGACCCGAAGCGCCTCTTCGGCGTCACGACGCTGGACGTGGTTCGCGCCAACACGTTTTACGCCGACAAGACCGGGCAGCCCGTGCGGATGGTGCAGGTGCCCGTGGTCGGCGGGCACGCGGGCGTGACGATCCTGCCGCTCTTCTCGCAGGCGCAGCCGTACGTGAAGCTCGACGACGCTACCCGCGAGGCCCTGACCAAGCGCACGCAGGACGGCGGGACCGAGGTGGTCGAGGCCAAGGCCGGGAAGGGCTCGGCCACGCTCTCGATGGCGTACGCCGGCGCGATCATGGCCGACGCGTGCCTCAACGGCCTCAACGGCCAGAAGAACGTCGTGCAGTGCTCGTACGTCGAGTCCTCGGTCGTGCCCGGGCTCCCCTTCTTCAGCTCGCGCGTCAAGCTCGGCCGCGACGGCGTGGAGGAGGTGTTCGACCTCGGCCCGATGGACGACTTCGAGAAGGCCGGCCTCGAGAAGATGAAGCCTGAGCTGGAGAGCAGCATCGCCAAGGGGGTGGAGTTCGCCAAGGGGGCGTGACGGACAGACAGACTGTGACAGACTGACGGCGGGCGGCGGCTGGGGGGCTGCGGGGCAGCCGTGGACGAACCACTCCAGGCAGGAGGCCGCTGTGATCACGCGCGCACGGGGGTGGTGCCGCGGGGAGGGAGGCGGCGGCGCGGCGACGGAGGAGCGGCGTCGTGCGGTGCTGTCGCGCGCGGAGAGCCGCCTTGCCGACTCGACTACCCCGAGTGTTGCTCCCTTGTGTTGCATGTGTGCTTTGGATGGTCGGTTCCGACGGGATCGGGGCGGCCGTGTGCTCGCGTGGTGCCGCGAGGGTAATGAGGCGGGTGGTCACACTGTCAGCGACATTCCGTCGCTGATGGGCTTCCCCGTGGCCTCCACGAGGCGCGATGGTCGCAGGCCCTGCTTCACGCGCAGCGCCTCGCCCGCGAGGATGCGCGCCATGGCGCGGTACGACACGTCGGTGACGCCGGCGACGTGCGGCGTCAGGACCACGTTGGGGTGTGTTGCCAGCGGGTCTGACGGGTCGAAGGGCTCGTGCCATTGCACGTCCAACCCCATCCCGCCTATCCGCCCCGACTGCAGCTCCGCCTGCAAGCAACAGGAACGACCCAGAGGCGCCTCAGCCCGCGTAGCGACGCGCGACGGCGCGCCGAGCCCCTCGACGGACGCATCGGCCGTAAACATTTCAAACATTGCAACGCCGGCGGCCTCGCTCGCCACGTCGCACCACCGGGATCGTCCACCAGGCCGCGGCGCGCATAGCAGTACAGCACATTTGCGTGCGCGTGCGCGTGCGCGTCCTGTCTGCCCGCGCACCTTGCATGCGTCGTAATCCATCAAACCGCCGCGCGACACGTTCACGATGCGCACGCCGGGGCGGCAGCACGTCAGAAACTCGCGCCCTATCAGCCCCTTGTTGTACGGCGTCTGCGGGCACGCCACGAAGACCACGTCCGCGGACCCCGCCAGGTCCAGTAGCCCCGCGCGCCCGCACCCGCGGCGGCGCACCATCGACATCACGTCCCGCTCCGACCACGGCGACCGGTACCCGCTCGCGAGGTTCCCTTCCCGCGCGTTGCTCTCGCACCCGCGGTGCTGCACGCGGTGACTCTCGCCCAGGGCCTTCTCGGGCCAACCCCCGTCCTGGAAGGCGCCGTACGCGCCCGCTGCGTCCGCGGGCCACGGCCCCGCGCGCACGCAGTCCGTGACCACCCCGAGCGCGTTCAGCCGCGGGATCAGCTCCTTGGCGATGTTCCCGAATCCGATCACGAGCGCCGTCAACCCCGCCATCATCGTGCCGAGCGGCGTGCCGAGCTGCCGCTGCGCGACGCTCCCGGCCATGCCGCTCTGGTCGCGCAGGACCGAGAGCGCGAGGTAGATCGCGTGTTCCGCGGAGGACGCCGCGTTGCCGGTGCCCTCAGAGGGAATGTTGGAAATGTCGATGCCGGCGGCGGTGGCCGCGGCGTGCGGGATGCCCTCGATGCCGACGCCGTACTGGATGATCATGCGGAGGTCCGGGCTCGACGCGATGACGTGCTCTTCGATGCGCGTCATCAGGGGCACCAGGACATGCGCGTCGCGTGCGTGGTCGAGCACGTCCCCGCGCTGGCAGCGCGTGACGACGGCGGAGGGGTCCGCGGCCTCGAGCTCCTCCTTGGTGAACTCGTACCCCTTGGTCATGTCGTGCCCGCAGAAGAGAACCTTGAGCGGACCCTGCGCGAGTGGACGCGTGCAGGGTGGTGGCGCGACGGGGGGCGACTGCGCGCGCCCGGCGGCTCGACGGCGCTGACGCGGGGTTGGATCGGGAGCCCGGATGATCTGGCAGGCAGGACGCAGGGACGGGGAGGGGGCAGGCGGGCATGGACCGCACGTCTCCGCGCGCAGAAAAACAGGCGCGCCAGGAGGGCAACTTGCCTCGACGGGAGCTCGACGGCTGACCACCGCCTTCGCTGCGCTCGGTTCCTTGGGCGGAGGGGTCGTGTGGAGCGCGCGCGACGGATCCCGCAGTCCCAGGGCCCCACACGGGCGCGCTGTCCACGCCCCAGCGCCAACAGAAGACCCTGCATGAACCAACAGCCTCTGCGCGGCTCTCCGGCCCGACATGGTTCCGAGCTGACGTCGCGCCGCACCGTCGAGCGCGGGACGAGTGCTGCGCGACGGGGCGCGCGGTCCCCAAAGGCGCTAGCCGGCGCTGCGGTGGGGGAGTGGGGCCTGCTGCTCTGTGCGCGGAATCCTTGCGTCACACCCCCAGTCAGGGGCGGGGCGCGAGGCAGCGGGCACTTCGTAGCGCGGAGACTCCGTGCGCGGCCACGTGGCGGTGTTTCGACGGGTAGCGACGCGAGCGCACGTCGGAGAGGGTACATCAGGGATCGTGGACGGCTGCACCGCCGCTGCGAGCGGACGTCAGTGTGTTTAATTCGACGATGGCGAAGGCCGGGATGTGCGCCACGGGCTCGCGCCCCGCCGCGCGCGCCGCCGTCGCTCAGGTGAGGGGAATCCGTGCCTCGCGACGCAATCCCAGACCCACCGATCTCACCCTCCGCACACCCCCGCCTTGTACCTTCCAGCCGTGAATCCCCGCCAGCCTGCACGGCAGAACATCCTCGCAACAGCCCGCGCGCGTTCCGTCCGCGTCGCGCCGCGAGGACGCGTCGCGAGCACGCGCACTCGTGTGCTGTCCCTAGGTCGCGACTGCGCGCCGCCGCAGCGGCACGCGCGCACCCACGCCGCGGTCCGGAGCGCCCTCCTCTGCGTCGCAGGCCAGGCCGCGGGTCGTTGCGGCGCGCGCGACGACGGGCGGCGGCGTTTCGTTCCTCCAGAAGCTGGGCCGGACACTGAAGGAGAAGGCCGAGGCTGACATCGGGCGGCTGTCGGGGGGCATGGAGAAGACGCGGACGAAGCTCAGTGTGGTGGACGAGCTCTTCCAGTACTGGAACCTCGAGGACGCGGAGGACCAGCTCGAGGAGCTCGAGGATATCCTAATCTCGGCTGACTTTGGGCCCAAGACTGCGCTCAAGGTGGTCGACGCCATCCGCGAAGACGTCCTCGAGGGCCGGCTCCGCGACGGCAAGGAGGTGCAGCGCGAGCTCAAGAAGGCCATCGTCGACGTCCTCAACGTCGGCGGCGACAGCGCCCTGAACCTCGCTGGCGAGCCCTCGCCCGCCGTGCTCTTCATCGTCGGGGTGAACGGCGGCGGGAAGACGACGACGATCGGCAAGCTCTCGCACAAGCTGCAGTCCAACGGCGTGTCGTGCATGCTCGCGCCGGGCGACACGTTCCGCGCGGCGGCCGCGGAGCAGCTCGCGGAGTGGGGGAGGCGCAGCGGGGCCGACATGTCGGACTTCGAGGAGGGCGCGAAGCCGAGCGGGGTGCTGTACAAGTGCGTGGCGGGCCGGCGCGGCGTTGTGCGCGCTTGGCGGCGCGGACCCGAGCGAGGATGTCGTGTTGTTGTTAATTGGTGTTGCGTTCCGATTTGAACGGGCTGTGCGGCTCGGTGCGCGCAGGGCGGTGGAGCAGGCGCGGAAGCAGGGCAAGGACGTGCTGATCTGCGACACGTCGGGGCGGTTGCACACGAACGTCAACCTGATGAAGGAACTGCAGGGGTGCAAGGTGGGTGTGGAGAAGGCGCTGGGGCGCGCGCCGGACGAGGTGCTGCTGGTGCTGGACGGCACGACGGGCCTCAACATGGTCAACCAGGCCAAGGAGTTCAACGAGGCCGTCGGGCTCACGGGCCTCATTCTGACCAAGCTGGACGGCACGGCGCGCGGCGGCGCCGTCGTGTCGGTGATCGACCAGCTCAAGGTGCCCGTGAAGTTCGTCGGCGTCGGGGAGGGCCTCGAGGACCTCCAGCCCTTCGTCCCGGAGAACTTCGTCGACGCCCTGTTCCCCAAGATCTAACCATGGGCGCGGGTGTTTGTAACGAACGAAAAATTGTATGTACTTACAACCAGAGAGGACGTGCGGTCCAGCAACGCACGGTGAGGCAGGCGCCTCCTCGCGCGTGGAGTCAAAGGCGCCGTCGTGCAGGACTCGGTGACGCAACGTCGCCTGCAAGCTCCCACACTGTGCCGCTCTGCCAGGCGGGCGTTCCACCGCTGTCGCCGCGCTCCCCCGCTCCGTTCACAGCATCCTCGCTCCACAAGAGACTGCTCTGTCCTCTCAGACCTGTGACGCCGGCGGCTGCTGCGCGTACGCAGACGCCGCTGCCGGTGACCCGCAACGCGTTGACAGCCCAGTCGTCACAAAGCCCCCACTTGCCCCGCCACTGGCCGCGGCAGCGGCGGCTGGGGCGCAACGGAGGTCCCCACCGACGTGGGCCGGCTCGCCGCGCGACTCGAGACCTGCGAACCCACCCCGCTGCGCAGCTCCGCGGCGTCTTCGTCGCTGCCCTCGTCGTCGTCCTCGGGGATCTGCGCGTCGCGCCTGGTGCCCCCCGTGGCGCTCATCGAGCCCGTCTGCCAGTCGCTGTGCTCCGACCGCTGCGTGTACTCCACCTGCGGCTCGTCGCTGTCGTAGGCGCCGAAGCGCGCGTCGCCGGCGATCGCGGGCGCGACCGGCGCGGCCTCGAACGGCATGTCGAGCTGGTGCGAGCCCAGGTCCGGCCGCAGGCTGGTCCGCATCATATGTTCCTTGCGCGCCTTGAGAGCCTGCCGCTCCTTCATCGACAGGCGCGTCTTGTCGCGGCGGTACGTGCGCGCCTCCGCGTCCATCTCGCGCTGCGTGATCATGCGCGTGTACGACGCCTGCTCGCCCTCCGCGGCCTGCGAACGCACATCCCACGAAGAGCGCGGCGTGGGCGTTCTGGAGGCGTGCTTCCCGAGGAGGGGTCGCGAGCCACGGAAGCAACGGTGATGCGAGGCGGAGGGGGGCGACATGCAACTCACCACGTCGTAGCGGGACTGCTGCAGCTCGATCTGAGTCCCCGCGAGGTCGCGCGTGCACTCGTGGACCGTCTCCACGGCCATGTCGAGCCGCGCCTGGTCCGGCGACGTCGGGCGGAAGCCGGACTCGCGGAACGACTCGACGATGTCCTGCCAGAGGTCCCCCTGCGTCAGCTTGACGTACCCCTGGATCAAACACAAGGTGACCTTGTCCTCGTGCGGCAGGTAGTCCATCGAGTCCCACCCGAGCGCGTCCAGGAAGCAGTACACCTTGACCAGCAGCCCGTCCGACGTGCACGCGCGCGCGAACGTCTCGACTTGCTCCGCCTTGTGCTTGTCGCGCACCGCCTGCGCCACCGTTGACCGCGGAATCCACGCCACGCGCTTCCCGGTGCCGGCCAGCGGACGCTCGAGGTTCGACAGCGTGCTTCCGGCGCCGATGCCGCGCGCCGCCTCCTCCTGCCGCCACAGCGCGATGACGTGGTGCACCGCAGACTCCCCGTCCTGCAGGGGGGGTGTCAACGCACACGTCAGCCAAGAGGTGCACCTCGTGCACGGGTGCTGGGCGCCGAGGGCGCGCTGCGTGCGTGCGCGGTGGTCTTGGGACCGGCAGATATGATTTCAGGTTTGATAATTCGCACCTTGGAGGACCTCCAGTCGTGCAGGAACTGGTGCGACCGGGGGTTGGCCAGCATGTCCGTGAGCGCGCTGAGCAGCAGCGGGCGCAGGTACTCGTGGATCGGTTCGAGCAGGTCGAGGAGCGCGTCCATGCCGTCCGCGGCCAGGAAGCGCGCCAGATTCTTGCGGCAGTGAGAAATGCACACCCAGACGGTCTGCAGCACCACGGCCGCGAACGGCGAGGGCAGCGTGTGGTCGAGCCCGCGCAGCCGCACGAGCTCCGCGCGGATCGCGGGGATCCCGCCCGCGCGGCGGAACTGCGCCACGCACTCGGGGCGCGACTGGCACAGGCAGCAGATCGTCAGCAGCGCGTTCTCGCGGATCTCGCCGGACCGCCCCTCGGCGTGCGTGGAGTCGAAGATGGACAGCGAGAGCGCGACGGCGCCCTCGCGGACCAGCTCGTCCCAGTACCTCGGGCGCTGCGCGGTGCGCTCTAGCACCGACATGGCCTTCGCTAGGGACTCGGTGTCGTCCGCGCTGTGGATGAAGTTGATCAGCGCGGGCACGAGGCCCATGTCCGACAGCTGCTCCTCGCACGGGGCCGCGAGCGACCACAGCGTGGACAGCACCTGGCTGCGCAGGCCGTGGAACTGCGCCGCCGTCCACCGGGCACGCAGCTCGAGGTCCGGGTCCGTGTCGAGGTACATGAGCTGGACCTGGAGGAAGCCCGTCCCGATGGCCTGGTCGAGCGCGCCCTGGTCGGGCTCCGACCCGGAGCTGGAGCTCGTGCACACGCGCGTGACGACGCTCCACGCCAGGCGCTTCAGCTGCGCGTCCTCGGTGTCGTGCGAGAGCATGTTCTTTTCGAACGCCGCGCTCGGGGCCGCGTTGAACTCCGGACAGACCACCACGTCGAGGAGCAGCATGAGGCACTTGACGTCGCGCAGGGCGCGCGAGAACTCCCACCCCGCCGCGAGCATCCACATGACCGCCACGAGGTCGTTGCGGGCCTCCTTGTCCTGCAGGCGGTAGCCGTGCTCCGCGGCGTGCTGCAGCACCCCGTGGATAGCAGTGGCCAGCTCGCGCGCCGGCTCCTCGCTGAGCGCGCGCGCCGCCTCCGGGTGCGCGTCGAGCACGTTCCACATCAGGTCCACGGCCTGGGGCAGCCAGCGGCACGAGATCGACGGCTCCAGGAGCAGCGGGATCGTCTCCAGCAGCCCGGCATCCTGCACGCGTCACCGCACGGGGGCAACGCCGTCGGCGGGACGTGGCGCGCCGGGGAGCGGCGGCGCTCGCCGCGGCCGCGTGCGCGGCGGGTCGCGCGGGCCGCGGGCTCACCGCGAGGATCTCGGCGTTGTCGGGAGACCTGGAAAACAGAACCAGGAGGTCCACAAATGCAAGGACTATATCGTCCCTGTCGGGGTCGTCGCTGTCCTCGGACAGGAGCTGGCTCAGGAACAGCACCGCCGCCTCGACCGTCCCGGACCTGCATCGGCACGGCGGCGCGGCGACAGTGAGCCCAGGGCGTCGCGGCGGCGTGTCCGCAAACGCGTGATTGTGAGAGCGAGCCTTACTTGCCGAGCAGCCGCTGGTTCTGCAGGAAGACGCGCATGTCGGCGTTCTTCTCGGCCTCGGGCCCCGTGTCCGTGAGCCGCCCCGCCCAGCTCCGGCTCGCGCCATACGCGCTGGCGTGTGCCTGGAGCATCGCCGCGGCCGACAGGACGACCTCCCGCGGCATGGACGTGCGCAGGCACTCGGATATCCGCGTGAAGATCGCGGAAATCGCCGTGAACCCGCGGAACTCGTCCGTCGCGGACTTCTTCAGGAAGGGCAGGCTGAGTGCCTGCAGCATAGCACACAGGGGCTCTCCCAGCTCCTCGTCGCCCTCCTCGACGACCAGCCGGATCGTGATGTCCATCAGGTGGTCGACCTTGGGCAGGTCGCGGATCGCGATGCCCTCGGGGTAGCTCCTGCGGCGGAGCGGGCGCGGGAGAGCAGGGCATGTGAGGTGCAGCGGCAGCGCCACGGAGGGGCCGCTGGGCCGCGACGGGGCCTGGCGGGCGCGGCGGGGCTCGAACGAGCGTTTCAACGCGCGCTGGGGCGAGGCTGAAGCGCGCGTGGGTCCGGACGGGCGAGCAAAGCGGCGCCAAAGGGGCTGCGAGCGCAGCGGAGGCCTGCGACCCGGAAATGCGGTCATTTCTCCCCCGTGCGGCGGCCGCAGAGCCTGTTTGCGGGACCGCGATAGTCTGAGGGGCGGGGTCCGCGGGTTCTGGCGTGCCAGTGCCGTCTGGGCGCGGAGCCACGGCTCAATGATCGTTGCGCGTGCAGCTTCGTGGGGATCGTGAGCCGCTGCGGGACCTGCGACCGTCCGAAGCGGGGCGAGAAGCTGGGGGCTGCGCGTATCGAGCCGCTCACCTGCACAGTCGCCGGATGGCAGCCGCGTGCCGGTCCCGGAGCTCCGAAGACAGCTCCGACGTAAACAGGTCAATGACCCGGTCGACGCCCATGTCCGAGTACACCGTCCCCGACACCTCCTCCGACATCTCTACCTCCTCCCCCGACATGACCTCGCTCATCTCCGCCGCCATCCCCTCGCGCGGAAAAGCGCCCGAATGGCAGCCTTCCCTGCCGTCGCTACGTCAGCCCAACAGGTCCCAAGAACAGCCCGCTAGCCACAGTCGGGGCCCTCCCGCGCCCAAAGATCACAACAGGCGCGCTCGCGCGCCCGTCGCCGCAACGGAGCGCTGGCACGGAGCACTCTGAGAGCTTCTGCACGCCCGCAGCGCCCGGTGTCGACACGTCACGCCGCCGCGACGCGCGAAAAGAATGCTACGGGCGCGGTGCACCGTCCCCTGTCGAGCAGCCCGGCAACTCCGAGCGCCCGGGGGAGTCCGAGGACGTTGACTGTCCGCGGTGGACTCTCCGCGACGTCCTCCCGCCCGCTCCCCATCGATATTGCCGACGTCGGGCAGCTGCGCGACAACAAGGTCGCGGGCGCTTCCTGGTTCCCGGAGAGCGGGTCGACGTCCCACGGCGCACAGCACGCACCTCGAGTCCAATGCTGGACCATCTCTTCAAGGATTACCAGGACCCTAGGCTCGCCAAGACCGTCGCTGTGGCGTCGGCGGTGGCGACGGGAGGCGCCCTCGCGTACTATTTCCGCGCGAGCGTCGTCAATGCGGCGGAGTGGGTGCTCATCAGGTGGGTGCCTCAGTACAGCACTCGCATCCAGCGCTAGCGCCGTGTGCTTGCCGTGCGGCTCATCGCGCCACAAGCGTACGAGCTTGGCTGGAGCGGGGGGAGCTTGAGCGCGAGAGAAAGCCGCGCGCACCCGTCGCTAGACGTCGGCGCCTGGTTCTTCTGCTGTGCAGGGCCCAGAGCTACGGAGGATGGCCGGCGCCGAGCGCGTACCTGCAGAAGGGGTTCGAGCCGGTGACGGAGGAGATCTTCGCGCAGGAGCTCGGGTGTAAGACGGGCAACCTGCCCAGCGACATGCAGGTGCGACGACGTGCAGTCGAGCCCGATCGTTCCCTCGCCACTCACGATTCCTCGACTCCTCATCCTCCGCCCCCCCCTTCCCCGCAGGGCTGCTTCCTCCGCAACGGCCCGAACCCGCAGTTCCGCCCCACGGGCCGCTACCACTGGTTCGACGGCGACGGCATGCTGCACGCGGTGCGCGTCAAGGACGGCCGCGCGAGCTACTGCAACCACTTCGTGCGCACGTCACGCCTCCTCCAAGAGCAGGCCGCGGGCCGCCCCGTATTCCTCAAGTTCGGGGACCTCCGCGGCGTCCTCGCGCTCGGCCACATCTTCGTCGCGTACCTCCGCAAGGCGCTCGGCGTAGCGACGGACAAGGACGGCGGCGGCACCGCCAACACAGCGCTTCTGTGTCACGCACAGCGCCTCCTCGCGCTCCACGAGGGCGACCTGCCGTACCACCTCCGCGTCGCGTGCGACGGCGTCCTGGACACAGTCGGGCGGCTGCAGGTGCGCGGCGCGTGCGGGAAGTGGGAGCTGGCCTTCACCGCGCACCCCAAGGTCGACCCCGTGACGGGGGAGTGCCACTTCTTCGGGTACCGCGTGGACAAGGCGCCGTTCTGCGTGTACGGCGCGATGGACGCCAAGGGCCAGCTCATGTTCCAGGCGCCGGTCGACATTCCGCGCGGCATCATGATGCACGACTTCGCCATCACCGAGCACTACGCGATATTCCTGGACGTGCCGCTGGAGTTCGAGCCGAGGGCGATGGTCGCGGGCGGGCTGCCGTTCGAGTTCGTGGACCGCCCCACGCGGATCGGGGTCGTGCGGCGCGGGCCGTACGCGGGCGGGAGCGCGCCGGAGGTCACGTGGTTCGAGTGCCCGCGGTTCATGTGCTTCCACGTAGCGAACGCGTGGGAGGAGGGCGGACACATCCGGCTGTTCCTGTGCAAGTTCGACAAGTTCACGCTCGACCTGGACCAGTACCAGTAAGACCCCCCTACCGAAGCCATGCACGGCTTCCCACGCCGCGGTCAGGCGGGGACCGCGGCACGTTGTCGACTGGGCAGGTGGCGCGATCGCTCCGCGGCCGCCGCAACTCTCACGGCGGTGTGCGTGTGCGGTGCGCAGGGTGCTGCGGAAGACGTGTCCCGAGGAGCTCCCCACGCTGGCCGAGGTGCGGCTTGACCTGAAGCAGCTGGGCAAGCCGAACGCGAAGGCGCACCTCCCCGTGCCGCTGCACTCGGCCAAGTACGCCACGGACTTCCCCCGCATCCACGAGGGCCTCGTCGGCCGCCGGAGCAGGTACTGCTACGCCGGGTGCATGGCCATCGGGAGCTCGGAGCCGTTCTTCACCGGTGAGCGCGCCTTCTCACCACGTGTTCCTCGGCGCTCGCGCCGCAGCACGCCCGGTGCCGACCGAGCGCTTCGCGCGGACGTGCAGGCATCATGAAGGTGGACCTGACGCAGCCCGGGGGCCCTGCGCCGAGCAGCGACCCTGACAGGCACGTGGTCGCGACCACGACGTACGGCGGACGCAAGTACGGCGGCGAGCCGGTGTTCGTCCCGCGGAAGCCCGGCGCGGCGCCGAGCGGCGGCAACGAGGACGACGGCTGGGTGGTGACGTACGTGACGGACGAGGACACGCGACGTTCGACGATGAATGTGTACAGCGCCAAGGACCTGTCCGCGGTGTGCAGCGTGGCGCTGCCGGCGCGCGTGCCGTACGGGTTCCACGGGATGTGGATGACGGAGGATCAGCTGCAGTCGCAGCTCGCGGCGTGAGCTGCCCGCAAGCGCAGAGCAGCCCGGCGTGCCCCTGGACGACAGTGACGCGGGCGATCAGGACGTGAGCAGGCACGCAAGCGACGATTCATGGACACTGCTGCCTGCTCATCGCCAGCAACGAAGGCGGCGACCTGTCGCGCACGCGCAGCACGCCGCGTGACGAGCGAGGGGCGCTGGAACACAACACAGCGTTGCGACTGAACGGTGCAGCTCACAAGGTAGGCGTTGGCGCCGAAGTCGCATATGTACAGAACGCTGCTCGGCACGTGGATGTGAGATACGAGTCCTGGGGGGGTATTGACAGAATCTGCGGGTCGCGGCCCGCTCGTCGCCTGCGGTGCGAGGAGTCCTTCCACTGCGAATTTCCAGCCTCGCCCGCGCGCGCGGACGCTGCGCGCGCTGGTTCGCTTGCCCGCGGCGCACTACGGGTGCGGCTCGGTGGGTCCCGGGACGCAGGACGGGTTGTCGAGGTTGTTGAACGTGAGCACGATGATGTCGCGCGTGCCCCACTCCTCGGGGTTGAGCGGCTCGATCTTGCTCACGTGGTGGTAGATGATGCGGTCGTTCAGCAGGAGCGTGAACCCGGGGGGCAGCTCGAGCGCGGTGAACGGCTCGGGGTCCTCCTTGTCGTAGTACAGCGAGGAGATGCCGCCGCGGATGTTGTCGCGGGACACGCACGTGATGCTAACAAAGTCCATTCCGTCCTGGTGGATGCCCTCGGGCGTCGGGAACCCCGCCTGCGCGCCGAGAAGACAAAGACAAGCGACGTCAGCGATCGTGGCGCGGCCGCTGACCAGGCCTGATTCTACATCTGTTATATTTTCTCCTTGCCTTCTGGTACTGCGGGTCGCTGTTCGGCGCGCAGACGGTGCGGATGAAGAAGACGTAGATGTCGTCCAGGTCCTTGCCGGCCTCCGCGACGGCGCGGCGCTGCGGGTCGTTCTTGAGCACCTGGTCCACGAAGGACTCGAGCAGCTTCTTAAAGCCCGGGTGCTGCCACGTGGCGTCCTCGATGGGCTCGTAGTACCGCATGTCGCCGCGGTTGAACGCGTTGTAGTGCGACGCCTGCGCGAACGAGCTGTTCGGGTCCACCTGCGCGCGTCGCCAACGAAAATCGCTATCAGCAACACACGGAGTGCAATCACGAGCGACTCTGCGGCCGCGAACGCGGACGCTCGCAGCCGCGAACGCGTCCCAGTGTGCAGGGCGATGCTGCACTGACGCCGCCGGTGCGCGAGCGGCGTGCGCCCTCGCGGCGGGGCGCGGAGGCCGCCACGTGGCGGGGTGCACAGTCAGCACGCGCACCTTGAGGTGTCCTTTCGACGGGTTGTACGTCATGCGGTTGAATCGACGGTACTGGCTGGGCCGGTACGGGTCGACGGGGAGCCTGTCGAACGCGTCCGCGACGGCCCGGACGTCCTGCGCGCGGGAACGGGGCGCCAGTCGATGAGGGAGGTCTGGCGAAACACCCCACGTGCCGACGGTTGGTGACACGTCGCAATTCAGGCATCTCTCACGGTACGCGCGGCTCGGAAACGCCCCCCCTGCACGCGCGCGGCCCCGACTCGCGCCGCACGCGCGCGGCACACGGCGGAGCGTCGGTGTTGCGGCCGCGCGGTGTCAGCGGGGTCCGTCGGGGGCGCCGCGCCGCCGCACCTGGCAGTTGTACATCGAGAAGTACAGCCCCGTGTCTGCGGCGTCCGCGCGCGCGGGCGCGGCCAGCTCCGGCGGCGCCGACGCCGCGCTATTCGGCACGGTGCCCCCGCGCTTCGCCTGCCAGCTCTGACGCCCCGCGGTGCCGTCACCGCCGACATTGTACCTCGCAACGGTGTTCCTGCGCAGCGCGGATGGTGTCCGGGACGTGCGGTCCGCGTCGAGGCGATGCGATGCGGTTACGGCGCACAGCGGGGTCGCGAATTGCTCACGGCTGTCTGCGTGTACCCGGCGTCGAGTGTGGTGGGCTGGCGGGCGCGGCGGGCGTCGTGCGGCGCGGGGCGCGTACCTCGGAAGTGGCGAGTGGGGCCGGCGGGCGTGCGGGGCCAGCGGGCGGCGGAGGGGCGGCCCGGTGCACGCGGCGTGCGCGCCTCCGGAGGTGGTCGGGCGCTTGCCGGGGGCCGCCGGGGGCGCGAGGCGGGCGGACGCGCTGGACATTGCGACCGGGCGAGCGAGACTGCGCGGTTCGACCGAGGGCGCGCGTCCTGGAGCTGCAGCGCACGAGGCCGAGGGCGCGCGGTGCTGATGTGGGCCTCGCAACCAACCAGGCACGGTTGCGGTCGAAGCGTCGAGACAGTCGCCCCGATACCGCCGCGAAACGCGAAGATTCAATCTGTTTACGCGTTTCCTGGCGCGTGCTCCGCGCACTTGTCGTCCAACGGAGCGCATTGCGGCTCGAATAGGACACGGTCGGGAATGTCGAGCCGCGGCGCTCCGTTGCGCAGTTTCCGATAACCCATGCGATAGGGTTGCGGGTATATCCAATGATACAGCGAGGGATCCGCTCGAAGGGACCGCTGGACGACGAACGACGCGGCGAGGCGCGCAAACCTACCTCGGGGTGGTTGCACGAGCCTTGGAAGCGACGACAGAGCCGGCCAGGAACGTGTCCAATTCCACAGTGATATCTAGTACCTACGCTGCACCAGTGCTGGCCCCGCACGGCTCCGCGGCCGCCCCATGAGGCCAGAACAGGAACAGATTCCTTCCCTGACTGGACCACGACTTCAGGGGCCATGTGCTCATACTTTCCACCTCGGCGGCGCAACGCGCCGCCCGCCGCGCATACCTCGGCACATTCCCCTTCGATCCCGCGCCCAGGGGGGCGCTGCGTGCGAGAAATGTCCCTCGCAGGCCACGTGCAAAGATGCGCAGGGCTCCCCGGCGCGCGCGACGGCCGCGGCAGAACGCGCGCCGTCGCGCGGGCGCAGCGCGGCCAGGGGGCGAAGCGGGACGCGCCGCGCGCCGGGCGCCGCGCGACGCTGTTCGGGATCACGTGCGGGTGCCCTGCGTGCGCGCGGCGGGCCAGGGCGGGGGAGGGAGCGTCCGAGAACGCGGGCTGGTACGACGGCATTTACGCACGGATGCTCGACGAGGGGATGGAGGACTACAACGCGACTGTCGAGCCGCTGAAGCGGAGGCTGTTCGGCGAGCTGTGGGAGGCCATCGGCTCGCAGCCTCACGTCGTCGAGCTCGGGATCGGAACGGCGCCGAACCTCAAGTTCTACCCTCCAGGCGCGAGAGTCACCGGCGTCGAGCCGAAGATCGCGGCGGTACGTCGCGACCGCGAAGCCTGGCCGCCGTGCAACATGCAGCCTCCCCCCGGGCATCAATCACCAGCGGCCTGCGCGTCGGACGGACGCGCTCGCGCCTTCTCCCGCGACCGCCGCGGTCTGTCGCTCCGTACGCTCCTCGCAGATGCGACCCTACGCCGAGAGAGCTGCGTCAGAGGCCCAGGTGGACCTCAACGTCGTCCCAGGCGTGGCCGAGGCCATCCCGCTGCCCGACGGGTGCGCGGACGCCGTCGTCAGCACGCTCGTGCTCTGCTCCGTCGCCGACCAGAGCCGCGCCCTCGCGGAGATCCGCCGCGTCCTTCGGCCGCCCGTCCTCGACGCCGATGGCAACACCGCCACGTCCGGCGGGAGCCTGCTCCTCATCGAGCACGTCTTCGCGTCGCCGGCGCGCCCGCTCCTGCGCTTCCAGCAGCGGCTGTTCGACCCCCTCCAGGCTCTGCTCGCGGACGGGTGCCACCTGACTAGGGACACGGCCGCTGCAGTGCGCGCAGCGGGCGCGTGGTCCGGTGGCGTCGAGCTGCGCGAGCTGGACGTGGACGGCGCGGGGCTGATCGGACCGCACGTTGCCGGCATCGCGACGCTGTAGCGGGCCCTGCTGCGCGCGTGACGTGAGGCCCGGGCGCCGTCAATTGCCACCGGCGAGGCCGCGGCCGCCGCAGAACAGTGTGAGGCGACGCGCTCGAGCAGGGCGGAAGCCGGTCGCTCGAGGCGTGGGATCCGCGTGCAGGCGCGCCTCGCCGACAGCACGCGGGCTCGGAGGTGGGGTTCGCAGATCGTCGATGAGTGTTGGGGGGTGTTTTGGAGCCGCAGTCAGACGCCGAGCGGTCGAGACGCGATGGGCAGCGGATGCAGCGCAGACCGAGACACGCGGCTCCTCGGCCAGGCGAGAGCGCCGTGTTCGGTGTCACCCGACGTCATCACACCTCAGCGGCGAGCCCCGCGCTCTCAGAACTTGCAGCTGCCCGGCCAGCGCGGGAACGGGATGACGTCGCGGATGTTCTCGACGCCCGTGCAGAACTGCACGAGGCGCTCGAACCCGAGCCCGAACCCTGCGTGCGGCACGCTGCCGTACCTACGCAGATCCGTATACCACCAGTAGTCCTCCGGCGCCAACCCGGACTCCTCCATGCGCCGGACCAGGACGTCCATGCGGTCCTCGCGCTGGCTGCCGCCCACGAGCTCCCCCACGCCCGGCACGAGGATGTCCATGGCGGCCACGGTCTTGTTGTCGTCGTTCAGGCGCATGTAGAAGGCCTTGATGTCCTTCGGGTAGTCCGTGACGACGACGGGGCGGCCGTCGAAGGCCTTCTCGCAGATGTAGCGCTCGTGCTCGGACTGCAGGTCGTTGCCCCACTCCACGGGGTACTCGAACTTGACCCCCCCCTCCTGGGCCTTGAGGAGGAGGTCAACGCCCTCGGTGTAGGTGATCTTCGCGAACGGCTGCGACGCGACGGCCTCGAGGCGCGCGAGGAGCGTCTTGTCGACGAAGGATCCGAAGAACTTTAGGTCCTCCGCGCAGTGCTGGAGGATGTAGTTGACGCAGTGCTGCACGTACGCCTCCGCGCACGCCACGTCCTCCGCGAGCGTGCAGAAGGCCATCTCGGGCTCAATCATCCAGAACTCGGCCAGGTGCCGCGCCGTGTGCGAGTTCTCCGCGCGGAACGTCGGCCCGAACGTGTACACGTCCCCCAGGGCACACGCATACATCTCCGCGTTCAGCTGCCCCGACACCGTCAGCGACACGCGCTCCTGCGTACAGCCCACACCAGCGCACGCAAGTCAGACACGATCGCGCGCACGAATGCGCCGCTACCGCAACATGCGCATCGCAGGCTCGCCGCACGGCGTCGCACGCACCGCGAAGAAGTCGCCGCTGTAGTCCACCGCGCCCTCCGGCGTCCGCGGGATGCCCCCCGTCGCCGCGGACTCCGCCGCAGCGAGCTTCTCCTTGAGCGCGAGCAGCTCCTTCACCTCCGCCTCGACCTTAGCCTTCGCAGCCTTCTTGTCCGCGCCGTCGGCCTTCGCCGCCGCCTTGGCGTCGCGCACGCGGCCGCCCTGCTCCTCGACGCCCGCCCTGAGCTTCGGGAGGTCCTCCGGCGGCACGTCGGGCGCGGCCTCGCCGTCGGGCATGAGCGTGGTCACCTGGAACATCTCGCCCGCGCCCTCGCAGTCGGAGGCCGACAGGATCGGGGTGTGGACGTAGACGAAGCCGTGCTGCGTGAAGAACTCGTGCGTCGCGGCCGCCAGCGCGGAGCGCACGCGCGCCACCGCCGCGATGGTGTTCGTCCGCGGACGCAGGTGCGCGATGTCCCTGCGAACATCGGAACGCACAGCCGGTCAGGCCGACACGGGCAGCAACGCGGACGTGCCTGGCGCGGCGCCAGCGCGTCCGCACCCGCGCCGGCGCACACCGCGGGGTGACAACCCACCTGAGAAACTCGAGCGTATGACGCTTCTTCTGCAGGGGGTATGTGGACGCGTCGCACTCCCCGACGAGGACGAGCTCCTCCGCCTTGACCTCGACCGCCTGCTTCCCGCCGGGCGACTCGACCACCTCCCCGCGCACCGCCACCGCGCACCCCGTAGTGATCTTGCCCTCGCCGATGAGCTCGTGGCCGGGGATGCCGGCGTTGATCACCGCCTGGATGCCCGCCATGTTGGAGCCGTCGTTGATGGAGAGGAACGCGAACTTCGACTGGTCCCGGAGCGTGCGCACCCATCCTTTGACGAGCACCTCCTGCCCGACCCACGACCTGCCCTCCTGGCCGTCGCCCAAGATGTCGACCACGCGCTCCCGCGTCCGGAAGGACGCCCGGGCCGGCGCGGAGCCGTTCCCGACCGCGGGCGCCGACGCGGGGGCGCCCGTGCTGGCCGCCCTGGCAGGCACGGAGCGTTGCAGCCGCGCCACCGACGTCCCGGGAGCCCTGCATGAGCGATATCTGGAAATTTGCGCCATTCACGATCGGGACAAGCGGCGCGGGCGCGCCGATTGGCGCGCGGTGCAGACGCGACGCCCCGTAGCGGACGCCCCGCCCGCGAGAGGCCCGCAGGATGCATCGGCGTGTGGGAGCGCGGACGCGATCGACGCGGGGCGCGACGTGCCTGCCGCGGAGCTTCGAGGCCAGGGGCTTCGCGCAGGGCGCCGCGGGGGCGAAGTTCACGGTCGACATCGCCGGGGCGGCTCCGAGCACCCTCCGCTGTAGCGCTGACGAGTTCAAGAGGCCCGCGAGGAGCCGGGGGCGCATGCAGCGAGGCTCTGGGACTCGCTGGCGTGCGTGGGCGATGAGTGCTTGCGGCGCGCGCGGCGCGGGGGCTCTGAGGCGCGCCCAGCGTTCGCACGCGCGCGGGTGGAGGGGCGTGGGGCGTGCTGTCAAGACGTACACAGGCGCCGTGGGGCCTGGACGAGGCTTTTGGGCGCGTGACTGTGCCGGGGCTGGGCAGTTGCGGCGGCGGGGAAGCCATCGCGGATAGCTGTGGGGAGTCGCCGCGCGTGGTCCGGGCGGGCGAGCCGTGGGATTCGTAGGAGGGAACGGGAGTCGAGGATCCTCGAGTGATCGAGGACGGTTAGGATAGATGAGCGCACGGCCGGCGATGCTGCCCGCCGTCGCGCGGAGACCAGCGCACAGCCGTGTCTCCCGCTTGCGACGCAGCACGGCCGCGCGTGCGTCCCCGCTGAGCCAGGTGAGCGCCCAGCGCGACCCGCTGCGCCCAACCGCAGCTGTGAGGCCTCCCGTGTCCCGAGGCGAATGACGCAGCTCGTGCTGGTTCACCGGAGCACTCCTTGCTGTATGTTCTAGGGATCGCGGCGATATTTTGCCCCGTTCGTTCGCCCTGCGAGTCGTCAGGGCGACGAGAAGCACCAGAGAGGGTCCTCAGATCTGTTGGAGGCGGATAGGACCCAACGCCGCGCGTCTCCGGATGCATTCGCGACTGCAGGCCCTCGAGAAGCTCGCGGCGAGGCATGATCTGACCGAGGAGGAGACGAGCGCCCTGCTCCAGGCACGCACGCGACCCGTCTCTCCCTCCCCTGCCCCACATCTACGCCGCACGCGACCAGCACGCCCGTTCACGGCCCGTCTTCACCCTCACATTCATACTCCTGCTCTCCGCATCCCGTTGGTCGCGTACCCGCCAGGATACGTTCGTGCTGCAACGCCCGATTCCGCTTCCCTTCTCTTCGCAGGGCATCCTAGACGGCCCCGCGGACAAGTTCGACGCGCAGGCCGCGGCGCTGCTGTGCCTCCTGCGCTCCAAGGGCGAGACCGCCGCGGAGATCGCGGGCCTCGCCAAGGCCATGGCGTCCAAGTGCGTCCCGGTGCACGGCCCCCCGGGGGTCTTGGACATCGTCGGGACGGGCGGGGACGGCATCGGGAGCGTCAACATCTCGACGGGCGCGTGCGTGATCGCCGCCGCGGCCGGCGCGAAGGTCGCCAAGCACGGCAACCGCTCCGTGTCGTCGCTCTGCGGCAGCGCGGACGTCCTCGAGGCGCTGGGCGTGGAGATGGACATCGGCCCCGACGCCGTGGCGGCGTCGATCGAGCAGGCGGGGATCGGGTTCATGTACGCGCCGCGGTACCACCCGGCGATGAAGGCGGTGCGCGCGGTGCGCGGCGCGCTGGGCATCCGCACGGCGTTCAATATGCTGGGGCCGATGCTGAACCCGGCGCACGCGGAGTACGGCCTGGTGGGCGTGTGGTCGCCGAGCATCTCGGAGCTCATGGGCGACGCGCTGCAGCGGATGGGAATGAAGAAGGCGCTCGTCGTGCACTCAGGTAGAAACCGAAGACACCCCCCCATCGCTACTGCGCGCCCCTGCTGCGCGGAAGAGCGTCGGTCCCCCGCGTCGGTCCGCGGACGGACGTCGCTTGAGACCGCTGCGCTCGCGACGCCGCTCCATCCAGCGCCGCCAGCTCCGGGCACCGACCCACGCGTGCGTTTCTGGACGATATCTTTCGCAGCGGGGATGGACGAGCTCACCCCGATCTACCCGGGCGAGGTCTACGAGGTCACGCCCGAGGGCCGCAAGCGGTACGAGCTCGACCCGAAGGACCTGGGCATCCCGCGATGCACGATCGAGGACCTGAAAGGCGGGGACGCGGCGTTGAACGCGAGGATCCTCCGGGACGTGTTCGGCGGCGAGAAGGGCGCGGTCGCGGACGCGCTGAACTTGAACGCCGGCGTGGCGCTCGCGGCGGCGACGGTGGCGAAGGACGTGCCCGAGGGCGTGGCCATGGCGCGCGAGGCGCAGGAGAGCGGGCGGGCGCTGCAGACGCTGGACAAGTGGGTCACGGTGACGAAGGAGCTCAAGGCGACGGAGGCGTAGGCCGCGGGCGGCGGGGCGAGCGAGTGAGCCTGCTGGTGTTGAGTCGACGATATCATTACCAGAGTCTTACAATTGCTGCTGCTGGTACCTACAATGTTGTACGCCGCCACGAGGAGCGAGGATGTAGTACTGTAGTAGGGCGTGCTTGATCGTTTGCCTCCGGCCGAGACGTCGAGGTGCACGACGACTGGTGTCTTGCAGCGACGCTCAACATTCAGGGAGCAAAGGGCGCGCCCGGAAATGAAATTCGGTGGTTCGAAATCATGCGTGCAGTGGGAACGAATGACGAGTTTCAGGAAAATGGATGGAGAACTGGCAGGGAAGGGACGGAGGCAAAACGAGCGTTCTGTGCGCCTGGGTGTCTTCAAACCGCGCCGACGTCGATCGACCGGTCCGAGCTCCCCTTGTCCGCGGTCCTCAACGACCGCTCCGTGGCGTGGCGCTCGACGGCGTGCCTGTGCGCGGCAGGCGCGACCAGCGACAGCACCACGGGCAGGAGGATGAGCCCGTGCGAGATGCCGAGCGTGGTGCAGAGGAAGAGAGACCGGAAGAAGACCTCGAACACGTAGGACTCGCTGGCGCCGATCAGCAGCACCGCCAGCCACGTCGACATCCCCCCTGACAGGACCGCAGTCCCCATGGTCGACAGCGTCTCGACGACGCGCTCGTTCGGGTCGCCGCCGCACGACATGAACGCGTGCGCGATGTGCACGGAGTAGTCCACGGAGAGCCCGAGCGCCAGCACCAGCATGATGACTGCAACAGCACGAGAACAACAACACGGATCGTGAGGAACGGGCACGAGACAGGCGGTGACGGCGGATTGCTGCGCGGTACAGGTGCGGCGTGGGCGTACCGAGCACGGAGTCGATGGTCACGTTCCAGTAGTGCAGGAACCCAATAATCTCCACGACGACGGCCGCGACGGTCAAAAACGTGATGAGCGCCACGAGCGGGTTGAGGAGCAGCACGAAGATGATGACGCCGACCATGGACAGCGCGAGCGCGATGTTCGTGATGAACTCCTCCGCCACGCGCTTGTACTGCTCCCACTGCAGGAACGACTCGCTGTACGCAAACGCCTTGTCCTCCAGGGGGCCGTCCTGCACCGCGCGCGCTACCATCTCGCGGGAGTTGTTCATCAGGTCGACCTGCTCCTGCGAGTCGTCCGCCTTGATGAAGTTCGCGCTGAACCGCGACGTCCGGATGCCTTGTTCGGGCGCGTCGTCGTCGAGGAACACGATCGCGCGGGAGAAGCGCCCGCCGAGCGGAGAGTCGAGGTACGCGCGCACGTCGGCGTAGAACGCGGCGGGCTCCGACGGGACCGGCTGCTGCGCCTCGGCCTTGGCGTTCTTGTACGAAAACCACCACGACTCAACGTAGTCGTTGACGACCTCGGGGTTGTCGAGCATGGCCTGGTGCACGGCGTCGAGGGAGGCCCGGACGGCGGGGTCGGTGTAGTCGATGTCGCGCTCGAAGTACACGTCGAAGTCGACGCCGACGGTGGTGAACAGGTCGTCGTTGGTGACGATGAACGACGTCAGGTACGAGTCGGGGGGGACGAAGTCCTGCACGTCCGACTGGATCTTCATCTGCGGGACGCCGCTGATCCCCACGCCGATGGTGGCCGCGAACGCCACGAGCACGGCGCCCTTGACCACCGGGCGCGTGAGCAGCTGCCCGAACTTGCCCGTCACGCGCTGCTTGTTGGAGCCCTTGGCGAACGGCGCGGGCTCGGCGGACTCGCCCGGGCGGGCCCCGCAGCAGCACTGGGGCTTGGCGCGGACGCAGCACAGGAGGTCGGCGCGGCTGGCGGTGCGGCGGCGCTCGTCGATGCACAGGAGCGCGGTGAAGAAGGTGCAGGAGAAGACGTAGATGCCGAGGATGCCCATCGCGACGTAGACGTTGAAGTTGCGGAGCGCCGGGAGGGACGTGTTGGTGCCGATGAGGAAGGCCGCGAAGTCGGTGAGGCTCGTGACGGTGATGGAGCTGCCCGCGGAGGCGAGGGCCTCGGCGGCGCGGTCCGCGATGGGGAGGGCGGGGTCGGTGAGGTCCATGGCGTTGACGATCACGAAGACGTCGTCGACGCCGATCCCGAGCACCAGGAAGGGCATCACCGACATCAGCGCGGAGTAGAACAGCCCGATCGCGGAGCAGAACCCGACGGAGAAGGCCACGCCGAGGCCGATGGTGACGAGGCCGTAGATCGCCACGGACACGCGCACGCCGACCCAGCCCTGGTCCCAGCGGCTGAGCATCACGCAGGCGAACACGAAGAGGACCACGATCGCGGCCTGCAGGAGCATCAGATCGCCGTCGACCGCGCTGCCGAACTCGTCGTCGAACGAGCGCGCCGCCAGGTAGTCGAACTGCAGGTCCGCGCCGGGCTGCTCGATCGCCGCATCGCGCTCCTGCATCGCGTCGAGGTACCCCCGCTCCCACGCCTCGCCCTCCGGGTCCTCGACCTCGTTCCCGACGCTCGACTGCATGAAGTACGCGGAGCGCAGGGAGCGCGCGGAGTCCACGCGGCCCTGCTCGTCGCGGGTGATGTCCTCCTCGGAGACGACATCGAAGAGCGCGAGCCTCTCGCCGGCGGACGTGCGGACGTCGTCGCGGTTGATCCGGCTGACGATGGCCTCGCGCGTGGCCCACAGGTCGGGGTTGATGGCGCCGATCGAGTCGTCGTAGAAGAGCTCGAGGATCGTGCGCGCCCAGCACACGCCGCCCAGGCGGAAACATCGGTCCGCGTACGTCAGCGTGCGCGCGCCGTCCGCGTCCGTGAACGGCACCTCGACGCCCTTGACCGCCTGGTCCACCGTGAACAGCTGCAAGCAACCGAGCCACGCAGTCCAGCGTGAGCGGCACAGATACGACACGACTTGCACAACAACGAGCTTGCGAGCGCCACACAGGCGGCCGTGCGTGCTGTGGCGGGGGCTCCGGCCTACGTCTACACCACAGCGCGCCCCCGCCGCCGGGGAAATCCCCCCCCCCCGTCCGGTCTGTGAGTGTCTGTCTGTCGCGTCCTATGTTCGCACCTGGTCGAGGGCCTCCTTCGTCAGGACGTTGGGGGTGTCCGGCGACGTGTCCGTCAGCAGGAGCACCTGCGCGCGGATCCTCTGCGGGTACTCCGTGTCGCTGAACGCCTTGTCGTCCTGCGCCTCCGAGTCGCTCGGAACCCACAGCTTCGACGACCGCGTCTCATTACGGAACCGTGCGAGGCCCGCGAGCCACGCGAGGACGAAGAGGACGACGGCGACGATGACCTTGACCGGGTGAGTGCCCACGAAGTGCCCGAGCTTGTAGAATCCGCGGTCGATGCCCGACGCAATGGCGTCAGACACACGCAAACACCCGCGGTTGCCCAGGTCCGGCAAGGGCATGCCGGGCTCCGAGTTGCGCAGCGAGGGCTTGGTGACGCTGCTCGCGGTGCGCGAGGACATCTCTTGCTCCTGCGCAGACATGTTGGCAGAGCGCCGCTTACCCCAGACAGCTCTGGTGGCCGTGTGCGCGCGATGAGGAAGATATTCGCGCTTTTTTTCCACGAACAAGGACTGCGTGTGTATATGGAATCATTTTCCGGGAGGACGGGCCGCAAAAAGGTCGGTCGCGCGCGCACACGGCCGCGCCGTACAGCTGTCGCCGGAGGACGCGGCTGCCCGCGTGCGGCTTGGAGAGGGCGCCTGAGAGGCAATGCGCCACCCGTGCGTGCACTGTACACCGGAACGGAGGGTCACGGCGCCCGAAATCGACGGCAGAGGCGGCCTGTCCGCGCCCGCCGGCGCGCCTAGGGTGGCGCGGCGCCAGGTCTCGGGGGCCCTCCAGAGGCCGTGGGGCAAGGGGTACCGTGTGAGACGCATCGTGTCGGATTGAATAGTATCTGAGTCGCCATTCGGCGCGCGTCCTAGAGCGGCGGCGCCCCGTGCGTCGCGCGCGCGCACCCTAGGCAAGCCTCACCTCATAGAGATCGAACGGGCATACCGGGCAACTGGCTATTCATTGAGGGTGGTTATTGAGCTGAGCTGCGTGTGCAGGCTAGGGTCAAGCTGTGGAGCGCTGAAAGTGGGCAAATCTTACCTCCGCCGGCTTGACTTCGGCCATCTTGTTCGTTTCCTTGGATGAGCGTTTCAATGGAATCGAGCGGTGATATTCCCTGATTTTGCGGCTATCTTGGGCTGTCACTGACTTGTGCTCGATGTAGCGTGCTTTTCAGAGCGGCCTACGCACTGTAATCTCGAGGTAGCAGCGCACGAGGCTTTGCTGATGGCCTGGTGGCGCGCAAGGCGTCGCTACGGACTATCGCTGTGACAGGGATCCGCAAGAGGCAAAGTATCTGCTCTCTAGAGGAGGCGCTCCGCACTATGCGTCGGCGTCGCAGGGGCCTGTCAGCCGCCGCGGCGCGTCCGACTTGGGGAGGCATCACCCTGCCCCTTACCTGACGGATATTTGGAGAATACGCGTGAAAGCGGGCGAATTTGGGCACAAATTATGATTGTGAACAGGTACCGGGCAGGCGGTCCCGTAAATCTCCCGTTCGAGTGCCGGACAGGTGCACGGAAGCTCGGTGGTCCCCACGTCGCGCGCGAGCCTTCCAGCATCGAACGCGCGACGTTTTCTCACTCCTCCACCTCGCCCACGCGGGCTCGAACACGTCCTCACCGCAAGCTCCGAAATTCCCGGCCTCGAGCGACATAAGCGCGCACTCTCCCCCCCAGAACAAAAACACGAAAAGCGCCGTCACCCCCGACCCCGCTCCGCCCCGCGCACCACGCGGGGGACGCCACGCCCGGCCCGCGACAGCAGCCCCTCGCCGGCGCCGGACACGCGCGTCACACCTAGGCAAACACGAGCATGGTCAAAACGATGAACAGGAGCAGGAGAATGCCCATCATGCAGAACTGCGACTTCATCGACGCCTTCTTCATGATCTCCGCGATCTTCCGCTGCGTCGCCTTGAGCCGCGAGCTCGTCGTGTCCGTGTCCGCCGCGAGATCCTCCAACATGAGCGACTGCTCTTGCAGCTCGTTCCCGATCGCCAGCCCCATCTCACCGATCCTCCCCACCTGCACACGCCGCGCGACCGGTGCCCAGCGCTCACCGGCGCGCCCATGGGCCGGCGGGCCGCTCCGCGGCGCCGCAGGGCGCGCGCAAGTGCGCAGCTCTGCGTTTGTGTGTGTGCGCGCGGCGGCGTGGACGCACCTGCACGGAGAGCCCGTCGAGCTGCTCGTCCTGGTCGCGGAGGAGCAGCTGCTGCTGCTGCCGCTCCTCGTCGACGAACGGGTCGGCCTTGTGCCCGTTGCCGGCGACGCCGCCCGGCGCGCCCTTGTTGCTCATTTGCGACATCTCGACGGCGCCGCCCGGGACGGGCCCACGGGCCGTGGCTGCGGTGGATGCAGAGAACGGTGCGGGCTGGTCGGCGCGACGCATGCGGCGCGCGTCGCGTGCGTGATGGTGCGCGGGCGGGAGCCTACCTCCACGTCTAGCGTCCTGGACGCGTCTCTGCATGTGCTGGGCTCTCCGCCGCGACTTGCTCGTCCAGTCTCTTCGCCGCTGGATCTCGTCCTTCGCCAGACCGAACCTGCAGCGCGCCAAAAAGCGAAGCCTAGCAACAGCATGTTACCAACGCCTCGCGCTCCGCCTGCGTGCGCCTCCGGGGCCGCACGCGCCGCTCGCCAGCTGGACACAAGCGCGAACTGAGACGTGGTCCGGGTCGCACCTTGCAGGGTCCCGTTCCGCGACGTCCACCGCGTTGTCTAGTTCATCAACCTGCCAAATGACGCTCCCGCAGCCGTCCTCGATGTCGCGCCCGACGCGGTCCTGGTCCGGCGTGCTGGGAGGAATCTGCTGCCACTTCCTAAACGCCTGCTCCACCTGGTCTAGCTGCACAGGAGCGCGGCGGGGCAGCCGATGGTCACGGCAACGCGGCGTCACGCCCCCTACCCCCGAAAGCAGCTCGTTCCACGCGTCTCGGCTTCCCGCGCCGTCCCCAGCGCGCGACAGCCAACGCGTACGGTGCGGCCGTGACGCTGTGCGCCGCATGGTGCCCCGTGCAGGCCGCGGGGCGGCTGTCTGGACGCACGCTGTGGCCGGGGACCGCGTCCCCGGCGACGCCAGCGCTGGAAATCGCGGGAGCTCACCGTGTCCTGGATCTCCTCCTTCACCAGGTAGAAGGGGTCCCGCATGGACCCCATCCTCGCCGCTGTCCCAGGCGCGCGTCGCTTTGCCAAACGCTACACAGGGGGCTCCGCTGTCGATCGAGCGCTATGCGGTGGACGCTCTGAAGGAAAATCTCGCGGGCCACGCAGAGAGTGCACCACCAGCGAACGTCCTGGGCCCGAAACAATCGCGGCGCGCCCCCGCGTGTCCGACAACTCCACTGTGGAGGACTCCTGCGCCGCTGGCGGCCCCCCCGCTCGACGTCAATGCCCCTGCAGGCTCCCAGGGTCGCGTTTGTCGTGCAGGTCGCCGTCGGCGCGGCTGCTTCTCTGTCGGAGGGACCATGGCGACGTCGTCGAGCGCCCTGCCAAGGGCAGCGGGCGCCTTCTGCGCGCTAGCCACGGCCTACACAGCGGCCGCCAGACACGCCGCGGGATCGTGCGCGCGGGTCGCAGCCGCTGCGACCTCGCGCGCGTCTCCATCTTGGATCGCTCTACTCGCATCAGCCGTCTCAGGTGCGCCTGGGCTTCCACAGCCCCCGCGGCGCCTGTGCCCGCATCTCACTTCATTTTCATTGCTCTCGGTGACCGTGAGGATCAATCCAGGCGATCTAGGTGCCCCCTCACCCCAGAACGGCAACGCTTCTGCTGTTTCGCCCCCTGCAGGAGCCTCAGGGGCAGCTTTGGCGAGCTGGGCCGTCGCCGAGCGGCCCGCGCAGAGCCCCGCCCACCGCGACACATGGCAGTCGAGTCCCGCAGCCATCCCGCACGCGTGGGCGCCAGGCGCCCTGCGCACGCCGCCAGACGCGGAGCCCCTCCCTGCCAGCGAGCTCGACCCCACCGGAGACGCGGATCCCGCCCCGAGCGAGTACGACGGCGAGGGGTTCCTGCTCATGCCGAAGCGGACCTGGCAGCCCAACGTCAGGTGCGCGGCACCTCCGTCCTCTACCCAGCGCCCTGCGCCTAGGTCTGCGCACACCGGCCCGAACACGCACGCACCCTCGCGCCGCGGCTCGCAGGAAGGGCCGGCGGAAGCACGGGTTCCTGAAGCGCATCAGCACCCCCGGCGGCCGCGCGACCCTCACGAGGCGGCGCGCCAAGGGTCGGTGGAACTTGATTCCGAAACCATCCAAATAGACACTCTCTTCCGTAAGTGTGAGGAATCGACGATGCAGCACTCGCAGCGCGGCCCCCGACCAAGGCTGCGGCGCTGCGCGTCTCACGCCCGCGCACCCCCTCACCCGCCAGACACGGCGCCATCAGTCACCGACACGAGACGCGCACCTCATCACTCCAATCGATTACTTATTCATCCATTACTAACAGTCCTGTGCGCCCGAGACCAGGCAGAACGGGGTGAGGTGTCGGCGATTCGAGCGCGCGCCAGCGACCCAGCAGCACAGCCCCCCCGCACCGCAAACAAACAAACAGTTCGCGGCCTCCATGCGGCCCGCTCACAGCTGCCGGTAGTTCCGCGTCAGCACCATCGGCCGCCGCCCGCGCCCGCGCGCCCCCGCCCCCTCCTCCTCCTCCTGCATCGCCGCCGCCTGTTTCAGAACCATCCGTTTAATCTCCTCCCTCTCCTGCTCCTCCCGCTGGCCCTTCTCCACCGCCGCCCGCGCCATCCTCTCCCCCGCCGGCACCTCGATCCGCGGCCCGCGGCCCCCGCGCCCGCCCTCGCGCGTCAGCAGCCGGAACGACACCGTGCCGCCTGCCGCAGGCGTGCCGCCCGCGCTCGCTGCGGGACTCCCCCCCGCGGCCTCCGTGGCCGGGGGCGCCGCCAGCGTCGACGCCGAAGGGACCCCGAGCCCTCCGCCGCCCGTCCCGGGCCCGGCCGCGCCGCTGTCGGCCCGCAACGCCGCCCACTCCGCCTCGAACTCGTCGTCGATGTCCGCCGCCGCAGCGGCGCGGCGCTGGCGCTCTGCCGTGAGGTACACCTCGTCGCCGAGGTCGTCCCCGAGATCCATGACCCCCTTCACGCGCTCCTCGTCATCGTCGTCGTCCTCGTCGTCGTCGGAGTCGTCGTCGCTGTGTTGCGGGCCGCCAGCGCATGCGTCGGCAGCTGCATCGGCGCCGCCCGCGCGCTCCGGCGCGTCCTCGGCGCCGTCGTCCTCGCTGTCCAGGTCCGAGCCCGCGCCGTCGCTGCCCGACCCGTCCGCGTCGCCGTCGCTGCTGAGGGCGTCCTCCTGCCCCGCAGCGGCGTGGGCGACGTTGGCCGGCCGGTCCCGGGGCCCCCCGAGCTTCCTGAGCTGCGCGAGGCACGCAGCTTCCGTCTGCGCCACCTGCACCACGCGCCAGCTCGACATCATCCCCTGTACGTCGTGCACGTCGAACCCCAGCGCGATCGGCAGCGGCGACAGACGCAACACCAAAAGCTGGTACGCGGCGGCGCCGACGGACACGCGCTTCACCGCGACGCCGCTGTCGAGCTTCTTTCCGCACCCGAGCAGCAGCGCGGTCCCGAGCCGCAGCAACGCGTGCCCGGCCCGCTCGCAGCTGCGCACTTTCGCAGTGACGGCGGGGTCGACCGCGGGCGGCTCCTCCGCCGCCGCATCCTTCGCCGCAGCCGCGCCCTCGGCCTCGGCGGTGCGCGCCGACGCGTGGCACGCCAGGCCGAGGGTGCAGACGTGCAGGAGAGTGTCCGGCACGATCCCAAGGTCGATGCAACGCTGCGCATGGCACGCGCCGAGGAGGCGGAGGAGCGCCTGCATCGTCTGCATCGACGTGCCGAGCGAGCTGCGCTGCGCCGCGCCGTCCGCGGGGTCCAGGGCGGCACTGCCCACCGCCTCAACCCCGGTGCGGATGGCCTGGAGGAGGCGGTCAGTGACCTGGACGCCTAGGGGGCTGTCCGCGGCCTGGAGCTTGTTGACGAGCGCTGCGACGGTCGGGACCTCGTCCGCGCGCGTCGCGGCGGCCTCGAGGACGCACTCCGTCGCCCAGTGCTCCTCGGAGCGCGGCAGGCGCGCCAGCGTGGCGGCAGTGCGGGCCAGCGTCGCTCGCGTCAGCTCCTGCGTCAGGATGTGCCTGACGTACGCCCGGATCGCGGGCGGACGCTCCCAGCGCTGCGAGGCCTTCGCGGTGGGCTTGCAGGCGAAGCACGCGCGGTCAATCAACGCCACCTGTCTAGCGTCGAGCCCGTGTTTCCCTTTCCCGGCTCTCGACGCCTTCAGCTTCTGCATGCGCGCCGCCACGCCACGCAGACGCTGCTCGGACTCCGGGCTGCGCGCCAGGTACCGCCCCGCGGTCTCCAGGAACGCGCACGCCGCGTCCACGTTGGTGCCTTTGAAGTCGTCCAGCGTCGAGTGCAGGCACACGAACGCGGCGCCGACGGGGCAGGCCCCGAACTTGACGAGCTCGCCCATCATGCGCACGGTGAAGAGCTGCGCTTCGAGCACGTCGGGCCCGCGCCGCCGCAGCACGCGGCGGAACGCTTGCAACAAGAGGTCCAGGACGCGCTGACTCAGGCTCGGCCGGATGCGCGCGAGCGACGCCACGACGCGCGCGTACGTCTGCGCGACCTGCGGCGGCGCGGGCGGGGTCGCACGGCGTCGGACCACCGTTGGCGCGAAACACTAGCAGCTGCGCAACTAGGACAGCGCGCGCGTCGAGAGCCGCTGAAACGACGTCGGCGGAACGCGAGGAAGAGCAAGAGCCGGTGTCGCACCTCTGGGTTGTGCCGCGGGGTCCGCGAGAGATGCACCGCGAGCACGCGGCACGCGTGTTTCAGGTTGCCCAGGCGGCACAGAGCGGCGCACCACTCGTCGCACTGCGCCGCAGTGACGCACGAGCCCAGCTGCGCCACCATCGCGACCACCTGCGGGCCCACCGGGCCCGCGTCCGCGGCGTCCTCCTCCCCTGCGTCCTCGCCGTCGCCCTCGTCGCCACTCCCCCCCTCGCGCCCCCCGCCCTCGCTCGCCGCGTCCACGTCCTCCACCGGCGCCTCGCCCGCCTCCTCGAGGTCCGCGATCACCGACGGCACCATCTGCACCAGGTTCGGCAGGTCCCGGTAGAACGAGCGCTGCTCCTCGCCGTCAAACAGATCCCCGTCCCCGGCCGGCGCGCGGCCCGCGTGCGGGTTGATGATCACCGTTCCCTCGGAGGTCTCGATGCGGTCCTCCTCCTCCGCGGCCTCGGGCGGGTCGCGGCCCAGCACCGACGCCAGGGCTTCCACGGCACCCTGCAACAGAATACGGGATGGCGTGGATGGCGTGTAAGACGAGGAATCAGTCCCTGAACTGCGAGTATGGGTTCATGGTCAGAAGGAAGGTACGCTGCGACCACGGGCAGCGTTGCCGCGGCAGCCCCCCTGGCCGCAGCTATGTTGTTGAGGCAGCTATGTGTCTGCGCGCACCTGCAGCTGCAGGAGCATCCCGCGCATCTCCCGGTACTTGGCCGCGACCGTCTCCGGGAGGTCTCCGCGCGACGTGATGATGAGCGTGTTGCGCAGCTCCCGCCCCCGCAGGTAGCGCCGCTCCCGCAGCAGCGCCTCCACCGCGCCCTCGTAGCACGCGTTCACCGCCGCCTGCACCGCGCCGGACTCCTGCTCCGGGAGCCGCCACCGCCGCTCCCACACCTCGGCTCGCCGCTCCAGCGCCCCGCGCAGCCCCTCCGCTGTGCTGCGGACCCTCTCGTCGGCAGCTGCCTCGTTCGGCGCGCCACGCGCCTCGCCGCCGCCGTCCTCGCCGTCCATGTCTACGTCCGCGCTCACCGCGGGCGCGCTCGCGAGGGCGTCGACTGCCGCGGCCGCGTCCGGCGGGACGTGGTCGGCGGGGGGCGTCGCGCCTGCCAGCAGGGTGCCCGAGCACGACTTGAGCGTGGCGGTCAGGACGGCGAGCTGCGCGAGGGCGAGCGGGCGCTCCGCGGGCTGGAAGGACGGCCGCGCGAGCTTCACGACGGCGGACACGGCCGGAGTCCTCGAGGGGAGTATTGAGACCGCGCTAGCGTCGACCAGGAGTCTGACAGCGAGCCGGAAGCGCGTCCAGGCCTTGGTGTCGCTCGGATCGAGGCCCTTGAAGCTGTTCGCGACGACCTTGCACAGCTCCGCCTGCGGCATGGCGCAGGGGGGTGTGTCGCGGGGTCTCACGGCGTTTTTCGTGGCAGTTGGCGGAGGGCGCGGGCCGGTGGGCGAGCTGGGGCGCCGAGGCGCGGCCTGGCGGTCTGTTCGTGCGACGGCGGTACCTGGAGCAGGCCTGCGAAGTCCGCGTAGTCTTGGTGGAGCGCGGAGCACACTTTGATGACAGCTGGGGCGTCCTTGCCGCGGAACCCGAGCTCGGCGACGGCCGCGACCGCCTCGCTGACGAACTGCGGGGAGCGGGGCGTGCGCGGGCGCGATGAGGCGGGGACGGGCAGGCGGGCGAGCAGGGTGTGTATGCATTGGCTTCGGGATTTCGGGTCGTATGGGGACGCAGTCGTGTTGCTTGCCTTGCTGAGGTTCGTGCTGCGGATGTCCTTGCAGACGGCGGCCGCGGAATCCTCCGCTACCGTGCGCACGCGGCGCACGATGGCCGTGGCCCGCTTGATGGAGCTCTCTCTCTGCCGTAGCTCCGTGTCCGTGGGGCGCGTGGGGGCCGTGTTCGCCTCCCGGAGCTCCTCTCGTACTGCCAGGTCGGCCGCGTGGCCATCCACGGCCCGTTGCGCGTCCTGCAGCGCGAACGACACGTCGGATACGTCGCGCAATGCCCGAGGCGTTTGGGGCGCGCGCCGGGCTTTCAGGCCACCCGCGTGCGGCCGCTCACGCCCAGCTGCTTCCCCTGACAGCAAGGAGCCTCGCACGCGAGCAATACATCGAACGATCAACTAGGGACGACACAACCGGAGTGCCGCCACAGCATAGTTCAGAGTGCTCTGGGGTCCCGCGTGGCGGCTGGTTCGTGCCTGGACTGTCTTGACGAGCTCCAGGATTCGCCGCTCGCGCTCCTCGGCCTCGCGCTGCTTGCGCGCCTCCTCTGCCAGCCGCGCAGCCTCCTGCTTGGCCGCCAAGGCCGCTCGGCGCGCCCCCCGCTTCTGCGCGTCGTCCTTGCGCGGCCCCTTGCGATCCCCGCGCCCCCGATGCGGCGCCATCTTCACCCTCCAGCACTCGGCTTTCCACCCCGCCCCGCAACGACGCGCCTCGGACCCGCTACCGCCGTCCCCGGAGAGGCGCGCCACTGCAGTGGCCAACTGGCGCCCGCCGCGCTCGGTCTGGGCCGCGGACGTCTAAGTTGCGCACCGGCGCGCGTGGCCACTGCGGCTGATTTGATCCGCCGCCACGGCAGGCACGCCCCTTGGCACGCACGCCCTACGTGTCACACCCCATGTGCACAACAGGGACCGGGGGTGTCGCGAGCGCATGACTGACACGTCGCGCCGCCGCGGATCGGCCCGCCACGCAGCCGCCCGGCATGGCGCCCGCAGCACAGCCCTGGAACAAAGCTGCCAGTTACAATCTCAGAAGTACAAAGTGCTGTCATTCAAGTTCTGTCACTGTTGCTCGCGTCAACAGCAGCCACCCCAGCCGACAACATGCTCGGCAGCTTCCTCCCTTCAACCAGTCTCTCTGTGTGTGCACGTGGCGCGCGTACCACTACGCGGAGGCCTCGGTGCGTTCAGAGTCGAGGCTGCTGTCTGCGCTGCGTCGCTTCGGCCCGCCGGCGGCGCCGATGTCCTTCAGCTTCTTCCCGGACTCGGCCGCAGCGACCGTCTGCCAGCTCGGCGGGACGTCCGCCTCGAGCGCGTCCAGCGCGCGCTGCAGGGTCCCCGCGCCCGCACCGACGCGCGCCGCGCCCCCGTGGATCGCCCGCACCTCCCGCAGCAGCTCCGAATTGAGCGCCTTGAAGTTCCCGTCGTGCTCTGCACGCACGCACGCACCACGGCGCTGCCGTCAGTCGCATCGTCAGCACACACAACCTCCGCAGCGCGGCCTTGCATGCCCCTCTGCAAACAGCGGCGGCGCACCTGAGAACACGATGTGCGCGAGCTCGTGCACCAGCACCTCGATGAGCACCTCCCGTTTCCGGAACCCCTTGAGGTCGTCGGTGCGTAACCGCAACTGAATCTCCTGGCCCTTATTGATGTTCAATCCGAGCACGCACACGGGCGAAATGCCAACGAAGCCCTCGGGCGGCATCTCAGTGAGCTTCCCGACCCTCCACCCGCGCGTCCTCATCACGCCGACGATCCCGGGGTCCCGCGCGAGCGACCGCAGCAGGCGCTCCGCCTCCGTGGGACGCGGGCTCAGCGCCAGGGCCGTGGGTTCCCACGCAGAATAGCCGCCGAAGCGATCATCGGTGCCGCGCGACGGGTTTCCCGGCGCGCCGCCGCGGAGCGTGGCGCGCAGGCGGGCCTCTTCCCGGCGCGTCTCGTGCTCGGGAGGGGGCATGCGCTCGGCGCCTGCCGCCGCGGCCTCGCGACGCAGGGCCCCGCCCTCGTCCTTCTGAGGCCCCATGAGCATCGCCTTGACCGTGCCTCGGCCCGACGGCGCGACCAGTGCCGACAGCGGGAGGCTCAGCTCATGTTCTGGCAACAGAGCTCGGCCCTTCCTAATGCCGAGAATGCGAGCCCTGGGCACGTCCGCGTCCGGGAACGCCTCGCCGATCCTCTCCCACAGCCAGCCGAGCGTCTGGGACCCGCCGCACACCACGTCGTGCGCGGCCCCGCGCCACTGCACGCGGATGGTCACCTCGCCACCCATAGCTGCCGTGTCCGCATCCATCGCGGCACGATCTGTTCCGGCACCGAGTCTGTCCGCGCTCGCGCGCAGACCTCGCCCCTCGACACCGCGGTCATCGCGCACGCCGTCGAGCCAGTCAGACAGTCAGAGAGTCCCCCCGCCTAACACCACGTAAAGAATCAGCAGGGCTCACACCGCCCGCGAGCCCCCCCACTTCCCCCCCGTATGCCACACCCGCCTCCCGCACCCCCCTTCCCTCGCCGTTCCTCCCCGGCGCGTCACCCACACCAAACCCCCATTAACGCGCCACGCCCGCTACACCGCCGCGAGCAGAGGCTGGAAGTCCTCCGCGCTGCCCATCGCCACCATCGACTGCTTCACGTACGCCTGCACGGGCGAGCGCCCCTCGTGCCGCAGCGTGCGGATCTCCTTCTCCACCGACCGCGTGGACCGCAGGATCTCCGCCAGGATGCACGACACGCCGTACAGCAGCGCGACCATGCCGAGCGCGAAGAACGTGATCGCGGGGATCCCGGCGCGCGGGAACGCGATCGTCAGCCCGATGAACACCACGGTCAGCAGCTGCAGCGCGATGCACACCACGATGCCGGCAATCGAGTTCCGGATCAGCTTCGCGCGGCCGAAGATCGAGTGCAGCTGCGACTCGAGGCCGTGGATGCGGTGCTGCAGGATCCGGACCAGCTCCTGGTCGTTCTCCGCGGTGGAGTTGCGCAGTTTCGCCAGCTTCATGCACGCGTTGATCTCCTCCGTGTGGAACGCGCGGATGCGCCCGATGATGACCGCGTACCGGTTGAACGTCGCGAGCAGGAGCAGCCCGCACGCGCTGATCATCACCACGGGCGCCACCATCGTCCTGCGACGGGGGGGCGCGCGGGAGCTGCAGGGTGAGCTGCCAGTCTCAACGCAGCCTCAACGACCCTGTTTTCAGGACACAGGACGCGCGTGGGTCGCACGGGCGCGGGCGGCGGCGCTTCCGCGCGCGGCGCCGGCGGCGCGTTGTGGGCGGGAAGGGCGAGCGGGCGCGGCCGCTGGCGCGGCGGGAACGGGCCCGTGACGCGAGCGCGGGGGCAGCGGCGGTGCTGGAGGGGACACGGACAGCCGTCCGGGTGCGCCGCGCGGGGTCGTGTTTCTGGGCGCGTGACCGCGGCCCGGCGCGAGGACGCGCGCGGAGGTGGCGGATACGCGCGCGGTGTGCGCGGGGTATGCCGGGTGCGGCAGTGCGGGTGGTCAATGCAGGGGCGCAGTCAAATAGGGGAGGCGACGTACGTGATGGCCTCACGGAGCTCCTCCGACTCCTGGCTGGGCCCATCCTTCACCTGCGTGCATTCGGAGCGCCGCGTGTGGGATGCACGTCACGGGGAGGTTACGCGGCTCGCCGCCTCGGGCCGTGCAGCCTGCTCGAAGCATGCGCCGCGTGGGCGCTCCGTCCGGCCGCGAAACGCGGCGGCGACGCCACGGGCGTGGTACGTGGGAGAACGGGGCCGGCGTGGCGAGCGATGCGCGGGAATGTGCGTCGCGGACGCCACGCGGCGCGGGGCTCGGCGGAACCGTCCGGCCCGCGCGCCGCGTGGGGCATCGGCGGGGGCGCGGCCGCACGGGCTGCTCACCTGCGACGCGACTTCCTCGAGCAATCCCCTCGGCATCCTTGTTCCGCCCGCCCCGGCACGCGCGGGGCGCTCTGCCACTGGACCCGCAGCAATCTCCTGCCCGCGCGAATGCAATGCTGTATCCGGAGCTCTCAGGTCAATGCCGTGCACGCCAGGTCTGAACTGACAATCTGGCACAGCGGGCTCCCGCGCCGCCCCGATGACCGCGCCGCCCGGACCAGGCGGCCGGAGCACTGGTGGTACAACACCGTGTCGTCACTGCGCTCCATGGGGCCGCGTGGGGATCCCGCGGGCCCGCGTGCGCGCGCAGGACGCCCGGGTGGACCGTCCTAGGGCGGTTGCGGGTGCGCGGCCCCCGGAATTCGCGCACCGCACAAGATCGTGTGAGCGTGTCTGTTAGGGCCCGGTGCGGCCGGGTCGGGCCCTCGCGGCGCCCTGCGACGCGGATTTCGGGGCAACTGTGCGGTCACGGGCGCTCGGGGTGCGCGGCGGGTGTGTGCGGGCGCCGCTTGCGCGCGTGGGCATGAGAAGCACTGCGCGGCGCAGGGAGGCGCACGGCCTTGAAACGCGAGGGTTGCGGGCTTCGCGGTGCGTGATGGCTCTCTCCTCGGTTTTGCCTACTAGGTAGCGTCACGGGTGCCGGAAACTACTCCCGCTCTCAGATGACACGCATGAATTGATGATATGATTTCTCGTCACCGGAGAGAGCCGAAAACACAAGTGGTAACGCTGGGCCGTACAGCGCGAAGGATGCTGCACACGGCGGTCGCCGCAGCGCGTGGTCTGGCGGCGGCGCACCTGGGTGGGCGGCCTCGCCACTCCTGGTGGGGGTTCGCCGCATCTCAAGCCCCACGCGCTCCCCGCCGCCCCCCGCCGCGGCCCTCCTTCTCAGATGGCTCGTCTTGCACGCGGGAAGCAGGCGCCCCCGGTCCGAAGGTGAGCGTGCAGGGCGCAGAGGGCACTCGACGCCCCCTTGGCGACCCTCATCGCTTCCTGAGCCGAAGCCCGGGCAACAAGGTGCCACGTATCAACACGTGCACACCCGGTATGCTTTGTCCACCATGAGGAGGAACACCAGCACGGCGATCATCATCACCGTTGGACTGTCCATGGCAAAAACCTCCTGGTGCTGAGCCCCGTCTCCCTGCTGGCGCGAGGGCCCCGCGCCGTCGGCGGACGCGCCGGGAATCTGCTTCCCGGGCGGCGGCGTGCGGCCCGGACCGTCGCCGTCCATCGCGACCGCTCCTGAGAGGGCCGGGACAGTGCCGCGAGAGGCTCTGGGCGCCGTCAGAGGGACGGCGTGGTCGCTGGCGTGACGATGTCGCACCCGGCGCGATGCCCGCGCAACAGTGCGCGGCGTGAGCGGCGCGGGGCGCCAAAGCGAGGGCCAGACACCACGAACGGGGGACTTGACAGTCGTCCGCGGAGGTGTCGAGTCCAAGGCCGCCCCGCGACGTGGCTGGCGGCGGGCGTGAATGCGCGCGCGGGCGGAGCATGCCGCCGCACTCAACGGTTCCAGAACTCGCCACAAACTGCTTGTTGCGGGCGACCCGGCGTTGGCGCAGTGAAGTGCTTGCCGTGCTCTTGGGCGGGCGCAGGCGCCGCGGTTCGAGCTTCAACTGACGCTGTAGCGGTGCATGGCGGCGTCGTGGTTGTGTAGATTCCGCTCGTAGCGCCAGGCGGCGTCTTCGACGAGCGCAGCGCGTTTTCCAGGAGCTCTCTGGCAGTGCTGGTCGGCGCGCTGCTCAGCGTTCGGTAAAAATGGCGGCTGTGGGGCCGACTCCCTTCTCATCGATGACCTGCATCGGGGAAGACGTCAAACGCATCCTGAGCGACCAAGGATTCGTTCGGGCCACGCCCGTGCAGGTGCGAAACCACACCCTCACGCCACGCCGAGGCCCACCCCGGCCAACGCGCTCTCTCAGCCGCTCCCAGAGCCCATGCCGAGGTGCACAGGCGGGGCCGGGCGGCTCCGAACCCCGCAGCCGGCAACACGAAGCAACTCACACGCGTCGCGCCACAACCCTCGCCGCCACGACCGCCGGCGCAGGAGGCCACGATCCCGCTCCTGGCCGGGAACAAGGACGTCGCGGTCGACGCGTGCACGGGCTCCGGGAAGACGCTCGCCTTCGTCCTGCCCATCGTCGAGATTCTCCGCCGGCGGCAGGACCCCCTGAAGCCCCGTCAGGTCGGCGCGGTGATCGTGTCGCCTACGCGCGAGCTGGCGCGTCAGATCTGCGAGGTGGCGCGGCCGTTCGTGGAGACGCTCGCCGTGGAGGGGTCATCGCACGGCGCCGGCATGCAGCTGCTGGTGGGCGGGACGGACGGCGAGGCGGACCTGCAGGCGGCGCGCTCCGGGAAGTGCCAGGTCCTCGTGGGCACGCCCGGGCGCCTGGACGACTTTCTGGGGCGCGCCACGTCGGGGGGGTCTCTGGACCTGCGTCAGGTCGAGGTGCTGATCCTGGACGAGGCGGACCGGCTGCTCGAGATGGGCTTCCAGAAAGACCTCGACGCGATCATGGCGCGCCTGCCGCGGCAGCGGCGCACCGGCCTGTTCTCCGCGACGCAGACCAACGCGGTGAAAGCGCTGTCGCGCGCGGGGCTGCGCAACCCGGTGCGCGTCAACGTGACCGTGCGCCAGGCCACGGACGACGACGCGCAGCTGCCGGCCTCGCAGCACGGCGCGCCCGCGGTCGACGACCGCCGCACGCCCGCGTCGCTCTCGCTGACGCACGCGCAGTGTGCGCAGGACGCGAAACTGCCGCTGCTGATCGCGTTCCTCGCGCGGCAGCAGCGCGCGAAGAAGAAGGTGATCGCGTACATGCTCACGTGCGCGGAGGTCGAGTTCGTGTCCGCGGTGTTCGGGAGGCTGTGCGCCGCGGCGGGCGCGGGGGGGCTGCAGCTGCGCTGCCTGCATGGGCGCATGAAGCAGCCGCAGCGCGAGAAGACGCTTGCGGACTTCCTGAAGCTGCCGGCCGGGTGCCTCCTCGCGACGGACGTGGCGGCCCGCGGCCTCGACATCCCTGACGTGGACTGGGTCGTTCAACTTGACCCCCCCCCTGACCCCAACTCCTTCGTGCACCGCGTGGGCCGCACCGCGCGCATGGGCCGCTCCGGGAGCGCGCTCTCGCTCCTCCTCCCGCACGAGGAGCCCTACGTCGAGTTTCTGCGCAACCGCAAGGTCCCCATGAGTCAGGCCGACCTGACCACAGTCGTCGACACCGCCGTGCTTGCGCGCCTCGCCGCGGCGCCCGGGCCCGCGCCCGCGGCGGACGACTTCGACGAGCTCCTCGCGGCCGCGACGCGCGGCTGCGGGGCGCGGCTGCGCGCATTGTCGGAGAGCGACCGCGACGTGCTGGAGCGCGGGCTGAAGGCGTTCATCGGCCACGTCAGGGCGTACAAGGAGCACCACTGCTCGTTCATTTTCCGCATGGACGACCTCGACCTGTCGCGCCTCGCGTGGGCCTGCGCGCTCCTGCGCCTCCCCCGCATGCCAGAGGTACGACGCGGAGTTTCAACAACAACACCCCCGACACCCCCCTGCGCACGCAACCTGGACGTGTTTGACCCGATCGCGTCGGGCCGGCCGCGACGCGCCCGCAGGTGAAGAAGTCGAAGTCGGGGAGGACTTTTGAACAGTCGTCAGTGGACCCTGACTCGGTGCGGTACAAGGACAAGGCCCGCGAGAAGCTCCGGCAGGCCAACATGAGCAAGGTGCAGGAGCGGCGCGAGCGCGAGCGCGAGGAGCGCAAGGCCAAGGCGCGCGAGATGGAGGTGAAGGCGGCGGCGAAGAAGCTGCCGGCGGACCGGCGGCGCAAGGCGCAGAACCGGGAGGACCTCGAGGACCTCGACGACGACTACCGGATGCTGAAGAAGCTGCGCAAGGGCAAGATCTCGGAGCGGGAGTTCGAGGAGGCGGCGGGGCTGGTGCCGAGCCGGGCGCCGCTGGACTCAGGATCCGAGTCAGACGGCGGGGGGGAGTCAAAGGGGCGCGGGGCGGGCGAGGCGGACAGCGACAGCGACAGCGACGGCAGCGACGTTCGGAACGATCCAAGCGTGCTCGACGTGGAGGCAATCAAGCGGATCGTCGCGGGGGGGCAGCACGGTGCAAAGGGCGGTGCGCGAATGGGCGAGGGGCGCGGGGTACTGGCGCCGAAGCCCGGCGGACGGACGGGCGGGAAGAAGGAGAAGCAGGGCAAGGGCAAGAAGAAGAAGGCGCCGCAGGGCGTCGCGATGTAACGATCACATGCCCCCGCGGGGGTCTCTCGGGTCCTGCCCGGGAGCCGCGGACTGGTACATGCTGCTCTGCAGGTAGTCTGCGCGCTCGCACGCGCCGTACTCCTCCGCGAGGCCCTCGACGATCTCGCGGGCGTCAGCAAACTCGTCCCGGATGTCCCCCTGCCAGCTCTCGACGCTCGCGTAGCGGTCGAGGAACGCGCCCTTCTTGATGAGCTTGTCGTACTGGCTCAGGCTCCGCCGGAACAGGTGGCGGATGCTGGTGTGGTTGGCCATCATGAGGCCCGACACGCGGTGCGGGGTGTGCACGTACGGCGACTTGCGCGACAGCGCCACCTGGATCGACGCGGGCCCCCACTCGATGAACGGCGCGAGGTGGCGCTCCCGGATCCGCTGGAGCGACTTGTGCACCTGCGTCGGGTCCACTTCGCCCTGAATGATGTTGAGAATAGAAATGTACCTGCAGCGTCAGGGGGTGTTAGATGAGGGGGCGCGTCCGAGCACAGACTGCGAGGCACGAACCAGGGCAGAACGTGCGCGCCGGTATCCCGCGAGCACTACCGATGTGTGCTGCATCGGTAGTGCCAGGGGGGCGTGGGACCGCTCGGCCGGCTCCGGCCCTCGCGCGGCGCGTCCGCGTGGTCGGGGGCGCACTTCGAGGTCGCGAGCTCCCTGCTCCGCGCGTGCGCGGAGACCATGGTGTTCTTCGGCTGCAGGAGGCGGCGCATGACGTCGAGCACGCTAGTCTTCCGCACGGTCGCGGTCGCGGGCGCGGCCTGCTCGCCGTCGAGCGTGAGCGGCGTGTACCCCGTCATCAGGAAGTGGCACCGCGGGATCGGGATCAGGGACGCCACCAGCCCCACGAGGTCGTTGTTCATGTACCCGGGGTAGCGCAGCGTGGTCGTCGACGCGGCCATCACGGTCGACACGAGCGAGTTCGTCTGCGCGAACGTCGGGTTCTGGATGTGCAGCCGGTCGACGGCGATCCGGTTCAGCGCCGTGTTGTCCAGCACCACCACGGCGTCGCAGTTCAGCGTCAGGCGCTTGAGCGTCAGCAGCGAGTTGTACGGCTGCACGACGACGTCCGAGGTCTCGTTCTGGTTCGGAAACACCGAGTACGACTGCGCCAGCTTCTTCGGGTACCGGTCGGACAGGGCTTCCAGCAGGTAACTCCCCATGCCCGACCCGGTGCCGCCCGCGATCGAGTGGCACAGCACGAAGCCCTCGAGCGAGTCCGACCCGTCCGCCTCGCGGTCCACCATGTCGAGGATGTCCTCCGCGCAGTCGCGCCCCTGCTCGTACCCGTCGACCCAGTTGTTCCCCGCACCCCCCCCGTGGTCCGACAGGAATATGTTCTCCGTGTTGAACAGGTTGCGGATGTCGCTCGTCTGCGGCGGCGGACGCGGAGGGGAGCCGAACGTCGGCGCGAGCGTCGGCGGTGCCTGTGTGTGTGCATGTGTGTGTGGGGGGGCGCGCACCTGAATGCCGTTGATCACGCGGGGCTCGAGGTCGAGCAGGAGCGCGCGCGGGACGTAGTGCTCGTCGTCCGCCTGGTAGAAGAAGACGTCTTTGCGGTCCCCGGCCTGCAGGCGCGCAGAGTGGCCGTGAGCGTGGGCGCGTGGGGCGGGCGGGGCGGTCCCGCGCGCAGGCGCGCTTCTGGCGGCCCGCGGCGGCGGTCGGAGCGAGAAGGTGGACGGAGGCGCACGCGGGCGATGCAGCGCCGCGCGGGGAGGCACGGGGTGGCGCTAGCGCGGGCGTCTGTTGCTCCAGAGCGCGCAAGCGCGGGCAGCCTCGCGGCGACGCGCGTGCGCGTTTCCGCGCCCGGCGGCGCGCGCGCGCGGACGCCTGGATCAAGCTCGACGCGAAACGCGCGGGCCTGGGCGGGGGGAGCCGCGGGCCCGGCGCGTCGCGCACCTGGGAGGTGGCAAATTCCTCGAGGGTGCCGTCCTTGCTGATGCCGTGCTCCGCGCACAGCTTCTTCCAGAACTCCGTCCCGATCTGGTTCCCGCACTGCCCCACCTGGAGCGTGATGATCTCGCGCGGCATCGCGCCCTCACGCGCAGCAGCGCCCGGTGACGGTCGTCTCCTCGCAGCGCCGCAGCGACCAACCGCGCCGGCCTCCGCAGCCGCTCCCTACGCCCGCGCAACGACAAAGCACTCAAGCGCCGCGCCGCGCCTCTGAAACGAGCGCAAACGCCGCCGAACGCGTTCCCCGGCGGCCGCTGCCAGCGGACACTTTGTGTACGTGGCGCGCTCTCGCGAGGCACTGCGCGCGCCGCGACGACGCCCCGGTCTGCCTCGCAGGCGGGCGCACACCGAGCAGCGCCCTGGCGGGCCTGGCAGGTCGTCCCGACGCCCCGGCGGCTCAAAGAGAGCTGCGCGCGGCTCCTGCACGAGCGCTGGGCAGCAGAACGGGTCGCAGGACTCGTGGGTGCGCGGCGCGCTGATTTCGAGCGCCGTTCAGGGTTCCTTGCGGCGAAGTGCGTGCGCTGCGGCCGTGGCGCCGCGGCAGAGCCCGCGCAGGCCGCGGGGCAGCGGTTGGCGCCATCTGGGGGAGAAATTGGGCCGTCCGACTCCGGTTGCTGACGTGGGTGGTGGCGGGCGGGCTCACGGGCCGCGCCCGCTGGTCGACGTCGCCAGTGGCTGTCCGTGCGCCGCGACCTACACAGGCAACCTCGACGGACGTGTCGTGGGTGATGCAGCAGCGGTGCAGCAACAGCTGGTTGCCGGGCGCGTCCGTGTGCGCGTAACGGGGCCGTTTGGCGTGCGTGCTGAGGCGATAACGCGATGACGAAGCCGGAAGGGGAGCCGGCGAAGGCTGGCGCGAAGAGGGGGCGGCCTGCGAGCCCGGAGGAAGCAAGTGCCGCCAAGCGGGCCGCCGACTGCGCGTCGCTCGCGTACCAAACCGACCCCGCGACGATCCTGCCGTCGACAATCAGGTACGAGGAGGCAGCAGGCGGCGTAAACACCCGCGGAAACTCCGTGCGCGCGCGCTTCGTGTAGCCGTTGTCTCCCGCTGAGTTGTTGTGAGGCGCCGCGACCACGCACGTCAACTGCGAAGGGCTCCGCGGCGCCAGACCGGCCCGGTGCTCGCGTGCCCCCTCGCAGGACGTCCGGCGGCGCACAGGGCGCGGTGACCTTCATGGCACCATCATCGTCCGCGCCCTCCGCGGCCCGCGCCCGCGCCGCGTTCGCGAAGCTCCTCGAGGAGAACGTCGCGCCGTACTACGACGACTGGGCCAAGGAGCGGCGCACCAAGGCCCGGCAGATGAAGAGCAAGCGCATGCGCGCCATCGTCGTGCGCGGGTTCAGCGGCGACGCCGACGACGACGCGGTCGACGGGTTCGTCGCGTACCGCTTCGAGGAGGACGAGGGGCGGCCCGTCGTCTACATATACGAGATACAGGTCTCACAACGATGCAGGTGTGTTGATCCCAACCCCAACCCCTGACGCTAGCCCTCCTCTCTTCGTCGCGTACGCACCAGGCCGCCGCGACGGTCCCGCGGCGAGCAAGGCTCGCTGATGGCTCCGCCGCCCCCTGCGCCGCCGCGCGGCCAGCCGCGATGCAGTGCCCACCCGTTGCCGCCGCGGCGTGCCCTCATGTGGCGCGCGACGTGGCTGCGCGTGGGCGCAGGAGCCGGGGCCTGGGCGGCGCGCTTCTGGACGCCGCGGAGAAGCTCGGCGCGGCCGTGGGCATGACGCACGTGGTCCTGACGGTGCACCGCGCCAACAAGGGGGCGCTGCGGCTGTACGAGCGGCGCGGGATGGCGGAGGACTGGACGAGCCCGGGGAAGTGCGACCCGGGGGAGGACTACGCGTACATGATCATGTCGAAGGAGATCCAGCGGCCACCGGACGGGGAGCGACAGGAGGACGGGCATGGAGGCGACGGCGCCAGCGACGGGGGCGGGGGGGACGCTGCCGCGCCTGCTGAGCGTGCCGAGTGAGCGTGGTGTTAGAGCGCCGGGCGTACGGCCTCGGGAGCGGTGCGACGGAGTTGTGGAGGGGGAGGTGTGAACAAGGCGCCGCGGAAGGTGGCCACGCGCAGCGCATCAGAAGTGCGGGCCGTTGTTCCCGACTGTTGATGTGCGTGGTGAGGGGCGCGTGCGTACCGGAACACACGCCGCTCTCGTTGCGTACACGTCAACGCACACACGTGTCCTGGGGTCCGTTCACGCTGGGCAACGACCGCCTGGGCGCTCGGCGCGAGGACGGCGGCTGCAGCGCCGCGACGAGAGCCCCGGTGAGGCGCGCTCGGGGCGGGGGGAGCCTGTCGCTGGTCGCGTGCAGAAGGGCGACATGGTCCGTTGCCGCACGTGCCCTGGCTCGTGGCATCGCCGCAGCCCTCATCGTCGCTCAGCAGGCTGGATACCCTGGCGTCATCCTGGGCGGCAGCGCTGCGCGGCGCCGGCAAAATGCGAGGTCCGCGCGGCGCTGTGTTGCTCCGCGCACCTGCTCTTGTCCCGCGGGGGAACGCCCGGGAGCTGGAGCGCGCTCTGCGGCCAACAGACGAGAGAGGGCATCCTGGTGGCTCTGCGCCGTCGAGCGAACGTGGTGCGGCGCGACGCGGCGGGTTGATGGTGTTCTTGCAGCACAGGAGTACGACGTGGTGGCGCGGCAGCGGAGACGCCGCACGTGCCGCGAGGAGCCTGGTGGGGGCAGCCCTGTGGCTGAGGATGCCTTCGGCGGTGCGCGGGCGGGGAGCGTGCCGCACGTGCGCACCGGTGCCCGGTTGGGCTTGTACGTGACATCCCCGGATGGCGCTCAGAGGCGCTCACGGGGCTCATTGCGGGATGCGAATCGCCAGCCCGACGCGAAATTTGCCCTTGAGAGCGCTGGCCCGCTACAGCGCTCGCGAATATTGGAATACGAGCCTCGTTGACGGCCGAAGGAGCCGCCCAAGCCGTCTCGCTTGCCGCGCTCTCCCCGGCGAAGATGGCCGACGCGGTGGCCGACGACGGCCCGGCCACGCCCGCCGTCGCGCAGCCGGAGCCCGCCGACCAGGCGACCCCGGAGCAGCCGGCGAGCGACGACACTGCCGGCGCAGGTAATCAGAGCCAGCCGGGCAATGCCAAGATGCACCGGCGCGGGGTCGCCGCCCCAACGCGCAGCCCGCGCGCTATCCGCGCTGCTCCGTACCCGGCGTGCGCGCTGCGGGAGCGGCGGGCCCCGTGCGGCGCATCGCGGCCCCGCCGCGCGCAGTATGCCGTCGCCCGCAGCACCCTCACGGCGCGCGTACTGTCGCGGCACCGCGCAGGAACCGAGGCGAAGAAGCCGCGGCGCAACCGCGAGCTGCCGAAGGAAACCCCGACGCGCACGATGCCGTCGCGGCGCGGCAAGCCCACCAACTTGTGTGAGCGACCTCCAAGGAAAGGTGGGCTGCTATCAACCAACTCCCAACCCGCGCGCACCGCGCCGCCCGCGGCGCCTCGCCGCCCGCCCGGGCAGGATCGGGCCATTTCCTCTGCGCCGACGCGCCTGGACGGCCCGAGACGCGCGCCGCCCGCGCTCCCGCGCGCACTTTGTCATGACAGAGCACGACGCAGCTCATGCTCGGCTCCGCGCGGCGTGCCCCGCCGCACGTCGCGCCCTCGCGCGCCGACCCCGGCCCCCAGGGCTCCCGACGAGCCCCCTCGCCGCCGCGGGCGCGCGCGGCGGCGGCGAGCGCGCCCGCCACGGCCGCTTCGACCCTACCCACGCCACGGCTTCTCACCGGCGCGCGCGCAGAGGGGACGGGCGTCATCCGGCGGAAGCGGCCGCCGATTCAGCGCAAGGACGTGGTGAAGGAGAAGGCGGAGCTCATCCCGATCAGCAAGCTGAAGGAGATGGTGGCGGACCGGCGCAAGAAGCGCAACGGCAAGGAGCGCGTCGACCAGGAGCGCGACACCATCTGGGCGCAGCTCCTCCGGCGCACCAAGGGCCAGATCACGCGCCTGGGCCACGAGTACCAGCTCCTGCAGGCGTACCAGGCCGAGGGGTGGCGCGGGTCGAAGCAGAACATCGCCGTGCAGACGAACGAGATCCAGCGCGCCGAGGCGCAGCTCACGAAGAGCAAGGAGATGATCCGGGACTGCCTGATGCAGTGCGAGGAGGCCGGCGGCCTCCCGCGCCTGCCGCCCGAGTGCTTTGACGAGAATGGGGACGTGGACGTGCACCACCTCAAGTGCTCCATTTGCGGCAAGTCCGAGTGCACGTACGAACGCCCCCCGCACCGAGCGTGCCCGCCGCGCGCCGCGCCGCGCCGCGCCCGCCCGGCCCGCGCCGTTCGCGCGCCGTGGGCGCGCCGGTGGAGGCGGTTTGCGCCCCGCCGCTGCGCCGCCGAGGCGCGCGGCGCTCTGAGAGCACGCACACATCGTCGCTGGTGACCGCTGCAGGGAGGAGAACGACCTCGTGCTGTGCGACGGCCACGGGTGCGACCGCGCGTACCACATGGACTGCCTGTCGCTTGCGGAGCGCGAGGCGCTCGCGGCGGCGCTGAGGGCGGGCGAGGAGCTCGAGAAGCGCGAGGCGGCCGCGGAGGACGGCGACGCGGAGCCGGCGGCGCCGCCGTCGGAGTTCGGCTCCGTGGGGGGGGAGTCGGAGCCGGACGACACCTGGTTCTGCGGGCCGTGCGACGCGCGCGCGGGCATCATCGAGCAGATCAACGCCTTCTTCGGCACCGAGTACGACCTCGAGACCAAGGTCGGAGACATCTTCACCGAAGACCTGCACCCCGACTTCCTGGAGGGCGGCGCCGAGTCGCTCTTCGCGTTCCTGCACAGCGGGCCGCTCGCCGCCGCGGCCGCGGACGACGCCGACGCGCCGAAGCCCAAGCCGAAGCCGGCCGGCGGCACGGGGCTCCTGCTGGGGGACGACTTGCCCGACACGGACGACTCCGAGGACGAGGACTTCAACAACGTCGACTCCGACCCCACGGGGGAGTCCGAGGGCCGCTCGGACGCCGACTCCGGCTCGGACGCGGGCGGGCAGACGGACGACGACGACGAGGATCCCGAGGAGGTGCTGCGGGGGCTGGCGGAGGAGGGCGAGGGCGCGGCGGGCGGCGGGGGGGGCGAGAGCGGCGAGGAGCGCGGGCGCGGGCGGCGGCGCGGGCGCGTGGACTACGCGCTGCTCGCGGCGGAGCTGTTCCACGGGCACAACGAGCACCACGACGACACGTCCGACGGCGAGGACTTCGACGTGGAGAAGGAGCGCAAGGCGGGCAAGGGCAAGCGGCACGGGTACGACACGGACACGGAGATCGAGGCGTCCGACAAGGAGCGCGAGAAGGCCGAGAAGAAGCGCCTGCGAGGTGCGCCGGCGCCGGCAGCCGCAAAACACGCTCGCTCGCTCGCAGAACGTTCGCGCGCGGCGGCGGGACCTCTGCTGCGCGTTGCGGTCGCGTGTTCGCCGCCCCGGTCCGACGGGGCGCCGCGCGCGGTGGCGTTGTTCCCTTGCAGAGGAGGCCCGGGCAAAGAAGCGGCAGGAGCGCGCCAAGGCCCGGCAGGCGCAGGCGGCCGCGCGCGGCGAGCGGCGCGGGCGCCCCCCCGGCGCCAGCGGCCGCGGTCCGTCCGGGCGCGAGGTCTGGGAGGAGAAGGTCAAGGCGCTGTTGCAGTACAACAAAGACCACAACGGCAAGCTGCCGTCGCGGACGTTCGAGGTCCCGCACGAGCAGTTCGGGCCCCTGCGCATCGGCGTGTTCGTGCAGGCCGTCAAGGAGCGCTTCGAGCTGCTCGACATGGGCCGGCAGCTGCAGCTGTGCCAGGTGTCAGGGTTCCGGCGCTGGCTGATCTGCAAGGGCCTGCTGCCGGAGGAGGCGCCGCCGCTCGAGGGCTTCGACGACGAGGAGGAGAAGCGGCAGGCCGCGCTGCGCGGGGAGGGCGAGCGGCGGCCCGCGAAGCCGCGGAAGGACAGCACGTGCAAGATTTGCGGGAGCCGCGAGCACAACAGGCGCCGGTGCCCGGAGAACCCCGAGAACGTAGGGCGGGACCTCGCTGCGCCGCCGCGCGGCCGCCTGGGGGCCGACGGGCAGCGGCGCCTGCTGGCCTGCACCATTTGCGGCAGCAAGGAGCACAACCGCCGCCGGTGCCCGCAGAACCCCGAGAACGAGGGGAAAAGCCTCGACGGACGCGGGTGCTACACCGGCGGCCGGAAGCCCGTGTCCAGGGCGCGCCGCAGGGCCGGGGACGACGACGAGGACGGCGACAACAACGCCGAGGCGCAGCCCGCGGGCGAGAACGAGAACGCGGACGGCGAGGGTGCGCAGCACGCAGGCGGCGAGGAGGAGAAGGGAGGGGAGGACGCCGGAGAGAAGGCGGGCGTCGTGCAGAAGGAGGCGGAGGCGGCGGAGGCGGAGGAGGAGGCAGGTGCTGAGCCCAGCGCGAAACGTGCCAAGCACCACTAGGGCGCGTGCTGCGGCGGTGCGGCGTGCGCGCGCCCGCGCACGGCGGAGACGGACACGTTGCATGCTGACATGACCTGCCATGACGGAACGAGAGAGATATTACTGTGAGATAGTGTTTCCGACGACACGCGCATCGCACGGCCTGCCGCGGGCCTTCACAGGCGCCACGCCCTCACTTAGCGCTGGCAGGCTCCCCGGCGTCGATTCCCTGCCGGCCGTCCGCGACTCTCACCGCATGGCCACCCTCTGGAGCCCCGCCATCCTTGGTCTCGCTCCACGTGATCGTCCCCGCCTCCGTCTCCCTCGCAACCCAGTCCCACAGCCCGCACGCCTCGGGCGCGACGTCCGCCACGCCGCGCAGCACGGCCGCGACCGTCGGCGCCAGCGCGCGCTCGATAGCGTCCGCGGGGCGTGTCGTACCCCGCGGACAGAGCAACCGGAACGCCCAGCTCACCTCGGCGAACTCCAAATGCCCCGCGCCCTGCACCACCTCCACCCAGCTCCCCGCCGGCGCCGCCCGCGCGAACTCCTTCCAGTTGCTGCCGTCAGGGTTGCACCTCCTGCGCACGCATCACGTCAACAGTACATTGGGAACGCAGTGGGGCCGTTGTTCGCGCCGCGTAGCACACAGGCAAGTGCGTGCGACGGCACGGGCGTGCGCGCTCACCCGATCACGTCCGCCCCGACGACGAGCACGGGGAGCGCCGTCGTGGCCAGCGCCGCAACGCCGGACTCGTAGCCTGGCTTGTCCTTGGTGAAGCGCGAGCTGTCGTTCGGGTCGATCATCACCGCCGCCGAGATCACGCGCCTCCGCCCGCGGCCGTCCACCAACGTCGACGTCGCGGCCCCCAACTGCAACGCAACAAACTTGCCCCCCCGACTGTGGCCGATCGCGGCGAGCGGGGACTGCTCCGAGACCCTCCCGCCTTCCAGGCCCGGCAGAGCACCTGCCGCCGCTTGTGTTTCGAGCGCTTCGAGCGCGAGCTGGGAGAGGGGGAGTTCCGCTGTGTCGGTCAGAATCTTTCCAAAGGGGGTGTCGTATCGCAGCACGACGACGCCGTGGGAGGCGAGGCGCGACGCGTACGCGTCGTACGCGCCGCTGTTGAGCTGGAACCCGTTGTACAGGAACGCCACAGGCAGGGGGCGCTGGCCAGGAGGTGCTGCGTCAGGTCCAGGATAGGTGACCTGCACGCGTCACGGGAGAAAGGGGGGAGTCTTGGAGTGATGCTGATGGCGACGGCTCCTGCCGGCCGACGAGTGAGTCACGATGTCGACTCCGAGTGCGGCGGCCATGAAGGCTCGCAGCCGGAGGGACCGCGCGGTGGACCCCTGCCAAAGGCCCTCTCGCTGTCACCCTTCCCCTCGGAGCGGTGAAGCAACATGACACATTTGGCACCCTGAACGAGGCGTACAGGCATTGAATCTCAGGCTGCAAGCGCCCAGATCCCGCGGTGAGATTCAACATCATTCGGGATCTGGGTGCTTGGGGGCTGAGATTCAGTGCCGAAACGCCTCGAAGAAGGTGCGAAATGTGCCACGTGGCGTCACCGCCCCGAGGCGAAGGGTCATAGCGAGAGGGCCTTTGGCAGGGGTCCACGGTGAAGGCAGCGGGACCTCAACACACATCTACCGGGTGGTGGTACACGTCAGAAGCGCAGTGCGAGGGGTGGCTGTGTGGCACCGTGGGCCGTGGTGGCGCGTCGCGGGGCCGCACTTTGATCGGCAGGTACCGCAGCCCGTTCGAGTACACTTCGTATGTCTCTGGAATATCTCGTTTCAGTTCTACCGTCCTGGGGGCGTATGGGCCGTCGGAGGCGCAGTCACATCCTGCGGAATGGTGGCAGAGTACGTCTTCGTTTCGGAACCGGGATCAGAACGGTCGTTGACGACAGACAGGCTGCGAGCACGGGCACCGATCTCTTCCTGCAGAGGGAGAGCTGTTCACCGTTTCCCGCGACAGGCGACCTCATCGTCCAGCCCGCGGCCTCAACGTGAGCTCCTTCAGTCGCCCCTATCAGGCCCAGCAGGATGAGACAGCGCCACCAGCGCCGGTAGAGCACCAGCCACTCGGTCATGGGTCATTGACTCCGTTCTAGTCCATTCGGTCACTCCCCTCCGTCCGAATCCAGGCGCTCCTGCTCCAGACTGACGCGGCGGCTGTCGCGGTGCCCCGGAGAGCCGGCGCGGGATTGCTGGCGCGTCCAGACTGACTCGGACGTCTCAACGTCCCCGGGGTGTGTGACCCACACACGGCGCATTTTGCGCGCGGGGGCGGCGGGCCCGCGCACGTTGCGCGCGCGAGCAGGCGCAGTTCATCCAGCGCTTCGCGGCCGCGCCGCTTCTGACGATCGCTCCGCGCAGGCTTGGCGGCACTGCGTCGTTGAACAGGGCTGCGACGCAACAGAGGCTGGCGCCGGTATCGCCATGCGGCTCAACCTGGCAGTGCGCGAGGCGGCGCACGACGATAACCTGTGGGCGTGTGCCTGGGGAAACGATAACTTGATAGCGACGGGGTCTCTGGATGAGCGGGCGAAGCTCTGGGAGTTCAGGCGGGGGGAGATGGACGCGGAGGGGGGCGCGGAGGCGAGCTGTACGTGCTTGCATTCCCTAGCAGGCCACACACTGGGCGCGGTCTCCGTAGATATCGACCCTGCAGGTGCGGACACGCCGCGCACGCCGCCCCGGAGCCACGCCACCGTCGTCGCCGGGCCGCAGCACCTGCTCCCGCGGCCACTCCCCACCGGCGGCACGTCAACGGCAGCTCTGTCCCCCAAAGATACCATCTCTTCACGCGGACCGCGCACTTCCCGCCCCCCGGCGCGCCACCACCGCCGCGCCTGCACCCGACACGCAACCATCGTCTCTTCCGCCCGTGCACGCCGACCCGCAGGCACCCAGCTCCTCACGACGTCCCTCGACAGCCACGTCCGCCTGTTCGACATCACCGACCCCGCGGCCCCCACGGGCCGGCGCGTCATCGAGCTCCCGCCCTCCCAAATGTGGCAGGCGCGGTTCGCGCCGAGAGGAGGCATCTTCGCGGTCGCCGGCGGGTCCGCGAACTCCGTGTCCATCTTCGACACGGCGAAGGATGACTCCACGGCGCCCGTCGCGACACTCGCCCTGTCGAGCGACAATGAGGGGCCTGCAAAGGACAGGTTTGCCCTCTCCGTTGCCTTCAACCAGAAAGGTGCGACCGCGCCCCGCGCGGGGCGACGCGGGCGCCGCGCACTGCGCCACCGCTGCGCCGTCGCCCCACGGTCGCAACGTGTCATCCGAAGACGCGATTCCCCTTTCTCCGCGCCACCGGCGACAAGGTCTAGCTGCCCCGCCGTTTCCGACGCGGCGTGCGCCCGTCCCCGCGCGGACCGCAGGCAGCAAGGTGGTGTGCGGCGGGATGGACGGTTCCGTGGCAGTGGTCGACCTGCAGTCGGGCAGCGTGGCGGCACGTCTGACGGGCCACAAGGCCCCCGTGCGGTCCGTGGCGTGGGTGCCCGGTTCGAACAACGTGCTCACGGCCAGCGACGACATGCACGTGCACCTGTACGACGCGCACAACGGCTCGCTGCTCCGGGCGTACACGGGCCACAAGTCATGGGTGTTGTGTGTGGACGCGCATCCGGAAAAGAAGGTCTTCGCGACGGGGGGCGCGGACGGCACGGTGCGGTTGTGGGACCTGCAGACGGAGATGTGCCTGCAGACGGTGACGGGGCACACGGACCACGTGTGGGGCGTGGCCTGGGGCCGGGACGGCGACCGCCTGTGCAGCGCCTCGGATGACGGGACGCTGGGGCTGTACAGCCTCGTGTGACGCGGGCCGGAAGCGAAGTGCGGGCGGAGAGGGCGCCGGAGCGGGTCGGGAGGCGCCGCGGAGCCAGGGGGGGGGTTGAATTGTATGAAAGTATGAATTTGATGTGTCGCGGGGGGCGTGGTCTTTGGCGGCTGGGCGCGGCGCGGTCGCGGAAACGCTGACGGCGTGTGCTGCGGTTCCATCGCTGCCTCGGCGGGCGCCGGACGACCGTTCTGGTTCGGCGGGCGATGCCCCACAGCTGCGCGGGGCCTTGATACGGCGCACACGACGCGTGGCGGCGGCCGCGGGCCTCTTTTTCGCGCACATCCTTGTCAGGAGCGTGGCAGTATTAGGCGGGTAGCAAAATGACGGACTACTGGAAGTCGAACGCGATGCACTGGTGCGAGTACTGCAAGGTGTGGCTGCAGGACAACGTGGTGGCCATCCAGCGGCACGAGCAGGGGATGAAGCACAAGCTGGCGGTGCAGAAGCGGCTCGCAGACATGAAGGTCAGGGCATCGCAGGAGAAGAAGGAGCAGGAGCTCGCGAAAACGTCGATGGCCCAGGTGCGCGCGCTAGTGCGCTTCGGCCGCTGCCGGCGTGCCAGCGCAGTCCCGTGTGGTTATTCCGCCGGCAGACAGTTCTCTGATAGACTGACCGCCTCTTGTGGGGTCGCATGCGCCAATCCGCGCAGTAGCGGCTGTGCGGCGCGCCTTGCGTTTGCGCGAGGCGCCGCCGTCGCTTTTCCATCGTCTTCGTCGCCCGACGCTCGTCCGCAGATAGAGGAGGCGGCGCGGAAAGCCTACGAGCGCGACATCGCCGCGGGCGTCATCGAGGGCGAGAAAGTCGCGACCTACAAGGAGCCCGTCGGCCCGTCCCTCCCCTCGCCAGCCGATGACACAGCGGGCGGCGGGAAGGACATGCGCGGGTGGTACTTCGACGACGCCAGCGGCTACTACTACCACGACAAGGCCGCGTACTACTTCCACAAGGACACAGGCACGCAACCCTCCGCCATCCCGCTGGCTCCGGGTGTGGCGCAGGCCGCCTTGTGCGCTTGCCCGCCCCCCGCGACCCACGCGCCCCGGCTCGCTGCTCCGCACCGCAGGGATGTACTACGGCGGGGACCCGCAGGAGTGGGTCGAGAGACTCCCCCCCGAGAAGCTGGCGTACTCGTTCCCGCGCGACGACGACGACGGGCTGCCGCGCAACGCGCAGATCGCGAGCCGTGAGGACGTGCAGCACAAGGTCACGGTGCGGCGCGCGCCGGAGACGAAGCTGGTGCGGACGCAGGTCGGGGGGCACTACATTCCCAGCACGGGGACGTACGGCGCGTCCAAGGGGGTGTTTTCGAAGAACGCGGGGGGAGTGAAGCGGCGGCGGGACGAGGGCAACGGCGGGAAGCAGGCGGAGAAGAAGGCGGTGTCGAAGGAGGAGGCCGAGGCGCTCGCGAAGCGAGAGGCCGCGCGAAAACGAGTCGACGCGCGAACGAAGGCCTTCTACGGCCTGGGCTAGAGGTCGCTGCGGCGTGCCGGGGCCCCCGCGCACGGAGCGGCTCTGGATCTGTGACGACAGCGCTGGCGGCGCGGCTCAAGGTGGCAGGGCGCGGCGCGCTCGCGCATTGACGGCGCTGTTGGTGACGGAGACGCGCGGCGATTCCGGGCCGGGGCGGCTGCGCCGGGGCGCGCGGAGCTGCTCTGTGGATGCGACCAAACACACTGGCCGACCGGGAGCGCGCCGCGTCCGCCGTGCGAGCCGGCCCTCGTGCCTCACATTCAGTTGCCACGTTTCGCCACACTGTTCCTTCATTCCATGCCATCGCTCAAAGCAAATGCGAGAGCCTTATTGTACGCGGCGCGTCCGGCAGAGGCCCGCCTGACGGAAGCGGTCAGGCGAGGCGCAGGTACTCGTGGAGCTTAAGCTGCATATTCTTCGCGAGATCTTCCGCAGTGCGGTCCGTCACGCAGCTCCGGTACTCCGCGGTCGTGTCCAGCGCGTCGACGCCCTGCGGCGCCGCGAGCAGCCCGTGCGCGGCGAGCGACGCCACGTGCTCGAGCAGGTCGCCGCTGCTCAGGTCCGGGCACAGGTCCGCGCCCTCGGCCTTCAGCAGGCCCTGTACGACGTACGCGAGGCGCTCGACGGTGAACGCGTGCCGCGCGCGGTGCTCCGCCGCCTGCGCCGCCTCGACCGCGCGGTCGTGCGACTGCTTCGTGACCTTCCGGCGCTTGCGCGGGCCGTCCGCGTCCAGCGGAAACACCTGCGTTGACGGCGCAACGCGCGCGGTGGTGTCGCTGCATGAGCACCTGCGCGCCCCGCTGCCGCGTCCCGCGCGGGGGGGCGTGCGTCGCGTCGAACGGCGCGCGTCGCCGCACCTGGACGTCCGTGCGTTTCGGGTTGCGGCTGGCAACGTAGGCTGCGATGAGCACGAGCTTGCTGGCGACGGGCAGCTGCAGGTCGAGGCGCGCGCCGTTCGCCCCGCGCGTGAATCGCGCCTCGCTGAGCGCGGCCGCGATCTGCCCCGCGCGCGCCCGGCACTCCGCCGACGTAAAGATCGACGCCAGGGACTTTTTCCCCCCGGCCGCCGTCAGCCTGTCCTCGACGAACGCGTGTAGCTCGCTGCAGCCGACAGAGCGCACGCGAGATCCTCAGCGACTGCACAACTCCGAAGCCCCCTCGCGCGCAGGCGCGGTGCGGAGGCAGGCGGGGACGCGTTACCTGAACGCAGCCCGCAGCTCCCGCAGGCAGCGATTCGTCCGCATGAGCGCGTTGTGAAACGTGCGCACGGTCTCCACGTAGCTCTTCCGCGCCTGCCCGCCGTGGGCGGCCGCGTCCATGTGCACCAGCACCTGCTTCAGCTCATCGCCTGCGTCAGGGGGGGGTGTCGCGAGTGGACGGGCCGGCTCGCGGGACGCTGCGCAGGAAGCCCCCGCGCGCGAAACCCGCGCAGGCGCCGCGTTGGCGCCGCACGAGGCACCTTTGCTCACCAGTATACTGTTGGAACGCAATCGCTTCCGCTCCCTGGGCCTCGTGCGCGCCCGGTCCGCGCAGCGACGGCCTCCTGGTGATGAACACGACGCCGCAGTTGAGCCCCGTGAGCTGCGGCATCCGCGACAGCGTGTACGGCACCGCTTCGTGCATGGCGGCAACACGCTTCAGTTGTTCGAGGCGGTCGGCCTCATCCACGACGATGTACAGCGGCTCGTCGCACGGGATCCGCTCTGCGCGCACGGTGCTTGCGTGATGGGCGGGTCTGTGGCCGAAGAAAGCGCGATTGCAGGTCGGGGCGAGGCGCGAGGTTCGCGCTGCGAGCGTGCGCTGCTGGCGGGAACGCGGTGGGGGCGCTTGGGCGCTGCGTGGCGGGGGGGCTTGCCTGCCAGAGCGCAGCACATGTCGTCCATGGTCCGGACGAGCGGCGTGGGGGCGTCGTCGTCGCCAGCGCTCGATGCGGGCCCGAGGAGCTGGTCTACGATAGCCTGGGCGACCTGCGCGTCCGTCTGCTGCAGGGCGCAATTCACGAAGGCGCAGCGCGCGCCGCACTCCTCGAACACAGCCCTGCAGGCAGACCATTGCGCACGAGTCCTCGACCGGGCCCGGAACCAGCAAGCGCCGTGTGCCTGGTGGAGCTCTGCCGTGCGTGCGCGCGCGTTTCCGTCGCGTTTCGACCCCGCTCCGCGCGTAGAGAGGATCTACCTGACGACGGCCGTCTTTCCGGTGCTCCTGGGCCCGCAGACGAGCAGCGGCGCCGGAGCGACGCAGCCCTGGGAGCTGTCCCGCGCGTCACGCCCGCCCGCCAGCACGCGGCTGAGCAGCTCCTTGATCTGCGCATCCCGGCACGGAAACTCCGCGCTCAGCCGCTCCGCCACGCCGCCGCCCGGCGGCTGCGACCCCACCATCCACACAACCCCAAAACCACGCGCACGCAGTCAATCAAGGATTCCTCCGCCCCACGACAACGCAACACGCAGCGAAGCCCCCCACGCACAGCCGCGAGAGCCATCCGCACATGCCGCGCCGCGCCACCGCGCGCACCCAACGGCCTCCCCCCCCGTCCACCAAAACTCCCCCCTCCCCAGTCAGACAGCGCCGCGCCCGCACGACGCGCCACCGCAGCCCGGCTCACACGCCCGCGCGCCCCTCATCGGTGCGTGATCGGGTTCGCGCCCGCCCCCTGCGTCTTCTTCATCGTGAAGGCCTCCACGCGCCGCAAGAGGTCCTTGTTCAAATTGTGCTCCTCCTCCGTCATCAGCACGAGCCGCGAGCTCTTCGCGCGCACCTTCATCTGCTCGTCCAGCTCCTGCCGCATCTGCGCCTGCTTCTCCTTCTCGCGGCGCTTGGCCGCCTCCTTCTCCTCCTGCGCCCGCTTCACGTCCGCGAGGATGCGCTCCGTGTACTCCAGGTCCTCCTGCCGCAGCTTCTGCTCCATGCGCTGCTTCTCCTGGACCTGCAACCCAGTCGGACCGCACACAAGCGCAGGGGGTTTTGTTTCTTTTCTTGTTTTTATTTTCCAAGTTTTTATTTCTCGATTACTATTATTTGATACGAAACGGTCGCAACGTGTTCTGTCGCGACGCGGCGCGCGCCGAGCGAGGACGCGCGCAGTGGTGCGCGCGAGCTCGTATTTCTTCGATGCGCGGGCAGGGCGGGCGGGTGCCCGCGCGGCGTCCGCGCAGCAGCAGCGCCTGCGCGCGTGTCGCGCACCTGGGTGTCGAGGATCTCCTTGGTCTTCTTGTTCAGGTCCTTGACCTTCTGCTTCCGCCGCTCGTCCTCCTCCGCCGCCTTGCGCTCGTACTCGTTCGCGGCAGCGTCGATGAGCCGCTCCGAGACCCACCGCTTGGCCTCCGGGCGCGCCTTCGCCTGCCGCTCCGCCTGCCGCTGCCACTCCTTGAGCTTCTCCACCTGCGCCTCCCGCGCCGCCTGCTGCCGGTCCATCAGCGCGTCGTGCTCCTTGGCGTACCTCACCTCCTCCTCCCACTCCCGCTCCTTCGCCTCCCTCCGCATCCGCTTCGTCGCCTCGTTCTCCGCCTTGATCCGCTCCAGCATCTCGTGCTGCTGCCGCTTCAGCTCCTCCTCCGCCTTCATCGCCTTCTTCTGCTCCAGCGTGATCTGCGTCATGAACAGCTCGTCCTCCAGCGCCTCCGTCTCCCGGATCGTCGCCCGCAGCGCGCCGATCTCCTCGATCTGCGCGTCGCGCTCCTCCTTGATCCGCCGCGCCTTCTCCTCGCGCTCCGCCCGCACGCGCGCCTGCTCTGCCTCCCACGCCGCCAGCTCCTTCATCTCTTGCTCGTGGTACCGCTCCGCCTCCTCGCGCTCGCGCCGCTCCCGCGCCTCGCGCTCCTTGATCTGCTCCGCCAGCGTCTCCCGCATCCCCAGGATCTGCTGCGTCCGCCGCGCCCGCCGCCGCGCCTCCTCCTCCTCGGCCTCCGCGTGCTGAAACGCGTAGATCCGCGCCCACTCGTCGTCCGCGATCACCTGCTTCTTCTGCATCGTCTTCGAGAGCGGTACCGCGAGGTTCCCCGTCGCGTCGCGCTTCGCGTTCTGCAGCAGCCGCGCCTCGATGCGCCGCTCCAGCATTCCCAAGTCATGCTCGCGGATGTACGTGTTCAAACGCATGAAGTCCTGCACCTCCTGCTCGACTATCTTCGCGCCCTCGTCGTCCGTGATCTGGGCCTGCACCGCGCGACGCCGCGTGGACCGGTGGGGGCGACGGGCGAGCGTTGCGTTGCGAGGCAGGGTGGCGCGCTCGCGGGCGGTCGCGGGCCGCTGGGTGCGCCGCTGCCGCGGCGGGCATGTGCGGGCGGTGCTCTGCGGCCCAGAATCGAGAAAGCGGAGGAAACGCGCGGGGGCGGCCGCGGGGGGCGCCAGTCGCAGCTGACGCGCGCCATGCGGCCCGCGAATCGAGCGCTCACGACGGGGAGCGGCGGCCTCGCGTGCGCTCGAGCGGGGGAGCGGGCGGAGGAGCTGTGCGCGGAGCTGTGCGCGGGCACGCGCGCTGCCTGGCGGCGGGGGGCGCCGGCGATGCTGGGGGAGCGGCAGGCATGTCGCGGCGCGCCGCACGTCGCCGCAGGCAACTGGCGAGGGAATCGGGGCGGCGGACGGACTCCTCGGTACTCGATCGGTTCAACGCGGGGCGGGCGCCGCGGCGGCGCGCGCTGCTGCGGGTGCGCGGAGGGGCAGCCTGGGCGAGCTTGTGTGGGCCGGTGGGGACGCACCGCGAGCTTCCTCTTGATTTGGTTGGTCAGCGGGCCCGCGAGATGCGCGAGTGGATCCTTCTCGGACTTCCCCTGCGGTCGAGAGCGACGCACGCGGCGGGTCTTCGGCGCATGTGCCAGTGCCCTCCCGCCCCCGGCCCCGCGACACAGAGCCTATAGCGCTGCGGGGCGGGCTGCGGCGAGGATCCGTGGCACGCGGGCGGCGCACCTTCGAGCTCTTGCCGCTCGCAGCGAGCGCAGACTTGCCCGTGAGACTCAGCATGGCGACCCAGGAGCTTCGCAGAGCGCGCCGCGCCGTCAGAAGCCCGCACGCGGTACCTGTGGCGTCGAAATGCGCGCGACTAAACCGGACGCGGTCCGTGCTGCCAACTGCCCGCGACGCCGGCGGCCCTCGGCAACGAAATCGGCGACGCCCGACTCGCCAGCCTGTGTCGAGTGCTCCCGAGGTGGTTTGGCGGGAATCGTGGCGCAGCGAGCCGTGCGGCCGGCGCCACTCCGGCGGCCTGCCCGTCCACCCAACGGTGCGCTTCGTCTGAAACGGATTCGGTGCCGAAAGACGCTTCGAGAACGTCAGCTCGCCGCCATCTGTGGGGCGGGAGGTGAGGACGCCTGTGAGGCTCCGGCAGCGGGCAGGACGATGAAAGTGTGCGTGTCCCGCCACGAACACACATTCTGTACACTGTTCCCGCCAGTGTCATGCCTGTTCCCGGCAGGAGACCGCAGCACGGGCGGGGAATCCCTGCGGTGTGTTCTGAGCGGCCGTGCGGCGCCCCTGCGTCGCAGACTCGACGCGCAGGAGGCGCTGCTGACGAACTGCGAGGTGTACGACATCCTGGTCCAGCGCGGCTGCGACCGCGCACGCGCACAGGGCGTACCGGTGTCCACTCAGGTAGAACAAGACGTGTTCGCGTACCTGACGGGCGTGGGGGCGACCGTGCGCGTCAGCCAGGAGCAGATGAACGAGTTCCGAGAACAGATGAAGCCGTTCGAGCTCTCGAAGACCGAGATCATGCAGGTAATGCCACAACACACACACTGTTCGTTTGTTGGCCCCGCGATGAGGTTGCCCTCGCTGCTTCGACCGCCCCGGGCCGGCCACGGAACCGCGCGGCCAGTGACGCTCTGCGCAGCGCAGCGGCTCCCACCGGCGGCCGGGCCACCGCCCTGCTTTGACGCGGCTCCAACATCGTCCGCACGCAACGCCCTCGCGTCCGTCCGCGGCGCCCGCAGTTCCTCAACCACCGCCCGAAGATCGCGGTCGAGGCCTACACGATCCTCGACCGCGCCGAGGAGCGCTTCTCGAACGAGCAGCTCGAGGAGATGTGTGCGATCACCGCGACGGTGCTCGCCGGGGAGAGCACGGCCGCGGAGGACCCGGGGAAGAGCCCCAAGCGCGGAGCGCGAGCGTGAGCGCGCCCGCCGCCCGGGCGCAGGCGGCTGCGCGGCGGCGAGCGGCGCGCGGCGGCCCACGGGGTGCGCGTGCGCAGCGCTGCACGGTGTACATAGGTGGACGGCTGGCGCGGCGCCCGTGCTGTGACGGATCGAGGTATCATCGCGTTGGGAGCGCTGTGGCCTGCGCAGCTGTCGCAGGCGAGGCCACGGAGTCACGGCAGGTGTCGCCGCACGCGGCGGGGCGGCGCAGGGGCGCTGCCAGCGCAGGGGCGCTGCCGGAAGCCAGCACTACATCCGTGAGCGACAAAGGCCGGTCTGGGGAGGCCGGAAACGCTCTTCTGATCGGAAGGCGGTCCTCCACGTGACGGCGTGGGTGCAATGCAGTGCACCAGCAAAGGCAGCGATTGCGGCCGCTGGGCCGACGCAGACGCACGGGGCCGACGCGTGCACGTCTCGTTCACACCGTCAGGGCAGTGCGCAAGGCGGGGCGGGCCCGTGGCACAGCGCGTGGTTGGTTGCGCAGCGGGCAGGCTCGCTGCGTTGCGCGCGAACCGTGCGCAAGGGCGCGGCGCTCAGTCGAAGAGCGAGAAGCCCATGTCCTCGTCCTCCTCGGACTCCTCCTTCTTCGCCTCCGCAGCGGGAGCGGCTCCACCGCCGCCGCCGCCAGCGGCCGGGGCGGCGGCCACAGCGCCGCCCGCGGGGACCGAAGCGATCTTGCTCATGCCTGCGGAGCAACGCGGGCGAGCGGAGGCGAGGCGTTGCGGGCGGGCTCACCGCGTGCAAGCGCGGTGCGAGCGAGGTGACTGCCGCCCAGCGGAGACTGCCGCTCCGGTGCGCTGTGCGTTGTACGGCGGATTCTGGGGGCGCCGGTGCGAGAGACGTGTAGTGAGTGTCTGTGGGTGGCGTTGCAGCGGTTCTGCCGCAACGGGGCGGGCGGAGAGGGTGGCGGGAGGAGGGGCGCACCCTCCGAGATGAGCTCCTCGACGTCCTTGCCGGCGATGGCGTCCAGGAAGGCCTTGATGTTGCCATCCTCGGCCTCGACACCAACTGCAGGCGCGGGGTTCGGGGTGGCCAGGCCGTGGGAGGGCAGCAACGCGGGGTGACGCACTCTGCAGGCGTTTGCCGCGATAGTGACGGGCCAAGGAACTGCGGCAGCACGCTGCACGACGTGTCAAAAGTTTTCCAACGTCTCGTGTGCTAGAAACCGTGCTGGGCCCCGCGGGCGGTGCGCTGACACGGGAGCCGCCCACAGCCAGCCGGTAGCGGCCGAAGCGGGCGTCGACGTACCCGACGAGCAGATCTTCTTGATGTCAGCAGCGCCGGGCGACGCGTTGCCGCCGAGCTTGGCCTGCAAACATCACGAGCGGCGCGGCAGTCGTGGGCGACTGGAGGCGGCAGGGCTCCGCGACCGGCGAGGGCGACGGCCACGCGCCAGCGCGGCCCCGCGCGGCTCAACCATCGCCGGCCACCCGTTCGCAACGCGGGCGCGGGCGCCCGGCGCGTGTCGGCTCCGCGCTGAGCCTGCAGTGCTCGAAGGGGGCCAAAACTCACCAGCAGGTAAGCGGAGATCACCCTCATGATATAAGGCGTCCGGCAACAAGGCTCTTTAACCGCGGAGGACCCCCCTGCCCCGCCAGCGCGCGCATTGAAGCCCGGGCGGGACTGCGGGGCCCTCAGGGTCCCCCTGCCGGGGTACAACACCACGCGCAGCGGCCGCCCCAGCCGCCCTCAAGGCCCCCGCGGTGCGCGGCGCGCACGCACGCGCCACCCCGTCCGCCACAGAGCAGAGGAACCCGGCACGTGCCCGCACAAGAGCGCGCCAGGCACCTCGCCCTGCAGCTGCAGTGCCTGCTGAGATTCCACCCCTTCGCGGGGCGTCCCTCGAGGCGCAGGGAGCGCGCGGCTGATCATGGCCGACGCATCCAGGTAGTGTCTTTCCGCGGGGAGCGCTCGGGAGGGCCACAAGGCTGGCAGCTGGGTAGAGGCGGGCGAGAACGATGCGGGGTGGGTCCGAGTGGGGCATCTCGTCGGTGCTGTGCTCGGCCATCGATCAGTATGGGCGCGCGAAGCTGCACTTCAGGCAGAAGTGGGGCGACATGCTCGGCAGCCGCGGCCGCGTGAGCATCCCGGGCTTCGCCCTGCACGACGGCCCGGGGGCAGCCCCGCCACATGCAGCGGCGTGGGGCTTCGCGCCGACGCCGCGCGCCGCGAAAGGCCACACCCCCGAGACGAACGACGACGTCGGCGCGGCGTCGCGGAGATTCGGCCCCAGCGGCACCGGCGCGTCCACGGCGCTGGGCAAGACGAGCGGCCGAGGCTACAGCGGGACCGGCACCGGCGCGCACGAGGGCGAAGAGGCCGCGGACGATGCGCATCTGGGCTCTCGCCGACTGCACACGCGCAACAGGACCGGAAAGTCCGCCGCGGGCCCCCGCCCGGACCCGCAGGCGGAGGCGACGAGGGTGCCTGAGACCAAGCTCGCTGCTAGGCGGGACGCCGAGCAGGAAATGCTGCGCGGCGTGCGCCGGCGGGTGCTCGAGCAGCTCCACAGGCGCCCGAGCCCTCCGCCGGCGCCGGCGCCGGGCGAAATGCCAACCCCGATGAGAAAGGCCCATCTCCTGGAGGACGCCCTCAGCCCGCGCACGCCGGGCAGCGCGCACGCGGAGTGGGACGACGACAGCAAGCGGTGCGAGTGCTTGCTGCGCCCGCGCCCGCTCCGCCCCGCGCGGCCCCGGCGCCCCCCGCGCCCGCCCATGAGTTTGCGATTTCACCTCCCGTGTGTGCGCGCTCGTTGCGTCGCGAGCCCTCGGTGCCCGCGTCGCGGAGCGCAGGTGGTCGGCGGCGAAGTCGAAGCAGCACACGTCGAACGCGTCCGTGAAGGCGACGGCGTCGGTGGGGCGCGGGGCAGGCGGCGGGCTGTCGTCGCCGACGCAGGGGTCGCCGTCGGAGTCCGCGCCGGGCGCGCGGGCGCGCGAGATCAAGTTCCAGCTGCAGCAGAAGAGCACCGCGGCGGCGGGCGAGGCCGCGAACAGCCAGCGCGGCGGGCGGTCGTCGCGCGCGTCTGCGTCGCGCGCCGACCAGGGGTCGCCCGCGCCCGGGGGATCGCTGCACGGCGACGGCGGGGAGGGAGTCGCGATGGTGACCGCGAAGGTGCGGTCGATCGAGGAGGAGGTCCAGAAGGCGCGCGCGACGCTCGAGAAGCTTATACTCCACCCCGGGGACTCTGCGCTCCTGCGTCAGTTCCGACGGTGCCTGGCGCGCATCCGGGAGCGGCGGAAGCGCTTCCGCCCGCCGCGCACGATCCAGTCGCTCAAGAGCCTCGCCCGGCCGCTCCCGCCCGTCGAGGAGTCGGCTGAGTCAGGGACGTCACTCCCCCTCGAGTGGGAGGCGCTGGTCTGGCGCGTCCTCGACGGGCCGAACGCCGTGCTCCCGAAGACCACGTCGCGCGCCGAGCGCCAGGAGAACCGCGCGGCCCTGCGCTGGATGATCAAGGACAGCGTCACCGAGCTCGCGTACGTGTTCCGCGCCTGCCAAGCCCTCCCCCCGGTGCCGTGGGGCAAGGCGCCGAGGCTGGGCGCGTCGGAGAAGGAGAGGGCCGACGTCACGAACATCAACCGCATGCTCGAGGACCTCGAGAAGCACTCGCGGATCCCGGCGCCCGAGGAGCCCCCCCCCGAGGTGGTGGAGGAGTCTTCCTTGGTGTCCGACTCAAGCGGGCTCGACATGTTCGGGACGGGCAAGCCCGCGAAGGCCAAGCCCGCGGAGAGGCCGCCGCCGGTCTTCGCGGACGGGTACAAGTTCACCACGCTGCAGCTGAGCCGCGACCGGACGCCGTGGGGCGACGCGGTGTCGCAGTGGCAGTTCTGGCGGCTGCTGCAGCTGTCCGAGGTGCCCGGGGCGGCGCCGCTGGGGGACCTCGCGGTCGCGGCGTCGCCGCACGGGCCGTTCGATGCTGCGGCGGCGCCGGAGGTGCCTGGCGGGCGGCAGGCGAGGGCGGAGCGCAAGGGGAAGGCGAGTGCGGTGCCGTCGCCGCCGCGGGGCGCTCAGGTGGACGCGCCGGCTGGGGAGCCCGTGCCGGGGTGCGGGTCGTTCAGCAAGTGAGTGCGGCCGCGACGCGACGCGACGCTGCACTTCTTTCTTCCTTTCTTTCTTTTGCGCGCCGAGACTGTTTTCGGTATCTGCGAATTCGTGGCTCGCGCACCAACTGCCCGCGCCGCGCGTGCTCGCCCCTGCAGGATCCCCGGCGTGCAGGTCGTCCTGCTCGACCGGCGCCACCTCGGCGCCCACGACGGCTCCGCCAGGTTCGTGACCGAGCGCGGCAGCGACGTACCCGTCGCGCGCGCGCGCCGCAGCGCCCGCGAGGCCGAAGCGGAGGCCAAGGCCCCGCCCGCGGAGAAGAAGGAGCGGATCACGGAGTTCCCGCGCCTGCCGCCCCCGAAGCCAGAAACCCCCCAGGCGACGCCGTTCCGCACGATCGTGCCTACCAAGTCGATGCCGACGGCCCCAGACGTCCTCGGCGGCCTCGTCGACGAGCCCCCGACGCCGCGGAAGCCGCCCGTGCCGAAGATGAAGAACAGCGTTCCGGCGTGCGAGCTGTGCGCTCTGCAGCACGAGGAGGGGGGGGAGTGTTCCTTCCCGCGCGAGGCGTGCCCCGTGTCGTTCAAGGGCGGGGCGCTGGACCGGCTGGCGACGATGGACTTCGTGCGCGTCGTCGAGGCGATCGTGCGGACCGCGGCGTGCATCGCGCAGGCCGAGGGGCGGACCGGGGAGGACGCGACGATTGTCGCCAACGAGGCGGCGGCGCTGCTGGTGCAGCTGCAGGCCGGGGCGTTCTCCGCGGGGCTGCTCGACCCGACGGCAGGGAAGGCGACGCTCGTGTCGCCGCCGAGCCTGATCATGGCGCCGACGGCGGCCAGCACGGCCGCGGGGTCGCCGACCACGAAACGCCCTGCGGGGATGGCGCAGCTGCCGGGCGCGGCGCTGGCGCTGGCGCAGAGCGCGGTCGTGTACTGGGAGCCTGCGCTGCGGTGGATGTTCACGTTCGCGGCGTGGCACAACCGGTGGGAGCCCTTGGTCAAACACGAGCTGTTGCCACACATCATCAAGACGGGCCGCGCAGGGCTGCGGAGTCTGGACGAGCCGAGCCGGCGCCACCTCATGCCGATCACGTCGGCGTACGCGGTGGAGCTGGAGGGGCTCCTGGAGGAGGTTGCGGAGGAGGGGGGGGGTTCGGGGGAGGTGGCGGAGGTGGGGCGCGCCGCGGAGAAGAAGGTCGAGGCGAAGAAGCCTCCGCGGATCCTGACGATGTCGTTCAACGACATCCTGAACCACCTGGTCCTGTGCGACCTCGTCGGGCACGGCGGCATGATGCTCACGGTGCGCGACGTGTCTAAGATCTTCTGCGAAACCACGCGGCAGCCCGTCCCGGTGATGGGCCTGCACGACGAGAACGACACGCGGAGGATGGTCTTCGAGGAGTTCGTCGAGTTCGTGCTGCGCGTGTCCGTCCGCATGGCCCTCGCGGGGCCCGCGGCCTCTCCTATGGACCAGCTGCAAGCGCTCATGCGCAACCCGGTGGCGGGGCTGCTGGCGCCGACGACGCGGCTCGTGGCGATGTGGCAGCGGGCGGACGCGATCCCCCGCGCGGAACAGCGGCTCTAGGAACCACCCTGAGGTGGAAATTGTACCCCCCCTCCTTTCACGTAGATGCTATCCCCAACAGCGACGACGCGTCGCGCACCGACCAAATAACGCTTCCGCACGCCGCACGTGTTCTGTAACAACGCAACCACGTCCCCCGCCGCGCCGAACGTCACACGGCTCCACTCCGCAACAACTGGACATCTCGTCCAAAAATGGCAAACGTTGCGCGCATGTACGTATGTTCTACTCCGTCTCCATGCCAGACCCGTCCTCGGTCTCCGACTCCTCGCCCTCGTCCTCGTCCTCACTAGCCCGTGCGCCCTTCTTCGCTCCTCGCGGCGCCGCGGCACGCGTCGTGCGGCCCCCACGAGCGCGCCTCGCCGCCCCGCCCTCCTCCTCGCTGCTGCTGCTGCTGTCGCTCGCGTCGAACGGCAGCCCGGGCAGCGTCCGGTCGCTGAGGTGCCGCGCGAGCACCGCGTCGAGCACGCCCTGCCCGACCTCGCCGCCGTCCTCCTCCGCGTCCGCCGCGGCACCGACGCGCTCCGCAAACGCACGCACGTCCTTCACCGCCGCCGCGTCCTTCACCGCGCGGACCAGGTGCTCGGCGATCGCACGCAGGTTCCCCAGCTCCTCCGCGGACGCCTCGCGCTGCGTGGGCACCGGGAGCGTCCCAAGGCACCTACACAGAGCGCCGACGTATGTCTTGCCGATGCTGCCGCCGCTGCCGTGGCACCGCACCGCCTCGGCGCCGAGCCGCTCCAGCAGCACGCCCCACTCCACGCTCGCACCGTTCTCGCCTCCGACCGTCAGCAGGTGCAGGCCGAAGCTCAGGACCTGCGGAGCTGTCGTCTTGGCGGACCTCCCCGTCCCGGTCACGTGCTGCAGGGCGCGGCGGGCCGCGGGCAGCAGCGCGTCCGCGATGGTCTGCCGCCCGCCGCCCTCGGGCATCGCGGCGACCGCCTCCAGCGCCGTCGCGAGCATCTGTCGCATGTCGGGGGCCTCCTCGGTCGCTGGGTCCGCGTAGGCGGTCAGCAGCTGCGCGGCCGCGGCCGCAGCCTCCGCGGGGTCCATCCCCGCCGGTGCCCCCGCGGACGTCCGCCCGTTCGCCAGCAGGTGGTTGTGAGCGAGCAGCTTGGCAACGCCCTCCGCCGCAACCCCCGCCGCGGCCGCCCTGCTGGCCCAGCCCGCCCTCTCCGCCTCCAGCAGCTCCTTCGTCTTCGCGGACCGGCTCCGCGCGGCCTTCTTCCCCGCCGCTGCCGCGCTCTCCAGCGCCTCCCCCGCCGCGGCCACCTGCGCCAGGAGCCTCTGCAACGCCGTGTCGGCCCCGGCGCCCTCCGCGGCGGCCGCGGGCAGGAACGCGTCGAGGCAGCGCGGGCCCCACACCAGCGCGACGTCGCACAGGGCCCGCGTGGCGTCGGCGGCCACGGCAACGTCCTCCGCGGCCATTGCCGCCAGCAGGCACGCCACGTGGCCGCGCGACGCGGCCCCGGGCCTGTCGAGCATCAGGTAGCTGCCGAGGCACCGGACCGCCGCCGCGCGCGCCGCGGGGTGCTCGCCCTCCTCGCAGCACCGCGCGACGAGCGTGTCGACGACCAGCGGCAGCGTCATGCCGTCCACAGTCATGTCCAGCGCGCCGCGGACGCTCGACAGCCGCCGGAGCATCAGCTGCCCGACGGTCAGCGCGCGCACGCGGCACGCGGCGTCCTCCATGTTCCAGCACTTGCTCATGTGCGCCAGCGCCCCCAAAAACACAGTGCCCGCCTCCTCGTCGCCCACGAACGCGCTGGCCGCGAGCTCGACGACGGCGTCGCCCCACGCCGCGACCTCCGCGCCCGTCTCCCCCTCGGGCGTCGCGCCCTCCGCGGGGGCCCGCCGCAGGAGCTCCGACACCAGCTGGCACGCTGCGGCGCGCCCGAGCGAGTCCGCGAGGTCCGTGCAGCGCGCGGCGACGAGCAGGAGCTGCCGCGCGGCGAAGCGGTGGGCGGGCCCGGCCTCGGCGTGGCGCCCGCACAGCGCCACGAGCTGCTCGGTGGTGTCGGGCAGCGCGGCCTCGAGCGCGGCGGCGTGGTCGCCGGCGGTGGCGGCCTCGACGTTGGCGGCCTGGCCGAGGGCGTTCATCGCGGCGCGGCCGTGCGCGTTCGCGTCCTGCGCGAGCTGCTCGCACACCACGCGCCACAGGAGCGCCTCTTCGGGGGTGAGCGGCGCGCCCGCGTCCGGGGGGGTGTGCAGCCCGGCGCGGGCGTCGCGGGCGCCGCGCGCGAGCTCCGCGGCGCTCACGTTGCCCGTCAGCAGCAGGATCTGCAGCGCCGCGACCACGTCCGCCTCGTGCGTCTCCACGTCGAGCGCTGACATCAGCTTCAACACATCCCCCCCGCACCCGCCCTCCTCCGACAGCCACGCGAGCAGCATCTCCGCCGCGCGCGTCTGCACGCCGCGCGAGCGGTCCGCGAGGCCCCGTCGCAGCAGCAGCGCGCGGTCCGCGATCGAGAGCCCCCACATCGACCCGTTGCTAGCACACGCCAGCACGTGGTACACGGACGCCCGCACGTCCTCGGAGACGTCGAGCGTGCGCGCGACGAGCGGCTGCACCGTGGCCTCGCACAGCGGGAGGTTCGCGACGATCTCCTTGCGCACCGCCGCGGTGCGCTCCGTCGAGAGCAGGTCCACGAGGCGGGGGAGGAGTGAGCAGTCGGCATAGGTGTCGTCGTCGCCGGCGTCGAGCAGGCGGTGGAGGGCGCGGACGGCCATCGCGCGGACTTGCGGGATCTGCGGCGAGGCGGGCCGGGCGGGGTTCGGTCGGGGAAAACGGGGGGGGGGTTGGTGGTGTTTTGGCGGGGTGTGTTGGGGGGTTGGGCGTGCCTTGTCGCGGAGGCGGACGACCATGGCCTGCTCGACGGCCTCGACGGTGTCCTCGCTGACGTCTGCGTCCTCGCTGAGGGACTGGAGCGTTTCGGCGATGATCTGGCACGAGCGGTACCGCACCGCCTTGTTGCTGCAGTCGCTGTAGTCCTGCACGGGCAGTCGCGGGCGGCGGGCTGTTCTGCGGGTGATCCTTGCCGGGAGAGCGGCGCGGCGCGTGCGGGGGGGCGCGACCCGGGCGTGGGGCTGTTGGTGTCGCAGTTGAGTGGGGCCGGGCGGGAGCGCACCACGAGGCGCTCGAGGAGGTTTCCGAGGAACGCGCTCGCCTCCTCGTCGCCCTCTCCCGCAGCGGCGGCGAATTCCGCGACGAAGCGGACCACGCGCTCCACGTTGGGCTCCTTCTGCAGTGAAAGCAGGCAGGACGCACGCCCGTGAGGCCGCGATTCCCGCCGTCAGGTGCCACGAACGCCGCGCCCCTGTCGATGTCCGGTACGAACAAAGAGCCCGCGGTGGACTACGGGCCCGGAAACGCAGGGAGCTTCGAGGGCGGTCACCATGGGCGTTTGGCGCTGGAAACAAACCCGGTTCTCCGAATTCCACCGACGGAGACCTCCCGACTCGTGGCACTCACCTTGAACACGAGGAGGACGTGCTGCAGGCAGGTGAAGAAGGTCTCCTCGAAGGCCTCGGAGTCCTCAGCGCGCTTGCTCGCCAGCGCACCGGCCCACTTGGCGTGCGAGACGCGGCTGCGCTGCGCCTGGTTGAAGATTTCCCCCACGGACATGCCCGCCGTCTTTGCTACCATCGTGGCTGTGCCTGACGGCGCTGACTCGGACCGTCGAGGGCGGGGCGACGCGGAAAACCGCTTTCAGCTGACGTTGTGAGCTGGGTGAAGCAGAGCTCCCGTGCCTGTCTCCCGCGGACGAAACCGACGCTGTTCAAGCGCGGGGACACGGATACTATCTACGAAAGGATGTCGCACAGCGTTTGAGCTGTGCGGGCGCGGTCCGACGTGCGCGGAGGCGCCTTGAGCTGCGGGGCACGATAGGTGTGTTTCTACAGCCCCCCGATGGTCAGGGTCTTTGTGTTCGGCCCGCGCTACGCTCTGTGCCAGGCAGCATGTCCAGGCGAGCCGATGACGGCGCTCGCGGAGGCCAGGAACGATCGGGGGGGCGTCCAGAGTGCAACCCTGCGTGCATGACTGGCTGATAGAAGCGCGCCCGTCCATCAACACATGACTCGACCGTCGCTTAGGGTCAATGTGAAACTAGGTCTCCGGAGGGATCATGCATTTCTGCACGGCGCAGCGCGTGAGCGCGGCAAGAGCCGCTCCTGCCTCCCCGCACTGCAGGCCCCGCGTACGGGCCGCCGTGTCGCGGATTCAACGCCGCGTGGTGGTGCGGGCCGACCCGGACGATGCACCTGCCGCCACCGATGCAGGTGACCATCCCTCAACCGCGCATGACCTGCAACCGGACATCCCTCGACTGTCCAGCTGGTTCCGTCATTTCGGCCCCTTACCTTCGATTCAGACCACCTTTCTCAATCCCTCCTGGTAGTTCACGTATATTCCGTGCATGTCGTATCATGTTTCGTCGGATTTGATGCGATATCGCGTAGGAATCGCCAACATCCACTTGCCTCCACAGAGCACACCTCGTGCCGCCAATTGGCGCCGTTTCCGCAACCACGGGCCGTTACAACCCACGTCTGTACTCAACAGTGTACAAGCACCGATCCCCGACCGCAGACGTCGCTCCTCAGGCCTCGCGCGCCCCAAGCAAGCCGGAGACGCCCCCAGCGCCCGCGGAGCAGAAGGACCCGCGATTCAAGGGATTCAAGGCCCTGGTGCGCAGATAAACACCGCGCCCTGAACAACCGCTCAACGGACGTTGCGCTGTGGCCCATCTCCGCCCGCAACCACCTCGGCCGCACCGTGGACACGACCTCTTGTCTTCGGGCACTTTCGCGTTGCGTGTACAGGTGGTCGGGGCGTCTGGGAGGACGGGCCGCGAGATCGTGAAGCGGCTAGTCAAGGAGGGCGTGCCCGTGCGGGCGTTCGTCCGCGACACCGCGAAGGCCCGCGAGTGCGAGCCCTCACAACCGCGCGCCGACGCCGCTCTCGCTGCTGCTCAGCGGCCGCTGCCGCGCCGAGCTGACCGCCGCGCCGAGGCCGCCGCTGCGCAGGGTCCTGCCTGGCGAGGACGAGGGCGTGGAGTTCGTCAAGGGCGACGTGAACCAGCTCCAGGGGCTTGCGCCCGCTGCGGAGGGCTGCAACGTGGTGTTCATCGCCACGAGCACGGCGCCGCGGACGGACCCGTTCGGGCCGTTCGAGGTCGAGTACGAGGGCACGAAGAACGTCGTCGCCGCGGCGCGCATGGCCGGGGTGAGCACGCGACCCACCTGGCTGTCGGCGTTGGCAGTATCGGGCGCGGCGGTCCTGCAGGGCGCTCCGCGCGTGTTGTCGAGGCTGGGCGGGCTTGTGCGGACGTTGATGCGTCGCGCCGCGCGCCGGCGCCGCTGCGTCGCCGTTGCACGTGAGTCAGACGGGGGCTCCTGACGTCGGGCGTGCGTGTGTGCATCGCAGGCGATCCATGTGGTGCTGGTGAGCACGATCGGCGCGGACGACCCGTTCTTCTTCCTCAACATCTTCTTCGGCATCGCGTTCTGGAAGAAGCGCGCCGAGGAGCACCTGCAGCGCTCCGGGATCCCCTACACCATCGTCAGGCCGGGGGGACTCCGAGACACCCCCGCCCGCGGGTCCTCGCAGGGCAACATCGTCATGGAGGGCCCCAACACCTTCGGCACGCCCCCGAAGCGGCAGGTCGGCAGCATCCTGCGCTCCCAGGTGGCTGATGTGTGCGTCGAGGCCATCTTGGAGCCCACGGCCGAGAACCGGGTCGTGGAGATCATCGCTAGCCCGTCGGAGCCGAGCAAGTCCATCGCCGAGCTGTACCGGGCGCAGTCGCTGTGATCCGCGGCGCGGTGGCGGCTGTGGGCGGAGCGACGCGGTCGGACGTCACGCGTGGCGAGGGGGGTGTTGACGCTGCGTGGCGTGCGCAGCGGGGCGCTCGAGGGGCCGGTGGTGCGCGCGCTGATGGCACCATCTGCCGCGAGACGCGCTCGCCGGCTGTCCTTCGACACCGACGCTCGGGCTGACCCGCGCATCGGCAGCGCCGCTGTGCTGTGCGTTGAGAGCAGAGAAAAAGGGAACGAGTTCGCGGGGAAACGCCTGCACTGCCGAGGTGAGGCGTCTCGCGCGTCATGAGAGCGTGCAATTGCGTCACAGCGACGCGTGAAGCGCGCGTGAACAGCGCCGGTCGTCGCTCTGACCTCTATGGATAGGATCAGCCGCTGACGTGCCACATCTGACTAGCTCTGGGATGTCGATGGCCGCCAGCGCTTGGTGTAGATATGACTGGTTCGGGAAGATCCTTCGGATGCCGTCGGGGCGCACTGCACGTGCTGGGCGACGGGGTCAAGCCTCGCAGCGCTCATTGGCCTTGGGCGCCGTAGTTGCAATCTCGTCCCCGGAAAACTTTACGTGACTGGCATGTATGATGCTCTGTGGTGCGCAGGTTGCGATCCAACAGAGTCGATCAGTCCCTCAGGAACCGGCACGGCGGGATGAGACAACCACGGTGCGTCCGTTCGCCTTCCGGTCGGCCACACGCCGCTCGTGCAACTCTCGATCCTGCTCGCAGAATACAGAACGGTATGTGTCTCACCGCGCTGACGCAGACGGAGCACTCACAAACGCAGACGGCACACCGCCGGTCTGGCGGACCTACACCTGGGCAGCCGCGGCCCCATAGCCATCGTCGTCAACTTGCTCGACAACAAGGACCGCGTCGCGCTGGCGGCGGCGTCGTCGCAGTGCATGGCCGCGGTGATCGAGGGCTACTCGGGCACGTGCAAGTGGACAGCGAGCAGCGTTGAGACGGGCAGAGCAGTCGCACAACGTCTGCGTGAGCATGGGAGCGCGGCCTCGGAGTCCCTCGTATCAAGGCGCTTTGACCGGTACTGGGAGATGTGGTATCGGGCCGACGCGGCGCCGTCGGCCAGTGCTATCCTGCGCGTGGCAAGACACCTCGAATGGGTGGACTTGTGTCCCATGTTCGGCGATCTCCAGCTTGAAGACCCTCACGGTGGCTCCCGCGAACACAGCTCGCCGCCACCGATCACCGCCGAATCAACTGCCCTTCGGAGCATCGACATCTGGTGCCAAAAGGCCGACTGGCTCGCCACGGACTGGCTGCCTCTGCCAGCGCGGCAGAACGTGAAGGAGGTCTCCGCAAAAGCGAGTGGCCTGCGCCGGCTCCCGCCGGGAATGGCGTCGCTTGAAGTGGTCGACGTGTCGGAATGCGAGCAGCTGGAAGGTCAACTGTTGCCGAAGAGCTCCGCATCGAAGGTCAAGGTCTTCAAGGCCTCATCCAGCAATCTCAAGAGCGTTCCGGCGCACATGTCGAGCCTCACGAAGCTGGATGTCGTTTCCTGCCAGTCGCTGTCGAGGGACTGGCTGCCAGCCAGCTCGCGAGCGAAGTTGACGTCGTTGGACATCCGCTCTACAAACGTGCAGCAACTGCCGCCAGGCCTGGTGTCCCTCCAGGAGCTCGACGTGGGCAGCAGCATCTGCGGAGAGCTGGAGTGGCTCCCGGAGAGCTCGGCGAGGAGCGTGAGGAAGCTGAGCGTTTGCTCGGACTCGATCACAAGCGTGCCGGCGAAGATGGAGAGCCTGCGAACACTCTACCTCGAAGTCAGGCGTCTGGACAGTGATTGGCTCCCGCCGAGCTCGATGAAGCAGCTGGAAGATTTGCGCATCACATGCGGCAGCACGTACCGAGTCCCTGCCGGACTCGACGCCCTCGTGCGTTTCTCGCTAGGATGGGATATATTTTTATCGGCAAGGCGTGATACGCTTGCCGCCTTTCATCCAGGGAGCTCGATGCCGCGAATCGTGGAACTCGACGTGAGCTGCTCAGAAATTCCTCGGCTTCCAAGCGGTATGACGGCGCTTCGGTATCTCGACGTGTCGGACTGCAAGCATTTGGAGGACGACTGGTTTGGCGCTGGCAGCGGGGCGGCACTCACCGTGCTGCATGCCCGTGGGAGCAACCTCACGAGAGTGCCCGCGGGGCTGACGGCGCTCCGCGAGCTCGACGTGTTGGGCTGCGTCCACTTGGAGGACGACTGGCTCGGCGTCGGCAGCGGGGGGGCACTCACCGTGCTGCGTGCTGTTGCGAGCAACCTCACGAGAGTCCCCGCGGGGCTGACGGCGCTTCGTGAGCTCGACGTGTCGGACTGCAAGCACTTGGAGGACGACTGGCTCGGCGTCGGCAGCGGGGCGGCACTCACTGAGCTGCATGCCTGTGGGAGCAACCTCACGAGAGTGCCCGCGGGGCTGAAGGCGCTGGAGGATCTGGCCGTGTCGGAGTGCAAGCTGGGTGCGAACTGGCTGCCCACGAGCTCCCGGGGAGCCCTTCGACGGCTGGATGCATCTGGCACGCTACTGAAGCGCGTGCCGCCAGGCTTGAAGTCGCTGCAGACCTTACGCTTGAAATCATGCCAGGAGCTGCAAGAAGGCTTCGTACCCGCGAGCTCTGGGAGAGAGCTGCTTCACCTGAGCGTCGCGGGCATCGTGAGACCACCGCGCATCAGCAATACGCCCAAACTTGAGATGCTGTGCGTTGCACAATGCAAGATCGCGGCCGGTTTCATCGACGGGCCCTCGAGCAGGAACGTCACGAGGCTGGACATTCGCAGAACGAAGAGACCCCCGCGCCTCCCTTCGGAGATGCGGAGCTTGGAGCAGATCTGGGCAGCAAGCACTTTCAAAAGCGATGGTGAGGCAAGGCGGTGGCTGAAACAGCTGCCGACCAAGGAAGAAATCGACGTCTGGGACTTGCCCTTCGGAGAATCGATCAAGTACATCATGAGCAACAGGTACTGCAAGGGCAAGGAGATTTCCTGCATTTTCAGCTGCAAGAATCAACATCCAGTTGACACCCGCGATTGGTTTTGCGACGATGGTCGTTATAACGTGTGATCCTTCGAGGCCTACCTGACACACCTGTACATTCGTGCTCGAATCGGCGATCCTGGAGCACGGGCCTACTCCTGCCCTCGGTACCGAAGCTTGTGGTGCGAACGTGCGTGCGCGCCGCCATGGGCGCGTCGCGCAGTGGAAGAGCTGTCGCCGCGGGTGCCGCAACGTACGAGATCGCGCTACGCGTGCATGATCATATCATTATGCCATGATGTCAGCGGGGGGGAGTGGACAGTGGACTCGGGGCGGTGCCGCCGCGCCGCGTTGAGCCACGTCTCGCGTTAGAGGGGGGCGGTGCGAGCCGACGCGTGAAGTCGCGGCTCATGTGCGGGGCGTGGCCGCTTCGTGACGCCGTCGCGCAACTGCAACGTGGCGGGCAGAAGGGAGATCTGCGTCTGGAAGCTCGGGAACAGCTTGAAGATCGCCAGGTGGGTCGGCAGCTGGTACTCCGTGCTCGAAGCACTGCGATGAAGTACAAGTTGCGCGCCGTGGCCCCCGGTGTCGCGGGCGGCGGCGCACAGTTGCCCGTTCACGTTTCCATGCCTGCGGTCGAGCGCCCGAGCGAACTTGCGACGTACCTTCGCTGTTCATGATCACTTCTACATACCGCGTGATCCCGGGGCGTTGGAGCGGCAGCACTGCACCCGCATGGCTGGATCCACCCTGCAAGGTGGAGGAGCCTTTCGGTCACTGCGCCAGGGACGCTTGCAGCGCCAGGGGCGCCTTTCCGGGCGCGAACGAGCGCCATTCTGGCACGACATGCGTGCAGGCGACCTGCTTGGACGCGCGACGCGCAAGGAACGTGCGATAGGCCGCCAGGAGCGATAGACCGCAAGCCAACAATGAGCCGCAGGTACCCCTCGGCCCACAGGCCACGGCTCGCCGCCTTGCTGCCGGCGCCTGCGCGCTACATCGAAGCCGTGCTGGCTAGCCGCTCATTCACAGCCCTCCTCGTGCCCGCCTGGCCGCCCACGAGCGTCCCCCTCCCCTGTTGCTTCGCAGGCCCGACTCCCGCGGCGCACCGCAGCTCGCGGACCTCAACCTCGGCTGCGGCGGCCCGCTCTCGCTCATCGTCGGCGCGCTGAGCAAGGCGGACCGCGCCGCGCTCGCCGCAACCTCCTCTGACTGCATGTGCGGCGTCCTGGACTGCCACGTCGGCGCGTGCGCGTGGCGCAGCGAGACGTGCGTCGGCAGGAGCGTCGCGCAGCGGCTCCACGGCCGCACGTCCTCCGCGGCCCTCCTCGGCTGGGCCGCCGACGACCACTGGACGGTGCACTGCCGCGCCGGTGCCGACCCGACCCGTGACGAGTCGATCGTGCGCGTGGAGCGCTCGAAGGTTCGCGTGCGCGAGGGAGCTCGAGGCTACTCGATGAAGAAGGTGTCGTGTGGGCCGCCGCCGATCACGGCTGGCATGACGCGGTTGGAGGTCGTTGACGTGGGGAACTGCACCGGGCCGTGGCTGGCGACAGACAAGTGGCTGCCGGCGGCGGCTCGCGGCAGCGTCAAGGAACTGCGCGCTGGGAACACCGACATGCGCGCCGTGCCGTCGGGCATGGCGTCCCTGGCGGTGCTCGACGTGGAGCGTTGTACGCGCCTTGACGACAACACGTGGCTGCCGGAGGACTCGCGGGCGCGCGTCAGGGTCCTCCGGGCCGTGAACAGCTGCGTCCGCCGCGTCCCGGGCGGGCTGTGCGCGCTCCAGGAGCTGCACGTGTCGCGCGCCGACGCCGAGTCCGACTGGCTGCCGCGGGACTCGCGGGCGGCGCTGAGGGCGCTGACGCTGCGCGATATGGAGCTACCGGCGCTGCCGGACGACATGTTGGCGCTCGAGGAGCTCGTGGTGGCCACCACGGACGATCTCGACCTCGGTAACTTCGAGGACCCTGTCATGGCGTACCGACTCGGGGAGGGGGGTTTCCTGGGGGGGAGTGTAGCCGGGCAGTTGAGGGTGCTCGACGTCAGCGCGCCGATCGTCGACTTTCAGATCCCGGCGGACATGCAGAGGCTGGAGTCGCTGCGTGTGTCGTGCGTCACGCTCGCCGGCGACGACTGGCTGCCGGCGAGCTCGGCGGTGGCGTTGAAGACGCTCCGCATGGCGGCGGCGGGGATTCGTGGGGTGCCGCGGGGCCTGGAGGTGCTCGAGGAGCTTGAGGTCAGCGGGGCGGAGCGGTCGTGCGTCCACGACGCCATCTCGCTGGGGCTGGACGCACCAGAGGAACTCACAGGGGTCTCATGGCTCCCTGAGTCATCCAGACGGCGGCTCAGGAAGCTGGATGTATCCGGCACGAGAGTGCGGTGGATTCCCGAGGGTTTGAGCGCGCTGGAGGAGCTGTACGTCCGGTGCCGCCTTGCGACGCCATGGGGGGACATCGACGACGACGACGACGTAGATCAGATGCCGTGGATCGACGCGCGCTCAGCGGCGAACGTGCGGCGCCTCAAGGCGCGGTACACCGGCATCCACCGCGTCCCTGACTGCTTCGTCGCGTTGGAGGAGCTCGACGTGACGGGCTGCAGGGAACTCGACGAAGACTGGCTTCCCGAGCGCTGCCGGCGCAAGCTCAGAAAGCTCACGGCCCGGGAAACCAACCTGACGACGGTTCCGGGGTCGATGCCGGAGCTCACTGATCTGGACGTGTCAAACTGCTCGGGGCTCGCCGTGTCAGACTGGATCGCGGCGAGCAGCAGGGCTGCCATCCGGGTGCTCGCGGCGAAATCCTCGAACATCGCCAGGGTCCCGGCGGGGCTGACGTCTCTCGAAGTGCTGGAGATAGGCGACTGCCGTGCTCTGGACGTCGACAACTGGATCGACGAGAGCTCCACGGGAAAGATTCGGGCCCTCGCGGTGGACGAGACTCGTATCGCGAAATTGCCCGCCATGCCCTCCCTCGAGTGGCTCCGCGTGGACAAGTGCAGGGAGCTCAAAACCATCGAGCCGTCGTCTGCTCCGAAGCTGCGGTTCCTCTCCGCGAACCGCTCCGGCGTGCGGCGCATCCGCGACATGCCCAAGCTGGAGAGCCTGCATCTCGAGGGGTGCGAGCTCGAGGCAGACTTCGTCGACGAGGCGTCAAGCAGCGGTGTGGCGAACCTGAGCATCTCCAGGACGAAGCTGCGGCGCGTGCCTGCGACGTTCACGCGCCTGCAGACGGTGCTGTGCGATGACTGCGCAATGCTGGACGAGGACTGGCTCGAGAAGCTGCCGGTGGAGGGATGCGTGGAAGTTGCTGGACCGAAAAGGATCCCGCGCTACTCGTTCGGCTACAAAGTGCGCGCAGGGAACATTGTAGGGCCTTCGATGGCTGCCTTCGCGTTCTTTCCCTATCGCATTCCCAATATTTACACACGGCGCAGTGATGCCCTAGATGCAGGCCCCGCTTGTACCCTCCCGGCCCCGCCCGTGTGATCGTTTCGATCCGGCCTGCGGGCTGCCGCTCAGTGGTGACGATCTACCGGGCGCGGTGCTCCTCTGCCGCCCTGACGAGGCCGGGGGGTGTATTGACGGACCTGACAGCGGCAGAGCCCTTGGAGACGGACGTGGCCGCCCGGGACGTGGCAGACACGCGCGCGCGCTCCGCTGCAGTCGAATGAGTCGTCGGGTCAGGCCGGAGCAGCGGAGCGGGCCATGTGCGTCTCTCGTGTGGACAGATGTGACGCATCCTGCAGGCGGTCTCTCAACTCGCGAAGAACGCAGAGGTGCGGCCGAGGAGCGAGCGTTGCGGGCCAGCGAAACCCTTACGTATCACGTCCCCGGGTCCTCACCACGACTGCGCCTGCTGCCGAGCGCACCACAGGCACCGTCGCCGCGTACCAGGAGCCGTGGCCGACCGCTCCGCCGACGCGTGAGCTGCCGCAGACCCTGCGGCATCGGATCGCCCCGCAGGCCCCGACTCCGTTCCAAGTTCTCGCGCCACAACTGCAGTCTGACCCAGAGCATGAGTCAGTTCGCACATGACAGTGCTTGAGGGGCCCGAGCGCTGGGCCTTCGAATGTGTGTGGGTCCCCGCGCGCCGCCACAGTCAACACCTGCGGGTGCGAGCGGCAGCTTATCGTTGCTTCGTAGCCGGACAGCGACTTTACGCCGCGTGCACAGAGCACGACTCGCTCGGGGAGAGGGATCGGCAGCGCAGGAGCAGTGATCAGGTGCGTCGTCGCGAGGTCTGTGTGTGACGGATCGAGTGTCGCGATGCACGCGCGACAGGGCTGTGTGCCGGGCCTGCGGCGACGCGATTCCCTCTCACCCTTGGTGGGTGGGGCAGGGCGTCGGGGAGCCCGCTCTGAGGCCTGCTCTGACTCCCCCGCAGAGGTTCTCGCTTGCACATATGCGCGAGCATATCATGCCGCTGCGGTTGGGGCTGTGAGGCAGCCAGGCGCCCTTTCTTGCGAGCAGGTTCCGTTAGCCCCTCCTGCGCTACCCCGTGCTTGGCCCAACCAAACACGTCGACGGGGCGGATATCGTGCAGGCAGCGAGTGGCAGGGAGCGCGGAGACCGCCGAGTCGCGCTCCCGTCTAGCAGCATGGAGCACAGGCAAGAGCCCTACCGAGTGGGCATCTCTCGCGCACGCTGTACTCCACGTTGGCGACTCTCGCGACGACGGCATGCGTGTGACAAGCAGCACGGCCCTCGGCGTGTCTCTGCAGACCCAGGGCCGCCCGTCCGGCGCAGTTCTCGGACCTGGACGGTTGCATCATCAACGCCATCGTCAGGTGCCTCGACCCAGCGAGCCGCGCGGCGTTCGCGGCCACGTCGCTGGCGCACCTGAGCGCGGTGCTCGAGGCCACTCCCGGGAGGTGGTCTTCGGCCGGCCGCTACGGCGAGGCGGTGGCGCAGCGCCTGCACGCCCACGGTTGCCAGGCGGCGGGGTCGCGCGTGGGGTGGGCGGTGTCGCGCAACTGGAGGATGTACTGCCGGGCTGGGGCCGACCCGACGGACGACCGGTCGATCGTCCGCGTCGTGGCCACCAAGGTGCTGAGGCTGACAAAGATGTCGAATGACGAGGCACTGAAATGCCGCATGGACCCGCCGCCGATCACCGCTGGCATGGAGGCGCTGGAGCTCCTCGATATCCGCGGGACCGACAGCGCGGTGCTCGAGGGCGAGGACTGGATCCCGCGCCCCGCGCGCGCAACGCTGCGCAAGCTGTGGGCGTCCGACTGCAAGTTCCGCTCCCTGCCGCCCGGGATGACGTCGTTGCAGGAACTTCATGCAGCTGACAGTGGGGACCTCCCGCACAAGCTGCCGGAGAGCTCCAGGGCTGCCGTGAGGGCGCTGAGCGTGTCGGGCACGGTGCCCCCGGGCATGCGAGCGCTGCAGTTGCTGCTCGTCTGTGGCCCTACGACCGGTGCGTGGCTGCCGGCGAGCAGTGCAGCGTCCCTGACGACGCTGGCGCTGTCGAACTCGGGCATTCGCCGGCTCCCGCCTGGGCTGGTGGCGCTGCGGAGGCTTGACCTCAACAACTGCGAGGAGCTCGAGGTCGACTTTCTGCCAGCCGACTCGAGCAGGCAGCTCGTGGACCTGCACGTCTCGTCGCCCATCTTCGACTTCACGGTGCCGCCGAACTTGGACCACCTCGAGCGTTTGTATGTGAGGTGCTTGACGTTCGGCGACGACTGGCTGCCCGTGAGCTCGAAAAAATCGCTCAGGTGCCTCACCGTGCGCGGCGGAGGTCTTCGGAGCGTGCCGCCGGGCCTCGAGCAGCTGGAGGAGCTCACTCTGCAAATCATCGAAAAGGACCAAGAAGATCTCGATCGGGCGAACGACCCCGAGGAGTTGGCGGACTATCTCGTCATCCTCGACAGGCACTGGCTCCCTCCGAGCTCGCGGCGACGCATCAAGAAGCTCGACCTGTCCGGCACGAACGTCGAGAGGATCCCCGCCGGCTGCGAGGCGCTGGAAGAGCTGGTGGTGGCGCGCTGCGAAGGCCTGTACGTAGAGCCGTCGGAGGAGGCGAAGAAGGCATGGGAGGCATCCTTGGTCTACGATGTGGAGGAGATGGAGCCGTGGATCGACGCGTGCTCGGCGGCGAAGGTGCGGCGTCTGGATGCGTCGAGTTCCAACGTCACGTGCGTGCCGGCGACGTTCACGGCGCTCGAGTACCTCAACGTGTCGGAATGTACACAGCTCGTCGACGACTGGATGCAAGTGCCGTTGCACTGTCGCGGCTCGATCCGCGAGCTGTTGTGCGTGCAATGCAACGGGCGGCCAGGCGGCCGTGCAGGTGACATCCACATGGGGTCACCGAACCTGGTGGTGCCCTCCCAACGGGGCATCTGCTGGATCCCGAGCGGCATGACGGCGCTGCAGGAGCTGTACGCCGGAGGGTGCAACGATCTGAATGGCTTCCTTGGCGCCAGCTCGTCCCAATCGCTCCGGAAGCTCTCCATCGGGGGTACCCGCATCACGCGCATCAGGGACATGCCGTGCTTGGAGGACCTCGACGTCCGCGGCTGCAAGCACCTCGCGGAGGACTTCGTCGACGAGGTCTCGCGCCGCAGCGTCGCGCGGCTCGATGCTGCGGAGTCGAACCTCCGGCGTGTCCCGGCGCACATGATGCGCCTGCGGGATCTGATCGTGACGGGCTGCAAGGAGCTGGCCGAGGACTGGCTGGAGGGGCTGCCGGACGGCGCCGATGTGCTGGTGCGGGGCGACGGCCGGCGTCAGCAGCGAGTGGTGGTTGCGCAGGGCAAGGTGGTTGCGAGGCGTGTGAGGTGAGGTGTTACATTCTTCGCGTCGTCAGCCGTAAGGCTTTGGGACCTGAAAAGATCATTCGACTAGGTGGCGAGTCATGCTAACCCCCCACCGTTATGGTAGCGACAGGTTCAGCAGCTGTGACAGAGTCAGCTTGCAGCAGATTCTCAATGCCACGAGCGAAGATCGCCATGCCTCGCATGTGTGATCACGTGCTCGGCAAACTCTCTGTGCGCACCACAAGCACCGTCGCCGCGTACCAGGAGCCGTGGCCGACCGCTCCGCCGACGCATGAGCTCCCGCAGACCCTGCGGCATCGGACCGCCCCGCAGGCCCCGACTCCGTTCCAAGTTCTCGCGCCACAACTGCAGTCTGACCTAGATGCACACGTCATTTTTGCACATGACAGGGTCCGAAGGGCACGGAACTTGGGCCGTCGAGCGCGTGCGGGTCCCGCGCGCCGCGACAGTCAACACCTGCGGGTGCGAGCGGCAGCTTAGCGTGGCTTCGTAGCCGGACAGCGACTTTACGCCACACCCACAAGCACGACTCGCTCGGGGAGAGGGATCGGCAGCGCAGGAGCAGTGATCAGGTGCGTCGTCGCGAGGTCTGTGTGTGACGGATCGAGTGTCGCGATGCACGCGCGACAGGGCTGTGTGCCGGGCCTGCGGCGACGCGATTCCCTCTCACCCTTGGTGGGTGGGGCAGGGCGTCGGGGAGCACGCTCTGAGGCCTGCTCTGACTCCCCCGCAGAGGTTCTCGCTTGCACATGTGCGCGATCATATCATGCCGCTGCGGTTGGGGCTGTGAGGCAGCCAGGCGCCCTGTCTTGCGAGCAGGTTCCGTTAGCCCCTCCTGCGCTACCCCGCGCTTGGCCCAACCAAACACGTCGACGGGCCGGATATCGTGCAGGCAGCGAGTGGCAGGGAGCGCGGAGACCGCCGAGTCGCGCTCCCACCTAGCAGCATGGAGCACAGGCAAGAGCCCTACCGAGTGGGCATCTCTCGCGCGCGCTGCAGTCTACGTTGGCGACTCTCGCGACGACGGCATGCGTATGACGAGCAGCACGGCCCTCGGCATGCCTCTGCAGACCCAGCGCCGCCCGTCCGGCGCAGTTCTCGGACCTGGACGGTTGCATCATCAACGCCATCGTCAGGTGCCTCGACCCAGCGAGCCGCGCGGCGTTCGCGGCCACGTCGCTGGCGCACCTGAGCGCGGTGCTCGAGGCCACTCCCGGGAGGTGGTCTTCGGCCGGCCGCTACGGCGAGGCGGTGGCGCAGCGCCTGCACGCCCACGGTTGCCAGGCGGCGGGGTCGCGCGTGGGGTGGGCGGTGTCGGGCAACTGGAGGATGTACTGCCGGGCTGGGGCCGACCCGGCGGACGAGCGGTCGATCGTCCGCGTCGTGGCCACCAAGGTGCTGAGGCTGAAAAACAAGACTCCTGACGAGGCACTGAAATGCCGCATGGACCCGCCGCCGATCACCGCTGGCATGGAGGCGCTGGAGCTCCTCGATATCCGCGGGACCGACAGCGCGGTGCTCGAGGGCGAGGACTGGATCCCGCGCCCCGCGCGCGCTACGCTGCGCACGCTGTGGGCGTCCGACTGCAGCATCCGGCGCGTGCCGCCCGGGCTGACGTCGCTGGAGAAGGTCCTCATCGGCAACGTCCGCGGGGCTCTCGACGACGGCTGGCTGCCGGAGAGCTCCAGGGCCACCGTGAGAGAGCTCATAGTTGCGGGGGTGTGCGTGATCCCTCCGGGCATGTCGGCGCTGCAGTCGCTGACCATCGCGGACCCTCCGCACGCTGCGTGGCTGCCGACCAGCAGTGCGGCATCCCTGACGAAGCTGAGGCTGTTGGACGCGGGCGTCAGTCGGCTCCCAGAAGGGTTGGTGGCGTTGCAGGACTTGCACCTCATCGGCTGCGACGCACTCGACGTGGACTTCCTGCCGGCCAGCTCCGGCAGGAATCTGAAGATCCTTTATGTCGCATCCGTGCTACGGAACTTCACGGTGCCGGCCCATCTGGAGCGCCTTGAGTCGCTGAGCATCCAGATCCTGACGTTTGGCGACAACTGGCTGCCCACTGACGTCGGGAAGTCGCTCAAGTCCTTCTCCGTGCTCGGCGGAGGCCTTCGGAGCGTACCGCCGGGCCTCGAGCAGCTGGAGAAGCTGGCGCTCATCGTCATGGACGAGTTTCGGTCCCACGACAACTTCGAGCAGCTTCAGCCTTTCGTCGTCAGGCTGGACGGAGACTGGCTCCCTCCGAGCTCGCGGCGACGCATCAAGAAGCTCGACCTGTCCGGCACGAACGTCGAGAGGATCCCCGCCGGCTGCGAGGCGCTGGAAGAGCTGGTGGTGGCGCGTTGCGATGCCCTGGACCTGTCGACGGAGCAGGCGGTTGCAGCGTCGTCCGACGAGCAGGAACAGCAGGGGACACCTGAGCCGTGGATCGACGCGTGCTCGGCGGCGAACGTGCGGCGTCTCGACGCGTCGTTGTCCACCATCTCGCGTGTGCCGGCGACGTTCACGGCGCTCACGCACCTCAACGTGTCGGGGTGCAAAGACCTCAGCGTAGACTGGCTGCCCGCGGACTGTCGCGGCACGATCCGCGAGCTGTTGTGCGCGAGATCCAGCCTCGGATCAGATCTGAGAGAGATTCTGGATGAACACCTGCTGCCGGAGGACAGCAGTGGCTTGAGCGAGATCCCGAGCGGCTTGACGGCTCTGCAGACGCTAGACGTCCAAGGGTGCGAGCTTCTGAATGACGACTTCATCGACGGCAGCTCGTCGCAAGCGCTGCGGAAGCTCAACATCGGGGGGACGCCCGTCACGCACGTCAGGGGCATGCCGTGCTTGGAGGACCTCGACGTCCGCGGCTGCAAGCACCTCGCGGAGGACTTCGTCGACGCGGTCTCGGGCCGCAACGTCGCGAAGCTCGATGCCCGGAACTCCAGTCTCAAGCGCGTCCCGGCGCACATGACGCGGCTGCGACACCTGAGGGTGGAGGGCTGCAAAGAGCTGGCCGAGGACTGGCTGGAGGGGCTGCCGGACGGCGCCGATGTGCTGGTGCAGGGCGACGACGGGGAGCAGCGGGTGGTCGTTGCGGAGGGTAAGGTTGCGAGGATGCATGTTGACCCCTAGGCTCCCCGTGTGAACAGTCCCCGAAGCTCGCCCGGCAACGTGCGCACTTGGGCGCCTCGACGGGGTCTTGACGCGCGCAGGCGGGGGCGTGCCGGACTGCCCGCCTCGATTGAGTCGGGCTCTTATACCGCAATCACATCCCTCCGTCGCAGCGGCGGAGCTTCAGGGGACGCCCGGGCGCTGCAGAGCAGTCGCGACCAGCGCGTAGTGTGTCTCACTGCGAACGCCGGGCGACGCCCTGGAATTCGGTTGCCACGTACGTGCGTTCATCACCTGTCCACTCACCGGAACGCATTCGTGGTCGCTTGCGCATCTGAGTGCGAGCACTGGATCGCATATCATTCATCCATAGCAGCGAGACACTCTTGCTGACGGAAAGAGTCGCGGCGTCGCGATGGGGAGGAAATCAGGGGCTGACGAGGCTCCCCTCACGGAGCGCATGAGGAAGGCGACCCGTGAGGTGCACTCGGTCAGCGACATGCTGGTGAACAGCCGGCTCGCGGTGGCCCTGACCTCAAAGTACGCCCGGACACCGCCCTGCAGCGAGAGATGCTTGCACGCAGGCCAGCACAGGCTCGCGGCACGCGGCGAAGCAACGACGGCGTGTTTGGACCACTTGCGCTCGCAGGCGACTCTACGCTGAGGCTCTCGCGCTGTTCCAGCCCGTCATGGAGGAGATAGAGACGCTCGTGGAGGCCTGCAGCCACTCTGCCGTCAAGCCAGCAGCGTCCCTGCTTCCACGGACGCGGCGGGCGGCCGCAATGCGCGCCGACATCACGTACGCCCCCTACAGTTCACGTCGACCATCGCGCCGCTCAACCGTCGCGAAGAACGATCCATCCCCGCACGTCCGGGCGCCCTGCGGCACAAAGCGGTTGCAACGCCCTGCGCAACGTCCCGCAGGTTCCACAGCGGGAAGGAGCCGAGCGACACCGAGCTCTCGGAAGCGCAGAAGCTCTACATCAACCACGTCCGGATGCTCGCGCGCAAGAGGCCCGAGCTGCTCCTTCCCTATGTCTACCATCTCCACATGGCTGTGTTCTCCGGCGGACAGATCATCCGCCGGCAGGTGCGCCGGCGGCTCAAGTTGGGCGACGACGGCCCCGGCACGGCCGCGTTCGAGCTCCCCGGGGAGAACGTCGCTGCGCTGAAGGCCGAATACAAACGCGCCGTCGACAGCCTGGAGCGCACGCTGCCGTCGTGCGCCGCGCGGGACAACATGTTCGAGGAGATCGTCGCAGAGTCGAAGCGGGTGAGCCGCGGCCCCGCCCGCCCCGCACGCCGCATCCACACGCGCAACGCCACCGCGCGTACCCACCAGGCTGTCCCCTCACCGCGCTGCCCCGCGAGCTCTCCGACGCAGGTGTTCGAGCTCAACAACCACCTCGTGCGGTCGTGGAAGGTCAGCTGGTTCGCGACCGCGCTCGCGCTCCTGCAGCTCCTCCCGAAGGAGGCTCTGTTGACCGCGGCCCTGTTCTTTCTGACGACGTACGTGATGATCCAGCGGCAGGGCTGGGCGCCCAAGCTGGGCGTGCTCGGGATGTGACGCCGCAGACGCGCACCGGCCCACCTCCTCGCGGCCTCTCACGGACGATCACCATCTGGCAACGCAATTGCACCCCGGGGGGTGTTGAGCATAGTATTCGTGTCGTATCTGCCGGGCTTTCGTGGGCTGCGCGCCGAGCGGCGTGGCGACAAGCCTGGGCCCCGACATCGCCCGCGTGGATTGAGCGCGCGCACGTGAGCATGGCGCGTTGACGGTGACATGGACACGCAGTTGGGAGGGCGCCGTCCCTGCGGCGCGGGGGGAGCCGTACCGGTACTGGACAGCGAGCTCGCGCGAGAGTATCTTCCAATCTTCTACTTTCACCCAAAAGAACCGTTTGCGCCGCTCGAGGTACGCGCACAAGCACTCGCCCCCCCCAAGTGGTTGTTCGATGCGCGCCCGCCCTCACGGTGTGCGCGCTAGAACGCGGTCGCAGGTGGAGAAGTTCCTGCAGAACTGCGCCCTGTACAGTCCTCAGGGCGGGCTGCTGGCCGAGGACGCGTCGGACGTGCACAACGTGCTCCAGCCCGGTGCCGCAGGCGTCGTGCGCCTCCGCAAGGGCGCGACGTACCCCACGGGGGACTGGACGCGCCCGGTGATATACTACCACGTCGACCGCGACCACAGGCACTGCGCGCCGGCGCGTCCGAAGAAGGAGGGCGGGCCTCTGGTCACAAGCAAGCGGTGGCTCTCTGTGGTCTACATGCTTTTCTATAGCTACAACCCACACGGCCTGTTCGGCCTCGGGGACCACATCGGGGACCTCGAGCATGTCCGCCTGCTCATCAACCCGGACACGGCGCAGGTGCGCGACGTGGAACGGCACATGCAATTTTCACGTGATGCCTGCGTGGCTGGCCCGAAGTAAGACTTGACGCGCCTTCGTGAGTGCTGCAGGTGGAGTGGGTGTTCACGTCGGCGCACAGCCACGAGGGCCAGTACCGCCCGTTCGCGGCCCACAGGCCGCCAGCTTCAGAGGCAGCTGCCGAGGCGCTGAAAGACACGCGCGGGCCGCCGATCTACGTGGCGTGCGGGTCGCACGCCCATTACGAGCGCGAGGGCGTCGTGCGGAGGATCTTCGGCGCCGGGAACGACCGGTGCAGCGGCGAGGGCACGTGCGCCACGCCGGGGAATGCAGCGCTGTTCGACGTGCGCGAACGGCCGTGGTACGGCATCCACGTGACGGTGCGGCCGCGGGGGCCAGAGGTGAGATCACACCAGCCCGACCGCGCCTGCTGCGTCGTTGCGGGAATACCGTGGTCAACCCAATACACCCCCGTGGGGTGTTTGCGCTGTGCAGCTGCCTGGGGCGCCGTGGTGGATGCTGGCGTGTCCGGAACGGCAGGACAGGGCGAAGCGACTCATGTTGAAGCGTCTAGCGCCGTGTTGTTTCTCGAACGAAGCTCTGTCCAGCCACAGTCATTGGGGACAGGTCGACTGGGACGCTCGTGGTGGCTACTGCTACCGCAAGCACGAGGAGGACTTGCTCGGCGCGCCCGCGTCGCCTGGACGCCGCGTGTAGGTCGTGGCTGCTCACACGCGGTGCCGCCTGGACCACACATGTATCGAATAGGTAGTCGGGCGTGGTCTGCCGAGGGCTGGTACGGGAGCAGATGGTTGACGTAGAACCGACTCGTCATGGCGCTGTTTGCGTAGCCCTTGTTTGCGGGGTTGAGCTTTGCGCTGGTGTACGCAACAGGTTGGAGGCCGTTGCCTTGGTCCTGTTGCGTACACCAGCGCAAAGCTCAACCCCGCAAACAAGGGCTACGCAAACAGCGCCATGACGAGTCGGTTTTACGTCGAATACCCGCTTAGCAGCCAAGATCGAAAAATAAAGAATGAAAAACAACGCCCCTGCATTATTGCGACGCGCCGGCCGGGACAGCGCCGCCGTCGGCGCGTGTGGAAGCTAGCAGGCAGCCTGATCTTGTGACCCCTGCGAACATCCGTGTCGTCGGCACCGGGCGCCGCAACGCAACTGAGTCACTTCCCGCTGCCTCCTGAGTCGCCGTCCTCGTCCGGGTCGGCCATCTGGCACACGGGGAGGTGGTACACGTCCCCCCACCAGTACCGGTTCTTCACGCCGTCCCACGTCTCCGCCTTGCCGTGCTTGTTCCTCTCTGGGCCCACTGCACACACACACGTCGCACAGCGGCAGCCAAACTCGGACTCAAACGCGTCGATCGCGACGCGCGATCCGTGTCACGCGCATCAGCACGGGCGCGACGTACTCGGCAGCGGCAGGAAGAGCGTCTCGAGGCCCAGCTGCGCCATCTCCAGTCGGACCACCTCGCAGTACACGGCATGGAAGAAGGGGTTGTCTGGCGCCAGCCCGTTGAAGTAAGAATACACCCCCCCTGGCTTCAGGAGCTTCGGCAGCATGCGGTGGAAGCCGCGCATGTCCTCGTAGTACTCTCCGTACCTGCGCGATGACGACGCGCATGCCAACGAGCGCGAGCGAGTTGGCGCTGGTCTTCGGCGGGGGCTGGGCGGGGGCGCTGCAGCCGGACGGAGGGGCGCGTACGTGTCGAAGAAGATGCCGTCGAACGTGCGTCCGGCCGCCGGGAGCGCGTCCTGCCAGCGCCCCTCGAGCACCGTGACGCCCTCCTTGTCGTACCACCCGAGCTCCTTCATCCGCGCGAGGACGTCCGGGTGCGCCTCGACGATCGTGTGCGAGCGCGGCTGGCACTCCTGGATCGCGTTGTCGACGATTCCGAGCCCGAACCCCACATTCAATACATCCCCCCTGGTCTGACATATCGCGGCGGCGTGGGCCTGCATCAGCGGAGCCTCCCAGTCCATCATGACCGCCTCGCCCTCGGCGTCCATCAGCTTCGAGTTGTCCTCGTCGTACTTGAGCCGCTGGGACAGGTAGTCGTCGTTCGAACCTGGACAGCAAATGGCACAAGGGGTGTTTTGGGGGGGGTGTAGGGCCACGCGCGAGTCAGGTCAGCCCGAGATACGGTTCGCGGATGCCCTTGCTAGCGACGCACGTAGCGCTTGCTGCGACCATCGAAATCTGCCGAGACGCGCGCCGTCGTCGTCCTGCGCACCTGCAGCTGCCTGGACTGGCCCGAGCGCACGGGCCTCGTCGATCGCCATCAGCAGGAGCTCCGCGCGGCAGCCCGCGTCCAGGAGCGCGGTCGCCGCCTCCTCGTGCCCCGCATCGTTCGCCCACTCGCCCGCACAGCGCCCCGCGCGGTCCAGCGCGTTCCACGGCGCCCCCGCCTCCAGCAGAGCCTTCACGACGGCAGCGTCGCCGCGGCCGGCGGCGTGCATCAGCACAGACGTGCCGCCCTCGGTCTCCTGCGGCTTGCAAGAGAGAAGGAATGCAAGCAGTCAGAAGTTGTTGCAACACGAACGTTGGCTCGTGCGCAGCCTGGCCGGTCCGCGGCGCCCACCAGGCTACTTATGCGGCCACGCCACGTCCATCTGCGCTTTCTACTCAGGCAAGGAAGTGCAGATGGACATGCCGTGGCTGCATAAATAGCCTGGTGGGCGCCGCGGACGGTGCGCGTGCGCTTGCGCGGAGGAAGAGCGTGCAACACGATACGGTCGGGCGTGAAGCTGGGCAGTGTGGCGATGCCGGCGTGGCCGTCGTTGGACCTGGAAGGCGGCGTCAGCTCCGTCGCGGAGCAGCTGCTTTATCCTCTCGACATCTGCGCCGTTTCGACACGCCTCGAGGAGCTCCTGGTTGAGCTTGCTCTCGGCTTCAGTGCACTGCACGGCCTGCAGTGGCAGTGAGACGCGTCCGGATGCGGTGGAGGCCGGAACATCATCGCCGCTACACGTTGCCGGCTCGCAAGCGCAGTTGAGTGCGCCATGCCGAGGATGTTGCAGCGCGACTGCAAGACTATCAGATCATGATGGCGTCTTGGTCAAAAATTGCGTGCAGTTGATGGTGTGGAGTGCGCAACGGGCCTCTGACGGCCAGCGTCCCTCACCTCGTCGCCCTGCGCTGCGTCCGTCATCTCGGGCTACGGATCCTTTACCAATATCAGCGACTGAACATCGTCTCACAGGCCGCGGCCCCTCGTCGCATGCGGGCCCGCGTCGCCGCCGCACGAGCGCCCAACAGGTCCCGCCAGTCCTGACACAGCAAGCTCGCTCAGCCCCCGTACCGCTCCGCCAGCTCCGGCGGCGGCTCCTCCGCCATGATGTCCGGGTTCCTGCGCAGCCACTCCCGCACCGTCGTCTCGCGATCCGCCAGAAACGTCGAATCCATGAAACTGTCGTACGCCTCCTGCCCCAGACGCTCAGCGGCGAGGACGCAGTGCCGCAGGTACGTCCGGCACGGAAATACGTCGTCCCGCCACACGCGGTCGATCCCGTGCCGCCCGTACCGCCGGTGGAACTCCCCCGGGGGACACCGCGCCGCCTTATACTCCTCATCCGAGTACCGCGCACACAGGACCGCGAGGCGCGGGGGCTCCGCGGAGGGGGCGAGCGGCTGCGGCTGCACGACGACGAAGCGGAACTCGTGCTCGCGCTCCACGAAGGCGTCCAGGTCTGCCTGGTTGGAGCAGTCCACCTCGAAAAGAGATACCACGATTGATCCCTGCGAACACAAACAGGGGTCGAGCTGGCTGGAGGCGGCGCGGCGGGGTGGCGCGTAGCGCAGGCTAGGCGGCGGACGGGTGCTGGGGACCGCGGCGGGCGGTGTGGCGGATGTGCAGGGCCTACTGCATGCTGTGTTGTGATGCGAGTGGGCGTGGGGCCGCGCCTCGTCCCATGGCTCGCAGCTGAGGCTGCTGATCTCCATCGTCTCCATGCGCGCGATGCCCGTCTCGAAGAAGATCGGCGCGACGTGCGCGAACACTCTGCGAGCAACGTACGCGCAGGACACAACTTCGGCACATCACGGCAACGTGTTCGACGCGGTCGTGCTCTTCGGTGCCAGCGCGGCACAGCCAACACGTGCCGCGTCCCGCGCGACCGCTGCGCGCGACCGCTGCGCGCGGCCCGCACCCTCCCCTGGCGCCCGTCAGCGACACACCATGCACCTGCGGAACCCTGTGACGCGCCCGATGCGGAAATTGCGTAGGTCCGGGAAGGTGCGCCGCGAGCTCCGCTCCGAGAGCAGACTGCCGAACCCGGCCACCGTCATCACGCCGTTGTCGTCGCGCAGCATCGAGAGCTCGGCCGGTTGGACTTCCTGGCCCACGGTGAAGGCGTCGCCCATGGCGCGGGATGTGAGCCTCGGAGCAGCGCCTGCGCGATGTACTGTGTGAGTGACGGTTCCGATCTTGGCGGAGAGGCTACTCGTCGCGCGCATTTGCGCCTCACCGCCGGTGGTGCAGCGCGAGCAGCGCCTCCATGCAGGGGCGAGTGCGGGAAAATGTCGATCGCCAAACCAGCGCGCTTCGCGCAGCGCATTGCAGTGCAGCCGCGCGGGAATCGCTGCCGCCTCAATCCCACGCGCGACCCCCCTCTAGATGTCTCAGCCCGCTGAGTCAACTTTACACAGACCGGGGGTCTACGGCGCACTTCCCGGGCGTTCGAGGGCTTGCGCGGGCGACGTGGCGATCGACAATGGTATGCCCGTGCTTCCAGCTCACGTAACGACCGTGGTTTCTCAACACCAGCGCGTGGGAACGGCATTTCCTTGTTCCAGTGCAAAAACTCGTCTCCTGCAAAGCCGTGCGGCGACAGCGACGCGGTCCGACGGGCGCAGCGGTCTCCTCCATCAGCAAACCACGTAGACGCGCGCTCGACACGCAAGTATTGCGGTGCAGCAGGCACGCAGGGCGACCGGGTGGCGGCACGCAAGGGGTAGCGGGCTTTGGGGAGCACCATGCCGCCTCAGGACGCAGCCTCCTCCTTCCACCACTTCCTCGAGAAGATGAAGAACCCCCAGGCGTCGGATCTCGTCCGCTCGATCAAAACGTACGCGCCACGGACCGGGCGTTGCTCGACCGTTGCTCGTCTCCCCGCGCCCCGTCGCCGCGGCCCGCGGACGCGCCGTGCCATGCCGGAGCCCGCTCGCGCCGACCTGCCCGAGCTGCCCCACCCTCGCCAGCTCACGCCCCTGGGCGCAAGCCGCCCGTGAGCGCCACGAGACAGCTCCACCTTGCCTCGTGGTGGTTCGCGTGCGCAGCTTCGTGAACGAGTTCGAGCAGACCAAGAAGCGCAAGGGCGGCTCCGACCCTGAGTCTGACTCCAAACGGATCCAGGACTTCTTCATCCAGATGGACGTCGCCTTCCGGTGCGCGGGCCTCCTGCCAGCATCAGTGCCAACGTCCGCGCCGCGCACGCGGGACGCACGCATTCACCGCGACATCCGCACCCGCTGTCGCACCTTCGACTGATCCACCAATGCACACGCATCCTTCCCGCCCATCGTCCGCCTTCAGGCGGCATTCGCGACGCAACAACTCACTGGCACGCAACAGCGGTCCCACGCGCGCCGCGCAGGTCGCATCCGCTGTGGAGGGACTGTTCGGAGGCGGAGCTCGAGGCCGCGGGCGAGGGCCTCGAGAAGTACGTCCTCACGAAGCTGCACCCGCTGCTGTTCGCCACCGCGCCTGAGGACCGGGAGAGGGACGAACTGCTGTCGCTGCACATGCGCGGCCTGCAGTTCCTCAAGCCCGAGCACCTCGAGATACCAGGCGAGTGCGGCGCCCCGCGGCCGCGCGCCCCCGCCCAGGGAGACCGATCAAGATGTGCACACACATCGGCAACCACGTTTTCCCGAATAATGTGCTCCTCGATCACCGTTCCTGTTTGTCGCACACGTCTGCATCATCGCGTCAAGCAACGCCGCGTCCGACCCGCCCCCACTGCCCCGCAAACACCCCCCAGCTCCACCTGCAACTCCCCCGGGCCCTGACACACTCTCCCGCGTCGCGCACGGCTCGCAGAGGGCCACGCGGACGAGGACAAGGTCGCGATGGCGGCGCGCGAGCTCGCGCGCATGGCCGAGTACAAGGCCCCGCGCGACAAGCTCGTGTGCATGCTCAACTGTTGCCGCCTGGTGGCCGACGCGCTGGACGCGAAGCGGTCGGGCGCAGACGACTTCATCCCGCTGCTGATCTACGTCGTCGTGCGCGCGCAGCCCCCGGCGTTCGAGAGCAACCTGCAGTACGTGCAGCGGTTCCGCGGCCACCGCCGTCAGGGGGGGGAGCACGAGTACTACCTGACCACACTCGTGTCAGTCTCGAACTTCGTCGAGACCATCGACGCCAACCAGCTGCGCGTCCCGCACGAGTGCGTCCCCCGCCGCACCGCCGGCGCCCACCGGCTGCCGCGCAATCGATGTTTCTTGATTGCCGAGGAGTCTTTCCTTTCTCGACTTGAGACATCATCTTGCGTGCGCGACGTGGCCGATGTGCAGGGAGTTCCTCCGCCACATGCGCGAGGCGGGCGTGCCCGGCGCCGCCCACGCGTCCCAGGAGCCCCCCGCGGCCCAGCCCGCCGCCGACGCCCTCCCGGCCGACGGCCCAACGGAGTCAGTCGACGCTGCGGCGCGCGACGGCGAGGGCGGGGCGGCCTCCGCGCCGCCCGTGGAGGACAGATCCAGCGACGTCCCGGCGGCCACCGCCAGCGCCGAAGCAGCCCCGCCAGCGAGCGCGGAGGAGAGCGACTTTCTGGGCATGGGTGCGCCAGCGACGGGAGGCGCGCCGGCAGCGGCGGATCCGGGCAGCGCGCGCGGCAGCCAGGCGGAGCAGCCGATGGTCGACTTGCTGGGCGACGGCGAGGCGTTCGCCGGCGCGTTCGCCGACCTCGCGGCGGCGCCGCCTGGCGACACGGACGCAGCACCATCCAAGAGCGCGAACGGGGACGCAGCGGCGGCGGAGGACGGCGGCGACGCGTCGCCGCCGGAGCCGAAGGACGAGCCGCCCGCCGCACCGCCGGCGAAGGTCCCGCGGGCCAGCGCAGAGACGGCGCGGTCCGAGCCGGCAAAAGGCAACGGCGGCGCGGTGGCGGCGATGGCGGCGCGGCCAGCGCACCGCCCGCTGCCGAGTCTGGCTTCGCTGGAGGCGCAGGGCATTCCGAGCGCGTTGCAGGCGGAGGAGGACGGGGCGCTGCGGCACTATCAGTTCATGTACACCAGAGTCGAGGATTTGAAGATGTCGGACATCCCGAAACTCCACGAGCTGTACAAGGAGCTGGCGATCAAGCACGAGGCGCTGCAGCGGGCGTGGACGGACCTCGGACGCTCCCAGTGGCGATGACCCAGGGCCGTGTGAGAGACGCGTCGTTGTGCGTCATCGGGCTGCTCTTGTTCCGCCGCGCGCTTGCCCCGCGCGCATGCCTCCGCCCATCGCTCGCCACGGTCGGAAGCAGTCTGAGCACGCGCTCCTGGTTGGCAAAGACGGGCGCCCCGCCCGTCGTGGTGTGCTGAATCAGCCGCCGACGCAGGGTTTGTCGCCACCTGTTGCGGTTGTTGGCGTCGACCATCGACGTTTCGCGTCAGTATCGAGCTTCTATTGCGTGAGATACCATGGGAGGCGGAGTGTTCTCGCGTGCGGCTCTGTTGGCGGTGCGCACGCGAACGGGGAAGATGGCACCCTCGTCGTCGAAAGCGCGCATATCCTGCGATGGCTCCGAGGCGACGTGCGCTCCCGAGGCTACCATCGAGGCTTTGGAAGCGGGCGTCGCAAAGACGGAGGTCAGCCGCCCTTCCACATCTCCAGAGCACTACATTCAGGCATCGTAATTGTTACTTCGATGTGGCCTGTTCTGTGCGCATCGTGCGGGTCTTTTGTGCCACGGGACAGCCTTGTTACGTCTGTGCTCACGGAGCCACACCCCGCAGATCGCCGATACGCGCGAAGACGAAGAGGCACCGGCGGACACAAGTCCTGAGGCAGAGTTCGACAGGATCCTCGCGAGCGGGGTGGCGCTGGCGGGGCCTGGCCGCCCCATCATGATCTGCATCAATCCGCTAATCGTCATCTTCGACGGTCTGCTGACCAAAGCGGTGCGCTGCATCACTCCCATCGTGGAATTTCCAAGGCATCTCGTTCTTAGACGGGGTGTCGAGTACGCTCCGGCGCTCGCTGGCTGTCGGGATTGCCCTTGCGCCCGTGGGCAGATCGCGAACTCGTCGGCCGTGCCGCTCATGCATCAGCTTGGCCGTGTGGATGCCACAGGAGTGCACGGCAATGATCGCCACGGCCCGGCCGGATCTCGAGCGCTCGCTTGTCGTCGGAACCCCGGGCGATCCGTCATCGAAGATATCGTCTTCGCGGACCTCGGAAAGCGTCTCGATCGACGCGGGGAGCATGCCACGGAGCGTCGTCAACAAGGTGCAAATAACACAGCTCTTTGATCGACTGAAACAGCTCGGGACCTTCATAATGAGCCCACATTCGATTCGCTGCCTCTCGACGTCGCCTGATACGCGCCCGTCGGATGCCTGCAGGTCGGTGCGTTGTTGCGGCGCCTGCCCACGTTGCAGCCCAACACGTGTGCGGAGATCAACAAGCTCAGGGGCGCGAAGAAGTCAGTCTCTGCACCCGCGTGCACGAAGCGCGTCACGTGGGACACGACGTCCGGCAGCGCCTCAGTCATTCGCTACAGACCCGGGCAGCACTTCCTGACGCACGTGGACCCCATCGCTGGCTGCGAACGCAACCGCATGGCAACCCTGATCGTCTGCCTGGGCGAGCCCAAGTCCGGGGGCGCGACGTACTTTCCACAGGCGCGGAGCATCGTAGGGCACGCGCAGCCCGGGGACGCCCGGGCTGCGGAGGCGCAGGGCATCCATGTTCCGCAAAAACAGGTGCGTGGTATGAATCGCACACACCATACATTTCATGTTTGCTCGTCCACGAGCCCGACGCGGCGATATCTGACCATGCTTGCGCGGTCTTGTCCCCAGGGACGCGCGCTGCTGTTCTGGTCCGTCGACGACAGCAGCAACGTCATCGCGAACAGCAAGCACGGGGGCGAGGCCGTCGGAGCTGGCGAGAAGGTGAGAGGCAGGCGATGCCTCGCTGTTCCCGACGCCAGCACGCGCTGCGGGGCGCCCCGTGGCGGCCCACGCATTTCAACGAGCGTGCAAGCATCTCGCTCGCGATGTCAACAGCACGAACCTGCGACACACGCCCCCCGCACCTGCAGTGGGTTGCGACCTGGTGGCTGAGGCAGGCGTAGGCCGCGTGCGTTGCATGTGACCGCCGCAGTCCGTCACACCCGGCGCCATGACAAAGTCGAATCGAGTCTGGCGCTGCTCAGAACATCCCCTTCGACGCCTTCTTGACCGCCCTGTCCTTGCGATGGTGGTTCCCGATCGCGGCCTTGTTTTCGTCCTTCCGCCGGTGCTGCAGCTGCGTCTGCGTCTTGTGCCCCCGCCCGCGGCCCGCACCTCCGCGCCCACCGCGACCCCCGCGGCCGCCGCGCCCGCCGCCGCGCCCGCCGTCCTTGCCTTCAGCCGCCTCAGGCGGCGGCGCCCTCGAGCCACCGGGCCCGAGGCCGTGTATCTTCATCGCATCCTCCGCCTGCAAGACATCGCAAGCCACACGTCATGATAAAACAAACAAACAACCATCAAGCTGGACCTCTTGCGGCATATCTGCCCCACACAACAGTCCCGCGGCGCAGAGCGAGCAGTGCGCAGCGAGCGACTCTGCCGTCCCCACCTGCTGCCGCAGCAACGCCTCCGCCTCTGCCTGCGACCCCACGGGCTCAGCGCCCTCCTTTCGGTAGTTGTATATGCGCCCGTTGAGGACGTACAGCTTCTTGCCGTGCTTGCCCTTCCCGCCTCCGGACGCCCCCACGATGCCCCCTGCGCCCCGCCCCCCGGCAGACGCCGGCCCGCCTTCTACCTCGTCTTCGTTCAAGTCCCCCCCGGGCGCTGCCACGTCCCTGATGTCCGCCGCGTCGTCGAAGTCGTCGTCGTACTCCCTCTCCCCCGCGACCGCGAACATCCCGCCGCCCTCGCCCTCGTCCTCCTCCGCGCGCAGCAGCACCGCTCTCCGCAACCGGTCGTCATTGCGCCCCCGCTCAAATAGCTTCGCCGTCTTCCGATCCACGCGCACCGCCTTGCCTGCGCTCGCCAGCCGCCGCTGCTCCTCCTGCCTTCGCGCCTCCTCCACCGCGTCCGCCGCCCGCGCCGCCGCCAGAGAGTCCTCGTACAGACCCACCCAGGACATCCCCCCCTGCGCACCCGCCGGCCCGCCGCCCTTCGGCTGCCCCGCGGACCTCCGCGACGACGCGAACGTCTCCCACGTCATCGTACGATCCAAGTCTGCGACGCTCGCTGGGAGCGACCCCTCCAGCAGGGCGTTCAGCGTCGCCTCCTGACTCAGCCCGCCCGTGGTCAGACACGCCGCCACGAAGCCCTCGCCGACGTCCGGGAGGATGTCTCGCACGGACGACACCTGCGAGCGCAAGATCGTCTCGTCGTCGCCACCGCTCGGGCCCGCGCCCGCCGTCACTTGCTCGGAGATCCTCATCGCCGACAGCGTCTCGCGCACACCGGACGTCGACCCGCACAGCATCAACAGGTAGTCGAACTGCGAGTCGTCCAGCTGCAGCACGCCCTCCTGCGCCGCCGCGGCCGTCCGCGCCTCGATCTCGTGCCGCATGCTCACGACGTGCAGCAAACCTTTCGCGCGCGCACCGCTGTGCTGCGCCGCCCCGCCGCGGCCGCCGTCCGCCCCGGACGACGCCGCCATCAGCGCGGACAGGAGCGCCTCGCCACGGGCCGCCGGCGTGAGCGGCTTCGCGTGCGCGGGCGGCTCGGACGCCCCCGGCGGGGGGGGGAGTGTTGGAAGCTGCGTCAGGAACCCGGAGTGCAAGATCGCCCACGTCAGCTCCTGCGCGGCGACGGCGACCGCCGCGACGCGCCGGCGCAGGGGGCCCCGCGCCTCGGCGCCCACGCCAGCGCCCACCGCGTCGCTCGTCGCCGCGGCGATCGTCGGCAGCGTGTCGTCGTGCAGGGAGGCCACCGCGGCGAGAGTCGCACAGCTCTCTCCGCCCGCGACGGCCGCGCACGCGTGCGGGAGGTGCCGGCAGAGCGCCATCAGGGACAGCAGGGCGTCGGTGAGGTAGGCCAGGCCGTCCTCGAGCCCTGACATGAGCTCTGCCAGCTGCGGCGCCGCCACCCCCGGGGCCCCCAGGCGCGTTGCTGCCGTGGCGAGGCGCTCGGCGACCTCCGTGAAGTTCGCGGCGAGGCCCGGGGCGAGCGCCGCGATGCCGGCGAGGACGTCCGGGAGCAGCGCCGCGGCGGAGCGCAGGAGCGCTCCGGTGGCGTCGTAATTATCAAATCCATATATCGCGGCAACGTCCACCAACTGGGCCGGGGTCAGGAGGCGCGCGCGGCGCAGCGCGTCCGCGCGGACGTCCGGGGGCGGCAGGCTGCGCGGCGCGGCCGCGGTGCTCGGGCCTGCGCCGTCGGAGCGCACCGCGGACGCCGTGGAGGCCGGTTCTGGGAGGGCCCCTGCCAGGCGGGACAACACCAGGAAAACGCGCCGCGCCAGCTCGTCCGCGGCCTCGTGCGTGACCTGTGGTGGAGCAGGGGGGTGTGATGGGTTTGCGCGTGTGGCGTGGTGCCGGGGGCACGGTGCGAGAGAGGAGGCAACTCACCTGGTGGTGTGCGGTCGCTGCCTGCGCGTCATGTACCCTTCTGCGATGCTGCAGGTAGGTGTCGAGGCAGACCGCGAGGGAGGCGCCCTGCTTGGCGATCCTGTCCCAGAAATCGACGCCGTTGAGCCGCAGAAGGGCCCCCAGGCTGCTCGATATGGTCTCCACGACCGCCACCGTGCTTCCGAACCCGTCATCTTCGTTGTCTTGCGGCAGAAACGGGAGGAACACGACATCCGCTCGGCCCCCGCTGGCCATGTCCGCTGCTCACGCAGAATGCCGGCCGTTCCCTTCTGCTCCTTGCCCCTCGTCCCAGGCCTCACGCGACGGCTAACGACAGCGCGTCTCCGAGCCACCTGCCTCCAACGAACGTCGTCTACCTCCCAGAGCTTCGCCGCTTGAATCCCTCGCCTCCTCGACGCGAGAGCGCCCCGAACGCCACCAATGCCACTGAAACCACGCTCGCTACGCCGCGAAATGGAATATCCGACGCATCGTCGATCCCCCGAAGCCCAGTGTGTGTACCGCCAGGCAGGGCGGCCTCCGCAACGTCCCTCGCGCGCCCCGGGACCTCCGGCGCCGCCGTCTGTCACCGCCGCGAGAGCTCTCCACAGCAACACGTCATGCGCAGCGCGGCGACGCCGCACGCCGGGCTAGGCGGCCCGTGCACCACGCCACTTCCACGCGGAAGGCAGCGCGGCAGCGATCCGGTCTCTCATGCCGATCATCGCGGGACGCCGCCCACAGGGGAGAAGAGAGCAACTGAACGCTCCACACTGTCGCGCTCGAGCTCCCGCCAGACGCGCCCGAATGGACGCGCTCGCCGCGTACGGCTCGGACTCCTCCGACCGGTCCTCGCGGGGCGCCTCGCCCGCGCGTTCGCCCCCTCGGGCCGCGGAGCGCGACCCGCCCATCCCAGCGGCTCCGCGCACCGCCCGGCCGGTCGACTACGGCGTGCACGTGTACTGCAGCGTGCCCTCGTCGGACGCCGTGCTGCACACGATCCAGGACAAGATCGAGCGGCTGCACGCGGGGCCGTGTCCGAGCATACACACGCTGGAGCCGGGCCCGGACGGGCACTCGCTGCCGTCCGGGAGCACCAGCCTGGTCCGCAGGCGCGCGGAGAGGCGCGGGAAGGCGATCGGCGGGACGACGGCGTACCATTTAAGTCTCTGTCGGCCCTGCAGGATCAAGTACTCGCAGATTGAGGACGTCCTCTTCTCGCTGCGGCACGCCCTGCACTCTCTGAAACACCCCTCCGGGCCTGCGAGGAACGGAGCGGCGCCCGGGGTGTACCTCACCATGGGCGAGATGAGCACGCTCACCGGCGGCGACAACCCGCGGGAGTTCCTCGTCGTCAAGGTCGACGCGGGGGCCGAGTGGGCCACGTCGGCCATCCGGCGCGTGGACGCAGCGCTGGTGCTGCACGAGCTGCCGCGGTACCACCGGGAGCCCGTGCCGCACGTGTCGGTGGCGTGGGTGCCCGGGGAGGAGGCGGAGGCGCTGCGGCGGGAGGTGCGGCCGGGCGGCGCGGCGGCGGGGAGTTTTGCAGACTGGGGGGGGGAGTCCGAGCATGGGTGGACAGCGACGGTGGATCGGATCATGTGCCGGGTGGGGATCACGGACTACCGCGTGTGGCCTTGGGAGGAGTAGCGCGGGCGAGCGGCCGCGCGAACGGCACGTGTGAGGCGCGTTATGAGGTCGACATGCGGTGGTGGTGGCGGGGGGCTCGGGTGGTGGCGGGGAACGGAGACGGTTGCGCTTGTGTCGGGGGCGATGGAGGCGGGGGGGAGGGAGCGGGGCTCGGGAGCGGGTGCAGGTCCGACGTGAGCGCTGTCGGGGGTGGGGTCCTGGCCTGGGCGGGCTGGGGAGGGCGTTGCCGAGGCTCTCCGCGGCTGAGGCGCAGTCCGTGAAGGAGTGGCTTGCCCGCGCGGGACGTAGCGTCTTGTTTTCGTGCTCGTGCCGCTCGGGGCGGGAGGTTGCCTGGAGCAGGAGGCTGGTCCCGGGCGCGCCACCGCTGTGCCGCTTGTGCGCCGAGAGTGCGGGCGTTTCGATACCTTGGGAAGAGTTCTGTCCGTGGCAGCAGGGGCAGAGGCCAGCATGGCCGCCGCTGGGCAGGATGCGGCTCCGCAGTGCCAGGAGGAGCAAGGGAGGGCAGCTACTGGGGGCTACGAGCCCGAGCAGTGCCGCGAATTGCTGGACGAGTCCTGCGCCGTGTGCATGACGCAGCTGAGCAACTTCGACCACATAGCCAGCCCCGACGGGTGCGTTCCCACTTCGCGGCGCGACGCTGATCGCCCTCCGGCCCCCTTTCGCGCACCCCACGCGCCTACCCGCCCCCTTCCCTCGCGCGCCTGGCGAAATCTAACGCATCGCTCGTACCGCAAGCCCGCGGGCACCTCCCCAGCATCGCACCGCACGGGAGCGCGCACAACGAGCGCAGTAGGCCCCGGGAGGCAAGCCCCACGCGTCGTCTTGCTCCGCAAGCTCACGGCCGCGCGCCCAGCGTCGCGACCGCCGCGCAGGTGCCACCACGCGTTCTGCCTCCCGGACCTCCGCGAGTGGGCCAACCGCAGCCGCTCGTGCCCCACGTGCCGCGCCTCGTTCCGCCACCTCCGGGCCTTCGTCGTCGACCAGATCCGTCTCCGCGCGAACGGTGAGCCGCACGATCCTCTGCACAGCACGGCGGCGATGCCGGCGTGCCCGTCTGGCCGGGATCGGCGGCGCACGCGACAGTAACCATGTGTGGCAGCGCAGCTCCTTGTTTCTCGATTGATCGTCACGCGTCTCTTCGTGGTCGTGTCCTGCTCCGCAGGCGCCGACGTGGAGATCGAGGAGCAGGTCGTCAAGCTCCCCGCGTGCGAGCAGCACGGCGACGGCGACTCGGACGGCTCGGACGACGTCGACGAGCTGACGTGCTCGCGGTGCCGGTCGGGCGCGCACGAGGACCGCCTGCTGATCTGCGACGGCTGCTCCCGCGGCTGGCACACCTTCTGCGTCGAGCTCGACGGCGTCCCGGCCGGCGCGTGGCACTGCCCCGCGTGCAGGCCCACTGACTTCGCCCCCTCCGTGGTGGCCGCGGTGGCGGAGCGGCACGCGTCGGACGAGGAGGCCGAGGTCATGCCGCAGCCGAGCGCGCGCGAGCGTGCGAACCGCGAGGTGAGACCGCTACGCCCCCGGCTGCGCCCTGCGACGACGCTGCTGTAGCAGCAGCGCGTGCTTGCTTGTCGCCTGCGCACCCGGACCCGCGTTGCGCGCGGTCGTGTCCTGGCAGATCCTTGACGCCAGGCCAGTCCAGCGTGCCCTTTGGCTGCAGAGGCGCGCGCAGCGCAGGGCGACGCTGGCGGGCGTGCGCCGGGTGCGGCGGCTCGTGGAGCTGCAGGAGCGGTTCCGCCGCGCCGCCGAGGACAGCCGCGTGCGCGTTCCTCGCCCGAGCGCCCCGCGGCCGACCCCGCCGCGCGTGCAGCTCGGCGCCAGCCTGCCCGCGCCCCTCGACGACGGCTCCCTGCGGTGCGCCGGGCTCCGCGGCGGCGCGCAGGCGGCGATGTTCGGCGGGGGCGCAGTCACCGCGAACGCGATGCCGGCGGGGCGCGCGCGGGACCTCCAGGCCATGAGGGAGAACTGGGCCGCGCTGCAGTCGGGCGGGCTCAACTGGGAGGCGATCACGGCGCCGCGACGCGCCCAGGCGCCCCCTGGGCGCATTGCTGGCGTGCCTAGGCTCGGCACGACCGCGGCGGAGGCAGGAGAGGGCGAGCCGCGGCACGTGCACGGTGCGGTGAGCGAGGTGCGCGCGCCCCCGCGCGGCGGCTCGATGCTCGACCGGCTGCGCGGCATCGTGACTGCGTCGGAAGCGAGGTCGGCCGCGGCGAGCTCGGACGCGGGCGCGGACGCGAAGCCAGCGCGGGCGGCCGGCCGGCGCTCCTCGGGGCGTCGCGGGCGGCGCTGCGGGCCGCGCGGCCGCCCGCACCGCGGCCGCCGCGCCTGCGGGTCTCCGGCTGCGCGGCGGCGCGCCAGGAACGTCGCCGCCCGGTCCGTCCCACGGCAACGCGGAGGAGGAGCACCTGCACAACCTCGCGGCGGAGCACGAACGCGCGAGCGCGAGGCCGGCGCCGAAGCCGAAGCCGAAGCCCAACCCCAGCCGCTTCGCCGCGTTCGATCCCGCGTGGCTCGCCGCGCCGAAGCCGCGCCCCGTGCCGGCGCTCCCGGGCGGGTCCGCAGGGCCCGTTCCGCCGTCGCCGTCGTCTGCGCCATCACCGCGCGCCGCAGCGGCTCCGCCCGCGCCGTCCCCGCGGCCACCGGCGAGCGCGCCTCCGCGTCCACCAGCGCCGGCGCCCTACGACGCCGGTGGCGGGGCACCGCCGCCGCCGCCGCAGCACGCGGGCCACCGCGGCTGGGCCGACGCGGAGCCGCCGGCACCGTCGTGGCACGGCGGAGGCCGGTACGACGTGCCCTCGCGCCGCCCTCCGCGCCGCCGCCGCCGCCCGCGTACGCCCGCCAGCGCGCCGCCAGCGCAGCGAGGAGCGCGCTGGGGCGCCCGGCGCCCACGCAGGACCCGGCCTTCGCCGCCCCGCCGCCGAGCGCCCCTCCGCCGCCGCGGTCCGGGCCGATGAACCTGCGCATCCCCGCGAACCTCAACGACGTCCCGGCGCCGCCTCCGGCGCCGCCGTCGCCGCCGCCGCCCGCGCGGGAGCCGTCGCCCCCGCCGCCGGCCGCGGCGGAGCCGGCTCCGGCGCCGACGTACGGCGACGAGGACGTCGCGCAGGCGAAGGAGAAGGCGTTTTTGCGGGCGCGCAACGAGCTGAATCCGAGGTTCAAAAAGGGGACGTTGTCGCGGGAGGCGTTCAAGGCCGTCGGGCGGGCGGCGACGCACGCGCTGGTGGACCGCGCGAGGAAGGCCGGCGCGACCGGGGGCCTCACGGCGGCGGTCGCCGCGCTGGGGGAGGAGGAGGTGCGAAGCATCGTGGGGGGGCTCCTGGCGGCGGAGCGCGCCAAGGAGAAGCAGCGCCGCGGGAAGTAGTAGCCGTGTGATGTGAGAGGCGCGCGCTTCGTGCGGTGCGTCGCGCCGCGGCGGAGGACGTCCAGCGCAGCCCCGGTTGGCGGTACCTGTTGTTTGAGCGGCGCGCGGAGGAGCGGATGGTGGACGACGCGGCGGCGGTGGCGCGTGCGAAGGAGGCGGACCGCGCGGAGCCGGCGGAGCTGCAGGGCGCGGCGGCGAAGGAGCTGGCGGAGCGGGAGGAGGCGATGGGGCTGCTGCTGGCCGAGCTGCAGGCGTGGGGCTCGCGCTGTCGGAGGGGAGCAGGTCGTCGAAGGCGGGCGGCATGGGGGTCCGGGGGGACCGGTGGTGCGCGGAGGCCCCCGCCGCAGCCGGCGCACATCTCGGGCCACGCGACGTCGTTGCGCGTCGGTGTGGGGAAGCGGGTCGCGGAGGACGACGGGGGCAGCGGGGCGCCGCGACCGCGGCGAAAGGCAGGGGATGCCGTCGCGGGGCGCCTCGCTGCGAGGGAGCCACCGGCGCCGGCGCACGGGCGGGCGGGCGGGCGGGCAGGGGGCGCTGTCGCCGGAGCGGTGCGCGTTCCACCCGGCGCTGGTGCAGGGCCCGACGTCGCTGGCGCACGGGCCGGAGTGGGAGGCGTGTCAGGCGGCGGGGCACTCGACGAAGGACCCGGGGTGCTACGTGCGGTCGGAGCACTACCACCCGACGGGGCTGCTGACGACGATCGTGGCGGGGCGGCAGAGCTGACGGCGTGGGGGGGTCAGGGGAACGACTGCTAGCGCGATGTGTGAGGTGAGGTGAGGGGTGACATTGTTCGCGTCGTCAGCCATAAGGCTTTGGGACCTGAAAAGATCATTAGACTAGGTGGCGAGGCATGCTAACCCCCCACCGTTATGGTAGCAACAGGTTCGGCAGCTGTGACAGAGTCAGCCTGGAGCAAATCCTCGATGCCACGAGCGAAGATCGCCATGCCTTGCTGATTCGGCAGGTTCAGAAGATAACGGACAGCAGCGTTTGCAGCGGCTTCCGAGTCAAGTGTTGCAGCCCCGTGCAGGTCCTCGAGGTGCTGGCGCAGCCGGCGGTTGAGAGCGAAGCGGCGGCGCTGTGTGTGACGTGCGAGACGCAGCAGCTCACAGCGTGGGCGCGGCCGGTGTCTGCTGCGCAGCATTCACTCTTTGTTGTGGTTCCTGCCTGATTTGCTGCGCGGCCTTGCCTGGCGTCGAGCGCGACACACGCAGGCCTATACGGCATGCGGGCGGGACGTCAAGCAGGACATCGTGAGGCAACTTCTGCACACGCGCCACCCACGCAAAGTGTTAATTGACCTCGCCGCACCGGCTCACAGGAAGGCTGGCCAGACACTGACCTCCATTTCAGCCTCCTCTGTTTCAAGCTCGATCGCGTTGCCACCCGGGCCCGGGTATACACGCGCACTGCACCTGAAAGCTTCCCCCCCGTAGTTGGGCAGGATGTATGCGCCGCTGAGGTTCAGGCGGCGCAGGGAGCGATGAATGCCCACTGCCTCCGCGAATTGCAACGCCTCCTCTCTGCCGATGCGGATGCTATCTAGGTCGAGGTGACGGAGCCCACAATTGTCGCGCAGCGCTCGGGCGAGGGCTGCGGCGCCGGCCGTGCCGATGTCCCCTTGAACCATCCGGAGCTCGCAGAGAACGTGGTTGGACTCGAGCGCGGACGCGAGCGCAGCGGCGTCGTCGTCATCGAGGTAAGTGTCACGCTCTTCGTCGACGTAGCAGTGTTTGTATGCATTCCCGTCAATGTCAAGCTTCCGCAGCGCGCGGTTGCGCGCCAGTCCCTGAAAGACCGACCTCCACGCTCCCTCGTCCGGCAAATCAAGCACCAGCTTCAGCGCCCTCAGGCTTGAGTTGCAGCCGAGCATCTCACCAATGGCTTTGCCTGTCGCACGCGTGTCTTCCAGACACGCTTCGAAGCCTCCGATCTTGAGCGACGAGAGCGATGTGCTCTTGGCGACTGCCTCTGCCAGCGCGACGACGCCAGCTGACTGCATATACTTCGAACTCTTGCTGAGATCAAGATGCCTCAGGGTGCTGTTGAGCGTCAGCCCCCTCGCGACGTGCTCGTAGCCACGGTCTCCGATGTCGGCGCGGTTCAGACGGAGTGTCGCAAGCGACGTGTTGCGCGCCAGCATCTCGCCCACCGCCGCAGCGCCCTCGTCCCCGATGTTATTGCTGCCCATGTTCAGGTCCCGCAGCGGCAGGGCAGCGTTCGCGACGATCGCGTCGCACAGCGCCTGTGCGCGATGTGAATCGAGGTCGGCCCTCCACAGGTCGAGCTTCGTCAGCGTGGAGCTGGATTCGACGAGTGCTGCAACAGCGGCCGTCCATGAAGGTCCGAGGTTGCTCCTGCTCAGGTCCAGAACAGCGAGCTGGTTCGGGCGCGCGAACGCACCAAGTTCCGTGTCCGCCAGACTTGCAGCAACGGCGTCGTAGCGACAGTCGGCTGCGACGTAATGCAGGACGGACATGGTAAGATGCCGAACAGAGCCCTCGGTGCAGGCCTTGACGATCGCGCAGGCACCGGTCTCGTAGGCGGCCGACAGCTCCGCCCATAAGCACAGCTCTTCAACTCCCCCTGACGTTGCGTTTTTTGAGCATCGAACCAGGTCCGCGATCGCAAAGCAGGCCTCCAGGTCGATGCTGCCCACATGCAGCACGAGTACACGCAGCGATTTGCTGCACTTGGCCGCGTTCATCATGCGCGCAACCATCTGACTGCGGCGCAGATAACCGTCTCTATTGAATGGAAAACTATCAATGATGCAGAGATGCAGACGCTCGAGGTGATCGACGACCGGGGCTGAGTGCAGCAGCGAGTACAGGAGGGATGCTCGTTCCTCCTCAAGCCTGAGCCAGGGAGCCTGAAGCTGTTCACGCTCACTAGTGGAAAGATGTAAAAGACGATGACGGTGTCGCCATAATGGGCAAATATCGTCGAGCAAGGGATGGTGGTGCTGGTAGTAGAGCTTCACTGCGCGTAGCGTGCCCTGTCCTGAGGTCTCGCTTGCACCCAGCATCTTCACCAGCGCCCGCAACCGCGACTCGGGCGTGCTCGTGTCGTAATCGGTGTCCTCGACGCCTGCGTGCCGCGATGCCTCGCGCAGGGCCGCGGCGTCTCCGACCGGGAACCCAGCTCCAGAAAATTGCAGCAGCCCGCCGTACTGCGAGCCGCGGCTGACGCGGGCGGCCAGGCCTGCCAGCAGCGGCCCATGCGGCGTGACGATGCGGACGGGCACGAGGTGGCGCTCGTGGTCCCGGAGACGGCCGTGTCGCAGCGTGGCGAGCAGTGCCGACCAGCACGTACGCGCGGTGGCCTTGAGCGCATCCTCGTCGAGGTTGTCCAGCACAAGGGGCACTGCGTCGAGGACCCTCAGGAAAAGGGCGGCAGTTGAGCCCTGCGGCCGGCGACGGACACGGGTGGACAGGTCAGGGGATGGTACATGACGCACAGATGTACGCGATGCACGTGGTGATTCGATCATGAGGTGCATCTGATGCGTTTCGGTTACTGGGGCGCATCGGAAAACCACCAGGCAGCAGGGCGCTCGGAGCGGGAGGTTTGGGCGCAAGCCCGCAGGCCGGCTGCGGCCCTTCGAGGCTGCGAGGCAGGGCAGGACAGAAGGGAGGCGACTCGAGCGGCGCCGTGCATGGGGACGCACCATGTTTGCACCTGAGAGGCTGGTGTCGCCCTGCGATGCAGACGCAATCGAGGCGGACAAGTCAGCGCGCACCAGACGCAACACATCGTCACCAACTCCGATCCGACCGGACACGGCAGCGTCCGGGCGCTACGGCCACGCGAGACGAGCAGTCTGTAGAGATTCCAGGGCGCGGTGCGTGACGCAGCCGCGCGACCGGGCCGCGCGGTGCTGCCCTGGGGCACCGCAGTACGACAGTACATGCACCGTCCGCGGCGACCCCTGCCGCCACGGACGGCTGTGCGACGTGCGGCGCCGAGGCGATGGGGCGCTCACCATGGTGTCCCGGAGCAGGCAGTGGGTGCAGTTCTTGAGGCGTTTGACGCGGTTGATCTCAAGATTGATACTGCTACAACACAGCGCGATGAGCGGTTTCCAATAACCGGCGCGGCACGTCCACCAGCGGGCTGCTGAGCAAGGGCCACCAGGGGAGTAGGACGTGCCGCGCAGGGGCGTTGCTGGGCCAGTGGGATGACCCGCCGCACACGAAGCGACTGTAACGATCGAGCGGGGTGCTCGGATCACGGCTGCGTGCCCCTTGCGGGCATCACGGTGCTGCACCCTACCGTAGTTGTGCGACGCCTGCGGGTAGCGCCGACGGCTTCTGAGCGTGTCCGACCGACGGCAGGGGCACGTCAATACAATCAATATCCCTTGAATCCGTCAGCGGACAGCGATTGCCGCGTCCTTCGTCCACCTGGGCGATCTCGCCATCCCAGCGCTGGTCGGTAGTACGTCGCCGCGCGTGACTCGTGAACGCCCGCGTACGTCCCTCTGCGCCGCTCGAACGCTGATCAATGAGGTCTACAAGCCACTCGACGCGCCTGCGAGACGTCCGCCGCGCCTCAGGAGCGTTGCAAGCGGCCACTGTGGAGCAGTCATTGCAGTCTCTCCGGGGGCGTCCGTGTGGCACCGGCGCGTGACGACAGGGGGATTGTATTACGCACATGCCGGCCGACCGCTTCGTCATTCGATATGCGCCGGTTCCGCGAGCAGGGAGCGGCACGAGCGGCGCGGTGCGGGGCAACAGTCGCAGCGGCGTGGCTCTTCCGCGTGTCCGAGTCCGACGTCCCGCTGATCGCCGCTAGGGCGCGATACAGTCATCGCAATCGCTGATGCCATGAAATGTCTGGAGCAACGCCGGATGATGCGGGCTCGCTTGCTGTTGTGCCTGCAGAGGAGCAGCACGGCCCCAAGGCGTGCATCGGAGGTCTTGTCGGCGCGCGTCGCTTGTTCATGTCTCCGACGTCCGCGGGCGGGTAGCAGGTGGGCGTCGTAGGCACGCTGTGAGCCTGGCGCGCGGGGCGGCAGTGTTCGGTGCACCGCTGCAGAGGTGATCCAGCGCGCGAGTTTCCGAGGCGCGCTGGCCGAATTGAGGCCGCCGGGGTGGAATATATGGCACTCGATCGCTCCCGCGCGGCCGTTGCGTGCTTGGGCGTTGGCTACGGTCGCGGCCGGGAGCTGCAGGTGTGCTGCGCAGCTGGTACTGGCCCCGCGACGCGTCGATGGAAGCGCAAACGCCTCGGGGACCCGCAGAGACGCGCAATAAGGCGATTTGCCCCATCAGGGACTCGAACCCTGGGCCACGGGCTGGCTCACCGCTCCGCTCATAAGACCCGTGCTCTAACCAACTGAGCTAATGGGGCTGCGACCTCACATTAGGCGCAAAAATTTTACACAAATAGAACACAAACTTCCACACGCAATATACAATATCTTTGAAACACGGCGCACTTGGGACGTTCACTCGCGACAGCATTCGCATATTTGCGCTCCTGCGATACTCCAACACCTCGTCGCCGGTATTCGAAAGCCGCGGAAAGCCTGACGTTGCGTCCTGCGACTCGAACCGCGGCCCTGCCCTCCGCATGGTGGATGGCAGCATCTCCAGCGCCAGCTTCAGCCCCGGCCCCGTGGGTGTGCCACTGCCTCTCGTCAGCGCACATCATCCTGCGGGCGCACCACGTCCGCGGCTCACAGGTCGTTCACGCGACAGGTTACGTCAGAAGTCGGCAAAACAGATGTAGACAGACGGCGCACTCCGTCGGGTGGCGCGGCCTCACGCGCTCCGGATCAAGGCATCGCGTCGCGCGCCGGGCCGCGCAGAAGATTCCCGTGGTCTGCGTCGCCGAGCGGCCGTGAGTGTGACCTGCGCGCGACGGATGGCGACGTCACTGCACCTGCACAGGTCTGCCCGGGCACTCGCGACGTCACGGAAGTCCGGCGCGGGCACCTTGCGCCCCCACACGATCGCGCGTCGCATCGCCATGTCTGCGGGCGGGCCGATCGCCAAGGTTTCCGAGGGACAGGACCTCTACCCGCACGGCAAGTTGCACCGCCCGTGCCGCGCCCCGCCGCGCCGCCGTGCCTCGTCGTTCGCCCATCTCGCGCGCACCGGCGTGTCTGATGCCATTCAGTGGCGCTTTTATGGCCGGCATCGTCGCGCGTCGCCGCCGCATCGCGACCGCGCGAGCCTGTGCACCGCCCGCGTCGCAGGCCTTGCATGCATCTCGGGGAAGAAGGACGTCCACGCGATCCTGAACAGGCTGGATGGCGACTTCGAGATCATCGACATGGAGAAGAGCGCGTTCGTGAAGCCGCAGAGCTGCTCGTTCGGCCAAGACGGGGGGTGCGCCGCTCGCGCCCACCGCCCCGCCACGCCCAGACGACCCCCGCGCCCCCCGCCGCTCACGCCGGAACCTGCGCCCCTCGACGCTCGCAGGCGCCGCCGGCGCTGGGACATGGTCGTCTCGCACCCGTCCGTGGCCGTGCTATTGTACAACCGCACGCGGGACGCCCTGGTGCTCGTGCGGCAGTTCCGCCCGCCCGTGTACGCCTCGGAGATGCGCGACAAGGGCGCGCTGCCGATGTCCGGCGGCCTCACGTACGAGCTCTGCGCAGGCATCGTCGACAAGGACAAGTCTCTCGCGGTGCGTGACGTGTGTCGCCGTCGCACGCACCGCGCCGCCGCGTGCCCGCTCCCGGCCCCGGCCCCTCGCCGCCACTACGTCGCGACGCACGCCCCTCCCGTGCAGGAGATCGCCAAGGAGGAGGTGCTGGAGGAGTGCGGGTACGACGTGCCGCTGGCGTCGATCAAGCCGCTGACGTCGTTCATCAGCGCGATCGGCATCTCCGGGTCGCGGCAGGCGATCTTCTACGCAGAGGTGGACGACGCGCAAAAGGTGGCCGACGGCGGCGGGACGGACGCGGACGGCGAGGCCATCGAGGTGCTGGCGCTGCCCATGGCCAACCTCGAGGACTTCTTGATCGACGACTCGCTCGCCAAGTCCGGCGGGCTCATGTTCGCCGCGATGTGGTTCAAGCACCGCATGGGCGGGAAGCTGTGAGCGTTCCGCGCGCGTCCACCTAACTCTCACTCAGTCGCGCGCGAGGCCTAGCTCGCGCATCTGCTCCTCCGTCAACTCCACCACCACGGGTCCGTCCTCCTCGTCCGACTCCTCCGCGCCGCCGCGCTCCCCGCCCCGGTCCTCGCCCCCCTCCAGGTTCCACCCCATCTGCCCCGCCAGCCACGCCTTGAGCCGCGTCGACGCCGCCTTCAGGCCGGGGGAGCCCCCGCCGAGCTCCTCGACGCCCCGGAAGAACGCCCTCAGCGCTCCGCGCAAGAACATCCCCCCGCCCCTGCTGTCGCGTTCCATCGCCTCCCCCAGGGACGCCAGCAGGCCGCTGCCGCCGCCCAGATGCCCCTCGCTCGACGCTCCGCCGTCGGCGCTCGCCCCGAACGACCCCTGCAGCTGCATGTGCAGCGTGTTCAGGATCGCCTCGAACAGGTCGCTGCGCGCCCCGACCGCCGCCGACGGACAGCGCAGCACCATCTCGAGCAGGGCCCGCCACTGCCGGAACCCGTCCAGGGACTGTCCCGCTACGAAGCACGCGAACGCCGCCTGCAGCTCCCCGAGCAGCTCCCCCTGCTCGCCGCGAAACTCCCCCTGCGCACGCCATGCACGCAGCAGGGCGCGTCAGCGTTGGCTGCAGCGCGTTGATGGCGGCCGGCGCACGCGCGACGCTTCGACCGCACCTCGACCAGCTTGTCCAGCTCCCACGACCGGTCCATGTTGCGCCGCGTCAGCTCCTCCGCCGTCAGCCCTCGCGACTTGTGCAAGCGCGCCACGTCGACGTAGAAACACCGCCCGACGCGCGACCGGTGCTCGAACGCGCCCCCCGCCGCCGCCCCGCCCTCCCGCGTCCCCGTCCGCGCGCGCGCAGCGCGCAGATGCTCCACGAGCTCGCGCTCCGCGGGCGTCGCCGGGGCTGACTCATCCAGCGCCATGTCCGACTCCGCCGTGATCGACACCAGTCCCCCCACGGGGCGCACGCGGCGCACTGTGTCCGACGTGATCGCCCCAGTCACCGACCGCCACGCGCGCAGGCTGCGCAGGTCGTACGGCGCCATGCCGGCGTCGAAACTCATGTTGCGGACGCCAGCGACGTACCGCTCGGCCTCTTCCGGGCTCTCGAGGGGCGCGAGGCACTCCTCGCCGGTGTCCCAGCGGCGCACGAGGACTTCCCCGCGCTCGAGCCAGACCAGTTCGCCCGTGACGGGGGCGAAGGAGGCTCCTCCCGCGGCGGCGGGCGCGTCGGAGGCGGCGGTGGAGATGAAGTGCGCGCCGGGCGGGATCATCTTCACGCCCTGGAAGCGCGGGCCCGTCACGAAGGCGCGGCTGTCGATCCCGAAACATGCCCCCTCTGGGAAGTCTGCAAGCGGGGCACGGAGCGCGCATTCCGTGAGTTCGATCGCTCGGGACCGCGAGCACGATATCAGACGCGAGGTGGAACACGGACGTATCAGCGTCGTTCCGTCGCTCAGCCGACGCTGGCCCGGGACGGAGGAGGGGGCGCCCGCCACGACCCAAGGCCGGCGAATCCTCGATGAGGCGTGGCCCGCCGACGTCCTCGCTCGCAACACGAGGTCGCGGAACACACGTGCGATGCGCGCGAGCGCGAACGGCGCGAGAACGCCTCGTCGCGGCTCCACGCAGGCGAGCACGCATCCGCCTGGAGCAGGAGCGGGCGTCGCACCGAGCACCAGCACGGCCGCCCCCTGACGCGTCAGCTCCCGCGCCGTCTCCTGGTCAAGGTTGACCGAATACGGCTGCTGCTGAGTCATTCTATGCCTCCATGAGACGCCCTACAGCGGAACACAGGCCTTGCGAACAATGCGCCGCGCTGCATCGGCGCCGCAGCGCGTTCAGGGACCGGCGCGAGCGCGCCCCGCACGCCACGCGCTCTGTCCAGCGCGCGCCTGCAGCCTGCCCGCACAAGCCGCGCTCGGGCACACTGGTCAGTGGAAGCAAAAGATCCCCCCCCCCCGTGTCAGACACGTGCGTTCACAACGAGCGTGCATTCACAGGGGCGCCGCTCGCGGCGCGAAGCGGTTTGCCGTCGTGCCGGGGTGCGGCTAGTAGGTGGAGGTCGGTTCGCAGTTCGCGCGTGCGCTGCAGGTGCTCACGAGTGGCGGCGCTCCACGTGGTCGAACACGTGCTGCAGCTCGTTCTCCCACTTCTCGCCCTTGAAGTCGTGGTTGTAGCACGCCTCCTTGCCGCAGCCGCACGCGTCATCCGTCCCGTGCTGCAGGAACGCGAACAGCGCACCACGTCACGCTCGCCACGCACCCGGTCACGCTCGCCACGCCCCTCCGCGCGACGCAAGCACACAGCTGCCACGCGCGCGCCCTCAGTCCCTCACCTGCATCAGGCGCTGCTCGACCTCGACCATGCGGCGGACCTTGTCGGCGTCCGTGTGGGGGGAGTCCCGGACCTCGTGGATGAGGTCCTGGTCGAGGCCCTCCATCGCGCGCACCACGTCGACCACGGGGCCGCGCTGCGTGGCGTCCTTCACGTCCATGATCGCGTGGAGCTGCGCGTGCAGCTTCGCCATCTCCTCGCTCTGCGCCTCGGCACGCGAAAAGGCCTTGCGGTGACCGGGCGGCCAGGCTGGGCGGCGGCAGGTAGGCGTGCGCGACGCGAGGTGCAGGTGTATGGCTGAGCGGCGGCCCGGCGCTGGGTCAGCAGCGCCCGTAGTCGTTGGCAGCATGGGACGGAAACGTAGCGCCAGAGTGTGAGCGCAGATTGGCGAATGGGCCCACACTCGGCGCTACTCCTCTGTCCCGTGCTGCCGACGACTACGGGCCCTGTTGGCCCAGCGCCGGGCGGACCATGCACCTGCGCCTGCGCCAGACATCCGGCTTGCGCGCGGCGGGGCGGGCGCCGCGCACCTTGAATGCGCCCGGGTCGGTGCACTTGGCGTCGACGTTCGTCGCCATCGTCGCTCGGTCGGTCGAGTTCCCGCAACACGGGTGCTGTCTGCAAAGCACACGAGAACCGGCCCCGCGTGTGAGAGCGCGCTGCGGCCCGGTAGCACGCGCGCGAGCGGCGCGTTCGACGCGCGTTGCAGCAGGAACGCGGCAGCGCAGCGCGAGGTATCGGGTTTCGCGGTCTAGGGCGCGCCAGGCAGCGGTGAAGAGGAGCATGGCGGTTGACGAGTGCTGTGCTGCGGCGACGCGCTGGGGGCGCGTTCGGTCGGTTCGGGAGTCCGAGGAGGTGCATAGAGACAACAGCGACTTCTCGGGCGGGTGATCGGCCCAGCGAGCGGCGAGAGGGGCGCGCGCGCGGCGCGAGGCACCGTGGGCGTAGCAGGCGCGAGCAGAGCCGTGCGCGTCGGGTCCGACCGGCGGAAACGCGCGTCGGAAACACCGCACGCGAATTGCCGTCTGCGTCGTCTGCTCGGCCGGGCAGAATGCCCCCCGACGACGCCTCGCCAGGGCGAACACGGTGTCCAAGGCTCGCGGTGCGTCGCCCGCTTCCTCACCTCTGCGTTCGGGTCGTTCGCTGTATGTATTCGGCGTCCTGAGGATTTTTCCGCGCGAGTGAGCGCGTCGGGGCAGCGCGCGCGCCCCTCTGCCGCCCCGCAACGGCGGAGACCCCCTGCTTCTGTCATGCATGGTCCTCCCGCACGCAGCCGACGCCCGGTGCTACGAGGGGTTCAATCACAACCTGCGTGCGCGACACACACGCCAGGCGCGCACCTTGTCGCACCCGCACGCCACCCGCAGCAGCCCCACGGCCCGGAAAGTGCTTCACCGCTCGCCCGAGGCGCAGCGCCGAGTCCCGACCATCTGCGCGGACCAGCGCTCCCTCCTCGCGGCCGAGTAGTACTGCTCCGCGCCCTCGCATCGCGGCAAGGCGTTCGACCCGCGGCCAGCGCACGCGCGGGACGTCAGAGGGCGGCACGAGGCGCAGCCGCAGCTTGCCCGGCACCGCCGCGTCACAGCGGGGCGTTGCGGCCCGGGCGCGATGACGGCGCGCTCGCAGAGCTCGGAGGCGGCCGCGCGGTCCGTCCCGGGCACGGCGGAGGGCAAGCCCGGGTTCGAGGAGGAGGAGGCTGGCAGCGCTGGGACGGAGAGCAACGGCAGCGCGCGGGAGTCGGAGCGCGTGGACGCGGACGAGGAGAGCGCGCCGGAGCTCGCGCGCGAGGAGGTCGCGAAGGGCCTGTCGAAGCTCGGGCGCACGGCGGACGGACGCCGCACGGCCTTCCTGAGGCTGGAGCTCGAGGGCGTCTCCCTGCGCGACTGCCGCAGCATCGCGCACCTGCAGCACGTACAGGTGAGCCCGCGGACCGGCGCCGCCGCGCAGCCCCGGCGTCGCCGCCGGGAGGGGCACGCGACGGGCGAGTGCGTCTCCACATGTCGAGGCCGACAGCGCCGACCTGCGGGCGTTCCAGCCCGATCCGCGCCCTGACCTCGCTCCTGATATCATGATCCGCCCCGTGCTGCGACGTAAGCGTGGTGTCGTTACCGCTTGGCGCCGCAGCGGGCGCAGCTGCACGCGCGCGGCCTGCCCGCCCGGCCGCCCGGCGTCCCCGCGCGACCTCGCCGGCGTCCGCGCGCCCCCCCGCGCCCGCAGGAAGTCAAGATCTGCGGCGCCGGGATGGAGTCCCTCGACGGCCTCGAGTCGCTCCCGTCCCTGCTGCACCTGGACGTCTCGGACAACCGCCTGAGCGCCGCGCTCGAGATCAGCCCGGCGCCGCGGCTCCTGCGCAGCGCGAACCTCGCGCGCAACGACATCGCCTACCTGGACGACCTCACGACGTTCAGCCTCCTGCGCAGCCTGGACCTGTCCCACAACCAGCTCGACACGCCGGGCAACATGGGCGCCCTGCCGTCGCTCGAGGAGCTCAACCTGTCGCACAACCAGCTCGTCGACCTCGCCGGGGTCGACCAGCTCAAGTCGCTCACGTTCCTCGACGTGTCGCACAACTACCTGGACTCGCTCGACGAGGTGGGCGCCCTGGTGAGCGTCTGCACGCTGCGCGCCGCGAGCAACCGCATCGCGGCGCCGGCGGGGCTCGAGCGGCTCGAGAACCTGCGCGAGCTCGACCTGTCCGACAACCGGATCACGTCGCTCGAGGCGCTCGTTCCCGTGTCGAAGCTGCCGTCGCTCCACAAGCTCGGCCTGAGCGGCAACGAGTGCTGCGACCTCCAGGACGCGCACCTCCACGTCGCGTACCTCATCCCGCAGCTCGTCGAGGTCGACGGCAACGAGGTCACGCCCCACGACAAGGTGCGCCGCCCCGCCGCCGCCGCCGCCGCGCGACCCCGCCGCTGCCTCCGCGCCCGCCCGGCCCCGACGCGCCCCGCCCGCCCGCGCCCGCAGGTGCACGCCCAGAACATGCGCGGCGCCGACCTGACCGAGCTCCGCGAGATCCGCGGCCGCATCCTCCCGCACGGCGAGCTCGACGACTACGGCGGCACCACGCCCGCGATCTGCGTCCCGCTCGAAGCCGACGACGGCGCCCTCGACCTCCCCGAGAAGGACTGCGCCGAGGCCGACGACTACGCCGCCGCGTGCCCGCCCGCGCTCCTCCAGCAGGGCGTCAAGGCGGTGGCGTCGTACCTCTTCGAGGAGTTCGACGAGGACACGACGTTCCTGCGCGGCGCGTACCACTGGGTGCTGTCCGTGGTGGAGGCCCCGGAGGACGCGATGACGTGGAGCACGTCCGCGCCGCTGCTGCGGCCGGAGCTCGAGGAGCAGGGCGCGACGCGCGCGCTGCTGCCGTACGTGACGGGCGCGTGGGCGGAGCGCGTGGCCGCGCTGCTGGTGCGCGTGCTGCGGGAGGCGAAGATCATGTGCCACGAGGTCCACGGGTACATCAAGCCGCTCGGGTTCACGCCGGGGGACCGCCTGGAGATGCCCAACCATTGCTGGGTGTCGGTGCGGGTGGGCGGGCGGTGGCGCGTGGTCGACCCGGCGTGGGCGGCCGTGCCCGGCGCCACGCTCACGTTCTTCACGCGCCCCGAGGACTTCGTCTACACCCACCTCCCGCTGCTGGAGCGCTGGCAGCTGCTCGAGGTGCGCACGCCCGACCCACGCCGCCGCGCGCACGCCCGACCGGCCACGCGCGCCCGACCGGCCACGCGCGCGCCGAACGAGCCCCTCCGTCCTGCGCCGCGGCGGGGTTCGGCCGTCGTCGCGCAGGCTGCGCGCAAGGCTGCGGCGGCCGTCTCACGCGCCCGCGCGCCCGCGCGCGACGTCCACGCAGGAGGCGGTGTCGGTCGACGACTTTTGGGACCTCCCGCAGCTCGCGCCGGCGTTCTTCTCCCTCCAGCTCGGGCTCATCTCGCGCACGCTGCCGCACACGACCAACACGGGCACCGTGCACTTCCAGCTGCTCACGCCGCACGACGTCACGCCGTTCGCGATGCTCGCGAAGCTCCCGGACCGCCGCATCGGCGACTCGGTCGGCGGCGACACCGCGCACTCCCACGTCGAGGTCCTCCCGCGCGGCAAGGGCGTCCCCGCGGGCGGGCTGGCCTTCATCGAGACGAGCCGCGAGGCGGACGGGCGGCGCGAGGCCGGCGGGATGCACGGCGGCGCGCTGGTGTGGAACGTGTACGCCCGTCTGCCCGACAGCAAGAAGCCCTACTGCATCTGTCTGACGGCGGCGCGGAACGGGGAGCAGCAGGTGGACGTGATGACGGTCAAGGTGCAGGCGCGCGAGGACGCGCAGGAGGTCGGCCGGCTGCTGCCCGCGGCGCACCCGCAGTGGCTGTTCACGCGGTGCGCGTTGCTGTCGCCCAAGCCGACGGAGCGGGTGGTGGCGGGGGAGTCGCTGCACCTGCGCGTGGTGGTGCCGGACGCGCTGATCGGCGACGTGGCGGTGGGCGAGCCCGGGGGTTACTTGTTCACGCTGCTCGAGCACGTGGGGGGGGATGTCTACGAGGGGAGTGTTGTGGTCCCCGCGGCGCCCGTGCTGGTGGTGACGTGCCAGTCGGTGGACAACCCCGGCGTGTACGCGCCGCTGCTGAAGTTCCGCATCGACGGACCCGACGGAAAGCCGTTCAGGGAGTGAGGTGCAACTGTGATGCGTTTGCAACCTTGTTGTGATTGATGCTGCGAGGAACCAGCTGTCCAGCGAAGTACAAGCACCCGCACGTGGCCTCGCTGCCTCCCCTGGGAGCGCTAGACCGCCGCGGCCGCCCCGTCGACCGACGACGACGCGGTCCCCGATGGACGCGCATGCTCCGCTGGCAAGTACACGTGCCGTTGCGGCTGAGCCAGGCCTGCCGCGGAGGCGCGGTGCACTCGGGGTCGCGCAGGCGCGACGGCAGCCCCGGCCTCGCCGACCGGCCGGGCCCCGAGCGCGCATGTCTCGGCGGGGGTAAGAGCAGCTGCTCGCGCGCGTTGCCGGAAGCGTGAAGATCGATTGCCGTGTTTCGAAGCACACTCGAGCCGCCGTGACATTCATCCACCGTTTCGCGTCGTCGGACCCGGCGAGATCCTCTCTGCCACGGCGCAGTCGGTCGACAGGGGAGGAGTGCTCCGCAGGGAGTCTCTGGGGGTCACGGGCCGCATGGCCTCTCCGAGCCGGCCCGGGCGGTCCAGTACGGGACAGCCATCCCTGGAGTTTCCATCCCAAGCGCGCTGGACCTCAAGCGGCAGGCGGAGAGCGACCTGCGAAGGTGAGGGCGGTTGCCGGCCTGCGCGCTCGCGTCTCGACGCGCACGTGCTCAGCCGCGCGTTTCATCCCGGACGCGATCGTTCGGACTCCATTTTCTGCGCGCCAGCACCGGAATATCGCGCGCGCGCGCGCTCCGTCGACGTCCTTCATGCCCGGCCTCGATGCTCCGCCGTGGCGACGCGACGCCTGCGTCCGGACAGTGCTCGCCGCGCCCGGGCCTCGATGATCATTGTTTCGCTCCTTTCCGGCAGGAGCTAGCTGCCCACGCCACCGCACCGCCCGGTCGTGGAGCCCACTCTTGCGTCGTCTTGCCCGCACCTGTGGGCCGTGATGCGGGCAGCTGCTCGCCCCTACTCCGCGCGCCCGGGCACCCAGACCATCCGGCAACCTTCCCGCAGCGTCACTCCCCCCATCCGCCGCCGTTCAGTGCCCCGTTCCGGGCAGCCGTGCAGTGCCTGCAACATTCCCGCCGCGCCGCACCGCGCTGCCGATCTGCAGGCGACCCTCTCGCGCGCGGGAGGACTCAGCGAGCGGCGCCTCATCGTTTCGCGCGTGCCGAGGCAGCGCCATCGCCCGAGCGCCGTTCCGCGCGGCGCCATCTGCTCCCTCTCAGGCTGACGCAGCCCCGGGCGAGCGAGGAAGCGAGGCAAGATGGTCGGCCCCCCGAAGTGTGCCGAGCCCGTCCCTAAGAAGGAGCCGAAGATCATGACGAACGACGAGAAGGCCAGGTGCGGCTCGCCGCTGCGCCGGGACATGCCCCCCACCTGCAGCGCTCGCCCCCGCGCGCCGCGACGCGCAACCGCGGCATCTCGCCCAGCAGCGCTCGCTCAGAGCTCCGGGAGCGCTGCACGTCGCGCCGGACCGCCGCAGCGGCCCCCGCACGCTGCGTTCCAAGCAGCTGCCCGCTGCCTGCGCGCCCGCTGACACTGCGAGGTCCCTTCGCGGCCCGCTCGCGTCCGCAGGGTGAAGGAGGCGGAGGCGAAGCTGCTCGGCCTGTTCAGCAGCGCGTCGTACGTCGACGTGGGCGACCCGGTGCGCCCGGTGGAGTACGAGCGGCGCGCGCCGGAGCGGTCCAACTTCCGCGGCAGCCAGTTCAAGACGAACCCGCCGAAGCAGGGCGCGACGCCGGACGTGTTCTTCCAGTACAAGATCGCGCAGGAGCGCGCGGAGGCCGAGGCGAAGAAGCTCTCGGGGATGCCCAAGGAGGAGCAGCTGAACTACCTGCGCAAGACGCGCGACACGTACGAGGACAAGATGCGGTTCCGGCAGGAGGCGCTCGGGAAGCTCGCGAAGACGATGGGCGACGACTTCAACCGGCGGGAGGTCAAGGACTCGAAGCTCAAGGGCTTCGCGAACGACCAGAACGTGGGCTTTGCGTCGAGCGACATCTCCAAGCGCAGCGAGTTCACGATGACGTTCCGCACGGAGCAGTACCGCGAGCAGCTGTCGCAGGAGACCAAGTACGCGAAGCGCGCGATGGAGATGATGCACCAGACGGGCGAGCACGCGGAGCTCGTGTCGCCGCGCAAGCAGAAGGAGGAGGAGGACGGCCCGCTGCTGTACGACCTGGTCTTCGAGGACGACGACTGGCACGCGCAGGCGTCGCGCCCGGCGTTCTCGCGCGTCCACCGCGACACGGTCAACCCCACGCGCCTCAGCAAGGAGCGGCACATGGGCGGCATGCGCACCACCAACAACAACACCTTCCGCCCGCCCGTGGACTTCAACAAGCCCGAGTTCGGCCACAAGCCACTCATCCGGGACACCTTCTACCGCAAGACCAACGTCCGGGCCACGTTCCCCGTCCCCATGCCGGAGATCTAGCCACGGCGACCGTTGGACGGCAACCGCCGGTGTTGTCGTCGTCGTCGTTGTGGGGCGAGCCCGGACCGCCCTTCCTGCTCCGAGGGGGGGCAGAGCAGCGCGGCCGTGTGACACAATACTCACAATGCAACTACGCATCGCTCCGCCCGCCGCGAAACAGCTCCCACAGCCCGCGCTCGTCCACGACCCTGCCGAGCGCGCAGCCGACCACCTCCTGCAGCGCTGCGGGCTGCCCGCTGCGCCCCGCGTCGTCCTCCCAGCTGACGTCGATGTACAGCGGCAGGCGGTGCTCCGGCGGCGCGTCACCGCCGGCTGCCCGCGCGCGCGGACCCTGCAGCACATCCCACGCAGGCGGCGGCATCGTCCAGCTGCCGTCCGCGGCGCGCATGTGCCGGCGGTCGGAGCTGAAGCAGTCGAGGAAGCTCCGCGCCGCCACGACGCGGAAGCGCCGGTCGAACGCCCTCAGCTGCGGCGCCGTGAGCAGCAGCGCCTCTTTGCCGTACAGCTCGAACGGCGCAGGGAACGGCCGCAGGACCGTGTCGAGGTCCCACACGACCGCGCCGCGCGCGCCGCGCTGCACGCACAGCACGTGGTAGTCCCAGACGATGACGTCGCCGTCTCCGGCGCGCTGCTTGAGGATCGGAAACTGCCGCCGCGGCGAGGAGAGGAACACCGCGTACAGATCGTCCACGGGGCAGACGGCGTCGCGGACCTGCGCGTGGGGGCGTGGTGGCCGTCGGGCGGCGGGATGGTGCCGCCGAGGTGCGTGTGTGTGCGGACTGGGGGGTTGTGAGCAGCGGAGCGCGAGGTGGCGGGCACGCACGAGTTGCTCGATGAGCTTGTACGTGTTCTCCTCGCAGAAGCACTTGGTGTACAGGAAGCCCGGCGGCGCCTCCTCGGACGCCTCCGCGGCGTCAGAGACCTCCATCCAGCCGGGCGTCCTGACGCGGCCGGAAGCGCGCCTGGCGCATCGGATAGGATTCTGACTGGTCAGCAATCAACGGCTGCCCTCCATCTCTCTCGCAGCCGCGGGAGCGAGCTCGACTCCACGCGAGTTGACCAACGCACGTGTGGGCTCGTCTGGCGGCCACCCAAGCACCGGTTCTTGCACTTCGCAGCGGCAGGACGCTCCACAGCTTGTCGATGCGGCCACCGGTGGCCCCAACGTTCCCGCATCGCCTTCAGGGCGCTGATTGCAGTCCTCTGGGGCCTGGAGAGCTTGGAGCACTCATACTCGCCTGCCGGGCAGCGCCCATCTTGATGCTCCGCGGCATCGTGTCCGCGGACTCACGAGCTCGCACTGCATCCGGGCAGCACACAGATTCTTCGCTATATTGGCGGAACGACCGGCCACACCCCGCGCTTCTCCAGACAGCCGTTCGTGGCCGCGCCGCCTCCAAGTTCGTCCCCAGTGACACTGTTGACGGCTCGCTGGAAAGACATAGTTGCACTCAAGGTTCCTAGCACGCAATTCCGAGCCACGGACCATTCCCCACCGCCTCCCCGTCCGAGACGCTGCTGCGCTCCGGGCGCGCCTCCCCCGCTCTGTGGGCGGGGGAGCAGCCGGCCGACCGCGCCGATCCGCGGCTGCGCAGCATCCACGCGATGCTCAAGGCGCGCCCCTCGCCACCGCCGCAACCCATGCTCGAGCGAGGATTCCCACCCCAACACAGCACGCCCTCGCTGTTGCCGGAGACCCGCAGGGGAGGCTCCGCGTCGACCCGCGCGCGCGCGTCGCGCTCGACTGGGTGGCGCTCGCGGCGCTCGTCGCCGTGTCGATCGGCATTGAGGAGGCGGAGCCGTTTCATCAGGAGGTGACGAAGATGACCGACTTGCGGTACGAGATGTCGCGCGTGCAGCCGCAGAGCGTGCCGTCGTGGTCCGTCGTGGTGATGGCCGCCTCGCCGCTGCTCGCGGTCGCGGCGTGGTGCTTCGCCGCCGTCCCGCCGACGCGGCGGGGCACGGAGGTGCACGCGGCGGTGCGCTCGCTGCTCGCGTCGTGCATCATCACGCACGTGCTGACGAACGTGATGAAGGTCACGCTCGGGCGGCTCCGCCCGGACTTCTTCTTCCGCTGCTGGCCGGACGGCGAGGCCACCTACGGCAGCGACGGCGTTGCGGTGTGCTCTGGCGACGCGGACCTGATCCGCAACGGACGGAAAAGCTTCCCCTCGGGGCACTCTTCGCTCGCCTCAGCAGGTAGTGCCCATGGTTGTCGCTAGCGAGTGCCCCCCTGCGACCAAACGTGCGAGTCCTGCACACGGAGCGACCTGCCTCGCGTTCGACCGTCGACGGTCTCGGAGCCAGGCAGACGCCTCTCACGCGCGGCGGCTCCCCGTCGGCGTCGCACAGGGCTGACGTGGCTGTCGTGGTACCTCATGGGGCGTGCGAATCCGCTCGACTCGGCAACGCGGGGACAGGGCGGCAGGGTGCCGCTGCTCGCGCTGGTGCTCGCCCCGACCTTCGGCGCGATGCTCGTCGCCGCGACGCGCGTCCGGGACCACTGGCACCACCCCTCCGACGTCATCGCCGGCGAGTCCACACCCGCCGCCGCCGTTGTTCGGCCATCAACGCGCAACTCGGCGACCCACTCGCCCGCGCCCTCCGCTGCACGAAGCCGCCACATCAACGCGTACGCTCCGTCCTCCGCGCGAAGCACGAGCGCCAACCGCCGAGCCCCGTCCGCAACACATGCAGGCTACTTCATGGGGGTGTTTCTGTCGCTGGCGGCGTACGTGGCGTACTTCCCCGTGCCGTGGTCGCACAGCCCGGACACCGCGGGAGCGGGCCGCCACCGCGCCGCCGCGGGCGGCGACGGCGCGAGCAGCGGCGACGCAGGGTCCGTGAGCATGCAGCGGTTCGACGCGGCGGGGGTCCCGGGCGGCGCGCTCGGGCCGCCGGAGGGAAGCATGGCGTGATGCGGGGACGGGCGGGAGGGGGCGCGCGCGTCGTTCGCGGGGGTTGCGACGTGCAGGGTCGCTAGCGGACCCGACGCAGGTTGCATGGTGTTGGTTGGCGGTGGAATCGCGCCGTCCGTGATTCAGGTTTCGGTTGACAACCCCTCCGGTGCCCATGCGTGTCGCGCGGGGAGCGTGGCTTCTCAGAAGACCGTCGTGTCAACCCACACGGGGGGCCAACCAACACCGTGGTCAGCCCTCAGGGGCTCTCTCGGCCTGTGCCGGGGCTTACGAGCCTGCGGCGCGGCCGGCGGCTCACATCTCGTGCCGTGCCGTGGTGGAGCCGCAGTTTGCGCAAAGGCAACGTTCCCAGGCCGAGCGGGGCGCGAGTGCTACCTGAGCTGCATCCCGAGAAACGCCGGAAGTCGTGCGAGGGGCGGTAGCGAGGCGCCGGGTTGCACGGTGCGAGCGATATCGGTCGCCTTTGCGGTACGCTCGTTCGGGAGGCGGTGCGAGCGGCGTGTCCCGTCCGCGGAAGAGTGAGAGCCGTCGGCCGACCTGCGAGTAGCTCCCCGCTGAGCGTCCGCCACCTAGTCTAGCACCATGGGGCAGAATACATCGAAAGGCACCGGCGACGTCGACACGGGTGAGCCTCGGGCCCCACACCCCGCCGCGCGGGCCCCCCGCCCCTGCCTTCGACAGGCAGCCCCCAGCTGCTCCTCAGCGCGCCGGGCGGCCTTCTGTCGTGGCTGGCGGCGCCTGTATCGGCCTGCGACCACGCGCGTGCCGCGGCGTTGGATTTCCTCCGCGGCATCCCGCCAGCGCCGGAAGCCCCGCAGCTGTGCTGCCCTCACCTCGCGCGCAGCCCCGCTGCCGCCCCCCTCCGCGGCCCTCTGTCCCGGATCCGGCGTGTCTCGCACGTGGTTCCCCCTTACCTTGAGTCATCGCGCCAAATGCGGCCCGCACCCGCCCGTGATCGCGCGGTCGCCCCCGCCTGGTCAGCCAGGCGCCCGCAGCCGCGGCGACGGCCCACAACGCCCCTCCCGCGCCGCAGCGGCAAGCAATCCTCCCTGCAAGATCGCCAGGGCCGGGGGCGGCCCGCGTTCCGCGCGGGGGCGCCCCGCCTGGCCCCAACAACTTGGCATGCTGCGTCTAGGGCCTCGTCCCCGCGCGCTGAGCGCCTCCCGCCCCGCTCCCGGCCGCAGGTCGCTATGAGGCCATCACGGAAGGCAAGAAGAAGGCCCCCAAGGGGCAGCCTGCCGCGATCCCGGACGGATGCTCGGCGGCAGCACCCGAGGACTACACGACCGTCACCGACGCGCTCCACAAGAACATGTTCTTCGCCAAGCTCGACATCGACACGCAGCGCAAGATCGTGCAGCACATGTACGAGCGCCCCGTCAGGGCCGGCGAGATCCTCATCAACGAGGGCGACACGGGCTCGGGGGCTGCGGAGGTGCGTGCGTGTGTTTGTGTGTGTGCGCCCCTGCCCCGCGCCCGCGACCCCCGCGCGCCAGGTCCCCGTGCTGACCCACAAGGCGGGGCGCCCGTGTCTTGCTGTGTCGCAGCTGTACGTGGTCAAGAGCGGGGACTTTGAGATCCTGGAGCGGCGGCAGGGCGTCAACATGCGCGTGGCGGTCAAGGGCGCGGGCGACGTGGTCGGCGATGTGGCGCTGATCTACAACACGGCCCGCGGGGCGACCGTGGCGGCGCTCTCGGACGCCGCGGTGTGGGTGCTCCACCGCGACACGTTCAAGCACTTTTGCCGCGTCACGCGCGAGGAGCTCACGTCGCAGATCCAGGTGTTCCTCAACCAGGTCGCGCTGCTCGAGCCGCTCACGACGGAGGAGCGCATCCAGCTCGCGGAGGCCTTCGAGGAGCGGAAGTACCGGCCCGGGGAGAAGGTGGTGCAGCAGGGCGACGCGGGCGACCACTTCTTCATCATTCGGAAGGGCGAGGCGATGGTGTACCAGGAGGAGAACGGGCAGACGAAGAAGATCAACCACCTGTTCAAGACGGACTACTTCGGCGAGATGAGCCTGCTCAAGGACGCGCCGCGCGTGGCGACGGTGGAGGCGGTGACGGCGCTCGAGTGCCTGGTGCTGGGGCGCGAGGCGTTCAACGACACGCTCGGGCCGCTGGAGGAGATCATGAAGCGCGACAAGTCGCCGCAGGTCGTCAACCAGAAGATGCGCAAGCTGAAGAACAAGGGCACGCCCACGCGCGTCCCCGCCGAGGTGGTCGTGAAGCGCTCGAACCCGCGGCCGGGCGAGCAGGCCGTCGTGCGCGCGCGCGGGCACCTGGACGAGGTGCTGGAGCTGAAGGAGAAGAAGGACACGGCCGGGCAGCCGTCGCGGGACCGCGTCAAGGACGCGGTGCTGGTGCTCAACCAGGGCGAGATCCTGGGCGGCGGCGCGTTCTCGAAGGTGTCGGTGGTGACGGAGGAGTCGACGGGGCGGCAGTACGCGCTGAAGCAGATGCGCAAGTCCGCGGTGGTGCAGTGCCCCGAGCACGTGTTTTGCGAGCAGGCCATCACGCGCAACACCGCGCACCCGTTCTGCATCCGGCAGTACGCGTCCTTCCAGGACAAGTACCACCTCTACTTCCTCTTCGACCTCATGACGGGCGGCGACCTCATGGACGTCCTCGTCGCCGAGGCCAACGTCATCCGCGTGCGCGTCTCCCAGGGCGGCATGTCGCGCGGCTGCCTCGCGCCCAAGGTCAAGATGCTCCAGGGCATGCCCGAGTCCCTCGCGCGCTTCTACGTCGCCTCCATCGTCCTCGCGCTCGAGTACCTCCACGACAACGGCATCATCTACCGCGACCTCAAACCCGAGAACGTCTTCATCGGGTCCTCGGGGTACGTCAAGCTCGGGGACTTCGGGTTCGCCAAGTCCCTCGAGGCCACGCAGCGCACCTACACCTTCTGCGGGACGCCCGGGTACGTCGCGCCGGAGAACGTGCTCGCCCACGGGTACTCGTACGGCGTGGACTGGTGGGGCGTCGGCGTGCTGATGTACGTGCTGCTCACGGGCAAGCAGCCCTTCTCGTCGCCGCGGGCGCCCGACCCCATGGTCGTGATGCGCCGGATCGTCGACGAGAACTGGCAGATCAAGTACCCCCCCTACCTGTCGCCGGCGGCCAAGGATCTGATCTCGCGGCTGCTCGAGCGCCGCCCGGCGAAGCGGCTCGGGATGCTCCAGGGCAAGGCCAACGACGTGAAGAAGCACAAGTGGTTCGACGGGTTCGACTGGGACGCGCTGGCCGCGCGGAAGATGCCCGCGCCCCGCGTGCCGAAGAACGACGCGGCGAAGCGCCTCCGGGACATGGCGGAGCAGGAGGCGCGCCAAGAGGCGCCGAACGAGACGATGGAGGAGCTGCAGGAGTGCCAGCTGGTGTTCGCGAGCTTCTGAGCGCGCCTGCAGGCGGCGAGACTGCCAGGCGCATTGCCTCGAGCAGGACGGGAGACGCGCGGGACCAGGACAGTCACGACAACGCTCTATTTCACCACGCGGGCTCGCGCAAGCGAGCTGGGCCACGGGGCCGTGCGCACGCCCGCCCCGGCCACGCGGACGCCACTAGAAGAAGTGCATGACTCACGTGGGTGGCTGCATGCAGCCCACCCTTGCCCGCAGCTAAAGATCCACCGAGCGCACCGGGGAAGGCTTCGAGAACGCAGCCGAACCCCGTGTGCTCCTGATCGTCCAGTGTGACCCCTTTGTGTGCCGCCCATGTCGAGGTCACCTGCTGCGCTGGGACGCCCGGCTGCGGCCGCAGCTGGCCTCTCCGACTCGTGCCTATGCCGGCGGCGCTCCGCGAGATCCGCGTTTGAGCCTGCCAGTGCCACGTGGCGCACTGCTGGAGCTTGGTTGTTGTCAGCTATCGAGCTGCTACGAGCGCGCCGTCCTTGGCTCGCTTGCGCGCGTAGCACGGACACACCACGTCTTCGAGGGACGAAGCAGGCATCGTTCAGCTCTGTACGCCTTGCAGGTGGAGCACCGGGAACATCTCGACCATGGTTCGTCTCGCAAGCATCGGGCACAGCCTGGTGCTGCTTGCCGCCCTCGCCGCCTGCGTCCAGGTGAGACGCACCGACCAACCCAACGCGCGACGCGTGTCAGCTGCGCGTTCGGCGCTTCATCAGCGTCGCACGCGTCCCTGTGCAATGGGCATCACACAGAGCGATGCAGTGCCCCTTGCCGCGCCACCACGACCGCGGTCCGCGTCACGATGGTCTTATATCCTCACGTATCGTCTCTGCAGCTGGGCGCTGCGGACTCGCACACCGCGCTGGCGCGGGCGCGTGGCAGAATCGAGAGCGTCACTGGCAACATCGTCGACACGCTCGCGCCGCTGGCCGAGAGGCTCGAGTCGCTCGAGGGAGAGCTTCCCGGCGGGGGACGTCGTCTGCGCATGATGGCGGAGGCCCCGATGATGGAGCAGGCTCCCGACATGGGGAGCATCCTGATCTCCGAACCGGCCGAGGACCCCGTGCTCGAGCTCGTCGACGAGGCGCCGTGCAGGACCGTCGCCGACGTGGCCATGGAGTACCCCGTGCTGCTGGCCGCGGTCCAGCGGGCGGGCCTCGCCGAGACCCTCGCGGACCCGGAGCTGGAGGCTACGGTCTTCGTTCCGACCGACGAGGCGTTCGCGGCGCTGCTGGAGGCCAAGGGCCTCGCGCAGGAAGACCTCCTCGCGAGCGGTGCGACGCGAGCTGCATTGACTGACCACGAGATGACATGACGCACGCGCAGTTGGGCCATAACGGGGGTGTTTCCGGGCTCCCGTGGGCGCGCAGAGAACCTCGCGGACATTCTCAAGTACCACGTCATCGCCGGCGTGGCGGCGAAGGCCGAGGACCTCTCGATGGGGCAGATGCTGGCGTCACTGCAGGGCGGCGAGCTTGCCGTCATGTTGGGCGAGGACGGCGGCGTGACGCTGGACGGAGCCGCCTCGGACGCCCTGGTCACGGTCGCCAACGTCGCGGCCTGCAAGGTGCGCCGCTCACTGCGCCCCTCGCGCCCCCTCGCCCCACCGCAGTGCACCTTTCCGCCGTGCGTCGCCTGCCCCATCCCCCACCCGTCGCCTCTTCGTCGGCGACCTCGCAGGCGATCGTCCACGTCGTGGACACGGTGCTCCTGCCGTTCGAGCTCTGAGCTCCGCGGCGCGGCGGAACGCCCGCTGACTGCGTGTGTGGCCTTGATGTTGTTATGTCACGTCACGCAGGGGAGCACACTGCAAGCGACGGCACGCCCCGATCGGGGGGTCCGGCCGAGTCCAAGGCAGCTTGAGCGGCGCTGCAGCCTCAAACTATCCTTGTGAGCTCGTCGACGCCATGCGGGGGCCCTCCTTCGCGCGCTGCGACGGTCGACAGCAGCTTTCCCCCTGGCAGTTATACCAAGGGGGCGCGGACCGCGCTCGAGGGGCCCGCGCCGCGGAAGGCAACCGGCAATTCTCGTAGTTCCAACAGATAGAGAGCAGTTGCTGTTGATACGTAGAACGCAGCTGCATCTGACGCGCGCAGAGAGGCCCTGATCGACATGGGCCCGGTCGATGGCTGCCCGTCGGGGGCGGCGTTGCGCGCGAGCGTGGTCGCTCCGTGCTCGTCGCTACCTCAGCGGGCTCCTCGCCTCGGCAACGGAGCGGCGGCGATGCGGTCGACGGTGCCGCTGCGCTCGCACTGGAAGAGGGGCACGGCCGCGCTGAAGATCTCCGCTCGCGGGGAATCGAGGTCGTCGAAAGTATTGCAAACAACTGGGCTAGCGTGCGGGGATAGACAGCCACGCGCCGCGACGGCTCTCAGAGCCACGCCGGAAGGCCGAGAGGCAGCACTGGAGAGCTCGGCCGGTCGGGTGTCCGTGACGGAGAGCACGGACGGCGAGGGAATCATGGACGCGGAAGTCCAGCTCGCGTCGTTCGAGGGCGAGGAGACGGGGGCCTCGGAGCTGGTCGAGGAGATCAGGCGCAGCTCCTCAGCTGCAGAAGGCGCGTCGAGGTATGCGCCCGGGGGGCACGCCCCACGCAAACGACCATCCGCGACCCCCTGCCCCGAAACACCCTCTTCGTCACCGCGGCAGCGCTTTCGTCGCGCGACAAGGGCAGGCACGCGACCAATTCCGCCCGTGCGGCCGACGCTTGACCAAGCTGGCTAGTGCCAGGTCTTGTGGCGCGAAATGCTCCTGTTTCCGCGCACCCGCCCGCTCCCCCGCCCCCAGGCGCCTCGCTCGCGACCAAAATCCGCAAAGGCGATGCCGTGGCGCCCGTCTCGCGGGCCCAGCGCCACGCGCCGCGCTCCCAAGGGGTCGCCGCAGCCCGGACCGCGGAAGCGCGATGCCGCGCGAGCCGCCCCCGGCCCTCCCCGGCCGCCCCGCCACGCTCCTCGCGGCCGCCTAGCGCGCCGGACGCGACCCCGAGCGCCGTTCCTCGTCCTGCGCCGCCGCGAGGCACGCGAAGTGACAGCACAGACGCGCCCCTCACCCGGTCCCCGCCACCCGCGCGTTGCGCCGTCTCGAGCCGCCGTGGGCCCCCTGAGCACCCCCATAGCACCCGTTCTCGGTCGCGGGCGGCCTCCACGCGGCGAGGGCCCGCCCCGGCGCGCCGTCGCAGCCCCCCGAGCGTTGCCTCACTGCCGCTGCGCCCCTGGCCATGTACGGCCGCTCCCGTGCAGGCTGCGGCAGCTCGTGGCGTTCAATCGCGACACCGCGCGTTCGGTGATCAGAGCGGGCGGAATCGAGGTCGCCGCGGAGGTCCTGTCGCGGAACGACCAGGACATCGCCACCAGGTGGGCTGCCACGGCACTCCTGTGCCGCGCGCGCCGCGCCCGCGCGCCCGCGCAGCCGCCGCGGAACCGCCCCAAACGCCAAGACTGTCCACTGCCAGCAGCCGCGCGCGCCTCACGGCCCACGCGGCGCCGCCCCCGCGCCGGCCCCGCCCCCTGTGCCCTTCACATAGCAGATAGGACTGGCAGTTGCTGCGGCGCCTTCTTCCGTCCCAACTTCACATGTCTGGTCCGCGCTGCAGGAACGCCATGGCGGAGGTCCTCCTGCACGTCGTCGCCGACGCGGCCGCCCCGGAGTACCTCGTCACGCGCCCGGAGCTCCTCGCGCAGCTCACGAGCGCCGTCACGGCGCAGCTCACGCGCGCGACGGCGGCGCTGGCCGTCGCCACCGCCGACGACGACGACGCGAGCTCCACTGAGGAGTTCTCCTCGGCGATCGAGCGCATCATCAGCCACGAGTCCCTCTCCGACATGGCCGTGCAGCCGGGCATGACGCCCGCCGAGCAGATCGACCGCGAAGCCAAGCTGGCGCACGCGTTGCAGCTCACGCTGTGCTACCTGACGCAGCAGATCCCCGACGTGGCGCGCGTGGCCGCGCAGCCGGGCCTGCTCGAGGCGCTCGTGCAGAGCTGCCGCCCGGAGAACCCGCACCTCGACACGACCGTCGCGACGCTGACGGCGCTGCTGCTGCCCGACGCGTTTGCGGGCGCCGAGGAGACGGGGCGCCTCCCGGCGTTCCTGGGCGACGAGGAGCTCCCCGTCGAGGGCCCGCTCGCGCCGCCCGTGCAGCACGCGCGCTCGAGCTCGACCGCGCGCGCGAGCGAGGCCGCGGCGCCGCAGGAGGACCTGGTGCAGCGCGCGATAGAGCTCGGGCTGGCCGAGCGGCTGGTCGACGTGCTGCGGACGCTCGCGCGGCCGGGGCTGCAGTACAACCGGCACGACAACACGTTCGCGCGGGACTCGAACGCGTTCGGGCACATGGACAGCTCCGGGCGGAACCCCGCGACGTGGAAGGAGACGGTGTGTTCGATCCCGTTCTCGCGGTACAAGGAGGTGTCCGTGGGGGACAGCGCGCAGGTGGAGATGGAGCTGTCCGCGCGGCTGCTGTCCGCGCTCGCCGCGGACCCGCGCGCCCGCAGCCGCGTGCGCTCCAGCCAGGCCCTGCGCGCCATGGTGGACGCGACGCTCGCGTGCAACGGCAGCGAGAACCTCGCGCTCGCGACGCTCCTCTCCGCGAAGGCCCTCGCCACGGACGCCGCCACCGCGCAGCAGGCCGTCGAGTGCGGCGCCGCCGCCCTCTGCCTCAACGCCCTGCAACCCCCCTACCAGTACGCCCACGCCCCGACCTGACGCCGCAACGCCCCCCTGCTCTCCTCCTGGCCGATGCACGACGTGAACCTCGAACTCCCCCCCCTGACCCCATCCGCAGCGACCGCCAGTACAAGGTACACAGGTTCAGCATGTGCGTGCAGCTGCTGGCCGCCGAGGTGCTCCAGCAGCTGTCCCTGCGCGTCCCGGACCAGGCCGCGCTGATCCTGCTCCCGGAGTTCTTCCCCGCAGTGATGTCGCTCCTGTCGCTGGGCGAGCGCAACGGGCGGCGCCTGCCCGTGAGCAACTTCGTGACGTTCGACAACCTCGCGCCGCGGCGCCGGTGGACGTCGGCGTGGCGGTTCGGGCAGATGCGCTTCGAGCTGCCCCCGCGCGACGCCGGGGCACCCGAGATCCTGCGGTCGCTCTGCAGCCCGCCCATGCCCGAGGCCCCGGGGGGTGTCCGCGACCTGGTGGTGCGGATGCAGGTGCTGGTGCTCGGGACGATCGAGGCGCTGGCGGGGCGCAACGAGGCCGTCGCGCGGCGCGTCGCGGACTCCCCGATCATGCCGCAGGTGCTGTCGTACCTCCAGGTCATCGCCTCGGACAACGTCCCGACGCTCCTGCCGGCGCAGGCCGCCGCGTGCCGCACCGTGCGCGCCGTGGCGAAGTGGCGCGCCGCGCAGTCGTTCGCCGCCGCGTCCGGGGCGATCCCGGCCTGCCTGCGCATCGTGCGCGACCAGGTGGGCATGGGTGCCGCGGGGGCCTGCGCGGAGACGCTGGCCGAGCTCACGCAGAACTGGGCGTCGCTCCGGCGGCAGGTGGCGCGCGGGGAGCCGATGGTGCTGCTCGCGGAGCTCCTGCGCTCCGGGACGCCGCACGACCGCCTGGCGGCGCTGACGGCGATGGAGGCGATGGCCAAGCACATGGACATGCTGCCGGACCTGGACGCGTCGGGGGCGTTCCCCGTGCTGCTGGACGTGCTGCGGACGGGGGCGCGGACGCAGGTGACGTCGCTGCCGCTGCAGTTTGCCGATGAGGAGGACGTGGGGGGGGAGTTTGCGCGGGAGGTCCCCGAGGGGCTCGAGGGGGTGGAGTGGGACTGGGTGACGCTGCACTGGGCGAAGATCAAGGCCGCGAACATCGTCGCGCGGCTCGCGGAGGACCCGCGCGTCCGGCAGAAGGTGGCGCGCGCCGGCGTGATTCGGGACCTGGTGCTGCTGCTGACGATCGAGCAGGTGCCGGCGACGGAGGGGGAGGAGCGCACGGCCGCGCGGCGCAAGGTGGAGCTGGAGGTGCGCGCGGCGGCGGCCGCGTGTCTGACGGCGCTGACGCGGAACAACCGCGGGACGCGGCGGCTGCTGGCAACGGAGCTGGCGCTGGCGTCGTGGTGCGGGCGGCAGGGCAGCACGCGCGTGCTCGGTCTGACGAATCCGTGAGCAGGGCGCGAGGAACGGCGCGGGCCGGGGCGCCAGGGCCGAGGGCACGGGGCGCAGTGTCCTCGAGAGGGTTGGATGGCGAGACGAGAGTATTGCACATGAATCACGGGATGTGTCTGCAGAGGTAAAACATCGCACGAGCTGCAGAAAGAGAGAGCGGGAAGAGGCCGGCCGCGTGGGGATGCACGCGGCGGTGCATGATGCCACCGAGCCAACGGGTGCTCGACGGCACGCGAATTTTGACAACGAGGACTTCGTGAACGCCAGCAGAGCCAAAGTGCCTGCCATAGCGTTGTGAGAGAGCGATGCGGACAGATGCTCTCGTTTCTTGCACGGGTGGTCAATCATCTCTTCTTTTGCTCAGTCCCGCGCACACGCTGGTGCACGCCGCGCTCCACGAGCAAACAGCAGCTACCACTCCTCGCCCCTCACGTCCGCTACTGCGAGACTCACCAAGGCAGTCCCTCGCGCCTTCCGGCGCAGTTGCGCGGTGAAGTAGGGTCGCGACCAAGGCCCCGTGCCGTATCTCGCCACTCCCCCCCGTCACGCCCTTCCGTGCCTGCGACGCGAGCGGTTGCGTCGTCGTGCGTGCAGCCGTGCAGCCTACCGTGGGGGACTCTAGGCGCCAGCTCACTCGCTACTCGTACAGTCACAGTTGCGAGGTGTGGGGCTGTCAGATGAGCGCGTTGCTCGGTCTGCAGCACGTCGCCACTAGAAGCGAGGTCAGGCAGGGCGCCGTCAGCATGGGGGCAGAGTCGCTGTCGGCGGGCGCACAACCCACGAGGTGGTTGGCGGCATGCCCCCTTTCTACCCGGGGGGGTGGTTGGAGGGTTGAGTTGGATCTGTCTATCGAGGCGTGGATCGAGACCTCGGCAAGTGATGCTGGAATGAGCGCGGATCCCCGAAGAGCTGTTCTCGTGGAGGCCGCGCGTGGCGTGGGATAGTGCTGATGCTGTCGTCGTGCAACGTCCCACGCCGTGTTTGGCGCGCCCGTCTCATGTGGTCGCAGCGTGATCTGTGTGGAGCTGGTTCCCGGAGACGGGCGAGGCCGGAGCGGGCGCACGTCAAGACCTCCAGGGGGGTTCTGGCAACTGGCCTACCCGTCATGGGGGCTGTGGGTTCGAAGGCGGCCGCGAAGCGACTCGTTGGCTCTAGGGTGGAATCGGTTCGGACGCCTGCAGGTGGCCCTGGTGGCAACAGGCAAGAGTGGCTGGAAGACGAACAGATGAACATGGGGGGGGTCTGAAGAAACGGTGCAAAGGAAGGACTGGGGAGGAGCGCGCAGAGGTGCTCGGGATGACGGGGCATCCGCACTGGTGGTGCAAGAGGCTCGCGAGGTGTGTGGACCGACACGTCTGCATCCACGCACGCACGCTGCTATTGGAGAGAACAGGAGGGGAGGGGAGGGGGGGTAGCAGTACTAGGGGAAAGAGAGAATGAAGTAGCGAAAGTAGTTTTAGGAGAGATAGTCAGATAGGGGAGGGGAGGGGGGAAGGCGTGCAAGGGGGGGTGATGAGACTCCCCATAGAGTCCTGCGCATACACTGTTCGCGACAGGCCCGGGAGCGCCCTTTCGACAGAGGCGCTCCCTCTTGCGGCTAGTGTACTCGTCTCGGCGGCGGTGCATAGTGCGCGGGCTAGCGCCAGAGACAGGATGAGGACGAAGGGGGTACTTGGGGGGCTGTCCCTGGCGCCGATCCGCGGCGCTCATGGCTTCGAAGCGCGCTCTCACGTGTCTGCGCTCATGCGACGTTTCTTCGCGTCCGCGGTCTCGCGACCGGGCGCGATGCGGGTTTCTGGGACGCCGGCGGCGCCCAGGGGTCGCGCCACTGTGCAACGTCCAAGCGGCGTGGCGGCGGCCCGCTACAAGTCCTGCGCGACGCTCCTTCCTCAGCAGTCGTGCGTCTTGCGGCGGAAGATTCCCATGAACGCGCCCTTGAGCCGCCCGCGCCCGGCCGAGTCGACCCCAGTGCTGGGCCCGTGAGCACCGCTGCCGGTGCGCTGCTTCGCCCGCGTGCCGCTCGAGCGGCCGGTGCCCGTCGACGCGCCGTCCGCCGTGCCCTCGTCGAGCACGGACAGCCCGTACGTCCCGTTCAGCATGTGCGTCGACCCCTCGTGCGCGTCGGCCTTCATGCTGACCACCTCGCGCGAGCGCCCGCTCGACGCGACGGGCGGCGCCTGCGGCACCATGCCCTGCGCGTGCACCGCGACGGGCGCCGCGGGCGTCGTGGGCGTCGCGGGCGCCGTCGGGCCGCTCGTCGCGCGCCACTGCTGTCGGTTCGACAGCATGCGCATCGACTGGGACTGGTTCGAGAGGAGCTCCTCGGGGCCGTTCTGCGCATGGACGCCGGTGTTGTCCGTGCGGCGGCGCGCGCGGAGGTCCTGGTCCGCCGCCACGTCGAGCGCCGCGGGGGCCTTGCGCGACATCCAGGGGGAGTGCTTCGACTCCCCCGCCATCGACGGGAAGTCCGAGATGCCCGAGCCGACCGTGAGGCGGTTCGGCGTGCCGTGCATCGAGCCGGCCATCGAGTCCGGGATCCCCGAGCAGCGGCCCTGCCCCTGGTTGGTCAGGCGCACACGCTGCATGTTGGTCTGCGAGCCCGAGCCGATGCCGTTGACGCTGGCGTGGCGGTTCAGGGCGACCTGGTGCGGGGACGCGTACAGGCCGTCGCTGGTGAACCGCGGCGCCGGCGCCGGCGTGGGCGACGGCAGCTGCACGGCCATCGCAGCTTGCGTCGCCGCCATGTTGTTGGCCACGTCGGGCGCCATGTGCTGCGTCGCGCCGAGGTTCGCGTCGCCGTGGTCCGTCGACATGTTGGTGTCGTAGCCGCTGTCGCCCGACAGGTGCTTGCCCGTGAGCTGCACGCCCGGCGCCGGCGACACGGGCTGCGACGAAGTTGTCGAGTCCGGGCCCCAGGACGGCACCGCGCGCGGCGCCGCGGCGCGCTTCGGCTGCGGGCGCTCGTACTGCATGATCAGCGGGTGCTGCAGCAGCTGCGCCGCGGACGGCCGCCGCGACGCGTCGACCTGGAGGCACAGCGCCAGGAAGTCCTTGAGAGGCTCCGAGAAACCATTCGGGAAATGGTAACTGCCGTCGAGCGCGCGGCGCAGGATGTCGGGCTCGCGGTCCTGGCGCGTGTAGCGGAAGGGCGGGCGCCGCGCGAACACCTCGAAGACGAGCGCGCCGGCCGACCAGATGTCCGCCGCGGGGCGGTAGGGCACGCGCTCGGCCCGCGGGATCGTCAGCTCCTTGGGGCACTCGACGGCGTCCTGGATGTTCGTGCAGTCGCGGCGGCCGCACGCCACGACCTCGGGCGCCATGAAGTCCAGCGTCCCCAGGCGCGTCACGGGCCTGCAGGCACGGCATCGCGCGGCGGGGCGGGGTCGGGGCGCGCGGCGTGGATCGGCGCGGACGCGCGGAGCGGGCGGCGCGCCGACGTGGCTCGGGCCGACAGCGCGGGCAGGCGCGGGGGCGCGGGCGCGGGCGCCGCGGCCAGCAACGTGTTGGATGCCGTCGCGCAACCGTCAGGGCGCCGCGCACCTCTCGGCGGCGAGGTCCATGGCGTAGCCCCAGTCGGCGAGCTTGAAGTTGCCGTCGGTGCCGAAGAGGACGTTCTCGGGCTTGAGGTCGCGGTGGATGATGCCGCGCGAGTGCACGTAGTCGAGGCTGGTGAAGAGGGGCTTGATGACCTTCTTCACGAGCAGGGGCTCGAACGAGGGCAGGTGCGCGATCTTCGCGAGCAGCGTCTGCCCGTCCGCGACCTCGAGGACGAGGAAGTAGTGCGAGTCGGTGCGGAAGGCCGCGTACAGCCGGAGGATGTTGGGGTGGTCGAGCCGAGTTTGGATGGCCGCCTCGCGGGCCATGTGCGTCGTGACGACGCTGTCGGACCGCGACCGCCGGACAATCTGCGGGGGAGGCGGGCGAATAGCGCGTCGGATCCCGGGCCGCGCGGCTCGCGACACGCGGCGCGGGACCCTAGGTCTCGCGCAGGGGTCACGCCGCTGGGGGCGGCGCGCGGGGGCGGCCTGGCGGGGCGCCGCGCACCTTCAGCGCCACCTTGGTCTCGGAGGGCCGGTCCAGGGCCAGCCAGACCTCCGTTCGGCCCTGCCCGGTGCCGAGCTGCTTGATCAGAGAAAACTGCTTAGGGTCCCAGTGGGCCCGGCGCATCGCGGGGGGGCACGACGGCGCCACGACGGGCCACGACGCGAGCGCAGCATGCTTGTCGAACCCCTTGAGCTGCGGGGCTGGCTCGCCCCTGCGCGGAAACGCGACGATTGCGCCGTGCGAGTGAACAAGCGCTCAGTTGGGCCGTCGTCGCGGCCCGAGCGGCGAGCGGTTGGCATGACGGGGCCGCGCGGGGGGCGCTTGAGTTGTGACGGAGCGCACCTGTGCAGCGGCTGGGGAGCGCCGGCCAGTCCTACGGCCGTGCTCATGGCTGTCCCTGTGCCTCTGTCTGTTCACGCCGAGGCACTCGCAGTGGGCTTGTACGATCCCTGCGCGATCGGCGGTTGGGATGTTTGTGAACTGGTGGGTGACGTGGGGTGCGCTGGACGCACATACCCGGCTCGTGGGCCGCAGCGGGGACTCGTCACCGTTAACGCAGGGCGGTGACCTGCCGCGCCGCACCGCGCGCGAAAACGCAGGCGGACGCGGGGTTTGCGGGGACACTGGCGAAACCGAACGTGTGTCGGCGCGCGACGTCCGCGCGGGCCCGCAGCTGCGAGGCTCGCGCTGCCGAGCGTCACGTAAGCACCTGTCCGGCCACGCGTGGCAGCGGACTCGCAAGGGCGCCACGGGGCGCGAGGGAAAACTGAGCAACTGGGTTCCGAGCGCAGATACGCGATCCGTCCACCCGGCGCGGCGCTGGCCGACCCGGCGAGGGAAGCGGATGTAAAGGAACCCCGAGCGCGCGGAACGAGGCGCACGGATCGGGAGCGGTCGCAACGGAGCCCAAACTTATCGATGGCGGGCGCGCGTTGCCGCGCTGCGGCGGCGCGGCGGCCCCGCAGGCCTCCGGGCGGGAGCCAGGCCGGGCCAGGAGGATCGTCCCGGCCGAGCGGCGCGCTGACGCGGTGCTTCGCCCATCTACGGGCCTCACCTCGACTGTGATTATCACGGCAGCGCGTCACCCGTCGGCTACGGGCAGACTCGCGCCCCTAGAGCGCGTGCCGCGACAGCTCGTGTCCTTTTGCTGCTAGGGGGCTTCGTGCTCCCGCAGTACGTCCAGTGCGGATCCACGGCGAACGGAACGCTTCTCCTGACTACGGAGGTTGCCTGAGGGGCCGCGCTGCGCCGCTCGGGCGCCTGATTGCGCAGTCTAGGAGCTGCTGGGGGTGTTGGCCCGCCCCAGGGTGGCCCCTGGCCAGGGCCGCGACACGCGCCGTCGACGCGCCGCGCGCCGGCCCGCGCGCCCTCGACGCCCGGCTCTCTCCTCCGCGACACGTCGACGCGCCGCGCGCCGCGAATTAAGCCGCAGCGCGCCCGCGCGACGCCCCCTGGCAATTCACCCGCACCCGATGCTAGGCGGCGCGCGACGCGGGCGCGGGGCCGGCGGGGCGCCGAGGAGGCGGCGCCCGCCCCGGCGCGGCGCGCGCGGGCGGTGGGGCGGCCGGCGCGGGCACGGTGCGCCCCCGTCAGACGGCACAAGCGCTGAGCAGTGCGGGGGGGGCGTGGGGGCGGCGGGGGGGTCGGTGGGGGCGAGGGGCCGCCGCGGAGTAGGGGGCGGGCACTGCGGGCTGGGGTGCGTGATAGGGCGACGCCGGTGCGTGTGAGGACCCGAGGCGTGAGGTTGGTGTGGAGTGCGTGTTCGGTTAGGCCGTCGGAGGCGGTGCGGGGGCAGCGGAGCAGGCGCGAGGCGCGCAGGGCGTAGGCCGCGGCGGGAACTCGCGATGTTAGCGAAGTGCGCGATCGTGGGACGCGGCGTGCGGGCGCAGCGGGGGACAGTGGCGCCGGTGCTGGGCAGGAGGTGCGGAGCGCCGGCAGGTCGCGACCGCGGTGGAGCGGTTCTTGCGGCCAGAGCATCGAACGCCGACATGGTCGCTTCTTGGCCGTGGTTGCGCGTGCTGTGCAGGCGTGTGCGCGCCGCGGCGGCCGCGGATAGCGCCGGGGCGGAGCTGCTGGAGCTGCGCAAGGGCTTCCACAGCGTGCAGGTGCGCGTCGGCGGACCGTCGCTCGACGTCCGAGCACGACATCGATCGCACATGGCCTCGCACGTCCAAGCGTTCCGTTTCGACGCGGCGGGTGCCGTCCCGCGGCGGTTGCTCTGGCGGGCTCCAGCTTGGTCCGCCGCGTGTGGAGCTCGGGGTCGCTCCTGGCGTTCGCGTCCCCTCGTCGCTGCGACAGCGCTCGAACGTCGCCCACAGCGTGCGTCGGGACTTCTCCTGGCACGACGGGCGCGGCACGGCCCCTCGTCACGCTCTCAGCCGCCAAGCAAGTGACCGGCCACGGCGCCCCCAGCCGCAGGACCGTGTGCACCGCATCTGAGGCACCTGGGCGCGCTCTTCGCTTCCGTGGCCACGCAGTGCGCCACGCGGCCGCCCGGTCCGACCCGCTGCCCCCGCGTCGGCGCCCCATGCCACCTCTGTGCTCGTGCGTGCCTGTGCAGACGGATGGCGCGGAGTTCCTCGTCGCGACAGACGACAAGGGCAACCTGGACCTCGGCCAGATCTTCATCGTCGACGTCGACGAGGACGGCGACGAGCAGTTCTCGCGCCCTGAGATCAGGCGAGCCCCGCGCTCCATGCAGCATGGTGCCAACACACGCTGGCTCCCGCACCGAGCGGCGTCGGCCCGCCAGGGCCGCGCCCACGCACGTACCCGTCCGTCCACGGGCACGCGCGCTGCGCCGCGCCAGCAGCCGCGTGAGCCCGCGTTTGCAGTTGCAACCGACCCTCGTGACCTGCACGCTGCACTGCAGAGGCGAGCTTCCGTCGGGCCTCCTGCCGTACCAGGAGATGCCCTTCTTCAGCATTCAGACGGGCATGGCGTTCAAGGACAAGCCGGAGGTCCGCAAGGTGCATGCCGTAACGCTGGTGAGCGTGGCGGAGCTGCCGTCCGACGACCGGACGCAGCTCATGGACCTCGCCAGCGTGGTGACGCTCGACGGGGCGGAGCGCGTCGTGCGCAGGGAGGAGGTGCGCTGCTTGAGCCCCGCATGAGCTGCACTGGCAAGTTGCTGCACTGGCACGCGCTGGCCCCTCACGCCCGCCGATGCCGTGTGCGCGCAGGTGACGATTTGCGGGGAGCCGGAGAAGCCGATGCTGCGGTGGACGGCCACGCAGGGGTGGGTCGTCGCCGACGAGGAGGCGATGCCGCCCATGAGTGTCGCAGCCGCGATGCACCACCAGGGCTTCTTCGACGACGTGCGCACCGCCGCAGCTAGCCTGCCTGTGCATTGCAAGCCTTAGCTGCGCGGTCGGCGGGGATGCTGCGGCCCGCCTTCGCGCCGCACGGGCACAAGTACGAAACTGGCGCTGCGGAGGCGTGTTCGTTGCTGCAGGTGAAGGAGGCGGAGGACGAGGAGCTGCCGAAGCCCATGGATCTGTCGGACCTCGAGGGCGTGGACGAGGACGACTTCGACGTCCAGGACATTCCGTCCGCTGACATGATGTGAGCGCGATGACGCGATTACTCGCATGCTGTGCAGCGAGCTCCCGCGCGACGTGGCCTCACAGGAGCGCAGGTTGAATGTAACGTGGGCCTGCTAGAGTGCTACAAGGCGCGACGCTTGGGGGGGGTTACGATAGCGCCTCTAGGATTGCGTGCTGTGCGCTCTGCTTCGCGAGCACCAGCTCCCGCTCCGCCGCCTCCCCCTCCGACCTGCGGGCGCAGACGCGGTCGCGTGCGCTGTGGGCGTCCTCGTGCGCGTGTCGCCTGCCTGCGCTGCACGTGGCGCAACGTCGTCGAGCGCACCTGACGAGCGATATCAACCGCTCCGCCTCGGCCCTGTAGTAATCCTCGACAGTGATCTCCTCAGTCACCAGCTTCCGCACCTCCACGATGACCTGCGCGCGCGTCCGGACGAACGCGGGGGGCGGGTTGCCCACCGTGGTCGTGCTCGCTGGCCCTGGCACCGCCCAGGCGCGCAAACGAGGATGTTTCTCAGCGCACACGGAACCTCAGGTCCAAGAGTATCGAAATACGCCGCAGGCACATCGAGCTGCCCCCCCCATTATGAAGGGGCCGCGGTCTGGTCGAGCTCCAGGCTTCCCTGGGCGTCGTGCGGCGCTCCCGCGGCGCCCGCGGCGCCCGCACGCACGCAAGGCGTCCGCGGGGCGCCCCCCGCACGACCACCGCGCAGAGACGCCGGCAGACGCAGCCGTCGTCGGCGGGGCACCTTCTGCCGCGCGTTGTTGCCACGGACAGCTCAACGGCGCCCCCAGGCCACGCGCGCGTGATGTCCCGAGCGGTCCCGCGCCCGCCGCCACCGCGGACCAGCACCCCAGAGCTCGAGCGAGGCCGCGGGCGACAGCCGCGCCTCGGGGCGGGCGGGAGCGCGCCTGGGAGTCGCCCCCGAAGACCACCCGGTCGCCGCTGCGAACCTCCACCTCGCAGCCCTCCGCGAGCGGCGCGCCGTTGAAGAGCGTGCCGTTCGAGGACCCCACGTCGCGCAGGACCCAAGCCGCGCCGTTCCACTCGAACACCGCGTGCTTCTCCGACACGGAGCCGTCGCGGATGCACACCTCCGACGGGGACGTGCGGCCGACGCGGAGCCGGCGGCCCTGCTTCGTGATCTCCTCGCCCTCGCACGGCCCCGCCGTGACCCGCACCGTCAGCAGGTCCGGCACCTGGTTGAGGTTCTGCGCCATTGCGGCGCGCGACACGCGGGCGGGCGGTTGCGCTGCAGCTGCTGAAAGCGCGCGTGGGGGGTCGCGCGGGCCGCGGGAGAGGCGCGCCGAGACAGTGCGGGCTGCGCGCGGGCGGCCGGCGGTTTCTCGCCGCACGGGCGCGCCGGCCGGGGGCCAGTCGGTCTGGCGCGGCCCTGGGTCAGCCCAACGTCCCGAAGGGGGGGCGCGCCGCTGGCGCTCGTGGGGGCGCGGGGTGGCCGCGGCGACGCACACCACGTCTCGAATCGAACGGTTACAAGCGGACCCTGTCACTCTCGACATATAAGAAGCCTCGAACGCCATGTTCTCGATGGCTCACTCTGCCCAGGTGCGCGACCCACCGTGCCTGCGCACCGCCCGGGGCGATGGCACCGCCGTCCTGGATTGAATCGTGCGAGCATTCGCTGTCCGATCGCGCGCATGTGTGCGTCTGCGCAGGTCGCGGCCCTGAGGCCCAAGACGACCTCTGTGCGAGGTGAGCTTACGTGCCGCGCGCGTGGTGCCCCGGGGCGCCCCTGGTCAGCTCGCGCTCGCGTACCGCGCGAAACCACGGCCGGCCGTGCGCGTGTGCGGCCTGTCGCGCGCGCTGCGATGCAATGCCGGGTGGCGGTTTGCCCTGTTGGCCTCGGCCGCGCCTCCACGGTGACGATACCGCGTCCAATCCCGCGGCGCTGACTCGAACGTATTCGTTCCCCCGCGTGCAGCCCGTCCCTCGGCGCGCTCGCAGCCTCGCGTGCTCGCGTACACCGAGCCCTCCAACCGCTCGGCTGGCGCCGCGTCCGCCAAGGCCGGGGCCGCCGCCAAGCAGGCATCCACGGTCAACATCATCTGCCAGGGCCATGGCGTCGCGGTAACTTCCCCCCCAGCGCCCTCGATTCGCGCACAATCCCGCCTAGAGATTTCCCGGCTGCGTGGTGCCCTAGGACGCCCCGCCCCGCGTCCGCGCGCGCCCGCCACGCCCCCGCGACCGTCGCCTTCGCTGCCTACCCCTCCGGCCTCCCCGCCGCGCCACTCCCCGCCCCCGCGCGACGCCCCAGCCGCGCCGCGCCCCGCTTGCCCCAACCTGCGCCAACCGCTGCTGACCTACCACGGCCCCGCGGCGCGCGCGCAGGTGACGGACGCCATCCGGCAGTACGCCGAGGACAAGGTGTCCAAGGTCTGCCACCCCTTCGAGGCCGAGGTCTCGGAGGTGGACGTGCACATTTCGGTGCGCTCGAAGCACCACGGGCAGCACGGGCCCGACCAGCACTCGGTCTCGCTCGTCGCGTACACGCTCCGCAACGGCGTCCTGCGCGTCGAGGACAAGGAGGACTCGATGTACGCGGCCATCGACCTCGCGACCGACAAGCTGAAGGGCGTCCTGCGCAAGACGAAGGAGAAGGCCATCAAGCGCGGCAAGTGGCCCGGGCGCGGGGGCAAGGGCGGGCCCACGGCCGCGGACGAGGGCCTCGGCGCGTTCGAGGAGGCCGGGACCAACGAGCTCCTCGAGGCCGTCGCCGAGCCGCTGCGCGAGGCCACGGACGTGCGGGAGAAGGTGCGCAACGGCGGCGGCGCGCGCAGAGCGTGCCTCGCGGCTGCGCACGCGCTGCCCGCAGAGCAGGGGCTCCGGCGGGCCCTGCGGTGTGCGCGGCCGAGCTGCGGCGGAGCGCGGGCGCTTCGCGTCGCGTGTCGCACTCGGGGGTCCATTTACTTGTCGTTGTTGAGCAACAGATGTTTGTTGTGTCTATGACTGACTGACTCGCCAGCCCGCGCCGCCCCCGTCCGCGCAGTTCTTCAAGCTGCACGCCATCTCGCAAGCCCAGGCGATCGAGGAGCTGGAGGAGTCGGAGCGCGACTTTTACCTCTACCACGACCGCGACGCCAAGGACCTGCGGGTGCTGTACCGGCTGAAGCGGGGCCAGGGCTACGGCGTGGTCGTGCCCTCGCTCGCGCAGGGCTCCGGACCCAACCCCACCCTCTCGGACTAGACACCCCCGCGTGACCTCTGCTGCAGTACAACCACAGCACCTGTAACGGCCTGAGTCAGCCCCCCCGCACAAGCAGTCGTTGCTGCACCCGCGCGCGAGACACGACATGCGGGTGTTGTCGTCTCTCACATCCGACCAATTGCTGCTACCTCATGCCAGAGCCGCCGCCGCGCCTTACTGTACAGAGCGCGCCGGGCGTTCCACGTCCCTTCTGACGCCACCTCGCCTCGCGCGGCTGGTTGATTCACTCCCCCCCCGCATCACTTGCTCTTGGACGGGCCTGCCGACGCCAGCTCCTGCCCAGCGCCGTTCGACACCTTCATCGCGCCCTTGGCCGCCGCCCCGAACCCCTGCCCGCCGCCGCGCGACCCCTTGGGCACCACCTTGGCGGCCTTGGCGGCCTTGCCCACCTCCGCCACGGCCTTGCCCTTGGCCTTGGCCGCCGTCGCCTTGTCCTTGGCAGCCTCGCTGCGCGCGTTCAGCCGCTTCACGTGCGCCTGCAGCCGCTCCAGCGCCTCCTTCGTCTCGTCCGCGTACTGCGCCTGCGCCTGCGCCGTCGCCGCCTCCTCCTTGGCCGCAGCCGCACCGTTGCCGCCGCTGCCGTTCTTCTCGCTGCCGGCCTTCGCGGCGACGGGCTTGGCCGCCGCGCCGTTCTTGGACGCGGCGGAGGCGCCGTTCTGCGCGACGGGGGCGCCGTTCTTGGGCGCGGCGGAGGCGCCGTTCTGCGCGGCGGGGGCGCCGTTCTTGCCCGCGCCGCTCTTGGTCGCCGTGTCCTTGGTGGCGGCGCCCTTGGCCGCCGCGTTGGCCTGGGCGTTGGCGTTGGCCATGGCCTTGCGCAGGCGCTCGGCCTCCTCGCGGGCCTCCTTGAGCTCCTTCTGCGTCAGCGCCACCTCGCGCTCGGCCTCGGCAATGTCGTTCTGCATCTGCTCCGACGCCGTCACCGCGCTCTGCTTCGCCTTGCGCTCCTGCTCCACCGCCTTGCTCAGGCTCATCAGCTCCGCCTTGGCCTCCTTGAGCTCCGACTCCAGCCTGCACCAACCAAACCACAGCGCCCACATCAGCAGGCAAACACACAGCAACGCAGAAAAGCAACAACGCAGGCAGCGGCCACGGGACTCGCGCGACAGCCGGCCGCGTCCGGGCCCCGCACCTCTCGCGCTCCTGCTCCATGCGCTCCTTGACGCGCTCGGCGTGCTGGGCCTTGGCGTCCAGGCCGCGCTGCAGCTGCTGCCGCGCAATCTCGAGCGCGCGCCCGGCGTCCTGCGTGCCCTCGAGGTCGTCGTTCAGGCGCTCGACCTGCTCCTTGAGCGCGGCCACCTGCTCCGCGTACTCGTCCTCGCGCTCCTGCCCGCTCTGCAGCTGCGAGTCCATCTCGGCAATGCGCTGGCGCGTCTCCGCGAGGTCGTTCCGGAGCTCCTGCACGGGCGGGCGGCGCACGGGGAGAGCGGGGTCAGAGCGAGTGGCGACGACGGTGGCTCCGGGGCGCGGCAGCGCGGGGCGGCCAGGTGTTGTCGCACGCGCAGGGTGACGGTTGGCGCGGGGGCGCACCGCAGCGGCGTCCTTCTCCTCGGCGATGGCGGACTCGACCTCCGCGAGCTCGCCCTTGAGCGCCTCGATCTCCGCGCGCAGCTGGTTGGCCTCGGCCTGCGACGCCGCCAGCTCGCCCTCCAGGCGCGCCACGTCGCCGCGCGAGGCCTCCAGCGCCGCGTTGCTCTCCTGCAGCTGCGCGTCCAGCTCCTCCGCGAGCTTCCGCGCGGCCGCCAGCTCCTCGTTCGCCTCCTGCGCACAACACACCCCCAAAAACACGACACGTCAATCAACAACCCCCCCCCCCAAGCACCACCGCACGGCACACACCAAACAGCCCCGCCCCCACCGCGCCCAGCCCGCACACGCTCCAGCCCGCGCGCACCTTGAGCTCGGCGTCCACGCTGTTGCGCTCGTCGAGCAGCTCCTTGTACGCAGCCTCCGCCTTGAGCAGGTACTCCGCGTTCTGCTCGCGCATCTTCTTGAGCTCCTCCTTCATGCCCATGCTCTCCTTGCCCATCTTCTCCACGAGCGCCTGCTGCAGGTCGGCGTCGCGCTGCGCCTCGTCGAGCGCGCTGCGCAGCGCGTCCTGCTCGGCCTGCGAGTCCGCGAGGTCCATCTTCGTCTCCGCGAGCTCGCCCTCGATCTTGTGCTTCTCCAGCAGGACCTCGCCCTTGCTCGCCTGCAGCTCCTCCAGCGCCGCCTTGAAGGCCGCCGCGTCGCGCCCGACCTGCTCCGCCACCTTGCGCTCGCGCTCCATCGCCTCGCGCGTCTCATCCTGCGCGACACGACACGACACGACACGGCGAGACACCTCAGCACCGCTGGGCCGCGCAACGCCCCGCCGAAACCAGACGACGCGTGCTCGGAAGGAAGGGAGGGGGGGTGTTGTCGCGCCCGACTGCGTCAGGGCGCGCGTGCGTGCGGGGGCGCACCAGCTCCTCGGTGAGCTCCTCGGCCTCGGCCTCCTTGGCCTCCCGCGCGGCCTTCTCGGTGTCCCACTGCGACTCGAGGTAGGCCGCCTCGCGCCGCATGACCTCCACCGACTGCTCCTCGGCCACCAGGAGCTCGCGCGTGAGCTCGACCTGGCGCTGCGCCGCGCGCTTCTCCTCCTCCAGCGCCTCGATCTTCGCGGCCGCCTCCTCGCGGACCTTCTTGGACTCCCCCCGGAGACCCTCGGCGACCTGGCGCTCCTTCTCCAGGCTCTCCGTCACCGCCGCGACGTTCGACTCCAGCGCGCGCACGCGCTCCTGCGTCACCTTGATCTCGCCTTCGGCCTTCTCCAGGTCCTCGTCCGCCTTCTTCCGCGTCAGCTGCCACAGCCCCAGCGCGCCACCCGCCGCGACGACGCCCAGGCCGTTCGCCAGGCCCAGCGCCCCGCCCGCGGACTCCTCGCCCTCCACCGGCTCGGCGGGCACGCGGATCTCCACGGGCACCTCCACCACCTGCACGCACAGCAACAACACACCCCCCACATCACGTCAGCGCCGCTCGCGCCCGCCGCGCCGCCGCGCCGGCATGCACGGCCCCGCGGCAGCCCGGAACAGGCTGCGCGGCGCCGCAGCGCGGCCCCCGCCCCCACGCACCTTCTCAATGACGCGTACAGCCTCCGTTCCAATCTCGCGGCCCTTGGGGACCTTCTCGAGCTCCTTCTGGAGGCGCTCGATCTCGTTGGCGCGCTCGGCGAGGGCGCGGCGCAGCTCGGCGCTCTCGCTCGTGCTGGCACGGCGGCGGAGCTTCTCGGCCTCCTCCGTGAGGCGGGCCGGGCTGAAGCCGTCGAGCGTGGGCACGTTGCCGTCGCGCGAGCGGATGATGAGCTCGAGCTCCTTGATGGGGTCCGACGCGGCGGTGGCGGCCGCGAATGCGGGCATGGCCGCGGAGAACGAGCTCAACGCCTGCATGGCCAACCACACCGATCGTTCGGGCGTTATTGCGCGGAACGGGGCGCGACGCGGCCGGAATCGCGGCGCGCGGGGCCTCTCGAGCGACGAGCGCGCGAAAGCGCGGGAGCGGGGCGGTCGGAGCGCGCGAAACGTCGCAGTTCGGGCCACGCACCACAGCAGCCGCAGCAGCAGTCGACATGGCGACCTTCGCGAAGCTGGGGGCCGCATCGCCGCTGTCGCGCCCCGCAGCAGCCACCTGTGTCGCAAGGAAGCGGGCGGGCTATCGTCGGGGCGCGGAGACGGTGCGTGCGCGCGCAGTCGCTGAGCTGGGGCCGGACTGCCGCTCGAAACAAACAGCGGCGGCAAGGGTCGCGCAGCGCGTGAAGATGAGATCCCGCGGCGCATATTGAGTCCTGATGTACTGAGAGCCCCTCTGCGCCGGAGAACGACGCATCACGGAGGCGGCGCGGCCCGCTCCGCCCGCCTGAATTTGACCTGCCTCTGAGCCTACCACGGCTCGGCTCAACCGCGCCGGTGCGCCGTGCGTCGCCGTCGCGGACAAACACGCTCGGGCCGGAATGTGGGTCCCGAGCGATGCAGCGCGGCCGTCGCGGCGCGCCCGGCCGGTGCGCAGCGACCGGGCCGCTCTCCCTAAGCACCGGGCTCACGCTTCTAGCACGGTCGCGGCACGCTGATCGGCGGGGCGCGGAAACGGGCTGCCGCGCGCCGCGGTCGGTGGGTGCGGTAGTGAACTCACCTGGTGCGTGGTCCGGGCGCGCTCGCGCTGCGTGCCGGCGACGCGCGGGGCAGATGCAGGGTGTTGGATACGTTGCGCGCGGGCGGCGCGCGACAGCGCTCCGGCCTGCATTCGGCCCTCGAGGGGGGTCGACGTGATCATACTGGACGCGGAAAGCTGGCGTGAGGCTCAAGTGCCGATCTCTCGACGCGGCCCGGGCCCTGCGCTTTTCAGTCCAAGCAAGAGCCTTGTCCCGGCGGTACGCGCGAACGAGACCCTGTCAACCCAACAACGAGCTCGCGAGCGATCCCTGACGACCAGTTCCCGGCGATGCGCGGCGCCGCGGCCGCCGTCAGCCAAAGGCGCCCCGGCACCACGGCAGGCAGTCAACTCCAGTAGAAGTAGGGGGGGTGACTGTCCGTTCGGCCCGCAGCGAGGCGCGACGCGCGGGAAAGCGCTCCCTGCGCCCCCCGGCGGCGGCTGGCGCGCCCGCCCCGCCGCAGCGACCGGCACGTGGCGGCCCACGTGCGCACCTGTTAGGCCGCATGACGCACCGGGCGGGAGGGCTTGACGCGCGTCGCGGAGTACGACAGCGAGCGGGGGAATCCGCGAGGGTTCGGGGGCACCGGTGGCGGGGCGGCTGCGCGGCAGCGAGCAACGGCGGCGTGCGTGTACGAGAGACACGAAGTGCAGATGTTGAGGCCGCTTCAGGATGGACCGACGTGCGGGGTTCCAAGCGCCTCGGAAGACTCGGGGCCACGCTGGGATCCCGCCCGCGGAGCGCCGCGGCGGGCAGCGGACAGTTGCGGCGGGTGACTGGCAGCACCTGAGGCGCGTGGGGGCGGCAGAGTCGACGGAGTGAGTCGGGAGCGGCGCGTTCTGGTTGAATCACAGAGGCCCGGCGCGTCGTACGCCTCACGTTTGCGTCAGGGCGCGCGGCCGCCCTCGCAAGTAGCTTCACGGCGTTACAGGGGCGCTGGTGCCAGGGAGCATGAGGGCCCCGCACCGCAGCGGTCCCGCGGGAAACTACGCGCGTGATACTGGCAGCAGGGTCCGGGGGGGAGGGATGAGGGGCGGGGTAGAGAGGGCGGCTCAAAACGGGGTGGTTGGAACGCAGCGGTGAGGGGGCTCAGATCTTGGCGATCTCCGCCTCGACGAGCGCGCGGCTGGCGGCGCGCGCGGCGTTCCGCAGGCGCTTGAGCTCGTCCCGCGCGACGTCGAGCTTCTCGTTGGTGATGAGGTTGTCGCGCTCGGCCTCGAACAGGTCGGCCTCCATGATGCGCACCGTGTTCTCCGCCGACTCCTTGGCCTTGTTGAGGATGTAGTTCTCCTTGTTGAGCGAGATCATGCTGAAGCGGGCCTCGTACAGCTTCGCGTTCGCGACCTTGGCCGCCGCGCGCATGTTCTCGATCTCGGCGCGGGCCGCGCGGAGCTCCTCGCGCGTGAAGGCGCTCGACTCCTCGAGGCTGGCCACCTCGAGGGTGAGCTTCCGGACCGTCTCCTGCGCGTCGAGCTTCTGCTTCATCTCCAGGTACACCTCCTTCCCGCGGTTGATCAGGTCGCGGCGCGCCTCCTGCAGCTTGGCCTCGGCGCTCGTGGCGCGCACCAGGAGCTGGTCGGCCTCCTCGCACGCCGCGCGCAGCTCCCGCTCGGTGATCTCGTACTTCTTCTGCGCCGCCGCGATCTGCTTCGTCAGCGTCGACACCGCCTCGTCCGCGTCGTACTTGCCCTTGAAGATGCGCTGGAACTCCTTGCCGCGCTCAATCATGTCCACGCGCGCCTTCTGCAGGCTGCTCTCCGCGCGCGTCGCGCGCTTCTGCAGGCGCTCGTTCTCCTTCGTCGCGATGTCGAGGCGCTCCTTGTTGATCGTGTTCTCCTGGCGCAGGATGTCGCGCTCCTCCTCCGCGTTGATGCGCGCAATCTGCTCGCGGTGCAGCTCCTTGCCGCGGCTGATCAGCTGCATGCGCGCCTCCTGGAGCTTCGTCTCGGCGTTCGTCGACTTCTTCGTCAGGCGCTCGACGTCCGCCATGGCCTTGCTCAGGCGCTCCTGCGTCACCGTCGACTCCGTGCGCAGCTTGTCCAGCTCCGCCTCCGCCGCGTACCGCGCCGTCTGCTCGCGGTGCAGCACCTTGCCGCGCGCCAGCATGTCCATGCGCGCCTCCTGCAGCTTGGCCTCCGTGCGCGTCGCCTTGGCGTGCAGGCGCTCCGTCTCCTCGATCGCCGCGCGCAGCTCCTTGCGCGTCTGCTCGCTCTTGCGCTCCTCGACCGCGATGTGGTTCTGCAGCTCCTCCACCGTCGCCTCCGCCTTCAGGCGGCCCAGCTCCTGGCGGTGGATCTCCTTCCCGCGGTTGAGCAGGTCCACGCGCGTCTCCTGCAGCTTGCTCTCGAGCCTGCACGCACAGCCGCGCGACACAGCCGCAGACGGTCAGCGCGCGGGCGCGGCGGGGTTGCGGGGCGCGGGGCCGTCGCACGCCGTGCACGTCGTGGCGTTGGGCGCTGCATGCTTTCTCACCTGGCGCGCTCCTCCGACATCTGCTTCGACATGTTGTCGATCTTGGTCTTGGCCTCGGTCTGCACAGCGAGAGACGCGGGACGCGGGACCGTCGCACGGCGCGTCCCGGCGTGCGGGGCGGCGGCGGGGCACATGGCACATGGCGCGTGCGTGTACGCACCTCAACCCTCTTGCGCTCGCGGATCGCGCGGGCCTCGACCTCCTCGATGTCCACCTTGAGGCCCTCGATCTGGTCCGTCAGGTCACCCTGGCGCTTCGTCAGCGCGAGCAGGCCGAGCGTGCCGCCGACCGACACAGCGCCGAGGCCCTGCACGAGGCTGTCGGTGCCCGTCGGCCCCGTGAAGGCGACCGTCGGGGCGGCGACCGAGGGCAGGGACACCGCGGGCGCGGAGAACTGCGGCAGGTTGATCTTGGGCACGGTGACCGCCGGCACGGAGACCGTGGGCGGCGCGGCCGACGTCCTGGGCGCGGCGACCGTCGTCGGCGTGGGCGGGGCCTGCGGGGGCGCGGGGAGGCGGGGGCGCGGTGGGGGCGGTGCGCGGGGGCTAGGGTGCGAGGATTCCGGACGTTTGGCGGTGCGGCTCCGCCTGGGACGACTCCCAGAGCAGCGCCGAGCTGCGTACCCTGTCCACGGCCCGGGGCAGCGGCATGGCCTTGGGCTTGGCCGCCGCCGCCGCCACCTTAGGGTCGTCGCAGTCGACGTCCTTCTTCTTGAGCTCCGCCTGGAGCTGCTCGATTTGAGTCGTGCGCTCCGAGAGGGCGCGGCGGAGCTCGGCGGTCTCGCCCACGCCCCGGCGCTTGGCCTCCGCCTCCACCACCTTGGCAGAGGGGCTGTAATCAGCGGAAACGTCCGGCATGGCCCCACCGCGCTGGAGGATCATTACCTTCATCTCATTAGCCACGTTCCGGGTCGCGCCCGCCGCAAGCGCCGGGCTCACGGCCGCTACCGAGGTCAACGCCTGCGCGTCATGCCAGGATAACATCGCGCGGTGAGGCGCGGAACGGGCGCGAGGCGGCGCCAGAGCGGGCGCGGTCTGCTCAATTATGCGCAACTATTCGAAATACGACCCTTGACAGGCGAGCGGCGCGGGCGATTGGGAGGGCGGACGCACCAAGGCAGCCGCAGCCGCAGCAGCAGCAGCAGTCTTCGCGACGCGGTTGTCCGACTCCTCACCGTCGTCTTGCGCCTTCGCCGCCACCTGCACGACCACAGCGGTCCGCAGCAACCGGCGGTGAGCCGGGGACGGGCCCGCGCATTCAATCGAGGCCGGGCGAAGGGCTCGCCCAACCAGGAGCTTCCGGCGGCAGCGCGCGCTGCGCCGCCGCGTGACCCGCCCAGGGACGCCGGTGCGGCCTCCTGGCGCTCGGTTTTACGCGTTTCGGGGCCGGAGAGGCCGGGAAATCGCCGGAGGGGGCCGGACCGCCGGCAGCCCTGGACTTCCTACTATATCCCGGCCGGAACGCGACTGACCGCGGACGAAACGCCATGGACGATGCCGCGTTGCAATGTTTGGGCCCGGAGGCGGGTTCTGGGGCGCGGCGGGGGCGGTTCCGCGCGCGGGCGGGCCTGGCCGCTCGCTCGATTCTGGCCAGGTTGCCTGCCGAGGACCGAGGGCGGCACGGGCCCCCTGGCGCGCGAAATGGGCGGAAATCGCTCCGATCGGGGAGGTGTGGGGCCACTGACCTGGTGCGTGGGCCTGGAGCGCGCGCGGGGCGCGCCGGCGACGCCCACCTTGCCTGCACCCTGCATGGGGATTCGCTTCGCGCGCGTGGCGCGGGAGACGACTCCGGGGGCCGCGCGGCCCTCGGCCGTGTTCATCGCGATCATTTTGGGGTGTTAGCGGTGCGGAGAAGTCGATTGCCACGAGCAGTAGCCCGTGCCGCTCTGGGTGCAGGTGACCTTTAGGCGAACGTGAGGCGCGCTGACGTTCGCTGAGATCACGCGCGGCGCTTCTCGGTGCTCGGAAGTCTTGGAGCCCCGGGAATACAGCCCACTGCCGACGACCGCGGGCCTTGGCGCCGCGCCGCGCGCCCGAAAGCACCGCCATCACTCGCCGCCGGGGAGTCCAGGGAAGAAGCCGCCCGACCGAGACGGCGCCGCGCAGCCCCGACCCCGCCCCGCGCCGCCCGCGCACTCGCCCTGTGGTCGGCGTCACGTGCATCGCACCCGCGAATCGCCTCCCCCGCCCCCGGAGCCGCCCAGCCGCGCATTCGCCCCCCGTCCCGCCACAACAAGCGCGGCCGACGGCGACGGTCGCGCGAGCGATGGGGCCCTGCGCGCCCGGGAGCGCCGAGGGGCGGACAGAATGGATCGCCGGACGCGCCCGGAGCCGCCCGCGCGCCGCAGCGCGCCCGGCCGCGCCGTCGCCCTGGCTAGGCCAGGTGCAATGTGATGGCATGTGGATTGGAACGCGCGTTACGCGGCGGACTGGCCCGCAGACGCCGCGCCGCCGCCCTCGCTGGGATCCTCAGATCGTTGTCGCCCGCAGGCGCCGGTGCGACGGGCGCTCGAGCGCGCGGACGAGCGCCCCGAGGCCGGTCCACCCTGCCTATCATATGAGCAGCAGGTCAAAAGGCACAAGTAGGTCAGACGCACATGGGCGGGTGCCGCGCGCCGGAACGCGGGCGGGTGCGCGCCCGACGATCGGCGCACGGGCTCGGGGGCTGCGTGCCGGGCGGGCGCCGCGCTGCGGCGGCGGCGGCGGGCGCCGCGGCACCCAGTGTGTGTATGTGTGTGCGGGGCGGCACGGCGCGGGGAAGGTAGACGGGGTGGCGGCGGCCGTGCGGGGCGCGCGCGGCGACGGTGCTGTACGGCGGTGTGGAGGCGCGGGTCCAAGCCGCCGCCGGGCGGCGAGCAGGGCCGCGGCATGGCGCGAGCAACGCAGGGGGGCGGGCGACTCGCTGGCACCGCCATGTCGGGCGGACGGCGACGGCGCGGGCTGCGAGCGCCCGGCCGCGAGAGCCCCGGGCATGATTCTCAGGGCGCTCATACATCGGCGCCCCCCGCTTTCGGCGCGAGGTGAAGAAGGTGCTGTTTGCACGGGCTGCTCCTCGCGGGGGCGCGCAAACGATACAGCGTGCCTCCCGAGCGAGAGCTGTATAGTATGCCATGGTGGCGCTGCGTGGGAACCGACCGTCGTTGTCGTCAGCAGCGCGGAATCGCGGACGTTCTACTCGCGTTAGGACCCGGGCCTCGTGACGCGTCGCGTGGGCGGGACATGGCCGGTCGCCACCGCGGGGAGCGCAGTGCTCCGGAAAAAATTGCGGCGGCGATAGCCGAAACAGACGCTGGGAATCTGACGACGGCGCGGGGCCAGTTTGCGGCCGTGACTTGCACCTCGAGCGGCCCTCGGCGCCGCGAGGACCGAGACGCGCGGTAGGCACGCGCGGGCACCTCTTTCAGAAACGGAGCCCCCCGGGCGTCCGACGAGGTTCGCGAAAAGATGGGCAAGGATGGCGACGGCGAGCTCATCAAGCCCCAGAGCACGACCCCGGTGATGGACACAAGCCAGTGGCCGCTGCTCCTGAAGAACTACAGCAGGCTCCACGTCCGCACGGGGCACTACACGCCCATTCCGGCCGGCCACGCGCCCCTCAAGCGCCCCCTCAAGGAGTACCTGCAGTACGGCTGCATCAACCTCGACAAACCGAGCAACCCCTCGTCCCATGAGGTGCGCCGCGCCCTCCCCCGCCACACGATCATGCCTGCGCGCGGGCGTCGGAGCCGCCAGCGCCGGCACGGAGGACGCGAGCGCGCCTGCACCCCCAGTGGACCCGTTGCTGCCGCCGCGACGGCTCTCGCCCGCTCGACGCCCGCTCAGCCGCCCCCCACGAGCAGAAGACCTGTTTGGCTACCGCGTCCCTGCGCCGCACCGCGCCCCGGCGCCCGGTCGCACGGCCCGCGCCCCCCCAACACCTCCGGGCAACCTCCCGGCGGCATGCGCCGCCGCGGCCCCGCGGCCGCGCCCCACGCGCCCCCGCGCCCGGCACGCCCCCGCAGGTCGTCGCGTGGATCAAGCGCATGCTGCGCTGCGAGAAGACCGGCCACTCCGGGACCCTGGACCCCAAGGTTACGGGCAACCTCATTGTGTGCTGCGACCGCGCGACGCGGCTCGTGAAGGCGCAGCAGGGCGCGGGCAAGGACTACGTGTGCGTCGCGAAGCTCCACAGCAAGGTCGAGGGCGGCGCGGCGCGCGTGTCGAACGCGCTGCAGACGCTGACGGGCGCGCTCTTCCAGCGCCCGCCGCTCATCTCCGCGGTCAAGCGGCAGCTCCGGATCCGCACGATCTACGAGTCGAAGCTCCTCGAGTACGACGACGAGCGCCACATGGCCGTGTTCCACGTCAAGTGCGAGGCCGGGACGTACATCCGCACGCTGTGCGTGCACCTCGGGCTGGTGCTGGGCGTGGGCGGGCACATGCAGGAGCTGCGCCGCACGCGCTCGGGCATCCTGGGCGAGAAGGACAACATGGTGACGATGCACGACCTGCTCGACGCGCAGTGGCTGTACGACAGCGCCAAGGACGAGGCCTACCTGCGGCGCGTGATCATGCCGCTCGAGGTGCTGCTGACGAACTACAAGCGCTGCGTGGTCAAGGACAGCGCGGTGAACGCGGTGTGCTACGGCGCGAAGCTCATGATCCCGGGCCTGCTGCGCTTTGAGGACAACATCGACGTTGGCGACGAGATCGTGCTGATCACGACCAAGGGCGAGGCGGTGGCGGTGGCGGTGGCGGAGATGAACACGGCGGTGATGGCGACGTGCGACCACGGGTGCGTCGCGCGCGTCAAGCGGGTCATCATGGAGCGCGACACCTACCCCCGGCGGTGGGGGCTGGGCCCCATGGCGCAGAAGAAGAAGCAGCTCATCAGCGAGGGGAAGCTCGACAAGCACGGGCGGCCGAACGAGAAGACGCCCGAGGAGTACCGCCGCGCGGTGCCGGACGTGAAGGCTGCCGACGCGCCCGAGACGCCCGCGGACGGCGGGCGGAAGCGCGAGCGGTCGCCGGCGCTGCAGAGCCCCGAGGAGGCGACGGAGCGGAAGAAGGAGAAGAAGGAAAAGAAGGAGAAGAAGGAGAAGAAGGAGAAGAAGGAGAAGAAAGAGAAGAAGGAGAAGTGATGTTTGCGGCGGACAGAGAGAGACACGTAGCACCGCACACGGTGCTGGGATCCGCCGGGAAGCTGTGACCTCGCGGCAGCACATCGCAGCACGCGCACACGCACGCACGCACGCGCCGCCGGCGCCCGCTGGCTGTCACGTCCGCGCGGCACCCCACCCCGCGCGACACGGGCTCGCGACGGTTTCGTGTCTCGTCACACCGCGCAGCGGCCCTGCGCCGCGCTCACCGCAGCTCGACGCCGAGCTTCGCGGCCGTCTGCGACCGCACCTCCTCCTGCAGCGCGTTGATCTCCTCGTCCGTTAGCGACCGCTCCATTGACCGGTACGCGATGCGGTAGCAGTTGGACCGCTTGCCCGTCTTGGGGTTCGTGAAGTCGTCGATCAGCTTGACCTCCTCCGCGATGTCCCCCGCCACGCTGCGCACGATCTCGCACAGGTTGTTCTCCGTGAAGTCCTCCGACACCCAGAACGCCATGTCCTTGAAGCACGGCGGGTACTTCGAGAACGGCTTGAACTCCGTCGACATGTCCCCGGCCTTGAACTGCGACAGGAAGCGCTCGTCCGAGGACCAGAACAGCCGAATGTCGGGGATCTTGAACAGCACCATCGCCAGGCGCTCGAGCCCGAGGCCGAACGCCCACGCCTTGGACCCCTCCCGCCCGTTCTTGTCCAGGATCTCCTGCTCCATCACGCCGCACCCGAGCACCTCGAGCCACTCCCCCTGGTAGAAGATCTCCAGCTCGAACGACGGCTCCGTGAAGGGGAAGTACGCGTCGACCCACCGCATCTCGCACTCGCCGAACAGGTGCGTCGCGAGCTGCTCGAGCGTCTCCTTCAGGTCCTTCTCCGCGAGCTCCGCGCCGCTGCACCCGGCCGCCGCGATCTCCTCGTCCGTGAACACGCGCACCCCCTCCATCTGGTGAAACACGGGGTAGTGCGTGGCGTCGACGGTGTCGCGGCGGTACACGTCGCCCGTGACGAGGAAGCGCGTCTCGCCGTTCCGGAGCATCTCGGCCTGGTGCGCCGAGGTGTGGCACCGGAGCACCGTCTCGCTGTCGACGTAGTACGTGTCGTTGTACGAGCGCGAGACGTGGTCCGCGGGGACGAGGACCTCGTCGAAGTTGGCCTTCGCGGACACCACGGGCCGCAGGCTGTCGAACGTGTTGAACATGCCTGCGCGCGGGGAGGACCGGGCGGGCGCGGGGGTTGAGGTCGACCGGACGCCGGGGCGGCGCGTGCACGCGGCGGGGATGCGAGCTGAGGGCCCCGAGAGGCGGGCGTCTCGTACCCGGGTGCTTCTGCTCGAAGAAGTCGTAAATGACGCCCTTGATGATGCCCAGCGGGTGGTCGGGCTTGCGGTGCAGGTCAGTGCCGATGCGGTCGAAGATCGACTCCGTGACGTTGCAGTCCGGCTTCCCCGTGATCACCTCGTCCTTCTGAACAGGGGCCTCGCTCACCGCCGACGCCTGAACGCGCCCCGACGCCCGGGCGCCTGCACCCCAGAAGCACCCGCACGCAAGACCGTCGGCGGGCGCGGCGGTGGCGCTGCGGGGACGCGCTGGCCCGCGGGGCCGCGCTCGGCCTCCCCTCCGCTCGCGCGGCGGGCACGCGGAGCGCCGGCGACGCGCGGCCGGCGGGGCGAGGGGCGCAACGAGCAATGAGCGCACGCGGCGGGGGTGGAGGCCGGAGTCGCACGGGCGCGCCGCGACGGACGCCCGGGGTGGGTCGCGAGCGGTCGCGGCGCGTGGGATCGGGCGGGAGCGGCCGCGGGGGCGCGACGGTGCGATCGCGGGGGGTCGCACCGTTGACAGTGTGGATGGGCTGCGAGGAGCGCGGCGAGGGGCTCGACACGAGCGGGCACGCCCGCCTGGGGACCGATGCGCAGCGACCTGCATTTGGTTGGGCGGTGGGGTGCCTCGTCAGCGCGAATGACCGGCGCAGGGGCGCTCCCCGCGCCTGGAGGTCTGCTTGTGGGCCCACGGCGCACAGGGCCTCGCGCGGGGGCCCGGTGCGCCGGGAACGCGCACTCGCCACCGGAAACGCGAGGATTCGATTTGAAGTTTCGAGATTGCCGGTCGAGCTCCGCAGCACCGCCCTCTGCGACGCGGGCCTCGCGCATTCACTCGGCGCCCCGACTAGGAGCGCTGGGAGGCACGTCGCGCACGCGCGGCCCGGGCGCGGGGCCGCGCGCCGGCGCCCGGGGGGCCTCACCGATCGCCTTGGTCGACGCTCGGAGCATGATGCGCGAGGAAGTCAGCATCTTGACGCCCACACCGGCTCCCAAAGCTGCTGCAAGTACAGGACCGAACGACGCTGCCTCCGACGCTCGATGCCGCTTCCCGGACGTTGAACAAGGTCTCCTGGCGCGCGTGTGGCCCTCGCGCCGCCGGGGACCGCCCCTGAAGCGCCCCGGCGCGGCGCAGTGGGGGTGTGGGACCTCGGCCTGGAGATCGCGCGCGGTGCGGGCACGAGGGGACCGCACGCGGCGCTGCCCGCCCAGCGCGCCTTTGACGAAAACGTAGAGCCGTCTGCGCCGGAGTCGGTGGGTCGAGGTGCTCCTCATCGCGCGAACGCGGCTTCGGGCCCCTCTTCCGTTGCCGTTCGCCGCGCCGGGCGGAACGACGCCGCTCTTTTGGCCCGCGATCCGCATAAAATCATCGCAATTGCCGCCAAATCCATGTCCGCGTGACGGGCGGGCCGCGGCGCGCTCCACATCGCGACACGGGGCTCCTCCTCTCCCCGCGAGGCTCAGCTCCGCGCCCTTATGCGGGTCGGCAAGCGCCCGAAGTGAGCGCCCTGCGCCCGCACGCACTCCGACCATGCCGTGCCGCGCGCGCCTCGCGTCCGGCGCGAGCGGAGCCCCGCCCGCCGGCACGCGCACCCTCGCCCCCGCCGCACCCAGAGGCCCGTTGGTGCCCAGGCGCCTCTGTGTGCCTGCCGGCCGGCCGCTCGCGGCGCGCCGGCGGTGCGCGCGTACCGTTGGGCGACCGTGCCGCGCGGACGTATGCGCGCGCGCGGGCCCGCGGGCGCGAGCGCGCCCAGCCTGGCTCACGTATCAAGCCTCTCACGCTGCGCCCGCCGCGGTCCGTGCCTGCAGAACGCCAACGCGACCCCACACCGACAAGTTCGTCAATTCTAGCTACAGCGTCGCGGTCAAGGTCGCGCATCTCCGCGGGGCGCCGACAGCACAGGAAGCTAAAGGCAAGGCCAACCGGCCGGTCCCCGCGTGGCTCACGCCGAGCACGGCGCCCGAAGCGCGGCAGGTGGGCGAGGTGGTGGCGCACGAGGCGCAGCGCCAGGACAAGGAGAACGCGGGGGGCCCTCAGAAGCCGAGCGGCGTGGTGTCAACAATGCCGTCGCAGCCTTCGAGCCCCGGGGGCGCGCGGCGCAGCCGCCAGGAGCCCGCGAGCATCAGCCCCGACAACCTCGCGGGCCATCCCCTGCAGGACCTGAAAGTAACTGAGACGCCGGAGCGCGAGACGAGGCGAAAGGTGCGCCTCCCGCCCGCAGCAACCAACAACGGAGCGCCCCGGCAGCGCCTGCCGGTCGCGGCCGGCTCGCGCGGCTCGGCCTGCCGCGGAGAGCGCGTTCCGCTCTGTCCGACCGCCGCGTTCGCCCGGCTGCCCGTGGCGCGTGCAGGGCAAGAAGGCGCGTCGCGAGGAGGCGTGGAGTCCAGAGAAGCTGGAACGCACCCCCTCGGCCGGCTGGCGCGCCTCCTCCGCGGCGTACCAGCGCGCCAGTGTCTCCTCGGGCCGCTTATCCGCGCGAGGGCGTCCGAAGTCCGCTGGAAAGGCGCGTCCGGCCTCCACCTCACCGGGACTGGCCACGCCCGCCGTGGCCTCGGGGAGGAGCCCGCGGCTGATCAACACGCCCGGCTCGCTCCCAGGCGATGCGCACAGCCCCGGGGGCGCCCCGCTCCCGTCGGGCGCGGAGGAGCTCGCGCGGAGGCCGCACCTCTCGTCCAAAACGCGCGACCTCGCGTCCGCCCGCTACCGCGACGAAGTCCTCCCCGGGCAGGACCGCATCGACTTCCTCTACGAGTCCGGCCGCACGAGGGTGCGCTCCCCGACCCCGCGCGCAGCGCACCCGCCCACACAGACACACAAACGTGCAAGAAGCAGCAACAACAACGTACGCCGCTCTCTCACGCCCGCGCTCGCCCTGCAGGTCGCGAAGTGCCGCGCGCGCGACGGCGCGCGCCTCTGGGAGCTCCGCGAGCTCGCCAACGCCCAGCGCGATCTCGAGACGGAGCGGAAGCAGCGCGCCAAGAGCGCCGGCCGGCAGCGCCCGAAGAGCGCGCGGCGCGGCACGCTGGACCCCGCCGAGTTCTACCAGACGCAGCTCGCGTGGAAGGCCGGCCTCGAGAGCGTCCGCGCTGCGAAGAAGGAGGAGGCGGACCGCCGCCGGGCGTACCAGGAGCTGGAAGCCTGCACGTTCAAACCCAAGGTCAGCGCGCGGTCGCGGTCCATCGGACGCTCGCACAACGCGCGCCTGGGCACCGGCTTTGCGTCCCCGACGCAATCGTCGCGCAGCAAGAGCCGCTCGGTGTCGCCGCACGCCACCCCGAGGCCCGGTGAAGGCACGCCGCAGCGGTCCGGCGACGTCAGCGCGCGCGGCCGGCCGAGCTCCGTCCGCGGGACCGCGCGCAGCCACACGGTCGCGACCGTCCTCCCCCCGCGCGGCGCGGCCGCGCCGGACTCCCCCGGGGAGGTGTCGGGCCTCCTGTTGTCAGCGCGCGGCGGCTCCGGGGGGGGGGTCTCGTCGCGGTTCTTCCGGCCGATCGAGGGCGCGGACGCCGCGACGGCGACCTCGAAGCCCGCGGGGAAGCCGGCCGACGCCCCGGGGTCCCACTTTGCGCCGCTGTCGGCGGACCAGATTGAACGCGAGGTGCGGCTGGCGCTCGCGGACATCGCGAACGGCGACATCCCGGAGGAGGACATCGAGGAGATCGTGCAGCGCGCGGCGGCGAAGCCCGCGCTCGCGATCGGCGGCAGCACGATGCGGTCGACGCCCGATCACCTCCTGCACTCGCCCGTGCACGCGCCGCCGGACAGCTGCCGCCCGCTCGCGGCGCCCGGGCCCGCGGACCGGCTCGTAGCGAGCCAGACGGAGGGCCTGCTGCGGAGCTTCGAGGTCGCGGGGGTCGCGGTGGACGAGGCGACGGTGTGGGCGGTGGCGGACCGGAAACAGGCGACGACGAAGCGGTTCCTGGAGCGGCAGCGGCAGGCGCGGGACGCCAAGGTGGAGCACCTGGCGCGGCTGACGAGGTACAACGGCGAAGGGTGGGACCCGCGGGGGACGCGGAGCTTCAATCGACCCAAGTTAGGGGCCGAGCGCGGGGGGTCGCTGCGCGCGGCGGCGGAGCCCGTGGCGGCGCTAACGCCGCGTGCGGGGGCGCTGAATGACCCGAGCTACGTGCCGATGTCGGTGCGGCTGCGGGGGGCGCGCATGCCCGCCACGCCCCCGCCCGCAGCGCAGGAGGCATAGAGGCCTGTCAGTGCGCGAGGGGCAAGATTGCCGCCCGCGACATGCTCGGCCGCCGCCCGGAGCAGGCGCTGCAGCGTCCGGGGACGTCGATGCGAGGCTGCAGCGAAGCTGCCGAGCCACATTGCTGTGAATGATGCAAGATGACCGCGAGAACTTGCAGGAGAGCGCAGCGCAGCGCTGGCTGGCTGGCTTTCGAGAGACACAAAGCATGGCGGGCGCTGGGGACGGCGCAGGGCTCGCTGCTCAACGTCGGAGGGCCGCGCGCAGGGGCACGGCATCTTGCTGGGCCGCGTCGAGTGGTCGTGCGTTGGAGCCTGCTGTCTGTCCCCCGAATCATAAAAGCGCCTCGTCGATTACTCGTCAGTCACAGTCTACAGTCTAGCAGCGTCACGTACACGCGTGTGGGCGCCGACGCAACCCCTGCGTCCCGCCCCCCGAGTGTCCCAGGCAGGCCATGTCTCGCCCGCCCGAGGCCCGAGCCCCGTATGTACAGGCGCGTGTCAGCGCGATCGACCGCAGCTCCCGTACCGAGGGCCCGGCCCTCAGCACCCCCACGGCGCCAGAACGCGCGCGAGGGCGTCCGGCCCGTTGTAAGCGTACGCCATGAGCAGCCCGTAGTTCGTGAGCGGGACGCCGGCCTCGGCGGCGTCGCTGATGCGCGCGCGGACCTTCTGGTGGTCGATCATGCACGCGCCGCAGTGGATCACCAGGTCGTACTCCGACAGACCCTGTTCCAGGTCTGGGAACTCGCGGCCAAAGGTGTGGTCCAGGACGACCCCGGGGCCGGCGTGCCGCTCGATCATCTGCGGGATCTGCACCATCCCGATGTCGTTGCACGCGTCCGTGATCCTGTTGTGGTTGCACGCCTCCGCGATCAGCACCCTGTCGCCCGCCTTCAGTTGCTTGTACCGCTCCATGCCGCGCGCGAACAGCGGCAGCTGCCCGCCGCTCTGCCGGTGCATCATCGCGATCGAGAACGTCGTCACGTCGATCAGCGGCTTCCCGTCCGGGCCGAGCGTCCACGGGTGCACAACGTCCATGGCCTGCGAGTCCGTGACCATGATCTTGGGCCCCGGCGCCGACTGCACCGCGGCCAGCGAGCGCAGGAAGCGCTGCCGCTCGGCCTCGCGCGCGACCGGGTCGTCCCCGCGCGCCGCGGCCAGGTCCATGCGGTACGCGATCGTCGTCGACCAGTGGCGAATCGCCTCCTCCTGCAGCAGCGCCTGCGGCCGCAGGAGCCGCATCGACGGCGTCTCGGCGTCCATCGGGATGTTCAGGAAGACGCCGGCGTCGGGGGAGAGGTACTCCTCCGGCAGGCAGCGCGGCATGTGTGCCTTGACACGCGCGGCGTTGCCCTGGATGAAGTGCGTCACCATCTTGATGGCGCGGTCCTCGTCGTGGAGGTCGAGCACGAGCATCGGCACCTCCGCGACCTCGTCCGGCGTGTAGGCCGACGCGGCGGGGCACCCCCCGCTGCGGTCCTCCCCGGCGTGCGCCGCGATGTCGACGAGCCCCTGCACGAGGACGCCGCGCAGCTCCTGCGCGACGCGGACGGCCTCGGCGTCGGCGAGCGCGCCCTTGCGCACGTTGAACACGAGCAGCGGGAGCACGCCGTGCGACGCCGCGCTCTCCATGAGCCCGCGCTCCCACGACACCGCCGCGCGCAGGTCCGCGCCCGACAGCCCCGCGAACCGCGCCGCGTCGACCACGATGACGGCCAGGTCCGACTCCTTCAGGCTCGACATCGTCTTCGCGCGCTTCTTGTCGCCCAGCATCCCCGCCTCGTCGATCCCCGCGGTGTCAAACAGCTTCGTGGGCCCGACGTCGTGCAGCTCCATCAGCGAGATCTTCGTGTCCGCGGTCGTGCCGGGCGTGGCGTCCACGATCGACGTCTCCTGCCGCGTGATGCGGTTCATCAGCGTCGACTTGCCCGCGTTCATCGACCCGAAGACTCCGATGTTGATGCGCGGCACGTCGCTGCCCTTCACCGGGCCGGGCTTCTTGGCCTCGGCCTGCTGCGCCACGGGCGCGGACGCGCGCGCCGTGCCCGTCGCGTACCCGCGGCCGCCGCCGGCGCGCCACCCGCCGCCGCCGAACCGGTGCCCGGAAGAGAATCGTCGCGTGCCCGGGGGGTCGAGCCCCGACGTCAGCGGGTTCGCGAAGTGCGGGGGGTCCGCGCGCGCGTTCAGGCGGAGCTCCTTCGACACCATGTGCACGCGCGCGTCCAGGCACCGCCGGCACTCCTCCGCCGTGTCCGTGATGCAGGGCTTGCCCTCGTACAGCTGGTAGTGCTCCCGGAACTTGGTCGGGGTCAGAATCGGCATGAGGATGTTCGCGCCGCGCGACAGCGCGATCTCGCGGCCCATCGGGTCGATCGCCTGCAGCGCGGTCGTCGCGGCGATGTTCGAGTTGCCCAGGTTGATGCGCGCCAGCGCGTTCATGCGCATCGTGAGCAGGACCATGCGCTTCATGTACGCGCTGCGGTCCTCCGTGTCGCCCGCGTGCTCGCGGTCCCACCACTCCGTCGTCGGCGTGCCCTCCTCGCGGATGTACGGCCCCATGCCCACCATGTCGGTCGACATGTCGACCAAAAAGTGAATGTCCGACGCCAGGTCCTCCGGGGTCTGACCGGGCAGCCCGACCATCACGCCCGTCGCGACCTGGAACCCCAGGTCCTTAATCATGCGCAGGCACTCCACGCGCGACTCCCACGTCTGCTCCGGCGGGTGCAGCTTCGAAAACAGGTCCGGGTTCGACGTCTCGATGCGGAGCAGGTACCGCCGCGCGCCGGCGTCGAAGAGCTCCTTGTACTCCTCCCGCGAGAGCTGCCCCGCGGAGAGCGCGACGACGATGCCCAGGTCGTCCGTGGACTCCCCCGGCCCGGGCACCGCGTCGCCGCGCGCGATGCGCTCCTCGATGTCGAGCGCGACGGTGGCCTCGCGGATGCCCTTGACCATCTCGAGGAGGTACTGGTGGCGCTTGGGCGTGCGGAGCTCGCCGCCCTGGAGCATGATGGTGTGGATGCCGTTCTTGAAGGCCCACGTCGCCGTCTCGACGATCTCAGGAACAGGCATCGTGTAGCGGTACACGCCGCGCTGGTGCTTGCGGATGCCGCAGTAGTAGCAGTCGTTCTCGCAGACGTTGCTGAACTCGATGATGCCGCGCATGTAGACGTCGTCGCCGAAGAAGCGCTGCGTGACGGTGTTGGCGTGCACAAACAGGGCCTCCTGCAGCTCCGCGTCGGCGCCCTTGCCGCCCGGGCCGCCCGTGCACCGGCGCAGCAGCTCCGCCATCTGGTCCACGCCCATCACGGTCACGTCGCCCGGACGGAGGCCCCCTGCGCCGCGACACCTCACGACGGGCGGTCAACCGCTGCGCCCAAGCTACGAGCGCCGGCGCGAACGAACGCGGCGGCGCGACGGACGAGGAAGCAGGGATCACGGGGCGCGTCCCGGCGGGGCGGAGCGAACCTGGGGTGCCGAGGAACGAGCCCAGCGCAAGCGAGGCCTCGACCGGGGTGAGCTTCGAGTCCCACGGCATCTTCGGCCGCACGCCCTTCTTCTGCAGATCGAACAGAAGCTTCTCGCCCGCGGATACCCTCTTGCCTGCGGGCAGCGGACCGGGAAACACAACGTTCGCACCGGTGCACCACGGTGGCGCAACCGCATGTTGCCTTTCCGGATATCGCGCGCCCCGGTGCGCCCCAAGGGCTGCCCGTGCAGAAACAGCGTGTGCTGTTCGAGGGGTAGCCTCCCTGGCCGTCCAAGGGGCGGAACAGGGGGTGTCGGGGTCCGCGGCGCACGAGGCGTGGGCTGCTGTTGAGTCACGTTGCACCGGGGGGCGAAAACGCGCGCGTACCTTCGTCGTGCGTGGCGTTCGTGACGCTGTGCTGGCTCCCGGGCTTGACCGTGATCAGCCGGCGGGCCGCGGCGGAGACCGCGGGGCCCAGGCGCGCCAGCGCGGGCCCAGCGAGGGCGAGCAGACCCGACGGAGAGGCGAGCCCTGCGGCGGCGCCGAGCTGCAGCAGGGTCCTCGGACCCATCGCGTTCATTTCTCCTTACTTAAACCAGGCGGTTCGCCGGCGCCTAGGACGGAATGACCCGCGGAGGTGCGGGCGCACGAGCTGCGTGTCCCGACACAACGACCAGCCGAGCCGCGGCAATTGCGCCGACGCGTCGACGAATGCGCCAGACTCTCGAAGGCGGCGAATGTATCCAGCGCCGTTGCCTGGAGAAGCAGCCGCGTTTCCCCCCCTGCGGGCGGTGTCAGCGCGGTCCAAGCAGAGAGCTTCTGAGTGCGGCCCCCCGCGCCCTCCAGGTCGCCTGGCTGGTCGCGGTGTGCCCCTGCGTGTGTGGGTCCGCGGTGCGGTCGCAATGGCGCGACGCGGCGGGCGCGGCCCTCCATGCAGCGCGAGCCCCGGTGCCCGGCAGTTGGTGTGTCCTACCAAAGCGGTCCGACGGGCGCTCCGACGGCGACATAGGCGCCGCGCGCACCTCCACGCGCCATTGTTGGTCGACTGCCAACAGGGCGAGCGCGTAACTGTGGTGGCTGAACCAGGGAACGCGGCGGCAGACTTGTCGTGTGGCGCTTCGCCCCTCCAATTCGAGGTTGTCAGGGCACTGCCGCAGGGAAGGAGGCCCTCACACGAGGCGGCTGTGCTTCGGGATCGGGATGGCGAGCATGGCTGCGTGTCATCAACCCTTGGGGCGATTGCTGCGACCACAAAGTTGCTCGCCGAGCAGTGGTGGTCGGCGCGCGCTGATCCGCGCGCCGAGAGCGCGCTCGACGGCGGCCGTCCGGCGCTTGAGAGCGGCTGCGGACGAGGAGACCGACGTCGCCGTGTTCAGGTCCGGCAGCGCCCCGCACGGCTGCCTGCCGCTGAGCACCATCCGTGCGCGAACTCGCCCCTCCCGCGCACCATCGGGGCATCGACGCCAACATCGCGTATCCAGTGACATATGCACACGCTGACGCCCCCGATTTCCACGCTAGAACCGCGCGTGTGTCGCCAAGGCGCGTCGCACCTCCGCTGGCCACCCCCTCGCCCGGGACGCGCCGCGCGCCCACGCCGCCGATGCAGGTTCACGCTGGGCAGCGAGGACATCGACAACCAGGTCCCGCGCGCCGTCGGGCTCCTCGGCACCGCCGCGCTGTTCGCCAACCACGCCAGCTCGGCCATCATCGCCCCCTCCCAGTCCTTCGCCGAAGCCGTCGGGGCCGTCCTCGCCGTCATGTGCGTCGTCGCGCCGGCCATGGAACGCCGCCTCCGCGACGCCGACCCGGGCCGCGGCCGAGGGTGCGCCCCGACCCCCCCCCCTGCGTTCGTGTCAGCGCATCCACTTCTTCTGCGCCTCTCCTGGCGCCCGCGCGCCTGATCCGCCCTCGGTGCCGGCTCCACGCGCGCAGGAAGCTGTCGGACGACATCGCGGGGTCCGTCCAGATGTTCCGGCTCGCCCCGGCTCTGTCGGACGCAACACAGCAAGAGCTGGCGTGGTCGTGTTTTTCCTTCATCCGCAACACGAACGCGTGCACGGCGCTGGTGTACTCGGCGGCGGGCAGCGGGGCCGTGGCGTGCCGCGGGGCGGTTGGGACGGAGGCCGTGGCGGGCGCCCGGGACGCGGACGCGCAGCTGGCTGCGCTGTCGCAGGCGGTGGACGCCGTGCTGTCCAAGCCCGGGGCGTGCGGGGACGCGTACTTGCAGGACCGCACGCAGATGGCCAGCGCAGGCGCGGGGCAGTGGCCCTTCGTGCCCACGGTGAGCGCTACCGCCCCCCCTGACACAAGTCCCTGTCCTGTAGGTCGGCCTCCAAGCCGTTGCGCGCGGTATCTGCCGCTGTACACAGGCAGTCATCTCCCCTGTGTCGTCGCCAGCTGCGTTGCCGCCGACTCGTCCGCCGCTGTCGCCCGCGTGCATCCTTCGCAGGGAGTGGAGAGCGTTCTGATTCGCGGGATGCCGGACGGGAAAGGGGCGATCGTGCTGATGTCGGAGCGCCCACGGGCGTTCTCGACGAAGGAGCGCGCGTGGACGAGCGCCGTTGCGGCGAAGCTCGCGCCCGCGCTGTGAGGCAGTGCCACCAGTCACGCACATGGGGCGGGTGCCGCACGTCGGGACGCGGGCGGGCGCGCGACTGGCGACCGATGCAAGTGCTCGGGGGCTGCGCGCCGGGCGGGCGTCGCGCTGCGGCGGCGGCGACGGGCGCCGCGGCACCTTGAGTGTGTGTGTGTATGTGTGTGCGGGGCGGCAGGGGAAGGTAGACGGCGGTGGCGGCGGTGACGCAGTGGCAGTGGTGTGGGGGCGCGCGCGGCGGGGGTCCAAGTCGCCGCCGGGCGGCGAGCAGGGCCGCGGCATGGCCCGAGCAGCGCAGGGGGCGGGCGACTTGCTGGCACCGCCATGTCGGGCGGACGGCGACGGCGCGGGCTGCGAGCGCTCGGCCGTGAGAGCCCCGGGCTTGATTCTCAGGGCGCCCGTACGCCGGTGTCCCCCCTTCGGCGCGATTGTGCAGGAGGTGCTGGTTGGACGGGTTGCTTCCCACGGGGACGCACAAACGGTACATCGCGCCTCGCGAGTGAAAGCTGTATAGTATGTCATGGCGGTGCTGCGTGGGAATCGACCGTCGCGGTCGTCAGCGGCGCGGAATCGCGGCCTTTCTACTCGCTTGGGGTCGCGTCAGGACGCATGCGCGGCGCACATTGCGCGCGGAGCGCGGCCTGCGACGCCGCTTTGCACAATCGCCTCGGGTCCGCAACGTCCTCCGCCACGTCTCTCTCCCACGTCTGACACGAGCACGCAATGCAGGCTGTTGGTGCATCTCGCACGGCGGCGGTGTCGGCCCCCCGCACCTGCCAGCGCAACGGCAACGCCCCCTCGGTGGCCCCCTGCCGCTGCCCGAGCTGCCTGCGCGCCGCCTCGCACGTCTGCCACGCGGCCGCCACCACGGGCACCGCGGTCACCCGCCCCCAGGCAAGTCCTCTCACAGCTGCCCATTGGCCGCGCACGCACGCTCGACACCGCGAATCGCCCGCCAAATTCGAGCTATTCGCACTGGTTCGGTACTCGATAGCGCGGCAACCGCAAGCATCGCGCCTGTAAGGCGCCGTGCGCGACGAGCCGCGCCATCTGAGGCGTTGTAGATGGGTGCAGCCATGCATCCGGCGGCAGCGGGGCGCACCGCGCTTTTCGGCCCCGTTTTTCCCTCGCGATGTGCTCACCTAGACCGCCTGCTCCAAGCACCGCGTACATTCTGTGTCCGACTGGCGCGGCCCGGCGGCCTGCGCGTTGTAGGCCTGGGCTTCACCAACGACTTCGCGGCGCGCGTTCCGGGCGCCCTCGTACGGCCAGCGTCGGCGCACGGCGCGCGCAGCAGGCCGCTTCTTCGGCAATGTAGTGACCGGCGCGTTGGTTTGCGGCGCTGTGCAGGGCGAGGAGGGCGTGAAGCGTGCCGCTGCGCCGGTCCGTGGCGCCTGCGGCAAGTGCGGCTGCTCGCCGCTCGCGACGTCGCTGCACTGCGGCAACTGCACCTGCCACGGCTCCGCGTCGCACGTCTGCCGCGCCGCCGCGACGGAGGTCGCTGCCGCTCACGAGGCCCAGGTGAGCATGCTACCCGCGGGACGGGCCGCGCCCGCTGCGCCAGATGCACGTCTGTGCGGCTGAACTGCATGGAGAGTAATCCCACATGCGGCGCCGCGCACGATATTGCAAATATTCGTGCGGTGTGTGCCTCGCGACCTCTCCTTTATCCAGAGGGGCGCAGCCAAGCCCCACGCCGCTCCAGCCGAATTTCGGCGCCAGAGACTCTCTTTCGCGCTCTTCGCGAGCTGAAGGTTGCACACGCGTGCGGATCGCGCAGCTGTGCCGAACGACCTCGCGCGTCCGTTGCCTGCAGGTCCCCGCCGGCGCGGACGAGGCCGTGACGGCCGCGCACGCCTGCCGCAAGTGCGGCTGCTCCTCGCTGGCTGCGTCCCTGCACTGCGGCGCCTGCGAGTGCCACGCCTAAGCGCGCGGAGCGAAACGAGAGATTCGGAGGGCTGCACGGTCCTAAAGCCACCATTGTGATTGTACCACCCATGCGCTCACGCGCCCGAGCCCGGCGTCGCCCCTCATCACAGCACGCGCACCGACAGCAGCGGTGCCCGCTAGTCCCGCCCCCCCGCCGCCGTCCACGACTTGAACACGTGCACTTTAGTCGAGATCTTCTCGATTGGCGGCGTGACGCGGTCGCCGACTAGCAGCGAGTGCACCTCGAGGCCCATGGCCTCGTGCGCAGCGCGCAGGTCCGCCAGCACCTGTTCGCTCGGCTCCGGAATCTCCCCGTCCGTCACCAGCAGGATGTCCGCGCGCTCCCAACCCTCCTCTCCAAGGCGCTCCAGCGCGAGGTCCAGCGGCCGGTCGACGTCCGTGCCGCCGTCGAACGAGTGCGCGAGGAAGTCCAGCAGCCGCGACATCGCCTCCGGCCGAATCGACAGCTCCAGGTCCTCGACTTGCTCCGGGCCGGAGAAGGCGTACAGGTAGCACGGGCGCTGCTGGCGGTGCGCGCCGCGGAGGCACTCGAGCGCGAGGGCCTTCGCGACCGTCTCGCGCGCGCCGCGCATCGACCCGGACGTGTCCAGGCACACGATGATGGGGCCGAGCTCCGCTGCGGGCCGAATCTCCATGCGGCCCGTGGCGCGCGCAGGGACGTCCTCGAGCCACCCCGCGCGCTCGTATGTGATCAGCGCGCGCTCCGCACGCCGCACGAGGTGCAGCAGCCGCGCCCCGCGGTTCCCTGTGCGAATCACCTCCCCCTCCGGGCCCAATAACTCCCCCTCCTCCAAGAACTCCTCCTCCTCGGCGTCGCTCGGGTACTCCCCGTGCGGCCCCACGCCCTTCGGCCACCCCGCCGCCATCAGCATCACCTCGGACGGCAGCATGCGCGACAGGTCGTTGCTGCGCGTCAGGCCGCGCGTCTCCTCCGGGTTCAGCGCCGACCGCACCACGCCGGGCGGCCGCCCCGCCTGCTCGACCTCCTCCGGCGCGCGCCGCAGCGGCCCGCGGCCCCCGCCGCGCCCGAGCTCCCGCACCAGCTCCCGCAGCTCCCGCAGGTTTTCGAGCTTGCGCCGCAGCTCGCCGAGCTGCTTCCACCCGGACTTCTTCCACACCGACAGCGAGTAGTCGAAGCCCTGCGCGCCCGTGTCCTCCAGCAGCGCGTCGATGTCGTCCAGCGCCTGCGAGGCCTCCTCGACCGCCTCCATCGCTGGCTCCATCTCCGCCTTCATGTCCTCCATCATCTTGCGCACCTCCTGCCACGCAACACACCCGCACACAACCAGTGAGCAAGCAACCGCAGCCACAGGAAGCGCGCCGACCGCGCGACGCCCAAGAGCGCCATGCGTCGCAAGAAGGGCAGTCGCGATGCCCTGCGCGGCGGCGTCCGCGGCGCACCTCGAGCATCTCCTGGCTCATCGTCGGCTTCTCCGGCCCGTCGTCCTCGGTGTCCTCCCCGCCCGCCTGCGCCCCCTCCCCGTCCTGCGCCTCCAGCTGGATCTCGAGCTCTTGCCGCTCGCCGTCCTCCGGCTTCCCGTCCGGCGCGCAGTCCTGCGTCTGCTCCTGGTCCACCTCGTCCTGCTGCTCCATCATCTCCTCCAGCTGCGCCGCGCCGGGACGACACAACTCGCTGGGAGGGTCAGCGGGGGCACTTGCAAACAGCCGCGCGTGGAGGGGCACGGGGCGTGCGGTGCGCGGCACGTGCCTGCTGCTTGAGCTGCTCGGGGTCGGGCCGCCCCTCTCCGCCCTCGCCCTGCTCCTGCTGCTCGTCCTGCTGCTCCTGCTGGCTGTTGCTGTTGTTGCTGCTCTTCGGCTGCGGCTGCTGCTGCTGCTGCTGCTGCTGCTGTTGCTGCTGCTCCTGCTCCATCTGCACGAGCTTCTCCTCGAACTCCTGCACCATGTCCATCATCCGCTGCAGCAGCGGCCGCATCAGCTTCGGGTGCCGGCGCGTGAACCGCGGCATCTGCAGGTCGCCCATCGCCTGCGCGGACGCGAAATAAAACGCTCCCCCGCTCTCGTCTGCACGGTGCGCGCCGTTGCGGCGCGGCGTGGACTGCTCCGAGGCGACCCGTGCGCTCGGTGCCGAACGAAAGAGAGAGTGCGTATCGAGGGGGGTGTGTGCGTCGGGGGGGGGTGTAGCGCTGCGGGGCTTCGCTTGCCTTGATGAACTCCGACTTGAACGGCTCCTGCGGCCACGCGACGCTCGCCGGGTCCGGCAGGATGCCCTTGCGCAGCGAGTCGGTGATCTGAGACAGCGCGGCAGTGCGCTCGCGCATGTCCGCGCGCGTCAGCGTCTTCGGCAGGCTCTCCATCCGGTCGATGATGTCATTGGGCAGCTCCCTGCAGCGGCGGACGCGCCACGCGCCGCGGCGACGGTCGGCCGCGGAGTGGCGGTGTGCACACCGCACTGGGGGGTGCCCGCGCCCTCCACGTCGCGTTGCCTCTACTTTCATGCGCCAATCGAGCATCCCTATGCGATTTTCAGCCTTGACTGCGCGCGCGGGCCGGGGGGGACCAGGAAGCGGCCGAAGCGCCGTGCGCACCTCGCTGCAATCATCCGCTGCAGGGCCCGCCTCGCCCCGTCGTCGTCCTGCTGCGACAGCTGGTCGATGAGGCTCTGTAAGCTGACCTTCTCTCCGTCGCCCGCCTCAGCCCGCGTGCAGGTCACCCCACGCCTGACCCTCTGCGGCAAGCGCGCGCATCGCCTCCCCGGAGCACCGTGCGCCGGCGCCGTGGCACGCGACGGGCGCAGGGGCGCGCGCGAGGCGACGCATCTGCACGAGCATCCGGGGACCCGGCCCGCGGCGGGCGCCATCGCGGCTCGACGTCCCGGGCTGGCAAGACCTCTGCAGCGCACTAGGCGCGCCGATCGCCTCCAGGATTGCAAGAGCGCGCGCAAACGGATCGGAAAACGCACGTTCGATGTCGGGTGCGCTGTCCGGGCCGCGCCGGACGCGCCCTCCTTGGCTTCGACGGCCGCGCTGGCCGCCCGACACAGGTCCAGGTGGGCCAAGGCAACACGCCCCTGGCGACGCCGAAACGCGAGAACGCGGCAGCGCGGCGGAACCGAGCGTTGCCGAGCAGCTGGCGGGTGCGGCGGCGCACCTTGGAGGTCGGGGCGGCGCAGTCGCTTTCACGAGTTGTCTCCGGAGGTCGCCTGCGCTGACACACGTGCCGCCAGCCTCCGCGACGCTCCGGTGCCCCGGCGGCAACCTCCTGGCAGCCCGCAAGGTGAGGAGGAAGGCCCTGGCGGCGTATGGCGGCACTGCTGGCGGAACGAGCACAAAGTTGGAAGTTAGTGTAGCGAACGAGCACAAAATTCCGCGGGTGCCGCGTGAGGCGAAACCGCGCGGTTCGCGCGCCGTTGCCTCGCCTCGATCCCGGCGTGCGTCGAGTTCACCGCAGATCGCGTCGCCGCCGCGTTTCCGAACCGCCGCGCGGACACAGAGCCTGCACGCAGGCCCCTTCGACCCCCCCTCACCGCGCGTGCGCCGGGCACTACTACCGGGCGCGCCGCTGCCGGGGCGCGCACAGCACCGATAGACCCGCGCGTCTGACGATACGCGTGGTTCTGGCGCGGTGTGGTGGAGCGCGCACGGTCGCTAGTAGTTGCAAGAGGCGCCCCCGGCTAGAACGAGCACGGATCGATCGCAGAAGCCGAGCGCGTGACGGAACCTAACGCTGGCGGTCGATACGGACCGCGGACGCGCACGATGGCGTCGCAGTGAGGCGTGTCGAAGGCTCTGAGCCCGCAAACGTGGCCTCCCCCACTCAGGGCGGTCGTGCGCGTTTCGCGCGACCCGCGTCCGTGGCCCGGCCTTTCGCCCACCCTGGTCGACTGCACAGCGCGGAGGTGCGCGCTTCGTCGCCAGGAAACGCCATTCGCGCACGTCCGGCGCCCTGGAAAGTCCACCCACGTTTTTCGCGCGCCCAGCTCCACGGCCCCTCCCGCCCCCGCAGGCCCATGCAACTGCAAACGATGAACCGCTCGAGCGTCAAGGGCTTCGCGTCGTCGGGCGCGAGCTCCAGCGACTGCGACGAGGAGTTCCAGGAGTGCGCCCTGCTCGTGCACGCCGCCCGGAGCGACGACGACCGGATCCACTGCGGCCTCATCGTCGCGGAGAAGCTCCTGTATAGGCACGGCGACGCGCTGGGCGCCGCGTTCGGCGCGGAAGTCGTGGAGGCCCTGGACCGCCGCCTGAAGCAGCTGGCATACAACCAGAGCCCGCCCATCACGCACCGCAGCGGGTCGACCGGCGCGAGCGAGACCGGGGCCGACGCCAAGGTCGCCGTGCTCGCGAAGACGCTCACGGCGCTGAGCGTCGCCTCCGCCGAGGCCCGCGACGCCGCGTTCGCGGCCGGAATCGAGCCCGTGCTCACGGCGTGCCTCCGCACGGTCGAACGGGACTCCAACCGCCGGAAGCTCGGGACGGCGGTGGCGCGGCTGCTGCACGGCGGCGGGCCGACCGAGGGCACGCGGCGCGACGTCGCGCACGAGGCGGGCCTGGAGGCGGCGCTCGCGGGGGCTCTGCGGAGCGCGACGAGCGACGACAGCCGCGCGGAGGTCGCGCGCGCGGTCGCGTGCCTCCTCGGGGGCGGCGGGAAGACGGAGGGGCAGCGCCGCGACGCGGCGCACGCGGCGGGGATGGCCCGGGCGATCGCGGACGCGCTGCGCGCGGCGGCGAGTGACAACGCGCGCGAGGCGCTGGGAGCGGCGGCGTGCAACTTCCTGAGCGCGGGCGGGCAGTCGGACGTCGCGCGGCGCGACGCGGCGTACGAGGCGGGCATGGTCGAGGCGCTGGGGGCGGCGCTGCGGGCCGCGGAGAACGACGAGTGCCGATCGGAGGTGGCGCGCGGGGTGGTCAACCTGTTGTCGCACGGGGGCGTGACGAGCGGCGCGCGGCGGGACGCGGCGCACGCGGCGAAGCTCGGGGACGCGCTGGTGGCGGCGCTGCGGGGGGTGGAGTCCGAGAACAGCCGGCTGGCGTACGTGGCGGCCGCCGGGCACGTGCTGGCGGGCGGGGGCGAGACGGAGGTTGCGCGGCGGGACGCGGCGCACGCGGCGGGGATGGCGGGGGCGATCGCGGGCGCGCTGCGGGACGCCGAGAGCGACGCGTCGCGCGCCGCGGCCGCCGCGGTGGTGATCAATTTGCTGGCGCAGGGGGGAGTGAACGAGGAGGCGCGGCGGGTGGCGGCCAACGAGGCCGGCCTGGGCGCCGCGCTGTCCGCCGCGCTGCAGCAGGCGGACAGCGTGGCGTGCTGCACGCAGCTCAGCTGGGCGATCGTGACCTTCGTCGGCCCGCGCGGAGACGGCGACGGGGCGCGCCTCGACGCGTTGCACCTGGCGGGCACGGAGGGCGCGCTGGCAGCGGCGCTGGCGGGCGCGCACGACGACGCCGCGATCCTCGCGACCACGGCGGCGCTCGGGCGCCTGATGGCGGCGGGCGGGGCCACGGAGCGCGACCGGCGCGACGCGGCACACGTCGTGGAGGTGGAGGGCCTGCTGGCCGAGGCGCTGCGGAGGGCGACGGGGGACGAAGCGAGGAAGGAGATCGCCGTCGCGCTCGTGAGGCTCTTCGCGAGCGGCGGCGCCGCGGGGGCGTCCCGCCGGGACGCGGCGCACGCGGCGCGGACCGAGGCTGCGCTGGCCAGCGCGCTGCAGCGCTGCACGAGCGACACGTGCGCCGCGGCGCTGTGCCGCGCCACCGCGTGCCTCTTGCTCGGCGGCGGCGGGACCGAGGGGCCGCGCAGGGACGCGGCGCACGCCGCGGGCATGGAAGCCGCGCTCTCGCGCGCCCTGGCGAACGCGTCGAGCGACGCGACCCTGGCGGCGGCGAGCGCGGCCGTCGCGCGGCTGCTCACCGCCGGGGGCAGCACGACGGGCGCGCGCCGCGACGCTGCGCACGAGGCTGCGATGGAGGAGAGGTTCGCGCTCGCGCTGCGGGCCGCGAAGGGCGAGGAGGCGATCACGGAGATCGGGCTGGGGGTGGCGTGCCTGCTGAGTCATGGTGGGGAGTCTGAGGGGGCGCGGCGCGACGCGGCGCACGCGGCGGGGATGGCGGGGGCGCTCACGGCGGCGCTGCGTCGGTACCGTTCGGATGCGTGCCGGTCGGCGTTGGCGGCGGCGCTGGGACACCTGTTCGCGGGCGGCGGGGAGACGGACGGGGCGCGGCGGGACGCGGCGCACGCGGCGGGGGCGGAGGAGGTGCTCACGGAGGTGATGCGGGACGCGGAGGGCGACGGGTGCCGTTCGGCGTGCGCGGGGGCAATAGCGCGGCTGCTGTGCAGCGGGGGGCGCGCGGCGAGGGACCGGCTGGACGCGGCGCACAAGGCCGGCATGGTCGAGGTTGTCGTCGAGGCGCTGCGGCAGGCGGAGAGCGAGGTCACGCGCTGCGCGGTGGCGTCCGCGCTCGGGCGGCTGCTGCGGTCAGGGGGGGAGTCCACGGGGGACAGACGGGACGAGGCGCACCGGGAGGGCCTGGCGGGCATCCTGATCGAGCGCCTGCGCACCGCGACGACCGAGACGGCGCGGACCGAGTACGGCATGGTCGCCGCGTGCTACCTGGGCGATGGCGGCACGACCAAGGCCAAACGGCGCGACACGGCGGCGGGCCGCGGCATGCTCGCCGTCCTCGCGGCGGCGCTGCGGCAAGCCGAGACCGACGACAGCAGGGCGGAGCTCGCCTGGGCGCTCGCGTGCATGCTGAGCTCAGGAGGCTCGACTGAGTACGAGCGCAAGGATGAGGCGCACCGTCTGGGCGTGGTGGCCGCGCTGTCCAGCGCGCTGCGGTTCGCGCAGACGGACCGCGCCCGCGCTGCGATCGGCGCGGCGGTGGGGAACATGCTGGGCCCGGGGAGCCGCACGGAGTCGGAGCGGCGGGACGCGGCGCACGCGGCGGACCTGGAGACGGCGCTGACGGACGCGCTTGGGGCCGCGGAGAGCGACGGGTGCAGGGAGGCGCTCGGGGCGGCGGCGGCGTACCTGCTGGCGTCGGGCGGGGCGACGGAGGCGGCGCGGCGGGACGCGGCACACACGGCGCAGATGGAGGCGGTGCTGACGAAGGCGCTCTGGGAGGCGAAGACGGACGGCTGCCGGGTGAACCTCGCGGCGGCGGCTGCGTGCTTGTTGGCGAGCGGGGGTGCGGAGGGCGTGCGGCGGGACGCGGCGCACGTCGCGGGGATGGAGGCGGCGCTGACGTCGGTGCTGCGGGCGGCGGAGAGCGACGCGTGCCGCGCAGCCGCCGGCGCGGCGATCGCGGCGCTGCTCTGCACGGGCGGCGCGATGGAGGGCGACCGCAGGGACGCGGCGCACCGCGCGGGCATGCAGGCGGCGCTGGTGTGGGCGCTGCGCAACGCACAGAGCGACGACACGCGCGCCAAGCTCGGCGGGGCCGTCGCGCGGCTGCTCACGGCGGGCGGCGACCTCGAGGGCGCGCGCAGGGACGTCGCGCACGACGCGGGCATGATGGCGGCGCTCTCCGCGGCGCTCTCCGTCGCCGAGAGCGACGCCAGTCGGTCGAAGCTGGTTGTTGCGGTGGCGTCCCTGCTCGCGGACGGCGGCGAGACCGAGCGCGATCGGCTGGACGCGGCGCACGACGCCGGCATGGAGAAGGTCATCGCGGACGCCCTGCGCGTGGCCGACAACGACGAGCTGCGCGCCAAGGTCGGTTGGGCCGTCGTCAACCTGCTGTCGGGGCACGGGGAGACCGAGTGCGCTCGCAAGGACGCGGCGCACGAGGCGGGGATGGTGGAGGCGCTCGCGGCTGCGCTGTGGCAGGCGGAGAGCGAGGACAGCCGCGTGAATGTGGCGGCGGCCTTGGCGTGCGTGCTGTCGGCGGGCGGCGAGACGGAGGGCGCGCGGAGGGACGCGGCGCACGAGGCGGGCATGGAGGAGACGCTCGCGACGGCGCTGAAGGAGGCGAGGAGCGACGCGAACCGCGCGGCACTCGGCGCAGCCTACGCGCACCTCCTCAGTTCGGGCGGGACCACCGAGGCCGCGCGGCGCGAGGCGGCGCACGCGGTGGGCATGGAGGCGGTCCTGACGAAGGCGCTGCTCGACGCGAAGAGCGACGACAGCCGCGCGAAGGTGTCTTGGGCGATCGTGAACCTCCTGTCGGGGGAGCATGCCACCAAGGCGATGCGGCAGGACGCGGCGCACGCGGCCGGGATGGAGGCGGCGATCGCGGTGGCGTTCCGGGACGCGCGGCGGGACGAGACGGTCGCGGAGCTGGCGTGGGCGGCGGTGAACCTGCTGAGCCCGGGCGGGGCGACGGAGGGGGCGCGGCGAGACGCAGCGCACGCGGCGGGAATGGAGGCCGAGATCGCGGCGGCGCTCCGGGACGCCGAGAGCGACGCGAGCCGCGAGATGCTGTGCTGGGCGGCGGTGAACCTCCTGGCGAAGGGCGGGGAGACCGCGGCGCAGCGGCACGAGGCGGCGACGTGGGCGGGCCTCGAGGAGGCCGTTGCGGAGGCGCTGCAGAACGCCGACAGCGAGTCGAGCAGGTCGAAGATTGAGTGGGCGGCGGGGTACCTGCTGACGGGCGAGCACGAGGCGAACCCGTTCTTGGCGGCCACGCCCCGGCAGCGGTTCTTCTAGTGGTTGCACTTGCATGTTGAAGATGTGGGTGATTTTTGGCAGGTGACTCGGCACGTGCGCGGGCGTCGCACACGTGACAGCCATCGATGGTTGTGTCCTGTGAGGTCTGTTCTTCGGCGGTCGGCGCGTTCGAGGGGGAGTGAAGGCACGACAGCATCCCCCGTCCGACAGCCTCACGCGCTGCCGGGGCGCTGAACAGCTGCCGCGCTCGCTTGATCAGGTCTGTTCCGGCGGTTCATGCGCCTAATTGTCGCGGAACTGTGGCGATCGGCGCGGAGGGGCAAGCTTTTCAAGTTGAAGGGATTTCCCGCGACGCGGCGCACGAAGCCGCACAAGACGCACTGAAGGCAGCAGGTGAGGAAGCGTGCCTCATGTTTGCCTCTTGAGCGCAGCAGACACGTCGCACCGCTGCTAGGGCGAGACTGTGGCAGTCACGTACGCATGAAAGCGGCGGCGGCTCGCCGCGCATATCGCGCGGCGGGCCGGTAGCGAGCCTTGCGCTGAATACCAGCGCCAGTGGTCGACGAACGCGCGCCTTTTGCGTGGACCCGAGGCCCCTCAGCCGGTGTTCGGGACAGTCGGTTGAGATCAACAGGGAAACCGTTGCTCTCGATTTCCTCGCTCCTCCAGCCTCCGTCTGGCGCCTCACACCCCGCATCGCCAATGATGCTCGTGTAGACGCGGCGCACATCGCAAGAGGGTTCTCGAACAACGAGAGACACAATGATCGCAGCAACGAGGGCAGCGCATACGTCAAAGCCAAGGTTCGTCTCCATGCCGCCTTCTGCCGCCTGCTGCGGCGCAGCGATGTGCTCCTGCCGGCTGTTGTCGACATGATCGTCTCGACCGCCATGCAGGCGCCGCCGCGGTCGGACTTGTCAACTGAAGTTGGAGGATCTTGGACCGGTCCCGCTGGCAGCAGTCATCTCGCTGATCGGCAAGCGCGATCGCCTTGCGCTCGCGGCGACCTCGTCGCTGTTACTGAGCCGGGTGCTGGAGCACTGCCCGGAAGCGTGCGAGCTGCGCGCGGAGAGTCCCGGAGTTGGCGCCGCTCTCGCGCGACACCTGTTCCGTCGCGGCTGCGCGGCGTCCGAGTCGAGGATCGGGTGGACTGCCTGGACACCATCGCATGGGTGGTGGGCGTTCGTCCGCGCCGGCGCGGATCCCTCGCTGGACGAATCGATCGTTCGGATTGTGTCGCCAGCTGCGTACTCGCGCCTCGGCGCTCTCGGGACCTCTATCTTCTTCCCTTCGACCCTCTGTATGCCGCCCAGGATCACCGCTGCCATGAGGGGCCTGGAGTTTGTCGACGTGAGGGCCTGCAGAGGCTCCTGGCTCGAGACAGATGGAGACTGGCTTCCTGCTGAGGTGCGCGGCAGCGTGAAGGAGATCCACGCCTCGGAAAGCGGGCTCCGCAGGATTCCATCGAACATGTCCGCGCTCGAAGCAGTCACGATATCCGACTGTGGCAGCCTCGACGAGGAGTGGCTTCCAGTCTCATCACGCGCGTCGATCAAGGCCTTGATCGCCTCCAGAGCTCGCACGGGGTCGGGCGAGGCTGTCCGCTGCGTCCCAAGCGGCATGCGGGCTCTGGAGAACCTCGAGGTCAGCGATTGCCTGCCCGGGGAGCATTGGCTCCCCCTCGAGTCGCGGGCGAAGCTGGAGAGTCTCGCGGTGTCCGACTCCACCATCACAAGCATCCCCACCGGGCTGGTCGCGCTCAAGCACCTCGACTTGGTTGCCTGCGCGAATCTCGCGCAGGACTTCGTGCCTGAAAGTTCTCGCGAGGCGCTGACGTCTCTCCTTGTGGTTGGGTCGCCCGTCCGTCGGGTGCCACCCGACATGCCGCACCTCGAGGTAGTCGCGTTCGCTGTCGAGGACTTGGCGGAGGACTGGCTGCCAGCAAGCTCTTCGAAACGACTGAGGCGGCTCCTGCTCGGGGGCTCCGGGCACTTCCTCCGAGCCCTGCCCCCTGGTCTCTCGCAGCTGGAGGACCTCGAGCTGGACGGGACGCTGCCCCACGGCCTCGCCAGCGGCGCGTGGCTCCCTGCAAGCTCCGCGCGACGGATCCAGGAGCTCAATGTGCGGGGTGTCAACGTGACCGCCATTCCCCCAAACATGACGGCTCTGACAAGATTGAACGTCGAGAACTGCGTGAGACTACACCCGCACAGGTGGTTGCCGGCCAGCTCGGCAGCGGGCGTGCGCGTGCTCGACGCCTCGGGGAGTTCCATCGCTGCGCTGCCAGACATGCCTGAGCTGGTGATGCTGGACTTGGGGTCATGCCCAAACCTCACGCCCGACTTTCTGTCCGCGACCTCCGCGCGCAAGCTCCGCGCGTTGAATGTGCGCGGGACAGGCGTGGGTTCCATGCCAATTGCGCGGATGCCGAAGCTGGAAATTCTGGTGTTCGGCAGGAATGCACCCGGCGAGTTCGGAGGCCGAGTGCGCGACTGAACGGCGTCCGACTTCCGCACATCATGGTCGCCTCGGGAATGTCTCGCTTCGTTCGCATTGTACGCTGCTCCCGTCCCCGCGAACCCCGCCAGGTGCCCACATGCGGCGGGCACATTGTGCAGCGTGACACGCTGCAGGAGGCGGTGTAACACGGTCGCGGTCAGAGGGCTGCCCGCGTCGCATGCATCTCGGTCTCGAAGGCGCCTCGCAGACGTGGCGATCCCGCAAAGATGACATCGTTGACGATGTCGCAACGTTGCGAAAACCCCACTCCCGAACATTGCCCGATCCCCGTCTCGCAGCACGACTCTTGCTTGGGTCTCGGGCTGGCTGTCATCGGGATCCTCCTCGGCGGGCGGGTCGACCGCGGTGGCTGCATGGCAGACCAGGGCACGCGATGAAACATGTCGCGTGCGAAACAAGTCCTCGTGGTTGCTTTCGGGAGCTCCGCACCGGCTGGCGGTGTGCCGCAACTCTTTACTGAGTGCATGCGGGTGGCAGCCGCGTAATCGGCTTGCTCTCCATCGACGCGATTGCACCTCGTGTCTTTATACTGTGTCTTTCCGACAGGTGGTCCCGCTCCCCGCGTGCACAATTGCGCACGTTGCGCCGCGCGTGCACGTAGGCCGACATACCCGTCGATCATGGGATCGCTTTCAGAGGACGGCGCGGCATCCCCTGACCTGGGCACGCTCGAGGGCGCGCTGGACTGGCTGGCCCAGCATGCAGAGAGGGTCTGCCAGGACAGCGGGGCGAGCCTGGCGTCGTCCTCGCCACCTGACGTGGTTCTGGACGATCGCGACGCCGAAGAGGACGCCTGCAAGGCCGTCTTCGCGACGCTGGTAAGGAGGCCCGGCGTATCTTTCATCGAAGCACGAGTTCCCGCCTCGCCCCGGGCGCGTCTACCTGGGTCTCCGATCGCAAAAACGCGACAAGTCGCTTCCCACATTCAATATCGGCCCCGTGCTGCAGTCTGACCGCTCTGTCAGTCACACGGGGCCCAGCAACGGCCCGAACAACAAGTTCCACCCTCTCGCGCACACGCGCGGCCGAACAACCGTTCCTTCCACCCAACGCACGCCCTCCTGCCCCCCGCGCGCAGTTCGTGGAGAGGCGCGCAGAGCTGCAGCGCCGAGTGCCGGACCTCGACGACCTGTTGATGTTTGTCCTGGCAGACCCCTCCGCTGACTCAGGGTGGACCGTCGCGGCGCGGCGGTGGGTCCCCGGCGCCACGCTCGACAGCATCCTCGGCGCCGGCGCGGGCGCCGCGGGCGACGACCGCGAGCGCCCCAGCGCGAACGGCAACGCTGACGCCAGCGCACACAGCAGAGACGGCTGGGTGGCGCTGGGGCCGTCCGCGGCAGCCACCATGGTCAGCTGGCAGCGCTCGGTCGCGCTCAACCTCGTCGTCGCGACGCCGTTCGTCCTCACCGCGCTCGTCTGCCCGAGGGCGGCGCTGCTGTCCTTCCGGGGCGACAGCACCGTCGTGCAGGGGACGGAGGCGGCCGCCGTCGTGCCGGTGTACGCGTCGCCGTGGGCGCAGCACCTCGACGTCAGCTCCACGAAACGCAGCGCGCAGGGCCGCTCCAGCCCGGACACGTGCTACCCCAGCATCGCGTTTGCCGTGGAGGAGTTCGACGTGAGGTTCGAGTCGCTCGTGACGTCCGCGCCGGACAGCTGCTACTGCGTGCTGATCAGCGCGGACGCCGGGTGGCTCGCCCCCGCGCCCGAGCGCGCGCCGCCCCCCGACGCTTCTGCCACAACACACCGCCGGGGGCCTGTCCTCATGTTCAGCGGGTTCGTCGTGCACGACCAACTGGAGCAGGCGCTGCTGGATGCGCGCGCGCGGCGCCCCGTGCTGTCGATGTTCGCCCCGCGCGGCGACACCCCCCTCGAGATGAGCATGCGGGGCCCCGGGGGAGTCGGGGGCGCGCAGGTGGCGGTGTCGTTCGCCGGGAGGGGCGGCGCGCGGTCGGCGGGCGCGGCGGCGAAGAGCGCGCTGAACCGCGCCGGGCGGGCGATGCTCGGGATGGTCGGGGGGTCGAAGGGCGTGAGTCAGGTGATATCAGGCCGGTGCAGTGCGCGCTGATGAGCGCCGCGCTGCCGTGCTCGCACCTGGCGCTCGGGCTGCTCGCCGAGCGCCGGAGGGCCGCGGGGACGTAGCCGGGTCGCGCCGGGGCCCACGCCGGATGATGGCGACAGCGACTGGGACACGTGTGATAGCGCCGGTTCCGCTGTAGTTCCGTCGCCGGACAGAGCCTGGTGCCTGTGACGCCCGTGTACGTGAGAGTTCTGTACTGGACGTCCGTGCGCGTTGGGGGGGTGTTGCGGGTATGAGGTACGTGTTGTAGGCAGGATGCTGTCGGGCGGCCCGTGCGACCCTGGAAGGCGACAACGGGCCGCAGCCCCGGGTCACGTGGCCAGTTCGTTCGGAGGCTGGTGGACGGTGGTCGCGTTCGATTCGTTAGGTGGGCAGGGCGTTGGGGTTTCGGGTCGCCGCTCTTCCTGCCAGGCTTCAGTGATTCATAAGGGAGCGGGCTCGGGCGACGCGTGCTGGCGGTCTCGCGGGCTACTGGCGCGGTCGGCATGTCGGAACGGATCGTGACTTACGTGGCGGACGGCGAGGAAGATGCCGCGCCGCAGGTGGGGGCGAAACCACGCAAACGATCGCAGCGGAAGAAGAAGGGCGCTGTTGCGGACGAGGAGAAGGCGACGTCGTTCGTGAACGGGTCAGTCCCCTTGCTGCTGCACTTGTGGTGCTCCGGCGCGGTGGGACACTTACCTGTGGGCGCACTTGGCGCGTCAGCGGGGCAAAACCTCACACCTGAGGTGTGCGCTCTGCCGCTGCAGGCGCGTCGTGTTCGCATCGGGGACCACCACCGTCCAAGGAGGCTCACGAGTCGTTGAGAACACCGCCAAGCCGGAGCGGCCTCGCAGCGCAGCCTCGCGCGGCAAGAAGTCGAACGGTGCGGCGCCAGCGAGCGCGCAGCCCACGGCTGCCGCGCCGAAGCCGGCCGACGCCGCGGGGAGCGCCGCGACCACCTCCAATCAGCGCTCCTCGGGCCGAGCCGACAACGGCGGCAAGGGCCGCGCCCCCGCCGCGAAAGGCGACGCACCAGGGCAGCGCTCTTCCAAGGTCCCCCGGGTCTTGCCTCCGGACACAACCGCCGGAAACGCCCCCTCGGACGCCGCGGTTGCCGCCTCGGCGAAGCACGAGGCCAGGAAGCGCCGGCGCAAGCTGCAGCGCGAGCGAGCGAAGGCAGCGCGCCAGCTCGCCGCCTCCGCGCGCGCTGCGGCCGGCCCGAGCGGCGCGGAGGGCGCGCCGACGCCGGTGCGAGCAGGCAACGAGCAGGACGACAGCCTCGCGGAGGCCGCGGGCTCTCCGTCGGCCGACCGCGAGCAGGAGATGCTGCAGCTCATGATGGCTTCCATGCGGCACAAGGCCGAGAAAGAGGAGCTCGGGCGGGAGCGCGACCTGCTCCTGCAGCAGATGGCGCTGCTGCAGAGCCACGCGGAGGAGCTCGCGGCGATGAACGAGCGTCTGCGTCTGCGTGCAGCGGGCAACAGCCGCGCCAGCGGTGCCAGCTTGGATCACTCGCGGCTGACTGGGGTGGGCTCGGAGACCGACGAGGCCGAGCGGTGGGCCGACGACAGCGACGACGATGTCGCGGGCGTGCCGCACCCGGCGGCCGCGGAGGCCCTGCCGCCGGTGTCGCCGCTACAGCTCGGCAGCGCTGCCGCGGGCGGGGGCGACGCGCAGCGGGCGTCGGAGAGCGGGCCGAGCGATCGGCCGCCGGGGTGGTCGAACGTGCCCTCTCCGCAGCGCGAGGAGCCGCCGGGGTGGAGCGACGGCGGCGCGGCGGCGCAGGACGGGGACGGATGGGATGCGGGGTTGAGTGACATCGAGTTGAGCGGGGGGGGCGGTGGGGGCGAGGCGGGCGGGGGCGTGGTGATGCTGGACAACGACCTGTTCGACGCGAGCATGATCAGCGAGGGGGGCGCGTCGTGAGGGTGGGGGGGGGGGTTGGTGGTGTTGATGGGCGTGAGGCTCTGGATCGGTGCCGCGGGGGAGGCTGCGTGGCAGGCACGTTGCGGGTGGAGGGGGTGCGACGTGCTGTCGTGCTGCGCATCGGGAAATTGCGCTCGGGGCAGGGGCGAATGCTGTGGACTGATTTCTTTCTAGGGGGGGTCTCAACTGCGCTGCGTCAGGCCCGCGAGCGCGCGCTGTCGATAGCCCGCGGCCCGTGGGCGGCGTGCCGTGTCAGCGAAGGGCCGTGCGTGGCTTGAAGTGCGATCTGCACGCTGAAACGGGTCACCACGGGCTGTCCTTGACAGCTGGCCTGCTTGGATGCCAAGCTCCGCCTCGACTGCGCATGCGCTGCGAGACTCGACGTCGAATTTGAATATGTCGGCATCGAAGACGCTCCAGCGGCTAGGACTGAGGCGCAACCCGTTCGTGGACCGCACGGGCGAGCGCACAGGGCTGGACCCGTCCAGCTTGTACGTGCACAGCGACCTCCAAGACTTCCACCCGAATGGTGCGCATCGAAACGGATCAACCCCCGACTGAAGGCCAGCCTCGCGCACCCGCCTCGTCAGCTCGCCCCCACATGCGCTAGAAACGCGACCTCGTCTGGCAGCAGAGAACCCGCGCGCTCTAACCCCTGTTGGCACGCTCGGGTGCGTCTGAACAGCGCCGCGAGACCGTCAGATAGCTCTGCGTGCAACTCGATCGGCGGACGCGCCCGTTACGTTCGCATTCGCCCGGCCGCGCAAATGCTGCCCTAACCAGCTCGCCACCCTCCGTGCCCCTTGCTCGACGCCTGAGCACGCATTCGCGAGGCCCCGCATCCCACACGCTGCAGAGATGACCTACCTCTTCTTCGGGCGCCGCGGCGCGGGCAAGACGACGATCCGGCTGCAATTGGAGAAGGCATATGCTGAAGCCAACGAACAGCTCGTCGGATCCGGGAAGTCGCTCGGGCACTTCATCGTGGACCTGACCAAGCCCGGCGCCCTCAACTCGCGGCTCATAGACTTCCGCAAGGTGAGCCACGTCGTCGCCGCCACGCGAGCCCCCTCCTGCGCTTGCGACAACGCGAGCTGCCTCACGCCCACGATCGCGGTCGCGCCGCGTGCAGAACATCGGCTGCCCCGAGGATGCCTGGGACCAGCGCTTCAGCGAGACGTGGACGGAGGTCGACCTCGTGGACACCATCCTGTCAGTCGCGGCCACGCAGCTGTTGCAGACCATCACCGCGCAGGGGCCGAGCGGCAACGCGGAGGTGGCCGCGGCGATGGCGCAGCGGCTGCGCTCGCACCCGCAGCGGGCGCGCCAGGCCGTGCTGCTCTGCGTGATGTACGCGCAGGGCGACTCGCGCAGCCTGCAGCGGCTCGAGGAGATGCTCTTGCAGCCGCGGTGGGGCGCGGAGAAGGTGCGGACGTGCGCGGAGCGCAGCGTGGATGTGCTGCACGTGTGCGACTGGAAGCGCGTGCGAATGCGGGCCCCGAGCCAGGGCAATGAATATGAGTGCAATGGTTGACTGACGATCGAGGTTTCTCGACTGTGCAGTTGACGTTGACGGCCGGGCTGGCCGCGGGCGTCGGGCTCGCGTCGATGGCGGCCAAGCACGGCCTCGGACCCGTCCGCGACGGGCTCGCGCGCTTCGCGGACGCCGTGCACCTCCCACACACGCGCGCCGCAGTGGCGTGCGGGGCCGCGGCGGCGGCGGTCGGCGCCGGCGCGTGGATGTGGTCGTCGTCGAAGCGGCCCTACGCCCGCGCCGCGGAGATGCTCGCGCCCATCCGCATCCTGCAGGGGCGCCCCCCCAAGGTCCTTGCGGGCCTGCTCGAACCCCTCTTCCCACGCCAGGACTCCGCCAGCACCATCAGGTACACAGCAGCGCACGTCCTTCGGCCGCACGCCGCCGCGTCGTCGTTGCGTGCCTGCCCGCCACCCGCTCGCACGCGCCTGCCATGCATCTGTGCCGCGAGGCATTGCACGCGCTGATCCGCTCAGCCAGAGTCGACGACGCGGCCGTGCGCGCCCCACCCGCGCGCAGGTCGCTCTACATCGGCACGTCGACCAGCGCCAAGCTCGACCTCCTGTCGGGGCTGGTCAAGCACGTGGGCTACGAGTCCCTGGCGGTGTTCGGGGACTGTTTCGACGAAGTCCCCCTCCTCGACCCTGTGCTGTACCCCTCCGCCATGAAGACGTTCGCCCGCGAGGTCTGCCGCAACGACCTGCTGTCAGTCGGACGCCAGCACTGGTTTTTCCCTGACTCGAGGCTGGCGCTGGACCTGAGCACCGACAAGACGATGCGCGAGGCGCGGTTCGACCGGCACTTCGTGCGCGACCTGGAGTGGTCCCGGCACCAGCTGCAGGAGCTCGCCGAGCAGCGGTGGCTCGCGGCGAGCCAGGACGTGGGCGTGGCGGCGGGGCCGCCGGGCGGGCGGGGCGGAGCGCGGTACGGGCCGACGCTGGAGGAGCTGTTCGAGATGATCAGGGTCGAGGACCTCTCGGGGCACATGGGCAAGCTCCGGACGCCGCGCGAGCTGCTCATCATGATGAGCGAGGTGCTGGCGCGCCTCGAGGCCAACCCGGGCGGGTCGCTCACGTCGCAGGACATGGAGATCTGCGTCAACAAGGCCAAGGAGCAGGGCGCGATGTGACGGAAGACGGGCGACGTCGTCGCGCTGGCTCTCGTCACAATGCGCTGTCGTTTGAACCGGCGGTGCGTGCACAACCACTACTACTTGAGGCAGACCTAGGTGTCGTTGCCGGCCAGTAGGACCCTGGCATGCGAGGCGTACTCGCGGCGCCGAGCGCGCGCTCAGAGCGACGCCGCGTACCCCGGCTGGTTCTCCGGCAGAGCCTGCAGCCCAACGAAACACGCGCACGCATGCAGCACGTCAGCACCGTACCGCCGCGGGGGCTCAACAGCGCAGCACGCACGCGCCGCGGACGCACGGTGCGGTGCGCGGCCCCTCGCGGGCGCGCACCTTCTGGAAGGCCTCGGTGGCGAGGCACTGCTGGTAGGCCTTCTGGAGCTGCGGGAAGGGCGAGAGGTCGAACCCGCCCTTGAGGACGCCGCTCTTCATCTGCGACCAGTGCACCTGCGGCATGACGAAGATGTCGGCCATGGTGACGTTGTCGCCGTGGCAGAACTTGCCCGCGGCCAGGAGGCCCTCGATCTCCTTGAAGCCGTTCTCGAGCCAGTAGCGGTGCCAGGCCTCGACGCCCTCCGCGTTCACGCCGAGCTTGTCCGTGAGCAGGCGCGTCACGCGGTAGTACCCGTACGGCGCGACGTCGGTGGCGCACAGCGTGGCGATCGCGCGGGAGTGCGCGCGGCCCTTGGTGTCCGCGGGGAGCAGCGGCGGGCCGTCGAAGTTCTCGTTCACGAAGTTGAAGATCGCGCCGGGCTTCTCCACGCGCGTGTCGCCCACCTGCGCCGCGGGGAGCGCTGGCCGTGCGCATGGGAAGGTGCTACGCAACACCGGTGCGAGCGCGCGATCGGTCCGCGGCGATCGAAGGCAAATTCGGATCCCTTTCCGCCGACGTTGCGTTGACGCAGAGGCAGTCTAGCGAACCGCCACATGGCATCCTCGGCAGTCGACGCCTTCATGGACATGGCCGCAACTGCTGCGGACCAGCGAGCTGCTGCTGGGGAGCGCCGCCCACCAGGACGTCCGCAGCACGGCAATGGCAGCCATGGCCAAGAAGGCGTCGACTGCCGAGCACGCCATGTGGCGGTTCGTTCTTGACTGCCCCGCGACAAGACATCAATGCCAAGGGGGGGGGGGGCTCCCGAACGCCCAGACAGTCATCAATTGGCAGTGGCCGCTACTCGCTCCGCCGCACGGGAACGGCCGTCTCGTGCTGCTCGGGTCGCGTGATACAGCGGCATGAATGTCGATTGTTGATCCACATGAGGGGTGCGTACGTCAAGGTGCGGCTTCTGGCCCTCAGCGTCGGGGCGGCCGTCCGGGCGCTTGACGAGCGGGAGGTCCTTCTGCTCGTACTTGACGCCCTTGGCGTTGAGTGCGAACCTGCGCGCGACGCGTTTCGCAAGATGTCATGTCATGATGCGCAGCTTGCAGTTGGGCGCAGCGCGCGGGCGCGGCGCGGCCCCGCACCTCGCGAGGAAGGACGTGCTGCTCGTCGGGAAGCCGTGGAGGATGACGGGCGCGGCGGCCGAGCCGAAGGCGCGCGCGAGCATCGGGAGAGACGAGCTGGCCATGACGCTTGGCAGTTGCCTGCACCGCGGTGAGGGACGGGCGGTGCGCGGCGCGTGTGAGCTGCGGCTGGCATGTGCACATCGAGGAGATACGAGGGGGCGCGGAGTCGCGGGCGAGGAACACGGGGATACGCGCAGCGGGGGCGTCGTGGCCCGAGGGCAGGCGTGGCTGTACAGGTGTCCAGCGCAGCGCGAAGAAGGCGCGATCGCTGCGTGCCTAGGGGGCGCGAGGAAAGGTACCGAACTGGTCAAGACGTTGCTGGCGGAGGGAGGTCCGGCGGGGCGCTGAAAGTGGTGGTTGCGCGCAAAGTGTCCATTGGATAGCTAAAAGCGCGGGCCATTACCTGGGCTGTTGGGGGCTGGGAGTTCCGAATGGGGTTCAGAGAGCGAATGTCGTTTGGGTGTAGGGCGTGCTGGCGCGCGGCGCGCGCGCAATGAGGGCCGCGGCGTCGCGGAGGCGGCGTCGGACACGCAGCTGACACAAGGCCCGTCGCGGCGGTGCTTCGCGCACGATTTCCGCCCGACGGCGACGAGAAGGCGACGCCGCTGCAGTAGCGAACGAGTCGTGTTCGTTCCACCGGCTGATTTCGACCGGGAAGCACCGCGGAGTCGGGCACGGTGCGCTGATCTGGTGGGCACGATGTTGGGATCACGTGTTGGTGCTTGAAGTCGCGATGGACGTGCGAGCAGTTATCGGCCTGCGCGTCCGGGGAACAGAGCAGGGCGTGTGCCGTGCGCAGGAGTCCAGCGCGGCACGCTGAATGCAGTCGTGAGGGGTTTGGCAACGCGAGTGCTTGTGGTGGGGGTCACGCGGCGCAAATTGACTGCACGGAGGGGCACGAGGCTCGCTGGGTGACCGGGGGCTGCGATTCGCGGGGGGGCGGGTCGGATTTCTGCGGTTGTTTCGAAGGCAGGGGCCAGGAGGTGCCAGGCGGGCACCCGGTCGGGGGGACTGTTGGTGCCTCGCGACGCCCTGGGCCCCAAGATTGGGCCGCGGCATGAAGCGAGGCAAGCTGTGGCGCGTGCGGTGGACAGCTGCCATGCCAGTGCAGGTCGGGTCGGACTGGCTGGACACCCCCCCCCCTGGTCGGTTTCTTGCACGGGCGCTTCATGGGGATGGTCCCGCGAGCGAGCAGGGCCGTCTGGGACAACATGCTGACGGCACCCACGCCGCAAGACACGGCGGCAGAGGGCGGCGCGCCCACGCTGGCGCGGCCCACGCAGGATGACATTCCGAGCCTGGCACAGATGCGGGCCCGCGCCTTCAGCGACAAGGCCTGCTGCTGCCAGTCCGTGTCGTCGGCGGCAGACGAGAACGCAAGGGTCTACCGCGAGTACGCCCAGCGCTTTCCGAGGAAGCTCGAGCACTGCTGCGTGGTGCGCACTCCCGGGGGGGCCGTCCTCGGCGCGATCCAGCTGGCGTTCCCCGAGGACCCCGGAGATCTCTCGATGCCCTCTGCCATGCGCCACAAGGTGCGGCACGGCGAGTGCTACGTCGAGTGGGTCGCGTTGGACGAGGCCGCGAGAGGCAAGGGCCTCGGGGGGCGCTTGATGGCGTGGGCAGACGACCACGCGCGGTCGCGGGGGGCGCGCACGATCACCCTACACGTGATGCGCGCCAACAGAGCGTTGGGACTCTACGAGCGCTTGGGCTACGAGCCGAAACCGGAGCCAGGCTCAGACATCTTCGACGCCATATGTACCCCCGCCGTCGTCTTCTGCTGCCTGGGCTGCCGCTACTGCAGGACTCAGTACATGGAGAAACGACTGTAGCGGCCGGGGCGCCGTCGACGGCTCGGTCGCGCCCCCCGCGCGTTCCTTGGACGTCCTGGCACCAGCGGGCGCCGCGCTCGATCCGATGTCTTGCGGTGGGGAGATCGCCACAACACATATACCAGGCGACGGATACATGCGGACAGCGGGGTCTGAGGAGACCAGACCAGACAGGCCGTGCGGAGCGCCCGTGCTCAGTGCTGCGCCCGTGCGTGGCAGCCTGCGCGGAGGCGTTCGCCGGGGCTGCCGATGCGGCGGTGATTCGTGGGTGCCGAGCGCGCCCGCGGCCGCCCCCGCAGCGCCCCGCCAGCCTTGCCCGTGCGCGTGGCGAGCCCGTGTCCCGCGCGGATGCTTGCCCCCATGTGATCAAGATCCCTTGGCGTTGTGAGACCTCCAGTTGGCGATCGTTGGTAATCGTCGTCGTCCAATCAGGAGACGGTCTGTCGAGGCTCGAGCGAGCGCGTCGCGGCGGGCTCGTTTGCGGGGGGCGCCGCCGCCTTTCCGCACTCTCAGACACCGCAGCGTCCCACCAACGCAGCGCCTGAGCACCGACACGCAGCTCCAAGCCAACGCCACGCCTGCGGCTGGACACAAAGCTGGCATCTCTGGCAAGCGCGCCTGGGCGTCGTTCGCGCGCCGGTCGGCACGCCGACGCGCGCCGCCCGCCTTTCGTGCATGTAACAAACCACTGCCGGGACACCGCAGCGACATGATGTCCGGAGCCACCAGGCAAGCTGCCTCACCAGCTGCACGACGCGCGCGTCCATCCGCCGACCGTCCCGGGGCACATGGCGGACGCGAGACGATAAACTGCTTCGTTCTGCTCGCGCAGGCTCGCTGGACCTGAAGGCGGCCCGCGGAACGACGTTCCAGCGGCCGAGGTGCCCCTTCCGCGCAGCAGGTGGGTCACAACGCCCCGTCGCCACCAACATGCGCGTCTCGTGCGTGGGACTCCGCGCCCTCTCGCATATCTTACATCTCGGGGTCGCGCTCGCGACCGCAACGACGCCTTGCCGCCGGTGCCGCCGCCGGCGCCGGGTCAACCGCCTCTGCCGTTCGCAACCATGCTGCGCGCGTCGCCCCCACGCGCAGGCCGCCCGGAGAATCCATCTACAGCGCCAGCCTAGCATCTCGTGAGCGAGACGGCGCCGGTAACGCCCGTCGTGGCGCCTTGCGCGCCTCGGAAGCGGGACAGATGCAGGACCCGCCACAGGACGCGGCGGCGCACGAGCTGCAGGAGGCGGTGCCTCCGCCGCCCGTCCGGTACCTGCAGCGGGCCAACTCGCACGACGCGCCGCAGCCCAAGGGCTCGCGGACCCGCTCCGCCGTGCTGGAGTCGCTGAGGTTTCGCTCCCAACAGCAGATCGACGCCGCCGAGCAGGCGCACCTCAAGGCGCTGGAGCGCCACACGCAGGCCGAGGAGATATGGCGGAAGCATCAGCGCCAGGCGGAGGTCAAAGGAGCGTCCCTGGGGCCCGGCGCGCACCGGCCAGCCGCACACGGTCCCGTGGTCATCAATGTCGCGTCGCCGTCGTTTCGGGCGCGCGCGGGCGCCGTGCGCGGCCTCTCCGCGCTCGCGGAAGTCGAGCCCGACGCCGGCGCCCGCGACGACAACCCCGAGGCCCAGTCCCTGCGCTCAGAGGACCCCCACACCCCCTCCTCGCACGGGCCGCTCGTGGCCACCGTGAGCTCGCTGTCGGCGCCGCACGTCGCCCCGGGCCTCCTCGCGTCGAAGAAATCGTGGATCGGCGCCGCCGCGGACGCGGACATGCTCGCGCCGCTGTCCATCGAGGACCCGCAGCGGGAGTTTGCGCGCAGCCTGTTGTCGCCCGTCTCGCTGTCGGTGCGCAGCAGCCGCGTCGCCGCGCACGACTCGCGGGAGTCGCTCCTGAGCCAGGCGGTCTACCCGATGCGCACGTCGTCGGGCGCCACGCTCATCGACGCGCACGGCACTCTGGGGCGCGTGGGGCCCGCGAAGGACGCCTCGCGGAGGTCCGTTGGGTTCCGCGCCACGAACGGCTCGGAGAGCGGCGACGTGGTGGGCGCGCTGGACGCCGGCGCGCCCCGCCGGCGCGCCCGCCCCCCCGGCCCACGGGCCCTCGCGACGGTCAAGTCCGGCGTGCCGATGCGGGAGCACGAGACGCCGATTCCGCCGCGGGAGTCCTCTGAGGGCCGGCGATCGAGCGCGGGCCTCACGCAGACCGCGCCGGCGCGGCCGTCGCCGCGGAGGAGCGACAGCGCGTCGCAGCTGCTGCGCGACGCGGGCGACGGGGCGCTCAAGATCATGGAGCAGGTCAAGGAGCTGCGGAGGGAGGACGTGCAGAAGAAGGGCGAGCGCCGCAAGAGCATGCAGTACCCGACTTCGCACGCGGGCGACGCGGGCGGCAGCAGCGCCAGCGCCTCCCCGATCACTCACACTGACGTCGCGGTCGCGCCGCCGGCGCCCACGGGCACCTCGCGCAAGGGCGCGTTCGTGACGCTGCGGGCGCGGCAGAGGGTCTACATGTCGGACGTCGCGGGCCTCCACAACCTGTGGAACGAGGCCCTCTTCTCCTGCGGGATGCAGGGCGACGTGCTGCGGTCCGACCTGATCCGCCTCACGGAGACGTTCGAGCCGTCGAAGCTCGGGATGTCCCACCCGGCGAGCGGGCGCATCCTCGAGGAGCTGTGCAAGAATCTGCGCAAGCCGCGGGACGGCGCCGCCACGACGTCGCTCACCACGGTGACCTTCCGCGACATGGTGGAGGCGGCGTGGCCGAACGCGCGGCCGCCCGAGGTGACGGAGATCATCCACATGGCGCGCGACGCGCAGCGCGTGCCGGAGTGGATGGCCCCGTTCGAGTACCACGCCGTGGCGTCCATGTTCCGCGCGATCGACGAGGTCGAGGGGCGCGGGCACATCAGCGCGAAGCAGTTCGAGAGCTTCCTCTCGGCCGTCGGGGAGGTCGTGCACGGGCGGAAGGCCACGAACCGGACGCTGCTGCGGCGCCGCATCGACCGGCTGATCCAGAACAACAAGGTGCGCGCGTGCGGCGCCCGCGCGGGTGGTTGGTGCGTTGAGTGCGTCTGTTTGCGTGCCGGAGAGGCCTGTGTGCGACGCGCTGGTGCGGTGCGGTGCGTGCAGACGTGGGGGGGGGTGTTGGACGTGGACGGCGTGGTGGAGTGGTGGCGCACGGTCAACCCGAAGGAGGAGCAGCCGCTGTCCGCGGAGATCGCGGCCGCGCTGGGGCAGCCGGGGTCGCCGATGATGAAGCGCGTGATCGAGGTCATGGAGAAGGCGTCTCCGTGGCGGCAGCACTGATCTGCTGAAGCACCACACCATGGCATCCACATCCGCACTCGTCTGCGCCTTGCATGGCTCCTGGCGCCGCACGCCAGGCGGCAGTATGTGTCGATGCTCCGGCCTCGGGGTATGCTCGGGCCGAGCAACGCTGTTGTCTTGACTGTTCGTTTGCATCATTTCTACCCCCTCTCTTCCCTACAGACCCCCCTTCGCCCCCCCGTCACTCTCTTGCTGTCCGTCCGTCCATCGCGCGATCACCGTCGCAGGGAGGAGCTGGGCGCTGGTGCACAGCCAGAGCCCGTTCCTGAAACTTGCTGCCCGTCACACTCCCGATCGTTCGAGGGCAGCCCTGCCCCGCACCCCATCTGATCCGTAGCTACGCAAATGCGCCCCCGCGCATGCCTCGTGCTGAAGACGCGCACCGGCTCGTCGACCACATCTTGTCTCCATAGAGATCCCCACAGACGTATCAGATATCTTGAACCACCCTATTCTCCCCACCCCCCTCCCCGCCCCTTTTGCTTCCATGGCCAGCTTGACACCTGACCCTAGCCCACGCCCACTGTCGCGGACGCGCCGTGCCGTGCGGCGGCCAGCATGAGCTGTCGTGTGCAGTAGCAGTTGCACGTGCTTCCTAGAACGAACGACCCTAGATTCACGCCAGTCGCAGGCTCGGAAGGCTCCGCCGCCCCGCAGACGCATGTCACTGCGTCTCGCGCTGCTGGGATGGCGACCAGGGTCCCGCGGAGGTCGGTCTGTCATGGCACCGCACTCGGAGGAGCTGCGACCGGACCTGGCTGTGAACACGAGACTCTCGAACAGCACGCGCACGTGCCGCAACTTCGCACTCACGGTTCCGTCGGCAAAAACCATTTCGGTCGCGCAAGCATCCTCGCGGTGAGGGTGCTTGTAGGTCAGCGAAGACCTATCCTCGCGGTGAGGGTGCTTCTAGGTCAACAAAGTACAAGCAATCAACCGAGCGCTGGACGAGGTCGCCGGCGCGGACCACCGCCAGGGCTCGCGGCCCCGCGAGCCCCCACTCGTTCGCGAGGTGACAGCCCGACACACTCGCCGGACCCGCCCACAGCCTGGTTCATATGTCGGTTCGGTTCGTCACACCCACAGCCTGGCATCAGCGGGCCGTCGCGGGATCCACATCGCGCCCCGTCGCAGGCTCGCGGCCCCGCACGCCGCCCGGCCCTTACTTGAGCTTCTTCTTCAGGCGCAGCTGGTTGGTGCGGCCGCACTTCTTCTTGCGGCAGTTCACCGCGCGCGGGTGCAGGCGGGCGTAGCACTTCCGGCACACCTTCTTCTCGCAGTTGTACTTGCGGGCCAGCACGAGCAGCGAGGGCTCGATGATGCCGCCGCGCAGCCTGCAGGGGGACGGGCGCGGGGACAGGGGACGCTCGGGCGAGGGCCGCGGTGCGCGCGTCCGTGAGCGACGTCGCGGCGCAGGGGCTGTTTGTGTGGCGGGCGGGATGCTGCGGTCGGGTGGTGGAGAGCACGGAGCCGCAGGGTGGCTGTGCAAGTGGGGTGTGGCAAGCGCGCGGTCGGGCCGTGCAGCGGGGAGGAGCAGGCGTGGGGCGCGCGGAGGACGCACCTCAGGACCAGGTGGAGGGTCGACTCCTTCTGGATGTTGTAGTCAGCGAGCGTGCGGCCATCCTCGAGCTGCTTGCCGGCGAAGATGAGACGCTGCTGGTCCGGGGGGATTCCTGCGACGCAGTCATGGCGCGCAGACGGATGGTCAGGAGGTGCTCGTTGCGGGCGACGGTGACGCCGCCGCTGTTGCGCCCTCGGGCACACGGGCGGGGGCGCTGAAGGCTTGCCACAGTGCCGTGCACGCGACCGCGGGGCACTGCCTGGCGTCCAAGCGCGAAATTGCAGCCCGGCGCAAGAGTCGCATATGGAGGAGGCGGCAGGGGGGGCCGACTTCGCTCGCGAGCACCGAAAGGGCCGTGAGGGAGCTGGAGAAGGCATAAGCAGCGCCATACCCGCGCTGCGATGGCTCTGAGTTGCAGGCGCGAAGCGAAGGCCACGCGAACAATAGAGGCCGACGGGAACGTTCGGAATCTGCGGCAGTTGCACCTCCGACGCGGGCGAAAACAAAGGCCCCAGGGACCGCAGCGGCCACTGCGCTCCTGTGCAGGGGCTTGTTCCACGCTTCCGCGCGCGGCGGGTGCAGAAAATGAGCGTGCGCGGTCCCGGCGCGCGCGCCAGCGTGGACGGGCCGCACGCGCGTGCGTTGGCCGGCACTGCGTTGGGCGCAGTGGCGCGCCGCCGAGCTCGCCGAGACCGCCTCGCGGCGAGCGCGGCGCTCGATACGGGCGGGAACAATGAGCGACACTCACCCTCCTTGTCCTGGATCTTGGTCTTCACCGACTCGATGGTGTCGGACGACTCCACCTCGAGGGTGATGGTCTTGCCCGTGAGGGTCTTCACGAAAATCTGCATGGTGCCCCACTCAACCCGGTCGACCCTAAGTGGAAGAGGGCTGCGTGGCGCGCACGCGGCGGCAAAGGAACGGCGGAGCCGGCCAGGAGCGCTGCCGGGGTGTTCGCGACGCAAGTCCCCCTCCCCTCTCTGCGGGATAAGGCGCCTGCGAACGGTCCTCACTGTGCAAAACATATCCGCTTCATCCACGAGAGTTCGTGAGCGAGGGTAGACACCGCGCCCGCGGCACGTGCGAACCTCCATCGCGGCGTTTGTTGCTGCACCAGTAGTAGTGGGCGCCGCCGCCGTGTGCGGGAGCGATATCGGCGTCTCGTCCCCGAGGGGGCTGCGTTGATACTCTAGGAGGCGAGGGCGCGCCATGATTGCGCTGGGAATCGAGGGATCCGCCAACAAATGCGCGGTGGGCATCGTCAAGGATGATGGGACGATTCTGTCCAACCCACGGCACACGTTCATCACGCCGCCGGGCACGGGCTTCCTCCCGAGGGAAACGGCGGTCCACCACCAGGAATGGATCCTGAAGCTCGTCGAGCAGGCGCTCGAGGAGGTGCGCACCTCCTACGCCGCCCACCCATCCCACCGCGCCCACGCGCCAACCGCGCGTTGATACGCGTGCATTCCCGCGCGCGCCGCCGCACATCCGACCTTACAGCGCAGCGCGGACCGCATCCTCTGCTTCAGCGCAGCTCGCGGCACGCGCCCACGGCCGCTCTCCTCCATCCCCCGCCCGTTCGCAGGCGAAGCTCCGCCCGGAACAGCTGGACCTCATCGCGTACACCAAGGGCCCCGGCATGGGCGGGCCGCTGCTCACGTGCGCGATCGCGGCGCGCATGTTGTCCCAGCTGTGGAAGAAGCCCATCGTCGCTGTCAACCACTGCGTCGGGCACATCGAGATGGGCCGCATGGTGACCGGCGCGAAGAACCCCGTGGTGCTGTACGTCAGCGGCGGCAACACGCAGGTCATCGCGTACGCCGACAAGCGCTACCAGATCTTCGGGGAGACCATTGACATTGCCGTCGGCAACTGCCTCGACCGCTTCGCGCGCGTGCTCAACCTCTCGAACGACCCCGCGCCAGGTGAGCGCCCGCGGGCCGCACGCCGCCCTCGGCGACGCAGATGCCCTCCGATGCGGAGTGCTCGTCCACGCCCACATCCGCCCTCCGCACTTGTGTGCTCTCGGCGGCGCCGCAGGGCACGGCCTGCTCTGTGTCAGACCTGGATCTGCATGCACTTTGGTGGGGCTGGGCGCGGCGAGCCGCGCGTGGGCGGCGCCGGCTTCGCGGCAGCGCTGCGCTCATCGGCCGACACCCCCCCCGGTGCGCAGGGTACAACATCGAGCAGCTGGCGAAGAAGGGGTCGAAGCTAATCACGCTGCCGTACGTCGTCAAGGGCATGGACGTGTCCCTGTCCGGCATCCTGTCGCACATCGAGGAGGCGGCGCCGCGCATGATCGAGAGCGGGGAGGCTACGGCGGCCGACCTGTGCTTCTCGCTGCAGGAGACGCTCTTCGCGATGCTCGTCGAGGTGACGGAGCGCGCGATGGCGCACGTGGGCGCCGGGGACGTGCTCGTCGTGGGCGGCGTCGGGTGCAATCTGCGTCTGCAGGAGATGCTGTCGCTGATGGCCAAGCAGCGCGGGGGGCTGGTGTACGCGATGGACGACCGGTACTGCATCGACAACGGCGCGATGATTGCGTGGCCGGGCCTGCTTGCGTTCAAGTCGGGCACCGTGACCCCCCTGGAGGACTCCACCGTCACGCAGCGCTACCGCACCGACGACCAGGAGGTCCTGTGGCGCGACGACTGACCGGCGCAGCCGCGTGTGAGTCCGCTGCTGCACGAGCGAGGCGCGGAACGCCGCCGACAGGGTCACAGAAGCCGTCAGGACGGAGTCCGAGGGGGAGGTCCTAAACGTGCGTTTGTCGGGCGTTGCGGCCAGCGCGAGTCCGCCACGCGTGCGGTATATTGTGTGCGCGCGGCGCCGCGTGCTCCCTGCCTGTCAGTGCCTCGCAGTCCACGCGGCGGCGCCACTACGTCCGCCCTCCCGCGCTATACGTTTTGCTCCGTTCCCACGGGCGCCCAGGACTTGTCGTCGCTGGGCGGCGCGGGCGGGTTCGCCGCGCCCGCGATGGCTGGCTCCGCGGGCCCCGCGCCGTCGCTCGCGCCGTGGCTGGACCCGGTGCTCGGCCGCAGCTCCTGCGTCGCCGACTGCTTTTTGTTCTCGTCCCGCACCTGCGACTTGATCGCCTCCAGCGTCCGCGCCTCCCGCTCCTTCGCCGTGCTCAGCCGCTCCATCTCCTGCAGCCGCCGCCTGCACCGCGCACACGCACCCAACGCTCGCCACTTTAAAACCCCCCGCCAGAGCTCGGACCGCGCCGAGCACCAGCGCAGCAGCGCCTCGCATCTCCACGTGGCACATCCAGCAATCCGCCCCACATCCGCCAACGATACAACACCCCTCGCCGCAACCGCGAAGCGCGCACACACAGCCGCCGCTCACGCGCAGCAAGGCGGGCGCACGTGCGCAGGCACGCGTCCCGCGAGGGTGGGGGGGCGCTGCACGCACGCTTCCTCCTCCTCCTTCTCCTTCGCCTTGGCCTCCTGCTCCTGCCGCTCCCGCTCCCACTCCTCGGCCTTCTTGCGCTCCTCCTCCACGATCACCATCTCCTCCATCGCGGTGCCGAGGCCCGCGGCCTTGAAGACCTCCGCGAGCAGGTCGTCGCCGGCGAGCTGCGGGGGCCGCGGGGCGCGCTGAGGCGTGTTCGAGGTGTGTGTTGGCGCGCGCGGTGTTTGCGGCGGCGGGCGGGGCGGTGGCGGGGCGCACCACGCAGGGGATCTCGGTGGTCGACGCGCCGCGGACTTCGGCGAGGAGGCGCTCGTTGAACTCGTACTGGAGGCGCGCGCAGGGGATGTCGTTCGCGTCGTACAGAAAGGGGTCCTCGAGGTCCCGGGCGACCTCCGACAGGGCGGCGTAGGTGAGCACGGCGAGGAAGCAGAACCCGGACGCGAACCACGCCTTGGTGATCCACGCCGTGACCAGCAGCGGCATCGTCGCCGCGTACAGCAGCACCAGCACCACCACCTGCACGCGGCGACGGCCGCGAGGGGGGGGGGGGTTTTAGCGCGGGGAGTCGTTTCTCGCCAGTCCGGGCTCGCCCAGTGCGCAGGCGGGCCCTGGTGCGCGACACGCGGGCCCGCATCGCAGCGGCGGTGCCGGGGCGAAGTGAGCATGCTGCGGGGCTGGGTTCGTGGCTGGGCGCGCACCATCTGCGACGTCGGGAAGGGGAACGGGAGGTACGCGAGTTTCCGCAGCTGCTCGTACGCGAGCATGGCGTCGGCGAGCTCCTGGTAGAGGCGCGTGGTCAGCGGCGCCGGCGCCTCGAGCCCGCCCTCGAACACTCGTCGTCGCAGCAGCTGGTGGATCCACCCGTGCACGATCGCCACGCGCTCCTGCGCGCGCGCGGAGAACTGGCCCGACGACAGACTGCCCCCCTCGGCACCCTGGTACAGCGCGTCGCGCTCCGACTGCAGCACGTCGCCGAGGACGGGGAGCGGCAGCACGCGGTTGATTTGGCGGCGGCGGCGCTTGCCGCTCTGGAGGACGAGCACGTCCGTGAGGCCGACCTTGAAGTCCTGCTTCTTCGCGCCGACGCGCGGGTCCAGGTCGGGCGCCGCGTCGCGCTGCACGTGCTTGGTGAGGTTGGTCAGGTCCCAGTCGCTGCGCAGGTTCTGGAGCGCGAGGCCGTGGAGGAGGGAGACGAGGTGGAGGAGCCGCTCGCGGAACAGCAGGTGCGGGTGCGTCGCGGCGCCGCGCACGCGGCGACCCTTAGGGCTGTGGTCGGCGTCAAAGATCACGGCGGAAACGGTGGCCGCGCAGAGGCGCGCGGCCATGGTCGTGGCGCCCGTCGCGGCCTCCCAGTACCTGCGGTCGGCGTGGGCAGCGGCGCGCGGGTTCGGCGGCGCGGGGGCGGCCGGCCGGGGCACGCTGCGGGTGCGCGGGAGGGGAGCTCGCCTGGCGTATGCGGAGTTCGCGCGGAACACGAGGAGGAAGCCGACGACCCACGAGAAGGTCGAGTAGGGGTACGGGTGGACCCACATGTCCCGGAGGTAGTCGCGACACGTGAGGTGCAGGACGAGGGTGACCATTGCGGAAATAAAGGCCACGGGAAGAGCGCGCGGGAACGCGCTGCCGTAGACCTTGCGCAGCAGCCCGAGGCCCCAGGCCACCTTGCTGTAGGTGATCATGGCGCGAGGGACGGTGCCGTGCGCACCAGCCGGCGCGGGGAAAAAAGGTCACTGAATTCCAATCGCTTCCGCGCACTACGGGACGCTTTTCAGGGCGGGTGTTCTGGCTAGGAGGTGTGACGATGTACGAGAATCAAACACGCAGCGCGAAACGCTCTGTGCGGGGCAGGTGGAGGGCAGCTCGGGCCAACTACAGAGCCAGCGCGGGGAACCCACTCCCACAGCCACCGTGGCTCCGCTGGACGTAGAAAAGGAATCCCGGCGGGCGGGGCCGAACAAGTGCTCCACCCGGCGCGCCCGCGCCGGAAAACAAGCGCAGGTGTCCGTCCTGAGCCGCCGCACGCGTAGTCGGTCACAGGCACCTCCTCCGGGTCACTTTGCGCAGCGACGTCGGCCGTGCACGACCTCCGGGCCTCGAACAGCCACCGTCCGCCGTGCGCACGTACATACCTAGCACCGAGCGACGGACACCGGGATGCCTCTGACCTTGAGCGCGGCGCCAGCGCGCGCATCGTGCGGCGCGGGGCGTGTGCCAGGCGCGGTGCCGGCGCGGCCGCACGCCCGCTCCCACACCGTGAATGCGCGGAAGTATGCGAAGGGTGCGGGGGCTGCGGCAGCCCGGCGGGCCGGCCGGTTCGTGGCCTGCCGTGCGCAGGAGAGCGGGTCGGCTGGGGGCCCGGATGAGGAGAAGCTCAAGCAGCTCATGGCGCTGGACCAGCTCATCGACCTCCTGATGGCTGCGAAGACCTCCGACGAGGCGAGTCCTCCAGCCGATCAGTGACGCGCCGCAAGGCCGGCGCCCGTCGCGCGGAGCGGGAATGGATGTGGGGATTCGATGCCCTGTTTTCGCGCCCTCGAGCCCCGGGTACCCTCTTTCTTGCGCTTCACGCAACATCCAGATGCATGCAGTGCTGTCCACGCAATGAGCGACCCGCGACCGGTCGATGTGTCGCGCACATTGCCACATTGCTGCATTGGGACCCACAACAGCGCTCACTTCGGCGCGCTCCTCTCCCGGATCGTCCCGCAGCTCGCGAAGCTCGTCGGCGAGAACATCCTGTCCTTCGACCAGAATCTCTGGATGCGCATCGCCGCTCGCGCAGGCAAACTCCTCCCCAACACCCCCCGTACGCTCCGCTGCCCTCACCGCGCCCACCACCGCCCGCGCCAGCCGCGACGGCCCCTCCCCGCCGCGACCTCCGCAGAGACCGCGTCGTCCGAGGAGGAGCGCGCCCGTCTGTCGGACCTGGCGCGCGCGTCGATGCTGCTCGTCGAGGCGATGGTCAAAAACACCGAACAGACCATGGGGCAGTCCGGCGAGGTGCTCCAGGAGGTGCTCGCGGCGGGGGCGAACGACCGCGGGGAGTGGGAGCTCCCGCTGCCCGCGGAGGCGGTCGAGAGGATGCGCGCGGTGCTGCACGAGCGCGCGGAGGAGGGCCGCGTGGACGAGGCGATGCTGGCGAACGGGTTCGCGTGGATGCGCAAGGCGTCGGACGACGGGCTCGACGGCATGGTCGCGCTCATCCAGAAGGTGCTGCAGCTGTACGCGGCGATGGAGCTGAGTCAGGGCGCGGGCGGCGAGGGGGCGGACGCGCTGCTGGGGGAGCTGCTCGGGGCGGAGGAGGACGCGTGGGAGCCGCGGCTGCGCGGCGCGGCGGAGGCCGGGGAGGTCACGGAGACGGCGCTGATGGTGCGAGAACCCCACCCCCCCACCACGTGGCGGTTTTGTACTCGTGTTGTACGTGGTGGTGTTTTTGCTGCGCGGCGCGCGGGCGTGCGGGGCTGCGCGTGGTGGCCGCAGCGGACCGGGCGGCGCTGTGCGCGTGGCCGTGCAGGAGGCGCTGCAGCGGCGGATGGAGGGCGCGGTGCTGAACCTGCCGAGCGGGTCGTACGCGCAGCGGATCCAGGCCGAGTACCTGAAGGAGTTCGAGACGCGCGCGAGGGAGGTGTTCGCGTCCATAGAGTGAGGCGCCGGCGTGCGGCGCTGTGATTCGCGGCAGGAGGCTGCGCTGCGTAATGTGGGGCTGTCGGTGACGCTCGCGCTGCGTCTGATCCGCTAGCCGGAGTCGAGCGGGGGGCGCGGCGGTCCGTGCGCTGGGGCGGGGGGCGTCCGCGGGAGGTGCGTGCCAGGCAGGGTGACAGCGGCGCTGGCGGGGACAGCTGGCGATGGGCCGTGGCGCTGCCTCCGCGGACGGCTTGAGGCGCGGCTTCGACGGACGCACGGTAGCTCAAAGCGTCGCGCTGCGTCCACAGATACCGCGTTCGATCACAGGTCTGAGCTCCCGCCGGCGGTGTACTGCACTGACGCGATGGCCTCGCCAGCTGACGCTCCGTGCGCGCCGCGCGCGGACCGCCGGGCGCTCGACGGAGAGCGTAGATGCAGCTCCGAGGGACGCCAGCTTCTCCTCGCGCGTTTGCGGCCGCAGAGGGAGCCCTGCTTTGGCAGTTACACGTTGTTTTCCTGGGGCGACACCTTCGGGAGCTCGGGCTCTTGCGACTTGGGGGCCTGCGGAAGAGCGAGATCGCGAGCATGCCATCAGCTCCGGCGAGCGCGCGAGCGAGGATGCCGCTGCGGCGCGGCGAGGCTGCCCTGTGTGCCAGGGATCGCTGGCGGCAGGGAATCTTCGCAAAACGAGCGAACATCGGCCCTCGCGATCGCGCCTCGCGCAGTACGTACTGTGAACCATGCGCAGATCGCGCACGGGCGCGCAGGAAACGCCCTGGGAGCACGGCAGCGCCACCAAAGCGCCAGGGCAGAGCAAGCACCAGCTCGAACGGCGCGCCACGCGGCATCCACGCGAGTCTCGCAGCGCCGTACGCTGGCACGGCCTTCCTGAGCACCAGGGGCCCTCAGCACGCACCTGCTTGCCCTCAACGGCCTCCTTGATCGGCTGCGCCATGGCGTGCTTCACCGCTGGGTCTACGCCGTCCGAGCCCAGCGAGCGCCACGCGTCGCCGATGGCCTGCCCCATCTTGCGGACGTGCGACGCTGGGTTCGCACGCGAGTTCGCGACCTCCGCGTTCCCCTTCTCGTCCAGCTTCGTGGGCTCGCCCACAGGCTCGAACCCGTACGGCATTGTGTTGTTGTGGGCGCTGCGCGGAGAACGCGTCAGAGGCAGCGGGAGAGAGTGCGGTCGGACGCCACGGCGCGAGTGCTGCCGGGGGACGCGCGCGCGCCCCGACGACGGTCGCGGCCGGCATCTGACGGGTCGGACTGACAGCGTCATGTGTCGGACACCCCCTGGTATGACGTGGACGAGCAGGAGCAGCGTGGCGGGCGAGCGCGGAGCAGGCGATCGCTGGCGACGCAGCGCACCGGTCCTCCGCGGCGTGGCAGTCGCCATCGCGGCGCACAAGCCAGCAGGGACAGAACGTCACGCGGGCCGCGTGTCGCGACGGGACGCGCCCGCGAGAGGGCCTCACAGCACGGGGCGCGACAGGAAGCGCACGCCGGACTCGGCGAGCCGCAGAAAGAGCGTCTTATGTACAAAGCGCGTCGTGTCGAGCTCGGGCTCTGCAGCGCCGCTCCCTGAGTGCGCGGCGGCGTCGTCGTCGCCGACGCTGCGCGGGCGCGACGTGCGGCCGTGCGTCGCCGCCTCGGACTTCTCCGCGGCGCCGCCCGTCGGCGCCGGGGGGGGGGTCGGGAGCCGCCTGACGTGGATGGAGAGCTGTGCCTGCAGGCGCCGCGCGCGCGGGGCGGCCGGTGGTCTCGCGCCGGAACGCGCGGCGCCGCGCGCGTGGGCGGGCGGGGCGTGCGTCGGCGGGCGGCGCACCTGCATGTCGTGAGAGCGGCCCGTTCGCAACGCGTCTAGGCTGAGGTGGGTTGCGGCCACGCTGTGGAGGTGGCGGTGCCACGCGCGGTCGACGTCGGTGTCCGCGTGGACGCGGCACACGACGGCCGATATCCCGGGCATGGTCCTGCGCGTCGGACACACCCCGCGGAGCGCGCGTGTTGGCAACGTGAGGCAGGGCCGGCCGGTTGCCGCGCTTGGCGCGCGAACGGAGGGGACGTGCGTCACCTGCAATGGTGTATCAATAGAGCAAGCGATCCGTCTGCGTCTGGAGTGGCGCCCAGCAGCGCAGAGATGGTGCTGAGGCTGTCAATGAGCAGCACGCAGCCGGCCGCGGGGAGTGCCGCCTCCTCGCGCGCGGCCGTGAGCTGCTCTAGCGCTTGCTTGATCATGTGAGCTATCCGTGGCGCCGTGCCGCTGTCGTCCCAGTCCCAGTCGCGGCACGCGTTGAGCACGTCAACGAAGCGCGCCCGCCCCTCCGACACACACTGCGCCCAGTTCACGCCCAGCTTCGCAAGGACGCGGTTGTAGTGCAGCTCGTTGTAGTCCACACCCACAGCAACGAGGAGGTGCTCGGACAGCGCCGCTTTCGCCAAGTACTGCATCAGGAAGCTGCCGTTGCACGCCACCGTGTCGTGCACCACCACCGTGTGCCGCAGGAGCGGCTGTGCGAGCCGCACGAAGTCAACCGTGCTGTTCATCACATCGAGCATAGACCGCGGGCGGGAGGCGGCGCCGCGGAACTGCGCCGACGGGACGCGGCGACGGCCAAAGTTACCCCACGGACCACCCAACACATCCCCCGAGGCGTATTGCCGCGATGGCTGGCAGCGCCATGCAGTGAGCGGGCGCGCTTGAGTCCGCCCGTGGCCTGGTTCGCGCGCTGGCAAAGACGCGTTTTTCAGGCACGGCAGGCGTAGATCCGGTTTCACGGAGACGGCCCTCGACGCTGGGGGGGCGTCTGGGCGTCGACGCGGCCGATGGGAAGGGTTCCGCACGTAAATATATGTCTTCGGCCGCGCGATAGCAGCCGCGAGTCAAACCTCGGTCGAACTGCATCTCGGGACTGGAGTTGTCGACCGCTCATGCGGCAGGTTCGGAACACTTCTTCGCCTGCCGCGCAGCCGCAATGCATTCCTGGTGCCGAAGTGAGGATGGCTGACTGCCGCCGCTGTCGGGGAGTGCCAGGTGGCGTTCGCTGCACAGCGGACGTCGCATGGCGCCAATGATGGTGACCTGCCAATGATGGTTCTTTGTTTGTTCGTCATGAACAATCCGAAGGGCACAACAACATGGTGACACGTCGTCTCCACGCAGCCCGTGGGGCTCTGCAGCGGCGTTTACATGCAGCAAGGTGGAGCTGGATCACAGGACTGTCCGGCCGCTTGCGCCAAACTTGCAGCGCGCAGAACAGCTGCCATGTACGGCCGTGCGTTGCGCGTCGCTGTGCGCAAGGTCGGTATCGACTGGCGCCGAGGACACGTCTCGCGAAATCTTCAGTGGTCGATCAAGGTTATCGGTCTTGGGGGGTAGAAGGCATGCTGGAGCGTAAGCGTGCCCGCGTGTTAGAATGTCTCAGAATGTGAATTCCGTGCGGTTGAGAGCCGGGAGTGTGCCGCGGACGACGGCGCTATTTCGCTGGCATCACGCAGCTCAGTGCTCGGGGGGGGGGGAGGGGGTTTTGAGCAGGATTTCGGGGTGTCGTTTCGAGGCAGGTGCAGGCATCATCATGCTCTGAAACCATCGTCCACTGCGGAACGAAGTGGGCTGCAGGCTCGCGGCAACGCCGGCGTCCGCAGCTGCTGCGGTCAGGCTCCGGGCGCGACACACCCCGGGAGGAGCTGCGAGTAGGAGGGGTGCTGGCTGACCACGCCCGTCTCCTCCGCCGCCGTCTTCAGCACGTCGCAGAGCGTTTCGGTCGGCGTCGCGTCCACGTCCAGGCGGTCGATGGCGGCGTTCAGCCGCATCCCGTCGCCCTGCGTCTTTCGATCCGCCTCCCCCTCTATGATCTCGTCCATCGCGTCCATCAGGTTCAGGCCCGCGTCGCCGTCTTCGGACTCGCGGCCGCCGCCTGCGCACACGCGCGCGAACACACGAAGCCCCTGTCGGTGCGCCCGCGGTCGGCGGCGGGGGCCCGTGCAGTGTGCGGGCGCAGCACAAGAGCGACGCCTCACCTACGACAAGCTCCGCGTGGGCGTGTCCCGGCACTTGCTCGACCTTGGCGACGTTGTCCTCGGCGCCCCTGTTCTCGAGGGCGGCCAGCCAGTCCCCCATCTCCGCAGGCTGAGCCTCGGGGGGCGCGGCACCGACGTTGATCGTGGGCAGCAGGCTCTGCGCCACCGCGGGCGTGAACGCCTGCGCCGCCTGTCCCTGACCTGCCCCGAAGCGCGGGTGCACCATCCCGCCCCCGCCGGGCCGCGCGAAATCGTCCGGCCGGCTCTCCTGCGACAGAGAGAGAGCGCAACGAGGTTTGAGCGGTGGACGTCAACGCACTCGTCTTCCACGTGGCGCGTGCTCGCGGTGCGACAGGTCGCGTGGGCGTGGGGGCGGACCAGTTCGGACAACTCCATCGCGGACTTGTGGTGGGGGAGTGTGTGACACGGGGTTGGCGCTGCAACCTGGGCGCGGTGCAGCCCCGCCAAGTCCTCGTGGACGCTGGCGGCAGCGATCGCCGCGTCACGAGCCGCGAACCTCGAGACCTTCTTCCCGTCGGTCGAGTCCGAAACGACGGAGGTTCGTCGCGTCTTGGTGCCCTGCAGGATGCAAGGCGCCGCGGGGGCCACGTGTGGGAAACATGCCAGCTAAGAACCACCTCAAGGGACAGAACAAGCGTGAACTATGGTGAGGGACATGCTGAGTTCAGGTGTGTCTGGCTTCGTCGACCGGCAGGGCACGTTCAACATGTTGGTGAAGGGTTCCCCGCCGTGAACGTGTGCTCACCGGTGCACTCCCCGTGTCGCTGACTTTGCCGCTGCGTTTGCTCGGATGTGCGCCGATTCGCGCGCCGGGCGGCCCGCCGCGGACGGACACCAGGCCGGTTCCGCCAGCTGAGCCCATGACCTCATTCAGGGCTGTGGCCCGCACGCTGACGAGCCCGCTCCTCGCGTGCTGCTTGTTCTCGCCCACGGTGCTCAACCGAGGGTTCCTCCCGGAACGTGCGCCCTTGGTGCGGGCCCGAGTCGCCTCCACTTGGGGCTGCAGAGGAGCAGTGCGCACCGGGGCCGCGCACACCGTCATCGCGCCGCGCCGCGCGTGCGAACGACACCAACTGATTGACAGCGACCCCGGCGTGCAAAAATCCCGCTCCGCCCACGGCGAGGTGGAAAGTTCGGGGGGGAGCGGAAAAGCCAGTAGAGCGGTCGAGGGCGCGCGCGGCATGGGAGGCCCTGCGCGGCGGTCAGATCGGAAGGCTTCGAACGGAGTGACGCGCTCCCTTGCTTACCTCGACGGAGACGCACGCGCCCATGGCCGGCCCGCTTCCTGACGATTCACCGGGCCGGCTGGCGGGGGCAGAGAAAGAAGGCACGGCCCAGCACAGGCCGCTGCTGCGCGAAATCAGCACAGAAATGCTCGACGCCGGCGGCGGCGGCCGCAATGACGGCATGCACAGACGCAGTTGGACGGTCAGACCACTGGGTGAGACGCACGTGCCTCTTGTCATCCACGCAGCGCCGGTGCGCGTCCGTGGCAGCTTGCTCGCGGCGACCTTAGCCCAGGCGCGCGGCGGCGCAAGTGCCGCGATGCGCGCGGCCGCGCGACCTGCGACAAACACATTCCTGTTGGTCAAGACCGTGTCAAGCTGCACAACACACGCGGAGCCTGCAGGCGGACGAACCTTTGCGTGCACAAGGCGCGTGCAGTGCTCGGCGCGCTCGAGGGAGGGGCCGGCGCAGGCAGGGGTGCGCCGCGCGAGCACTTTGCTGCATGCCGTAGGAGTCGGAGGAGCCGTGGCGCCGGGCTCGCGCTGCGGGCTCGCTGCCGCGCCCGGGGCGCGAATGCGCGCCGGGTCGCGTGGCGCGCGCGGCCGCCGCGGCCCACGGCCGGCCAGCTTCCGCGATGGAGCGCCACACCCCGCGCACGACGGCGTCACCATCGTGCTGCTGCGGATCGGGCGAGGCCGGTGCGCACGGTCCGCGATAGGACGACCCGGCTGGAGGCGCGGGCCCTCCCTCACGTACGGAGTACCCCGACTGACTTCCCCTGTGCGTCAGCACGCTGACAGTGGCGGTGTGTGGGGCCGCGCCGCGGAGGGGACGGGCCGCCCGCGGTCCGCGACAGATCCTCCGACGCATCTGCTCCACGGAAGAGTCGACTCTCTCCAGACAAGGATCGGAATGCCCGCGTCGCTCGCTTGCCGGGTGGGGGCACCGGCGCCGACGACCAGGCCGGGCAGCGCGTGCTCGCGGGCGCAGCTGGCCCGTGGCGCGAGCCGGCCCGCTCGTGTGGGCCGTGATGTGGCGGCGAAGGCCGGGTACGGGTTCCTGGAGGACGAGGATGGCGCGCAGGGCACCCGGGTGGATGAGGGCAAGCTCTACGTGCCGCGATACGGCCTGACAGTCAACCAGATGCAGGCCCTGGGGATCACGAACGACTCGTTCCTGCAGCGGGAGGAGCCGGACCCGGCCAGCATCAGCGCGAAGGCCTTCTACGTCGGCGACGAGATCACCGGTTCGTCACCCACCCATCGCCGAGGCAGCCTCCACGCCGCTCCTGCCCGGGCCTGCGGATCCGTGGCCGCGTCCGAGCGCGCCCGGGAACCACGTCGCGGCTAGCTATCCCTGCGCCACGCGTCGACGGCAAACACAGCCCCGACGCGGCACTGCGGCGGTAGTACCGTCGCTGTCCAGGCTCCGCGCGCGCAAACGGCTCACCTCGCGCGTGATCCGGGACGTGAACCGCAGAGACCACGCGGCAGACCACGCGGATGGGCGGTCCGGGCATGCGCCCGCCCGGCCAGGCGCCCCCGGACCTCCCGTCGCTGCTGCTTGACGGGCGCATCTGCTACATCGGCATGCCGCTCGTGCCGCAGGTCTCCGAGCTGGTCATCTCCGAGCTGCTCTGGCTCAACTACAGCAACCCGGAGAAGCCCGTGTACCTCTACCTCAACTCCACGGGTGCGCACCGCGGCATTCGCAGCATCCCCCACCACGGGGCCACCCCGCCACCGCCGCGACCGCACCACCGCCCCACAACCGCCCTCCTCGCCCCTCCCGTCCACACCTCCGCGCCTAGCTCATCACGATCGCCCCTCGGCGCTCACCCCCGGTTGCGCCTGCAGGCTCGCAGACCGACGGGCCGCAGAAGCAGGCGGCGGCTTCGAGACGGAGGCGTACGCGATCCTCGACACCCTGAACTACATCCGCCCGGACATCCACACCCTCGCGGTCGGCGCGGCGTACGGCAACGCGGCGATGCTCCTCGCGTCGGGCAAGAAGGGCTACCGCGCGGCGCTCCCGCACGCGCGCATCAAGACGGCCCCGCCGCGCCTGAACCGCGCGATGGGCAACGCCTCGCGCGTGATGGTCCAGGCGAACGAGCTCGAGGACGTCACGGAGACGTATAAGGACTTCATGTGCAAGTTCACGGGGCAGCCGCGGGAGGTGATCGAGAAGGACGTCGGCCGCGACAAGTACTTCACGCCGGAGCAGGCCGTCGACTACGGCCTGATCGACCGCATCGTGCAGCCGGACTCGATGATGTTTGACAAGCAGGACTACGAGTCCATGCTGGCCTCGAGCGGGCGGGGCCGCCCGGGCGCCGCGGCGCAGCCGGGGATGGCGTGAGCGCGCGGGGCGTGTGAGCTCGACGGAGACGGTGTGCATGCGTGAGTGAGTGGGTCACAACGCTGCAACTGTCGCTCGCCGTAGAGGCTCGTGACGAAGATTGATCATCATCCACATGTGAGGCAGCCGTTGGTCAGTCAAACCTCACTGAGGCACTGCGCGGGGTGTTGCTTGCGTATCACGTCATGCTGCGCATCGCGGTCCACTCGGGCGTGCGCGCACTGCTTCCCTCAAGCGCAACACAAGTGCCGCTCGCGCCGTGCGCCGTGCGCCGGCTATGTACATCGGCTCCGGCGCCCCCCGCGCGCCATCATCATGCGGCCCCGGGCACCGCGCGCCACCCCCACCGCGGCAGCGTCTCCCCCTCCGTCATCATAACTAGCGCGTTGATGTCGCGCACCGGGTACGGCGCCCGCGGCCCCCGCGCTGCGAGCTCCCGCAACGCCTCCTCGAACGTCTCTCGCGCGCGCACGCACAGCCGCCGCCGCGCCACGCGGTACTCCGTCGCCGTGCGCGCCGCCCCCGCCGCGCGCGCCACTGTGTCCTCGTCCCCGCGCACGCTCCCGGGGCACGCGTCGCACGCCGCGAGCGCCCGCACCGCCAGCCCGAGCGCACGCTGCTCGATCTCGAACGTGTACGGCCGATCGTCGCCCGTCAACAGCTCCGTCGTGAACACAAAGTCCATCAGAGTGTCGCTGTCCGCGACCGCAACGCGCGCCGCACGCACCGCCGCCGTCGCGCCGCGGTCGTCCCGGGCGTGCGGACGCAGCGTCACGAACGCGGCGAGCCCGCCGTCGCCGGACGGCGCGTCTGCGAGGCGGACGACGTCGGGCATGTCGGCCAGGACTGGGGCGAACGCCTGCACGCGGCGGGCGCGGCGGGGGTCCTCCGACGGCGGCCCCGCGAGCGGGATCGCGACCTCGAGGACGTCGTGCGGGTTGCCGGCGACCACCGCGCCGCGCGTGCGCAGCAGCGAGCGCCCGTCACGCCACGGCGCGAGGACCACCTCCTCTCCGGCCCGCACGGCGCGCCGCGCCGCCGCGACCGCGACCGCCTCGTCGGGGGAGCCCTCGTACTGGAACTCGACGTGCGCGACGGCCGCGCCGGACGCCGCGACGCGAAAGGCAGACAGGATGGGCATCAGGGCGGGGATCGGGGCGCCCGGCGATCCCGGCGGGGCGGGCACGTCGACCGACCACGCGAGCACCCTTCGCGCGGCCCACTCGAAGCGGTCTTTGCTGCACGCACGCGGGGAGCGGTCGTGGGGGGGTGAGGGAGGTGCGGGGGCGGGCAGCGGGGCTGCTTGCTCGCGTGACGTCGGTGCGGCAGGTGGAGCTCATGGGCGGCGCCGGCTCGGCCCGCGGGGCGCGTGTGCGGGGCCGGGCGACGTGCCTGTATACGCTGGGCGGAAACTCTGCGGGGAGGTGTGCCGTGAGAGGTTGCAGGAAGCGCTCGAACAGCGCAGACAGGCTGCTCGGGAGGTCGAGGTGCGCCTCGCTGGCCTCGGTGCAGTCCAGCGGGGCGCGCTCTGCGGGCGTCCACTGGTCGGGCGTGCTTGGCAGCGGCCGCTCGAGCTGCTCCGCCAGCCATGCCCTGCGCGCAGGCAGCCGGCCTGCGCGCGCGAAGTGCTCGTGGACCACAGCGGTCGCGACGAGCGCGAGATCCGCGCCCTGCGTCGCGGCCTTGCCGCTCCGCTGGCTGCGCTGCACAGCAACCACCTCCTGCGCGCTGGCCCGGGCCGCTCGCGACGCCGCCTCGCGCGCCGGCACGCCGTCCTGGAGGAGGAGTATGAACGCAGCAGCCTTGACCAGGTCGACGTCGTCGGCGGCGAACCCCGGCGTCACGCCGGCTCTCGTCGTGACGCGCAGAAGAGGCTCACTCGCGGGGATGTCACGGACCGCCCGGGCGACATAGGCGCCCCCGGGCCCCTCCTCCGTCTGGGCTATCCGCAGCGACGGATGGAGCCCGGTGTTGCCGGCCAGCTGCGTCACCCACGCGGCCGTCGAGGGCGGGAGACCTGTGGGCGCGTGCTCGCGCAGGAGCGCCACGCCGCTCGCGGGCCCCGCGGCGCACGCCATCACGCATGCAAGCAGCCATGCGAGCGCCGTAGACCGGCCCATCGCGCGTCAGCGCCCTGCTGTCGCGGGCATTGCCCCACCAGACCTCGCACGGCTGCCTGCGACGTGCGGCTGTCGACCCACAAGACGTGCGCCACAAAGCACTGAGCCAGCTGCCCTCAGCACGTACGGGGCCCCGCGCCGCGCGCAGGAGCGGCAATGTTCGGGTCGGGGGCCATCCCGCCGGGGGGTGGGCCGTGTGCATGTGGGACCGTCGCTTTCCCCACACACCTCTCCCACGCCGCGGCGGGCCCTTTGCGCGGGGACGGCGGCGCTGCGTTGCAGCAGAGGAAGGTCGCTAGCTGAGGTGGGAGACTCGGGGCTTGGACGATTCGCCCAACTGCGGTAGGTCACCGCGCCAACTGATGCATCATGCGGGCCTGCGCGTGGCACCGCGGTCTCTGGGGGATGCCCTGCGCGCCACGCCTCGCACGTTCGGGTTCCGTGTTGGGGCGCGGTCGTGGCGGGGCGCGTGCGGACGCGATGAGGATGAGGGTCACTCACGAGCGTTGAGCAGCCGGTTGCTGGCCCCCGCGACGCGCGAAAATGTGGGAGATCTCGCGCGCTCTGCGCCGGGAACAAACTGGCGGATGTCGTCGCCCGCGGGAGCGCGACCACGGGCGCACGACGCGCGAGGGGCTCAGCCGAGCTTCGCTGCACCCTGCTCCCGCTGGCAGCGGCCGCTCCTCCGGGCGCGTCGGCTGCAGAGCCCAGGCGCCGATTGCATGCAATTTCCTCTCCGCCGTTTTACCTCTGCAACGCGTTCTCAGCCACGCACTGCGCTCCCACCGTCGCTCATGCAGCAGATGGGCTGTCTGAACAGCAAGGAAGCCGTTGGGAACGCGACGCAACCGACAACGGATCCCAGCGCCCAGGCACACAGCGCTGCCAAGACCGCCTCCGGCGCGAAACCCAAAGCCCAGAAGGTGCGTCGGGCAACCGCCCTAGAGAGTGCTGCCCCCGTGCTCGCTCTCCGTCGCGGGCCCGCTCCCTCCTCTCCTGCCCAGCCGATGCGGCAGAGACCGCTCGCGCCAACAGCTTCCGCGGCGGCGCGCTGCCGGCGCCCCGCCGAGCCGCTGGACGGGCGCGAAAGCAGCCAGGCCCACGAAACACGCGCGCCGCGACGCTGGCCGCGCAGGAGATGTCCGCGAAGGCCAAGAACTTGAAGGAGATGCTGGAGGAGGGCCTGTTGTCCAACAACATGAATAAGCTCTGGACGCCAGGGTTCATTCTCGGATCCTCCCATGCCGGTGAGTGAGTGGGGGCGCGCCCGCTCCCGCGCCTGCCGCTCTGCGCCCAGCGGCGGCTTGCCACGCATGTCGGAGTTCTCCGGGCGCGGCTGGCGCCGCGTTCAGTGCGCGCGGCGGCCGAGGCGCGCGGAGTGGAGGCCCAACCGCTGGCGAGGTGCTGCCAGGCGCCGCGCGGCCTCCGCGGGGCCACGCCGCCCGCCCGCCGACCCCACGCACACGCGCTCTTCCCCGACCTCGCGTCCGCACGCACCGCGTGCCCGCGGGTCCCGCACCCCCCCGCCTCACGTACGCAGTGCGGCGCGCCTTGCAAGCTCGGTTGCCCCCCCCCCGCGCGCGCAACGCAGGCAACCTGCACCAGAACTACCAGATCGGCAAGGAGCTGGGCAAGGGCCACTTCGGCGTCGTGCGGCTCGTGGTGGACAAGCGCAACGGCGAGACGTACGCGTGCAAGACCATTTCCAAGTCCAAGATCCACGACGTGGAGGACGTCAAGGACATCCGCAAGGAGGTCTCGGTGCTGTACCACCTCCAGGACTCGTCCCTGTGCATGAACCTCGTCGACGCGCACGAGGACAGCCGCGAGGTGCACCTCATTTTGGAGCTATGCACCGGCGGCGAGCTCTTCGACCGCATCGTCACGGCCAAGATGTACTCGGAGAAGAAGGCCGCGACGATCATGAAGCAGATCATCCAGGGCATCGCGTACATGCACGAGATGGGCATCACGCACCGCGACATCAAGCCGGAGAACTTTCTGCTGAAGAACCCCGCGCCGGACTTCACGCTGCGCATGGGCGACTTCGGGCTGTCGACCTTCTTCCGCCCGGGGCAGACCTTCGACGAGACGCTCGGGTCGGCGAACTACATGGCGCCCGAGGTGATCGGCGTGTACCAGCAGGGCTCGGACGGCCGCGGGCGCGTGATGAAGCCGTGCTACACGGAGAAGGCCGACGTGTGGTCGTGCGGCGTGATCCTGTACATCCTGCTCAGCGGGCTCCCGCCCTTCTGGGGCAAGACGCACAAGGAGATCTTCAACATGATCCGCAAGTCGCCGATCGACTTCCAGACGGAGCCGTGGCCCAAGGTGTCGTCGATGGCCAAGGACCTGGTCTCCAAGATGCTGGACCGCGACATGACGAAGCGGCTGTCGGCGCGGGAGGTCCTCGCGCACCCGTGGATGCAGGAGAAGGCGCTCATCCCGGACGAGCCCCTCGAGAGCATCATCGGCGAGAAGCTCAAGCGCTTCCGCAACTTCAACCTCCTGCAGAAGAAGGTCATGCGCTCGCTCGCGACCAACCTGCAGCCCTCCGAGGTGGCCGGCCTGCGGAACATGTTCGAGGCCATCGACGCGGACAACAGCGGCGGCATCACCGTCCAGGAGCTCAAGCAGGCCATCCGGGACGGCAGGCTCGGGTCGGACAAGCTGGACCTCGCGGGGATGATCGAGGCGGCGGACGCGGACGGGGACGGCATCCTGGACTGGGAGGAGTTCCTCACGGCCACGATCGCGCGGTCCAAGGTGGAGAAGGGCGACCGGATACTGGAGGTGTTTCAAAAGTACGACCAGGACGGCAACGGGCTGCTCAGCAAGGAGGAGATCGAGGCCGCGATGCAGGCCAAGGGCGACCTGAGCCCCGACGAGGTCGCGCGCGTCCTCGACGAGGTCGACCAGGACGGCGACGGCAGCATCAACTACGAGGAGTTCGTGCGCATGCTCGTGTCGCATCTCGGCGACATCGGCCCGCAGGCGCGCTCGCTGCCCATCCAGGACAAGTGAGGCCGCGCAGGGGCGCACGGCCGAGCGTGGGCGCGCGCACGCGCGCACGTGCACGGGCGTGCTGTTGCAGCGAGGCATTTGCCACCACGCAGGGCGACCGACGCGCCCGGCGCGCGTCTGACGTACCGTCGTGTAACGCGAGGACGCTGTCATGCAGGCGCAGGCGCGCCGAGACGCACGCACATGCTCCCCCGACCCCACCGCCCAACGCGCCCCCAGCCTCACACGAGCGCAGCGCGCACTCCCCCGCCGTCAGCTCCGCAGCAGCTCCTGCGGGAGCCCGTCCCGGAGGCTCCACTGCGACCCGCGCGAGTGGCACAGCTCGCGCATGACCTGATGGTACACGGGCTCGTCGAGGTCCGCCATCCCGGTCGCCCGCAGCGCCTCGAACACCTCCAGCCGCCGCACCGTGGTGTTCTGCTCCAGCAGGCTCACCACGACGGCGCGCGCCTTCTCGTACGCGGCTCCCGGGCCCGGGGACCCGGCACTGCGCGACGCCGGCGTAGTGGGCAGGATGTAGCGCTTGTGCAGGTACATGATGGGCTTCGCGGCCCCAGCGGCTGACGTGACCGCGCGGTGCAGCGCCTCGTCTGACATGGAGTTGGCCGCTGACGTCAGGCGGGGGTCTTTTGCCGCGCGCAGACCCTCGCGGATCGATTCCATTATGAGCACGTGGTGGCGCTCGAGCAACGACCGCGCGTGCTCGCGCACCAGCGCCGCGAGGCCGTCGTCGCGCTCCTTCGCGCCGCGGGCGCTCGCGCGGCCTGCTTCGGCCTGGGCGGCGCGCGCCCGTGCCTTGATCCCGCCCGGAGGCACCGCGTCCACGTCCATTTTGGCGTCCTCGGCGCCGCTCGGCCGCGGCGCTCCGTGGCCGCCCGCGACTCCTTCGTTGTCCGGGGGCGCGACGCGGTCCGCGGGCCTGATATCGAACTGCTCCGTGTTGCGTGCGGCAATTGCGTCCAGGTACTCGGCCGCCCCGAGCGAGCGCACCGCGGCGCCCGTCGGGCGCTCGCGCAGCCGCCGCAGAGTGCCGGCGGCGGTGCTGCTTCCAGGATGCGCGATGTCCGCCGTCGTCCAGGCCTCCTCGTCCTCCTGCTGCACCATGTACGCGTACGAGTTCCGCCGCAGCTCCTGCTGCCGGTCAGTCTCCCTGCGCCTGGAGACACAGGGGAAACGAAAGGGAACGAAGATGAACGAAGAATCGAGAGAGAAAAGGCCAAATCGAATTGAGAAACGCATGAAGAAGGAAGAAGAAACGCAGCCCCCCGTTGTTTCGAGGCCACGGGGCCGCCGGGGGGGCGCCGTGCGACGGCACGCGAGGGCCCGCGATCGGCCGAGGTGCGCGCTGCGCCGCGGGGGCTGCGGCGGCGGACCTGATGTGCACAGTGACCACCGACGGCTTCTGGTCTTCGCTTTTGACCTGGGCGGCGTCGTCCCCTGCCGCGCCGTCCGCGCCAGGCTGCGGCTGCTTCTCGAGCTGCGGCAGGTCGTCCATGCGCGGGCGCATGAGGTGCACGCTGTCGACCGGGACCAAGTGGAGAGCGTCGTCGGACAGCACTCCCAGCGCGAGTCGAGCCTCTGGGTGCGTCTGGGCGGAGCGCAGCGTGAGCGCTCGACGCGGCTGTCCAGTCGCTACCTGCAGGGCGACACGAGGCGGGAATGCAATCGAATTTGAGAGCGAGCCGGGGGCAGGGAGCAGCTGTCGACAGAGGCTGCTTGCGGCGCCGGTGTCAGGCGACGGGCCCGGCGTGAGCGTGCTGGGTCGAACGGCTGGTGTGCGGACCTCTTCCGCCGGGACGTCGATCTCGATGCGGTTCGCCTTGGGCTTCACGCGGAGCTGGCGCGCCTCGTGGACATTGTACGGTCGCCACGGCGGGCGTAGAGGATACTGCAGGTTCGCACGGGGGGCCGGGGCACGCACATTTGGCGGAGAGGCCGCGTCCGGGCATAGACAGCTCGACCGCGCCGCGTCGTGCGACTGCGCCGCGCCGTCTCTGTGCGCAGGTGCAGTTCCAGACCGGGACGCGCAAAACGCGGGGGGCGCGGCACCTGCAGTAATACGATGTTCGCCGACTTGTCGAACGTGTCGTTCGCCACATACACGTCGATCTCCTTCACCAATTTGCGCCCCGGGCGCGCCCCCCCCGCCGCCTCTTTGGGTGCCATCTCTCACTGGCCGCCCCGGCCCCCCACGGCCCAGATATCGATCGTCCTGGCCCCACAGGGAGTCTGTGACAGCCTGAATATCCGGTGATCCAGCTAATCACGACCCCTCCCGCTCGCCCCCGACGTCTCAGAGCGCTGAACCAACAGTGCAACTACTCGTCGTTTTCCCAGTCGCACGCCCCGGCCTCTACAACCGCCGCAGCACTAGTGCGCACACACCACGCTCTGCGCTGCCTCCCTCCGCACCCGCCAACATCATGCCGCCCGCTCCCGCGCGTGGACCATTCTAATTTCACCCCCACCTGAAATCCTTCATACGCAATCGACACCCCCCCCCCCTCTTCCCCCCCGAGCCATCTCCCCGGCCGGCTCGACGCATCCAACAAGCCGCTTCGCGCGAGACCTGCGCCGCGATCCGCGCTGCCCCCAGCGAGGGGGCACCCCGCCCGCGCACTCGAGCCACAAGCCCCCGACCACGTGGCGACGCGTCACACGGCGCCTCAGGACGGCGCGATCGAGATCCGCACAATCTCCACGTCGTACTCCAGGTCTGTCCCGGGCGGAATGACCCCCTCCTTGTCCCCCACGTGCCGCGTGCCCTTGAGGGCCGTCCCGCCATCGCCGAACGCCTGGGACGCGGGGACGTACACGTGGCGGTACCCGCCCGTCCGCATGCTCTGCATCGCCTCCTCGACGCCCTTGCACAGCCCGCCCGTGAACGGCCGCGACCCTGCAAGGCACTCACGTGACCACTGGCAAGGGCTTGTGGGGCGCGCAAGGCGCGCGCCGTGGCGGACTGGCAGCCCCGCTCACGCGCCTCCGGCTGCGCGCCGCGTCGGTGGCCGGTGGGGGGCGTTCTGCCCTGCGAGTGAGACTAGGGCGTACCGTACAGAAACACGATGGGTTTCTTGCGCGCGAAGGTGTCGTCGATGACCTCGCCCGTCGCGGCCAGCGTGATCCGCACATTGGCGATCACCAGCAGCCCGTCGCGCGGGTATTGTCCCCCCCCCGTCTTGACGTCCTTGTACCTCACGCCTGACGGTAGCGCCACCTCCTTCGCATCCGTCGCAGCCGTCGTCCCCTGCTCCTCCTGCGTAGACGCCCGCGCACAACATCGCACGCGTCACGGGTAGCGGTCAAGTTGGGGCGCCTCCGCGGAATGCGGACTGTGAGACCTGACTGACTACGTAAAATCGCACAGTCGTCAAAACAGTGCACGCGGCACCCGTTGCGACGCCGTACCCGCGCGATCTCGATTCGGGTCTTAATCTGCTCGCTCACGACGCCGAACGTGAGGACGCCGAGCCACGCGAGCCCGCCGGCCAGCCCGAAGCGCCTCGTCAGCGCGGCAGACACGCCGTCCGTCGCCATCTCGGGGCGCATGATCTTCGGCTGGCTGCGGCCGCCGCGCGCGGACGCCGGCTTGCGGCCCGTGCGGGCCTCGGCGGCGCGCAGGGCGTCCTTCACCGACGTCGACTCCTCGGCCGCTTTGGCTGCGCGACCCGGGAAGAGCAGGCACTTGATGCTTAGCTGGAGGCGATGCCGTGCACGGCGGGCGCGATGCGACGGCGCAACGAATACTTTGGTCTGAGACAGCGAGATTTGTGGGCGGACGCGGCTTGAGGGCCCGGCTTCGCTGCGCATGCCGTTGCTAGCCTGCAGTGCAGGAACGTCGCATTCTGCAGCGTGTGGTTCGAGTCGCACCCTCAGCTGGAGCGGATGGCTTCGCAGTTGTTTCAGCCTTTGCGCGCCACGCATCGATCCACTGCCGCGCCTCTTTCGCGGCTTCCGGCCCGTTCCCAGCTGCGCTCCTCACCACGGATCGCCGGCCCGGACACCCGCCACGCGAGGTCGCCGAGCGGCGCAGGAGCGGGCCGTCGACCCCGATCATCTGCACGGCCATCGAGCTGACCTATCGCAGCGAGCACTGCGCCGTGAGCGCCGATCGTCGTCCACCTGTGCCGCTAGCGACGCCCCTGACACGCGCTCGGGCCCTGGGAGAAGGCAGGACGGTGACAGAACTCCTGCTGCGTGCGACGCAGTGTCCCGCGCAACGTGCCGACGTGCCCGCGGGCCCGGTCAGAGTCCCCCGAGCCTCCGGGGGAGGGGCACCGCACGCAGGCCGACTGCTCGCCGCGAGGCCCCGTCCAGCGCGCACGACAAGATCTCGGGGCGCCGCGCGCACGCTGCATTGCGGCACGACGCAGATTGCCGCGGCAGGCCGTCCCGGACCGCGGAAACGAGCCTGAGGAGCCGCGAAACCGACCTCAGCGCACGAGCACACGTGGAGCTGCGCGGCATCACTGGGAGGCCGAGCGCGCGTTCTTGCGGCCCCAGCCGCTAGCGACGGGGATCTTTGCGGGTCCTGACGCAGCCTGGGCCCGTCTGCGTCCCTCATTAGAGGTGCGGCCGCGTCTCCAGGGCTGCGTGCCCCTAGCGCAGCTCAACCCCGCCGCGCGGCCTCCCCTTGCGCTTTCAAGGCCGCACACTTCTTCTGCAGCACACGCGCTCCAGAATCTGTGCGTGCGCGGGCCTAGAGCGGCAGAGACGCCGCGGCGGGACCGAGAGGGCAGGTTGAGCAGTTACTCACGCCGCTCCTCTGTGGCTCTGGGCCCGCTCTGGCCCGTCCCGAGCGCGCCCATTGCGACGCTTCTCGCAGTGCCCGGACCTCGCGCTGCCCCGTCCGCTCTCGCAGGCCTCGTGTGCGCGCGCGTCGCGAGGGGAGGACGGTTGAGGAGCCCCAGCGGGCGGCGCAGCGCGCGCCGAGGCGGCTGCGGGGAGCCAGCCGCCCCTGCGCATGGCAACGAGCCTTCCCGCGGCCCACGCGGAAATGGCGGCGCACCAGGCGGCGACGGAGCCCGGGGAGGCGCAGCCATTGGCGGGCTTCGAGTCTCCTCGCCCTGACAACGTCGTGACGCCGCGGCGCGTCCCACGCAGCCCCGCGCTCTCATCTTTCAGCATAACGGCGTCCATGGGCTCTGGAACGGAGCACCGCGGGCGCAGGGACGGCCACGCGCCGGACCCTCTGGTGCGGTTTGCAAGCAAGGCGGGGAGCACCGAGCCGGGCGACTCAGGGCGCAGACTGGCCGCCGACAGCGACCTCCTGCGGTCCGTGCGGTCGCGGGCTGGCTCGGCCGGAGAGGAAGACGATGACGACGGCGGCCGCGCGTCGCACGGCGCTGCGCAACCATCACACATCAGAGGGAGCGAGGCGGAGCGCCCCGCAGGCCCAGCCGGTGCGCTCCCGGGCGGCGGGGGCGCGAAGCATGTCCGTATGGCGCCGGATCCGCCTCGCAGCGTGCCCGGCGGCCACCAGGACGCCTCCGTGCTGCGGTCCCACGCTCCTGCAAGCTCCGTCGCAGGTGAGCAGAGGCGCTCGCGGCGCCGCGACGACCCATTCCGCCCGTTCACCGCCCCCGCAACACAGCCCGCACTCACGTCCGCACCGTCTTCGTCGCAAACGGCTGCCAACGCGCCGGCCGGCGTCTGCAGCGCGTCGCTTGCGGTCTCCAACAACGAGTTCACCGCCACGGCGCGCCGCAGAGTCGTCCCCGCCGTCCCAGCGCGGCGGCACACGCAGCGCCGCCGTGTCGCTCGCGGCCCTGTCGCGCGGGACCTCGAACCTCAACGAGTGGGAGGAGGAGAATGACGTCGACGTCGGCGGAAGTGGCCACACCGAGCCCCCGCGCGCCACGGAGCCCCACCCCGCGCCGCCGCCGTACCCCGAAGCGCTCCTCGCCAGCGGGTCCGGCGTCGTGCTGCCGCCGACGCTCCGTCCGGGCGCGCTGTCGTCCCCCGCGAAGCCGCGTCTGAGCTCCGACAGCGCAGGGCGCAGCACGGCGCCGCCGTCGCGCGGCGGCAGCGCGGGGATGTCGAAGCTGAATCCCGCGGCGGCGCACAGCGCGCGCAACTCGGGGTCCGCGCGCGTCTCGTCGCAGGAGGTCGCGCTAGCCGCCGCCGTCGGGTCGCCGCTCGTCGCGCCCCCGCAGCTCGACGACGAGCACGCGGAGCGCGGCGCCGGCGACGTTCAGATCGATCTAGGCGGCGAGCGGCGCCCGCGCGGCATCCAGTCCCACGAGATCGTCCCTGTGTCCCTGCGCCGCGACGTCGTCGCCGACGACGTCGAGTCGCAGCAGTCGAGCTTCTCCGGCAAGCGGCAGTCGAACGCGTCCGTCGGCGGCATGGCGCTGGCCGGGGGGCGGCTGCCTGGCGAGGCGCGGTCGCGGAAGGCCTCGATTGACGCCCGCGATCATTCAAACACGCTGCTGCATACGGCGCTGACGGCGCGGAGCGGGCGGAGCGGTCGCAGCATCGCAGGCAGCGAGAACCTGCATGCGCACGAGGCGGAGAGGAGGGCGCACGGAGAGGCGCGCTCGCGGGCGCTGCTGGGAGGCCTGTTGCCCTCGGCGCGCCCCGGGTCGCGCGCGGCGCGCAGGCTCGGCGGCGAGGAGGCGACGACGCCGTCGGCGGCTGCGCCACAGGCGGCAGAGAGGGAGATGCGCGCCAGCAGGTCGAGGAACAGCTCCCTGGCCGGCATTGCAGCGCGCAAAGCAGATGGAGCGCGGCCCGCGCAGGCGACGCGCGTGTTGTCGCTCGACGACGAGCTAGGTACGCACGCACTTGCCACCGACGCGTTTCCCCTCCCGCACGCTCGCGTCCTGGCCCGCGCCGCCTCCACCGCCGCGCCCAGCCCCCCTTCAGCCCACTGTTGCTTGAACTGGCTGGGGACCCGTCCGCCCGCTCGCGCCTCGCCCTGAGCAACGACATATCTTCACCCCGTCCCCCACCCCGCAGACGAGTCCCTGCTCGCGGATGTCGAGGAAATCAAGCACCGTCAAGCCGAGGCTCGGACACCCCGAGAGGGGGGGCAGGCCGGCAGGGTCCTCAAACGCATTCTCTCCGGCGGGAAGAACAGCGACGGGGCGCCCAGTCCGCGGGCGCGCGACTCGGACCTCGAGGCCGGCGTCACGGGGCGCGCCAGCCCCCGCAGGGACCCGGCCAAGCCAAGCGGGCTGTTCGGGCGCCTGGGCTCGATCCGGAAGAAGAACAGCTTCCGTGCCTCCGCGCGCAGCCACGAGGCGTCGGCGATCGACGACCCGCCGACGCCGTCCGCGAGTTCGCGCCCGACGCTGCAGCGCACGCTGTCGCGGATGGCGGAGCACCCGGCGCCGGGCGAGGAGTACGACGCGAACGTCGACACCCTGCAGATCACGGGGCGGCGCGCGCGTGCGGTGGAGAGGCAGATCCAGGAGGCGATCGCGCACGCGAGCGCGGGCCATGCGGACCCCGGTCACTCGGGAACGTCCAAGGCCAGTAGCTCGCGGGGCAACAGCGTGAGGGACGCGCCGCCGCCGCCGCCGACGGGCGTGACGGCGGCCGGCGTGGACATCGCGGCGCTGCGGCTCCTGGAGCAGCCGTCGAGCGTGGTGCTGTCGTACAGCGCCATGTCGCTGCGGCACGGGCAAGAGGAGCACCTGAAGCAAATGGCGCAGCAGGCGAGGGCGGAGATCAAGGACCAGAAGGCCGAGCTCAAGGTCGTGAAAGCCCAGGTCGCGGAGATCGAACGGCAGGCCCGGGAAGGTGCGCGTGGTCGCCTGCTTCGCCGCCCCGCACGGCAAGCATCCGCCGCTTCTTCCCCCGCTCGCTCCATTGCGGTTGCCGGCCCCCTGCGTGCTCACAGCCCAGGTGGTTCGTCGATTCGCGCACGCTGCAGCCGGGGAGGCGTCGGACCAGAAGGCTATGGCGCGGTGTGCCAAGATGCTGCGGTCCGTGCTGCCGACGCAGCAGAAGCTGCTCAAGCGCATCCAGGACGCGAAGGACCGCCGGTCGGCGTGCGAGCTCGCGGCGCAGATCCTCGAGGCCACGCGCGAGGTCCGCGTCAAGGTCCTGGAGGGGGACTTCAAAAACATCCCCGCGGGGATGCGCAAGGTGGTGGCGGGGATCGAGGCGGCGGGGCTCGGGCCGACGGTCACGGAGCTGATCGGGAACGTCAGCACGCAGGGCATGGGCGCGTCGTCGTGGCAGACGGCGTCGCGGCTGGCCGAACAGATGGACGCGCTTGAGTCGATGTACTGCGCGACTGCGCCGGACGGCTCGCTGCTGCCGGGCAAGGGGGACGAGCACTGAGCGGGGGCGCCGTCTGTGCCCCCACCAGAGCCCTGCTGGAAAGGGAAGGAGCAAATGAAGAAGAAGGGACACTGAGTCTCTGATTCCATATCTGCTTCTAACGTTGATGAACGAAGTTGATATGCGCATGTTCAAAGTTGCACGCTAAGGAGCCCGCGGCGGCTGCGTGTGCGGCACGCGACCACGCCTGTGATTGCACGACTCACTGTCACACTTTCATGCCCTCATTTGCCGCGCTTCGACTTCATCTCCGCCCCAACGAAGTCGAACGCGTGCTGCTCCTTCGCCCGCTGCTCCGAGGGGGTCATGAAGTCCTTCGGCGCCCGTGACTTGCTCCCGGCCGCCCCACCGCCCGACGGCGAGGCACTAGCATGGTTGGGCACGTGCAGCCCGTGCCCCGGCCCCGCCATCGGCGCTCCGCCCAGGTTCAGCGACGTGAACGCCTCCGTCGGCGGGATGAAGTGCGCGGCCTGCGGAACGGCGCCCGTTGGCGCGCTGCCTTGAAGCGGAACACCAGCAACGCCGCCGCCCGCAGGTGGCCACTGCTGCGGCTGCTGCGCGCGCATCTGCTGCTGCATGTACGCCTGCTGCTGCATGTACGCCTGTTGCTGCATGTACGCCTGTTGCTGCATGTATGCCTGCTGCTGCTGCGGCGTCATGCCCGCCCTCTGCTGCTCAGGAGGCTGTGAAGCAGGCAGAAGCCAGTCGTCGGCGGGCAGCTCGCCACGGCCAGGGGCCGCTGCTGGCGGCGCAGCGCTGGCCGGCGCGGGGGCGCTCTGAGGGGCACTCAACCCCCCCAGTAGATCGTCCAAGCCCCCCCCTGCCGTCGCAGCAGGCGGCGCTAGTGCTGGCGCCGCAGACGCTGCAGGGGCAGCAGGCGGCTGGATGTCGGACAGGAAGCCCCCTAATCCATCGGCCGCGGGCTGCGGCGCGCTCGACGGCGCTGTCGCGGGCGCCGAAGCCTGGGCGTCTGTCACTGCGCCCTCACCGCTGGCCGGGTCGTCAAACGACAGCAGATCTGCTGCCGCGGGCGCGGCAGCGCCAGCAGGCTGCGCCTGCGGCGCTGCGGCTGCTGACGTCAGCCCGAGTAACGATTTGACCGACGTGGCGATCTTCGACAGACTAGCCTGCGGGGCGCCCGCGGCGCGGTCCAGAAACGACGCGTCCTCCAAGGCCGCGGTCTTGGCCGCCGGTCCAAGCGCGGCGTCCTCGAGCAGCGCCCGCAGCGCGTGCAGCGCGCGCGTGCCCTCCTGCCAGCTCCCCGCCATCGCGGTCCGGTCCCGCAGCAGCGCAACGGCGGCGGCTGGGCGGTTCCCGAGCCGCACTGCGCGCAGGAAATCATGCAGGTCCTCCGCCGTCGGCTGCACGCGCACCCCAGCGGGGCGACACACGCGCGCCACTGCCGCTGCGTCGCCGTCCGGCCCCGGATCCGAAGCCGCCACCGCTGGCGCACCCGCAGGCGTGCTGCCGCCCAGGACCCTCGGCGCGGGAGCCGGCGCAGGGGCGCGCTGCGTGCCGCCGCCCGCGATGCCTTCCCGTGCGGGCCCGCCGCCCAGGATCCAGTCTGCTGCCGCGTCGAGGTTGTCGCCGTAGCGAGCGACCGCCGCCTCTGCCTCTGCGCGGGGGAACCCCATGCCTTCCAGCTGCGCGATCTTCGACGGGTCCGGCGCCGCGACGGCCGCGGCGGGCCTGCTGCTCACCGCCGCCGTAGCCCCGCCGCCGGCGCTGCGCGATCCCACGTTGTTGAACCCGTCGCTCGAAACCATGCCGAGGTTATCTCCCCCACCATCGAGGCTCGGCGGCTGGTATCCACCGCCGCCGCCGCCGCCGCCCCACCCGCGCGCGCTAGGTGCCGCAGGCGCAGGTGGCTGATAGCCGCGGCCACCCCCGCCGCCGCCGCCGCCGGCCGAGTCCGAGGTGAGCATGCCGAGGCCGGACCCGCCCATGCCGGCCGCGGCGTCGTCGCCCGGCTGCCCCTCGCTGTAGATCGCGTCCACCGCCAGTTTCGCCATCTCCCGCACCTTCTGGTTGACCGCCTCGCCCCGCAACGGGTCCGGCGGGCCCCTGCGCGCACCTCGCACTATTCCGATATGAGTGCGGCTCCGGGCAGCGCGGCACGAGCCTCCGAGCTCGCGGCCGCGGCGCGACGCGCGCCATGCAACACATCAGCGGCACGCAGCGTCTCGTGGCTGTGCGCAGCCGCCGACGCTCGACCTGGGCGCACGCTGGCGTCGCTTTGCGCACTGTCGCGGCGGGACGGCGGCGGGGGTCGCAGCGGCGCACCTGTAGCTAGTATGCTGCGTGATGGCAGATGCGTGGCGCTGGATGGCCCGCCGGAACTCCCCGGAGCCCTTGAGCGCGACGTGCTTGATGGTCCAGAGCGCCTTGAGCCGCACGACCGGCGACGAGCTCTTGAGCTTGCGCGCGAGCAGCTCTGCGGGCACGTACACACGGAAAGAGGCCGTGGTGTTTCATGGGGCACGACGTCGCGTGCGCGTCCGCTCTGGCGCTGAGCGGCGTGTCTGGGATAGTTCTTCGCGTGTACGATCGTGGGATGGCGGAAATCAGGCGCGTGATCGCCGGAGGGTCGAGGATCGAGGCCCGAGGCGAAGGGGTGGGCGCTGACGGGCAGCTCTCGCTCTGCTGGCGCCTCGGGGGTCGAGGCAGGCTGCTGCGCGGGGGAACGCACCAGCGATCTCGGAGGAATCCTTCCCGTTCACCATGGTCGCCTTGGCGATGTCCTCCATGAGGTAGAGCGGGGGCGTTTCGCCCTGTGCCGAACATACTTCCTCGACCTTCTTGAACTTCTCAACCGTCGAGACGACCTTGGAGCCGAAGGCCTGGATCTGGGCGAGCATCTCGCGGCCCGGGATCCAAGCCGGACGACGCTCCGTCCACGTCCACGCGACCACGCGGCCTGCCTGGTCTCCGAGCGCCAAATGCCTGCACTCCACGGCGCCTCAGCGCAATGAAATCGCTGTGTCTCGACCGGGGGTGCGCGGGGGGGTCTGTTCGACGTGTGCGCGGGCCAGCTGCCCCTTATCGATGACGGCGCGTCGCCAAAGTCCTCTCTTCCCTGACGCAAGCAACTCCACCGCGGCGCCCAGGCCACGTTGGCCCGCGGACGCGGCCCGGCTCGTTCCTTCCAAGCACAGAACACTCTGTACCGTAGGTGAGAGCGCTGGCCCGTCATCGCGACGGCGCGGGCGGCACTTCGGTCGGGCCGGCGGCTCGCTGGCCCACCGGAGTGCGGCCTGCGAGGTTTGCAGCGCGCGTTCCCCGAGCTCATTGCACCCTCGTTCCGTGGGCCCGCCGCCGCGGCGCCGCGATCGCCCTGGCGCTGCCGTGGCCCCCCTCTGCTGCGGTGGCAGCCTGGCCGCGCTCGTGTGGGGGCTTGTCGACCGTGCAAGCACACCGCACTGACACACTGTGTTTTTTCGCATCCTGCCGTCGGGCTCGCCTTCCGGGCAGCGTTCCCTGGGCGCCGAGCTGCCGTGCTGAGCCCACTCGTGCCACTGTGTCTCGCCCCATGCAGGCAATTCCAGTCACCATGACGGCTACGGGGATTGCCGTCGGCATGAACAAGGGCCACATCGTCACCAAGCGTGACCTGCGGCCGCGCCCTTCGCACATGAAGGGCCGGTTGGGCAAGCGCACCAAGTTCGTGCGCTCCATCGTCCGTGAGGTCGCCGGGCTCGCCCCCTACGAGAAGCGCATCACGGAGCTGCTGAAGGTGAGCGCACCGCGCCGCCACGCCCGCCGCGGACCCGCCCCGGGGCCCACGACGGCGTCGAAGCACAGCGCCCAAGTGGCTGCTCCGTGCCCCCGCATCCCGGCGACGCGCTTCCACGCCTCCCGCCGCCCCGGCACGGCCTCGCGCGGCGCGAACGCGCCAAACGCGGGCGTCCATGGCGACGGCCGCCCTGCAGCCGCCGCGACCGCGCACAGTGCTCCTCCTGCGCGTCTCCCGCGCGCTGCCGGGCAGTCTGCGGCACAGCGACGCCCCGCGAGCGGCCCCCTCCACGCGTACCGCAAGGCTTCCCTGCACTCACGCGTGGCGGCCGCTCGTGCGTGCAGGTGGGCAAGGAGAAGCGTGCTCTGAAGATGGCCAAGAGGAAGCTGGGGACGCACAAGCGGGGCAAGGCGAAGCGCGACGAGCTCTCGACGCTCATGCGCAAGAAGGAGGCCGCCGCCAAGAAGAAGGAGTAAGCCGGCCGCGGCGCCCCGGCCCTGCTTGAGCCCCGCGCAGCTTGTCTTGCCCCTCTGGCTCGCCAGCACCATAATAGCTCGGTTCGCGGGCGCGGGGGGGCGCGAGACGTGTGAGGCTCGTCGAATGCAGCACCTTGCGCGTTCGGATCCGCAGTCCAGCAGGCGGGGCGCTGCAAGCAGCACTGCGCCACGTCGATTTTCCGCCGACAGGCCGCTCCGCCGGGCGCCTGTGGTCCTCGCGCCGAGCCAGCAGCGCCGGGTGCGCTCGCCGGGGAGCGCAGCAGCGGCCTTGCGGGCGCGAGGGCGCCGTGCTTGGGCTCGGAAGAGGCAGAGACTGGAGCGCACCGCCCAGAGCGCGCCGCGGCCTGCGTGACTCAATTTCCGTGCGCGAGGGGCGTTGATTCGCGAGGAAGCTCGAGCGCCGTGGTTCCGGTGCCTCCACGTCGTCCCGCGAGCGTGCAGTCGGACGTTCGCCGGGGGGTGGTGTCGGCTCGAGCGCGCGCCCGGCCTCGAGGGCTCCACCGCGCCCGCGTGCGCGGCAAGTGTGGTCAGGGCTCGATAGGCTGTGCGGTTGCGGCGATCGTGTTGCGCGAACAGCTCCTGTCTCGACGTCTTTTCGCGGGAAGCACCAAGAAGCAGCCCTCCGGCCGTCCGCGCAGCCGCGGCCTCGCTGGTTCCTGCCGCCGTCATGGAGCCACAGGGCAGGCCGAGGCAGGAATGCCGCTTTTACGAAAATAGGTTCCCGGAGGTGGACGAGGTGGTCATGGTGCAAGTGAAGCACATCGCGGAGATGGGCGCGTACGTGTCCCTGCTGGAGTACAACAACATCGAAGGGATGATTCTGCTCTCAGAGCTCTCCCGGAGGCGCATCAGGTGCGCTTCCGACCCCCGCCGCCCGCCGCACCTCCGCCGCCCCCAGGCCCGCACCACGGGGCGCCGGCTCCGCACGCCCCCTCCCCGACAACCTGCCCCTGCCTCCCGTCCGCTGCGAACTGCACCCCGAGCATCGCCGCCCCCACGACGTCACACGCGGGCCCCTCCCCTCTTCCCGCCCCGCGCACCCGCCCTTCCTGCCTCCCTCGCGCCCTCAGCCGCCGCGCGCCAATCCCACCGCCCTCCTCCACCCATCCTCAACACCCCATCCCGCCGGCCGCCCGCCACCGGCCCACGAGCCGCCCCCCCCACCCCACCGCCCACCCGCCGGCCCCCCCCGCGGCCCCCCCCGCGCGCCCCCGCGCCGCCCGCCCCTCCCCGACGCCGCCCGGCCCCGCTCCGCCCCGCGCGCAGGTCCATCGCGAAGCTCATCAAGGTCGGCCGCCAGGAGCCCGTCATGGTGCTGCGCGTGGACAAGGAGAAGGGTTACATCGACCTGTCGAAGCGCCGCGTGTCCCCGGAGGAGGCCGCGCAGTGCGAGGAGCGCTACAACAAGTCCAAGCTCGTCCACTCCATCATGCGCCACGTCGCGGAGGTCACGCCGGGCGCGTCGCTGGAGAACCTGTACACGACCATCGCGTGGCCGCTCTACAAGAAGTTCGGGCACGCGTACGAGGCGTTCAAGCGCGCCGCCACGGAGCCCGAGCTCGTCTTCGGCGGCCTCGAGAGCATCGACGAGGAGGTCAAGCAGACGCTGCTGAAGGACGTGAAGCGGCGGATGACGCCGCAGCCGCACAAGATCCGCGCGGACGTCGACATGACGTGCTTCCAGTACGACGGCGTGATCGCGATCCGCGAGGCGATGCGCGCCGCGCAGGCGTGCGGCACCGAGGAGGCGCACGTGGAGATGAAGCTGATCGCGGCGCCGCTGTACGTGCTCACGACGCAGACGCTCAACAAGAGCGAGGGCCTCGCGGCGCTCGAGAAGGCCGTCGCGGAGGCCAAGCGCGTGATCGAGTCCAAGCGGGGGAAGCTGGTGATCAAGGAGGCGCCCAAGGTGGTCACCGCGGAGGACGACCGCGCGCTGCTGGAGCAGATGGCGGCGCTCGAGGCCGCGAACCGCGAGGTCGACGGCGACGCGGACGGCAGCAGCGACGAGGACGACGGCATGACGTACGACGAGAAGGGGCCCGCGCTCGCCGTGCAGGGCTGATGCGCGCGCCGCGGGGCCGCCGGCGCCGCCTGTGAGCCTCCCGCGCGCCCGTGCGTCACAGCAGGTCACGCGAAGTGCACGCCGACTCTGTTGAACGCGCCTATGAGCTTGAAGAAGTCGTCCTGGTCCATTTTGGCGCCCCGCTTCTCGGCGTACCCGCTCTCCTGGAGCACCTTGGCCACCGCGGCCTTGAAGTCCGCGTTCTCGCGCTTGCGCTCCTTCGCCGTCGACGTCCCGATCGTTCCGGGCATGCTGGCGCCCGCGCTCGGCGCCGCAGGGGCTGCGTCGTCCATCTCCGCGTCGCCGTCGTCGTCGACGCCGTGCGCGAGCTGCGCCACGTACTTGCTGAGGTCGTTCTGCGGGAGCTGCCCGCCCGCCGCGCCGACCAGCGCGCGGTGCGTGTTGTAGTTCTGCGCGAGAAGACTCAGCACCTGCGCGCACGCAACGAACCAGCGACGCAACGTCGGGCCCCGGGGACCTCGGACAGAGCTCGTCGCGAGCCCGGAGTGGATCCACGTCAGCGGCGCCGCGCCCGCCGTGGCCCGCGCGCTTGCATGGCATGCGTCATGTGCAAACGGCAGCCGCGGCGCGCCGCACCTTGGTTTGCTTGAAGATGGACCCGAGCGTCTTGTTTTTGCGGGAGAAGGCGAGGCGCGTGAGGCCGTCCCACTCCTGGAAGCTCACGGGCGGCGGCCCGGGGCGCGGTTCGATGCGCACCACTGACGAGTCCACCTTGGGCGGCGGGCGGAAGTTGTTCCGCCCGACCTTGAGCAGGTGGTGCACGCGCGAGAGGAGCTGCGTGTTCGCGGAGAGCCGGCAGTAGAGCGGGTCCCCCGGCTGCGCCACGAGGCGCATGGCAAACTCGCGCTGGAACATGATGATGGCTGCGCGGAAGGTGGGCTTCGCGAGGAGGCGGAACACGATGCCGGAGGAGATGTTGTAGGGCACGTTGGCGACGCAGAGGTCGAAGTACGGCGGGTCGACCTTCATGAAGTCGCCGTGGATGATGGTGAGCTGGCTCTGGTAGGGCGTGCCCGCGACGCGCCGCGTGAGTTCGAGGACCATGCGGTGGTCGTACTCGATCGCGATGACCTTCTTCGCGCGCTCCAGGAGCTTCATCGTCAGGTTGCCCGTCCCGGGGCCAATCTCGAGGACGGTGTCGGTGCTCTTGACGCCCGCCTTGTCGACGATGGACTGGACGACGAGCGGGTTCTTCAGAATGTGCTGCCCGAACGACTTCTTGAACTCTGCGCGGGGGCGCGGGCAAGCCGGCGCGTGTCAGCTGCACGTGTGCGCGCAAGTTGCACTGGGCGGGCGCTGCGTCGCCGTGCTGGGCTGGCCGCGACGGGAGGGCGCGCGTGCTGCGCGGGCGAGGCCTGCGCGGCGGTTCGCGTCGGAAGGCGCGGGCACGGCGCGAGCATTGCGATGTCCGGTGTGCGTCCAGGGGGGACCCTCAGCGCGAGGGCGAGCTGACGCACCGATGTTCGCGAACCCTTGTGCGACCTTAGCCGCCTTCTTCTTCGCGATGCCGCCCGCGGCGCGGAGGCCGTTCGACGCCATCGCGCGCCCTCCACGCGGCACCTGCCTGCCCGGCTGCTCCCTCTGCGCGCGCCGCAGGGCCGTGGAATCAGGTTTCGGGCAAGGTTCTGAGCCTTCTGGACCCCCACCTAGTCTGTGTATGCGCGTGCTCGCAAAGTCAACACCGAGCACGGCTGCGGAGCCGCGTCTGCGCAGATGCCTCAGAAGAGCAGCAGCGAGCGCTGTAGTTGCAGCGCACGCTACTCGAGGGCGGCTCGCACCTTTCAGCACGTCTTTCAGGCCACGAAGCACCGCTCTGGCCCCTCACAGTCCCTGGCCGGTGCTGTTCCGCTGACGTTCAGCCAGCCCCCCTCGGTGGCGCAAGGCAAGTGTTTGTGTGTCGACCCCTGTCGCCCGCAAGCCGCATGAATCGTCGCGAACGTCCTTGCACCAATGTCCCTGCCCAGTGAGCGCACGCGCGACGTCGCAGGCGGCACTGTCGGCCCGGGCAGCGACCGTTCCCGGTTGTTTCACTCCCCCCGGGGTGCGGCGCGAACACCGCGATGCACGGCTGCGGCGCGCGCCGCCGGTCCGGCGCCGCACGCGAGCGCGAGCCCACCTCGCACGGCGCGCCGCAAGGGCGGTCTTCCGCGCCGCCGCCCAGCGCTGCCGCCTCGCTGCTGTTGCGCAGCACGCGCCATGTGGCGTGTTGGTCGCAAAGCCCGACGTCGGTGGGCCATCCGCGGCGGCGCCGGCGCACACGACCTCAGCGTGGACCCTGCGGGCGATCGCGACGTGCGCCGCGCGGGTGTGCATGCCGGCGCGCGGGAGGCCGTTGCTACCGCGTGTTGCGGTGCCGGTCCTCCGGGTCACGCGCGGTTCCGGCCGTCGCGCCGGCTGCGCGTGCTGCCGGACCCGTGCTCGGCCGTGCGCTCGCTGCGCGGCCGCGTGCGCGGCGCGGCACGGGGCGACCCGGGCGGCAATGTGCACGCGAGCAGACCACGGTGGGGGGCCGCTGCCGGCGCGGGGAGGCGTTGCGGGGGGGGCGAGCGCGGCCCGCCCGGTTGCGGGGGGACATGTGGCCGCGATGGGCGATCCGGGGCGTGCGGAGCTGTCGCAGGGGGGACGTCCCGAGGGTCCCCTGACCTCGGTGGGACCAAAGGCACGCTTCCACGTTGAGGGCGCTGTAGGTCGCGGGAGGTCCGCATTGTACTTTGGAGGCGGTAAAGCTGGCATCTGGTGTCGAGATAGATAGAGCGGACTTCGTTGTTGGCCGGCTATTGGACCAAACGCGGCGCGCGGCACCGTCCTCGACGAAGCAGAGGCCCATCGACGCTCCGAGCGGCTCGTTCCGGCGCCGACCCGGCGTGCGCGCGCGTTTTCCCTCTCTGGGCGACTAAGTGGGCGTTGCTGGCCGCCGCCAGCGAGCACTTCCTCGGACGAGGCCTCCTCCAAGAGCTTCACGCCACGACCATGGCCCTCTCACTCCTCGCGTGAACGCTCGCCGAGCGCCCCACCCAGGACCCCCCCCACACCAGCGTCAGAACGCCCTCGCGGGCGGCCGCACCACCATGATGGCCCCCGGCGACGCACAGGACCCCAGTGGGCTGCTCCACAAGGAGGCGCCCACGACCGTGAACGACGACGACGACACCCTGGCCGTCGAGCGCAGCCCGGACCTTCGGTACACCAGGTGCGTCCGCGCGCCCACGCACACTCCCCGCGCGTCCGCACGCGGCGCTCGCCACACTGGGCTGCTCCCTGCAGTTGCGGGGCCACCTTTCCCCCGCCTGCGCGATCCAGCGGCGGCCCTGCGCCGGTTACGCCACGCACGCGCGCCGGACGGCGCGTGTGGTGCGCCAGCGCGCGAGGCGCGGCTCTGGAGCGGCCTGCGCCGTCGCTCAGCGCCCCGCCCGCAAGCCTGCAGCGTCTGTGCCTGCACGCCGTGGCGCCGCGTCGGGCCGCGGTTGGGCGCGCGGGGGCGTTCGCGAGGAACTCGACGTTTTGGAATACGCGCAGGTACAAGCAAATCATGGGACGCGGGGCGTTCAAGACGGTGTACCGGGCGTTCGATGAGGAGGAGGGCATCGAGGTCGCGTGGAACCAGATCCGCGTGAACGACCTCGTCACTACTCCCGACGCCGTCGAAAGGATAATGCGCGAGGTCGACATGCTGAAGCGCATGTCGCACAACTCGATCATTCAGATGCACGACTCGTGGGTCGATCGCGAGAACGCCCACGTCAACATGATCACCGAGCTCTTCACCGCCGGGTCCCTGCGACAGTAAGTTCCCGAGCTCGCCGGCCCGGTGCCCGCGCGACCCCGCCGCGACGCGTGCCGCCAACGGGGACGCACATCCAACGCCCGCACGTCTGCCCCGCGCCCACCCGCGCCCACCCGCCGCCCACCGATGCCCTCCCCCCTCCCCTGCATCCACACAACCCACGCATGCCGTCCTCGGCCCGCAACCACGCCCATCTACATCCGATTCGCCCTCCCTCCCCGCGCGCTGCGCTTGCCACCCTCCGCAGCGCCTGCCCGCCGCGCCGCGCCGCCCGCGGCCCCGCGGATGCGCCCTACCACCCGCACGCACCACGCTGCGGCGCCCCATCGCACCTCGCACCCCCCCACCCGCCCCCACGACGCCCCCCTCCACGCCGTCCCTCGCACGGCCGCATCTGGCCCCGCCGTGCGCCCCGCCCTCCGGCGGCCCTTCCCCCCTCCTCCCGCGCTCGCCCCCCCGCGCACGCTCCACGCCGCCACCGACCCCCCCCCTGGTTTCACAGATACCGCAAGGAGCACCGGCACCTGGACCCGAAGGTGCTGAAGCGGTGGGGGTACCAGATCCTGATGGGGCTCGCGTACCTGCACGGCCACGAGCCGCCGATCATCCACCGCGACCTGAAGTGCGACAACATCTTCATCAACGGGTCGAGCGGCGAGGTCAAGATCGGCGACCTGGGCCTCGCCACGGTGTTCAAGGCGGCGGCGGCCTCGGGGGGCGGGCCGGGCTTCTGCATGTCGGTGCTCGGCACGCCCGAGTTCATGGCGCCGGAGCTGTACGAGGAGAACTACAACGAGCAAGTGGACATCTACTCCTTCGGCATGTGTCTGCTGGAGCTGGTGACGCTGGAGTACCCGTACAGCGAGTGCACGAACCCGGCGCAGATCTACAAGCGCGTGATGCAGGGCATCAAGCCCAAGGCGCTGTCGCGCGTGCGCGACCCGGAGCTGTCGGCCTTCATCGCGCTGTGCCTCGAGTCGGACCCGGAGCTGCGGCCGACGGCGGGGGAGCTGCTGAAGCACGACTTCTTCGCGTCGGTTGCGCGCGGGGACGACTCGGACTCGGAGGACGACGACGGGGCGAGCAGCGCGCGCATGGCGCCGGCGTCGGGCGGCGGCCCGCACGTGTCGTTCGCGCCGGGCGGGCTGCGGCACGGGCTGGTCCACACGATCCCGGAGGGCGAGGAGCCGGCGTCGTCGCACCGGCGGGCGCCGTCGCAGCCGCGGTCGACCACCTCGCGCCCCGACGAGAGCGGCGGCGCCACGCGCGAGGGCACGCAGCCCGGCAACAGCACGACGACGGCCGACGACGACGACGAGGGCGGCGACCCGTTCGCGGACAGCGGCGACGAGTACGCCGGCAGCGGCGGCACGTCGGGGCGCCCCTCGGAGCTCTCGGACGCCCAGCAACCGTCGGTGCTGGGCAACGGGCCCTCCGGGAAGTCGTACCCGTCGCTGCAGGACGCGGAGAAGATGCGGCAGCTCGAGGCCGGGAGCTCCCGTAAGGGCCGGCACCAGTGGGGCGGGGCGCAGCTGTCGCTCGAGGGCATGGACGCCTCCCCGCCGCGCACGAACGACGACGCCCAGTACGACCCGACGCCGCCGCGGGGCAGCTACGCGAACGTGGTGCAGTCCGACAGCGTGCCCCGCGCGTCCGCGGCGCGGCGCAGCTTCACGCGGTACGCGAGCGACCGCTCGATGCGCAGCGACATGGGCGTGGGCGGCAACGCGTCGCCGCCCACGAGCGTGCACTCGCCGGACGACGCCAACGGGCGGCGCGAGACCCTCCCCGCGCGGCACCAGCACCACGGCGCGACGCCGCTGTCGACCCCGCACGCGCCCGGGCCCGACGCCGATGCGCAGCGCCGGCAGCAGTGGGTGCGCCGGGAGGACATGTACATCCGCGTGACGGGCAAGCCGGACCCCGAGGAGCCCGGGCAGGTTCTGCTGTACATTAAATACCTGTCGGAGAACGGCCGCATCAAGACGATCAAGGGCCCGTTCAACCTCGCGGAGGACACCATTGCCGGCATGGTCGACGAGCTGCGCGAGGGCGTGCCGGACCTTGCCAACCTGGGCGAGCTGGACACGGCCATCATCTGCGGGCAGATCCGGCGCGTCGTGCGGACGATCTTCCCCGGCTGGGACACGAAGGAGGAGTTCCCCACGTTCGACAGCAACGGCGCCGAGGCCCTGGACGACAACATCGCCGCGCGGATGGGCCTGATGCACCGGAACGACTCCACCGCGTCGATGGCGGAGCGCCTTGGCGCGGACCCGCGCCTCCTGCGCTCCGGGTCGCTCCGCCAGGGCGCGGCGGCGGCGTCGGCGGCGGAGCGCCTGGAGAGCGCGGGCGTCGAGTACGACCACCACGCGTACGACCCCAGCGCGGGCGACCGGTCGTCGCACGGAAACCTGCCGCGGCGCCCGCCGCGGTCGCTCATGGGCAGCGCGGCGGGGACGGGCGCGGCGAGCGTCAACGAGGCGGCGCTGTACAGCGCCGAGGACGGCGGCGGCGGTGACGAGTTCACGCAGGACGACCAGGCGCGGATGCAGCAGCTCCAGGAACAGCTCAAGCAGCTCCAGGAGAAGCAGCGCAGGTCGAAGGAGGCCTCGCGGCACCCCCAGGGGTCGGCGCAATCCGGCGGCGGCGGGTACTACGACGGCGGCGACGCGTTCACGCCGACGCCCGGCGCGCGGTCGCAGGGCATGTCCGACAACGAGATCAACGGCGCGCCCGCGCCCGCGGCCGCGCCCGCGCAGCCGCAGATCCCCATCATGCACCCGTACGAAGCACTGGCGGGCAACGTGTCGGGGTCCGAGTCCGAGTCCGGCGCCCCGACGCCCAACCTCGTCGACGGCGCGGACGGCCGCGAGGCGTGGGTCGCGCCGGCGGGCGACCTCGCGGACCACGACGACCGCGAGCTGCGGTTCACCTCGGTCATCGGCAGCAGCGTAGGCACCGGCATCTCGCCGCGGACGTCCGCGTCGGCGACGCCGCCGCCCGGGGCGCCCGCGGACCTGCAGCCCGCGGCGGCGGCGGTGTCGGTGAGCGTGCCGCTCGCGCGGATCGACAATGCGCTGGTGGTGTCGCCCGAGGTGGCGTCGAGCATCCCGGTGGGGTCGCTGAACGTGTGGGGCGGGTCGTCGATGCCGGTGCTGCTGACGAAGAACGACAGCGTGCCGGGGACGTCGACTTCGTCGCTCGCCGGCCGCGGCGACGGCGTGGACTCGAGTGCGCTGAGCGAGATGTCGGGGGCGCCGGCGGGGGAGAGCGACAACGGGAGCGACGTGTTCGCCGAGGGCGCGATCTGGGGCACCTCGGACGACCTCCCGCGGCGCGCCCCGCCGCCCCCGCCGCCGCACAGCAACAGGCGAAAATCGCAGGGCGCCAACGGGCGCGTAGCGGCCTCCGAGGACGCCCTCGCAGCGGCGATGTCGCAGATGAACACGCGGAACGGCGGGTGACGCGCGCACGCACGCGACGCTGTGCGGAGGGACGCTGCGGCTCTCTTGGGGTCCAGGCAGCGGTCATGACGCGGGGAGCAATGTTGACAATGCAACCCGGGAGTACATATCATCGGCGCGTGGGAGGATTGGGGCAAGGGTGTTCCTTGGCATGAGGGGTCGTTCCGGCCCGGCTCGAAGCATGGTAGTAATCTTCGCAGGGCAACAGCACCAGCTCGCTTGCTCGAAATTGAGATAGAAAAGACTTGATGTTCCATTTCCAGCCTCAAGCTGTCGCCCTGGCGCGGGAACGTGGGCGACCACGCCGTCCCGCAGCTGTAATGGTAGTACGTTCACGGCTGTGCCCCCCGTGTCCTCTCGACCACGTGACATACCTCAGCGAACCACAACAAAAAAAACCACCTCACTGCCCCCCTGTCAGTCCGTCCGGTGTCAACAGAGCTGGGCGAGTGCGACCGCCCGGACGCTCCTTCCTCGGCTGTCTTGTTGACATCGCCTGGCCTGCTCACCTCGCCCGATCCACTGTGCGAGTCTCGTCGTGGCACGATGTCGGCACCACTGCAGCACAGTGACTTATAGATCAACGAACACTCAAATGCGCCCCTCTACACAGCCCGACTACGCTGCGAGACCGCTAGTTTCCTACTCGATGTCCAGCATGGCGTCCTGGAACGCGCACAGCACGTCCCCGATCGCGCCGCGGTCAGGGAAGGACCCCGCCATGCCGTACACCCCCGCACTCCCCCCCTTCCCGGCCTTCTTGTCCGACAGCACCTTCTCGACCGCCTCGCGGAGGTCCTTCAGCAGGTCCTCCCAGGCCGCGCAGCTGGCGGGCGTGAAACACATGTGCAGCGCCGCGGGCCGGTGCAGCGTGTTGAGGTGCCACCCGCGCGCCGTGAGCAGCTCGTTCACGCGGTAGATATCCTTCGGACTCCCGCGGCTCATCCGGAAAGCCACAACGCTCATGCACGGCCGTCCGAGCACCTCGACACCGCGCGTAGTGCTCACGCCGAGCGCAAACTGCCGCGCGGCGTGCGTGACGTCCTTCGCAGCTCGCCGGTACCCCTCCGCCCCCTCGTGCACCATCGCCGCCCACGCCGTGGCCACGAGCGCGCCCGGACGCGACCCAGGCATGCCGGGGGAGATGTAGAGTCCCCCGGGCCAGTCAGTAATCGCCGTGTACTGCCCGCGCCGCAGCCAGCGGCCGCGGTACAGCACGACGCTCGTGCCCTTGTGCGCCATGCCGAACTTGTGCGTGTCCACGCTCATCGACGTCACGCCGGGGAGGCTGAAATCGAACGGCGGGATGTCCTCTCCGTCCGCGCGCAGAAACGGGAGAACGAACCCGCCGAGGCACGCGTCGACGTGGCAGCACACGTCCGCCGCGTGCGCGGCCGCCGCGATGCCCTCCACGTCGTCGATCGTGCCGTGCGGGTACGACGGCGCGGACGCGACCACCAGAGCCGTGTTCCGCGTGATCGCGCGGCGCACCGCCGCGCCGGACAGCGCGCCGCCGTGTGCGGCGTGCGGGTCTGTGGCGAGCTTGACGACCTTGAGCCCGAAGTAGGACGCCGCCTTGAAGTACGCCGGGTGCGCGGTGTCGGCCAGGACGATCTCGGGGGTTGTGACGCCGTGCTGCTCGCGCATGAAGTTGCGCGACGCCAGCACCGCGCTCAGGATGCTCTCCGTGCCCCCGGACGTCATGGCGCCGCACACGCTCGGGCACGCCCCCTCGGGCCCGCCGCCCATCATGCTGGCGCACATGGCGATGACCTCGGCCTCCATCTGCGCGACGGAGGGGAACACGTCGCCGTGCAGCGGGTTGCTGAGCGAGAACATCGCGAACGTGTCGTTCAGCAGGGCGCGCCGCTCCGCGCCCGGCACGTACACCGTCCCTGCGAACGGAAGGGAATTAAGACAGTGAAACAGGACTCGCAACGCAACAAGTACACCAAGACGAACAAAGCACCGCTGCGAGCGAACCGCCTGGGCACCAAGCAGCCTGCGTCGCACCGGAGACTGGCGTGGCGGTGTCGGCGATGGCCACGTCGCCCTTGCTCCTGGCCTGCAGCAGCTCCAGCACGCGCTCGGGCGTCATGCCCTTCTCCTGCAGCGCACGCAGGGGCTTGTGCGCCCCCGCCGAACGCTTCCCGATCACGTCCTTCCGGATCTTGCGCTGGATCTTGGACAGTTCTCGGTTGTACAGCCACGACACAACAGGGATGTTCTGCGAAGCGACCCCGGGGGTTGCGAACGGTACGAACGCGTCATGCCGCACGTGGGGTGCGGCGTGAGGGCAGGGAGCGCCTACAGGAGGTGCGGGCGAGTGACGGGGACGGCGATCGAAGTGGTTCGGAGCGAACGTGTGCGTCGGTGTGTGACGGTGTGACGGTGTGACGGTGTGACGGTGTGGCGCAATGCGAACCTCGATGGCGCCGAACAGGAGTGGCACGACGCCCACTTCGCGCATCTGCGTCAGCACCGTGCGCGTGTGCGCGACGATCGCGAGGACCAGCGCGCCGAAGAGCACGCCGAGCCAGAAGGCCGAGCGTGGGTCGCCATCGTTTGTGGAGCCCAGCCGGCCGCCCAGCCCCGTGGCGGACGCGACGGCGCTGCTCGCGCGCTCGAGGAACACTGTGCCCTTCTCAGCCATGTGCTCCCTCCACAGGTCCCCGAGCCCCTCGAACGCGCGCCGGACGACGCCCATGGCGGGGCCCGCGGCCATCTTCAGGGTCTCCGGGGCGCCGCTCGGCCACGTTTCTGCGCGGACAAGCTCGCCCGAGGTGCACATGGTCTAATGGAATGGAGTTGCCGGATATGGAGGTGCCACGCGGTCTAGGCGTGCTGCGTGTTCGAATACCTAGGTGAGGGGGGAGCCGCGCGCTCCTGCTCACCTGTGTTCATGTTCTGGATTGTTCGACTCTTCAGGGGCTCCACGTCGAGGGCTTCTTCGAGGACGGACGAAAGCAGCGTGTTCTGCGGGCTCGAGCTGCGACGCACCCGACCGCTGCTCGCGAGAGGGCTCAAGCCGCAACTACGAGGGTTTCCGAGGACTTCCCGGCTAAGTTCAATGACTGCCTGATCCAGCGCGGAATATGCAGCAATCAAGGCGCCCGGAAACCACGCGTGGACCTGCGGGCGGGGCTGTTGCGCAGCCCGTCTGGGTCGATGCAGCCAGCTCAGGGGTGCGTGCGGGCGCAGCGCCGCGCAGCAGAGCCGTTGGTTGCGCGGTCAGGATCCGTGCGGAACTAGACGACGCTGCGGAGTGAATTCGCCCTGATATCAGCGGCCAGTGTCCCGAGGAAGCGGCAGCACAGTCCGTGGACGTCTCTCGGGGCTCTGCGGGGCGGTCACGCGCAGTGTCGATGGCAGGAGCAGGCCCGCTGTGTAGCGTGCACATCACCGGCATGCTAGCCCGCGGGGACGCGCGTACACCCGCCGCTGCGGACCGCTCGGGAGCAATCAGGCATTGGCCCAGGTGAGCGCCGCACGTCACGCGGCGGCCACTTGCGACGATGAAATTGCCATAAGACGTGCCTCCGCGAAGTCGAAATCCGTTGAGATAGGATTCGCCCCGCAAACCGAACCGACCGGCCCGTTCAGGACCACAGTGCGCGCGAGGTGGTTGCTCCGCGCCCCGATGCGCAGCCGTCACGTTCGCCTGCATCGATCACCCTTTCAGGCGTGTCTATCTACCGATCTATCCGATCGCAGGAGCAGAATCGCTTCGCGGCCTTCGGTGGCGGCTGCGCGCTACGGCGGGCGGCGGCTCATGCGCGCCCACGCCCCTGCGGCCGCGGGATCGGACCTGGTGACGGACGACCACATCGCCCTCGCGCACAGGCACGCCCTGCCCTGCACTCAGGCGCCCGCACACACGCCCCGACCCCGCCCAGGCCGCACGTGTCGTTCCAAGATCCGATCACACGAAACACAGCTCCGCGTCCACACGCGGCCTGGAAACACCCCCCCCTCCGCGCAGGCTCGCGGACACCGCCGGCGAGGTCACCCGCAAGTACTTCCGGAACCGCGTCGAGGTCGACCACAAGGGCGACGACAGCCCCGTGACCATCGCTGACAGGCGAGCGGCCCCCGCGCCTCACCGCGCCGCTCCGCCCGCCCCAGGACGCCCACACACGCCGCCGACACCCGCCCACACGAGCCCGCGCCGCGGCGCTGTCGTCGTCGCAGGCAGGCCGAGGAGGCGATGCGTGCGTTGATTCACGAGACCTTTCCGGACCATGGGGTGTTTGGGGAGGAGCATGGGCTCAAACTGGGGCCGGAGGGGTCCCCCGGGCGCGACTTCGTGTGGGTGCTGGACCCGATCGACGGCACGAAGTCGTTCATCACCGGCAAGCCGTTGTTCGGGACGCTGATTGCGCTGACGTACCGCGGGCGCCCAGTGCTGGGCGTGATCGACCAGTCGATCACCCGTGAGCGGTGGCTCGGGGTCGCGGGGCGTCCGAGCACCCTGAACGGCGAGGAGATCGCGACGCGGCCGTGCGACAGCGTCGCGAAGGCGTATCTGTACGCCACAACCCCCGACATGTTCCAGGTGCGACACACCCCCCAAAACACCCCCTCCCACCGATTCCCTCCACGCGACGAGCCAAAACTACGATGCGCGTGTGCGAGGGCGCAGGGGGCGTCTGCGGAGGCGTTTTCGCGCGTCGCGAAGGCCTGCCGCATCCCCATGTACGGGTGCGACTGCTACGCGTACGGGCTGCTGGCGGCGGGGCTGTGCGACCTGGTGGTGGAGGCGGACCTGAAGCCGTACGACTACATGGCGCTCGTGCCGATCGTGGAGGGCGCGGGCGGCCGCATGACGGACTGGCGCGGCAGCGACCTGGTGTGGCTGCCCGACGGGATGGAGGGCGGGTCGAAGAAGTTCCCCGGGGAGGTGTGCGCGGCGGGGGACGCGCGCTCGCACGCCGAGGCGCTCGCGCTGCTCGCCTGGGAGGGCCAGTGAGCGCCCCGTGTGTGTGACTCGCACGATGCGATGTGAAACGCACAACAGATATAGTACTGCCTCGTTCGGTGAGAGCGGGGGGCGCGGCGCAGGACCGGGGGCGATGATGTCGAGTCGGCGGTGATGCTGAGACGGCTCGGCGGGCGCAGCGCGGGCCGACGTCATGTGGCGAGTCTGACGGGAGCGGTGCCGGGCGGGCAGGCGCTCGCGTGGTCATGGGTTCCGGTGGGCGCGGTGTGCCGGCAGTACTCTTCGTCGAGTCACGGCCGAAGCACTGCGTTCCGTCTCTGTTTCGCGTCTGAAGTGAACGTGGCGCCCCAGCCCTCAGTGCTACGGACCGTGGACGCGCCTGCGGCGGCGGCGGCCGTGACGCAGCCTCGCCAACTGCTCGTATAGAGGCGCTTGATAGTGCGGAGCAGGATGTTTAGCAACAAGACGTATCAGGTGCGCTGGGAAGAGCGGTCCTTGGGATAGAACGATGCTCCAGCCACTTGCTGCGCCTGCGTCCCCAGCGTGCGCCGCCGCAAGCCTCGTTCGCGCCGTCTAGTTCTCGTGCGGAGCTTGCCAAGGTGCTGCGCTCTCTTCGGCCGCGATGCGAGGCGGGACGCCCCTCACTGTTCCTTGAAGCAGGTTTCGCGCCCGCGGCCCCTCGTCTCGCGGCCCCGTAGTCGACGCACACCAGACCGCGGCCGCCTTCTGCCTGCGTGCGCGCTGTCGCGTGACGCCGTCGACCTGTTCATGGCACAGTCGCACCGGCGTTCCTCGCGGATGGGCTGCCAGTCCCGATGGCTCTCACGCGCCCCTCGCACGGTGTTCGCGCCACGCAGTATGGCGGCGGGGACATTGAGTCGGGAGGGCTGTTCCCGGGCATCTCCGGCGAGGACCAAATGCTGCGAACAGGCTTCATCAGGAAGGTCTACGGCATCGTTGCTGCGCAACTGACGCTCACGGCGCTCGTCGCGATCTCCATGATGTCCATCCGGCCCCTCCAAGAGGTGCGCATCTCACCATGCCCGTGGCAGCGCCACACGCCCCGCACACCGCGCCTGGTGCACCACATTCCCCCCCGACGCACCTGCCATCCACACCCGACCAGCGCATCCCCGTTCACGCCGCGCCCATGCACGCCGCTCACCCACCCTACTCCGCACCGCACCGCTCACGTCCACGGCCCCTAACTCCCCCCTCGCACTCCCCCCCTTCCCTGTGCACTTCTGCCAACCCTCAACCCCCCCTCGCGCCACGCAGGCCGTCCAGGGCTCCATGGTCGTCGTCATCGGCTCCATGGTCGCCTCCTTCGCGCTCCTGATCCCGCTGTACTGCTACCGGCAGCGCCACCCGCTCAACCTGGGCCTTCTCGCCGGGTGGACGCTCGCGCTCTCCGTGAGCGTCGGGCTCGCGTGCTGCCAGTACCCGGTGGCCGCGGTGGCCGAGGCGCTCGTCCTGACCGCGGGGATCGTCGCGGGGCTCACCGCGTACACCTTCCACGCCACGCGCGAGGGCAAGGACTTCACCCCCTGGGGCCCCGCGCTGTTCGCGTCGCTCTGGGGGCTCGTGCTGTTCGGGTTCATCCAGATGGTCTTCCCCATGGGCCCGCTCGGGCAGACGGTGTACAGTTTGATCGGCGCGCTGGTCTTCAGTCTGTACATTGTGTTTGACACCTTCCTCATCGTGGCCAGGTTCTCCATCGACGAGTACGTCTGGGCCAGCGTCAACCTGTACCTCGACATCATCAACCTCTTCCTGCGCATCCTGGAGATCCTGGGCCGGCGGGACTGATCGGGGGGAGGGGTGTGAGCGGGGGAGTCGTGGCGCGGAACCAGGCGCGTCGTCATCGCCCTGCCCGCCGCGACGGGCACCTGTGGGGCACCCGTGGGGGATCTGTGAGAGCGTGCGCTGAGGTCGAGCAGGTTAGCGGGGCCGCCGGCCGCCGACGTGAGGGTCCGCGACGTGAGGAGGACGCGTGGCGCGAGCCGATCGACATGGCCGCCACGGACGGTGCATGCGATGCTGTGTCGCACACACGTTCTAGAGGCCCCACACCCCTGCAGAGCCGCCATCACGCGCTATCGCCGCTCATAGGGCCACGGTAGGGCTGCACACGACCACTAGGCAACTAAGTTTCGGGTCTGATTGAGTTGAAACGCCGGGTCGTTGCCTTGACTCGGCGCATCGCGGCTTCCCTAACCTCCGAGAGACCATGCGCGTCCTGCCCGTGAGCGGCCGCGCGACGCAGGCCCGCACGGTGCCCGTCACCGCACCTCTTCGGACGCGCGTTGCCCGCGCCGGGACGGTCGTTCGCGCGTCTGACTCGCCGAGCGAGCCCGACCTGTCTGCGACAGAGAAGGACTCGACGCTGTCTGCGACAGAGAAGGACTCGACGCTCTCGAAGCTGACGGCTGCGATCAACAAGAGCCCCATCAACGCCGGGAAGAAGCTCCTCGCCGGGCTCCAGGCAGGCGACTACGACAAGGCGGCCGTGCGCGCGGAGATCGATGACGCCATTGCACAGAACAAGGTAGGCCGCACCCGCGTAACCAGGCGCTCAACACACAGAACGACGGACATTTCAGAGACAAAGCCGACCGCACGCCGCATTCCGCGTGCGAGGAAGCCCCGTGCCGCACTCCATTCCGCGCCCAGCTCCCCTGTGGGACGCGTACCTCCCACGCGAGAAGTGGGCGTGGCGGTGAGCCTCCAGCGTCCCCGGCGCCCTCTGCAGGTCGTGGTCTTCAGCTGGTCGTTCTGCCCCTTCTGCGTCCGCGCGAAGCAGCTCCTGGACGACATCGGGGCCAACTACAAGGCCATCGAGCTCGACCAGTTCCCGGGCTCCAAGGGCGGCACGGGGATCATGTTCCAGCGCGGTTACAAGGGGAACGCACTCAGGCAAGCACAGCCCCGCGTCCGCGACCGTCCCCGGAACGCGCCAGTCTCGCGTGCTCGATCATGCTATGATGTGTTAATAACCTCGCTGCTTCCTGTGCCCGGGTCGCAGGGCGGAGCTGGCCGAGATGACGGACCGCACGAGCATGCCGAACGTGTTCATCGGCGGCGTGTCGTACGGGGGGTGCAACGACGGCCCCGGGATCGTCACGCTGCACGACGAGGGCCGCCTGGTGCCCATGCTCAAGGAACTGGGCGCCATCGCGGCGTGACGGACCCCCGCGCCCCCTGTAACCCAGCTACGCAAGCACGCGTCCATCCACGCGAATGCCTCACACGCAACCACCGTTTTCCATATCTGTTCTTCCATCTCTCCTGGCGCGTCGCCTCACAGCGGCCGCGTGGCGACGACGCAGCGATGCCGCGGGTCCGACCTGTGGTACTCGACGTCCGCGAGCCCGACCTCCGCCATGACGTCCTCGATCGACGTCGAGTAGTATTCGTCGCTCCAGGGCTCCGTGCTCTTCATGAGCGTGAAGATCGCGGGTGGGAGGCCCTGGATCACGGGCGAGCGCGGGTCGTTGTCGATCACCGCGACCGTCCCGCCCGGGCGCACCACGCGCGCCGCCTCGCGCAGCACGTCGTAGATGGCGCTGGTCGGACACTCGTGGAACATAAACGTGATCAGGACGCCGTCGAAGCTGCCCTCCGCGTACCCCGTGTCCTCCGCGCGCCGCCACACGTACTCGATCGGCTGCCGCGCCTGAGCGACGACGTCGGGCGACGAGTAGTCCGTCGTGGTGATGAAGCCCGGCGCGCCCTTCTTTTCGAGGTGCTTCGCGACGGCGAGGAAGTGCGGGGAGAGGTCGAGGCCCGTGACGCGCGCGGCGGGGTAGTGCTCGGCGAGCGCGCGCGTCGACACGCCGACCGAGCAGCCGACCTCCAGGAGGGAGGTGACGGCGCGGGGGGGCGTCGCGGAGCGCCCCGCGGCCGCCTGGCGCTCCTGGTAGCCGGAGATGACGTCGAGGTACGCCTTCCGCAGCCGGACCTGTGCCTGCAGGTCGCAGCAGGGCGTGCAACGCGATTCGGGAACAGGGTGCGGCAGTTGATACGAAGCTAGAGGCTGGAGCATTGTTCGGGAACAGGCTCAAGACACAAGTGTGCCCTGGCTCCAACGACCCTGCTTTCCTGCTCCTTGCACCGATGCAGCAAGATGGGGGGCATCGAAACCAGGGCATCCGCTCATGCTGTTGACGCACGCGCGACGACTCCCCCCCCCGCGCCTGCGATCCGCCGACACCCCCACGCACCTGCTTGGCGTCGATCGCGCCGCTCTTGACCTCGTCGGGCCACACCCGCAGCGCCATGGACATCGTCGCGGGCACCACCTCGAACGCCGCGTCCCAGCACAGGTTCCCCGCATCATACGCGTGGAAGGGCTTCTTGTAATACTCGGGATACCCCCCCGCCGGCTCCCCCTGGCTCAGGACGTCCTTGTACTCGGCGTACACGTCGCGGTTGTCCAGCTCGCGCACGGTGCCGCGCCACGGCACGCCGTTCCCCTCCGCGGTCTTGATCATGGTGTCGCGCGCAAAGAACTTCATCACGTTGAACAGCGGCTCCACCGAGATGAGGCCGTTCACCACCCGCGAGGCCGTGTCGTCGCCCGTCCAGTCCGGCTTCGCCTTGCCGAGGTCCTTCTGCGGCGCGGGCGTGGCGGTGCCGGCAAGGTGGGGCTGGGCGCGTGGGGGCGCTGTGTGGTGGAGGACGGAAGTGGCTTCGGCGTGCGATGCGTTTGGGAGGGAGACCGTGAGCGCTGCTCAGGTCGAGTAGCTCGGAATCGGTCCGGTTGGCTCACCACGAGAGTGTCGGGGGTGCTCGGGGCAGAGCGGACAAGGACAGCACGTCCCCGGCGCTGACCGGGGCCCTGAGCGCTGCCGAAGGCGAGAGACGAGCGAGCTGAGTGCATCTTGGCCGCGTGGCTCATCGCTGCGACTCGCTGCTGCGCGCTACCGCGAAGATGATGTGCAGATACACAAGCGGCCCGGCTGCGAACACACGGGACGAACACGCCCTCTACGTGCGGGTCGAAGGGCAGGCCGGAGGCAAGAGGCGCAGTGGGACCGGCGGGGGATCCCTCGTGCCTACGGAAACGCTGTGTTTGGGGATGCGAGACGATGCCTTGAAGGCAAGCAGTGAAAAGGAGTCTCTCGGGGACGAATTAGACTGTCTCCGCTGTGTGCGACACGCCCGACAGCATCTGTCGGCACGCATCTCTGCGTGTGCCAAAGGAGCCGCTGTGGGGCGCATGCATTCGCGCCTGATTCCCGGCAGACGGGGCAGCGCACAGCCCCCCGGTCCCCCCTGGCCCCGCAAGGCGACGAAACGCCGGCGCTGGCTCGCCACACGGCACTTGCGCACCAGACTAGTGGACTCCGTGGATCGTGGACCGCCGTAGCGCGTAATACCCGCTGCGTTCCGACACTGAGGTCCTGACGGTGACCAGGAGCGCAAGCTCACGGGGCGGGGGACGGGGCCCCGGCGACTGCACCCCGCCGCCCTGCCTGGGCGTAGTCGTGTCGTAGGTCGCCCAAGATGGACATGGAACTGGTGGACAGGAACACGAAGAAGGTGGTGCAGGAGGCCTTGCGCATATGTCGCGAGCGCGGGTACAGGGTGAGTCGCGCACCCGCGGAGCTCCTTTCCCTTGCTGGATGCTGACCGTTTCTTCGCGTCGCGCCACGCGGGAGCCGGTGTGCGGCCCGCCAGGCGCCTGGAGCGGCCTGCATGTGCGGCGCTCTGCGGTCACGGCCATTTGCACAGCGCCACGGCGCGTGCTGACCCCGGGCGGTCCGCGGCGCTCGGCTGCAGGTGGACACGACGATTTCCGCGTTCGTGGTGCGCGCGTTGGATGTGTCGGGCCAGCTGCAGGTGAAGACGGGCTTCGGCCTAAACCAAGAGCTCGACCACGGAGGCCTCATGGCGGTCTCTGAGATGGCGGCGGACCACCTCCTCGAACACGACTCTCCGTACTTGTGTACAGTGCGTCTCCAGGTCCGTCCCGTGGCAGTTCGACCCAGCAGTGCTGCGCCCGCGCAGCAAAGGACTCTGCATATGCTCGGAGCCCCTTTGCTGGCCAGAACGTGCCGAAACCCGCCCATCCCGCACCTCGAGACGAATTTCGCGCCCATCAGCACGCCACCTGTGACGCGACGGCGCCGAGCCGCGGCACGCCGGCTGCGTCGCTGCCCAGAGCATGTGCGCGGCACCAGACAGCTCACCGCTTCGGCTTTGGTGCCCGCGACGCGACGTGCAGCTCGGCATGGAGCAGAAGTTCTTCGCGGAGAAGGGCCGCGTCGAGGAGGAGCTGCGAGGCCGCGACGCCCGCATGGAAACGGTGCTCAACCTGCTGTGCGACCCCAAGCTGACCCCGGGCATGGCGCCGGAGGACTTCCGCCGCTTCTGGGACAAGGTGCTCGAGTACATATGCATCAAGACCTCGATGGACCCGGCTCTGGAGAACGAGGAGGCGGCTGCGCAGGTCCGGGCGGCGCTGGAGAGTGTGCTCCCAGAGTACATCATGCCGCGGTTCGTGGGTCTGACGCGCGAGGAGAAGGAGGCGCAGCTGGACGAAGTGGCCTCGATCACGCTCGGGATCTGCTCGTACAACCTCGCGACGGGCAAGGGCGCGCTGTGCCTCCCGCCCTCGACCAGCGTCGCCAGCTACCAGCACCAGGCGCGCAGCATGTTCAACCAGGTGTCCGAGCAGGTCCAGGAGCTCCACGAGGTCGTGCAGGGGTACCTCGCCGTCCTCGCCGCCATGTCGCGCCAGCACGAGCCCACCCACGAGCGATTCGTGCGCCTGCGACAAGAGGTCACCAACGTGCAGCAGGAGCTCGCCTACCTCCTCCAGGTGCGCGACGACGCCGCCCCCGTGCACCGCGTCCCCTGCCCTCCCGCGCGGGCGCACGGCACCGCCCCGTCCGCGACGCCGCACCCCTCGTCCGGACGCGCTACGTTGTTCCGCAACAACACGGCAGTTGCTCCGCGCTGACGGCCGAACTCTCCGCGCTCTCGCCCGCAGCTGCGCGAGGACGTGTCCGGCGGGACGGCGGCGGCGGAGGACATCCACCGCCAGCACCAGGCCACGTGCCGCGAGCTCCTGGCGCTGCTGTCCTCCAACCCGACGTCCGTGCCGAAGGAGAAGGTCTACCCGCTGTTCGACCAGCTCGGCGCGAGCGCGCTCGCGATCATGGACGAGGCGAAGATGCTCGAGATCCGCGTGAAGCTGTTCCACGCCCTCAACTCGCTGTCAGGGGGGTACTCGCGCACGCTGCAGCCCGAGGACGTGGGCGCCGCGCTGGACTACCTGGACGCCGGCGGCGCGCGCGAGGCGCCGATCCAGTCCGCGTTCGTGCCGTCGAGCTCCCCGAGCCCCGGCCGGCGGCGCGCCAGCGACGCCGGAGTCATGGGGGAGTTGATGGAGCCCGGGATGGAAGTCCCCCCCCTGCAGTTCGGCGGGTACTGCCCCGTGTCGATCGTCGTGCACGGCGGCGTGCTCGTCCCCGCGGACATCACGCAGGGCTTCGTGCGGCTGGGCGACGACCAGGTGTTTGGGTGCGTGTCGCAAGAGTACCTCGAGACGTTCCTAGAGTCCCCCGTGTCCTACCTGAGGGCCATCGAGAGCGTCGCGCGGGCCACGCCGGAGCTCGTCAAGCTCCTCGGCCTCACGGAGACCTTCCCGAGCCTGTGGCTGGAGTCGATCATCGAGCTGGTGGCAAAGGGGGTGCACTGCGAGTACGGCACGCAGGTGAGACCCGCAAAGCGGAACCACCGCGGCCCCCGGCGCTCCCTGGCACGGCAGGACCGGTCCCGCGGAGGCGCCGCGGTGTCGGCGCGCTGGGGCGTGTTTTGTGGCTGCGTTGGTGTTGACGCGTTGCGCTTCGGTTGGTGGCGATTGCAGACGGTGCTGCACCCGGTGGAGCGCAACATGGACATGACGTACGAGTGGAACGTGTGGGCGCTGCGGCGGCGCGCGCTGAAGGTGGCGAACTTGCGGCAGAAGGCGACGCACTCGACGCAGTCGGTGCTGTCGCACTTCCGGCGGGAGAACCAGAGCCAGACGTACCCGCAGAAGGAGGTCGGGCAGCAGACGCGGATGGACAAGGGGCAGGGGATGCCGAAGAAGCTGCGGTACGTGGCGGGTCTGCGCGGGTCGAACAAGACCAAGATGAGCGTGGTCAACATCGACCTCGACGTGGGGCAGCCGCACCAGTTCTGAGGGGGCCGGCGGCGGCGACGGCGCCGCGTGTGAGCGCTCGCGCTGTTCTCGTGTGGCGGCCGAGGCCAGCGGCGCGTCAGGTGCGGGGCAGTGCTCTGTGTCGCCGCGTGTTGTTTTGCTCGTCGGGGGCGGTGACGTGTGTGCGGCTGACCGCGTCGGTGGATGTGACGTTCCGCATGCGCGAGAACGCAACTTGAATGGCGCGATTCAGGGCTGTGCTTCGCGTCGTGTCGCGCTTGGCGTCATTGGTTTTTCTCTGGTATGAAACAGTCTCCTGTGCTGGCGCCCCTGATCAGGCGGGGGCCTGAAGTGGTGCCCGAGCTCGAGCAGCGCGGCAATCGAGTAGCGACGTGTGCTGCTCAGTATCGCGGTTTCTACGTCGCCAAGAAATCGCGGTCTCAACCTCTCAGGGACCTGCGGGACGCTCTCCGCGCCGCTACGAGTCGCAGTGGCTTCCGCACGGCAGAATGGCGGATCTCGAGGACTTTGAGGACCTCACTCTCGGTGGTGAGCACCGCACATCACCACCCACGCAACGGCGCTGCCGTGCTCTTCCCTCGCACTGCATCAAGCCGAGCTCGAGGCCCCGGTGGCCGGAAATGTCGCGGCCGGCGGACGCAGTTCGGACGTCACTGAGCTCACGCAGAAACTGCCAGACGCATTCTCCAACTTGCACGCGCGACGCGGCCGCATTCACGCAGAGGTGGGTGAGCTTGCCCGGGAGTCCCACGCCCGCGAACGGCGGTTCCGCGAGGAGGGCTTCCGCGAGGGGACAGAAGAGGGACTCGAGCAGACGGTGCAGACCGGGTTCAACCTCGGCTTCGTCGAGGGGTCCAGCATCGGCCTCGCGTGGGGCTATGCACGCGCCCGCCTCCTCGCCAAGCAGCTCCTGGACGCAAACGCCGGCGGCGCGCCACGCCCTCCGGACAAGGAACAACCCATCCCCGTCCCCTGCCAGGCGAGCGCGAGCGCGGCCTGCAAGCAGGCCCTCAGCAGGCGGCCGCTCCCCGGCGACGCACACCTCGCGTCTCAGCTCCACCAGGCGCTCGCCGAACGCGAGGCTCCAGCCGACGCGGCCCCGCCCGCGACGGACCAGGAGATCGCCCAGGCGTTCCACGCGCTCGCGCCCAGCGGCGGCGCCAACGGGTCCATGGCACGACTCCACGCGACTGTTGCGTCTGTGCGGCCCCGCACCGCGGCAGGGACGGGCGCGGAGCCACCGGTAGCGGCGGACAGTGCTGGTCCTGTCACGGACGATGTCGCGGCTGGTCCTGGACACGACGGCGACGCCTCGAGAGACGACTTTCCGGGTCTTCAATGTGCATGTCATAAGGGCGGCATCAAGGACGTGATCGACTACCTTGCGAGCACGGTGCGGACGCTCGAGGGCGCGGGGACGTAGCAGGTACGGCGCGGAATGTGCTTGGGGCTCCACCGAACGCCCCTTGCACCTCGTGACTGCCAGCTTGCGACCCCCGGCAGCATCAAGTCCCGTGCTGCGGCAAACGTCGGAATTTCACACTTCGAGCCGCGCTCGGGCAAGCGCCTGCCGCTCATGCATGATCCTGCTCAGCTCCTCGCCCACCGCCGCCACATCCAGGTCCGCCACGTCGACCTGCAGTCCCCCCCCACTCCCCCCGCCCATCGCTCCCCCCGTCTCCATCCCGCTCGCCTCGCTCGCGGGCTGCGAATCCGTCCGCGCGGAGCCCGCCCCACGCAGCGTAGCGGGCGCCGGCGGCACGGGGGACGCGACCTCCGCCGGCGGTTGAATCGCGGCCGCCGCTGCTTGCGGGAGCAACCGACCCGCCGATGTGAGCCGCAACGCAGCCCCTGACGTCGCGGACACCGCGTACGACACGCCAGGATCCTTCGCAATCGCGACGCGCCGCAGCGCCGCGTGCTGCACGCCTGGAACGCCGGCGCTCGCCAGGTCGCCGATGTCTGACGCAGCGTGGGCCGGAGGGGGGGTGTTGCTTGACGGCAGGTTGGTTCGCAGCCCGCTGGGGCTGCCTGCGGCGACCGACGTAGATGACCGCACCAGCTTCTTGAGCTCGCCGACGGACATGAGCTCGCGGCGGCCGCTGTGGCTGCTGGCACTCAGGGCGTTGCTGGCCCCGGGCGGGCCGCCCGCGTCGCTCGGCTCCCGCGCCTGCGAGAACGAGCTCTTTCGTGCGCCGCCGGACACCAGGACGGACCGCGCGGACTGGTGCCGCCGCAGCCCGCGGCCGTTCTGGACCGCCTGCGACGCTGCGAGCATCCGCGAGTGGAGGGCGTCGATCCGGCTGCCCTGCTGCTTGCGCAGCTGCTGCCGCAGCATCTGGTTCGTCCTCCGAAGCTCCACGAGCTCCGCAAGAACTGCACACGGCAACGGGGAGACGTGTTGAAGATCACGGTGGGCTTTCGTGCAACGTGGCGTTCGGGGGGGTTGAACGACGAGCGCGCAACTGCACGAGAGTGCGCGAAACGGGGCGCACAAAGGACATGCCGCGCGAGACGAGAGATAGCGCCGGGCGCGTCGCACCTGTTGCGCTCGCAGTGTGCAGCCCGCGCGCCCCGAGCGTCAGCGCCCGCAGGTCCTCGGGCATCCCGGCCTCCTCCGCCGCCTCCCGCACCCTCCCCGCCGTCCCCACGTCCATCCCCACCACGCCCTCTAGCAGCAACAGCCGCTCCCGCAGGTTGTTGTTCTCCTTCATCAACACCTCATTATCCGCCTCGCTGCGCTCCGCACGCGCCATCGCGTCCGCGTACGCCCCCTGCAGCCGCCCCGAGCTCCCCTGCAGCTTCCGCACCAGCTCCGCCGCCCCCAGCAACCGCTGCGCCAGGCTGTCGGCATCCCGCGGACCGTGCGCCGTCACCGCGCGCGGCACGCGATCCCCCGACCGCTGCCCGCCCTCCGCCTCCTTGCCCTCCACGCTCGCGTCGGAACTCGCGCCCGCGGAGGCCGCGCTGTCGCGTCGCATGCTGCCCTGCCGCTGCGGCACCGGCCGCGCCCCTGTGCCTGCCTGCCCGACGTACGGCGACGCCGGCGTCGCCGCAGGGCCCGCGCCGCTCGGCCGATCCGCGCGAACGGTCTCCGCGGCAGCACGCCGCTGGAACGACGTCGACGCGTCCGGCGCCGCCCGCGTGCGCCGCTCGGACGACCCAGGACGGTGCAGCGGCGGCCGCGCGCTGCCCCCGGCGGTCGACGGCGGCTCCACGCCCGGCGCGGCGGACGCGGGGAGCGCGTCGAGGGCGGCCCCGAAGTGCGACGCGATCACGTCCTCGGGTACAAGTGACCGCATGACTGACAGCTGTTCTTGCAGGAGCGCGACCTGTTCGCGGAGCTGTCGGATGAGGCGCGCCTTGGGGTCCTCGTTGCGGACGACGACGTTGCGGATGCGCTTCGCGCGGGTGGCGTACTCGAGCGTGGAGACGGTGTCGGTGGACCAGGCGTCCGACGGGGACACGCAGGCCACCATGACGGTGTGCGCGGAGCCGCCGAGGGAGTTCTGGAGCAGGGACGTGAGGCGGGACTCGCGGTACGGGACGTGCGCGCCGCGCTTGCCGTCCGCGAGCGCCGTGATCACCTGGCGCAACGTGAGAAGGGATTTGTTGATGGTGATCGACTCCTTTTGAATCATGCCGCCCGTGGCGCCCGTCACGGCCTGCCGCTCGCAGCCCGCCAGGTCCACCATCGCCAGGCGCGACGTCACCGCCTCCTCCGACCGCCCCGGCGGCACCGACGTCACGTCGACGAGCAGCAGCGCGTGCGACCGCGACGACTGCACGTTCATGCGGTGCGACGCCACCACCTTGTTCCGCACCCCGCTGCGCCAGTGCTGCAGCGCGTCCTCCGCCGTAGCGCACTCGAACTTGAACAGGTTCTCCAGATGGAACCCGAGCTGCTTGCTCCAGCGCATGCGCAGGCCCGGAGCCACCCTCCGCGCTGGGCGGCGGTCGCCGTCCGGGCCGTAGGCGAGGTCGTCGTCGTCGTCGTCGAGCCACGCGAACGACGCGTCGTTCAGCAGGTCGTAGCACTGCTCCATGTAGACCTGAACGAACGAGACCTCGATCTTCACGTCCGTGCCCTCGGAAGACATGATTTCGGCTTTGGCGAAGAGCTCCCGGAGCGCGCGGGGCACGAGGCCCGCGTTGACGTCGTCCGCGGCCGGGACCGCGTCGTCCGGGGCCGCGCCGCCGCCCCACGCGGACGCCGCGACGGCGTGTTCCATGCCACCCTCCATGGTGTGTGTCTTGCCCGAGCCGGTCTGACCGTAGCAGAAAATGGTCGCGTGGAAGCCGTCCAGGACGCGCGAAAGCAGGTGCGGGACGCTGAGCGCCTCGAAGACGTCCTGCGGGCCGGCGCGGGGGCAGGAGAGCGCGGAGTGGGTTGTTGCTGGGGGGCACGAGGGAGCTGCGGGGCGGTACGGGGGGCGCCGGGGGCTGCGGGGCGGGCGGTGGCGCTGTCGATGACGTGGCATGAGCAATGTGTCCGTGAGACCGGGGTGGTGCGCGTCGACGCGGGCGCAACAGCGTGCCAACGTGCATGATGGGACCGGGGACTTGTTCGAGGCCTCGCGCCCAGGACGGGAGGTACGACGGCGCGTTCGGGCTGCCCGGGAACGGCGATGAGGGGGACGCGGCTGGGCGCGATGGGAGAGGGGGCGGAAACGCAACGGGGGCGGCCGCGGCCCGGGGAAGGCTGACCTGCTGGCTGTGATCGGGCCCGAGCACAGCATCGAACTTGTAGTCCTTTCCGAGCTTGGACGCGTCGCCGCGGGGCTGTATGTGCACGGCCGCGTGGTCGGGCTCCAGGCTGAGGAGCTCCGTGGCGTGCTGGGCCTCGTGGGCGAGCAGCGGCCGCACGCGCACTGCCACAACCACGCCGCTGCCAGCGAGATCACGCGCTGCCGCCGAGGAGGCCATCGCGCCGGACCCGGGCTACGTTTCGGACGCACGCCGCGGCCCGCGCGCTCCGGGCGTGGCTCGACGCGGCCGTACGGCCCCGCTCAACAACTAGACCAGGCCGTTTCTCCTCGAATGCAGGACGTGCTGGCTCCCCGGCCGTGAGCGCACACGCGAAGTGCAATGGACTCGAGCTCAGATGCCCTTCCGGACAGAGAAATCGACTCGAATTGACACGGTGTGCTACTTAACGGAGATGCGAGTCTTCTGCCGTGCTGCCCCCGGGACGCTGCGTGCACGGAGGGGCGGGGCCCGCGCAGACACGTGTGCCATGCTGCGTCGCTGGGCGCGCCAAAGAGCCGGAACGGACCGCCCGTGCGGACGTGGTCCGACCGACACTGCCGCTAGTACAACTGTGGTGGAATTTGACCGCACACCGAGCAGCGCAGTCCCTGATGGGAGCTGCTCGGCCCCTGAGCACGCCACTTGCCGCGACGCCGTCCAGAGGTTCGAGTGCGGTGCGCAGGAGGCGCGTCGCCCTGGCGCTGCGACCCCCCGATCGCCCAGAGCACTGCTTTCCCTCGGGGTCTCGTGCTCCACGCGCGTCAGGGACGCCTTGAGTGTGTTTGCGCGACGCCCCACAGCACGCTCTCTTCGCGTCCATCCGTATCTGCGCCAGAGACGATGTTTTCCTCGTCGGCACGCGCCGCACAGGCCCCTTGTGCTGACTGCAAGAGTCGCGCCCGCGCGCGCAGCGCAGCCACCCCCGCGCGGCTGCTGGCCGCCCCGAGGACGGCACTGGAGATCGCGCACGCCCGTGGCGCCGTCGTGCGTGCGGCCTCGGGCTCGGAGCGGCACCCGTCAGCGAATGGTGCAGGGGGCGCGTGGGGGCAGCAGGGTGCGGGCGGGCAGCGGGGGGCGGGCGGGCGGTCCGAGTGGGAGCAGAAGTCCTTCATAGACGCTTCGTGGGACTCGGACGGCGATTACGACTCGGTACGTTTCCACCCTGTCCAACAGTCACACAGCGACGTCGCGCGGCCCCCTCCGCGGCGCCGAACGCCCGCTTCGTCCGCGCCTCCGCAGGACGAGGAAGTGTACCGGCCCCGAGTGCCAACTCGGAAGCAGCGTCTGATCGAGCCGCCCCCGAAGCCAGACGGCACGCCGTACGACGTGGAGTACGTGTCGTTCATCACGCCGTGGAAGCGCCCGACGGAGGTCGAGGAGCTCGTGCAGAACACAGTCTACACCTTCTCGCAGCCGTGGGGCTTCGGCCCGCTCAAGGTGACCGCACGCACGCGCTCCCGCAAGTCGCGCCGAGCCCGCGCGCCGTCCGCGCCACACACCGCTCCCGCGCCGCTCGCTCGCTCGGTCCCGCGCAGGTCGGCCTGCGCATGACGGTCTACCGCCTCCCGAGCGGGGGACTCTGGCTGCACTCCCCCGTCGCGCCCACGGAGGAGTGCCTGGCGCACGTCCGCGCGATCGGCGGCCCCGTCGAGCACCTCGTCGTCCCGGGCGTGTCTCCGGAGCACTCCGTCTTCCTCCCCGGGTGGCTCGAGCTGTATCCCGACGCGAAGATGTGGGTCCCCCAGGAACTGTTCAAGTTCCCCCTCAGGACGCCGAAAGTGGACGAGCTCCTGAAACCAGGTGCGCCGCGGTGCCGCTCCGAAGCGCAGCATGTGCCCCGCGCGCACCGCGAGCCGCGCTCCGCTGCCGAAACGTTGACAGCGGGTGTCGTTGCGTGGAGCGGGCACTGACGCCCGGCGGGACGCTCGATGCTCCCGACGCGCTCCGGGGCCGGACGCGCATGTTGTGTGGCGTCTCGACCTGCCGAACGGGCACGCATCGACGCCCAGGCTCGTGCTTTCGTGTGCGCAGGTCTCACGGGGGTCCTGGGGCGGCCCTCGCTCGCGGCGTGGGAGGGCGCGGTGGACATGGCCGTGCTGCGCGCCCCGAACGCGTTCGAGGAGGGCGCGTTCCTCCTCAAGGAGCCCAAGATCCTCCTTACGTCGGACCTCATGGTGGCAACGAGCCCCGAATACACCCGGGCCATGGAGCAGCTCCTGGGGCCGATTGCGCGGGCCATGATCGGCGAGTACGGCCTCCGTCCGCTCGTGGCGCCGATGCTGGGCCTCGCGTACCCGCGCGTGGTGGGCGCGTGGGCGGAGCGCATCTCGCGGTGGGACTTCGAGACGGTCGTGTCGTGCCACATGGACGCGCCGACGCTGGACGGGCGCGCGGCGTTCGAGAAGGCGTTCGGGGACACGATTCGGAAGTACCGCGAGCTCCAGCTGACCGCGCCGACCGAGTTCAAGGAGCCCGGGAGGCTGCCGCAGCGCAGCAGCGGGGGCGCGGGGGACCGCGAGGTGCTGTGGGAGCGGCGCGTGTCGGTGCCGAAGGCCGCGCAGCGCGCGAACATCCGCGCGACGTCGCACCAGCTGGAGCGGGAGCTCGCGCGCAGGAAGACACAGGGCGGGCAGCGGCGGCGGCGGCCGTTGTAGCTGCGCAGCATGCCCGCTCGCACGTCGATCTGTCACACAAACCGCCGTTGCGATCTTGAAGGAAGTGTGACGACGGCTGCTACGCACTCACTTTTCGTCGTCCTTCACGTCGCCGAAGACCTTGCGGTACTCCACGCGCGCGCCCGGCGGCACCATCCACCCCGCGACGGGCATCATCGGCACCACCAGCTTCAGCACCTTGCGCAGCTCCCTCCCGTCCAGCGCGCCGTCGCCGTTGGTGTCCAGGGCCGAGCACAGCGCGAGCGCGACGAGCCGCGGGTCCGCGGACACGCGCTCCCGCACCAGGCCGGCGTACAGCGACATGAACTCGGTGCGCGACAGCCGCCCGTTGCCGTCCGCGTCGGCGTCCCCGAACTTGCCCTCGATGTCCTCCTTCGTCCGCACGCGGTGCTCGATGCCCATGTTCTGCGCGGGAGGGGGTTCCGGTGAGCGCTGGGCGGGGCGCGCGAGGGGGCGGGACGGCGGGCGGGCTGGCGGGTGGAGCGCGCAACACGCACCTCGAGGGTCTTCTTCAGCTCGTCGCCGTTGAGGAGCGCGAGGCACTCGTCGATGTCGAGGCCGTCCTTGTTCTTGTCGTACTTGTCGTAGTTCCGGGCCGCGCCCTCCATCATCCTGCGCGACACGAGGGGGCGCCAGCCTTCACGGGCGGGCGAGCGCGTCGTGCGGAGAGAGACTTACGGGTGCGACGAGGGACATACGTCTTGAGCCTGTTGACCGATTTCAGCGGGCCCACGCGCGTGACGTGCGAGCAGCGGGCCGGCGGCCGCGAGCGATGCAACTGCACCGCCGCGGCTCGATGAGGTCGCCGTAGCGAGGACGACGCCGTTCGCTGCAGGGCGGGGAGGCGCCCCGACTGCTGCAGCACCGAACGACACATCGCGCCCTTGAGAAGTCCCCTACAGACAGCGCCCTCGGCAGCGACACGCTGTTATGTTCGTGGGTCGAGATGATGCACGGGCCCGAACAGATATATCGGCCCACCAGCCCCCCCGTGGCGCCCCTGTGCGGTTTGTACGCGGCACATCTGCCGTGACGCGCCCACAACATCGACGCGGCGTGCGGCCGGCACGCCAGTCTGTCATCAGCGTGGGACATCTCCGGCCCCAGCGTCGCATGCGGGGACCATGCGGTCCATTCCGCGAACACGCGGCGGCGATCCTGGACTGGAAGAAGCGGGCGCAGTGTCCCGCGCGGCTTCTGAGGCCCTGTACAGAGCGCACGGCGACCTCGGGGGAGGAGGCTCGGGGGCCGGTGGGAAAAGGGTTGCGCCCCCCCCCGCGTGGAACGGTGCACGCCACGTCCGGGCGGTGGACCCGGGCGTGCGGAAGGGGGGGGAAAGGCAGCCGGCGTGATCGAGGGCATCCCGCCGAACCGTTGGTGCACGCGGATGTTCACAGAGCTTGTGGGCGTGCCCCCCCGGACGCGTTGGGAACGAGATCGCTCGCACTTGCACGGCTCCAGCGCGCCGAGAGTGTACGAACGCGGCCTCACGCACTGCTTGCCTCCTCGCGGCGTCCCCGGGACTCCCGGCCACCAGCGACCTCGCGTGGGGCGTGTGATGCACGATCCATCCTACCACTGCACGCGTCGCACCGGACCGCCAGCGCCGGGCTTCCGGACGCCGGGTGTCGCGCACGCTGCCCTGGCGCGCCCGGCGCGCGTGCTGCGGGCGTGGCTGCATCGCGCTCGTGCGACTGATTGGGTGCGCATGCGCCTTGTGACGCAGGCGGAGCGGGAGGAGCGGCCCGTCGCGGCCAGGGGCGCGGCGCGGAGCAGGACGTGCAGGTGCACGACGCGCAGCGGGAGGCAGTGTGCGCGGAGGCGCCCGCGCGCCCGAAGAGCTCGAAGTACCGGGGGGTGTCTCGGTGTCAGTCAGACCGTCTGTGGCGCTCGCAGATCTGTGTGGCCCGCGAATGCATCGACCTGGGGTACTTCGCGGACGACACGGACGCGGCGAGGGCCTACGACGCCGCCTGCCGCCTCGTGGGCCGGCCGCCGCCCAACTTCCCCGACGAGTCTCATGGCCAGGAGTGCATCTGCTCCCCTTCGGCGCCGCTGCTGCTGCGGGCGGCGGCTACGCCCAAGGTGCGCGCGAAGGTGGCTAAGCGCCCCCGCGGCGCGCCCCCGGACGACGACGGCGAGCACAACGCGAGCAGCGACGGCCGCGCGCACCGCTCGCCGTCGCTCCCCGCTCCGATACCCCCGGGGTCGCGGGGCGCGGCGGGAGGCGCACAGCTCCCACGCCCGAGTCGTCTTCGGCCTCTGCTCGCTGAAGATCGAGCACCCGGAGCATTCGCGGTGCAACGGACAGCACCCAGGGGCATGCACCCGTTCGAGCCTCGGATGCTCGGCTTCTAAGCGGACTGTGAGACTGACTGACTGACTGCAGAAGTCGGTGTGCATGAATGAAGAGATTGATCTCATCGTGTTGTTTAAGTTAAATGTATTAATGACCCGCCGCGCACCGGCGCGCCCCTGGGCGACACGGCAGTGTTCGCCGCGGTCAATGCGGGAGCGCGCGCAGGTGGTGTTGTCGCCCACGCTACGCGCTGCGAGGAGCGCCTCCCCGCGCTGCGCCCGGGGGTGTGTTGCAAAGGGGCCGGCCCCTGGGCCGGCCCCGCGGTGTCGCTGCGGTCTTCTAGCCGGCAATCGAGGGTCATTGGTCACACGCGCTGTAGGCGGGCTCCCGAGCGTCCGGGACCACGCGCGCGCCTCGCGGTCGGCGCAAACCTGTGGGTGTGCAGGCGACCGGCGACATGCTGCGGGGTGGAGGGCCAGATGCGACCTGCACACATGTGCAGCGGACGACACGCATCCGGAGCAGATGGATTTCGGTGCGAACTGCTGACGCCATATGATGGGGACGCGCACGTCGCGGGTTTCCAGTGCCATGGCAAGGCGCGTCGTAGGGATGCGAGCAGTGCCCCGCGGCAGAAGGCGCCGCGCGCACCTAGACTACGATACAGGACGACCACGCCACGGGGCCTGCCACTCGCGCTCCGAAATCCCGTCCCGCGGGGGACGGGATTTTCCAGCTGGACTCTTTGTGGCGCCCCGCCGCGCCCGGGGCGCCTTCGAGGAGACTTGTGTCCCGGAAAGGCAGTGTTACCACGAATGTATCCACGCACGGGCCGGGAGACCACGCCGGGCGTCACGCGGGCGCGCGGAGGGAGGGGGGCACGTCCACAAGCTCTGTGAACATCCGCGTGCACCAACGGTTCGGCGGGATGCCCTCGATCACGCCGGCTGCCCCCTCCCCGCACGTCCGGGTCCACCGCCCGGACGTGGCGTGACACCGTTCCACGCGGGGCGCAACCCTCCTCCCACCGGCCCGGGGCCCGGGCCACTGTCGCCCAGCGGACCCACGCAGGGCCCTAAAACGCCACGCGCGGGGGCGTAGATGTGAGTTCTTGTCGCAAGTTCCCACGCCGGGGGTATTCATCACGCGGGGGGTATATTCCTGCTGCAGCGTGGGGAAATGAGACTTGCATGGGGAATGTGGCGTGTGCCGATTTCTCGCAATGTGCGGCGTATCTGTCCGGGCTGGAGGCGCCACGCTGCGCGTTATATCGACGTTCGCCCGCAGTCTGCCGCGTTGGAGCATCTGAGCCGCCAGTCGCCTGCTACGAGCGAAAATCTGCACACTGCACTTGGCACACAGTTGGGCCGCCCCAGCACGCGTGTGCGGCCTCCTGCGCGACGGTCGAGCAAAGGAGCGGGTACCGTGCGCACCACATGCACCTGGTGAGTGGATCCCGCGCGCGGGGGGGGATTCCACCATTGGTGGCCCGACGTGGACTGGAGCGACACTGGTCGGCACGCGCACGCCGGGTTTTCCGCGACAATGTGTCCGTCGCTGCCCACGGACAGACCGCCGCACGATGCTGCCGGGTCTGAATGCCGCTTGGGGGGCATTATGGGAAGGAGCGGGCGGAGCAATTCCCTCACCAGGAGCTACTCCACCGCCCGCAACCGCGGCTCAACTCAACTCACGTGCATGAGAGCGGAGTGAAGAGTAATATTCCACGTCCGGTGCGGGCAGAGGTTGAAGTATCGTGGGATGCCGATGCACCTGCGTGCCGGCAAAGCCGAAACCACGCTTCTAGCCAGACCTGTATGGTGATCTGTGGATGTCCCTATAAATAGAATCTGATTGCTGCATGTGAGAGCTATCTTTGCGCTTGGGGCAGTGACGATGCTTATGAGGTAAGTTCTGTACATATGTCCAGCAACCGTGGCCCTCGACCACCTTGTTTGTTCGATCCTCGCTCGCCCGCGCCCTCACACACCTCACAACCACCATTCCGACCGGCCGCGAGCCCTCCGGCGCCAGAGGCGCATCGCAGCAGCCCCTCGCGACGCGCCCCCGCGCGCCGGGTCGACACCCATCCTCAGCGTTGCGCGCCGCCACATATTTTGACCCGTCGCCGGCCAACCGCTTCGCAGCCCAACTCCACATTTCACAGCCCGACATTTTTGTCACACCCCCCTTTTGTCACACAGGTCTAACCGAGGCTCGTCTATTGCTGGTTGAAAACTAATCCATCCCCCGTCGACCCCGCTTGCGGCGGTCGCAATTTTTTCCTGGGGGGCCCGGCAACGGTGTGTCCCTCCACACCACCTCTCCGGAGACTCTCGCGGCCCCTGCGGCCCCGCAACTGCCTCACCCGTCATGAGTCACACCGAACATGCCGTTGTCCGACTGCCTGTGTCCTGCACGCCGCCTCGTGACCCGTCCCGATCCCGCGCGATGTCCGTCGGGCAGAATGACCGGGCTGCGGCGCGGTACGGCCGCAAGCCCGCTGCACAGTGGCGCGGCCCCGCGCGCAGACGGCGACACAGGGCCGCTGGGGGGGCCTCGTGAGGCGAATGGACGTGGAAGGAGGCGTTGCTACCGGGGCGATGCGAACCGGGCATCTCCGTCGCGTGACCGCGTCGCGGGTCCGCACATCCCGCGTCGCGCGCAACATGAAGCGCTCCAAGCGTGCCGCACGGGGCCAGGCTGTCGTCCGCGTCATGCCCCACAATACGCGTGGAGTGTGCGCCGGCCGTCCTTCTCGCCCTGCGACCGCCAGGGGGGCCTGTGGCGCGAGAACCCTCCTGCACACCCCCTGCCTTCGGCCCATCGGCGCGGCCAGAGCGGGTGCGCAGGAGGTGCGGGGTCTGGCGGTGCGAGGGGGGGAAGCTGCCAGCGCGGTGGGATCGCGCACGCCGTCGCTGATCTCGGCACGCCCACGACTCGGGAGTCGGCGCTGCCTGGCGTGCCCACGGTCGCCCACGCACCTCCACCTCCGGACGACACATGCATCTTGTCGGCCCCGACGCTCCTTCGTCGTCCAGGGACGCCGTCTGCGGCGTCGCGTGCCCGCACGCGCCGGGTTGTTCGTGCCGCACGACTCCGGTGAGGAACTGCTGCAGTGACGCGCCCGTCGCAGCCCTCGGCGGCAGAGCCTCGCGTTGTTCGCGCGCCTGCCCGAGAGGCCGGAGCACGGTAGACCGCAGGACGCGCATGCAACGGCCGCTCGGCCTCCGCATGTGACAACAACCCCCTCACTTGGGCGTCACACTCTCACGCAGCGCGTCCCCCGTCACCGGATGTCCGCGCCGACGATGCTGTCCACCGTGCACGGCCCCTTCGAGGTCATGAACGGCACGCCCTTGTACGTGCAGATCTGCATGCGCACGAGCACACAACACCGCAACGTCAGCACAGCGACATTCGCCCGCCGCGCACGCAGCACGAGTCCACCGCGGCGCCGCACGCACCTTGTCCTCCCGAGACGTAAAGTCCGGCGACACCCCTTCAAACACCTTCTTCTTCGGGTTGAGCTGCGCGTCTGGCTCCCCCTCGTAGCCCTGGAACGTGAGCCGCTCGCCCGGCGGCACGCCCTCCGGCGGCGTCACCAGCTCGACCTTCTCGCCGGCCTTGTCGCTCGCGGCCAGCACCATGGCCTGCGAGAGGATCCCGCGCATCTTGGCCGGCTTGAGGTTGCACACGCACACCACGCGCCGGTTCTGCATCTGGTCCTCCGGGATGAACTTGACCAGCCCCGACACCACCGTCCGCGGCCCAGACTCCTCCCCCAGGTCGATCTCCTCGACGTACAGCGACTCCGCCTCCGGGTGCTTCCATGCCTTGCGGATGACGCCCACGCGCAGGTCCACGCGCGTGACGTCCACGGGCCGGTCCGCCGCGGCCGCGCCCTTCGCGCCCCCGCCGCCCGCGGCCTTCTTCTCCTTCTTGTCCGTCTTGCCCGCGCCCGAGGCCTCGCCCTTCTTGTCGCCCGCGTCCTTCTTGCCGTCGCCGGACGCGGCGGGCGCGGCCTGGCGGCCGCCGTACTTGGCGCGGAAGCTGGCGACTTCGTCGTCGGAGATCATGCGGAAGATGGGGGCGGGTTTGTTGATGCGGTGGCCCGCGGGGACGAACGTCGCGATGTCCTGGACGCGCGCGAGGAAGGTGTCGTCCAGGCACAGGGTGAAGTCCCAGGGGAGGTTGAGTTGCGAGAGCACCTGCGCGAACAGGCAAGGGCGCGCGCGTGCGCGGAGTGTGCTCGCGTGGTGCTTCGGGCAGCATGCGGCGAGCCCGCCGCGCTCCGCAGCCACAGCGCGGCGTGTCGCTGCCCGGCGCGCGCGCGCACCTTGCGGGAGAACGACGGCATGAAGGGCTGCATCAGCACGGCGAGCACGCCCACGAGGCCGATCGTCGCGGCCATGAGCGTCCCGCACGCCCCCTTGTCCGCCTTGAACAGGTCCCACGGCTTGTTCTCCTGGATGAAGAGGTTGCCGGCCTTGGACACCATCATCGCCTGGAACAGGCCGTCGCGCAGCTTGATGCGGTCCATGAGGTCCACGTACTTGGCGCACAGCTCCCCGACCTCGCGCCCGAGCGCCGCCACCGCCTCGGCCTGCGGACCCGCGCGTGCCGCCGCGGGGACGACGCCGTCGAAGCGGGAGAAGACGAAGTTCATGCACCGGTTGACGTAGTTGCCCAGGTTCGCGAGGAGCTCGGAGTTGTTCTTGCGCGCCAGGTCGTCCCACTGGAAGTCCGAGTCGGCGGACTCGGGGCGGTTGGACAGCAGGTAGAACCGCCACACCTCCACGGGAATGCCCGTGTCGCGCGCGTCGCCGCCGAACACGCCCGTGCCGCGCGACTTGGAGAACTTGCCGCCCTCGTAGTTCAGGTACTCGGTCACGCTGATGCGGTGCATCATCGTCCAGTCGCCGCCCGTGCCCAGGAGCGTGCACGGGAAGATGACCGTGTGGAACGGGACGTTGTCCTTGCCCATGAACTGCACGAGCTCGACGTCGCGCGGGTTCTTCCACCACCGCTCCCACTCAGTCGTGTAGTTCGCCGTGATGCTCAGATACCCAATCGGGGCGTCAAACCACACGTAAAAGACCTTGTCCTGGAGCTCCTCGAGCGGGACGCGCGTGCCCCACTTCAGGTCGCGCGTGATGCACCGCTGCTTGAGCCCGTCGCGGATCCACGCGTGCGTCGTCGCCAGGCAGTTGGCCGACCACCCCCCCTGCGCCGACGCCGCCTCGACGTACTTCTTCAGCTCCCCCTCCAGCTGCGGGAGGTCGAGGAACGCGTGCTTCGTCTTGCGCATCACCGGCTTGGTCCCTGCGAGCGGAGCGGAGAGCCCATTTCGCGGTTGGTCGCAAGCTTCTTCTCCTGAGTTCTCCGACCTGCGGGCGTCGCGGGAAAGCTCGAACGCGCGGGAGATGGGTGCTGCTCACCCGTGAACTTGCACCGGGGCTCGATGAGCTCGGTGGGGTTGAGGAGGTTGCCGCAGCCGTCGCACTGGTCGCCGCGCGCGTCGTCGTAGCCGCACTTCGGGCACTTCCCGGACACGTAGCGGTCCGCGAGGAACTTCCCGAGCTTCTCCGAGTACAGCTGCTCCATCGTCTGCACGGACAGCAGCCCGCGCCCGTGCAGGTCCCGGAAGATGCCCTGCGCGATCTCCGTCTGCGCGCGCGTCGGCGTGCGCCCGAACTTGTCGAAGTCGATGTCGAACCACTCGTAGATCTCCGCGTGGATCGCGTGGAAGTGGTCGCACAGCTCCTGCACGCGCCCAGGAACGAAGCAAACGCGTCAGCGACCACAACCACGCCACACAAGGGGGGGGAGTGTCGGGGGGGTGTTGCTCTCACGTGGTGCTCTCACGGCGCGACGCCCGGGACGGGCGGGAGCGCGAGCGAGCTGCCACACGCAGCGGCCGAGCGAGCTGCCGCACGCGGTGCTGGCGGCGTTCGGCCGCGCGGTGACGGTGTGTTCCCGCACCTGTTCCGTGACTCCCATCTCGATGGCGCGCGTCTCGGTGGCCGTGCCGTACTCGTCCGTGCCGCAGACGTACAGCGTGTTGTATCCGCGCGCCCGGCAGAACCGCGAGAACGCGTCCGCGGACAGCACGCACCCGATGATGTTGCCCAGGTGTGGCACGTTGTTCACGTACGGCAGGGCCGACGTGATCAAGATGTTCTTCGCGCCGGGAATCGGAGCCTTCGGGTGGTGCTGCAGCGCGGCCGCGCGGTCCTCCGCGACGACTGCGGGCCCGCGAAAGGGTGCGGCTGGTGGGTGCGGCTGCCACACGAGAGAGGGCTGCGCGGTCCGAGGCGCGGTGTGGGGGGGGAGTCGCTCTCACCGTCCGCGACGGCGTCCATCGGGTACTTGTCGTCCTTGTAGCCGCAGGCGGCGAGGACGGACTGGACGTACGCGGCGGCAGCGCCGCCCGCGGGCAGCGGGGCGGCTGCGTGGAGGGTGCCGGCGATGACGACGTCGGCCAGGGTGTTCGGCTGGGCGTGGCCGGTGACGGAGGCGCCCTTCTTCACCGCGCCCTCCAGCTTCTTCAGGGCCGCGGCCAGGTCCGCGCCGGTGCCGTACACGGCGGGCCGCAGCACTGTCTCCTCCCATTCGCACCACGTCTCGACCAGGCCTGCGGGTGGTTCGATGCCACAGCGGCGCTCAACGAATGTAAGAACCTGCTAGACTGCACGCTGGTGGTATTCAACCCTCGGAACGGGACGAGAAGGCCACATTCGACGGATGGAGGAGTGCAGGTTGATGGGCGCGTGGCGGCGGGGGGGCGCCGCCTGGGCGCCGCGGCTCCCACGTCGTACTGGCATTGTGCCACTGCTTGCAGGCGGCGGCCCGATCAAACGTAGAATGCGCAGGTTCGGGCGGTGACGGGCCGCGCACCAGTTGCCTCCTTCGGCAAGACGCGCTCGCCGCCGACCCTGCGCGCGATCGCGTTCGGGTCCGAGAGCGACCCCGGCGCGTCTCCGTCGACGAGGAGGAGCGGAAATTCCTGCGGGGGCGCCGGGCCGGCGGGCGCGCAGTGCGCAGCAGCTGCCTCCCTGCCTGGCGCCACAGCGTCGATCGTGAGCTTCGCGCTCCCCGCCGCCAGGACGGCCTTCAAGGCCTGCGGATCGCTCTTCCTACACTTGAGCTTCATCTTGGGCACCGGGAACTCGCGCGAACGGCCCCTGCGCCGGCGCATTGAGCCCAAACCTCACTGCATGCAGTCTGTCATGGGGTGGCGGAGGCGGCACCGGCCCTGGCCGCCACGTGCCAGCGCCGCGCGGCGCCAACCGACCGTCCCGTGCCCCGGGAACCGCTCCGCAGAGCGTCCGGCACCTCGAAACCGGGATAGCCTCGACTTTGTCATGTCACAAGTGCCAACACCTTTTTCCTGCATACATGAGTCGCGCCGCTGCGTGTGCGGGGTCCGCTCACGTGCATGCGCTCGCGCTCAATGCTGTCGCTGCGGTGAAACCATGCTGTCGCCGCGCCCGTGTCCGCGGCGCTGGAGGTGTCGCGCACGCACTGGTATAAAACTTGACCGTTGATGTCGACGGCTTCGTGTCGGTTGCGACGCGGGCGATGGCGGCGGCTTCGTGCGCGCGAGCGCTAGTACTGTTGCAGCGCTGAGCGTACGCGGGACCGCGCAGGGAGGTGCCGTGCATGCACAACAGGGTGCGTTGGTGCGTGCGCCCCCGCAGAGCGGCAGATTCGGCGCTCGTTGGGCCGCCGTTTCCGAGGCTGACCGTTAGAGAGTGATAAACCCTGGGGCGTGTCGGTCATGGCGTTTGAGGGGTCCGCGCGCGTGCTTGCGGCCGCGGCTGAGGTGAGACCATGACCATCCGTGCGGGCCCGAGCACCTGCCCCGCCGTGCAGCGTTGATTGCGGGACGAGCTCAGTCTCTACGGCACGATGTATCCTCACAGGTGGCGAAGTCGGAGCCCGCGGACGACAAGATAGTCAGCGCCCAGATACTGATCCTCTGGGTCCTCTTGCTGGTGTGCCGCCCAGGCCGTCGCTCGCCCCCCGCACGTCCCCCGCACGTCCCCCGCATCGCCAGCGCCACGGCCCGCTCAGCCGCCAGGATCGCTTCCGTGCCGGTGTCCCCCAGGTGTGCGTCATCGTCGCCTACTTCATCAAGCGCTACCGAGTGACGGCGATCACGCCCTCCGCAGCCGCGCTCCTCATCGGCATCCTGTTCGGCGCAGCGCTGCGTGCTGCTCCGAAACTGCAGGACTTGGCGGAGGTGCGTTGTATTTGTTGTTCGCGCAGGCCGTTGTACGGGCGGCTCACGACGCCCACGGCGCACGCGTGACGCGCCGCGCCCAGCCCGCACCAGCTTCCCCAGGCCGCGACGCCGCCGTGGCGTTGCAGCGGGCGGTCGCGCACGCCATTGCAGCAGCAGGTGCTGCGCGGGCCGCAGTCGCGCACGTCCCCCACCACGCCACGCCCCACCCCGCGCAGGGCCTCCGGTTCGACGCCCAGATCTTCTTCTACGGGCTGCTCCCGCCGATCGTCTTCGGCGCGGGCTTCAACCTCAAGAAGCGCTCGTTCTTCCGCAACGGGTTCGAGATTCTGTGTCTGGCCGTGCCGGGCACCTGCATCTCCGCGCTCCTCTTCGGCGCCTCCACCATGGCGCTCAGCAAGGTCGGCGCCATCGACCAGGCGCTCCTCGGCAAGAAGCCGTACGTCACGTCCATGATCTACGGCGCCCTCATGGCGGCGACGGACCCCGTGGCGACGCTCTCGGTCTTCGACGGCGTGGCCGTCCCGAGCACGCTGTACAGCCTCGTCTTCGGCGAGGCCGTCCTGAACGACGCCGTCGCGCTCGTGCTCTTCAAGGCCTTCGTGGAGTACTACAGACTCCCCCCGGAGGAGTCCGAGATCTCCGGGTGGGCCTCGCTGGCCAAGGACGGCCTCGACATCGCGGCGCGCAGCGTGGGGATCATGCTCGGGTCCTTCGCGGTCGGCGTCACCATCTCCCTCGCCGCCGCGCTCCTGCTCCGCCGCCTAGCCATGTCGCGCGCCGAGTACGAGATGGACGGCTCCATGTACGTCGCGCGCTCCCGATCGTCCGCGCCCCGCCGCGAAGCTGCTGCACCTGCCGTTGACCCGCACGCAGTCCCCGCAGCACATGCACGGCGCCATTTCAGCCAACGCAACAGTCGGCGCGGTGTGCGGCCGACGGCGCAGACCTGAAACGTTCGCCGCCGCACCGAGCCGCATGGGTGCACCCTCGGCGCTCGCCCTCGCGGTGCCCGCTGGCCCACGCTCGCTGGGTACGCGTCGGCAGTGGCATCGCGGAGGTACCTGTGCACTCACATGTGTGTGTGCCTCGTGCGCCGTGCAGGTACGAGGCCTGTCTCGTCGCGCTGAGCGGCTACATGGTGTACCTCGCCGCGGAGGCGCTCGAGCTGTCCGGCATCGTGGCGCTGTTCTTCGCCGGCGTCGTGCACTCGCACTACACCTACTACTCGCTCCACGCGGACGCCGCGGTCACGCTGCGCCGCATGGTCGACTCCGGCGCCTTCCTGTGCGAGATCTTCGTCTTCGGGTACATGGGCACGCAGCTCGTCGGCGTCCGGCACGTGTGGGACATCGGCCTTGTCGCCAGCGTCATCCCGCTGTGCCTGCTGACGCGCGCGGCGAACGTCGTCCCCATGACGGCGCTCGCGCAGTGGGCTACGAAGCGCTGGCTCCCGGCGAACATCCGCGTCATGCAGTGGGCGTCGGGGCTGCGCGGCGCCATGGCGTATGGCATGGCGGTCAACATGCCCAGTTTCGACCCCTACCACTCCGACGAACGCACCGCGAACCCCGCGATCGAGAGCACCGTGCTCTTCGCCGCCGTGTTCAGCACGCTCGTGTTCGGGTCCGCCACGCGCCCGCTCCTCAACCTGCTGGGACTCAACCTAGACCACAGGGACGTGCGGCCCGCGGGGGCGCGCCCGCGGCCGACGGGCGACGCGCCGTCGGAGCGCGGGCGGCCCGGGGGCGCGGACCGCGTCAGCGACCGCAGGCGAGCCTCCCCGTCCGCTGCCCCGTGGCACGTGCGCGGGCACCGGCGGCCCCGCGCACGCTGCCGTGGACGGCTCGCGCGCTGTTCGCGCGGCGGGCACGTCGCTTCGTGCCACGCTGCAGCTCACGCGGGTCGCTCTCGCGGATCCCGAGGCGCCCGCATTCGACCGCCTCGTGCATGGCATGCAACGCCCGCTCGGATGACCAGCAATCGAGAATTCACAAGTACGACGAAACATTTCACCCTTCCTGCAACCCACGCGTGCAGGAGCCTCTCGCCCGTCTCGCGCGACTCCACGCTCACCCGCGGCGCCGCCGTCTCCGCGCACGGCCCCGCGCCGCCGCGCAGCAAGCCGCCGCGCCGCAAGACCCGCGGCCTCCTCCTCTGGTGGCGCAACATCGACGAGAAGGCCATGAAGCCCCTCTTCGGAGGCCTCCCACGCAAGTCCGGCAACCCCGCCGCGGCCGCCGCCGTCGCCGCGGGCCAGGCGCCGCCGCCCGTGCGGCCCCCGATCCGTTCGTTCCTCTCCTTCCGCCGCGAGCTCGGCGCCGCGCTGCTCGGCCGCGTGTCGACCTCCGTCGACGCCCCCGCGGACGCGCGCCCGTCGGTCAGCACGGAGCCGACCCCGCGGCCCGCGCCGCAGCGGGAGGTGTCGTGGCGGCACGGTCCGCACTACCACGACGCGGGCGGGTGCTTCCCCGAGGCGGAGTCGGAGTCGGACGACGACGAGGTGGCGGGCGACGCGCGACAGGGCGCCGGGGGGTACACGATGTCCGCGGTGATCGAGGGCGACGAGGAGGCCGGGGAGGGGCTGGGCGAGGGGCTGCGCGAGGCGCTGCTGCGGGGCGGGGGCGCGGGCCCGGGCCCGGCGTGACGAGAGGTGCTGATTTTGCGGGGGATGTGAGGCGGGAGTTGCGGGCGCACAACGGATGGATTTCGCCGCGAGCGCATCGAGGCCGCGGCGGCGGAGACTGAGGTGGGCGTGTCGGGTCGCGGCGGGGGTTTTGGGCTCGACGCGGGAGCGCGCGGCAAGCTGAGGCTCACGCCCGACGGCGAGGCAACAGGCCCCGGGCGTCCCGCTGCGCGTATAGGCGGCGCCGCGCGGCGCGCCGTCGTCACTCTCCGATCACTGGTGTGATGGGTCGTCGCGCCGCTCTCGGAGCTGCTCGCGTCTTCGGCCGCACGGCCTCCCGCGGGGCGGGGGCCGAGGCTGGCCTCGCCTCGTCTGCGGCCGCGCAGGCTCGGCAGGTCGCGACCCTCAACGCCGCGCTCGCTGCGGCCGGCTTGAAGGGTCTGAAGGGTACGCGACCCGCGCAAACGCCGTCGTCGGCGCCCAGGCGCGCCGTGGGCTGCCCTTCCGTTGCCCCCAGCGCTTGACTGCGGCGCTCCGGCGGCCTTCCCGCGCCCGCGCGCCCCGGACGCCCTCCTCGACAATCATGTTCCCCGAGCATCCGCGCGGTTACGCCCGGACTCCGCGCAGCAGCGCCCCCGCGGCGGTCTCCCTGTGCGAGCATGGTAGAGAGCGCCTCGCGGCGTCGATCCCCCACGCTCTCCTCATTGGACCGCGCCAACCGCGCACTCGCAGGTCTGAATGAGGCCCTCGCCGCCGCGAACGCGGCCCGCGGCATCCGCGAGGTCTCCACGGACGCCCTCAAGCCGCTGGACAAGTGAGCTCAAGCGCCCCCACCCGCGCGCGCTGCCCGCTCCCGCCCGCCACCCCGCGGGCCCCGCAGACCCCGGCCCTCCCGCCACGCAACCCGCTCCGAAAACACAGCATTCGCGGCACCCAGCGCGCCCCGCTGCCCCGCGACCTCCAACCTGGCTTTGACAAACGCCACATCGCCCAAACCGCGCATTGTCCGCCAACTCCGCGGCCCCGACAATCCGCCGCCGCGCCCCGCGCCCCGCCCAGGGCCCGGGCTCGCCGCTCCGCGCGCCTTTCGCCCCGCCCGCCCGCCACATTGCGCACGCGGCGCCCCCTTCAATCCTCCCACGCCCCACCTCGCGCCCGCCCAACCGCCGTATCCGCCCTTTTCCACGCCCAGGGCGCCGCCCCGCGGCTCCCCGGCGAGCGCGGGCGGCTCCGGCGCCTGGCGCCCTGTCGCCCGCCCCGCGGCCCGTGCGTCCGCCCCTCGCGCGGTCCGCGCGGCCCTAGACTGCCCACCACTCGACGCGGCGCAGCCTCGTCCGCGCCCCCCGGGCCCGCCCGCGCCCTGCTGCGCCGATGGCGATCGCCCACCCCTCGCGCGTCGTTCGGCCCCGCTTCCCCGCAGGTTCGCGCCGCGCCACAACTCGATCCGGCCCCACGAGATCGACGAGATGCTCAAGACGTGCGGGTTTGACTCGCTGGACGCGCTGGTGGACGCCACCGTGCCGGACTCGATCCGCCGCACCGACGGCATGGACCTCGGCAAGAAGGCCTACACCGAGGGCATGAGCGAGTCGCAGTTCATCACGGTGCGCCGCCCCGCGGCACGCTGCACCGCGGTGCCCTCGCAGATCGCGGCCAGCGCGCGACGCCCCCCGGCCGCGCGAGCGCGCCCGCCCACGCGCACCTCGGCTCCCCGCCCTCGCGCCCGCGCAGATGTTCAAGAAGATGGCGGAGAAGAACGTGGTGGCCAAGAACTTCGTGGGGATGGGCTACCACGGCACGCACACGCCCGCCGTGGTGCTCCGCAACCTGCTCGAGAACCCCGGGTGGTACACGCAGTACACGCCGTACCAGGCGGAGATCTCCCAGGGCCGCCTCGAGTCGCTGCTCAACTTCCAGTCCATGGTGACGGACCTGACGGGCATGCAGCTCTCCAACGCGTCGCTCCTCGACGAGGCCACCGCCGCCGCCGAGGCCATGACGATGTGCTCGGCCATCGCGCGCGGGAAGAAGCCGAAGTTCCTGGTCTCGGAGCTGTGCCACCCGCAGACGATTGCGGTGTGCCAGTCGCGCGCCAAGGGCCTGGGCCTCGAGTGCGTCGTCGGCGACCACAACTCGTGGGACCTCACCGCCAAGGACGTGTGCGGCGTCCTCGTGCAGTACCCCGCGACCGACGGCGCGGTGCTCACGTACGACGACGTGGTGGCCAAGGCGCACGACAACAAGATTCTGGTGTGCGCCGCGACGGACCTGCTCTCGCTGACGATGCTCAAGCCGCCCGGCGAGTGGGGCGCGGACATCGTGATCGGGTCGGCGCAGCGGTTCGGCGTGCCGATGGGCTACGGCGGCCCGCACGCCGCCTTTCTGGCCTGCTCGGAGGAGCACAAGCGCCTCATGCCCGGGCGCATCATCGGCGTGTCGCGCGACGCGACGGGCAAGGTCGCGCTGCGCATGGCCATGCAGACGCGCGAGCAGCACATCCGCCGCGACAAGGCCACGTCGAACATCTGCACGGCGCAGGCGCTCCTGGCCAACATCGCGGGCATGTACGGCGTGTACCACGGCCCCGACGGGCTCCGCAACATCGCCAAGCGCGTCAACACCTTCGCGCACGTGTTCGCCGCCGGCGTCGCCAAGCTCGGCCACACGGTCCCCGCGCAGCCCTTTTTCGACACGGTCAAGGTCAACGTCGGCGCGGGCAAGGCCGCGGCCGTCGCGGAGACGGCCAAGGCGGCGGGCATCAACATCCGCGTCCTCGACGCGGACAACGTGACGTGCGCGTTCGACGAGACGCACTGCGCGCACGACCTCGACGCGCTCTTCGCGGTGTTCAACGGCGGCGCGCCCGCGCCCTTCACGGCCGAGGGCCTCTGCGAGGGCGTCGAGCCGGGCTTCTCGGGCGCGCTGAAGCGCGAGACGGCCTTCATGCAGGAGCCCATCTTCAACGACATCAAGACGGAGCACGAGATGCTGCGCTACCTCAAGCGCCTGGAGAACCGCGACCTGTCGATGGTGCACTCGATGATCCCGCTCGGGTCGTGCACGATGAAGCTGAACGCGACCTCGGAGATGCTCCCCATCACGTGGGGCGAGCTCGCCAACATCCACCCCTTCGCGCCGCTGGACCAGACCCAGGGCTACCAGGAGATGTTCAAGGACCTCGCGGCGCAGCTGTGCTCGATCACGGGCTTCGACGCCATGTCGCTGCAGCCCAACTCGGGCGCCTCGGGCGAGTACGCCGGCCTGATGTCGATCCGCGCGTACCACGAGTCGCGCGGCGACGGGCACCGCAACATTTGCATCATCCCGGTGTCGGCGCACGGGACGAACCCGGCGACGGCGGTCATGACCGGGTACAAGATCGTGCCGGTCGGCGTGGACGCGAAGGGCAACGTGAACATCGAGGAGCTGCGGAAGAAGGCCGAGCAGCACAAGGATCACCTGGCGGCGCTCATGATCACCTACCCGTCGACGCACGGCGTGTACGAGGACGGCATCGACACGATCTGCGACATCATCCACGAGCACGGCGGGCAGGTGTACATGGACGGCGCCAACATGAACGCGCAGGTCGGCCTGACGTCGCCCGGGCACATTGGCGCCGACGTGTGCCACCTCAACCTGCACAAGACCTTCTGCATCCCGCACGGCGGCGGCGGCCCGGGCATGGGCCCGATCGGCGTGAAGGCGCACCTCGCGCCCTTCCTCCCCACGCACCCCGTGATCCCCACGGGCGCGTACCCGGACTTCAAGGGCGACGACAAGTCCTTCGGCGCCATGGCCGCCGCGCCGTACGGCTCCTCGCTCATCCTGCCCATCTCGTACGCGTACATCTCGATGATGGGCTCGAAGGGCCTGGAGATGGCGTCGAAGCAGGCCATCCTGAACGCGAATTACATGATGAACCGCCTGGGCAAGCACTACAACGTGGTCTTCACGGGCAAGAACGGCACGTGCGCGCACGAGTTCATCATCGACATCCGGCCCTTCGAGGAGTCGACGGGCGTCGGCGCCGAGGACATCGCCAAGCGCCTGATCGACTACGGCTTCCACGCGCCCACCATGTCGTGGCCCGTGCCCGGCACGCTCATGATCGAGCCCACGGAGTCGGAGAGCAAGGCCGAGCTCGACCGCTTCTGCGACGCGATGATCTCCATCCGCGCCGAGATCGAGGAGATCGCGCAGGGCCGCTACTCGCCCGACAACAACGTGCTCGTCAACTCGCCGCACCCCGCCGACGAGGTGCTCTCGGACGCCTGGGACAAGCCGTACCCGCGCGAGAAGGCCGCGTACCCGGCGCCCTGGACGCGCATCGCCAAGTTCTGGCCCACGACGAAGCGCGTGGACAACGTGTGGGGCGACCGCAACCTGATCGCCAAGCACAAGGCCATCCCCAAGGACATGGAGGTCGCCGCCATGGACGCCATGGCCGTCGCCTCGGGCTCGAGCTAAACGGCCAGCTCCGCACGCAGACTCTCTCGCCGCGCAGACTCTCGCAGACTGTTGCGCTGCGCCGCTTGTAAGCACACACGACACGTTGGTCTCTTCGTCACACGCTCACACGCACGCACGGCTGTCGTCGGGCCGCGCCCCCTAGGCCTGGGCGGCGAGCTCCTCGTGCACGACCCGCACGGAGGTGTTGTCGACCTTGAGCGGCTCCTCCGCGCGCCCCCCGAGGTGCTTGGCCAGGAACTGCTCGGTGCGCGAGTAAAAGTCCATCCGGTTGGGCGGGCGCGCGAACCCGTGGCCCTCGTCCTCGTACAGCAGGTACTCCACGGCGAGCCCCTTGGCCTTCATCGCCTCGTAGATCTGGTCCGACTCGGCCACCTTGACGCGCGGGTCGTTGCGCCCCTGCCCAATGAGCAGCGGCGCGGCGATCTTGTCCACGTGGAACAGCGGCGAGATCTTCTTGTTGACCTCCTCGTCGCCCTCCACGTCGCCGACGCGCTGGATCAGCTGCTTCTTCATCGGCTTCCAGTACGGCGGGATGCTCTCGAACAGCGTCTTGATGTGCGAGGGGCCCACGATGTCGACGCCGCAGCAGTAGAGCTCCGGCGTGAAGGTGAGGCCCGCGAGCGTCGCGTACCCGCCGTAGCTGCCGCCCATGATGGCGACCTTCTTCGGGTCGGCGATGCCCTGGTCGATCGCCCACTTGACGGCGTCGGAGAGGTCGTGCTGCATGGTGCCCTGGCCCCACTCGCCGTCGCCCTTGTGCAGGAACGCCTTGCCGTACCCCGTGCTGCCGCGGAAGTTGACCTGCAGGACGGCGTACCCGCGGTTGGCCAGCCACTGCGGCTGCGGGAGGCAGCCCCAGCCGTCGCGCGCCCACGGCCCGCCGTGCACCAGCAGCACCAGCGGCACGTTCTTCGCCTCGGCGCCGTCGGCGAGCACGGGCCGCGTGAGGTACGCCGGCAGCGTCAGGCCGTCGCGCGCGGGCACCTCCACGCACTCCATGGGCGCCAGCTTGAACTCGTCCAGCTCCGGCGTCGACGTGAACAGGAACTCCGTGCTCTTGCTGCCGTCCGACCCGCGCTTGTACAGGTAGAACGCCGTCGACCCCACGTCCCTGCACGCACGCGGCGGGCCACGCGGATGGTCGTTGGCCGGGGCGGGGAGGGGGGGGGGTTGTGTGGGTTCGTGCGCGTGTTGAGGGTCGCGGGGCGCTTGCCTGGAGAAGGCGACGACCCAGGTGGTGTCGTCGTTGCTGCGCGACATGACGGAGGGCTCGGCGTCGGGCACGACCGAGCGCAGGTACTCGACGTCGGCCTTGACGGTGTCGTCCAGGAAGGTCCACTCGCGCTTGTGGTAGTTGAAGCCCACGGCCTGCACGACGCGCGCCTCCTCGTCGACGATCGTCGCGCCGGCGTCGCACCGCGCGTCCTGCGCCACCTCGGCCGAGATCGACCCGTCCTTGGTCGACAGCTTGACCAGGCGCCCCGTGTCCGACCCGATCGACGTCGACGCGTAGATCTCGTCGCCGGCCTTGCTGAACATCAGCGGCGAGCCGACCTCGTCGTGCGGCCACGTGTACAGGTCGCGCCACTCGGCGTCGACCGTGTCGCGCACGCGCAGCGTCTTGCTCCCGTCGGCGGGGTTCATCGTCATGCACCCGCGCACCGCGAGCTCGTCGTCCGTCATCCACGACAGCACGTCGCCCGGGTTCTCCGCCACCATCTCGGCCTCGCCCGTCGCCACGTCCACCTTGTACATGTCGAACAGCTGCTCGTTGCGCCGGTTCATGCCCACCAGGACCACGCCCGGGAACTTGCGGTCCGCGGCGAGGTTCTGCGCGCGGACCTTGTCGCCGGGCGTGAGGTCGCGCGCCTCCCCGCCCTCGATCGGGCACGCCCAGAGGTGGAAGTTCTCGTCCCCGCCCACGTCCTGGAGGTAGAGCATGTGCTTGCCGTCCTCGGCAAACATGAACTGCCGGATGCCGCGGTGCGTGTCGTTCGTGACCTGGCGGTCGTCGTCCTTGCCGACCGTGCGCACCCACACGTTGAGCACGTCCTCCTTGGACGGCGCGAGGTAGGCCAGGAACGTGCCGCAGGGGGAGATGGTCGGCGACGTGCGGACCGGGTTGCCGAACAGCGTCTTCAGCGGGATGATCTTCTCCGCCATGTCGAGGGCCGCGGCGCGCGGGGCGGCCGCGAGGCGGCGGGCGGCGACGTGCCGCGGGGCGGAGAAGGGCGCCGGGAGGCGCCGCGGTGCGGGGCGCGCCCGGGGACCGGGCGGCGACGCGGGTCGCGGCGCGGACGAGCGGAGCTGCGGACGGGATCGGGCGGGGCCGAGGGACGTCGGTGCCGCGCGGGGGGCGGTCGCGCGGCGCGCACGGGTGCGCTGGAGCGGCGGCGCGTGTGTGTGGGCGTGGCGGGGGCAGCGGGGCGCACCAGTGGACCGGTCGAGCCGGTTCGACGCAGCTGCACGGATAATACGTCCCGAAGTGGCGATCATCTGCAGCGTTCAAGGCGCGGGCGGGGCGTGGATTGGCGGGAGCCTTCCTGGCCGCGAGGAGCCTCGCACGGGGCGGGGGGGCGGCGCCGTGGCGATGGCGGCGCGCGGGCGGCACGTGGGGGTGCGAGAGAAGGCGTGGAACCAGGAGACGCGGCGCGGCGACCGAAACAAGCTCGCGGTTCGCGCCGCAAACGGATGGCACGGAGCGCAGGCGAGAGGCGGGCCGAGTGCGCGGCGCGGGGGGCGTGGCGCACCTCAGTGGCGATCCCCAGACACGGATATGAGGCGCAGCGCGGCATCGCGACCGCAGGAAGGCGGCGGGAGCGGAGCGAGGCGACAGCAAGCCTGACGTTGGTGCGGGGCGGTCGCGCTCAGCTGTGGGCGCTGGGACGCTGCCTTTCTGGGACTCGCGGAGTGTTTGGCTTGCGTATTTGGTGGGCAAAGAAGCAATATACCGCGCCACGGAGGTTCGTTTGTCGCGCGTGCGGTGCGGCGAGTGTCGCAGGCCTGTCTGAGCCTCCACGCGCCCGCGCGCCCTCCTCCGACTCCGAATTTCGTGCCCGGGGCTCAAAAGGCTTTGGATCTTCCGAGCGTGATTCGAACACGCGACCCCGGGATTACCGGCGAGCGCAGCAGCACGCCGCATGCTCCAGCCTCGAGAGGGCCGGTTCGCCCTCGTCGAAGACTCATATTCATCCTTTACAGTCCCATGCTCTTCCAACTGAGCTATCGGAAGATACATCATGTCTCCAGAACGGAATTTTGTACTATTCGCATCAGTATTAGTTGATTACTGCAGCAACATGCCTTGACACTGAAGGGTACGAAAAATCAACGTGTTCAGACGCCTCCTCTCTCAAAATTCTTCCGTATGCTATCTGAAACATCTCAAACAGTCAGACATCAAACAAGCCGGCTGAAGACGTTGAATGACTGCCACAGGAAACGACGGCACTGATGACACCTTGCTCCCGGTGCACAGCGCAACCCCATCGGACGCCTCCCACGCTTCAACATGCGCTACACGCACAAATTGACGCGAACGAGGACCTCATGTGGCTCTGCGCACACGGAGTCGGCCTTGATGTGACCCACCCGCACACGTTCTATTCTGTTTCCCAACACGTTCCCGACTCACCTGCGCCGCTGAGCCCTCGCCCCTCCGCTTGCGCACGCATCCTCTGCCTTTCTCGCAATGTGCGCTGCTGGAATTCACCACGCACGACCCCAGACTCATCTCTTCAACCCCCTCACACCGAGCTGCGCCGGTCTCGACTCCCGGCCCCCCCCGAAAGATGCCCGACCACCACACGGGGGTCGAACTCCCCCCGTGCAGGTGGCGCTGCACCGCTGCACCGCGGCGGGTGCGCCACGGCACATCGCCTTGCTCGAATCGATGCGAACGTTCGTCAGTGCTGACCCGCCGTCTTTCTCAGTCGTCATACGCAGTGCGTCGCCGGCTCCGGCGCCGCCCGTGACGGACGGCGATCGATCGGCGCAGGCAGCCCCGAGCATGCAGCGTGCGCCATGCGCATCGCGCCGCACGCGTGTCGGCCACCGCAGTCGGGCAGGACTTGATTGGGGGGGGGTCCCACACGCACGCGTCGGCGGGGTCTCGGGCGGCGCGGGCGCGCGCGCACCGCAGAAACCGCGTGCGAGGCGTGCACGTGCGCGGCGTGGTGCGTGTTGCGGCAGAAACCGGGTGGCTCGAGCAGGATGCCTCCGCCAGAGGGGGACGCCCCGGAGCGCATCCCCGTGCTGATGCTGTCGGGGTTCCTGGGCGCCGGGAAGACCACACTACTGAGACACATCCTCACGAACAACGAGGGCTTCAAGGCACGCGCCCAGCGACCGTCGCGCGCCCCCCCGCCCTGCTGCCGCCTAGCACGGCGCCCGCGGGACCGCGCGCGACGCCCTGCGCGCCCCCCGCGGATGCCTGCAGATCGGCTGCATCGTCAACGACGTCGCCGCGATCAACGTGGACGCCAAGCTCGTCAAGAAGACCGACCTGCGGCAGGACGAGGGCGCCCAGCGCTCCACGGCAGACCTCGCCGACACGCTCGAGCTCCAGAACGGATGCGCCTGCTGCTCGATCCAGGACGAGCTGCTCGACAGGTGCGCGCGCAGCCGCTGCGTCGTCCGCGGCCAGACGGACTGGCCGAGACGATGATCACACAGACCCACAACCGGTGTCTCTTTCGTTCGGTGCAGTTTCCGGCAGCTGGTCCGCCTGGGCAAGCAGCGCGGCGAGCCGTTCCAGTGGCTCGTCCTGGAGAACAGCGGCGTCGCGGAGCCGCAGAACATCCGCGACGTGTTCCAGGAGGCACAGGTGAATGAAGCCCGAATCATTCGCTCGATGCGCGGGCGCGTCGCACGCGAGCGGCCGCGACACAGCGCGTCCCCGTACCCGCATCGCAGGACAACGGGGACCCGCTGATGCGCGAGGTGGAGCTGGCGACGATGGTGACGGTGGTCGACGCGGGCAACTTCCAGCGGGACTTCGCGTCCAAGGCGCCGCTCGTGTCGCGCCCGGACCTCGGCGACGGCGGCAACTTCCGCCCCGTCGTGGACCTCCTCGTCGAGCAGGCACGGCGGCCACGGCACACCCCCCCCTCCCCGCATCATTTCGTTCGCACGCATCCGCCCGTGCTCATGGGGAACCCGGCCCGCGCTTGCAGATCGAGTGCTCCGACACCATCCTGATCAACAAGATCGACCTGGTCAAGGGCGACAAGGCGCTGGCGTCCCTGCGCGCCATCGTGTCGTCGTTCAACCCCATGGCCGAGTGCCTCGCGGTCGAGCAGGGCCGGTGCCCCATGCACGTCCTCTTCGACCGCAAGCGCCCCGCGCTCATGGCCGGCCTCACCTCCGAGGGGCAGCACAAGGGCGCCGTCGCCGCAGCGCGCGCCGCCGACGTTGGCGGGGCCTGCGACCACGCGCACGGCGGCGAGGGGCCCTGCACGACGTGCGACGCGCGGCGCGGGCGCGGCGGCGCGACGACCGCCGCGGTGCGCTTCGGGATCACGTCGTTCGTGTACGAGCGGCGGCGGCCCTTCCACCCGCAGCGGCTGCGCCGGACGGTCCTGCGCTGGCTCCCGAGCACCGCGGCGCTCAAGCCCAGCGCGGGGGACGCCGCGGAGGACGCGGCGCAGGGCCAGCCCGGCGACAGCCCGCTGCAGCGCGTGCTGCGCAGCAAGGGCTTCTGCTGGATGTCTAACAGCCACTCGAAGGCGTACTTCTGGTCGCACGCGGGGCAGCACTTCGAGATGCGGGACGAGGGCGACTGGTGGGCGTCGGTGCCCGAGGCCGAGTGGCCCGCGGACGCCGCCGGCCGGCTGTCCATTGCGCGGGACTTTGACCTGGCCGCGTACGCGCCCGACGGCGGCGCGCGGGCCGACGTGGCGCTGCCGCCCGGGGACCGCCGGCAGGAGGTCGTGTTCATCGGCGCCGGGATGGACGAGGCCGCGATCGCGTCGGCGCTCGACGAGTGCCTCCTGACCGACGACGAGCTCGCGCTGTACCACGAGAACTGGGGGCGTCTCAGAGACCCCGGGGGGGAGTCCGTGCGGGCCGCCGTGGCGCAGGCGATCGCGCAGAAGCAAGCGGCGCAGTCGTGAGGATGGGAAAGCGTTTGTTTCGCGATGTAACACGCGACTCCCTGGCTGTCAGACCATGCAACCTGACAGACGGTGGCGCGCGCCTTCTTGCGCCCCTGTGGCGGCGGCCCGCGTGCACACCGCGCTCGCAGCGGAATCGCCGCGTGCAAGCCGGCGTTGGCTTCACCTCGACGCCACAGCGAGGCCCCGCGCAGGGGTTCCCGCCCGCCTCGCTCCGCCCGGCGTCGCGCCCACGCGGGTTCATTTTCCGAGTTTCCGCGCGTCCGGTGCTCGAGGAGCAAACAGGTGAGCCACGCGAGGCGTCCCGGCCCGCCTGACCCCCACGAGCGGCGGCCGGAGCGCCCCCCGCGCAGGCCCAGCTTGACGTTCGTGCTTGGCGCCCGCTGCCCGCGCCGCGCGACGCGATGGACCGCGCAACCCCACGCGACGCGCTTCGCGACGCTCGACTCCGTGCTCCTGGCGGGCCCGAAGATCGGCTCAGGGCGCCGCTGCCCCGCTACGCAGCGCGCGTGTGCAAGTCCTGGTGGTCGCCCACCGGTGGAGGCGTTCGCGCTGCTCCGCGTCGCAGGTTTGGGCCGACGGCGCGCCTCTGTGACGCAGGGAGGGAGCCGGGCGCGCGAGGGACGGTCGCGGCGGGACGGGAGGGCGACAGATGGCGCCTCCCTCCAACTCCCAGCAACCGGCCCCGTCGCCCAAGGGCGCGCGGCGACGGGGGATATGGTCGGTCTGGAGCAGCGGATCGTACGCAGGGGCCCACAAGGGCCGGGCGGCGACGCCAACGGAGTCGGCGGACGACGGCCAGGCGCGGACGGAGGCGCACCCGGGCAGCAGCCCAGCTGTGCCCGCTGCGGGCGGAAAGCACGGCGCCGGGGGCGAGGCGGGCCCTGTGCGGTCGCACTCTCGCCCCGCGGCCGGGCAGGCCGCGCGGAGAGGCCAGAGCGTGCCGCACGAGGGGGCGACTGGTGCTGCAGCGAAAAGCGGGGCCCCCCGCAGCCTCGAGCCGGCCGCTTCGGGCAGCTCCTACCGGGACATGCTGGAAGCGCACATCAAGCAGGTGCGGCTGCGCCGCGACGGACGCCGGAACGCGGCGTCGTGCGTGAGCGCAGGCCCCGGATCCGTCCCCTTGTTCTGTTACCCCTCGCCGCGGGCCCCGCGGCCTCGCGTCCGCGCCAAGGAGCCGGTTTCCGAACCCCGTAGCTTCCAAGCACGCGCGCGCGCCGCTCCGTGACCGCCCTGCGTCCCGTTCCGAGACGCGTCGCCCGCCCTCTGCCTTGGAGACGCACCCCCTCTCTCGCGCGCGCAGCGCCGCGCCCGCGCCCCCGCCGCGCCCACCGTCCGCCCTCCGCGCCTGGATCTCCGCAGATGGAGGCCGACCAGCGGCGGTCCGAGGAGAACCGCCGCTCCCGCGCCGACAGCGACAGCCACAGCGACGCCGCCACGCCGCCCGTGGCCGCCGCCCGGCGCGCGCACCCGCCGTCGCCGCCGAGGGACGCCACGGGCTCCAAGTACGACGACTCCTGGGACATGGAGGAGGCCCAGATGAGCGCCCGGAAGTACCCCACTAGCTTCCAGATTGACGTCGAGGACTCGGGGGCGTACGTCAGCGGGCCGGAGGACCTCGACGCGGCGCAGTCGCGCACGCCCGCGGGCAACGACGCCGCGCCGGCGCGGCCCACCGTCCGGAGGCTCGACCTCAAGGGGGTGTCCCGGGGGGAGTCGGACACCGCGCCGGTGCCGGCGGGCCTCCCCGCGCCGTCGGCGTCGTCGTCGTCGGTCCCGACGACCGAGACGGACTTCAGCGAGGACGACGCGACGCCGCCGGGGCAGCCGCGGCCGCCGGAGCAGCCGTCGCGCGACGGCGCGCGCCGCACGCCGGGCAGCGCCGGGGTGAAGCCGGCGGGCGCGCGGCGTCCGGGAGCAGCGAGAAGCGCCGGAGGCCGGGCGCCCGCGCGGATCCCGCCGGGCGCTCGAGCCGCCCGCCGGCCACGGGCTTCGCGGGCCGCTTCCAGGCCAAGCTGGCCACGCAGGAGAGCGCGGGGGGGGAGTCCCCGGCGCGGGCGCCCGGGGTGCACTCGCGGGGCGCGTCGGGGTCGTTCTCCTCGTTCTCGCTGCAGAAGGCGCTCGGGCCGGACGCCGGCCGCGCCGCGGCGCAGGCCAGCGCGAGCCAGCGCACCTCGGCGGCGGGCGGCGGATCGTACGCTGCGGCCTTCGCGGCGCACCAGGTGTCCGTCGGGTCCGACGCGACGTCCCCCTCGGCGGGCCTTGGGCTGAACAGCGCGGACGAGGGCCGCACCGACGGCGGCGGCGCCCCGGCGGCGTCCCAAGACAAGGAGAAATGGGTCATGTCGCTGAAGCAGTGGATCGACGACCCCAACGAGGCCTCCAGGGCGCCGAAGGCCCTCCACGCGAGCCTGAGCGACGCTGCGGCGGTTGCAGAGGCGGCTGCGGCCGCGGCGTCGCCGAAGAAGAGGTCGGAGGGGGGGGGTTACGCGGCGGCGGGAGGGGCGTCGCCGATCCCGCCGAGCAAGATCCCGCGCCCGGGGTCGGCGCCCGGGCCGCGGACGTACGCGCACGAGCCCGCCGCGGCCGCCGCGCCGGCGCTGCCGCCCGTGCAGGAGGCGCCGACCGCCCGGCGGGCGCGGACCGCGGAGCAGGCGACGCGGCGGTGCCGGCGCCGGAGCCGAGCCCGGAGCCCGTTCTGCCGAGCAAGCCGCGGCCGCGCTCCGCTGCGTTGAGCCACCTCCGCGCGAGCGCCTCGGCGCGGCGGGGCCTGGTGCACGGCAACAGCGCGGGCAGCGCGCATCAGGCCGCGCCGCACCACAGCGTCTCCGGCGCGCTCCCGACGCAGACCCCCGAGGCGCAGCCGCGGCCCCTGTCGCCGCGCAAGTCCCAGATCGAGCACGAGACGCTCCTGGACGCTATGTCAGACATGGCGATCGACGAGCTCGTCCGCGAGGTCAAGGGCCTCGTCAGGGAGCTGTCCGAGGCGCCCCCGAGCGCGGAGCGCACGGACGACGCGGCGCACGGCGCGCGGAAGCACCGCACGCGGCTCGTGGAGCGCCTGGAGCGCGGGAGGGGTCTGTTGCAGGAGGAGAAGGCGAGGCGCGAGGGCGACCGGAAGGCGCCGGGGCCGGGCGCGCCGTCGCCGTCGGCGGACGCGGCGCCGGCGGAGGGGGCGGACGCGGCGCCGGCGGGAGGGGCGGACGCGGCGCCGGCGGAGGGGCGGCCGCGCTGAGCATCGTGCCGCCGGCGCGCCGCTCGCTGGGGTCGGTGCAGCCGGTGGGGGCCGGCGGGGACGCGACGCGCGACCCCGCGACGCTCATGTCGCCCGGGACGTCCGCGGCGCCGTCCACGGAGGCGTCCACGCGGCACCGCGAGAACGACAGCCCGTCGTACAGCTCCGTGCTCGAGCCGCGCTCGCCCGCCGTGGCCGGCGACGCGACGGCGGAGGCGCGCAGCCTCCGCGCGAGCTCGAACCGCGCGAGCCTGCGCGAGCTCGGCCGCCGCATGACGCGCGACCGCCTCTCGAAACTCGGCGGAAACACCCCGACGCCGGGCACCACGCCCGCTGGCACGCCGGGGCCGTCGGAGCCCGCGCGCGCGGCCTCGCAGCCCACCACGCCGCAGCTCGCGCACCCGACCAGCCCGCCGGCCGCCAAGCCCGCCCCGGCGGCCCGGCCCGTGCCGGAGGCCGCGACTCCCCTCGCCAAGGCCATCGAGCAAGACCCCAACCTGTTCGACGCCGCGAAGGAGGCCCGGCGCGCGGCGCGGCCGCAGAGCGCGCGCGGCGGGCGCGGGGGCGCCCGCACGGCGGCGGGCGGTCCGCCGCGCGGGCGCATCATCAACGACAAGACGGACTGGAGCAAGGTGCAGTCCCGCACGAAGACGCGCCTCGACGACCGGTACATCCCGAAGAAGAAGGCCGGAGGCGGCGGGGAGGGCGGGGAGTACGTGGCCCCGCGGCCCGTGTGGGGCGCGGCGAACCGGGACTACTACACCATCCCGCGCAAGGAGGGCGGGCACTACAACGTGCTGCAGGGCACGGGCCACGCGCCCAAGCAGCAGGCCAAGGACGAGGAGAAGTGCGTGCACGCCCGCCGCGACTGTGCCCGCGGACCGCCCGCCGGCGCGGCAGTGTGTGCTGCGCGCATGGGAGCTTTGAAGCACGCCGTTTTGTTTTCGTTTCTTTCCGACTTTCATTCGCTTCGCTTGGTTTCTTCGTCTGGATCTCGACGACGCCGCCGCTTCCGACCTCTCCGACCCCCCGCTCAATACCCCCCCCGCAGGAAGGTGTTCTACTTCGAGGACCTCCAGGAGGAGCCGCCCGTGCCGCGCAAACGCAACTCCCTCAAACGCGGCGGCAGCGGGCGCGGCTTCGGGCAGTCCTCGTCCGGCGGCCGCCCCCGCCCCGCGAGCGCGGCCCCCGCCGCGCGCCCGGCCAACGCCCCCCCCGAGGCCCCCTACCGCGTCATGCTCTCGCACGGCCGCGAGTCCCGCGAAGAGGGCGGCCACGTGGTGCCCGTGCGCGCCACGACGTCGCTGCGCAACATGAACGCCCCCGCTCCGTCGCCCGGCCCCGCGGACACGTTCACCCCGGACGGCCGGCCGATGCGGCACTCTTCGTTGAAGGCCATCGAGATGGAGCAGCAGGCGCTGGCCGCCGCGGGGATATCGTCGCCGAGGAGCCCGGAGCAGGAGCAGGCGCTGGTGAGCCCGCAGCGGTCGTCGCTCGGGGCGCGGACGGACGTGTCGCGGGGCGCTGCGACGCCGTACAAGCGGCAGGGCAGCGCGGCGACGTCGCATGGGCGCACGCCGCGGTCGCCGGGGCCGCTCGGGGACTTGCTGGACGACGTGGACGATCTGCTGACGAACCTGCACGGCGACAGACGCGGTGCGTGAGTGGTTGCGCGTTGGGAGGAGAATGTCGAAGAGTTGGGGCCCTCGGTGATTCGGTGTGACCCGTGACGGTCGCGTGCTGCCTGGTTGTGTGGGAACCGCCCCTGGTTTGACCGGCGGGACCTGAGGTGTCTCTGCTGCGTCGTGGCGGCCGGTCTCGCCTGATTCTGGCTCTCAACGTGTAACCCCCCCCTGACAATAGATCCCACTACAGCATCCACTCCATGCGCGCCCTTTGGTGCTCGGAACCCCAGCTCCCTGGGATTCGAATGCACAGGATGCTTGGTCCTAGCGGCGATGTCCTCGAACACAAATGCTGTCGAGTATCGATGCGTTTTGCACGTGCAACAGCTGCACCCACAGACTCTGTTCTGAGCACGCGTTGGCGGGCCCCGTGAACGGAGTTTGCTGCACGTGCAAGGACCATGGCCGTATGAGTCCCGGGGGAACGCCTTGCGGCCCCCTCTACGGCCATTGGCTCGTCCGGGAGGACCACATGGCTCACAAGAGCAGGCCAGACCCCCCGCAGGAACTCCACTTCCTCACGCGCATGGCCATGCTGGGCTGCCCAGCCTACCATCCGCCAGTCCGTCTCGACGCTACGGAGGTGCCAGGTCAGGTCGTTCGCCGCAGGAACGCTGCGTGAAGCTCTCTGTGTTCGAATCGTGCCACGCGTGTGCCAGCGTGCACGCCGTCCCGGTGCCGCGACCACACCGCCCCGACACGAGAGCACTTTTCTCTCGCCGTGTTCGTGCTCGTCACGTCGTTCGAGCCCACCACCGTCGATATCCGGGCCTTCTTTTGCCTGCAGTCGAGGAACAGCGCGCGCAGGCGATCGAGAGCCTGCCCTTGCCTGTCCGAAACGCATTCTACGCTGCCTCCATGTGGATGAGGCTCCGCATCGAGGAATACCACCCGAGCGTGGGTTCCGACATCATGGAAGCCGCCCTCATGAATCTGCACGAGCACTGGAGGGCCATGCGGGTCGCGTACGTCGACCAGGGCAACACTCCGGAGGCCGCTCGCGCCATCTTCCCGCACCTGGACCTCGAGCACTCCATGCCCGACACCGCCACCCTAATGAACGCCATGCCGGGCCAGACTTTCGCTGAAATCAGGGCGCGCCACGCAGAGATGAACGCCGGCCAGGAGGGGGGACAGCGCTGACGTTCGCGCGACGGTCAGGCGGCACGTGATTCGAGCTGACGCGGCGCCCGTCTTCACACCCCGTGCAAGGCAGCGGGGACAACCCAACGCTACATACAACAACCCCTGAGCCTGCACGGCAGCGAGAGAAGGAACGCATACAAAAACGCCCCCATCAGCAGCGCACCGACGCCGTCACCGAGCCCACGGAGCTCACGGAGTCGCCCGCTCCTGCCCTGCGACTCCCCCCTGTGACCCCACCTCCGATTGAAACCCCAGTTCGACTCACGGCTTCTGCGCGTCGCCGTCCGCCTCCCTCTGCCCCTCCCCCACGCGCGCCGACGCCTCGCGCGGCCCCTGCACGTCCGTCGGGGTCCGTTCCGTCGTCCCCGCGGCGTCCGACTTGCTCGCCGACTCCCCCCCACCGCCCCCACCGACGCCGCCGCCCGCGCTCGCCACCAGCGGCGCCGCGCCGATCGGCGGCTTCGTGAACGTCCCGTCCAGCACCTGCCGCACCTCCTCGCCCGTCAGCGTCTCGTGCTCCAGCAGCGCGTTCCCCAGCCGCTCCAGATCCGCGACCCCCGCCCGCAGCATGTCCTCGACCCTCTTGTAGCTCTCCCGCAGCAGACGCGCGACCTCGCGGTCCACGATGCGCTGCGTCTCCTGCGAGTGGTGCCGCGGGTCCACCTGCATCGGCCCGATCGCGTCCGACATCCCGCAATCCATCACCATGTGTCGCGCCAACCGCGTGGCCTGATTCAGGTCCGACGTCGCGCCGGACGTGACCTTCTCCGGCCCGAACATCAGCTCCTCGGCCACGCGCCCGCCCATGCACACGTCCAGCCGCGCCAGCATCTGCTGCAGGCTCTGGCTGTACTCGTCCTTGTCCGGGAGCTGCTGCACGAGCCCGAGTGCGGAGCCGCGCGGCACGATCGTGGCCTTGTGGACCGGCGTCGCGCCGAGCGTGCGGATCGCGACCAGCGCGTGCCCGGCCTCGTGCATCGCCGTCAGCCTCCGCTCCTCCGCGGGCATCTCGGCGATCTTGCGCGCAGCGCCCATGAGAACCTTGTCGCGCGCCTCGTCGAGCATCGCCATGTTGATGCGGTCCGCGCCGGCCTTGGCCGCGGACAGCGCGGCCTCGTTGACCAGGTTGAACAGCTCCGCGCCGGAGAACCCCGCGGAACCGCGCGCGACCTTGCCCGCGTCGACGTCGGGCGCGACGGGCTTCTCCTTCAGGTAGTGCTTGATGATCTCGAGGCGGCCGGCGACGTCCGGGAGCGGGACGCTGACGTGGCGGTCGAAGCGGCCCGGGCGCGTCAGCGCCGGGTCCAGGGACTCGGCCAGATTGGTGGCGGCCATGACGATGACGCCCTCGTTGGACTCGAACCCGTCCATCTCGACGAGGAGCTGGTTGAGCGTCTTCTTGCTGGTCTGGTTCTCGAGCATCTTGCGCGTGCCGCCCACCGCGTCGATCTCGTCGATGAAGACGATGCACGGCGCGTTGGCCTTGGCGGCGGCAAAGAGCGAGCGCACGCGGCGGGAGCCGACGCCGACGTACATCTCCTCGAACTCCGAGCCGGAGCGGTAAAAGACGGGCACGCCGGCCTCGCCCGCGACGGCGCGCGCCAGCAGCGTCTTGCCGGTCCCGGGGGGGCCTGTCAGCAACACCCCCTTCGGGAGCTTCGCGCCCAGCTTCGTGAACTTCTGCGGGGACTTCAAGTACTCCACCACCTCCTCCAGCTCCGCCTTCGCCTCGGGGCACCCCAGCACGTCCTGCGCCGCACCAAGGACGCACAGCCACACCGTCAGCACGCGCCCCCGCACAGCCACACCCAAGCGCGCGCCGGCGACCTACCGAACCCGCCCGCGGCCAGCTCAGGCCGCCCCCGCGCTCACCTTGAACGTCCTCCGCGACTTCTCCGGCACGACGTCCTTGTTATACTGCTTCGGGGCAAACGACCCCGGCCCAAAGCCCAGGTCCGACCCGACGCCCGCGTCCGTGCCCATCGAGGTGCCGCCCTTGTTCGCGCGCCCCTCCTTGCTCTCGCTCCCGCGCCCCGCCGCCGCGCCCTTGTCCTGCATCAGCACGAAGATCCCCAGGATCGCCGCCAGCACAAACCCGCCCACCAGCGCATTGATCACCGCGTTGATCACCGCCAGCACGCCGCCGCCGCCCGCAGCCTTCCCGCCCTGCCAGCCCTGCACGACGACGTGCATCGGGCGCCCCGCGGACCCCGCGGCCGCACTCGCGACCGACTGCTGCTCTCCCTGCTCTGCTTGCTCGCGCAGGGAGTCGAAGAGCTGCGTCAGGGAGGGCTGGCCGTTCGCGGCGGCGGGGGCGCCGATGCCCGGGGGCGTGCCGGCGCTGTTCGCGAGCCCGCGGGCCTGGCGGCGGCGCTGGCGCGCGGAGAGGTGCGGCGACGAGGTGTCCGCCGCGGCGATGTCGGCGAAGCGGCCCGTGCGGACCAGCGCCTCGAGGTACTCCGCGACGGCCTTGCGGTTAGTGGCGTAGCGCCGAGACTCGTATCTGCGGGGTCGTCGGCGCGCAGGAGGGCGTTCGGGGTTAGCAAACGAGGCGAAAGGGCGCGTGGTGGGCCGCGTGGGGCGCTGGGCGGCGCGCGGCCCGGCGCGCGGGGCGGCAATGCGGCGGCCGAGCGGCGGGTGCGGTCGCGGGGCGCCGACCTGGTGATGACGGCCTTGGGATCGGTCTGGTTGAGGTGGTGGTAGTAGCTAGCCTGCGCGTCCGCGTTGTCAGGGCTGGCATCCGCCTCGACCTTGAGTCGCCAGCCCTCTCTGCGATACAGGGGGGCACGCGACGCGAACGTCGGTGGGCCGGGCCCGTCGCGTGGCCCCGGACGGGGCGGGTGGGGTGCAATGGGGCGCCAGCGTCCGCAGGGAGCTGGCCACGCGCGGCGCGATGGTGGGAGCGCAGGAGGGCCGAAGTACGGCGGTCCTCGAGCGGAACGCGAGCGCGACGCGGCGCGGAGGGCGCCCGCACGGTACGTCGTGCATGTCCGATGGCGCTGGCCCACGAGTTCGAGAACGGCTGTCTGACTGCGCGGAACGATGTGCGCGCGGCACCCGGGGCACCGACTGACGGATGGGCGGCCGATCAGGTCGCGAGGCCGGTCGCTGCGAGCGCAGGGACGTTGCAGGAGGCCGGCGCGTCCCTGGATGGGCCCGTGACGTACCTTCGTCGCTTGATACCGAGCCAGCTGGCCACCAACACGATCGGGCTGAGCAGCGCCTTGGAGATACTCGCGAAGACGCTCCGAGCGGCGCCCAGCGCGCCCGCGAACGACGGGTCCAGCCGCAGGGTGAGCTCCAGAGGCTGTCTGGCCTCCCCCGTAGCCTGCTTGGCCGTGGCCTGCGTCGACCCCCCCTCCTCGATCCCGTCCAGCCCATCGGAAGCGCTCACCTGCCGCTCCGGCTGCGGCTTCCGGCCATTCTTCCCCGACCTCGACGCCGCGAGCGCCACTCGATGGCGCTGGTGCTGGGGACCGGGAACGAGCCGGGAGCGCGCCAGCGAAGGTTGAAGCGGCTGCGGGCGGGCTGGCCGCGGCAGGAGCGGCCGGATGCGCCCGGCCAGAGGAGCCGGCGCCCGCTGCAAGCGGCAGGCGCCGGGCTTGGCTTGCATGGGCACAAGGGCCGCCTCTGCAGCCGCCCGCGGCGCACAGATTCCAAGGCGAGGCGCCGCTGGTCAGCTGTCCAGCCTGCGGCCTGCACGCAGGTCGTCGGACCGGGGGCAGGTTCGGGCGCGCGCGGAGGCTACGAAGGGAGTCGGTTGGGAGGAAGTGGGCACGGCATTCGCTCGTCGATATGCCTGGCGACGGTTGGATGGACAGAGGCGCGTCTCAAGATATTGATGGCCCGACGTGGACCGGGCCGCCGCGTCGTCTGGCGCGGGGTGCGCGCCAGCAGCGCCCGCCAAGGACTGCCACCAACGTCCACCCCGAAACGGCCGAATGCGCGCGCCAGCGCTCTCGCTGCTCGAGCCGTATCAGATCTTCGAATTCACGGAAGCTGAAATTCCAAGCGAGCGGAGTGCTGGTGCAGCAAGACGCGCACCTGGAGCTGCAGGGGTGCTCGGTTGCAGTTCAGCTACCTTGCCCGCGTACGTACGTCTGCGCGCGAACGTCCCCGGTACAATCAATGTGCCGCGAGCCTGTCGAGCCTGTCGAGCCACCGCGGGCCTAGTTCGCCCGGCCGGGCGGCCAGTGTGACGCTGGGTCCGTCTGGCAGCGTGGGACGGTTGGAGTACCCCTGGCTCGGGCGGGAGCCTCCGCCACGCAGCGCTCGGCGCAGGACCCGCGACGCGGGCGCCACGCACGCGGAGCGAACCGACCAGGTCGTCGTCAAGGATGGTCGGCGCGTCGATTATACGTCTGCGTGCGCGGCGCGACCATGACCAAAGAATCAACGTATGCGCACCGCGTCGACGGGCTCCGTGGCACGTTCCGGCCGCAGAACCAGACGCGCGTGCACGGCGCGGGTGACGGTCTGCGCGCTGCCGCGCCCGTTCGAGCCGTCTGCAATCTCGCGTGTGCAGAGCTGCACCATGGGATGTGTGCACCCCACACCGGGCGCACGGCTGGCTTGTGAGGACGTGCTGGATCCGTGGCGCTCAGCTGATCCTTCCGGGCGGTGCGATCTGCCACGGGGGGACGCCGTGCTCGCGTATGCCAGCCTGACATACACCAGGGGGGGACTCCGGGGCCTGTCTGTCGGCGTGCGGGGCCGCGGACGAGCCCGAGGGGCCGCGCGACCCCGGGCATGCGCAAGACCTCTGCGCGTAGATGGAATTCGCTGCGTCAGGCGAGCCCCTGCACTGTTGACAGAGTGGGAGAGCGCCGTGTGTGTGTGGCGACCCGACGGGCCTGCGCGCCTCCCCGCGGCCCCATCCGGCGCGGCCGTCGCCGTCGAATCTAGCAGTCCGCGCGACGCGGGCCAGGACGCTGCGTTCGGAGTGCAGGGCAGTCGAGCGGCCACGCGGTTTGGCTGAGCAAGAGGCGAGGCGCCTGGAGCAGCCATGGAGGAGCACATAGAGATCGCGACATTCACGTGCGCAGACTGCTACGTGTACAAGATCCCGCCGTTGCCGCTCGGCCAGACGGGCCACAGAGCCGGTGCGCGGCGCCCCCGACTGTGTCCTCCCCTCCACGCACTTCGCCCCGCCCTGGGGCCGCCGCGCGCGCCCATGCGCTCTGAAGGGCCCTCGGCGCACCCACCGTCCCTTGTCATGCCCCTGGTGCAGAGCAATGGGACGTGAACAACTGGCTCGCGGAGGTCGAGGCCAGAGTGGTTGTGCGCGGCGACGATCTAATGGTGCGCCTCCTGGAGAAGGAGTCGAAGAACCTCTTCGCGGAGTGCCCCGTCGCGAACAACAAGCCCCTCTCCGCCGCTCTCGAGAAGGTCCGCACCGTGCTGCGACGTCCGCGGCCCCCCACCTTGCGCACCCTCCCTCACGCACCCTCCCACCGCGCCCCACGCGCCCCACTCCACCTCCCAGGTCGTCGACTCCTCGAGATACTTCGTCCTCCGCGTCGAGGACCGCGCCACGAAGCGCCACGCCTTCCTGGGGTTCGGTTTCCGGGAGCGCGACCACGCTACCAGCTTCACCGCAGCGCTCGACGACCACCGGCAGCAGATGCGCCGGCAGGCCGAGGCGCAGGCGATGGCGAGCCGCTTCCAGCAGGACGCCGCGAAGAAGGACTATTCGCTCCAGCCGGGCCAGAAGGTTCACGTCAACGTCGGCGGTCTGCGCGGTGCGAGCGACGCGGCCGCGGGGAAGCGGCTCGGGCTCGGGCTGTCCGGCAGCGGCCACGCGCCCGTCGCGCCGTCGCTCGCGCCCCCGCCCGCCGCCGGGGCGTCGCCCGCGAAGCTACCGCCGCCGCCGCCGCCGGGCGCAGCGCCGGGCGGGGCCAGGGCGCCGAACCTGAACGTGTCGTTCCCCTCGGGCTTCAGCACGGACGCGGGGGGGCTGCAGGGGCTCCTCGGCGGCGGCGCGTCTGGGCAGCCGCAGGCGCAGCAGCAGGCGCCACCTGGCGGCACGCAGGCGGCTGCGAACGACTGGGCTGACTTCGGGGACTTCCCGTAGGGCCGCCTGCGTGTGAGGAACCTCGCCCGGGGCCTGGCGATGCGGCTCGCGGTGGGCGCCACGTGGGGCTGCGTACACGGTGTGCTGAGTCATGGGGGGGGAGTCTATTGTAGGTGTGACCGGTGCCGGTGGCTTCGTCGGCGCGGCGCCGCAGCCGTAGCGTCGCAGTAGCGCTGCGCGCGAAGCTCAGGCCGCAGCCGTGCTGCCGTCGACGGGGCTGCGCGTATGGAGCGACGTAGAGGCGTGGCTGGATCATGGGCTGCTGCCAGCGGCATGGGCTTGCGCGGATAGGGAGGCCGCTTCACGGCGCGAGAAAGAACCATGGGCGAGGGTGTCAGGCGGCACGCAGCCCGCTCATGCCGCGGCGCGCGCGTTGCTGCAGGGGAGCGTTTGCCTCCTCTGTCCAGCGGCCGTTGCCGAGCCAGACACCGCGTCCGGCGCGCCCCACGGGTGTCAGGGCGAGACAAACAGCTGAGAACGGTGCGTCGGCGTCCATCAGCTCCGAAGCGATGCCCTTCCGGCCCGGCTGGGTCTCCGAGAAGGCAGTGGGCCCCAACGGGGAGAGCGGAATGAGCCTCGAGGAGGCGGCGCGTAGACAAGTGATTGCGCCAATGAGTCCAACCTACAGCGTGCACGACGGTTTGGTAAAGAGAAATGTCTCAGACGCCTGGCAGGACGAGTTTCGGTGCGATGCACTCCCTTCCTCATCTGCGCGCACGTCCTGCCGCGCCGCAGCGCGCGCACGTCGTCAGCACCCGCCACACAACAGCCCAGATCGGCTGCCAGCTGGCCGCGCTCCACACAAAGCGCACAACGTGGGTTGAGTCCACCTCTGCATAGTTGACGCGTTGCCCTTGTGTGAGGCGCAGGGCCGCCGTCGAGGCGGCGGGGGACTCGGTCGCACGAGCGTGCCCGTCTCTGGTGTCGCTCCTCGCGCGCGGTTCCGTCGCCAACGGCACCGCGGCGGCGGGAATATCCGATCTTGACTTGTTTGGATACGCGATTGTGGACACGGACGGCCTCGACGACGAGGCCGCCGCGCGCACCGCCCGCGCTGTCGGCGAGGTCCTCACGCGACGCTGCGCGTCCGCAGCCGAAGCAGCGCTGTCGAGCGCCGTGGACGGCTCCTCGCGGGCGCTGACAAAGACCGAGCTGTTGATCTTTGCCGTTCCGTCCACGTCGCGCACCGGAGCGGCGCTCAGGGCTCTGCGGCGGGGAGACGCGATCACGGACGCACAGCGGGGGGATCTGATCGAACTGCCGATGGCGTTCGAGCTCGCGACGCAGGCCAAAGTGGTTGCAGGAGTGGACCTTGGTCCACACATGCCGGCCAAGGCACGCGCCGTGCCGCCGCCTGGCGATCTGCACGCTCTCGCGGACGACGTCAGGGCTGCTCTCGACGCAGGCCACGAGGACGCGATGTGCGGGCGCAATGAGAGCGCGTGCCGCGCGCACAAGTGGGCTTTGAAGCGGGTCCTGCGTTGGTGGGGCCGCCGCGCCTGCTCCGAAGCGAGTCGCGCGGGCAAGGCAGCGCACTTCGCACGGGACCTCTTCCACTGCGCTCGCCTCGCGTCCGCGGCGTACCCCGCCCTCGAACGCACCCTGTGCGCGTGCCTGCTGTCGTACGTGGCCCTGCCGACGGAAGCGGCCGTTCCGCCCGACCCAGTCATCAGGGACTTTGCTGCCGCACGCAGGGCGTGTCTCTCCGCGCTGTCGCACGCGGAACAGACCTCCGATCGGCACTCGCCGGCCCACGCGACCATCCCGTCGGGCAGCGCACGCACAGAGCACATCGTGCTGCCGCCCCGGACGCTGTCATCGCGGCTCCGGGCAGCGCACTTCGCGCTCACCACGAAGCTACGGGCGCAGGACGCCGAGTTCGGCGCGGGGTGGCGCGTGCACCCTCTTCAACCCGTACGCACCAACATCTCAGGAAGTGTCGAGGAGATCGCTTGGGGCGACGAGGCGTCGATGGAGCGCGTGCGCGCCGCGATCGCAACCTCGGACCCAGCCGACGGTGGGCGCGTGGACCCGCTGCACCCCGCCGCTGCTCCCGTGATCCTGCGGGCGGCTGCGGCGTCGTGGCGGTGCGTGCACGCGTGGACCGAGGGCGGGCTGCTGGGCGTTTTTGGCGGCAAAAGCGCCGCTGCACGGGTCTCCCCTGGGCCGACCTTCAGGTTCAGCGAGCCCGCACTGGTCGCGAGGCTCAAACATTTGTCGCGGTGAGTTTGTCCAGGCCTGACGGCAGTGAACGTCCGCCGGCTTGCTGCCTCGGCGCGCAGGCTGATGGGGAAAAATTCACTCTTGGCACGCAGGGTGACGGAGGCGCCATCGCTCGAGACGCGACTCCCGTTCACGGAGGCTATGCTGCGTGTGGCTGCGGCGCCCTCGCCGGGACTCCCCCCCGTGGCTTACGGCGACGAAGAATGCTGCTACGTGCAGGCAGTGCTCCCCGACCGCGCCCTCGCGGACATCGACCTGGCCGCCGAGCCGTTCGCGACGCTGTCGGGCGGCACAAGCTGCGGCGTGCAGCAGCGCGTCTCGCAGGCGCCGCGGCTGTGGATGAGCGGGGCTGGCACGGTGACGTCGCTGCACTACGACCGGTCCTTCTCGGCGCTCGTGCAGGTCCGCGGAACGAAGCGGCTGCTGTTTTTCCCCCCGCAAGCACTGGCAGACCTTGAACCGTACCCAGACGACCACATACAGCGGCGGCGGTGCCGGTACGACCCCACGGAGACGTCCAAGGCGGCGGGGAGGGATGTTGGGTGCTGGGAGGCGGTGCTCGGTCCTGGAGACGTCGTGATGTTCGGTCCATACTGGGCGCACTACACCGAGAGCGTGACGGCGAGCATGAGCGTGACGTGCCGCTTCGACGGGCTGCCGAGGTGATGGACCGGTGCTTGGTGGTTCCGCGGCGCCTGGGTCGCGTGGAGGTGGCGCGGGCGGGTGCGGGGGAGTTGCTGCGTCAGGAAGACTCAGGCGGCTGAGATTCCCACGCCGTCTGAGACCTTCGGGGCTGTGATGTGTGAGCGGTGAGCAGTTCGAGGCCTGGAAAAGCGTGTGCGTTTCGCCGTTTGATCGGAACTCCCTCATATAGGCAGGGCGAGAGGCTTGCTGCTCCAGAGTAAACGCCGGCGGCGGCAAGCGAGCGGGCCTTCCGCGTTTCTGCCCGCGCCCTGCATAGAATCTACAGGTAGCGACAAGGACAGGCCAGCACAGGCCGACTCGCGCGAGGTAGCGCAGGCGGGACGATGGACGGCGACGGAATGCATCTGCGCTCGGGCTACGTGGTCCGCGCGCAGCCCGGGATGTTGCCGAGCCCCGAGGCCAAGGCGGCGTTCGAGGAGGGCATGCAGCTCATCATGCGCCGGTGGACGGCGCTCGGGCTCGCGGTGGAGAACATGTGGGGCGGCGTGAACAGCCAGGACAAGGCCAACCAGCTGATGCAGGACATCATCAACTGGTTCTACGAAAAGCGAGGTGCGAACGTCTAGAGAGACGCTCTCGCAAGGGTGTCGGCACCAGAGCGTGCGCACCTCGTGCGCCAGGGCCCGCCGGCAGCGCGAAAAGCATCTTCCCCCCGCCGCCGCCGTCGCCTCCGCCGCAGCCGCGTTTCGGACCCGACACGCGCTTGCTGTCGGCTGCCGTGCAGAACACTGGAAGGACGTGCTCGAGGAGTGTCTGGACGACAGCATGCTCCACGATTTCAACGTCGAGTGCGAGGACGGCAGCCAGGCTGAGGTCGCCGGAGCCATGGTGCAGCTCTACGAGGAAATCGCCGCCGGTGAGACTGCGCCTGCGCTCTTAGCGGGCCTGAAGCACCGCTCTGCCACATGCGCACAGGCTCGTTGCGTCGGCGGCGATCGAATCGGCCGCCCAGCGGAGCGGCCGCGCGTTGCACTCCCCCCCTGAGAATGTCGTCTCCGGTCCGCGTGCGATCGCGACGCAGGCAAGGCCGACATGCTGAACACGCTGCGAGCCCAGGTCGCGTCAGAGCCCGGCGCGAAGAAGAGCAAGAAGCAGGTCATCGACGCCGACGGCACCCTCATTGACGGGGACGTCAGCGACAGCGACGACGACGACGACGGCGACGATGACGGTGCGCGGCCTGCTCGACCTGTGGGTGGCATGCGACGTCGCTCATCGGTTGCGCGCGTGACTTCGTCGGCGGGCGCGCAATATTTTGCACAAATGTTTGTGTTGAAGCTTCTTCCTGCTTTCTGTGCGTTTCGCAGACATGGACGTCGGGATGGAGGAGGACGACGTGCCGCCGAAGGCCGAGCCGATCATCGACGAGGACGGCTTCGAGATGGTGGTGAGGAACAAGAAGGGCGGCCGCCGACGATGAAAACACGACGAGAGCAGCATACGGCCCTCGCAGCTCCCACATAGCTCTGTGACGGCGGCTGACGTCCTCCAGAGCAACACGGAATGCTATCACACCGTCACGGTTTCTGCCGTGCCCCCGCAACGCGCCCCCGGAGCGCGCCGAAGGTCCTGATAGGCTTCTTCAGTCCCAGACTGCTTTTTCACCTTTCCCTGCGTTCTGCCCACCTCGTCACTGCACGCACGTTCCCAAGTACTTCACCTGGCCGCCCTGCGCCTCCTCGGTCTCCGCGGGCGGCCACCCGTCGTCGTCCGGCCGGTTCACGACCCCGCGGCAGCACGGCGCCCCGCACGAGCACGGCAGCTTCTCCAGCCCCCCGAACCGATAGTCGTACGTCAGCTCCTCCCCGATCCGAATGTCTCTGAGCGCAAACAGCACCACGTGGTTCTTCCCCGCGATCGTGATGGGCCGCGAGTAGCAGTTGACGTCGCAGGAGTGGTTGAGGAGGTGGCCGATGTTCCCGCTGAGAGTGGCGTCCACGCACGCGCTCTCGTCGAGCTTGAAGACGTAGGTCCCCGCACCGACGATGCGGTCGTACAGCTTGCGCTCGCGCACCTCCGCCATGACGTCGCGCACCAGCTCGCCCGCGTACTCGCACACAGGCTCGCCGGCGCGAATGGGCGCTTTCGCGAAGGCACCGGTGCCGTGGATGAGGCTCTTGCCCGCAGTCAGGCGCTTCCCGATCGACGGCTGCGTGCGGCCGGGGCAGTCAAATACATCAGCTTACTGCGTGCGAGCCTTTTGAAACAACATCTCTCAAACACTCAATCAGCTTTGTCTGGCATCGCACGGCCGGAAACTGCCATCCTCGAGGCGGGTCACGCGCAGGCATGGCGTTTCAATGGCAGCGGTGCGGCGCGATCGGGCCTTCTGCGCACCTGCAGGCGCCTGAACGCGTCCTCCTGCGACAGCGTCGCCAACGCATCCGCATCGGAGCCCGACAGCGGCACGCCACCGAGGCAGCACTCCGTGCTGCGCTTCGCCGTGGCTCCGGAGCCCTCGACCGTCGTGCACGTCGACGTCGCGTTCAGCATCGCCAGCCACCCGTCGTGCCCCGGCAGCCGCGCGCCACCCTCCAAGTAAGGCGTCGGACGCACGTACTGCCGCTTCCGGAGCGCGTGCGCGAGCGCGGCAGGCTCGCGGAAGCCGCGCTTGAGCCGGTGGTCGAACGGGACCGCCCGCGCACAGCCCCCGTCCACGTCAGGTGCGTCATAGGTGCAGGGGGGGTATTTCGCGACGAGCGGACACTCCGGGTCCGGCGCCGGCGGATCCGCGCGCGTGCCGGTGCCGATCACCGGGCCCGACGTTGAGCCCAGGTGCCGGATGTTCGCCGACGCGCGGCCGATGAACCGGCGGCGCAAAAGCGCCCCGGGCCCGCACGGCACGCCAGACGCACGCAGCTTGTCCGGCTTGCCGGGGCAGTCGTGCTTGCGGCAGTACCCCATCAGCTGCGCGCCCTGGAACGGTGTGCCGGCGGGCTGCCGCGGGCGCGCACGCCGCGCGTCCTGCGCCTCGGCGCCGTCGCTCGGCAGCAACGTCGGCGGCGCCACCCACGGTTTCGCGTCTGCAGCGCTGGCGTGCTCGCCCGCGCCCCAGATGATCGCGTCCTTGCCCTCGCCGCCGACGACTTCCTCGCGGACCAGCGTGAGGCCGGCCTCCATCGCGCACGTGGCGTGGAAGGACGTGGTGCACTTGGCATGTCCGCTGCATTGCACGCAGGCGCCGTGCGGGCTCCTGCAGAGGGAACACCGCAGGTTCTGCTGGTCCTGGAGCAGCCGGGAGTCCCAGAGAACCGTCACCGGCCCGGCGAAGCCGCCTGCGCGCCGCACGGGAAGACAGGGGGGGTTTGAGTCTCGAAACAACTGCGTTCAACGTGAGTTGCGTCTCATTCACCGAGGTATCAGCGGGCTGCGCGCGGCGACTCACTTGGAAGCGTGCACGCCGTGAACCACGCGGCGCACGCCACGTGCACCCAGCGGCCGCAGCTGGTCGCTCGCATGACCCCCCCTACTCCCGGGCAGAGAGCGCAAGCTGGGGGGTCCGCCAGGTCCGACACGCCCGCTGCCTCGCGCGCCTCGGGCGTTGACGACGCCACGACCGCGCAGCTGTTGCACAGCCACGGCCGCGACGTCAGGGGGGAGTCTACGAGGCCGTAGCAGTGCATGTGCACATGGCAGCGACAGCGGTCGCACTGGAGCAGCATGTTGTAGTCGTGGTCCTCCTCGAGGCCGCACGCGTTGCACCGGCCCTCGCGGACGTGCGTGAGCACGCGCGGCTTCACGCCGTCGGGCAGGCGGGCCTTGGCCACAGACTTGAGCGCCCGCGCCCGCGCAACTTCGGGACATCCCTTCTCCGCCTGCATCCGCGAAACAAGAGACACGCGGTGGTGTCGGACGCGCTCTCGCGACCGCGCTCGCCGGTGCGCGGCGACCTGTACGACTCGAGCGCGTCGCGCGCCAATCAAATCAATCCAACACATGCCAGACAGTCTCGCGTGGAGACCAAACGCTCTCAATTCGCGGCGGCGCACCATCTTCGGGCCGACGCCGGACGGCCAGCCGTGGTGCCCGTGCAGGTGCTCCGCGCCCGGCAGCGCCTTGAAGAACCGGCGAACCATGTACTCCTCGAGCCCGAACAGCGACGCCCCTTTCCCCTCCGGCACCCTCACTCCCCCCTTCCTCTTGTCCTTGCTGCCCCCGTCCGACAGGCAGGCCTCCCACGCCGCGTGCGGCGACGGCCCCTCGTACGTCTTCTTGCCTCCGCGCGGCGCCACGCGGAACGTCGGCGCCGTGCCGTCGCCGTCCTCGATCGTGCAACGGCACCACACCTCCTGCCCGCCTGCCGACGGCAGCTTCGCGAGCCGCTCGGCCGCGTACCCGACGGGGAAGATGTGCTTCCGCGTGTGGTACATCGGCATGAGGTACTCGATGCGTCCGGGCGCCAGCAGTCGAAGCGTCGGGTCGATTTCCAGACCTTGTTCGGGGATCTCCGGCAGCGGCGCGTTCTCGTCTCCGCCCATCTCGGCCATCATGCGCTGCCGCTCCTGCTCGTCCCGCTGCAGCCACCACTCGTCCCCCGACGCCGGCACCATCTCCTCCGGCAGCTTGCCCTCCCTCAGATACGCCAGCGCCTCTTGCATCGCCGCGGCAAACACAGCGCTCAGCCCGCCCCCCTCCGGCAGCTGCGGGCGGTGCGCGCCCGCCTCGATGCCCGCCGCGAAGTCCGCGATCTCGTACCCCGCGCCGTCGCCGCCCGGGAGCGCCCGCGCCGCCAGAACCACGTCGTGTTTCCCGAAACGCCGCACCGCCACGCACTCCGCGCCGTTCGGGTCCGGGCCCTCGTCGTCCAGGTCGCCGAGCGCGTCCTCCCACGTCGTCGCCATCGCGGGCCACCAGCACTCGTCCGCGCCGGAGTTCACCGCCCGCACCCAACACACCTCCCCCTGCGGCACGTGCAGCGCCGGAGTCAGGTGCGACAGGACGTCCCCGGCGCGCACCGACTCCGACAGCGACACGGCCTGCCCCTCGGCCATCCGCGCAGCTATGTGCAGCAGCACGTTCGACTTCTGGCGCATGTCGCTCATCACGGCGGCCCCCATGCAGTCGTCGTAGTCGAGAGCAATCTGCTGCGTTCCGTCGCCGTTCGCGTCCACGGACGCCTCCGGAGGCACCGCAGCGCCCGCAGGACAGCCCTGCATCGTCAAGCACCCGTTCTCCTGCAGCGCGCCCTCCCGGCGGTAGTGCAGCAGCGCGGTAGCGGCAGCGCGCGCAGTGTTGGCGCCAAACGCCCCGTCCTGTGCCGCCGCAGCGGCCGCCATGCTGCGCACGTGCTCGACGAGGTCGTCCGGCGACCGCAGCACCATCCGCGCCACCGCGTCCGCGAGCTCGGGCTTCCCGCGGCACGCAACCACGTGCACCAGCGCCGCCAACGCCAGCCCGTACATGCGCACCGTCTCCGCGTCCGGCTCCGGGAGCTCCTCGCCCGGCGCGAGCAGCACGCGGCACCGGTCCGCAACCAGCAGCGCGGGCCGCGGCGCGGCCGTGCCGTCTCTGTAGCGCACCACATGGCACATGCTGAGAGGGTCGAACGCCACCACTTCGCCGATGTACCACGAGTCCATGAAGTTGCCTTCCTCGTCCTTGTCGCCGTCCCACAGGATGCGCAGCTGCCGCCCGATGAGCGCCTCGGGCGCCACGCGCGCCACGTCGACCTCCCGCGGATACAACGCCGCGGAACTCCCCCTGACGCTCGCGCCGAAGGCGTCCAGCGCCGCGAGCAGCGGGGCCGCGATCGGGTCGCGCTTGGCGGGCGCGCGGGGCGCCGCCGCCGGTGCGCGGGGCGCGGCGAGGCCCGCCAGCGTCGCGGGGTCGAGCGGCGCCACGATCGCGGCGATGTCGTCCGCGGCAGTCTCCATGTTGCGAATGTGGGCTTCGTCGGAGCAAGCGGCGGGGCGCGGCTTGGGCTTGGGCGGCGCGGCCTTGCGAGCCTTCTTCGCGGGTCGCGGCACCGCAGTCTCGGCGGCAGCCGGCTCCGGCGACGGGGAGCGCTTGACGGCCGGCGTTGGCTCCGCGCGCGGTGAAGCAGGGGGGTCCTGCTCCGCGGAGGTGGAAGGTGTTTCCGGCACATGGGCGCGGGGTTCGGGCGCCTTGCCTGCAGCGGGGGAGGGGCGCAGGTCGCGTGACGGCAGCGTGCGAATGGACGGACACAGCTGCTTGCGTGCAGCAGTGCTTGCAGCGTATCGAGCGGCGGCCTCGCGTACGTACCCTTATCATCGTTCTTGATTGTTTTCTTATGCACGTTGTTTTTGTTGCTTTTTAGGTAGTAGTTGAAGTAGTGGTGGTGGCAGAACCGCGTGTCGAGGTACGTGGGCCTCTTGCAACGGTAGGATGGCCCCTTCCCGCCCGTACGCGAGCAGCGACCATCCCCAGGGACCGGCAGAGGGATCCCTCCGTCGGGGCGCTTCCCCCAGGCGGCGCCCTCCGGCATAATGTTCTCGCCCTCGCGGCGCGGCGCTGACTTGCGAGGTCTCTCGTCATCGTCGCTGTCGTATCGCAGGTTTTTCGGCGCCGCCGCGCGCGGGAACCGCTGCTTGGGTGCAGCACTGGGCTCCTGGGGAGCTCCTGCGCTTGCCCCGGCCGCCCCGCTGCACGCCTGGTCCAAGACCTCCGCCTGCACCTCCACCTGCAGCACGAGGACGCGTGCGTGGCGTCGTCCGACGCGTTCGCGCTTCCTGCGCGTGTCAGTTGCGCCCGCAACGCGCGGACACCCACCTTGGCGTTGGACGCCCGCTCCGCTGCCTTGGCCGTGCTGCCGTTCGCGGGGCTGGGCTCGCCGTTCGTGTCCGGCGTGTGGTGTCCGTTCATGGAGACGTTCGGCTGAGTGGCGTCGGACGTGCGGAACACGAAGCAGTCCAAATTGGTCTGCTTTTTTCCCTGCTTGTCCACTTCTGCGGCGCCAGGCGCGGCCTGCCTGACCTTCCCGCCGCGCGCCCCCGCCATTGGAGGTCAGCGTCGGCGCTCGGCTGCCGGCGAGGTGGACTGGTTCGGCGCGTGCGGCTCGCAATCCGCGATGCCTCTGAAACTACGCGGGACGTGCCGCCGACGCCCAACAGAGGCCCGCGCTGAACAGACAGCAGCGCGAGGGACGCTGGACGATGCGAGCTACCAGACCAGCTCAAAGCGTGTTCGAAAACAACCAGCCCGCGACGCGCATCCGCCCCTGCCTCCCACAGCTGTACAAAGGGGGCCGCGCAGGCCGAATGTGCGTGTCTAAGTGACCGCCGCAAACCGTCACGGGTATGTGCGTCGACCGCGCGAGCGGCGGCAATCAGCGGCGCCGCGCTCGGTCGCTGACAGCGGCCACACAGGGGGACCAATGGGTGGAAAACTTGAGTGAGAACACAACAGCCGTGCCCCTGCCTACGAACACGCGGGCTGGAGGCGAGCCCGCGCAGTCCGGCGCCTTGCCTGTGGGCACCATGGTTCGGCGGGCGTGAAACTGACTCAGGTCGGGCCGCAGGATGTCGGCGCGGGCGCAAGAGGTGGCGAACGCGGGGCCGGGGTTCGTGGAGCTGACGACCGCAGAGGGGCCTGGCCTGCCGTCGAAGCAGGCGGCGAATCTGGCGGACCTGCTCGAGTTCTCGGTCGATGTGTGGACGCCGATCGGCGTGCGGTGGTGGGCAGAGGGCGACGAGAAGGAGGGGGGGCTGGCACTACCCTCCGTGGGGCGCAAGCTCGAAGCCTGCTGCATCGACGGGGCACTTCTCGAGACCCTCACTGACAGGTGAGCTGGTTTCGTGCGAGAACGGGGCCGGGGGGAGGGTACGTCGACGCCGGCGTGCTTCTAAAGCGCCCAGATGGCACCTCACATCGCGGTCGCTCCCACGCTCGCACCGCAGCTCCCTCAAGACCTCGATAGGGATCCAGGACCCCGGGCACCGCGACGCGATCCTCCGAGGCGTCGCCGCGCTGCTCGAGCGGCAAAACAAGCTCCGGCGCGCGGCAGAAGCACAACAACATGAAGAGCACACCGCCCGCGCAACAACAACGCCTCCCGGCTCCCGCAAGCCCGAGCCGCCCGAGCAGCGGCCCGCGGCGCCGAGCAGCCTCAGTGGCAGCACGGAGCCGCGGCAGGAGCCCGCACCGGGCGACTCGACACAGCCGCAGCGCCTGTGGGCGCGCCAAGGGGGCGATGCGTCGGCGCGGCGAGGGTTCCAGTGGGACCTCATCGTCGGGCCGAGCGGCGAGGTCTGCAGCGGCCTGCGCGACGCGGTCAAGGCCCACGGCGTCCCGTACAGCGCCCAGGAGCGCAGCAAGTGGGCAAAGGATCTGGAGCTGGCGCGCGCCCTGGACGGCGTGACGCGGCAGGCGCTGCAGGTGCTGGAGCTGAAGCAGCGCGCGGAGGCCGCGATGCGCGACGCCCGCGCGGTGTCCCAAGCGGGGGGTCTCAAGTGGCGGTCCGACCAGAAGCGCGCCGACGCGAAATACTCCCCCGTCGTCGCGGACGCGGTGCGGGCGGTCGCGGCGGAGGACCGCGAGCGCGAGGACGCGGTCGGTCTCGCTGCGGAGCGCAAGGGCCGCTGCAGCGCGCTCATCGAGGGCGGGTACGGCGGCCGGCGGCGCGACACAAAGGCTGTTGCGCTCTTCCGCGCCAACGTGCTTTCGCGAGCGCAGGAACTCATCCGAGCGTCCCCCGCGTCGCTCCCGCGGCCGCAGTGGGACACCGCCCACGCGCGTCCTTCCGGGGCGCTCACGCGGCTGCAGGCCAGCGCTGTTCACGCCGAGAAGTGGGCGTCCGGTGCGAAGGCTCCGGACGGCATGGGGCTCGGGCTGACGGCGATTGACGGGCGCGGGAACACTCCGCTGCACCTCGCGTGCGTGAACCAGGACACGGATGCGCTGGGGCGGATGCTGCGGCTCCTGCGGCGCATCGACGAGCGCACGCGCGTGCAGCTCATGGCGGGCCCGCCGCCGCCACGCCAGTTCCCCCCCGGCGACGGCGTGGCGGGGATGGCGGTGCAGACGGGTCCGCAGCGGCCGGCGCGGAAGGTGCACGCCACGACGCGCGGGCAGGCGCTGGCGCGGGAGCTGCTGTCGAGTCGAGAGCTGCGGGCAGCGGTGGCGCAGAGAACGGTCGCGGAGGGCGCGCCGGCGGCGGGGCCCGTGGAGGAGGCGCGATGGCGGGCGGCGCGCGACGCGCTCGCGGAGCTTGCGAACGCGGACGACATCGACGTGGTGAATGCGAGGAACGCCGCCGGCGAGACGCCTCTGCACGTGGCGATCGGTGCGAGCGGCCCCGGCAGCGCGCGGTGGGTGCAGACGGCGGCGGAGCTGCTGCTCTGGGCCGGCGCAGACGCAAACGCGCAGGACGCGACCGGGCGGACGCCGCTGACGAGGCTGTGCGCGAGCTCGTACGTCAACGGCGCGTTGGTCTCGGTGTTGCTGCGGTGGGGGGCGCTCGCGCGCCTCGCGGACGGCGTCGGAAAGACGCCGCTGCACTACGCCGCTGCGAACGCGGCGGCGGGGGCGCCGGGGGCGGCACGGGCGCTTTTGCAGGAAGGCGGGGCGTACGTCGACGCGAGAGGCGGGAGGTTCGGTCGCACGCCGCTGCACCTGGCCGCGCGAGGGTACCGCACGCAGGTGCTGCGAGTGCTGCTGGGGACGGGAGGGGCGATGCCGGCGCCGCTGGACGCGAGGGGACACAGCCCGGCGCGCGCCTGCATTGCCGCGTACAGGGAGGCCGCGGACCGCGCTTGGAGCCACCCGGTCAAGGTGGGAAGCACGGCGCTTTGACGGCCATGCGTGTGTCGTGCGTGTGCCATGTGGCGCGTGAGCGCCGGCCGATGCGTGTGCGTCAAATATGAAAATGTGTTGAGTCGTTGCAGTCTATCAATCCGTCGTACGACGCGGAGGAGGACCTCGCGGCGCGGGCGAAGCAGTGCTGGACGATCCTGGCCGAGCTCCTGCGGTACGGCGCGCGGGCGTCCGAGGACGGCCTCCTCGCCGAAGCCACGGCCTCGGGCTCAAAAGCACTCATCAAACCCCTTCTGGACGCCATCGCCGCAGAAGAGCGCTGGCGCACGGGCGGCACGCCCCCCGTCCTCGACGCGCAGCACCGCCCGCGGGTCTCCGCGTTCCAGCCCTCCAACCCTGTTGTCGCGTCAGGCACGACGACACCGCACTCGACGCCCTCCACAGCCACGCCGCCGCAGCGCGCCGCGCTGTCCGGCGTCGACGCGGTCCGCGACCCCGCCGAGGACGTGGGGGCGGAGGAGGACGGACTTCCGCCGGTCGCGGACCTGTCTTTCGAGCTGTCAGAGGGTCCGTCGGAGCGGGATAGGTACCCGCCCGGGCGGGTGTTGCCAAAACCCCCCCCGGGGCCTCCGCCGAGCGAGGCTCTGCAGGCGGCGATCGAGCGCGAGCGGGAGAGGCAGGCAACCGTCGCGACGCCCCCGAAAGAGGCCATCCAGGCGGCGCGCGACGCCGTATCTCCAGATGCAGACTTGCAGTCTGCAAAGCTCGACCAGGAAGTGTCGGGGTTCGAGTTCCACACGCCGCCGGCGAGCAGCGAGGAAGTGGACGAGTTCGCGGGCTCGAGCGTGGCCTCGGGCGCGCCGGCGAGCGTTGGCGGCCGGTTCGAGTCGCCGCTGCACGTTGCGGCACGGAGGTTCGTGGTGCAGCCGAAGCGGTTCGCGGGCGCGCTCCGGATGCTGGTGGAGGCTGGGGCGGACGTGGGGGCGAGGAACGAGGAGGGCAGGACGCCGGGGGAGGTGATGCGGGATCTGGGATTCGGCTCGCATGCCATCGCGCTGCGGTTGCTCGAACCGCCACCGTTGAAGAAGGGCTTGCTTTGAGGGCACGGGACGGTCGCGACGCGCGGTCGGAAACGCAGGTCCTGCACGCGCGAGCATGTGGTGCGCCTGTGATGTACACCGCACAGTGCCTGTGCGCGGCGAGCAAAGCCGTGTCGGAGGCGTATTAGAGCGCGGCGTCGTTGTGGCCGTGCGTGGTCCGAACAAGTAGGATGCCACACTGCCGCCGCTGCCATCATATGTACATCACAGTCGCGCAGCGGCCCTGCACGAACGCTCTGCTGCCTTGACAATTGTTTGCAAAGCCTTCGAAAATCCACCCTATGTCTACCCTATATGTATCGATTATCCGTTCCCAGCCAGCTCGCGCAGTTCCTGTCGCGCCCCCCGTCAGTCCGACCGCCGCTCGTTCGCCCTCCGCGCGCGCAGCAAGCAGTCGACCACGTAGCACTGTGTCATGTCGAACGCCCACGTCGCCTCCATCGCCTGCGTGCCGCACCGAAACGCAACCGTCGCACCGTCGCCACAGCTCATTCATCGCGGCGCCGCCCGCCCCGGCCCGCGCCCCGGCCCGCGCCCCTCCCAAACCGCGCGCGCCTCCGCCTCAAAGGCGTCGAGCTCCGACGCCCGCCGCCGGGGCGGCACTTCCGCACCGAGCTCGCCGGCCTCGCGCTCCGCCCGCGCCGCCCAGGTCCCGGACCGCCAGCTGCTGTCGTGCCACCGCCCCCAACGCTCGTGCTGGTCCCGCGCCCACTGGTCGCGCTGCGCCGACGTCATCCACGTGCCTGACCAGCTGCCCCACGCGTCCTGCCCGGCGGCCAGGAGGCGCGCGTTGAGCTCCTCGACCGCCTCGCGCCGCACGCGCACCGTGCGGCCGCCGACGGGGTACTCGATGAAGCCGTGCCGGGCGAGTCGGGCCTGGGGGGAGTGTTGCGGGGCGGCGGACGGGCGGGCCGGTGACGCGGTCGGCGGAGCGGGCGAGACGCCGGGCATGCGCGGGCCATCGCGTGTCGAACCATCGCAGTGCTTGCAGACATGCGCGGCGTTTGGGGAGGAATGGCAGGGCCGTACCTCGAGTTCGTCCACGAGGGCGGCGAGCTGCGGCGCCGTGAGGTACTGGATCGCGCCCGGCCCGAACGACACCCCCGCTGCAGTGAGCGCCGACTCAGGGTCGGCCTCGGCGTCGCGCGCAATCTGCTGGAGGAAGCGCCACTCGAGCGGGTCGATGTTGCACGAGAACGGATCCACGAAGATCTGGTCCGCCGGGCCGTCGCGCGGGCCGGGGCGCCCGAACACGTCGTCGCCGTCCGCAGTCGCAGCGTTCGTCTCCACCGGCACGTCCTCGTCGTACGAGCCGCTCCTGAGGACCTCGTACGCGTCGTTGACGCGCGCCGCCTGTACGCAGGTAGGCCGACCGCCTCGTCTCGCAGTCGCGACATACTCGCGGACGTGAGTTGGCGGGAACAGAAAAGGAAGAGAGTGGTCGAATGCGGGGCGGTATGGCGCACCATCTCCGTGGTGTCCCGGTCGGGGTTGAGGTCCGGATGAAGCTCTTTCATCAGGACGCGGTACGCCGCCCGAATCTCCTCCGGAGTGCTGCCACGCGCGATGCCTAGTACGTCGAATGGGTCGTCGCGGGAACCGCCCGGACCGGCTCTGCGGAGATGAGAGGTCGCCGACTGGTGTCGAACGTACATTTCTCGAGCTTACGCGAGAAAAGATGGCCACAGAGAGCGATGTGGCGCGCACGGGAACGCTGCAAAGTGATGAATCTTGCGAGGATCGAGAGAGGCTCAAACGAAGGCAGGAGCGCACCTGCACCTCCATCGAGCCCTCGCGGCGCACGGTCGTAGTCGTTTCGCGTGCGGCAGGGGGCAGGAAGTGCATGGCGCCCGGCTCACGCGCGTGCGCAGGCAGGGTCCTGAAGGCGCCATGGAGGTGGCCGTGCTGTCCGCCGCGCCGCACGTCCAGTCCGTCGTCGGAGCGACGGGCCTACGTCATCGCCGAAGAGCCTAATCGACGCGCCACAAGGGCGGCACTCGCCGGGAAGGCGCAGGGAGGGAGCGCGCTGTGACTTGCAAGGACAGGCGTCGCGAATCGGCCGAGAACGCAACTAGATGGCTCGAATATGCCTCGAAACGATAGTATAGCTTAGTCTGAACATGCCCACGACGCCTGCGAGCATCGAGTCCCCGCGTGCACGACGCGTGATGGGTAGAAGTGCCGCAGCGGCTGACCCGCTTCATACCGTGCTTGCGCACGATCCCGACATGGGAGCGCGGCGGCGCGCAATGCGACATTGCCTGCGCTTGTACCATTCGACCCGCATCATACAGATTGTCCCTCGGCCTCGTGGCGAGCGTGACCGGAGACCTCAATGGCAACTTGCTGCCAGCCTTGGTCAGCTCTTGGTCGAATCAGCGTCGAATTTCACACACATCGATGCATTCTTCAACTGGCATCACGGCGGGCGAGCCTCAACAGATCGGGACCACGGGTCGGCCGCAGGGACGCGAGGCACTTGAAGCATCACTGCAGATGGGCGCGTACGAGCCGGAACAGCGCACGAGCGTCGTCAACAGGGGACGACGTCGAACTTGAAGTGTCTGCCGGCGCATGCGGATGCATCTGTATCGTTGGTTTGGGCTATACCGGCCTCGCGGTGGCGAAATTCCTGCAGCGCCAGGGATGGGCGGTTTCAGGTGGGTCGCCACGCCCAAGAACCGCAAGCAACGTCGCGCTCGCATGGAGTGGCACAAGCCGGTTGAGGTCGACGTCGGACCATGCATGTCCGCGCGCTGACGTCATGAAACTCCCCCCATGTGCAGGCACAACTACCAGCGACGAGAAACGAGCCGCACTGGGCGCGGAAGGGATTGCTGCGACTCGACTCGAAGCATCAGGCGACATGCGTGCGGAAGATGGAGCGGAGCTCATCGGCATGCTCGAGCAGGCGACGCACGTCCTTGTCACTGCCCCGCCGCAGCACACAAACACCAGCAGCGCGCCGTCAGGCGACGTTTTGGCCGACATCTGCGGCGACACGATACGGAAAGCCCTCGAGGAAGGCAGGGTGCGGCCAGCTCGATCGCCACCCGAACGAGCGCCGGCATCGCACGCTGCGTGGTATGACAGTCAACTGGAGCGCTTGGCGTGCCGTTCGCTTTGCAGATGCGGTGGGTGGGGTACCTGAGCAGCACGAGGGTCTACGGCGACCACGGCGGGGCCGAGGTGGACGAGTCCGCCGCCACCCTGACTCGAGACGAGCGAGGGCTGTCGCGCCTCGCCGGCGAGCGGGCCTGGGTGGCCGCCACGCGCGGCCGTGCACACGTCTTCCGGCTCGGCGGCATCTACGGCCCCGGACGCAGCGCTCTGGAGGCGGCTCGGGCGGAGGCCGACGGGTGCGCACCCTGCGCGCGCCACAAGACACAATCGCTTCCTCGAAACGAAACACGAAATGCCGAATACTGTTTGACTGAATCGGTTTCGACAGCCCAGGAGACAGCGGGGCCGTTCTGCGCTGAGTCCGACCCGCCCGGCTCCACCCCCGCTCGCGCAGGCGTGTTTCAAAATCCCAGCGTCGCCGCCGGGCCCCCCGGGCAACGGCGCGCGTCCACGTCGGGGACGTCTGTCGCGTCCTGGCCGCGTCCATGGCGCGCCCGACGCCCGGGGAGGTCTTCAACGTCGCCGACGGGGATCCCGCGCCGCGGTCGGAGGCCGTGCGCTTCGCGGCGGAGGTGCTCGGTCTCGCAACGGTGCTGGACCGCGAGGCGCTGGGGCCGGACACAGGCGCAGGGGGCGTCGAAGGGGGCTGCGAGGAGAAGGTCGTGGTGTCGACGAAGCTGCGGGACGTGCTAGGGTTGCGGTTAGTGCATCCGTCGTATCGCACCGGTCTGACTGCGCTAGCTGCGGGCTCCACGTGGCCGTTTGCGGAATGAGACGAACGACGGGCCGCGGTGCCCGCAGCTCCTGCGACTGGTTCGCCGGGACGACAGAGCCGGGCCACACGGCAACGACGGACAGGTCAGTTCCTGGTTATTAAAAGTTATTTCATATCTACCATGGGCTGGCAAATTCACACGCGCTCGTTGTCGCAATGCTGCACACGTCTCTCGTCAAACCGTCACACCTCTCTCTCTCGCTCTCGTTCCCTGCTCACACCGGGACCGCGACTCTCCAAAGCCCGCGGTCAGCCACACACCGCCCCCCTGCACGTGCCGGACCTGACCTCACGCGGCGCCCCCTCGCGACGTCAACGCGAGCCCCGAGGCCCGCACGCCCCCCAGCTGCCCCTCCGGGTCGTCCGCCACCGCCACCCACGCCGCCCGCCCGTCCTTCCGGCACGCCTCCGCCTCCGCCAAGCACTCGTCGAAGTTCGGCTTGGGCCGCCCGTTGTGCTCGTACTCTTCGCTGAACTTGTCCCACTCGTCCTCGAGCGGAAACACCTTGTCCCGCGACACCCACTGCACGTCCTTGTCCAGGAACTGCACCAGACTCATGCCCTTGGCAATCCGGTCCTTGTTCTTCTTCACGTACTCCCCCCCCCTGACACCAGGGTCCACCACGACGCCCGGGTAGTACCCGAACCCGCGCACCATCGCCCACACCGGATCCCCGTGCTCGAACGCCTCGCTGTCCTTCGAACCAGCCCTCCCACCCCCCTTGCCCTTCCCGTCAGCGCCCTTCGCCTTCTTGGCCGGCTTCTTCGCCGACGAGGCCTGCTTCGGCCCGTCCGCCGCCGGTCGCTTCTTCCCCGCGCCCGCCCTGTCCTCGCTCGCGTCCAGCGACTCGCTCTCGCCCGCCTTCGCGTGCCCCTTGCCCCGCGCACCAGCGCCGTTCTCTCTCCCCGCGCCGTTCGCGTCCCCGGCGTCGCCCGCGCCGACGAACCCGGCCTCCCCCGCCTTCTTCGGCGTGATTCCGAAGGTCCGCGCGGCCCCCCTCGTCGTCGCGGGGTTCAGCTGCAGCCCCGCAATACGCCGCTTGTTGAAAATGTCCGTCTTGTACGCGCCGTACTGGCACGTGCCGAGCCGCGGGGAGTTGATCGAGAGCGAGTGCCAGTGCACGGCGCCCGTGGCGTCCGGCTTGTGCTGCGTGCAGCAGAACTCGTCGAACGTCGCCGAGGCAATGCCGTCGTTGCGGGGCTCGCGCACGAAGAAGAGCTTCGCCTTGACCTTCTTCTTGTCCTGGGCGCACTCGAAGCACAGCGGGCTCGGCACGGCGTTCCTCGCCACCGCGAGAACGCCGAACGGCGACTGCTTGAGCGCGGACGACACGGGGGCGCCCAGCACGACGCGCGCGCCGACGTAGCAGGTGCAGAACGTGGAGGACGCCGTGTCGCCGTACTGGTAGCAGAAGACCTGCCGGTGGATCAGGTGCGTGGCCAGCTCCGTCGACATCGCCACGTGGCCGTCCGCGGCGAGCGTCGACATTATCGCCTGCGCCGCCGCCTCCTCCGGGTACGTGCGCGCGACGGCGCTCTGCAGCTCCGTGAAGCCCTGCGGCGGCACGGAGAACGCGCACGCCGCCAGGCGTGAGGAGACGCTCCGGGCCCGCGCACGTACGGCATGTGGAAGGGGACAGCTCGGGGGTTGTGTGGGCCGCTCGGCGGCGCACGGGCCGCGCGTGGTGTCGCGGGCGCCCGCACCTTGATCTTCGCGCTGTCGACGAGCGCGCACGCGACCTGCTGCTCCTCGCAGCGCTCCCCCGGGAGCGAGCACTTGTTCTCAGAGGGCTTCTTGTCCAGCCAAAACATCCCCGGGTGCTTGTCCTCGGACGTGCTGCAGCACGGCGACATCCACAGCGCCCTGATGCCCCGCTCCAGCTCCCCGAAGGTCGTCCCCTTCTGACAAACAAACGTCAGCTGGAACGCGCCGCGAATTCCATCCTGCGCGCCGGCGGGCGCGGGCGCGGCGTTCTGGAGCCGCGGAGCCAGACGGCGCACGCATACGCGCGGTGTGGCTGCGAGGAGGCGAGCAGCGGCTCGCGTTGCCGCGTGTAGGGGGGTGTATTGCTGTCGTACCTGTACATGGATCACCGTGGCCTCCTGGCCGGCCTTGGCGCCCTCCCCGCGGAGGCACGTCTTGAGGTGCTCGTCCCAGTCCGTGTCAACGAACTCGTGCGCGAAGTCGCAGTTCTGCGGAGCCGGCGACACAGGACGCTGCGGCGGTGGGCGTCGGTGCGCGGGCGGGCTTGGCGCATCGGGCGGGGAGACGCCGCGGACGGACGCGCCCGTTCGCGCGGCACACACCTGGCAGATCAACTTCGGCCTGTCGAACGGCGCGTCGTCGCCGCTCATGGCCACAGTAGCGAGAAAGGAGCTCACCCGGGTTTCGAGACCTGCGAGCATCCGGAGGGGGGTGTGTAACGCGCTCGGCACCGTAACTGATAGAGGTGGGCGCAGTGCATCGCGATGCCCAAAACGTCGACGGGGAACGAGCCGGCGGAGGTGCTGGTTGCCAGGGCTGGAAAGTAGCACCCGCACTTTGCGCGGCGCGCGCTGGCATTGAGACGGCGTGGCTGTCCGTCCAGGGACAACTGAGATCGACCGCGACGCCGGGCGCGCGTCGTTCGTGCGAGCCGCCGCGTGTGCTGCGGGGGCGCCGCGAAAACAATGCCGCGCACACCCCGAAGCGAGCCAGCCGCGCGGAGCAGACCTAGGGCGCCCGCCGCGGCACCGCTCGACGCTCGCGATGGGTTCGATTTGCGAAGCGGCCGTACGAGGCAAATGCCCCCAGCACCAGGCCACGAGGGGAGATGAACAGCATTGGGGAGTGCAACGGCGGCACGGCTACCGCGCCGTCTGCAGCGCCCCTGCACCGCCGCACGCGCGCCGGCCCTCGCATGTCGGACTTGAAGATCGTTGCCCCGGCGACGTGCGGGCAAGTGAGCGCCCGCACGACCCGCACGCGAGGCTGCTCACCTTGTAGACTGCTGTTCACGTTGTCAGAGGCCCTGTTTACGCCGTCGCCATTATCACGGGCACGAATGGCCAGGTTAGGGTCAGCGATGTGGCGGCCACGCGCCGCTGCGCTCTCCACTGGCCGCGGGGCTGCCGACTGGCGGGCCCGGGCCAACAACCCAGGGGAGCTGGCGGGGCGCCCTGGATACCCCCCGCCGCCTCGAGGGGGAGCGGCTGCAGCAGCGGCAGGCAGTCTCGTGGCAGGCGGTCGGGTATCTGCATCTGGAGCGCGCAGGCTGCGTGACGCAGCGGCGGAAGTGGGCGACAGAGTGGCGAGCACCTCGTGGGGGCCTTGCGGTGGAACGACGGGGATTTTGAGGCCCGGACTCGCGCGGCGGCGCTGATTGGGCATAGGTAGGGGGTGGAGGCTGGGCATCGCGGGGAGCAGTGCGCAGGGATGGTGTTTCAGAGCCTCGTGGCTATGGTGCGGGGAGGGGGCCGCCGCGTGCCGACAACGGGGTACAGGGTGCTCAATTCGAAGCGGGGAGGTCGCTCGCTCGTCAAGGGCCGCGGAACTCGCCCGACAGGCTACGTGGACAAGTGGGGTGCGCGCTGCCCCGTCATGTTGCAACAACTCACTGCCCTTCCTCTTCATGCCGCACCTGCGTCCGATGCGACCCCCGCGATCCGCGCAGTCCGCGATACCGGGCTCCGTCGCGCCCCGGGCCGCGCGGTCGTCTCGTTCACGAAACGCGAGCGGCCAACTCTCAGGTCTGGGTCTCTTTCATGCCTCTCCCCGGTCCGCGCCTGGTAGAACTCCGAACAAACGAGGCCGCGACGTCCCCAACTGCGCAGCGAACTTCCGCTCGTTGGAGCGCAAGCAGCCGGACATCATCGTGCCGGACCTCGCGGGCTTCCCTCTCAAGCCCTACGTGGCCTACGCGGTGGACCGCACGGAGCTGACCGAGGCCGGCGTGCCGAAGGAGTCGATATTCGACAAGCTGAAGAAGAAGCTCACGTGACGCGCCGGCGCCGACCGCACCTCTACATTGCAGCATGTCACACATCCTCTACCAGGGCGGGGCGGAAGTCCCCGGCCGGACGCGACACACCGCGCGGATCCACGACACGCGCGCGAACAAGCCGCGGTCTCGCCGGCGCTACTGCGTGCGTCGCTCCACGCCCGTCAGCGGGCAGCTGCTCAGCGCCTGTGTTCCGGTTGCGCGAACGAGCCCGCAGTGGCTGCGGGCTCGCGCCCATGTGATCGCGGCCGCGCTCACTTCCCCTCGCCCGTGCCGCGCTTCCTGGAGCTCTTCCGTCGGAACAGCGTCTCCAGGGGGTGTTCCAGTTCGTTGCCGGAGTCGCGCGACGACGCCGACACCTCATCGCCCACGTCCTCGGCGATCCCGGCCGCCGCAGCCTCGCCGCCCGCCGCAACTGCACAGCGCGCGATGCTGGCCGCGACATCACGTACTGGTCGCGGGAGCTACGCGCACTCGACGTGGCGCGCGAAGCAGCATCGCTCGTGTGCACAGGCGCCGTCTGAGGTGCACAGAGCGGCGTGTGCAGCGCAGGGGACGGCCGCAACGTGCGACAAACAACATACGCAGCGAGATCCGCGTTCGCGGCAGTGCGGCGCGCACCTATCGCCTCCCGCTGCTCCAGAGCGCGCGCACGGCGCTCCCTCCGTCGCCGCCGCGCGGCCCGCCGCCGCGCGGACGGGCTGAGCTTGTGGTCCCATATCCAGAACGCGCCGAGGATCATCAGGATCGGGACGAACGCGGACCCCACGCCCACGATGCCGAGCGTGAACCCTGCGCTCTGAACGAACCCGCCGTCGTCGCCGCCGCCGCCCGCGGCGACCGTGCCCGACGCCACGAAGCACCGCAGCTGCACGGACGCGGCAGCAGGCGGCGCAGGTGTCGAACACGATGAGCGGACACGACAGCAACCATGCCGCGTGTGTCCGTTACGGAAATGGCGAGGCGGTTCGAAATGTCGAGCCGCCGCGGACATGGACGAGGCGAGCAACCACGTTTCGGCCGCCGGCGCGACGCAGTGCGCGACGTCCTCGCGTTTCCTGGAACTGCAGATGTCTGCATGATTGCATTGCATCGCATTCGGGCAGTGTCACGGCCACGACTCACCGCCTCGATGTCGAGCCATGGGCGCGGCTGCTCCGCTTCGCTGCCGCCGGCGACCGCTCCGTCCGTGCACAGCAAGGGCTCCGGCGCGCTGCTGCCAACGGCGGCGGCGACGTCGTCGATGAGGGCGCCGTTGGCGGGCCGCACGGACGGGAGGGTCAGCGCGGGGTTCCCCGGGGGCTCGAAGAGCGCGAGGACGCGCCGCCCGCTGCACTCGAACGTGTGCAGCGAAGCGAACGCCACCACCCTGGACCCGACCTCCTGCGCGAGCAGCAGATGGTGATTCTCGATTGTTTGTGCCGCTCCTGGGCCGAAAGAACCTGAGCGCGCGCTTGCGCCGTGGCTCGGCGATGGGCGGCGTCGAGGCCGTGCGTTCCGCCGCTAAGCCGTCGCTGCGCTGCAGGACAGACAGCGACAAAAGGAAAGCAGAACGTGATCCCAACATTATGTTTTTCGTGTCTCGGAGCTCACCTGGTCCCCTGCGCGGCACGCGGAGCGCGCCCCGAAGCCAACTATGAGGACGGGCTTCTCGGTGCCCGCGTCAGCGCCACACCTCGGCCCCTGCTGCTCGCTCGGCAGTTGCGGGCTGTGCTTCAGGGCTCGGCGCACAGAAATGGCCGCCCCGTACAGGGGGAACGCGCTCGCGCGAGCGCTGGGAGATAGGGACTGCGACAGGCTGTCGGCCTCGGGCCAGCCGTCGTTGCAACGCAGCGTTTCGGGGTCGAAAAACGCGTCGACAATGCCGTCCAAAACGTAGGGTGCTTGCTGTGCGAGGTCTATTGCCGCGGGGGGCGTGAATCCGTCCGGCCAGTCGCATGCTCTCGAGATATGGATGACGGTGAATAGAACGAGAGCCAGGAGACTGGCCATGGCCCCTCAGCCAGGTCGCAATGAACGTGGTGTGTTCAGGCTCGCATGCAAGCGCAGCTGCGCTGCTGCTTTTGATAGTTGTATCTGAGCAAGCTTCAGCTAGAGTTCGTCTATCTCGCTGCGATATCACGTCAAATAATGCGGTTCCGGGCACGAAAGAGCGGGTTCTTTTCGTCCATCATGACCGAAGCGTGCGCTCATCGCTCGTGGCAGCAATGTGGTTTGTCGCTCGCAAGTCTTCTGCCGAAAGTACGCGTCTCACTCAGCGCGTCGGCCAGTCACGCTGCCACCGGAGGGGGGCGTCTCAGACGGTCTGAGGGTACTCCACGCAGGCACACCTGGGCTCGCACAAGTACGCTGCGTCGCTCGCACCGCGGCCACTCCTCGATCCGGACGGCGCGTGCGCGAGGGAACGACCGGCGCGTAGAAACCCGCCTTTCTGTGTGTCCCGTCATCGCTGCTGCCCTGAGGGGGCGGGGCCGGTGGGATGTCGTTTCAGGCCCTCGAGGCGGTCGAGAAGCGTCTCGCGTCCTACGACGGCTACAGCAGGATCAACTTCAAAGACGCGCGCGAGTTCCTCCTCCTTTGTCGCGAGCTCCAGGCGCGGCTCCCGGGCCTGTCTCCATGCTGCTTCTCCTCGCCGTGGCGCTGCCGCCAGCCTGAGCCCGGCCCTGCGCGCCCGGCGCTTGATTCAGCGACCTCGCACCCTCGCTGCAGCGTTGAGCGCGAGTGTGCGATCCTCGCGGTCGGGACAGACGCGTCGCGTTTCGATGGTGAAAGAGCTCTCCGTTTCCTGGCGTCGCAACTGCAGGCTCGGCGCTCGCAGGACGTCCACAAGTATGGCAGGATAGTGCTCGACGCGTTCAGCTCCAAGTTCGCGGAGGAGGAGCGCCTCCTGGTGCAGGAGCAGGTGCTCGTGGCGGCGTGCGATGTTGGCGCCGCCGCAGACGCGCGACGCGAACTCGCCAAGCTCCAGAAGCGGTGGCCAGGATCTCTCCGCGTACGCAAGCTCGAGGTGCGCCTCGCCACGCGCGCTCGCGAGCAGCCGACCCCGTCGCTCGCCTCACAAACAGCACGACACGCCGTCCCCGTTCGCTACCTCGCCGCGCAGGGCATGGTCCTCGAGGCCGAGGGCAAGGCTGAGGCGGCCGCGGAGCTGTACAAGGAGATGTTCGAGGAGGACGCCTCGCAGACGGGCGCGGCGAAGCGGCAAGTAGCGCTGCTGCGCGGACAGGGCAAGACCGCGCAGGCGATCGCGGCGATGTGCGCGTACCTCGACACGTTCCAGGGAGACGCCGAGGCGTGGGGCGTCCTGGGCGCGATGTACGCCGAGCAGGGCGCGCTGGACGAGTCGATATTCGCCCTGGAGGAGTGTCTGATGCACTCCCCCGCCTCGGTGCCGCGGCTGCTGGCGGTCGCGGAGGCGCGGTACACGCGGGCGCTCGCGGGCAGGGCGACGAAGGACGAGGACGTGGAGTACGCGCGGAGGTATTTTGCGCAGGTGGTGGAGCTGACGAGGGGGCAGCACGTGCGCGCGCTGTACGGGCTCTGTGCGGCGCTGGCGAAGGCGGGGAGCAAGGTGCGTTGGAGGCACCCTGCGCGTGGGAACATGCGAATGTGCTCGCAGGAGCAGTAGGGCGCTCGTTCCGGCGGCCGAGGCTCTGTGTTTGTGTGCGCGGCTCTGTGCTGGGTGTCGTGCGACGGTGCTGCTGAATGGGAGCTGGCGTGGCTTGTGTGGGTGCAGGGGGAGAGCGAGGCGGGGTCGCTGGCGGCGCAGGCGTTGGTGGAACGATACCTCAGCGACAGTCCTGACCTGGTGGATGCGGTCAAGGGAACCATGCGGAAAATGGGCCTGGCACGGTAGCGTTAAAGCTGCTACTTCGCTGACGGATGAGGTGAGGTGTCACATTCTTCGCGTCGTCAGCCATAAGGCTTTGGGACCTGACAAGATCATTCGACTAGGTGGCGAGTCATGCTAACCCCCCACCGTTATGGTAGCAACAGGTTCGGCAGCTGTGACAGAGTCAGCCTGGAGCAGATCCTCAATGCCACGAGCAAAGATCGCCATGCCTCGCTGATTCGGCAGGTTCAGGAAATACCGCACTGCAGCGTTGGCAGCGGCTTCCGAGTCGAGTGTTGCAGCGCCGTACAGGTCCTCGAGGTGCTGGCGTAGCCGGCGGTTGAGAGCGAAGCGGCGGCGCTGTCCAACAGTTGCCATGGACGACAGGGGCGCATCGGCAGCGGGCGGGGGTGGCAGCGTGAGGTGCGAACGTGGAACCGCGCGACGCCGCGACGCGCACGTGCGCCGCGGTGGCCGGCTTAGGGCCGCAGCCGTGGCACATGTTGTTTCCGCATGGGTGGGTTGGGGCAACCGGCTGCACGACGTGCGGCACTCTCACAGCCGTTTCCTTCGCTTGCTGCTAAGCGGCCGATGGTCCGAAGCCGATGTTCTCTGAACACTATTATTATTTTACTGTACTTATATTTCTTGTTGTGTGCCTAGTAGTACTAGCACAGCGGTGTGCCTCAGCGGCTACCGCCTCGCACGAGCTGCCCCACCTCCGCGCGCAGCCCCTCGACCACCTGCCGCCCCTCCGCCGACCGCGCCCACGTCTCCGCGGCCCGCCACGCCTCCCCGCCCCCAGGGGGTGCTGCTTGCCACACCCGCGTGCCTGCGCCCACCGCCGCGCGCACCAGCCCGTTCTTCGCGTCCCGGCCGAGCGGGTGCACCTCGAGCGCCTCGAACGCCACCACCCCGCACATCCCCTCCGCCACGAACGCCCCTGACTCAGGGTATCCTGTGACGTGCACCGCTGTCAGCCAGCGTGTCTGGCCGTGCGCGGTGCCCGGCCCCGCGTCGCACACGAAGACCCACTGCCCGAGGCGCCCGTGTTCGAGCGGCGTCACCTGCGACGCCCCGACCGCCACGCCCACCAGCGCGAACAGACTCGGGCTGCGCCGCATGACAGACGCAGCGCCCTGACCACAGTCCACGCCCCCGCGCCGCGTGCACCAGCCCGCCGCCGGCTCCGCGACGCCCAGCAGCGACGCCGTCGAGTGCACCAGCACCGGCTCGTACGCCGACGTCACGCCCGCCACCGGCAGCGTTCCGACAACATGCATGCTTGTGCTTCGTGTGGTCTGCAGCAGCAGCGGCAGGTCGCGTCTGCGGCCGGCGCCGCCACGCGGAGCGAGCATCGTCCCGACGATCACCGCGCCGGGCTTGAGCTGCGACGTCAGCGCGTCGTCCGGCCGCCAGATGCGCAGCTGCGCAAGGGGGGCGTCAGGAAAACTCCCCCGGCTCGCGCCCTCCGGGAACACCGCCGCGGCGACCACGACGATCGCGGGACTGACGTCGCGCTGTTGCGGCACGCGCAGCTTCTCGAGCGAACGCTTCAGCAGCTCCTCGGCGCGTTTCCCAACCGCATCTTGCCGACACGCAAACACGGCGTGCATCTCCGCCTCCGTGGCGTCCCCGACGTCGCCCGCGCCGCCGCCGTCCGCGCTCAGCATCGTCGACGCGTACGCGCGCTCCGCAGGGGACGCTCGCGCCTGTCCCCGCGCCACGCGCTCGCACCACGCGCGCTCCTCGCCGCGAGCCTGCGTTGACGCCTTCTCGGCCTCCCTGGTGACGATCCCGGCGTGGAGGCTCTCCGCGACGCTGTCGGCTTTCGCGGTACGGAACACGCCGGCCTGGGCCTCGTTCGCCGCGGCGCTGCCTTGCTGCTTGCCGGACGACGCCCCTCTCTCGTACATCAGGAGCGGGCCGACCGCCTGGACCGCGAAGACGCAGGCCGGGACGACGCCGCCGTCCGGATGGACGTGGTCGAGGCGCGTGAGGGTGATGTCCGGCCGCTGGAAGCCCAGGCGTGCGTCCCACGCCGCCGGCGACGTTGCGTTGCAGTTGACCCGGAGCGACACGCTCTCGCCGACCTCCCACGGCTCCCCCGGATTGTTGCAAGACAGCTGCGCGCCGCGAACGTGCAGCTTGTCGCCCTCGACGATGCGCTCCTGGCGGAAGAGCCGCGCCAGGGGGGGGTCTACTTCCGCCCTGACACAGTACCACCCGTCCGACAGCTCGACGCGCGGGGGGGGCAGGACGAGCGCCGGCTCCTCCGCTCCCTGCTCGGCGTCGGGATCCACCACGGCCGGCGGAAAGTCCACGTGCGACACCATCAGCACGAGGGGGAGTGAGGCGGGGGAGTCTCCGTTCAGGATGCGCCGTAGGGACGGGCGCTGACCCCCCGCGATCTCCCGCCGGTACCTGCACGACGCTCGTGGCCGCCGGCGTGCGTCTGAGCACCCTTGCAGCCTCAATACATCTCTGTTCGGGCTCAAATATCAAACATGCATTGTTTTGGCATTCGTGCTCACCTGTCGCACAGCTGCTTCTGCACGGTCGCGCGCGTCAGCCGCAGTCCGCGCGCGGCGGGCAGCTTCAGCTCCTGCGCCGCCAGCTTCCACACCACCCACCGCCACTGCTGCGCCATCCAACCCTCTGGAACACTCCCCCCCGCCATCACCCCGAGCCCGACCAGCTCCCGCTGCGCCTCCTCCGGCCCGTACGCCGGCGCGCCCGCGCCCGCGGGGAACCGGAACGCCGCGGCCGCAGCTGAAGTCAGCGGCAGTGGGTCCACGAGGGGCATCATGCCAGACGGTGGCGCCCCACGCACGTCAGCCAGCGTGGGCCGCGCGCTGCCGCCCGGCGCCGGAGCCGCGCCGCCCACCGCTACGCGCTTCGCGCTCGCGGGTGTCTCTGCGCTGCCCGGCGCGGGGCGCTTCTTTTGCAGCCGCGGGGGTTTGAACCCGGATGTACGCGGCGGTGCACCGCGCTGTGCTGTTGGCGGCGCACGGGCCTTCGCGGCCGCGGACGCCGCGAGCGGCGACGCAAACGGGATGCGCTTCCCCGCGAACGGCGTCTGGAAGGCCTGCCGCTTGTCCGCGCTGCCTGCACGGGCACCCCCGACAGCGTCCGTGGGTGGGGTGCGCGCCGGCGCTGCCCCTGCGCTCGCGGACGGATGCACCGGCCGGACGGCGGGCTGCAGAGCTGTCGCTGGCGTCGTTCCGGCGGCCTGCGGCGTCACCGCCGGCCTGTCAGGCCCATGTTCACCCCCCCCGGACTCGTTGTTGTCGTCGTCCCCGCCGCCGTCGAGACCGAGCATGGCCTTGCCCTTCGCGATCGCCGCCTCGTCGACCGCGATCGTGCGGCCCGTGGCCCATCCGAAGCCGGTGAAGCCCCCGGCCGCCGCGACCCCCCCGCCTGCGTCAGCGCCAGCGCTACGAGCAGCGTCGGCGGGCGCTGCGGCGGCCCGGTCGTCTTCCGCCTCGTCGTCGCCTTCGAGCCCCATCATGGCCTTGCCGCGCGCGATGGCAGCGGCGTCCAGCTGAATCTTCGTGCCGTTCGCCCACCCGAAGCCAGGGAAGTCCCCCCCCCCTGACGCCTGTTGTACTTGTCGTTGAGCTGGCGGCTGCGGACCGCCCGAGCCGCGACCGTCCTGCGCGTGCCCCGCCTCCTGCGCGCTCGCCGCGGCACCGGGCGCGGCGTCGTCATGCTGAGACCCCCCCTCGTTGTCAGTCAGACCAAGCAGCGCCTGGCCGCGAGCGATGGCCTGCCGGTCGACCTCGATCTTCCTGCCCGTCGCCCAGCCGAAGCCCGCGAGCCCCGGCGCGACGTCCAGCGCCTGCGCCTCCCCGGCGCCCGCCGCACCTCCACCCCCCCCCGCGTCGCGCGCTGCCGCGCCGTCGTCCTCGTCCAGGCCGATCGCGGCGCGCCCGCGCGCGACGGCGTCCGCATCGAGCTGGATCGTCCTGCCGCTGCCCCACGCGAAGCCCGCGGGCCCGCCCGCAGCCGGCTGTGCGACTGGAGCGGGCGCTGGCATGCGCTGGCATGTCTGCGGCGCCGGGGGGGGTGCCGCAGGGCGGCCTGGCGCATGAAACTGCGGCCCTCCGGGTTGATTCGGGCGTGGTGCTTGCACCGGCCGTGCCTGGGGTGCCGGCGGCCCGGGCGGGGGGGTTGTGTATGCAGAAGTCCCCCGCCACGCTGCAGGCGCGGTCTGTGGGCCGGTGGGCCTGATTGGACGCGCCGTCGGCGTCACGAACGGCCGGGGGAAGAACGCCGGGTGCGGGGCGGAGGCCGGCGAGGGCGCCGGCGGCCGTGCTGGCGCGGAAACGGGGGTGTAAAGTGAAGGCCGGGGGGGGAGTGGCTTGAAATGCCGCGCGACGGGCGGCGGTGTGGCGCGCATGGGGCTCTGCGACGCGTCGATGACGCCGCCAGGAGTGCACGCGTAGAAGTCGAAGTCTCCGGGCGGCGCTGCAGCGTCAGGACGCCTGACACGAGGGGGGGGTGTCGCGGCGGGCTGCAGGTCCGGCAGCGGCCGCTCCGCGGCATCCACGCGCCGCACAGCAGGTGCTGCCCCCGCGGGATCGCCCCGCCTCGGCGGGTCCGTCTTCCCGGCCGCGTTTCCGTCCGACAGGTCGAAGCCGAACGGCTGCGCTGGGACTTGAGAAATCACGAGTTGCGATCCATCCTCGCCGTCCGAATCGACCTCGTACAGCCCAGGCGTCCCCGCGCCAGCCCCCATCGGCATCTCCTGCGCGCTCGCGTCGCTCCCGCGCCCCGGCCGCGACGCCTCCGGCAGGGGGGGAGTCGCCTCGATCACTGAGTCGGGGGGGGTCTCGGAACCGAACGCCAGGGCCTGCGGCACCGGGTAGCTCTCTGGCCCCGGCGTCACGAACCCGCGGCCCGCGTCGCCGTCCGCGGCGCAGGCCGCCGCGGCCGGCGTCGTGCCTCCGACCCCCCCCCTTGACGAGGGGGGTAATGCAGCACTCCCCGGCGCTGTCCGCGGCGAACCGCGCGGCACATCGCGCGCAGGCGGCAGGGGAGGCTTCGCGGACCGTCGCGCCGACTCCTCTGCCCAGCGCGCCGCCAGCGCCACGCTGGGGGGGGGAGTGAAGGTGTCAGGCTGGCACCGCGGATCTTGGGCCGTCCTGTGTTCGGCCGAGCTAGGCTCGACGAAGGCCGAGCGCGCGGCGACGTGCTGCGACGCGGGGATCTGCGACGGCCCCGGAGCGGGTGCGCGGCACGCCGGTGTGCGCGATGCCACACACAGCCCAGGCTCGCTGGCCGTGAGGGCGGAGGGCGACGCCGGCGGCGGGCAGGACACGCCGCTCGTGGGCCGGAACGAGGGCCCGCTTGCCGCAGACGGTCCGTCCGCGGACGCGAGCTCGAGCGGGAGCAGATGCGCTGCAAAAAGGGGGGCAGGGTAGCATCGAGGTTCGCGTCAGAGGCGTGAATTCCATCTAATCCGTCGCGACGCCAGCGATTCCCGCGGCTTGTTCGGCCTGGTGCCACGGCGTCTGACAGCATCCCGAAGCGGAGCGTGTGTCGCGGGTAAACGCATCAGGAAGGGAGGGAAAGCATCGACGTGCGCGTCCGCCGCGGCTGATGCGCCCGCGCTTGGGCGCTGCGCCGGGCCGCTGAGGATACAGGTCAGGCTGCGCGGTGCCGGGCCGGGAGCGCCGGAGCGCGTCTCACCGTGATGGAGGCGCGCTTCGTCCTCGAGAACGTCAGGGCCGAGAACGACGTTCTCCAGCTGCTTCTCGAGCGGCAGCAGCGCGTGCCGTCGTCGTGGTGGCACGACGCGCCCGAGACGGGGCTCCCGGGCCATCCTGTCGCCCACGTCGCCCCGAGCGGCGCGCTGCTATGCCGTGCTGCGCTTCAGGGCGCCGCTCGCTGCCGCCGTGCCCGGCCCGAGGGCTCTGGATGCATCCGGTCGCTGCTCAGACCATGGGCTTGGCGCGCGGTCGGAGTCCGCCCGTGCGGGCGCGGTAGGCGCGGTGGCTCGAGGCTCAGAGCGCCGGCCAGTGATTTCGCGCAGCCTTAGGCGGGAGGGTGGCCGTTCGGGTGTACTGCGGCGTCGACGACGGGCCGGGACGTGACCGCCGGTCAGGTGTGTGAGGGGGCACGCCGGGGCGACGGCGCAGTGGCCGCGAGCGATCCGGGGGTGGTCGTACGGGGCCTGATGCAAGAACAGAGCCCGGGTGGGAGTCCCAGGGACGGGCTTGGGGGGGTATGAGAGTCGAACTGCGGCCACGCTTGCCACTGCAGGCGAGCGTGCTCACGAACCATCGCATCAGGACAGGCGGGCCGTGCTGAGCGGGACGGGACGCGTCGTCACTGCGCCTGGAGAGAAGAATAGGAGAGGGCTGGCGAGACCATGAGCTCCTCATCGCTGCTGAGCCTACCCCTGATCACCCTAGTGAGCGTCTTCACGCCGCCGCTCTTCATGCTCATGGGCGCAGTCTCCACGGCGCAGTTCGGCGTGCTCTTCCGCGCAATCGTCTACGCTGCTCGTAGCGCCGAGTTCCCCCGCTTCCTGTCCCCGCTGAAACCAGGCAAGCGCAACGCCGAACTGCACCATGCTCACCGCGCCGCTCAGCGCACCAGCGCGGCAACGCCGCCCCAGCGCGCGGCCGGTCCTGGCGAGTGGAAGCAAGGCGGGGAATCGTCCCGCGCGCCGCTGGGTTCCGGGCGCTGTCGCGTTCGGTGCTTCGACTGGCTCGCGAGGGATGTACACAGCCGCGGAACCCCGTCTGCCGCGCCCTCGGTCGCGCCTGCAGGTCTGGAGCAGCTGGCTACGTTCATGGAGTCGTCCCTGGGCCCCGCGCACCGCTTCTCGCCCAACTTCACGCAGTGCATGCTCGCCGCGATCCTCATCTGCCTCCTCGTCAAGCGTCCATGACCGACACGAAGGAAACGCGCCCACGTCGCTCGTGCCATCCGAACAACAACACCAGCCCGCAACGGGGCGCCACGCGCACGAAGCGACCCGCTCCGACCCCACGCGCGCTGGGCCCGGTGCTGCGCCGCGCGGGCGGCGTCGTGGCAGGAGCGCGTCGCTAGAATCGCGGTGTGAGCGAGCGTCAAGCGTTACTTTGTTCGTAGCTGTGGCCTGTACGGCGCCGTGAGACAGACGGACGGTGCTGGGCGGCGCGCAGGGCCACGCCTGGCTGCCGCGTGACGGGGCGCGTGGCGGGGTGCGCGCGGCTGCCGCGTTCGGTTCTCCGTGGCGAGAGAGTGTCAACAGACACTGTGTGCAAGTACACACCCCCAGCGCGTGCGTCCCGCGACGCAGAGGAGCGTGGGGTGGCCGCCGGGAGGCGCCCGCGGGCCAGCATGCGGCCCCGGCGCGCCGCGTGTTGTGTTGCGCGTTGTGTGTGCATGCGCGCCCTCGTGGTGATGTCGTGCCGGCTGGCCGGCCGCCTGCGCGGGAGGGAGGTGTCGGTGGCGCGGGGTTGCTGGAGCCGGCGGGCTCGCTGCGACGCGCGGGTGCGTGGTTGTGTGCGTCGGGGGCCAGCGAGTGTGTGCCGCGGCGTCAGCATTGAGTGTTGTCGCTTAGTGTGAAGCGCCGCAAATTACCCTTGTGACATTGAACCGTCATCCGCCGCGGCACAGGGGGCGGGGGGCCGCAGAGAGGGGGCGTGGCACGAGGGAGAGAGCAGCCGCCACGGTGGCTAGGCTGAGGCGAGAGCGTAGCGCGCGTGAGGGCTCCGAATGAGTAGGAGGTTGCATTGTGGATCAGCATGGAGACGTGCTCCAATCTGAGAATGCGTGTCGTCATCGCCCGCGCAGGCGCAGCCAGCAGGTGGAGGGAGCGCAGGGGTCCAGCGCCGGCCGGAGCGTCATGTCTCGGTATTAAAAAGCTCGATTTGTGACTCCACACTGTGTATTCGGCGTTGGATTTCCTGGACTGGATATTTCGTCATTGACAGACGGGCCGGCGGCTGAGGACCATCAAAGCGAGCTCGCGCGTCGCCAGGGGGGCGCATCATCGCACGGCGGCCACTCACGTGAAATCTTCGTGTAGAGTTGCGTCCCTCAGGCCGCGCACACGCGTCCCCGCCCGCACACGTGCCGGCTACGGGCTCCCAATGCAGGCACCCAACCTCTCGCGAAGCGCGGCGCGACGCACGCGGCAGCCCGGGCCATGCGAGCCGCGCCCCGTCACCACATCGCGCGACGTCGACCCAACGGAGTGCGCGCGGGGCCGGCGCGCCCGCCCCATTGGCGGTGCAACGCAGGTGAGACTGTACGGTACAGTACCGAAAAGAGGTGCGGGGCTTCTACCCGCGAAAGGCCCCTGCGTGCGACGCGTGCAAGGCGGTGCGCGCGCCGAGGCGCCGCGCAAAGGCTCGCTGCGCGCTTCGCGGTGAAGGCACACGCGGGCATCGCAACGTCGCGCACGGCGCGCGCCTGGGAGCAGCTCGGTCGCTTTCGTGCCTCGACGCGCTTCCCGGAGGGCTCAGCCACAGCCTTTGAACTTGGTACGCCGACATTCAATTTCCTCAATTGGTTCGCGCGATTGCGCCCGGTCGCGTCCTCCCGCAAGCCCCGAACGCCCTCCACCGGAAACGCATTTCGTGGGGTGAATGCACGACCGCGCGCCCGGCGCACCCGCGCGACCATCTCGCGCCCCTTTCGCCTAACTTTGCTCTCCATGCACCACCGATGCGTCTGCGTGGCCGAACCGTACCCAAACATCGCCGCACGCGCTGCTTTCGCCCCCCTGCCCCACTTCGGTCCCGCGGGTTGCGCGGGCCCCGCTCCTGACGCGCGCCAGCGCTCCGCAACCCGCGAAATCCGCCGCCCAGTGCTCCATCTGCATGGTAGGATGCAAGAGGTCCCCCGGAACCGCGAGTTCAGCGAGGACCCGCGCGTTCGTCGTGTTTCCCTGCAGGCAATTGTCTGAGACGAGGATATCCGCCCGCCCGCGTCAGCGGAGCTCAGGAGGCGTCGGCTGCCGCGAAGAACCGCTACTGAGCGACGTGTACGGCGGACGTAGCGCCGAAACCGCGGCCACCGGCTAGCATGTCGGGGGTGGCACCCAGCTCGCTGCCTGCGGGCAAAACCGCCGCGAAAGCCGGCCAGCCCTCGGAATCCGGCGCCGCGCAGCGCAAGAAGAGCGCACTGTACGCTCCCGTTCCAACCCCGACCACGATTCTGCCCCGGCCGCGCCCCCACGCGCCCGCCCCCCCTACGCTGCGCGCGATGGGCCCTCCCGCCCCCCGCACGCCCCGCCCCGCGGCGCGCTCACTCCCCCCCGCGGCCCCGCTGCCGCCCCGCAGATGGTTGATCGACGAGAAGGAGGTGTTCATGGAGACGCTGCGCGACCACATGGGCCAGAACCCTCAGACCGTCTTCAAGGAGGTCGCCGAGCGGGTCGCTGCGCTCGGGGCGTCCACGGGCCGGCCGCGCGACAAGGGCGAGACGGAGTGCCGCCACAAGTACGACCAGCTGCGCCGGAAGGTCGTCGAGCGGGAGCGCAAGGTCAACCACCACCCGCCCGAACACCCCGAGAGTGAGAAGTACCGCTGGGCGCAGAGCCGCATGCTCGGGGCCCTGGCCGAGGAGATCGCGCGGGACCACGAGGCCCAGGCGATGAAGGCCGCCAAGCAGTTCCGGCAGGAGCCCGTCGGCCGCCTGTTCACGGACGCGACTTGCACGCCGAGCGCGGGGCCCGGGTACCGCGCCCTGCCGCACGCGTTCCCGAGTGGGATGGGCCTCGTGTCGAACATGGGTCTCCTCGGCCCGGCGAGCCCGATGCCGCACGGCGCGCACGCGCCGATGTCGATGCAGCAGGCGTCGCCGGTGACGCCGTATGGGATGCTGCCGCACGGGGCGTGGGGCATGCCGCCGCCGGTCGCGCCGCACGACGCCGCGGCCTGGCCCGTGCCGCACCCGCACGCGGCCGACGCCGCGGCGACGGGCGGGCCCGGGAGCGTGGGCGGCGACGCGGCGACGGCGTACAACGTCGACTCCGTGACGGACGGCGGCGCCAAGTCCGGGCGGTCGCGGGGCTCCGCGCGCAGCGGGAAGAGCAAGGGCCCGCCCGTGATGCTGCGGCTGTGGCCGGCGGACCCCGACGGCCAGCGGCGCATCGAAACGTCCTTTCGCTTGCGCAACAAGAATCCGTTCATCGATCTGAAGGCCAAGCCCGGGAAGACGGTGCACGCGCTGCTGTCGTTCCTGGAGAGCAAGTGGGCGGACGTCGAGGCGCTCCTGCGGCCGGACGGCGGCCCGAGTGCCACCGCGCCCCTGCGGCTGCGGCTGCAGCCCTTCGCGGGCCGCGGGGCCGAGGAGGGCACGCTGCAGCCGCGTCCCGCGGCGATGGACGTCGTCGTGGGGCCCGCGGGCACGACGAGCGCGAAGGAGCTGGACATCGGCAGCCTGCTGTCGCACGTGTATGGAGAAAGGGCGATGCGGGATGCGGCGGCGGGCGGCGCGGAGGTGCGCGCGGAGCTGCAGTACTCCTGGGCTCCCGCGGAGCCCGTGCGGGAGGCGGCGGGGCAGACGGCGCCTGCGGCGGCGGGGGGGGGTGTGTTGGATGCGTCGCACATGCTGAGTGGCTACGGGAGTTGCGCGACGGGGTCGCACCGCGACAAGGAGGACTCGCTGCTGAACGTGCACGCGGCGGAGGGCGCGGCGGCGCGGCGGACGGGCGATGAGGCGCACACGCGCGGCGGCGCTGACGGCGGGCGCGCGGCGGGGGCGGAGGGGGCCGTTGCGGCGGACGGCGGCGCGTCGGGGTCGATGGGCATGCACAACTTGGACTCGAACTTCCTGAACGATCTGATCGGCGGGAACTCGATGTCGCGTTTCCTGCGCGACCTGGGCGGCGGGGGCAACACGCAAGCAGAGCAGCAGCAGGGTGGTGCGCAGCAGGGGCCGCAGATGGACTCCGCTGCGCAGATGGGCGGCTTCTTGCGCCGCGTGGCCGCGGAGAAGGAGCGGGAGGCCAAGGACGAGGATCCGATCGCAGGGGGGCTCTCCCAGGGTGCCGGGGGAGTGTCGTCAGGGGCGGGGGGGCTGTCGAGCGGCCCCGGGGACGTGGCGACGCCAGTCAAGACGCGCCCCGACGCGCAGGGGGCGTCGAAGCGGGGAACGGCGGTCGGGGCCTCGTTGAACGCGTCGCTGATGCAGACGCTCGCCAAGTCGGCAGGGGGGAGTCTTCTGGACTTCTCCCTGAGCGGCCTGGGCCTGTCCATGGGCGGATTCGTGGCGCCGCCGATGGACTCGCTGCTCGGCGCCGAGGACGCGCGGGCGCAGGGGCCCCCCGCGAGCAAGACGGACACGGAGCAAGGTGCCAAGGGAACACACCCCCCCAGGTCTGACCAGGGCAGCAAGAAGCGCAAGTTGGGGTCGTCGGAACAGCCGACGGCGAAGAAGGGCGCGTTCAGCTTCGCGCTCTCGGCCGCGCAGGGGGGCGCGGCGCCGCCCGGGCACAGCGTGCATGCTGCGGGGTATGGGGGGGGGATGTTGCAGTTCGGAGGGGGGGGTGTCCCGCCGGCGACCTCGGCGACGTTTCCGGGGCTGGCGGGCATGCTGGGCTCGCACGCGCCGTACGTGGCGGCGCACGGGCACGCACCGCAGGCGTTCGGGGGCTTGCCGCACCTGCAGGGCCACCTGCCGTTCCCGCCGACGCAAGCGCCCGGGCCTGCTGGCATGGGCATGCATCCGTGGGGCGCTGGCATGCCGGGGGCTGGTTTCGGGTACGGTTTCGGCCACCCCCCTGCGTGATGACGGACTGACAAATTGATGGCTTTACATGGCAGGGGTGTGGGCCGCCCCGGGCGTGCGGCCGCAGAGCAGGGTGAAAAAAGCGTCCGCGCCGCCACCGCGGCGGCGCAGATGTGACCCCGGTCCGCGACGCCACCAAACAGGCCGCTAGCGCCGTTGCGACATGGTTTCAAAAGTCGGGCGCCGGCAGCGCGCGTCGGCCGCGTCACTCGTCGCCGAGCGCGATCTCGAGCGCGTAGTCGTCCCGCTCGACGAAGCGCGCGTCGTTCGGGTTCGTGGCCATCTCGCGGAAGGCGTTCCCAAACTGCTCCATGTAGATCTCGTCCTCCTCGACAGTCTCCATCTTGCAGTTCTCGAGCGGCACGCTCACGCACATGAGCGCGTAGCCCTGCTCCTTGAGCTTCTTGCTCACGCCGAGCGCGTACGGCTGGTACACCTCGCCCTCCGTGACGCGCACCGCGCACGCAGTGCAACACCCCATGCGGCAGGCGTACGGCAGCTCGAGGCCGGCGTCCTCGGCCTCCATCAGGATGAAACGGTCCTCGGGCACGTCGACCTCGATCACCTGCGGGGAACAGTGCGCGCGGCCGGGCGTGTGGAGCACCAAGCCGAGGTGCGCGACCCGCGCGGCAGGCGATCGCGACGGACAGTGTGTGGGCGAGGTCGGTGTGCCGTGTACGGACCTGGCCGGTGAAGTTGTTGGTGATCTCGACCTTGTGGCGAGGCGCGTCAGAAACGCCCAGCCCCTCGCCGTCACCCCATCCCTCGTAGAAGCCCGCGTGCGCGGCGCGGCCGCCGGAGAGCCGCGACGCGGCGCTGAACTGGTCGTCGATGAACAGGGGCACCGCCCCGTCGCGCTCGTACTTCGCGCGCCACTGCACAAACGCACGGAGACGGCCTGTAAGTCTCCCATCCCCTACGGAGCGCAAACAGACGCGCGAAACAACGCGAGAGCGACGTGCTGCGCGGCCGGGAAGCACGGACGCGGCACTGCCTGCTCGCGCGCTGTGTTGGGCGCGGGAGGCGAAGCAGCCGCGGGGGCGTGGCCGGCACGCTCGGGCGCGCTGCACCGACACATCTGGGGGCGGCGCGCGGCGCCCGCACCTCCTCCGTGGTCAGCTCCGCAATGCTCTGCGGCCGCCACTCCTCGCCGTCCCCGCCGCGCACCGCGCCCTGCGAACAAACGCCGGGAGAGAGCGTGGTCGCTACATTCCTGCTAGGACCTGAACACTCGATCTCCCAGCAACATCCAGCCTTGGACGCCCACATGAGCGTTCAGGCCGGAATCCGCGCAGGCGGCGAGCTGGAACGAGCTCGTGGGCGCCCCGAGCGCGGGCGTTTGGCTCGAGTTGCCACTCGAGGAGAATTCCAGAGCCTCTTGCCTGTTTCTCAGCAGCTCCCATCTGGCCCGTCTTCCCATCCGCCTGCTCGCCCAGGTCCCCTCCGAGCGTGAGGCCGATGGGGCCGAGCGACACGTTCGCCTTCTCCGCGATCTTCTGGGCGATGTTGCGGCCCTCGCCGTCCTCGCCCGACGCCCGGCAGCGCACCAGGCGGGCCGGCCTTGTGCAGGGGGCCGGGCCCGCGAGGCGGCACGTGCGCATCGCGGGAGCGGCGACGCTCTGGGCGAGAACGTTCGTCATGGTTCTACACGCGGCTCGATTCGGCCCGAACGCGGCCGTGCGCGCCTGCAAGCGGACTGTCGTGCAAATCGCAGAGGTGATCCGTTGAGCTGCGCTCGTGGGTGCTATAGAGCGACTCGGCGACGTGCTGCGAATGTGGTGAGTCAAGGGCGACGCGACGCGCATGTCGACGGGGTGCGCCGCACGCCCTGTCCTCGCGCCCTGACGCTGGGGACCCCTCCAGTGCGTCACCGACACTGGACAGCGACGGAAGCCGCGGCTCGTTGTGCGAAACCAACGAATAGCACGTAGACAAGCGGTGAGGATCGGAAATTCGCAGGATGCGGGCGGAAGCTGGCCGCATGCTGCGCTGGGCGCTGCTGGCCCTCGTGCTGGCGCTGATGGCGCTCGGGTGTGCTGCGGAGACGAAATATGTCGGACGGGACATCCCCAAGCCGGACTTCGAGCGGATGCGGAGGGAGGCGGAGGAGCGCGGGCCGCGAAAGCCGCGCATGCAGGGCAGGCACCCGGGGCAGGGCTCCAACATTGACTTCAACAGGGTGATGGCGGCGATGCAGCTGATGAGCGCGATCAACGGCCAGGGCTCGGAGTCGGTGAGAGTCTTCTCCACTGCACGACGGCAGGATTCACCCTGTCGGGCCGTGTCCAGCTGCGTGGCGACGTAGGAAGCTTCTGCAGGACTTGTGTGCCGTCCGGCCGGCGCTCGCGATCCGCTGCATGCCCCCTTCTCGGCGCCGCTGCGCTGATGGATTCCATGAGATGCGCACGCGGCGCCTTTTTGGCGCCATTGTGTCCGGATATTCGCGAAATCTCACCCTGTGGAGTCTCCGCGCTTGCGGCCCCCGCAGGAAGGACCGCCCGGACGAGCCACCGCGGCGAACCCGTTCGCGGGCATGTTTGGGGGAGCCACGCACAACGCGCTGATGCGGGGGGCGCAGGTGACCGGGTTCTCCCGCGCGGGCCTGGAGTGGACGGCGCCGCCCAACAGCAAGCTCACGCACAGCCCGAAGATCGAGGTGCGAGGGCGCCCGCTCCCGCCAGACAGCAGAGCAGCACTGTGCCTGGTGCTGCCCGGCGCGGCGTCCCAGCCGCCGCGCACGCAGGCATCCTGCCATCGGTAGAAGGCAGCGCACCAGACATAGGTGCTGTTGCGCCCGTTGCCGCAGCCGAGCCAGGAGAACACGGCGGACGAGACTGGCCGCGCGGTGTCGCTGCTGATCTATGACCTCAGCAACGGGCTCGCGAAGCACATTTCGAAGGACATTTTGGGGACCAAGATTGGGGGGGTGTATCACACGTCGGTGGTGATCGACAACGAGCCGGGGGAAGAGGGCCGCACGGAGTACTTCTACTCCTTCGGCGTCAGCAATGGCCTGCCCGGTGAGTCCCCGCCGGTCTAGCAACCTGCTCATCTGCGCCTGCTTGTCTGCGACGCTGCGCTTCGTGTTGGCCGTGCGCACCGGCGTGACGCGACGCACGCACTCGCGGCCCGCGTGCAGGCGACACTCCGTTCGGCAAGCCCATGAAGGAGAAGCCCATGGGCCGCACGACGGCGACGCCTGAGGAGCTGGAGACCATCCTGGAGCGCTTGGGGGGGGAGTTCCGGGAGGACAATTACGACGTCATCACGCACAACTGCAACAACTTCAGCCAGGAGCTGCTCAAGCGGCTTCCTGGGCTGCAGCAGCCCGACGGGGCGCCCGCGGTCGTGCCGAAACCGATCATGCGGCTGCCGTACGTGGTGCAGTCGAGCGAGCTGGGGCAGATGCTGGTGCCGATGTTCAAGGCGATGCAGGAGAAGCTGCTTGGGAGGGACGCGGCGGGGGCGCAGGCGGACGGCGGCGAGTCGAGCAGCCAGGAGTCGGACTCTGAGCCTGAACTATAATAAATCCCCGAATCATTTTGACGCTGACCCGCGAGACTGCGCAACGCGAAACCTGTCGGACGTGAGCCGTCTCCCTGCGGATGCTGCGTCACGAACAGCGACAGGCAGGCAGCCGCGGCCCGTTCCGTTCACGAGCCCCAGTTGTGACTGTGGCGTCGGGCAACAAGCGGTGGCGTCGATCGGGCTCCTGTGCGACTGCACGGGGACAGAACTGCAACACGACGTGTATCACTGCGTTGTCTGTCATGCGCGCGGGTATTCCACCGCTGTCGTTGCTCTCGACCGCCCTATATGGTCATGGCTTTGCCCGCAGTGCGCTTGCTCTGCTGCATGACACTCACTGCACGGGCGTGGCGTTGACCATCCTGACGTCGCCTTCCGCTGCCTTCTCGACCAGCAGGAACAGGTCGCGCGGCCCGGTCTGGAAAGCCATCCTGACCGACAGCTGCGGCCCCTGGAAGTGCCTCAGGGGCTGCAGGAACGCCTCGGCCCGGCCCTTGTCGCACTTCGTCGCCTCGTACACCCAGACCCCCCCCGCGCGGTCCCACAACACCACGGTGTTCGTGTGCGGGGCCAGCACGCCCCCCAAAAGCCCGTCCGGCGCCCCCGCGGCCCCCGTGGGCGCGCCGTCCGCGGGCCGCGGCGTCGGACGGTACTGCTTCGACCACCCGCTTTCACTCCAGTGATCCGTGCCCGGGATGACGTCAGGCCCCCACGTGAACGCCCCGACGTCAGTGATCGCGAGCGAGCGGTCCTTGTCGCCCGCCTCGACGCAGGTGACGGCCGTGGCGCGCGGCAGCAGGATGCGGGTGGGCGACTCGCTGTAGACGGTGGTGAAGCCGTACGCACGGCTGAAGCGCTCCTTGACGCGCTGTCCGACGGTCCAGATCTCGTCGGGGCAGTTGATGCCGCGCAGCGCGTACACGAGGTGGTGGTCGCCGGCTGCGTCGCGACGGGGCGCGAGGGCGTGGGGGAGGATGTGTTTCCAGGCAAGAACGCGAGAGCGGCCCGTGGCAGGAGCGGGAGAAACTGTGGTGCCGCGGGGGGTGTGTCGTCGTGTGACATGACGCGAGAGCAACCCACCTGAGACGCTGAGAAACTGCTTGCCGCCCGGGGGGTCGACGACGCACCGCATGTAGTCTGCAGCGACACGGAGAGCTGCGCGGCGGTGTCGGCGCGAGCGTTGCAAGGCGCTGTGTAGCGCATGCGCAGCAGTCGCCCGCCTTGGTCGCACTGGCGTGCCGGGGCGTGCGCGCACTGACCTTCGTCGAGCGTCTCCCAGTCGGGCGCACCAGCGCCGACGGACAGCAGGGCCTTCTTGAGGTGGTTCGGCGCGTCCTCGGTGGTCCAAATGTGCATTTTGCCGTCTGGGCCGATGGCAGCCGTCATCCAGTAGCCGGCCGAGAAGTCGATCGGCGGCGGCGGCGGCGGCAGGGCGCCCGCGGGTGGCTCCGGCGGCGTGAGGTCCAGGAGGTGTGTGTACTTGTACTCCTGCGAGTGACAAACGCGCAGGGAGCAGCGGGGGATGACGTGGTCTGGCAAGGAACACTGCAGTGCGGCTTTGAGGGCTCCGTCGCTCGTGGTTTCAGGGGTCGTGCTGACGGTGTCATGCTAGAGCGCGCGCTGGCGTTGGACCGCAAAGCAAGATGATGTTGTTCCTGCGTTTGGTCACCTCATCGTAGCTGAGGCTCCGAATCCACAGCTGGTGTTTGTTGTCCACGATCGCGAGCTGCTTGCCGCCGATTTCCGCCTTCACGATCTTCTCGCCGAGCTCGGCCGGGCGCGGCGTCGGCCCTGTGTACCCTGGCTTCACGTTGCTCGGTACGCTCTTGGACTCGATTATCACCTCCTCTTTCAGCTTCCTGCCGATGATATCGGCCTGAAGCAACACCATGCCGCCATCTGCTCGCAGCGGGAACGCACACCACGTCCGTGGGAGCCACTGTAAGTTGCACCTTGACACGGCGGCCTGCGGTCGCTGCGGCGCCTCCGTTGCCTGGAGCGATATGACGGCAACCTCACCTTTCTTCCACACTACCGTCTTGCCAATGTGGCAGCTCGCCCCGACCCACGCGCTGCAGTCCTTGGTCCCCTCCGACTTGTACGGCTTCACTTCGCCATAGATCCTCTTCCCCGGGGGGGTCTCCGCCGTCAGCAACGCGAGCTCCGCCAGGCCCCGCGAGCCAGGCGCCGCCATGGCGACGGCGGCGGAACGGCCCTCCTGCCGCTGCTTGGAGTACCGGCGCTTAAGGAGAGCCGCACAGGCGAGTGAACGGCGTCTTCTGGGCGACGGAATCGTCCAATGACTAGCGTGCGCACCTACCGCCATGGCGCACGCCGAAGATGTGGTGCCGGGCGCGTGGCTGGCCAGACAGACGCGGAATCAGGTTCCGAGGGGACTCACTTCGGGGGCTCCCGCGGGGGCGATGCGGGTCGCGGAGCTGGCTCGTGGCGCAGTCGCTCCTCGCATGCTCGCCTTCACTGTCACCTTGGCGATCATGGTGCCCCTCGGATAGCTCGCGGGGAGGTGCAAAGGAGAAGTTGAGCTGGGATGGCGCCTCATGCGGGGGAGGGCTCGGGGGAGCGCAGCGACCCAGACGACGAAGATGAGCTGCTGATCGATGTGCCGGACGCGGATAGCGATCCAGAGGGGAACACATCGCAGAGCCGGTGGTGCAGCGGATGCACGCGCTCGCACCGCGCCTGCGTCTGCGCCCACATTCCGTCCAACCTGGAATCCAGGCTGCGGGGAAAGATCATCATACTCCAGGTTCGTGACCAAGCATGAATGCATCCAACTGCCCAGCCTCCCTGCGCTCCAACGCACGCTGCTCCTGCTTACGCTCTCGCGCCCGTTCCCCTTCCCAGCACCCCCACGAGGAGTCCCGCAACATATGCACGGGCCGCCTGCTGGCCAAGTGCGTCCCGGTGACCATCCTGCGGAGCCGGACGTGTCCGAGCGGCAAATTCCCAGACCTCGATGCGGCTCTCGACGACGCCCGCGACGGACGCGCGCCGCTGTACGTCATGTACCCGGGCCCGGGCGTGCAGGACCTCGCGAACCTGCCGCGCCCGGCCGACCCGCCCCTGGACCCCGCGCAGCCCCCTGACGCAGCAAAACACCCCTCCTATGCATACTACCTCTTTTTGATCGACGCGACGTGGCACCAGGCGAAGGAGATGTGGCGGCACGCGCGGGAGCGACTGCTGGCGCACGGGCAGCAGTGCATCGTGCGCGGCGGAGCGGCCGCGAGCGGGTTCGCGATGCCAGACGGGGAAGGCAACGGAGAGACGCCGCTGCCCGGTCCGGCGCCGTTCCTGCTGATGATGGAGCCGCAGGAGGGCATGATGACGACGATGGAGTGCGTGGCGCGCGCGCTGGGGTGCCTGGAGGGCCCTGACGTCATGGATGCCATCCTGCGGCCCCTGGGGGCAATGGTAGAAATACAAGCGCGGTACGACCCCGCGGTGCGGTGCCGGACCGGGCGGTAGACGATCGCGGGCGTCTGAGAAGGGCGTGTGGACGAGATAGGTCTGAGCGTCCAAATAGGATCGAGTGATCTTTGATAAGATGATTATTACAAGGCTGGCCGTGCAACGCGACGGCTGCCTTCCGTCGCCGGCTGCACTACTCGCTATATACAGATACACATCGCAGTCACGCTGCGACACTCCGACGGTGCTGTGACGTCACCACGACTCAACGCAAGCACCGCCGTTCCTCAACTGCTGCGCCCCTGCACGGGCGCACCCGCGCCGCCCGCGCGCACCACCTTCATGAGCTCGCTCTTCGTCGACTGCATCACCTCGGACCCGCGGCCGAACGCCCACGGCACCACCTCCTGCAGCTCCGCAAAGGCCGCTTGACGCAGGATGCCCAGCCGCATGCTCGCCGAGGTTTCCCACTGGAACGTTCCGCCCATCGGGCCGCCCGCGAGGTGCGCCTGGCATCCCAGCAGGTGCAGGGTGCGCACAGTGCACTTCGCCGCGGGCTCCCCGGCGCTCCGAGCCTCCACAAAAGCAACGTGGTTGCAAACCGCGCGCGGGTGCGCCGCGAGGGTCCGCAGCGCGGGGAAGGCCGGGAGCGGGAAGAGCGCATCGAAGCAGCAGTCGACGGTGAGGTCCTCGAGCTGCGTCAGGTGCGCGAGCGGGTGCGGCGCCCCGCCTGGCACGTAGCGCTGATGCACGTGCGCCGTGTCGCTGCGGTACGCCTGCTCGTCCGAGGAGAGCGTCAGCCGCCGCAGCCTGCTCGGCAGCGCTCGCACGAGCCCCGCGTGCCACGACCCGAGCCGGAGCTCGACCTCGCACAGCGCGCGACAGCTCGCGCTCGCAGCCCACGCGTCGGCGGAGAGCGTCGCGTTCTCGAGGCAGAGCTTCCGGAGGCGCGTGAGCGTCGGCGGCAGCGGCGCGTTGATGCAGACCGCGGCCCAGACGTGCGCCTCGCGGATCTCGAGCTGCTCCAGCTGCGACAGGCCGGCAACCGGTGCCCAGGGGTCCGTCTCCGGCGCTCCGGGGCTTGCGAGCGTCGCCCAGGGGGCGCAGCACAGCAGGGTGAGCTCGGCTCCCAGCTGGGGGAGTGTGGCCGCGAGGAAGTCGGCCGCCAGGCGAGCCCCTTGCCCCGCGACTCGCAGCTCCCGGAGTCCTCCCAAGTGGGGCAGCGCGCCACACGCGCTCCTGGTGCGCTGCGGAGCACAAAGAGGGAGGCTATGTGAGCCACGCGACATAAGCGAAGCTTTGTGGGCCACGTGACACGCTGGCGGAGTGACATCACCGCGTGGCGAGAGAGTTCCGCAGGGCGGCGGCGGCGGAATACCCTGAAGGAAGGAAGGGAGCACTCAGGGCGGAATGTGGCGCGGGGGACGCTGGCGGGCGCGGTGCGTCCTTACCAGTGCGCGGCTCTGCTCCGGTCCGGGGCTCCACTGCGCGAGGTCGCACCCGTCGACGCACACCCGGACCGTTGCGCCCTCGCCGCGGATCTTCCCGAGGACGCGCGCGAGGGCCTTGCTGAACTTCGCGTTCAGGAAGAGGTTCTTCGGGATCGAGTACGCCCGCGAGGAGACGCAGCTCTTGGGAGAGCCCTGGCCGTGGAGGTCCGCAAGGCGCACCTCGAGGTTGTGTAGCAAACGTGCGGCTGGGAGGATGGCCGTCACGGCCGCAACGGCCGCGGCGTAGTGCTCGTCGTTCGTGGTGTCCGTCGAGTCGATCAGCCGCTCCGACATGTCGAGGCGCACGACGACAGCGACGCGCCAGTGCCCCGCCTCACGTGCGGCTGTGCGCTCGAGCATGGCCACGAGCGAGGGCATCCACGCCGTCAACACGGTGGGAACATGCGAGAGGCACACCCGTTGCGCGGCGGCGTCGACCATGTGCCGCAGCGCGCGGGACGAGAGCCTAACTGCACACACAGCACACAAGCAGCGAGATGAGACAGCCGGTTGCGCATCTCGGCGATCCGAGCGGCTCAGTCGCATGCTCAGCGCACCATTTTTCAGGTCGGCCTGCGGCAGCCGCGACAGAACCGCGGCGTGCAGGTCCCGGGGGAGGTTCAGCAGGGCGGCAGCCGCACTGCTGTCCGCACCGTCCATCGCGCCCCGCGTACCGCGAGCGCGCTCACGCCCACCATGCACACATGCCCGCGCGAGTGGACGGAAGTGGTTGCCCGCTCCCGCGCCCGGTGCTTCATGCTCCCAGCCGGAATCCGTCATACCCTACAAAAAGACCCCCAACTACCCCCCGCGCTCGCGCCGGCTGCGGACGCGCGTCGCAGCAGAGCCTACATATACGGGTCGCTCTGCGTCACATGCGACAGCACGACGCCCATCGGCCTCAAGCCGCTCAGAATCGGATCACACACCTTCGCATGCCTCCCCAGCATGTCAGACCTGAGGGTCGGCCAGGCTGCACCCACGCGGCGCCCAGAAAGCGAGGTTCCATCACGGTGTCACGGTCCCTCTACTCCCTTCGTCGATGCACCATCGTCATCAGCTCCAACCGCGTGGATTCCAGCACCTGGGACCGCAACCCCTGCGCGAACGGAACGACCTCCTCCAGCGCCGCGAACGCCGCCTCGCGCTCGAGCTGCTGACGCAGCGTCTTGGCCGTCTGCAGCAGCACCCGCCCGCCGCCCATGCAACACGCCAGGTACGACTGACACCCCATGACGAACAATCTCCGCACGCGAGTTGCCGGCTCCGCACATGCGTCGTCGCCAGCGAAGACCGGTCCCAAGCGGAACGCACGCGCGTTCACCGCGAGCGTTGTCAGCGACGGCAGCGGCGGCAGCGGCAGAAGTCCGTCGAAGCAGCAGTCAAGTATAAGCTCGCTCAGTCCCGTCAGGTGGGCCAGCGCGTGCTCGCCACGCGGTCCCTCGTATCGTGCGTGGTGGTGCGACGCCACGCTGAGGTGCCGCGCCGCGTCCGTCGACAGGTGCAGGCGCTTCAGCCCGCGCGGCAGCACACGCACCGTCTCCGCCGCCCACACGCTCAGGTGCAGATGCAGATCCTGGAGCGCCCCGCACGCCGCGTGCTGCCACGCCAGCTGCGACAGATTGACCTGGTCGAGCACGAGCTTGCTGAGACTTGACAGCCCGGGAAGAGGCGCGAAGATGCAGCTGGGCGTGCCGTTGCGCGTCGCAGGGTCCGGGGCGTGCAGCTCGAGGTGCTGGAGCCGAGCCAGACCCTCGATCGGCGCCCACGCGTCGCCGCTTGGGTGGTCCGGGTCCGCGGGGGGCGCCAGGAGGGCGGGCCAGGGAACGCATGAGAGGTGCGTCAGGCTGCGCAGGCCCGGGAGAGTCGCGGCGAGGTGCGGGGCGGCGCCGTGGACGCGCAGGGCGTCCACGTGCCCGAGCAGGGCCAGGGCGTCGCAGGCGTCTTTGGATGCCTGCAGGGGGGACAATTTGTGTTGTTGGCGTGGGTGCGTGATCGCCGGCAGGCTGAGCCGCGAGCTGCGTATCTGCGCTGGCGGAACGCTGCGAGGCGCGGCTGTCGTACCTTTCTGGTCGCCGCGGTCTCTCCCGCGGCCGACCGGGGGGTCAAATCGCAGGTGTCGACATATGCTGAAACGTGGGCTCCCGTCGCCGTGCGGATCGCATCGAAGGCCCGAGCGAGTCCCTTTGTGAGCTGCGCGTCGAGGTAGAGGTTGTCGCTGCCCCTGGACGTCGCGGTTCCGGGCCTGTCTGGCTGCGCAAGTCCATGTAGGTTCATGATGTGCACTTGCAAATTGCGGACGAATCGCGCCGCCGGCAGCGTCGTCAACACCGTGTCCACGTACAGGTCAACGTTCGTTGACGCGCCGTTGTAGACGACGTCCTTGCAAATATCGAGCTTCACCGCCAGCACCGGCAGTCTCCACTGCGGGCCCTCAGCAGAAACGGTTCGCCGGAGCATGGCCTCCACGGCCGGCATGTCGACGGACCCAGCGGAGCCTTGCACGGTGATGATGCGTGCGGCGGAGTCCACCATGTGCCGCAGCGCGCGGGTCGCGAGGCGAACTGCGAGAGAGTGACGACACACCAGGCGTGGGGGGCATAGGCGTGAATCGCAGCTCGGAGGGCGCAAGGAGCCACGCGAATCGGCGCAAAAGCAAGATCAATGCTCACCATTGTGCACCTGGCCTGCACTGAGGCGTGACAACACCTCGTGCTGCAGGTGTCGGGGGAGAGCCAGGAGAACGTCCACGGCCTGCATCTCCGCACCCATCTTGCTGACGAAGGCACAAGAGCCGCAATTCGGCGAATTCGTGACCATCTCGACCGAAAAACTGCGCGCAAACGCGCCCGGCTGCGCCCAAAAGCTCGCTTCCCGGGAGCGGGGCCTCAGCGCGCTCCGGCTGACTGGGCCCGGTCCGACCGAAAACATACATAGTCCCGCGCCCGCACGAGAAAACGGAACGCAGTGCCGCGAGCTGCACGACATGCCGCCGCCCCGCGATCTCGGCCGCCATTTGCCCAAGTCACGCAGAAACAGAAACAGTCTCCCAAGCCTTGCTCACAAGGCGCCCCGCTTGCCTTCCCGGACCTTACGGGCCGCCTCGACCATGCCTCCGAACGCCGTGGAGGGGTCGGCGGCCAGCTCCTTCGGCACGCCGCGCTCCACGAGGTTGCCGTTGCTGAGCACAAGCAGGCCGTCCAGGTCCAGCACGGTGTCGATCCGGTGCGCAATCACGAGCATGGTGCACTTCCGCGCCTGGCTCACCCGCCGCAGCGCCGCGCCCACCAGCGCGTCGGTCTTCCCGTCCACCGCTGACGTCATCTCGTCGCAACACACAATTCTCGCGTCCTGCGCGAAACACGCCGAATCCGCAGCAATCGTTGCATCAGTCGGCAGCTACCTCCACGAACAGGCAACGACAAAGCCATCTCAAGTCAACCGTGAAGTTGCGCACCTGCAGCAGCGCCCTCGCGAGGCACAGCAGCTGCCGCTGCCCCGCGGAGAGGTTGTCCCCGTGCTCGGCCACAGGGGCGTCCAGCCCGCCCATCGCCTCCGCAGCCTCCCCCATCTGCACCTCCCGCAGTGCTGCCCACAGCGCATCGTCCCCCTTGGCCCCGAACGGGTCCAGGTTGAGCCGCAGCGTCCCCGAGAACAGCGTCGGGTCCTGCGGGATGATCGAGATGCGCCGCCGCAGCGCGTCCGCCCCCAGCGTCGCGGTGTCTATTCCGTCAATGCGCATACTTCCTTGAGTGATGTGAATTAGACGGAAGAGGGTGAGCATCAGCGAGGACTTGCCGGAGCCCGTGCGCCCGACGACGCCGCAGGACGTGCCGCCGGGGATCGTGAACGTCAGGTCCCGCAGCACCAGGGGGAGTCCCGCACGGTATCGCGCCGACACCCCCCGATACTCGATGACCCCGGCCCCGGGCCAGCCCTGCAAGCACATCAAGACAGAGCACGAGGTCGGCGAACGGCTAGCGCTGCTGTGTGCTGTAAGCTCGCGCGCGATGCAACGCACCTCTGGGGGGGTCCGTGCGCCCTCCGACACCCACTTGGCCTCATGCGGCAGGTTGGCGTACTCGACCATCCGCTCCGTGCTGGTCATGTGGTTCTCCAGCTCCGCCGTCTGCCGCACGGCCCACTGCATCAGCCCGCTGAGCTGCAGGACGTTGGCCACCATCACGGCCACGAGCTCCGACGACACGCTGCTCTTCAGGGCGATCGTCAGGCAGCAGCACGACAGCAGCACGAGCCCGGAGATGAGGTCGAGCTTGAACCCGATCCACCGCGACGTCCCGATGAAGCAGGACCACCAGCTGGCATTCAAATCGAGCATCGCTGCGAACGCACGCAGGAAGCGCGGCTGCGCGCGGTACGCGCGGATGACGGGCAGGCCCTTGAGGGCCGCGGAAAAGGCGGCGAACACGGGCGACCGCGTGGTCGCTTCGAAGCGCTTCACCTCCCGGGACGCCCCCAGGTACCTCCGTCTGACGAAGTAGAACACCGCGGCGAGGGGGAGGAGTGTTGGGAGGACGAAGGGCACCGCGACGGCCACGAAGCCGAACGCGGCGACCACGAGCAGCCCGGACTGCAGCGGCAGGGAGCGGCGCGCCAGGCCGTTACAAAACAAGCACTTGAAATGACACACAATGTCTTGCTGCGTTCCGAAGAGCGTGTGCGTGGCTGTGGTTGCGTCGGTGGGTGGGGGGCGTGCCTGCATGGAGTCGAAGAAGACCATCGGCATCTGTTCGTCGACGATGCCCTGGTCCTTCGAGAAGCGGTTGAGGACGCGGCCGGTGGGGTTCGTGTGGAAGAACTCCAGCGGCGACCGCAGGACGCGCATCGACATCTCGTCGTGCAGCCGCGTGGACGCCCCAAGCGCCAGCAGGAAGAACAAACCGCTGCGCAGGACGCTGGCCACGACCACGCCCGCCGTGAGGGCGCCGTAGCCCCAGATCTGCCACGTCTCGTCCTGCTCGTCCGGCGGCGCGTCCGCCCACCGCGCCAGCCACACCTCGTGGAACATGGCGAGCCCTTGCCCCGCCAGAAGCAAAATCAAGACTACGGATGCACCGGGAAGGCCCATCTGGACCACGAACGCCCAGTACACGCCCCAGCTCACGCTCCCCGTGATCGTCTTCTCCTCTCGAACCAGCTCGGTGCGCGCCTTGGCCAGCTTCTTGTCCCCGGCGCTGTCACTCCCCCCCTTGCCTCCATCACTCCCCTCCGTCTTCCCCTCCGTGTCGTCCGTGCTGCGGTCCCCCTCGTCCGCGCTCCCCTTCCCATCCTCCCCGCCCTTCTCGTCGTCCAGGACGTCCACCGTCAGCGCCTCCGGCGCGATGTCCGCCACGTCTGCCGCCGCGCCCGTTCCTGCGGCCTTCTCCGTCGCCGATGTCGGAGCGATCGCGTCCTCGATCGCCCCCCGCACCTCCTCGTACGGACCGAGCGCAGCTATCCGCCCCCCGCGCAACACGAGCACGCGGTCGCACCGCGGCAAATACTGCCGCTGGTGCGTCACCAGCACGCGCGTCCGGCCCGCCATAACCCCCCCCCCACCGATGCACTTCTCAAACAACGTCGCACCGACCCGCGGGTCCACCGCCGACAGCGGGTCGTCCAGCAGCACCACGTCCGTCTGCGAGAACGCCGCGCGCGCCAGCGCGAGCCGCGCCTTTTGGCCTCCCGAAAGATTGATACCGCGCTCTCCCAGCTCTGTCTCGTCGCCGTCCGGGAGCGCCGCGATGTCCGCGGGCAGCGCGCTCGCCGCGACCGCCGCGCGGTACCGCTCCTCGAACGCCGCGGCATCGCGCGGGGCCTCCGGCGCGGCAGCGCCGAACAGCACGTTTTCTCTCAGGGTGCCTTGCACGATCCAGGGGTTCTGGGAGCAGTACGCGACGGCGCCGGCGACGGCGGGGGACGGCGCGTCGCCCGCGGGCGGCAGCTCGCCGAGCAGGCCGGCCAGGAGGGAGGACTTTCCGGACCCCACCGGCCCACACACCCCCAGGAGCTCCCCCCGCGCAACAGTGAGCTCGATGTCCTGCAGGGCGGTGCGGCGCAGTGATCGCCTCGGTTCGGGGGCGACGCTGCCTCGCACCGGGCGATCCGGCGCTGCGCAAGCGGCAACAACGATCCAGAGGGCGTTCAGGTGGGGAGAAAGGGGGGTTGTTTTGTTTTGTTGTACCTTGAGCACGGGGCCGATGTTCGCCCTGCGCTGGCTCGCCGCCGCCGCCCACGGATCCTCGCTCGCGGTAGATTTCGCGCTCTTCGACCGTCCGCGCCGCGACATCGCCGCCGCCTCGCCCGCCGCGGCCCCGATGGCATACGTGCGCCTGCCCCCCTTCGCGCTCTTGCCCTCCGCGGCGTCTCCGCGCGTGGACACCTCCGCGGCCTCCCCCCAGTCGAAGTCGCACCGCGGGACCCGGATCGCGCACGCGTCCACCGCGTCTCCGCCCTTGAGCGCGTTGGGCGCCGGCGCGTCAGGGAGCGACAGAAACCGGTCGATGCGGCGCACGGCGATGCGGCCCTCCGTGAGCGTCTCGACGCTGCGGACGAAGAAGATCGCCATCCACAGCCGCGGGAGGTTCAGCAAGGCCATGGTGTAGAACACTGACGGAACCGAAAGCTCCTTTCCGACCATGCGCGCGGTGGTGAAGGTGAGAAACGCCACGAGCGGCACGATCATGAACTGGACGGAGAAGTTCGTCGCGACGATCAGCGCGCGCTTGCGCAGCACGCTGTGCTCCTTGGACCGCAGCCCCGCCAGCTGTCGCGCGAGCGGGGCCTCCCACGCCGCGAATTTCACGGCGAGGGCGCCGGCGATGGCCTCGCCCGCGAGGCGCACGCGCTCGTCGGTGACGGCCGCCGCGCGGGACCGCAGCCGGCCGAGCAGGCGTACGAGGGACCCCTGAATGGGAATGAGCGCCAGCACCGCAGATACGCCGACGAACGCCGGGGCAACGCCGAGCTCGAGCGCGACGAGGACGAGGACAACGACGAGCTCGATCGGCGCGACCAGCACGAACGGCCAGAACGGACCTGCACGTTCGGGGACGGGCGCTTCGAGCGGTCAGGTCATGTTGATGTTTTTCATGGCAACGCGGGGCCCTGGCGCTGCTTGCGCGTGCAGTCCAGCAGCGGGACGGCGCGCAGGGCGCGTGCGCGCACCCATGTCGTCGAAGCGGCGGACGTCGTTCGACACCAGGTTGACGATCTGCCCGGTGGAGACGCCGGCGAGCGCCGCCGTGTTTAGGCGCAACACTTTGCTGTGGATGGCCGACATCGCCATGATGCGGGCGCGCTGGCCGAGGCGCATGCCGTTGTAGAAGAGCACGTGGTGGCAGAGCATCATCCCGAAGCTCGTCGCCGTCAGCAGCAGCCCCCAGAGCCAGCCCTCTGCCATGGGGGGTTTGTCGCCATCCTCGCCGTCGTCTTGGAGCCAGGAGAGGAACTCCTTCAGGAATATAGGCCCGGCTATGCGGACGACGATCTCGGCGCACGCGAAAACGAACTGGAGCGCCATCTTCGGCGCGAAAGCGCGCACCATTCCAGCGCCGATGGACCTCCGGCCGCCCTGCGCGCCGGCGTAGGGCGCGCCGGCCCTGTCGAGCAGCGCGTCCAGCGTATCTGACGTGTCCGCGCGATTCAGGTGCGGCATTGCGTCGCGTTCCTGCGAGACAGACACGTGGGCGGCGCCGAGCTGGGTTCCTGGCGCGAGGCCTCCCGCAGCTGCCAGCAGCGCTGGGCCGTGACATGGGTACAAAAACGAGCCGTGTGGCGCCGTCTTGATCCACACTAATCGCAGGGCAGCGGAACGACGCCCCACAATTCATGGAGACGCCGGCAGCCGCCTCGAGGTGGTGCAGCGCGCACCTCGATTTGCTGTTGCGCGCCCAATCGGAGCAGGCGCGTGATCCAGCCGAAATACACCCTCTTGTAGAGCGGCGACTCATCGTGCGACAGGCTGTGGTCGGCGGCGTCGGGCACGCAGCGGCCCTCCTGGGCCCTGCCCTCCACCGCACCCATCCTTCCCTCGAATGCGAGGCGGGCCCTCGATCAAACACCACCGCAACACCGTCCGTGACGAGGGAGTCGTGTCCGCGCCTCGCCTGGGAGCGCGCACGGCGCGCAGGGGCGGGAGTGACGGCAGCTGCCTGCGAACGCAGCAGAGGTGTTCAGGAAATCGACCCTCACGCAGCGATCGGACAGCGCACACGACGCAGCTTCCCCACTTCGCCGCGCCGGAAATCGGCGCGCCCCGCCTGAGCCAGTGCCAACATGCCCCGCAGGTGCGTTGCACCGCATGTCTGACAGTGCCAACACCCCCCCCCCGGACAGCGGCCCGCCCCGGGTGCTGCCCGTGGGGCGTTCGGGCCTAGGCATGCTGCACACGGCGAAGGGCGCGTGGCAGACGCGCCTACAGAGCCGCATGAAAGACCTAGACTAGCGGCTGGAGCGTTGGCGGCGGCGGAGGACCGACGCGCGTGGGTTGCGTGTTGGGACGAGTGCGGACCCGCAGCCCGAGCGACGGCTCGCGGGTGAGGTGAGGTGTGACGCACGTGTCCGGCGGAGAAGCAAGGTTCACAAGTTGCGCGTCCACGATATCCGGCTTCTACTCTACCGGAACGGGCTGGTTGTGCGGTGGCCCCATTCCACAAGAAGGGCACCGGAACGGTGTTGGTTGCAGCCCCGGGCGTTCGGGCGGGGCGTGGGGTGGCCGCGTCGAGCCGCGCAGCGAAAGAGGCGCGCGCAGCGCTTACGCCGCCGCGGAAGGCTGCATCTGCATCTGGCCCTGCGCCGGCATCTGGCCCTGCATCATCGGGTCCTGCATCATCTGCCCCTGCATCATCTGCCCCTGCATCGGCTGGCCGTAGCCCGGCATCTGACCCGGCATCATCTGCCCCTGCATCGGCTGACCGTAGCCCGGCATCTGGCCCGGCATCATCTGCCCCGGCATCATCTGGCCCGGCATCGGCTGGCCGTAGCCCGGCATCATCTGGCCCGGCATCGGCTGCCCGTAGCCCTGCTGCATGGGCATCTGCGGCTGGCCCATGTTGACGATGACCGGGGCCGCCTGCTGCTGCGGAGCGTCCTTCTGCTTCTGGACCTTGCGGTTCGGGTCGAAGCCGGTGTGGTCGGCAACCTGCGGCGACGGTGCGGGCTCCCGCGTCAGTCAGTCCAGGGTCCCTGACTCAGCCCGCGGGCGACGCCGCCCGCCGAGGCTGGAGAGAGTTCGGGCGAGGCATCGGCTTCGTGGCGCGGGGGCGGGAGGGGCGAGGGCTGCTCACCGCGGCCTTGAGGGTCTCGAAGGGGGTGTTGCTGTCCGTCGACATGATGTCGTACTCGCCCTGGATGCTCTCGCCGCCCTGCGGGTCGGGCTGCCACGTCGGGCCGGAGTTCGCCTCGTCGAGCCTGAAGATGCTGCAGGTTGGCCAAGGGGGTTCCAGCGGAGGACTGTTTTGCATTGACGTTGGTGCACGTCACTACGAGGCTACTGTAGTAGCCGCGCCACGCGCTGCGTCGGACCCGCGCAGCCTCGCTACACCGCTGACGACGAAGGACGCCCGTGCATCGGCGCGAGGAGCGGCAGAGCACACTGCAGTGGCGAGGGTGCGTACTTGCGAGTGTTGACCTTCTTCTTGTCCTCCGTGGTATAGCACACGTCGATGTGCAGGCGCGTGCCCGCCGTCGCGGTCATCGTGATCATGCAGCCGTGCTGCTTCTTGTTCTTGTCGAGCAGGCCCGTCTTGGTCGTCCAGTCCTTGTCGGTGCCGTTGAAGCCGAGCAGGCGAATCTGGCCCGGCTCGCAAACGAGCTTCGAGTGGATCACCTTGACCATCTTGTAGAGCTTGATCGGACCGAGCTTCCTCCACAGGATCCGGGCCGACTTGGCGTGCTGGAACCCTTGCGGGGAGCCGTCGATGTTGGTGTACCCCCTGCAGAAAGCGTCGCGCCGCGAACGTCAGGTCGCGCGGCACAGGGAGCGCACTTGCAGTGCGGCAAGCGTGCCCGTGGGACGCGGGCTGCCGCGCCCAGCGCCGGGCTGCCCGCGTGCCCGGCGCACGCATGCGCCGCCCACGGGGTGCTGCATCTTGCTCGCGGGCGCCAGGACTCGCACCGCTTGCCGTCCTCGGTGAGTGCGGACACAGTGAAGTTGCGGTGCGCGCTCTTGTCGTCCGGGTCGATGTGCTGCTTGCGCGTGAAGATGACGAGCACCTTGCCCGGCGGCGCGGCCTGGTCAAGCAGCCCGCAGTACTGCGTCTCCATCTTCTTGAGGTCGATGTGCTCCTTCGGCGGAGCGGCGTCCTCGTCCGCCTGCTGGTCGCAGCGCACTGCAGACACGCGGCGCGGGGGTGGCGTGTCGTCGCGGTGCCGTCTCGCCAGCTGCAGCGGCTCGCGGTCCCGCAACAGTGTCTGCACGGGCCAGCAAAGCGCGTACCTGTCGGCGCCGGCTTGGTCGGGGTCTTGGCAATGATTTTCTCGCAGACGTCCGCGGGCCTCTCGTCGGGCATCGAGCGCTCCTCGAACCCGCCGGCGCAGCCCTCGCCGGAGATCGACAGCATGCGCTCGGCGACCTGGATGCCCGCGGAGCCGCCGGACTTGACGATGACGCTGGTGAACTGCACCTTTGCGTGCCGCCACGCGTCGAAGAGGCCCAGGCGGTTGGGCGTGTCGACGGGCTTGAGCTTCTCGTCGGCGTTGCCGCGGCTGAAGATGCGGTACTTGCCAGGGTTGACGGGCACCGCGATCCTCTGGAACGTACCCGGGGCCGCGGGGGGGAACTTGAAGACCCACTTCTTCTGGTTGGGCGTGACCACGCAGACGGTCAGGTCGCCGTCCTGGACCTTGGCCTCGTACATCGACGACTCCGTCACCGTCCCCGACCCCGTGTCGACGTCCGCGACGCGCTCCAAGACCAGCAGCGCCTTGCCCGGCGCCGGGCTGAACTCCTCCTGCGCCTTCGTCCGCTGCGTGAAGGTGTTGAACGGACCGTTGTGCACGGTCGGGCGCGAGGACGCGGGCATCTCGGGCATGTCCTCGTCGCCCTCGAACTTCGACAGCCACTCCCCGACGTAATACAGGCCCTTGTGGAAGTGCACCCCCTGCAGCTCCGACAGGTCGAGGATGCTGGCCGGCTCCTTCGTCGCCTTGTACTTGGTCGCGACCGTCTCGCGGTCCGCCGCCATGTTCCGCCCCAGCGTCGCCAGGGCTCCCTGCAGCTCCTTGAGCTGCGGCTTCGCAAGCTTGGTGCCCCTGGCCTTGAGAGCCTTGCTGATCTCGTCGACCTTCGTCTGACGCTCCCGGTCGGTCCACTTGTCGAACGCAGGCGGCAACTCGTCGCTCGTCGCCCACGCCCCCTTGACGAGGCCGCCGAGCATCTCGGCGTTGGCGTCGGCCTTGTAGCCGAGCGGCTCCAAGTGCTCCCGCAGCTGCGCCGGGAGCAGCTCGGCGTTCGGGGAGATGACCGGGCGCAGGATCTTGTCCCTGCGCTTGTTCGCGTTCCTGCCGCCCGCGTCGATCCCGAGGAGGGCGTCGAGATTCTTGACCTTGGTCCCGCTCGCGTCGGGGAGGGCGCCCGTCATCGGCGTGAGCGCCATGTCCTTGTCCACCTGCGGAGCGGAAGCGTCGGCGCTCGGTCGTCGGCCTCGCGGGGCGGCAGCGGCACCGAGCAGCGGGCGCATGCGCCCGCTGCGCAGCGCAGGGCTCTGCCCAGCTGGTGTCAGCACGGGGGGGATCTCACCGTGAACACGGCGCCGACGTCGGCGGCCGGCGCAGGGGAGAGGGTGAACTGGGCCCTGCCGCAAGTCGGAGACTTGGCGAAGTCCGCGACGCTCTTGCCCTTGTACGTGATGAGCACGACCGCCGTGTCGCACCACTTGTCCTCGAGCGCGATCTTGCCACTCTGTGCCTCGGAGGGCGCCATCGTGCCCCACGTCCTGCAGACGGGATCGCGGGGGCGGGCCACTGAGCGCGCATCGCGGCCTCAGCAGCGTACGGCGAGGCAACGCTGCGGCGCGAGCCATCCGCGCCGGTTCTCGACGCGCACGGCGGGGCGGTTCGCTCACCTCGTGTTCGTCTTGTCGTTGACCAGGAAGTAGGACATGTGCTCCTTGTTGTCGGCCGCGCGGGCGAGCTCGAGCCACACCCGCGGGCGCGCCTCTATGTCAGGGTACTGCGGACCGGCAGGCTCGTCGGCGGCCGCGGCGCCCTTGCCGGGCTTGGCCTTCTTCCCGGCGCCACCCTTCTTCGCGTCAGCCTCGGCCTTCTTCTTGGCGCCACCCTTCTTGGCGTCAGCCTCGGCTTTCTTGGTGGCAGCCTCAGCCTTCCTGGCGTCAGCCTCGGCCTTCTTGGCGTCAGCCTGGGCCTTCTTCTTGGCGTCAGCCTCGGCTCTCCTCTGCCGCGACTGCTCCAGGAGGTCCGCGGGGGTCCGGGGCTGCAGAGAGGCACGACGTTGACCAGGCCGAGGTTGGTCCGCGAGCTCGAACCGGCGCAGCTCTCGCTCAACGCGCAGCCGGTATTGGGAGTTCAATAGGTGGTTGGACCAAGCAGACACGGCGCTCGGGAGCCGCGCATTCGTCGCGCGGCCGGGAGGAAGTGAGGAGGCGTTTCAGCGAGCGGTGCGCGACGAATAGCGCTCGAAAACGATAACGAGGGACTCGTGTCGCATCTTCAGCGCAGATAGAAGTCCGAAAAAAGCGCGCCAACACACCCCCAAGGCCTTTCTTCGCGACGGAACGACCCTATGACGGTTGGTTGTCCCGGGCGGGGACATGCCCGCGCACGCTCGCAGCGGGGCTTGGCGCGGCACGTTGCGCGCAGCATTGGGCACGCGTAGAAAGTACTGTGCCAGAAACGCGCGCGTTCTCACCGCATCGCCCTCCGGAAGAGAGGCGCCGCAACCCATAGTAAAGGCTTGAAGATGTCGGGACGGTCCGGGTAGAGAGGTAGAGATAGAGCCGCGAAGTCACCGCAGTCCAGACGAATTATGTACGAGAGGGCGCCGCGCCGCGCCATTGTGCCCCAGGCAGCGTCGCGGCCCCGTCCGGCGGGGCTGTGGGAGTCGGAGAGCCCTGATGGCAGTGCCGGTGACCGACTGCGGCGGCGCGGTCCAGCGTGGGAGCCGACGTCGCCGCGCCGCATTTCGCTGAGGCACAGGGACGCGCAGCGAGGCAATTCCGCGGCCGCGGCGGCGCAGACGGGCTCGCGAACGCGTGGTCAACGCCGCACGGCGACTGTAGGGGCGCATCGACGTGCGCGCGGGAACGTGCGCCGCAGCGCGACTGAACCGCACCTGTCGGCCGCACGGACACATCGGCGCTTCGACGACCTCACAGCGCGGATGTCGGATGCGTCCTGGGGCCGCGGCGCCGCACCGGCAGCGGACCTGAACACCACTCCGTACAAGTCCCCTGCCGTGCCTCGCCTGGGCGACGAAGTCCGCTCAAGCGAGCTGCGCGCACCCAGCGACGTCGCGAACTGCCCGGGCGCCCGCGTTCGGCCCTGCTCCGGCAGCAACCCCCCCCACTAGGTTGCAGCGGCGACTCTCTCAGTAGCCGCCGCCGTAGCCGCCGTCGTAGCCGCCGCCGCCGCCACGCCCGCCGCCGTAGCCCCCGTCGTAGCCGCCTCCGCGGCTGCCGCCGTAGCCCCCGTCGTAGCCGCCGCCGCGGCTGCCGCCGTAGCCCCCGTCGTAGCCGCCGCGGTCGTAGCCGCCGCCGCCGCCCCCGCGACCGTACCCGCCGCCCCCGTACCCGTCGTCGTCGTACCCCCTCCCGCCGTATCGGCCGCCGCCACCGCGCGGAGGCGGCACGTCCCTGCAAGATGCAACAGACACACACACGAAGCTGTCACGCACCCGCCTGCGCCCGGGCAACAACGCGCTCATCCGCGCGCAACACCATCCCCCAGCGCACCGCGCACAGCAGCGAGCAGGAACAGCCGCCCAGCCGGCCCGCACAACCCGGGCCAACAACAACAATTTATAATGTCATACGCGCGCTGTCGCAAGCGCGGTCGCGACAGGCCGCCGCGGCATGTGCCCCCCGACTCACCCACGCGCTCCGCCGCCGCCGCCGCCGCCGCCCGGCGCGCGGCACCGGAAGCAGTCCCGGCGGGAGGCGAAGTTGTGTTCCCCGCACTCGTTGCAGAACCAGTCGCCGGGCTTGAAGTTGGGCGGCATCGAGCCGCCGCCGGGCGGGCGCGTGACCTCCATGTCGGCGCCGGTCTTGGGCCGGCGGCACCCGAAGCACTGCTGCCGGGACGCAAAGTTGTGCGTCCCGCAGTCGGTGCACTGCCAGTCGCCGGGCTTCCAGTCCTGGCGCGGGGGCGCGCGCGGCCGGCGGTCGTAGTCGTCGCGGCGGTCGCGGCGGTCGTAGTCGTCGCGCTCCCTGCAGCGACGCACGCAAGCAAACGGGGTCGGTGCGCGCGACGGAACGATTGGAACCGCGCCGTGGAAGCGGCCGCATGGCGTCAGGGCAGCGTGGTCGCGGCGGGGCGGCGCGGGCTTCGCGGCGCGCGCGCGCACCTGCTGTAGCGCCTGCGACGGTCCCTGCCGTCGTCGCTGTAGGAGCGCGACCTCGAGCGCCGCGCCTCGCGGTCCCTGCGCGCGACGTACGGCGTTGTGCGGCGTCGGGGGCGAGCGACGCGGCCTTGGGGCGCGGGGGCGGACGGCAACGGGCAACCGGTCGAGGCTGGTGTGAAGGGGGTGAGGGTCTGTCGCGCTGGTGGCGCAAGCAACGGCTGAATCGCTCCGTGGGGCATGGCGTGAGGTCGGGCCGCAGCGGGCCGGCGGCTGAGCGTCGGTTGCGGCGGAGCGGAGGCGGTGCGTGGGGGCGCAGAGGGAGGCCCTGCGAGGGCGTTGCCGTGCAGGGCGCTGGGGGAGGAGCGCCGGGCCGTACGCGAGGGCGGGGCGGGGATCTGTATTTAAAGTGCGCGTCCCGGCGGGGGTGGGGCCTGGAGGGTGCCGGAAGCCGCGGGCCGGCGGGGCGACTGCTGAGCAGCGCGCGCAACGGCACAGCGCGCGATCGCGGGGCCGACGGCGGCGGAGAGCGCGCCCTGCCGTGCTGGTCATTTCGTGCGGAACCGCTCACGGCGCGGGGCGCGTCGTGGAGGCGCTCCAGAGCGTCAACGACGGCCCAAAAGCGTCCCCAGCCGTTGCCCGCCGCTCCGCCCACCAGGCACAGGCACGCCGCGCGCAGCGGACCGGGGGCTCACCCGCTCCGCGACCGGCTCCTGGACCGCCGCGGCGACCGCGAACGCGACCGCTCCCGGCTCTTGCTGCCACTCCTCCTGCTGCGCGGCGACCCCGCAGGAGCCTCCTCGCGCGGAGGCTCCTCCTCCGGGGGCACGCGTTCTTCTCCCTCTGCCGCAGACATCGCGCCAGCCTCTGCGCCCGCGCGCGCGCGCCGCGCACCCGTGAGCGCGGCCGGGGTCTGCATGGGCGCGGACTCAGGCCCCTAAGTCCACTCCCCCGGGGGCCTGAAGGATCCCGCGCGGCCCGACGGGCGCCCGCGTGCGGCTCGCGCGGCACTCGTTGCTCCGGGCGATCGGTTCCAGTCTTCCCGGCGGAGCCCGCCCGGCTTGTTGCCTCCAGGTGGCTCCGAACGAAAGCGCTGCGCGCCCCGTTAGGATACCGCACCGCGTCGCATCGCCACGGAGAGTACATCCAAGGAGCTATCCCGGGGAGGCATTTCCGGCCCGTCTAGGCGGCCGAGCGCAGCGCGGCGGGCGCAAGAGAGAGCATCTTGCACCGCTGAGGCGACTCCCAGCTGGCGCGCACGGGCGCGCCACCGCCACAGCCCCGGCCTGGGCCGGTACTTACCGTAGCTACCAGGCGCCGCGGCCCCCGAGGCTCGCGGGCGCGTTCCGGGCCGGGAGGGCCTCATCTGCCTAGCAGCGGTTTCAAGGCGGGGCCATGCGCTCCGAGCGCGGCGAGGGCCGCTTGTCGCGGCTGCGCGAGAACGCCGCCGTCAACGTCATCAACGCCGCGAAGTGAGCCCCCGCGCGACCCCCCCGCGCGGCCCGGGCGCCTCCTGCGCTGCGGGCCTCCCTCGCCCAGCAGGCCCCGCGTCCCCGCGCCCGCGCGCTCCTGACGGCGAGCAGCCGGCTCCCGGGCGCGCCAGCCGCGAGGATGGACGGAGGGCTTGCTGTGCGGGCCGGGGCGGCGAGCGGCGCGGCCTGGTGCGGCGCACCGGGGCGCTGAGGTGTGCGCGTTGGCGTCGGTGCTGTGCAGGGCGTCGCTGAAGGAGCCCACGCGGCCCGTCACGCCCGCCGACCACTCGCGGCGACTGTTCACGCATAACGATTACAATGAGCGCCCGCAGTCGTCGTACGGGCTTCCCGGCTCGCGGCAATTCCTAGGAAGTCGCCAGGCGCGCCCACGAGCCCCGCTCCCCGCCGCTTGCGACCGCACTCGCTTCCAGCGCGCTCTACATGCCTCACCCGTCCATCCGCGACGCGCGGAGCGCCGCGGAACCCCCCTGGGGGGCTTCAACTTCGCCCACACTTGTGCTCTTGCGACCGCCAGCGCCCCGGACCGTCCGCCGGCGCCGCGCCGACCGCGCCACGCGACGCCAGGCCCCCTCACGCGCCCCACTTCGATGAAATACGCACCTGCAGGGCCCGAGGCTCGCGCTCCCCTCCCTGGCAATGTACGACGGTGTTCCAACATCGGCCCTCGCGCGCCCGTCGACCGCGAGCGGGCAGAGCCGCCCCAACAGCCGCACCTCCCTCCAGTCCGCCGCCTCGGGCGCCCCGCTCCAGCGCACGGCCTCGGGGCGCCGCCCGAGCCAAGCTGACAGCGCCGTGCTCGCTGCGCCTCCCGCCGCGCGCCCGCCATCAGCCCGCGGGTTCAGCCGCGACGGAGCAGGCCGCCCAGGCACAGGCGGATCGAACGCGTCGGGCAACGTCCTCGCCGCCGCCGCCCACGACACCCTCCGCGCGGGCGCTAGCGGGAGCTCCGGTGGCGACGCGTGGCCGCCCGCCGTGCCGTCGGGGACCCCGCCGTCCGGTCGCCGGAGAAGCTCGGTGCGCACGGACAGCCGCGGGGTGCAGAACGTGCTCGATCTCGGCAGCGCGTCGCTCCCGGACGGGTTCGAGGGTTGGCGCGCGGGGGTTGAGGCGTCTCTCGCGGCGACGCGGGAACGGCCCGACGGCGGCGCGGACCCCGCGGCGGGGCTGCAGATGATCATGCACGCCGTCGTGCACCTGTCGTCGCTCGTCGAAGCGGCCGCGAAGGGCATGGAGCTCGGCCGGTGGCTTGCGCTGCCGACGTCGGATCGCTTCGCCGCGGGGCTCGGCGCGGAGTCGCTGTCGATGCGCGAGGCCATCGAGGAGCACCTCGCGCACCTGATGGACCTCAAGTCGCCGCCGCTGACGCTGCGGGCGTGCGCGGTGCTGCTCCAGGTGTCGACGTCGCCGACGACGCTGCACCAGACCGCGCGGACGGTGTTCCAGCTGTCCAAGTCCAACGCGAACGACGCGTCGTTCCGCGTCGAGGGCGTCCTCGGCGCCGTGCTCGCCGCGCTGTCCGGGTACACCGACGTGGCCCTGCCGCTCACCCCGACCGCACTGGTCCTCCTGTGCGGCGCGCTCAAGAACACGTCGCAGGACGCGTCGAATCAGAAGGCACTCTTCCGGTGCGCCCCCGCCGTCCACCGACCGACTCGCGTGCCGCCCGCGACCTGCCAGCGCGCGCGCGGGTGTCCTGGGCGTCCTCAGCGCAACGCCCCCGCCGTTTCGTGCCGCGCAGGCTCAAGGCCGTTCCGAACGCGACGCGCTTGCTCTCGAAGCTCGCCGCGGTCGAGGGCGGCGCGGGCGGCCCGGACATGGACGCCACGCAGGCGGCGCAGGTCGCGGTGCAAGTCATGGGCATGCTGCGCAACCTCGCGCTCGTGGCCTCGCAGGCGCGCACGTTCGCGCACTACGGCACGGTGCACGCCATCCTCGCCGTCGTCGACGCGTTCCCCTCGCACCGGGAACTCATGGCGGGCGCGCTGCGGGTCCTGTCGAAGCTGTCGATGGTCGAGGCGTGCCGCGCGGAGCTGTCGTCCTCGCAGCCGGCCGTCGCGCTGCTCTGCGGGCTCCTGCAGCGCTGGCAGAGCGAGCGCGCGCTGCTCCTGCGCGCCGCGTTCGTGCTTGGAAACATGACGGCGTCGAGCCCGCCCGCACGCGCGCGCGTGGCCGCCGTGAAGGGCGCTGTGCCGCTGCTCGTGGACCTCATCGAGGAGGCGCTCGGGCCGATGCCTGGGGAGGGGTCCGTGCCGCCCGGCGGCCCCGGGGCGGCGGCGCAGGAGGCGACGTGGCCACAGAGGGCCGAGCTGCTGGTGAAGCTCCTGCGGGTCGTGGCGAACCTGGCGATCGACCCCGACGTGGGCGCGAAGCTGGCGTGCGACGCGCGGCTCGCGGAGGCCGTTGCGCGGGCTCTCACAGAGCACAGCCTGGCGGTGCGCACCTCGCTTCCCACGCACCTTGCCTCCATCCGGCCCTTCTGCGAGGAACACTCACAACATGCACGTGCGGTCCACGTGGCTTCGAACGGGCATGCACCCGCGTCAGTGGTCCAACCCCCCCTCTGAGTCCCCCCCCTGCCTCCTGCTCTCTTTATGTCCTGCAGACCGACGCGGAGCTGGTTCTGAACGCGGCGTGCGCGCTGACGAACCTGTCGTTCTACCTCGTCCCGGGCAACGAGTCGCTCGCCCTCGAGCCCGCGGAGATTCTCCCCCCTTTGGTCCCCCTCCTCGTGTCGCACAACGACGAGGCGGCACTCGAGGCGGTGCGCGCGCTGGGCAACTTCTCGCGCGTGCCCCTGGCGCGCAAGTTCATGGTCGACGCGCGCATCGTCGAGGCGCTCTGTCTAATTTTGGACCACGAGAGCCAGGACCTACTGTCCTCGGCATGCGGCGCGCTCATCAACCTGGCGGTCGACCCGCCCGCGCGCGCGGCGATCGTCGACGCGGACGGGCCCGTCCTGCTCGCGGACGTCGTCGAGCGGGCCACCGCGGAGCCGCCCGCCGACGCGGGCGGTGCCGAGGGCCCCGGGGAGGTGTCCGCGGCTGCGGGGGGGGTCCCGCTGGCGTGCACGGCGCTGCGCGCGCTGTTCAACGTGGCGCACGCGGAGATGACGGCGGACGCGGAGCCGACGGCGCTGTTCACGGCGCGGGAGCTGCAGGCGCTGCAGGAGGTGTTGGGGCGCTGCGCGGCGGTTGCAGCGGCGGCGCTGGCGGACGCGGCGGCGGGCGGGGACCGCGAGGCGTCCGCGGCGGCGGGGGAGCTGGCGCGCCTGGCGCCGAAAGTCGGGTGAGCGGCGGCGGCGGCGGCGGCGGGGGCGGCCCCTCGAAGCCCTCTTGCATGGTGTTTCGATTGTTGACCGACAGACGGGGATTCCCGACTCGTCGCGACCCGACACTTGCATCGCCACTCACGTGCTGACCGACGCGCGCGGCTCCCTCCCGCAGGGCGCTGGTGGACACGCTGCCCGTGCTGGAGGACGCGGGCGACGAGGGCGCGCTCGAGGCGCTTTCGGAACCGGGGGAGTCGGAGCGTTCGGGCGACGAGCGCGCGCCGGAGGACGCGCGCACCCCACAGCTTTGCAGCGACGCTGAGGTGCAGGTCAGGCCGGGGCTGTAGCGCGGCGCGCGGCCGCGGGCAGGCCGCGGTCGGAGGCGACGTGGCCGCGGGCGTCGCGGGCGTGCGGCGGCGTCGCTTGCTGCGATGTGTGACGAAGCAGGCGCTGCGTCGCGCGGGGCGCGGGTGTGCGGGCACGGCGGGCGGGTTGCGGTCGGGCGGGCCCGGCGGCGTGCGGGCGGTCGCCACGTCAGCTGCCAGGCCCTGGGGATGTGCGTGGTGGGGGCTCGTTGACGCGCGCGGTGGGGGCGGCGCGGGCAGTAACCTTCGCCCTCGTGAGCGAGATTCCGTGATTTCTGGCATCGATACGTGCGATCCGACGCCGTTGCTGCGCGCGCTGACGTCCGCGGGAGGGCGGTAGCAGCTGACTGTGTTTTGACGGAGGAAACTGGGCGTGCCGGTCCGGGGCAGCAGGGGCGCATGATGCAGCGGGTGGCGCTGCGACCACGCTGCGTGGGGGGCTCGGAGGCGCGCGATTCCGTGCCGGCGCGGCCCCGGATTGGCGCCCCAGAGCCCAGGCCGCATGCGTCGTCGCGGCGGGCAGCGCTGGGCGCGAGCGCGGCGCTCGGGGCGGTGGCGGCGGTGGGCGTGGTGGGCGCGGGAGCTGCAGTGGCGGCAGGTGCGACGGGACGGCGAGAGCCCCGCGGCGCCGATTCGCGCGCGGTTCAACGCAGCTGCTGCTCCCGGGGCCCGCGGGCGCGCGACGGCGATGCGGCGTGCACGCCGCGTCGCTTGGACCGGGCGGACTTTATAAGCTAACGCATTCCGGCGCGGAGCCGCGCGCCCTGCCGCCCGAGCGACCTCATGCGGGGGGAGGCGGCACCGTCGTGTCTCGTAGACAACTCACACGTAGCCCAACCTCCCAGAACAGTTTTGTTCTCGCACCGCGGCCGCCCGGAGTGGCCCCGCGTGCTCGAAATCATCGATCTCCGCGCTCTCGTGCGCTGGGTCCGGCACAGCCCTGTGTTCGGAGGGCGTTGGTGACCGCACCTGCTCCTCGCGTCGTGCGCACCGCAGGGGTGGCTCCGGCGGGCATCGTCAAGGAGAGCCCGCAGGCTCTCACGCGCAGGGGCATGAAGGCCTTCCAGCGCAATCGGCTCGACGAGTCGCTAGAGTGCTTCGACCGTGTCCTGGAGGTGAGGCCAACCAACCGCGCGAATTCGACGCTGGCGGCTCTTCTTGCCGCAGCTAGCGCAGAAACGGTGCTATACTCGAAGATGCGGGCTAGCTGCGGCCATCGAAGCGCGCACGAGGCACGCTGCGCGGAGATTCCTCGCGGGAGCTGACGCAGCAGTGTTTGTGCCCCTGCGTGCCCGCAGCTGTCCCCGGGGTCGCGGCCCTACATGTGGCAGCGCGGCCTGACGCTCTACTACCTCAGGCGCTTCGAGGAGGGCGCGCAGCAGTTCCGCGCGGACGTCGCCGTCAACCCCAACGACACGGAGGAGGCGATCTGGACCTTTCTGTGCGAGGCGCAGCTCCCGGGCGGGGCGCTCAAGGCGCGGGAGAACTTCCTCCGGGTCGGCGAGGACTCCCGGCCCGTGATGCGCGCGGCGTACGCCGCCTTCATGGACGGCTGCGGCCCGGGGCCGATCCTGGAAGCCGCCGGCGCCGACAAGGGCGGCCGGGACCGCTTCTACGCGCTGCTGTACCACGGGCTGTACCACGAGGCCGAGGGCGACGACCTGAGCGCGCAGCGGTCGATCCTCGCCGCGGCGATGACGCCGTACGCCCGGCACAGCGGCGACTACATGGCTGCGTTGTCGCGCGTGCACTGCGTGCGCCGCGGGTGGGCGCCGCCCGCCGCGTTCGAGAACGACCTGTAGATACCCGCGCAGCTGCGCAGGCGGCGGGCTGCGGCGTCCGCGCCTCGACGAGGCGCGCAGTGCAGCTGTCTGCCACCACGACGGTTGGGGGCACTGGGAAGGCCAGTACAGGGAAGCTGCGGGCAGCTCTGGCTGCGCCCGCTTCGCCGTGCCGTTCCGGCGCCGGACGAACTCGACTTGACAAATGCCTCGCTGAGCCGCGTCACAGAGACGTGGCAGCGACGTCCGCCGCGCCCCGCGGAGTAGCACCGCGCCCGGGACACGGGCGCACCCCCGCGACGCTGTGACCACCACGTTGAGAACGTACCAGGCACCGACGCCTCCGCTGCGCGCTCCCCGCCGGCTCGCGCCTCAACCATCAAAGTAACTGTCCTGTCTCTGTTCCTGCTCCGGTGTCGACAGTTTCTCAGTCGTACTTTTTCGATCCCTCGCCCTCGTCCTTCCAGGGCCCCTCCAGCAGGTCCGCCGCGGCGCGCAGCTGCGCCTTCAGGCCGTCGTCGGCGTGGCTCTCCATCGCCAGCCGACGGAACGCCGTCCGCACCACCAGCTTATGGTCAAAGGCCAACTTGGGCAGCGCGTCAATGGCGTACCAGCGCGCGTCGGCCGCGTCGTCCGCGGCCTTGACGCCCAGCTGCGTCGTCGGCACGATCGCGCCGTACGCCACCGTGACCGTCCACCCGCGAGGGTCTCTCCCCTTCTCCCCAAACCCCCCCACCTGAATCAGCTCCACGTCCGTCGCGTCGACGCCCGTCTCCTCGCGCAGCTCGCGCGCCGCCGCGTGGTCCAAGCTCTCGAACTCGTCCACGTAGCCCCCGGGACACGCCCACGACCCCTGCAGGCAACACACCCGCAGTGGTGTTTTGCATCGCCCCGGGCCAACGACCGCGCAACCCGCGAGATATCCACGATCTTGCACCGAGCGAGGATGCCCGCGCACATATCTACCCGTTCCCGTCAAAGTTCGCGGCACGCGGGGCAGCATCTACCTGGTACGGGGGGTTCAGGCGCTGGATCAGCAGGAGCTGCGGCTGGGCGCCCGGCTCCTGCGGCTTGGCCACGACGACGGTGTCAACGGTGAGGCCCGGCCGGGGCCACTTGTAGCAGTAGGACGCGGTTGCGGGCTCGGCCATCGTGGCGGAGCTGCAGCTGCGGTCGTGGAGGTGGGGCGCCTGGAGCGGGGGAACGGGCCGGGGGCGGGCGCCGAGGCGGGCAGGGAAACGGCTGATGCAGGGAAGTATGCAGAGCGCCCGCCTGTTGATGCCGAGCATGTGAGTTGGCGTGCGCGGAGCACTTCAGTGAAACGAAGTGGTGCAGACGGCCGTTGGGCGCGTCTCGAACGGTGGCTTGGTTTCGTGTCGGCGTGTGCGGAGAGAGCGCGCAGTGCCAGACGTAGGAAGCGCGCAGGGGCGCACTGGTGCCGTCGTCCTGACGCTCCGTTCGTGTGTTGTACCTCGCGGCATGAAATCGGCCGGCGCCTGACGTGCGAGGGCTACAATGCGCGCAGACCGTGCCCGGGCCGTAGCTGAAGCTCTTGTGCTCGCCTGCGCGCATCGTTCGGTCGTCGGGTCGTCGCTGAGTGTCCGGCACAGGCCGTCACCTCACCTGGCCCTTCGCACACGCGCGCGTGCCCTCGGCTGCGGCAGATGAGCGGCAGGGGCGTCGCGAAGAGGCTGCAGGTCCCAGCACGTCGCTTACTGGATGTCGTAGCTGCGGGGGCGGGCGATGTGCGAGGCTGTACAGCGCTCCGGAATCACGCAACGTGGGTTTCGACCGCCCCGCGTAGCCCACCCAACCCGGATCGCGATGAGACGGATCCCGCTAGCATGTCGAAGGTCCCGCCGTGGGCTGCGGGCCGCACAGACGCGCGGAACACCTCCGCACGCTGCCCGGCAGCGACAGGGAGCCCACCGCACGGCTCTGTGCGGGGCATGGCGAGCAAGCCCGGGCTCGACAACTTCCTGACGCTGGGCTCGGTGTTCGAGATGAACAGAACCTATTCGGAACACGACGTCCGGTCGTTCTGCGGCCTCACAGGTGCGCGAATTGCCCTGGGAACTGCCCTCCGCACCCAACCACCCCGCCTGCGCACGGCGTGCCCAGCCCGACCGACGCCCGCCCGGCTCCCACCTCGCAGGGGACAGCAACCCGATACACCGCGACAAAGCCACGGCCAAGTCCCGCGGTCTCCACGCCCCCATCGTGCCCGGCCTCCTAGCTGCAGCTATGTTCCCGGCGCTCATCGGCACCAACGTCCCGGGGGCCGTCTACGCCTCGCAGTCCCTCAAGTTCCGCGCGCCGATCTACGTGAGCCCCCGGCGCACCCACAGCGCCCTCGACGCCGCAGCCGCCCCCGCGCCCGCCAGCGAGCACGCGTTGCAGTTGCACTGCGCGTGTCCTCGGCTCACGTTTCGCGCCGCGGCCGCCCGCAGGTCGGGTCGCGCGTGCGCGCGGAGATCGAGGTGGTCAAGGAGGCGCGTCGCGGCGTCGTGCAGCTTGCGACGCGCGTGTGGGTGTGGCGGGGAACGCACCACACTGCGCTGCGCGCGACGGCCGACGGCGGCACCGCGTACACGTCCGCGGAGCGCACGAAGCACGGCGACGGCGGCAGCAGCAGCAGCGCGGAGTCGGAGACCGAGGACGAGTGGAAGCTGGCGATCGACGGCGAGGGCCTGGTGGTTGTACCACGGGACAGTTAGTTAGTTAGTTAGCGCGCAAGGGCTGCCGGCAACCGACCGGGACGCGGCGCAGCTAGGCTCGCGACGTGTGACGTGGTGCGAGGATGCGGTAGCTGCGCGCAGGCGGGCTCGTTGTGCGTGCGCGCGACTGTGATGATGACACGCGCTCGGCCGCTGCTCGGTCCGTCGCGGCTGGCTGCGACTCGCGAGGCAGCACGCGGCGCAGAGGATCACTCGAGCGTGCGGTTGCGGAAGTTGGCGAACTTCGTGGTGGTGCTGTAGGCGTACGGGACGTCTGCGCCCTGCAGCCACGCCTCCAGGCGGCCCTTGAGCGCCTCGGGCTCCGCGGTCTCGGCCTCGATCTCGTACAGCGTGCCCCACTCGAACTTCGTCTCGTCCACCTCCAGCACCTGCCCCTCCCAATGCGCCTCCTGCCGGAAGTTGTCAAACCCGCCCAAGCACCGCAGCTTCACGCCCTCCCCGAACTTCTTCCGCACGAACGCCATCACGGGACCTGCAACGCACCCCCCACCGCGCCAGCCGGTCACCCGCGCGCCCCCGCGCTAGCTGCACCCCCCCGCCAGCCACGCGGCACTGCACGTCGCGGCGGGGCCACGCACAGTCGAGCCCGAGCAGCACGTCGGGGTTCTTCAGCGCCTCGCGGCCCTTGGCCGGGTCCAGCGACGCCTCCATCTCTTTCGCGCGGCCAACGCCGTCCTCCATCACTGCTTTCCCTTTCAGAGTCACGGTGGCCTTCTTGTCCACGTCGTAGAAGCGCACGCGCAGCACGGACAGCGTCTGCTCGAGCTCGCCCTCCGTGCCGTCGAAAAAGTAGTTCTCCTGCTCGTGCCGCTCCCCCAGCGACCCGGACAGCAGCGACAGCACCTTGCCGTGCGCCTCCGCGTCAGGCAGCCGCAGCTTGACCTCGACCTCCACGCCGTCCTTATGGCCGGACGCCGGGCCGCTCGATCCCATGGCCGAGGCCGATACGCTGCGCGCGGGCGGCGGGAAGCCGGTGTGCGTGCGTGTGCACGCAGCTACAAGGCAGCGGGCCGCGTGGGGGCCGGCGGCCGCGAGGGTGAGACGGCGCGCACGCACCTCTCGCGCGGTTGCGCCGGGCCGCTGCTCAAACAGCGGCGATAGCGGCTTCTTCTGGCCGCTGTCGCTTCCCGCCACGGCGCGGGCCCGCTTGGCCTCCTCAAGCTGCCGTGCGGGGCACACCGGGACGATTCGGTCAGGGCGTTGGCGCAGACACGAGTCAAGGAAGACGGCGGCTGGGAACGGGAGAGCGCGCCGCAGACAGCGCAGCCCAGCCGGGCACGCCGCGCTGCGAACATGAGCCATCTGCGCCGCGCGACGGTGCTTTCACGCCGCGAGGACTGCGTGCCTCGTACAGCTCCGCGGCTAGCGTGCTGCGAGACGTCTTTGGTGGCGCAGGAAGGCATCGCGTCGCGCCCCTGGGAGCGGCGGGCGCACCTGAGCAACGTCCGCAGGCCCAAACTCGATCTGCGTGGGCTTCCTCCGCAACATATGCGCCTGACGATCATGCGGCACTGCGCTCTCGACCGCGGGCGTGCGAGCTGGCCGCCCGCAGGCGCCCGCAATGATGCGTGCGTCGTGCGTTAGCGCTGGCGGGCGTGCGGTGACGTCTCCCGGGTGCGTCCAGCGGCTCCGTGGCGCGCACCGGCGCCCCGAACAATGGCGCGCTGCGTCGTCCGGCTGCGGCACACTCAGCGCTGGCACGCCCGCCCCCCGGCACTCCGACACCGACGGCTGGGGAACAGAGACGGGTGGAGCGACGGTGGTTGAACACAGAGCCTGCGTTTCGCGCGGAGGTGGCGGGAGCGCCGTCGTGCGCTGCGTCATGGGCAGCTACGATGAGGGAGCCGCGCTCGACCTGGGGGACGACGTGCTCGCAATCGTCATGAGGTGCGCAGGCCGCGAAAACGCCGCTAGTGCAAGGATCGCCCGGTCCGCTCTCGTGCGGGGATCGACGCGCGAGAACTCGAGCACGCCCGCTGCTAAACACATAGTCGGTTGCCCCTAGCTCACCGGCGACGCCTCGACGCCGCTGTTCACGCCGTAGCACGCCGATGTACGCACTTGCTCTTGCATCCTTCCCCCGCAAGCCCTTCCACGGGGTTCCGCGGCCCAAAACAAGCCACGAACTGCATCTACGTCCAGAGTACGAACGAGAAACATCCAATTCCCGGCTGTTGCTCCCCCGCAGCCTCCTGGGCCCCGACGACCTGGCCCGCGCATGCTGTGTCAGCCGCGAGTGGCGCGCCGCGGCGTCGTCGGAGCCCCTGTGGCGCGAGCACTGCTGGGTCACGTTCGGCCTCGACGCGTGTCGCGCCGTCGACCGGAAATCAACACCCCCCCCCACCTGGCAGGCCACATACGCCGCGTGGGCCCGCGAGCACCCGCGCACCGAGTGCCGGGGCCTCACGCGCCGGGCCGCCCGCGCCGTGAACCTCATCCACGGCGCCGCGCTGCGCCTCGACCTCCCGAGCATCGCCGAGTCCATGACGCCGGGGCTCCCCGCCACGCCGCCCAACACGGACGCCGCACCTCCCTCCCGCGGCACCGGCGAACCGGCCGACGACGCGGCCCGGCCGGACGCCGAGGAGCGCGCGTGGGCGCTCGAGGAGGGCGGGGACGTCGTGCGCGCGCTGTACCGTGCGACGGGGGGGCAGGCGACGATCATCGACACCGCCATGAGTCAGATGCTGCGGGGGAGTAAAGGGAGAGTCCCCTTCCACGACATGGCGATGCACCCGCGCTCGCAGGCGTTCTGGAACGGCATGCTCGGGTCATACCAGGCGTATGGACGCATCATCAGGTGCGTTGTCACTTTGGGCGCTCCCGCATGGATGTTCACCACCGCACCGTCCGCGCCGTGCCCCGTCCTCACGCCATCCCTGCCACTCCGCCGCGCTCGCAGCCTGCGCGTCCTCCTCCCGGTGATCGCACGGTTCCTGACGCGGGGTATGACGCGTCAGTCTGACCTGTGGATTGCGCTCGACCCGCGGCAGCACTTCCGCGCCGTCGCCACGTCCCTCGAGAACAAGCTCGTCGTCGTCTCCGCCTCGCCGCCCTTCACGGGCGCCCACCGCGTCCTCTTCGTCGACAAGCGCGACGGCACGGCCTACCTCTCTACGCGCGTGCCCGGCATGGTCATTCCTGCGTGTTGGGTCGACCCGAGCCGCCGGGCGTCCGAGTTCATAGTGTCCGGCGACCAGGCCGCGCAGGCGATCCGCGACGGTGGCGGGAAGGTCCCCGGGGACCTATTGACGTGGCTGGAGGAGTTCGCGGACCGCGCGTGGCACGGGCGGTTCCAGGTCGGGCCACCCGTGCCGGAGAACGATCCCTCCGTGGGCTGGCCGCGCGAGGAGCCCGCTGCCGACCGCGCGGAGCAGGGCGTCCGGGGCCTCCTGCTGTTCGCCAGCGGCGAACAGGTAACACCCCCCCCTGACCCTCACAGCGCGACGCGACCTCCACATCGCACAGCACATCGGCCGAAGAGCTCGCGCGGCGTGCCGTGTGCGCAGGACGGGATGGTGCACGCAGTGACGCGCGGCATCCACGTCAGGGCTGCAGCGTCAGTCATGCCGGAGGAGTGCAACCCCCCCATGGGGCAGATCGCCTTCATGTACCGCATACGCTTTGCGCTGGAGGCGGAGGCCGCGAGCGAGAGCGCGCAGTCGAGCGCCACGGAGCAGGCCGGTGCGGGTGCGGGTGCGGCGGCGCGACGCACGGTGCAGCTGCAGGACCGACACTGGACGATGAAGGACGGCGAGGACCGCGTGGTGCACGTGGTGGAGGGGCCCGGCGTCGTGGGGATGCACCCGTTGCTCGAGGAGGGCAAGGGGGAGTTCTTCTACCAGAGTATGACGGGTCAGACGGAGAGCAGGGGGTCTCTCGGGGGGTGGTTCACGTTCGTGGAGGGGTCGCTGGAGGCCGCGCGGGCGGGCGCGTCCTCCGGGGTCGTGCGCGCGGAGTGCCCGCACTTCGCGACGAACGTGCCGGATTTCATATTCTAAATCTAATTGTGAGCGCTTTGTTGCAAGGCAGGTCTCCCCCGTGGCGCCCCTCGTTCCCCGCCGCGAGGCGAGGTCTTCGTGCGTGGCAAGGAGACCTCGGTAGACAACCCCGAGAAATGCCCACAGATATCGCTTCGTGTTCGTTGCTTCACTTTGGACATATGCTCAACTATGAGTGTGGAGCTCAAATTGGGGCTTCCATGCCCACTTCTCTACGCGTCAACCAATCAAATCGTCGAAGTCGTCGCCCCCCGACTTCCGTCGCTTCGCCTTCGCTTCGGGCGGCGCCGCCTTGGCAGGGCCTCGCTTGCCGCCTGGCGAGGCACCCTTGCCCCCCGCGGGCTTCCGCTTGCCGCCGCTCGCTGGTTTCGCGGCCGGTCCCGCGTCCTCGATGGCCTTCTTCGCCCGCTTCGTCTTCTCGATCATCCCCGCCGGGCTCGCCGCCCGGATCCTCCGCGCCAGGTCCGGGCGGGACTTGAGAGACTCCCCCGCCTTGAGCGGAGACACCCCCGCGCGGTTGTACGGCGGCACGGCCGCCCACGAGCATATCGGGCACCCCGCTGGGTCGTGCGACTTGGCAGGACAGTGCTCGCGACCAAAGTAGATGATTTGCAAATGTAAGTCCTGCAAGCAAGGGAACGCGGCAGCGTCGGCCCACCACGGGTGGTGAGTTTGCTGGCCCTGCCATGGCGGCGGGCATCAGAAGCCATCGATGGCGTGTCCATTACGAGTTCAGGGTCGCGCCCGGACTGCCCTCGGAGGGGAGCGGGTCGGGCGTGATGATGCGGGCGGCACCGGGCGACGCGGCCGACCACCACGGGGTGCGCGTCCCGAATATGCTCGGTGAAAGCTTGGCGCAGCCATCGCACGATGTGCGACGACGCCGGCACGTTCTTTTTGTCGTGCCTGCCAAGCCAGTGTTGCTGGAGTGTCTGCAGGTCCAGGGTCGTGCGTTCATACCACGGCGAATATACCCGATCCCATCAGAACTCGGAAGTCAAGCGCCGTGGTATGAACGCACGACCCTGGACCTGCAGACACTCCAGCAACACTGGCTTGGCAGGCACGACAAAAAGAACGTGCCGGCGTCGTCGCACATCGTGCGATGGCTGCGCCAAGCTTTCACCGAGCATATTCGGGACGCGCACCCCGTGGTGGTCGGCGGCGGTGCGCGAGGTAGCTGGACGAACTTCGAGCCCGTACTGCTCGTCAGACCGGGAGCGGACGAGCAAGCTCGGCGCGTGACATGCACAGTGCGCGGATGTAGCGCGCACGCGCGCGGCCTCGCCGTGTGGATGTGACGCACGTTCCACGTGTCGCGGGGCATCAGAGCGCGCAGGTTCGCCTCGGTGTGGTCGACGGTGGGTCCCACCGAGAGCCCCCAGCGCTGCGCGAGGCGGTGGATGTGTGTGTCCACAGGGAACGAGGGCACGCCGAACGCCTGCGCCATCACGACGCTCGCCGTCTTCTGGCCGACCCCTGCGAGCAGGCCGAGCGCGCCACGCGTCGGTCCGGCGCCGCAACAGCGATGTGCACAACACCCACCCCCAGCGATGTGCACACTGGGTGGCCAGGCGGCTGCGCCGGACCTGGGAGCTTCTTGAGGGCCTCGTGATCGTTGGGGACCTTGCCGCCGTGCTTCTCGACGAGGATGCGCGCCATGTTGGCGATGTTTTTCGCCTTGGTGGGCGCCAGCCCAACTTGCTTGATGTACTCCTTCACCTCGTCGGGGGAGAGTTTGGCCATGGACGGGGCGTCCGGTGCGGCCTCGAACAGCGCCGGGGTGACCTCGTTGACCTTCTTGTCTGCGCTCGCACGGCAGGAGGACGCGTGCTCGCTGTGGCAGGGATGCTGCCCGCACGGCCGCTTGCGGGGCGTACGCTCGACGATCATGGTCCGCCAAGGATGTCTAGTAACGTGGGTTGCGTTTCGCGCGGTTGACGGCGCCGGAGACGTCCGGCCCGCGAGGGGCGCATCATGGACACGCGCTCCGCTCTTGTGCGGACACTGCACTGTGCCGGGCGCGACGGTGCTTGGCGGCCCGTACCTGTCGACTGTGCTGAGAGGATCACCGCGACCAGCAGCTGGAAGTCGCTCTTGTGGTCCAGCGGAATGGGAACGGGAGGCGGGTACAGCTCCGCCAGCTGCTTGCGAATCCTCGTCGCTTTTTCGATCAGCGCGGGGCTCTTGACGTCGACGACGATCGGCGACTCCTCCTCCGACGCCGACGCGTCGTCGTCGCTTCCGGGAAGCGACGCTTCGGAGCTCGAACTAGGAAGGTAGCCAACTGGCATCCTTCTTCCCACGCTCCGCGGAAAAAGCGGCGTTATGCGCGAAATCCTACGCCCGGCGCTTCCCGAGGTCTGGAACCTCGCCTGGAGTCGCGCAGGGCAGGTCCTGAGCGCTGCGCGGGCGGCCGCAGCCAGTCTCATACGAGGATCAATACACGACAACCACGCCCCGTGCACGCATGTGTTTACATCCAACGAGCGCCCACCCGCATGCACTGACACGCATCGTGCGTCCCGCGGTCCCAGAAGACCGCGGGGCGCGCGGGGGAGACCTCCAGGGGGGTAGACTGTGACACGCGGCATGACGCCCGCCACTGCGCCCCGGGAGAAGCGACGCGGCGATTCCCCGCCCCGACGCGCGACCTGCGGCCTCGCAAGGCTGAGCGATGAATTGTGGACCCGAAACGCGGGCCTCCGCGCGCCCGTCCGGCATCACGTAAGGACCCGGGTGGGTGAGCTCTTGGCGCCAGGCACGGTCGCGGGGCGCGCGGCGGCTACGAGGCCGCGGCGCCCGGCGCGCCCCGGCAGTAACAGCGAGCACGAACGCGATCTTCATGAATGCACTCAGCGTGTCTGGCCCCCTCGGGGGCCAGCAATTCCTCACCATGGCGGGGCCGGCTCTGGCGTCCGGTCTCCCGCGCCTGATGGGGTCCCTGACCGGCGCCGCGCGGCGGTTCACGAACAAGCCGAATGGGGGTTCCGCAGCGGCGGTCGACAGCGCCAGGTGCGCGGCCCGGACGGACGAGCACGCCACGTCGTGCCTCGGGCGCAACGGCCCCGGGACCGCGGCCCGAACCCTGCGTATTCCGATCTTCGCGCCGCGCCCGCGGCACCATCCGTATCGTCCCGCGCCAGCACGCGCGCGATCACGCTGCGCCGCGTTCCCGCGACGGAAGGCGCCAGGCCGGAACACCCGGCCACCTTGACCGCAAATTCCGTCGCGCAGCCGCGTATCTTTCTCTCGTTCGGCTCCCCATCCCAAAATCTCAGTCCCAATTCCCCTCCCCGCGCCGAAGTGACCCTGCGCCGCGACCACCCGCGCCGCCCCACGCCCCTGCTGCCCCCATCTAGGACAGCTCTCGCCTCGCCCGCTCGACCGCCCCGCCCCCGCCCCCACCCTGCAGCCCCTCGGCCCCCCACACCGACCTCTCCACGCCCGGCGCGTCCAACCCCGCGGCCGCCGGCGTCGCGCCCGGCTGGGCCCGCCCCCCCGTCGCCCCCGCTCGCCCGGGTGCCTTCAAGACCTTCTCCGGGTTCAGCGCATCCGCGACCGGCAACGCGCCCGTCAGCCAGCACATCCGCTCCATGAAGTCGACCCCGCCCGACCGCCGCAGCCCGATGCCCAGTGAGGCGACGTCCGCCGCGCACGCGCCCGAGGCTCCGCAGCACGTTGACGTCTCCAGGTGCGGGCTCGCGGCGCGCCCGACCCTCGGCCGCCCCGTCCGACCGGCGTGCTCGCACGCCTCGTGCCCGGCCGTGCCAGGGCCGCGGGATTGCCGCGGTTTCCGCGAACGGCGCGGCGCACCGCGCGACCTGTCTGTTGGGCCCAACAGCCTGCACCAGGCCGCGATTTCGCGCGCATGGCCTGCTCGATTCGGCTCGTAGCGGCCGCGCGCGTCGGGGGGGAGGAGTGCGGTAGCGGAGGGGGTTGCGCGTCCGGGTCCGTGGCGCTCGCGGCTCACACGGCGACCGCCCTCGCCTGTCGCTGCAGGTACATCCACGACACCTACACGCCGTACGACGGCGACGGTTCGTTCCTCGCGGGCGCGACCGCGGGTACCCTCAAGCAGTACGAGATCGTCAGCCGCCTCCTCGCCGAGGAGATCAAGGCACGCGCCCGCACCACCACCCCCACGCACCGCGCGCCCAACCGTCGCGCTCCCCACGCGCCGCCGCGCCGCGAAACCCCCCGGAGACCCCCCGCGCGATCAGACCTCGCTCGTTCCTCCCCGCTCCGCCGTCGCAGAGGGGCGGGCTGCTCGAGGTGGACGAGCAGACCCCCTCGAACGTGTGTTCGCACCGCCCGGGGTACATTGACAAGGAGTCCGAGGTCATCGTGGGCCTCCAGACGGACAAGCCGTTCCGGCGCGCGATCAAGCCGTTCGGCGGCTGGCGCACGGTCGACAGCGCGCTCAAGGCGTTCGGCAAGGAGCTGCCCGCGCACCTGCGGCAGATCTTCACGGTGAGTGGAACACAAGACCCGGAATCCCTTCTGCCGTCGCGCGCGAACAACCACGGCCTCGCGGGACGCCGCCTGCCCGCGCGCGGCCCGCCGCACGCACCCTGTCGTGCTGCCAGTCTCTTGCGCGTCGTCGTTTGATAGTTGTGTTGCTGAGGGCGGGTTTCGCGCGTCGTCCGGCGGTCGCAGGAGCTGCGGAAGACGCACAACGACGGCGTGTTCCAGGCGTACACGCCCGAGATGCGCAAGTGCCGGAAGGCCGGCATCCTGACGGGCCTGCCGGACGGGTACGGCCGCGGGCGCATCATCGGCGACTACCGCCGCGTGGCGCTGTACGGCGTGGACGCGCTCGTCGCGCAGAAGAAGTCCGACCTGCAGAACGTGCTCATCGGCGTGATGGACGAGCCCACGATCCAGCTGCGCGAGGAGGTGCACGAGCAGATCAAGGCCCTGGAGGTGCGCGCACCACTCGAGAATCCTCGACTGCGGGCCCACGCACCGACCACCGACCCCGCCGCGCTCCCGCGCACCTCGCCCGCATCTCAAGCGCCCCCCACGGCCCCCGCCCACACGCCAGCACGCGCACACAAACACACACAAACCGCGCTGCTCCCACCCCCCCCCCCGCGCCGCCCCGCAGGACCTGAAGAAGATGGCGGCCGAGTACGGCGACGACATCTCGCGGCCCGCCGCGAACGCGCGCGAGGCCGTCCAGTGGACGTACTACGCCTACCTGGGCGCGGTCAAGCAGCAGGACGGCGCGGCGATGTCGTTCGGGCGCGTGGACGCGTTCCTGGACACGTACATCGAGCGCGACATCGCCGCGGGCGCGATCACGGAGGAGCAGGCGCAGGAGATGATCGACCAGCTTATCCTCAAGCTGCGCATCGTGCGCCACCTGCGCTCCCCGGACTACAACGCGCTCTTCTCGGGCGACCCCACGTGGGTGACGATGGCGCTGGGCGGCACGGCCGAGGACGGCCGGCACATGGTGACGCGCACGACGTACCGCATCCTGCAGACGCTGCACAACCTCGGCCCGGCGCCGGAGCCCAACATCACCGTGCTGTGGCACAAGGCCCTGCCGGAGAACTTCAAGCGCTTCTGCGCGAAGAGCAGCATCGACACGTCGTGCATCCAGTACGAGAACGACGGCGCGATGACGGGCTTCTTCGGGAACGACTACGGCATCTCGTGCTGCGTGTCGGCGATGAGCGTCGGCAAGGACATGCAGTTCTTCGGCGCGCGGTGCAACCTGCCGAAGCTGCTGCTGTACGCGATCAACCAGGGGCGCGACGAGGTGACGGGCGTGCAGGTCGGCCCGAAGCTCGCGCCGTGCGCGGAGGAGGGCAAGCCGCTGGACTACGAGACGGTGCGGGCGCGGTTCGAGGAGTACATGGAGTGGCTGTCGGGCGTGTACGTCAACACGATGAACTGCATCCACTACATGCACGACAAGTACTCGTACGAGTCGGTCCAGATGGCGCTGCACGACACGCACGTGCGCCGCTTCCTGGCCATGGGCGCGGCGGGGGTGTCGGTGGTCGCCGACTCGCTCTCGGCGATCAAGCACGCCAAGGTGTACCCGATCAAGGACCCCGAGACGGGCCTCTTCGTCGACTACAAGGTCGAGGGCGACTTCCCGTGCTACGGCAACGACAACCAGACCGTCGACGGGCTGGCGCAGTGGGCGGTCTCGACCTTCTACGACAAGCTCGCGCAGCACAAGACGTACCGCGAGGCCATCCCCACGCTCTCCGTCCTCACCATCACCTCGAACGTCGTCTACGGCAAGAAGACCGGCAACACCCCCGACGGCCGCAAGAAGGGCGAGCCGTTCGCCCCGGGCGCCAACCCGCTCCACGGCCGCGACACCACGGGCGCGCTGGCCTCGCTCAACTCGGTCGCGTCGCTGCCGTACGAGAAGTGCCTCGACGGCATCTCCAACACCTTCACCCTCGTCCCCGCCGTGCTCGGGAAGGAGGAGGCCACGCGCGAGTCGATCCTGACGTCGATCCTCGACGGCTACTTCGAGAAGGGCGGGCACCACATCAACGTCAACGTGCTCAACCGCGAGATGCTGATGGACGCCATGGACCACCCCGAGAAGTACCCCAACCTCACCATCCGCGTGTCGGGGTACGCCGTGCACTTCGCCAAGCTCACGCGCGAGCAGCAGATGGAGGTCATCTCCCGCACGTTCCACGAGTCGATCTGAGCGCGCCGCGGGCGCGTGCGGGCCGGAGCGGGAGGAAGGGGGGGGGGCTCCAGAGGTGCCAGACTGTCTCTGTCAGCGCGCTGACAGCACGCTGGCGTTAGTAAGAATGCGCGGGGCTGCGGCTTGCGTGGCTTGCGCGCGGCGGGCCGAGGCGCGCCCGCGGCAGGCCGCGAGCCGAGCCGCCGTGAGTGCTCCGCAGGTTCGAAATGAAATCGAACATGATATGAAGTTCTCTAGTCGGAAGGAGTCCTAGGACGCTTCGAGAACGGCATTTAGAGGACCTGCCCGCCACGGCCAGACTGCGTGGCGGCGGTGTGATGCAGTGTCCGCACATTCAAGCAGCGGCCGCTTGCGATTTCATCTTCGTTGCGATTTCATCTCGCCTGCCGTACCATTTCGGTCGCTCAAGCGTCCTCGCGGCGAGGGTGCTTGTAGGTCAGCGAAGTACTATCCTCGCGGTGAGGGTGCTCGTAGGTCAGCGAAGTACTATCCTCGCGGTGAGGGTGCTCGTAGGTCAGCGAAGTACTATCTTCGTTGCGTTACTTGTTCGTGCCCTGCTGTGGCAGCGCGAAAACACACTCCCCGGGGGAGCTAGCACTGAATCGTGTCAGTTGGACTCTGGACGTGCCGCTGGACCGAGGCCCGAAGGACCGTCGTCACCTGGGGTCGTCCCGTTCAGAGACGGTGCGACGCGCTGCTGCTGGACTCACAGTAACTAGGCGCCGAGAACTGCTACGCCGTGCGCCTGCTCAGCGACCCCGAGGGCGGGCGGAGGCGGCTACGCGCCAATCGCGCGCAACCGACCACACTGGCATGTCTCTGCTCCGCACCCCTCGCTGCGTCCACGCAAAGCATGAGTTGACCGCCCGCGCACGCAACGAAATCCACGCCACACGACGCACGCGCTCGCAACGCATCGGTCAAGTTCACAACTGCGCGCGCTCGCGGTCCGCTCCGCAATCAGCACTCCTGTGCGCACAGCCCGCACACCCCCTGCGCGGCCCCACCGGCACTCCGCCGCCCCCCTCATCGCCCTGCACCATCCACCCCACCGCAACCCCGCTGCACAAGCGTTCGCTCCGCCGAGCGTCCTCCTTCACTCAAGCATGTCCGCCAGCGCGTCGTAAAAGCGCCCCATGTCCCTGTCGTGCTTGTGCATCGCCTCCCGCACGGTGCGCATGTGCGTCTCCGGCACCATCTCCGTCGCGGCCGCGTGCCCGATCGCGGCGTGCTCGCACTCGTGCTCCGCGTGCACCACCAAAAAGGTGTATTCCACGTCGCGGCCCAGCGGCGACAGCACGCGCTTGTCGAACGCGCGGAACGAGTCGAGCATCCAGGTCTTCTCGTAGTCCGCGAGGTACTCGATCGCGAGGTTGTACCCGATCGCGTACGACGCCTGCTCCAGCGGGTGCACGCGGTTTCCACCATTGGTGATGTCGCGCATCATCTCCGCGAAGAAACGCTCCGAGTGGACGGGCTTGACGCGCTCGGCGAGCAGCGCGGAGAGCTCCTCGCCCATGACGGACTCGTACCACTCCGCGAAGAGCCGGCGGTGCGTCTTCCCGAGCTCCTCCCCGATGTTGAGCCCGTACTCGCCGGCGAGGGGCTGGATGAGGTTCTGCAGGGCCGCGTCGCGGCGGTCGTAGTCCGAGGCGCCGATGGTCATCTGGACCTTGAGCACGACGGCGGTGAAGGCCGGGTTGAAGGTCTCGAGGTTGTGCGCGAGCTCGTTGAAGACGGGGCGCAGGCGCTGCTGCCAGTTGGAGGCATCCAGCTTCGCGAGGTTGTCGTTGAACCGGCGGAGCGCCTTCACGGAGTGGCCCACGTCGAGCTCGGCCTCGAGCGACCGCACCTGCGCGGGGCCGCGGCGGGGGCGCGCGGTTTGCGGCGGGAATCGTTGGCTGTGGAAGCCAACGCGCCGGAGCCGTGGCGGGAGGGGGGCGCTTGGGGCGGCCGCGGCGAGGACTGCATGTCGAGCGACGGTGCAGCATCTTGCGATGCGTCGCGGGAACGCAGGCGCGTCGATGAGGGCGCGGGAGCAGGATGGCTTGCCACCCAGCCTCCATTTGCTGCGATGCGCGATTGCGATTCGTCGTAAGGCGTTCACGACGGTTTCTGCGGCGCTTCGCGACGACCACTGGGCGATCTCGCGATCGTGCGGCCGGCTGGGCGTCGCGGTGCGCCGGCTGCACGGTTCGAGCGCTGAAGCAGGTCCCCAAGTTCTGGCTCAGAAGGCTTCCAGGGAAAAGAGACCCACGGCGCCGCATCTACTCGTTGCGCCGCGACGAAAAACAGAATTTCAGCATCCTCGCGTCAGTACCCTTGCGAGAAACGGGCGCTCGTGGCCGGAAAAGCGCGGTGCACTGCGCTTTCGAGCAATGCCCTGGGGACGAGGGGTGGGGGGTTCGAGGTCGCGCGTGCGCTCGTGGTGCGCGTGTCGTGGGCGTTACCTGCTCCGAGGTGATCAGCTCAGGCAGTCCGGTCTTCACAGGCGCAGCCTCGTACCGGAAGGGCGCGAACGCGGGCGCACGGACCCTGCGAGCACTCGCCTTGGTAGGGCGGCGCGCGGCGCCGACGCGGCGGGCCGGGGCAACAGCGGGGCAGGAGGCGGAGAGGGCGAACATTGTGAAGCGACCACGGAGTGGTGCGGCCGCGGGGACGCGCCAGCAACGAGAATTCCGGCGCAGGGGGAGTGGGATGTTGGTGGCCACGCTGACCGCCCCTGGGCGCTACCTAGCGCAGTTGAGGGGCTCTCCGCGCGCAGTCCGAGCCCGCGAGAGCGCCAATACTGCGGGCGCGGGTCCGTGTGCGAGGCGGTTGCGGAATCACGCCGTTAACTGCGGGCACAATTGGCGTCTGGGGTTGTCCGGCGTGAGCACGGCGTTGCGCGTCTCCGTCCGCAGCCTCAATCCGCCGGCGTCATCTCGTTGATTGAATATATCTGGCTAAGGACGTAAATCCCGCCAAAACGGCACGGTCCGTGCAAGCTCGCGCGGTAAACACAGGGCTCGTTGAGGGGTGCTTGCTCCGGGATCTCGAGGTCCACGGCCCCGTTCGCGCCCATGATGGCGTCCTCGTTATCGAGCCGTTCGCACCTGGGGCGACTCGTCCGGAACGACCCCCTGCACCGCGGGGCGGCACGTCTCCGACAGCGCAACTGCCGGCGACGGCCAGCGCCGCGCGTGACGGCCGTCAGCACGGTCAAGGAGGTCCTCGGCGACGACCTCGGAGATCCGGGCCACTGGAACCACAGCGTCGAATGGTGCGCCGGCCCCAACCACACTCCCCCCCCCCGCGCTCTGCCCCACACAAACACCCCCTCCCCGCGCCCTGACCGACCGCCCAGCGCCCGCGCCGCCGCGCGCAGGTGGGGCACGCAAGCCGGCGGCTGGGGCAAGAGCCAGGGTTCGGTTCGCTTCGACCGCAACTCCAAATATGGCAACGGGATCATCACCGTCACCGTCCACGAGTTCCTGGGCTCGCCCAAGTGCCCGCCGGTCAACGTGGACGTCCTCGCTGCGGCCTGCGGCGACCCCGAGCGCGCCGCGGAGGCCGCGGCGCCCGAGGGCGGCGCCGTGCGGGAGTGGCGCGTGTTGCGCTTTGGCGACAAGACGCGGCAGAGCGTCAACCTGGTGTGGCGCATGCGGGCGCCGCGCGCGTCCGGGGAAGGCAACACGATCCGGGTGCCACGCGCGCCGCTCCTGATCGATCCGCGGTGCCTGGCGTTCGAGTACCAGAAGACGATGGCTGCGGCGGTGCTCGCGACGCTGGGTGCTTCAGGTGGGTGCGGGTGGCGGCCGTGACGCGACGGAGGTGGTGGCTGCGACGCGGCGTGGGGCCGCGTGGGCTTTGTGCGCGGGGGCGGGGTCAGCGGCGACGGTTCGCGTGACGTTGATGTGTGGGTGAAGAGTTGATTGATGGTGGCATTTGATTGAATACATAGGATGTTGAATGCAGGGAGGTTGGAGACGGCGACGGAGAAGAAGCCCGTGACGATCTACTGCCTGGGGCTCGGCGGCGGATCGCTGCCGGCGTTCCTCGCGTACTGGCTGCGCTCCAAGGGCGTGCCGTACAGCATCCGGGGCGTGGAGCTCGACCCTGACGTTGCCATCGCTGCGAAAGACCACATGGGCCTTGTCGACGGCTACTGCCAAGGTGCGGCCGCGCACCAGCCCCCGCACGCCCGTCCCGCGTCGCTCGGATCGCTGGCTACCCGTTCCGCGGCCACACTGCCTCGCTTTCCCTCTATTTCGGCCGACGTTCCTCGTTTGCTGTGATCGATGGTGCAGTCGACGTGGCGTCCGCGGAGGCCGTGATGGCCGCGGCGCCGTCGGGTTCGGCGGACTGCGTGGTGATCGACTGCTTCAAGGCGGACAACGAGGTGCCCGTGGCGCTCACGGACCCGCGGGGCGCCTTCATGCTGGACCTGTCGTCGGTGCTCAACAAGACGGGCTCGCTCGTAGTGAACCTGCAGTGCGGGTCCGCGGGGAAGAAGAGCAGCCCGGGGCTCCCGACGCCGGTGCGCCGCGCGATGAACGCGAGGCAGTGTCCCGGGTACGAGCGGGACACGCCGCGCGGCCAGTATCTGTCTGAAACCGCCGAAGGATATGCAAAGGCGATTGTTGGGCGCGTGGGGCGGAAGGGCTCGGCTTACACGGTCCGAGCGAACAACCAGTATAATGTCGCGGTCGTCGCGAGCCGGGCGTGGTCGCTCCCGCCCGGCGTCGGCGCCGCGGAGGCGGAATTGCAGCGGTTGGCTCTGGACGCCGCGAGGGGCAGCGGGGACGCCGTGCTGTTCGACGTCGGGGCCAGGGCGTGGCTTGGGTACGCCGATCTCCTGGAGTGACGCGTCAGGCGCGCGGGCGCGGCACGGCCGCCGCCCGCGGTCGCGCGTGTACGTAGGTGTGTGACGGTGGCCCGTCGTCGCCGTGTTTCCGCGGGCGCATCGCGGCGCGGAGGTCGCGGTAGCTTTGCCGCGCGGTCAGGCCGAGGACGACGAGGAGGACGCTCAGCAGCGCGCCCAGGGCGAGAGGGCCGGCAACGAATGTATGATCCCTTTTCGCATGACAGGCCACGCGCGGGGGACGGCGATGACGAGGAGAGCTGAGTAGCCGTCGGCGCGTCGCCACACAACGCGGACAATGCCGCAGACTCAGTCACCGCTGTCACCCAGCCGGCTGCCGACACCCCCTGGTACAAGCAGCCTAGGACGTGGACCAGCACTTCGGCGCGTCGGCTGGCGGGCGTCGTCCAGTACTCGCGCGGCTCGCCGCGTTGTTGCTGACGACGCCCGCCACTCACTCTAACTGATTGCAGGTCAGAGCCTTCCCTTGGCACATGATGGCACGCTCACATGGCATTTCGCGCGAGTACTCCTGGCACGCTGCCGCCTTGATCAGGACGATAGCACACCCGCATTTCGTTTCGTGCGCGGGTGGTCAATTACTACTCTGTGTGTCGTGTTGTGCTGCGCCGGGCCTCGAACATGGGGCTTTGGCGCAGTGCCAGCTGAGAGCTACCTCCCTACTCCGGCCTTCAACCGTCGGCGTAGACGAGCCTGCCTCCGGCTAACTGACTCCGCCGTCTCACGTCCGTGGCTCACCGCCCGGCGTGCTAGGAACGCGCAACTTAGGTAGAGCTCTCCCCGTCATCGTCGCCCTCCCGTCGTGGCTTGATTACTGCATCCTCGGTCTAGGTCCGCACACCACCCTCTTTTCACCCCCAAAACCTCTCACCATGCGCACTCCAATCGGTCGCCGACGGAGGAAACGGCTCCAAGCAGCGTTGCGTCTCAGCGACCAGGCCGGCACCGCCGAGGCGCGCACGCTGCGTGGCCACCTTTCGAATGGCACCCTGTTCCACCATGTCGCAAATCTAAATGACCACGACCCGAACTTTCGACCCAGCATCACGCACGCACGCCGCATCGCGGCCGCTATTGCTCCGCAGGCATCTCCCCGTGCCTGGCCCCCTCCTAGCCCCCACCACACACCCTCCCACCCCGCCTCCGCACTAGCCCCTCGACCCTACTGGGACTACGTGCCCCGCGACGAACGGGCGCCCGCATACCCGCACCCGTGCCCCCCACCGAGCGCTCCTTTCCCACCGCCCCCGCCGGCGCGCTCGGACCTCGCCGCGCTACCATCGGTCACGGCAAACCCCCCGCTTGCGGCGCGCGGGGTTGTCTATGTCCTCTTGTGCCGGAAATACCCCTTCTTTTACTATGTCGGGGAGACATACCGCACAGCGATCGAACGACTGCAGGAGCACTTTGATGCAGCATTCACGCACCATCCGAACGCCGTGCACACCCCGCTTTACGAGTTTATGCGACGAGTGTGGGCGCAGTCGCCGAACGGCCATGTCCCGTGGCGCGACTTCACCATCGTGCCCCTCTTTCGCATCAATTTCGCACGCCAGGTGCCCATCCCGCCGGCGACTAGCCCGGACGCTTTGAAGGCCTGGTTCCACAAGTTCCGCACCTACTCCCTGGCCTGGGAGCAGACCATGATACGCTGTCTGGGCTCCACATACCCCGGCGGCCTCAATTACTGCAAGGGCATGTGGAATTTCGGCTACGGAGCTGGCCACTCTGATGCTGCCCCATGGCCTCTATCCCCCCTGGCGTTCCAAATCGCCGCTGACCCCCACCCCGTAGCGATCCCCCACAACGACTTCCCCGTCCCGCCCGGCCCGAGTGGGCTCCCAGCGCTGGCGACCCTCTTCCAGCCAACGTTTGCCATCTCCTCCACGCATCAACGTACCATCCACCTCGACGCTGACAACTGCCTCACAACTACGGCACCAGCGTTGTCCCTGCCCCCCGCTATCGCAGGCATGTCTCCGCGCCTCGGTACACGCGAGTATATCTACCAGACTCGCCTCCTTCTTGACGTTGTTTTTTTCCGCCGCGCCGGCGACACAGAGCACGATCATTGGAGACGCGCGGTGAACCATTGCACGGCAGCGAACATCGGAAAATACCTCTTCTCCCTCCATCACTGCGTGTCGCACATGCATCCCGATGCGCTTAACCTGGGTCTCGACGAGCCCTTTTACACACAGCAGATGTTGGACAGTGCCCGCACCGTTTTGCAGGCCGCCATCAACCACCACTACCCTCCCGTCGCAGACATCGACCTCGGGAGCCGTACCCTCATGATCCACGACTTCCCTACCCTCCTGGCTAGCCTCGCCCCCCTCGAAACCCTCGTCAATAATGATGACTTTCTCAACCTCTTACCTGAGCGTATCCGCGAAGGTATGGATGGCTTGTTTCTGGTGGCCCCGCGCTATTCGGTCAGGTTTCCACCGCTGTCGCGCTCGGTGTGCACGCACAGCGGAGTTGCCAAGTTTGCACGCAGTCGCCTGTACGACATCATGGCGACGCAGTGCGACTGTGAGCAACACCAAGGACCGGACCTACGACGCCACTTCACGCTCGAGGACCCCTACTGGCAGATCGACGGCGAGCCTGTGCGGCACCTCTGCACGCTGGACCCTGCTGCGGCGGGCATCCAGAGCACCGCGTACCGCCGTTTGTTCGCCGTCGGCGGTGCCAAGCACCGACACGTCCCGGAGCTGCACCAAGCCACGAGCGCGACCGTAGCTAGCATCGTTGAAGCCTACCAGAAGCCGCTGCTCGGGTGGACGAAACGCGTCAGCAAGGCCGCCGACATGGACGCGGCAGCGTGCATGCCGTACATTGATGCTATACTTGCTGCTACGCAAACGGCACTCCAACCCGCTCTTCAACCCGGGTTCCGCCTTCCATCGCCCCCGCCGCTGGCGGACATTCAGCCCGACGATCGCGTGGCTCTGCGGCGAGACGCGACACGCCTCACCATCACGACCATGGACAAGAACGCCGGGAATTTGGTTTTCGTGTGTCGGCGCGCCTACATCGAGGTCCTCCTGCACGACCTGCACACCAACGACGCTTTCGCTGTCAACGAGCCGGCAAATGCCAACATCACGCATGCCAGGCACGTGGTGAACGTCGCTAACACGACGGAGGCTATGTTGGACAACCTGCAGCTACCAGGAATACGCACCGAACGCGAGTGCGGTGGTCTACCGCACTACTACGGGACGATGAAGCTTCACAAGGCCAAGGTGGACGTGCGGTACATCTCGGACTGCTCGAGCGACATCACGCGCCCCGCAGCGCAGCTGCTGACGAAGGCCCTCGGCGCGCTCATGTGCCACGCCACCCTCGTGGAGGTCTGGAGCTCCATCTTCGACGGCGTCCCGGAGGACCTCTGCAGCAGCTTCGCGCCCTTCTTGGTGGACTCCAGCCGCGGCATGCGTGACATGGTGACCGCGTATCTACATGACAACCCACCACGCTCAGCGATACATGCTCAACAACCACCTCTGCTGCTGGGCGCCGACATCAAGCGGCTCTACCCGCACATCCGGCACGAGACGAGCGCGGACCACGGGACCGGCCTCATCGACTGCGTCATCGAACACATCGACGCTGTTTTTGCACTGCATCCAGGGCAACACCTCCTGATCGACTTGCAACCCGCGTTTGACGCGAGGGAGACGTGGTGGTGGGTGGCGCAGCTGCCGGACGCGGACGGCATGGTTGGGAAATGGGCACCGAGCATCGAGCAACTTCATGGTCTCGTGCACATCCTCGTCAAACGCGCCTACGTGGTGTTCGGGGGCGTCGTATATCACCAGACCTGCGGTGTGCCCATGGGGCTCTCGGCCTCCCCCCACCTCGCGAACTGCTACATGTTCCGGCATGAGCTCGCGTTCCTCTGCCAGTTTCGCGACCGCTGGTTGAGCACTGGCGACGTCGCTTGGCTGAAGGTCTTGGGGTCTTTCCGTTATTCCAGGCGCTACATCGACGACAATTTCTCTCTCGCGAACGCACTGTACCGCTACTTCAACACCCACCCCCGCCCCCCCACCCCGCCCCCCGAAACCCCGTCGTCGATCGTAGATCTCATCTCTGGTATACATAACATGTACCCCCCCTGTCTTGAGGTCGAATTTGACGCCCCAGCGAACCCGCTCGACGGTGTCTCCTTCCTAGACCTCCGCGTGCGTCCGCATCCCGAATATCAGGGCTTCCTCCTGATCTCGCACTATGACAAACGCGGTCTGTTTCCTGAGAACATTCACCTCATACAGTACCCCCACGCTTCGTGTGCGCTGCTGCGACGACACCTTTACAACATCGTCCGCACCGAACACATCCGCGTGTCCAGCGAGGTGACTGACCGCGACAGCTACGTAGCCAAGATGTCGGCCATGATGCGCTACATGCGTACGCATCGAGGTTACTGCATGCGACAGGTCCTGGCGATCCACCGCGCCGCCTGCCGGACGCACCCGAGCCCGCATTTTGGCCCTGCCACGCCGGCGGGCCTGGCTGACCTCGTGCGTCGCCACGTGCAGTTTGCAGACCATACTGGCCAACCTGCTGACAGGGCGTGCCCGGCGCCCTGCAACTCGTCACCCTCATACATGATCCCGGCGCTGCGAAGCTGGCTCGGAACTATCCAGCCATGCCCGCACACATGACGCACTCTGTTACCCCCCCGATGTTGACATGTTGGCCATGCGCGTATTCCGTGGCCGCTAGACCGAGGTATGATCCCTTTTCGCATGACAGGCCACGCGCGGGGGACGGCGATGACGAGGAGAGCTGAGTAGCCGTCGGCGCGTCGCCACACAACGCGGACAATGCCGCAGACTCAGTCACCGCTGTCACCCAGCCGGCTGCCGACACCCCCTGGTACAAGCAGCCTAGGACGTGGACCAGCACTTCGGCGCGTCGGCTGGCGGGCGTCGTCCAGTACTCGCGCGGCTCGCCGCGTTGTTGCTGACGACGCCCGCCACTCACTCTAACTGATTGCAGGTCAGAGCCTTCCCTTGGCACATGATGGCACGCTCACATGGCATTTCGCGCGAGTACTCCTAGCACGCTGCCGCCTTGATCAGGACGATAGCACACCCGCATTTCGTTTCGTGCGCGGGTGGTCAATTACTACTCTATGTTGTTGCCGCATCACGAGTGTAGCTGATGGGGTCCGCGGGGTCCATCTCGAGGCTCCGCTGGACCTGCGGCAGGCCCTGCGAGCGGCGCAGGGTCGGCAGACGTCTTGCCGAGGTAGTGGGCGGGGTCGACCGTGACGTGCGTGCGAGTTCTATTAAGGGCTGTTGCGGAGGTACCTGTGATGCGGTTCGCCTGCAGACGGGTGTGATGGCTCGAGAGTGAGTGTGGTGGTGTGGCGGCGGCGTGAAAGAGCCGCGATACAGGCCGGAACGCCCCCGGGGGGGCAGGTCAGTCACTCCCCTTGATGGCGTTTTGCGGCACCAAGCGGCGCGCGAAGGCGCTTGTTGCCGCCTCGGGCGGCGCGGTGCTCACGTTTTCATACGATTGTCAGCGCGATCCCCGTATCGGCGCTGCGTCCGGCGAATCAGGCTCGGCAGTCGGGGTTTCTCGTCACGACGATAGCTGCGTCGACGGGCGCGTTCTTGGACATTTCGCCTCAGGGTGAGCCACATTAACTTTAGTTCGAGCCCCTCGTTCCCTCGTCCAGCTCCTCGAACCCCCCACGACGGCTGCGCTGCCACCCTCGCTCCCAGCGTCTCTCACGCGCGTGTTCCTCCGCAGCAACGAGCCCGCTCCGTATCGTCGCTACCGGGCTCTCTTGTGGCCCCTCTACAGCGCCCTCGCATGCCCCCCCGCCCTCTAGGTAGCCTCCTCGAGCCCCCGCAGCTGCGGCCAGGCACCGGTCGGTTGGGCCAGCAACGACTAGCTCCGAATGCGGTCACCTGCGCGCCCGCGCGCACTTCACGCGCGGCTCAGCGGTTCCTCCGCACACCACGACGCGCCTGCAGGCAGCACAGTCACACGCGGGTGTCGGACATGATCGGCGCGGCGCAAAGGGCCCTCCCAGGCCAGGCCCAGCGCTCCCCCGTCGCGCAGAGGCGGCCGTCCGGCGCCCCCCGCAGCGTCCGCACGCGCTACAAGGCGAAGAAGCACGGGGACGGCGCGGCGGGCGCGGACGAGGCCGCGAAACCCTCTGGCGGAGCGGACTCGGCTGAAGCGGCGCAGCCTGTGTTCGACCTCCTCGCGGCGATCAAGAAGGGCCCCGGCGCCACGTCGACGATGCGGCCCTCGTCGGTTCCGCTCGGGCCGCGCATGCGCATCCTCGAAATCCCCAACCTCCGCGACAAGCTCGAGCCCCGGACCAACCCCTTTTGCGACCCCAACGGGACGCGCGCGAACTTCGACACGGGCTTCGTGACCGACGACGACTACGTCGTCGCGCAGGTGCGCCGCGGCCCCGCGCCCCGCGCTCGCCGAACCGCCGAAACACCCCAGCGCGCGCCGCGGCGGCGGTCTTGCAGTCCACGGTGCCTGGTGCTGCGTATCGCGCCTGCGCGCCTTGTTCCGACTGTGTTCCGCCGCTCGCTGCGTCCGCAGGCGCTGAACCGCATCAGCAGCGACCACCAGAGCGTCGTGAACGTCCCGGACGTCCACAAGCTCGGCGCGAGCAGCACGCTGCCGGTTCCCGCGAGTGCCGTGGGGGCCACGCCGCTCGCGTCGTCGATGCTGTCGATGGACGACGACGGCTCGGTGTCGCAGCTGTACCTCCAGCGCGCCGGCGCGCGCCGCACGATCTACTTCAACCCGGAAACGACCACCGCCGCCATCGTGACGTGCGGGGGGCTGTGCCCCGGGCTGAACGACGTGGTCATGGGCCTCGTGCGGAAGCTCGAGGACTACGGCGTCCCCGAGGGCAACATCCTCGGGCTGCGCTACGGCTTCCGGGGCTTCTACGACAACGAGCGGAAGCCGATTGTGTTGACGACGCGGCACGTCGAGGGCATCCAGACGCGCGGCGGGACGGTGCTGGGGACGTCCCGCGGCGGCGCGAAGATCGAGGAGATGGTGAAGAAGATCTCGCTGTGGGGCATCAACCAGCTGTACGTCATCGGCGGCAACGGCGGCAACGCCGGCGCGCTGGCCATCCACGAGGAGTGCGTGCGGCAGGGCGTCGTGTGCAGCGTCGTGGGCATCCCCAAGTCCATCGACAACGACATCCTCATGATCGACAAGACCTTCGGGTTCGACACGGCCGTCGAGGAGGCGCAGAAGGCTCTGATGGCCGCCAACGTCGAAGCGACCTCGGCGCACCGCGGCGTGGGGCTCGTGAAGCTCATGGGCCGGCAGTCCGGGTTCATCGCGATGCAGGCGTCGCTCGCGTCGGGCGTGGTCGACGCGTGTCTGATCCCGGAGGTGCCGTTCCACCTCGACGGCGAGGCGGGGCTGCTCGCCTACCTGGAGAAGGTGATCAAGAGGAAGGGGCACGCGGTGGTGTGCGTGGCCGAGGGCGCGGGGCAGGACATGCTGACGGCGGACGGCGCGATCGAGGGCACGGACGCGTCCGGCAACCCTATTTTGAAAGACATAGGGTTGTATCTCAAGAAGCGCCTGACCAAGGAGCTGCCCGACGCGACGGTCAAGTACATCGACCCGACGTACATGATCCGCGCGATCCCGACGACGGCGAACGACCGCATCTACTGCACGCTGCTCGCGATGAACGCGGTGCATGCAGCGTTCGCGGGTTACACTGGCATCACCATCGGTCTGTGCAACACGCACTATGCGCTGCTGCCCACGGGGACGGTCATCTCCGCCGCGCGGACGGTGAACCCGCAGGGCAAGATGTGGAACCGTCTGCGCCACTCCACGGGGCAGCCGGAGTTCGACGGGCCGCCGCTGTCGAATTGAGGGGGCGCGGGCGCGGGCGCGGGGGACGGGCTGGCGTCGCGCGCGACGGCGGGCGTGGCGTGCTCGGTGTTGTGATTCCACGTAGGTCGGGGCGCCTGCGGTCGCCGTGTTGTCGTTGGCAGTGACATGGAGAACGAAAGTCGCCGGTGACGACTGTCGTGGCGTCGGTGACCCGCTGCCAGGATCCGCGCAGTTCTCGGTCATTTCCTGAGGCCCCCAGTGAGCTCGTTCGCTTCGCTGACACTGACTTGGTTGGCTCTGCACGAAGTCTTCTCGCACGATTCGCGCCACCGACTCTTCGGATTTTCAACAACGCCGTGGGATTTGGGGCGGTCGAATGAGTCAGCGGCGAGGCGCGTCGACTCCCGTCATGACAAGAGCGGCAGTGACATCTTGTTACAATCGACAGATCACTTTGCGACATCAGAATTCTTCAATCCTCGTCTGAGTCCCACTCGCTCGGATCCACGCTCACCGACCCGGACCCCGTGTCCTCCAGCGACTCCTCCGCCACCTCCACCCGAGTCCCCCCCTTGCCAGGACTCCTCCACACGACCTCGGGGGGGTCTCGAACAGTCACCCCCACCACAGCCAGCCCGTCGCCCGCCCCGTCCGTCCGCCGGTACACCGACCCCAGCCGCTCGAGCGTCACGTCCTCAGCGCCCTCGCTCGGCGGCGGAAGCGGCGCCGGCGCCCCCCCCGAACTCCCCCCCTGCGGTACAACTCCCCCTGCACCTCCAGACCGCCTCGCGCTCGTCGCCCGCGAACCCCCGCGCGGCGCGCCTCGCGACGCGCTCGACGTCCACGCCCCGACGCACTCCCCCACCGCCTGCACCACCGCATTCGGCACGCCCTCCCCCGCACTCCCCCCCCGCCCTGCAACACCCTCTCCCGCCGCACAACCCCCCCCTCTTCCGCACCGCCACTCTCCCGCCACGTCGGACGCGCCCCGCCCTCCTCCCTCGCCCCAGGGTACCCCCAACCCGCATCCGGCCCCGCCACCGCCGTCGGCCGCCCCCGCGTCGGCTCCCACTCCGGCGGCGCGCCCTCCGCGCGCGGCGGCACGTACCCCTCCCCAGGCGGCCGCATCCCCATCGACACAGCCCACTCCTCCAGCACCACCACGCGCCTCTCCGCCAACGCTTTCCCCCACTCCGCAAACCTCTTCTCGTCCCGCAACCGCGCCACCTCGCCCTCCAGGAGCGCGTTCTCGCGCGCCCCGTCTCGCGCCCGCGCCGCCTGCTCCCCGGCGCGCGCGCACAGCGCGGCCTTCTCGCGCCGCCACGACTCCGCAGCCTCGTCCGCCTGCAGACCCTGCTGCGCGAGCCGCCCGCGCCACTCCTCGTCGCGGTCCAGGAGCTCCGTCTCCGCGGCGGCGCGGCGCTGCCGCTCCTGCGTCACGGCGCGCTCGAGCGCCTCGCAGCGCGTCGTGCGGTCCGCGAGCTGCGCCTTGAGCGTCGCGACGGCCTCGCGGAGCGCCCCGCGCTCGCCCGTGACCTCCGCGGCGGCGCGCTGGTCCTTGACGCGCTCCGCGGACGCGGACGCGGCGTTGCGCTGCAGACGCGCGACCTCCGCGTTGAGGCGGTCGATTTCCTGGACGAGCGCGCGCTCGCGGAGCTTGGCGGACGTGAGCGACACGGGCGGGCGCGTGGTCATGTCGCGCACGCCGGGGACGCGCACGGGCTTGTGCTCCGTGGAGCGGAACACCTCGAGCTCCTCCTGGAGCGCGCGGCGGTCGTCCTGGAGGGACTTGACGGCGCGGCGGAGGCCCGCCACGCGCAGGCGCTGTTCGGCGAGCGACAGGACGACGTCGCGCTTGGACACCATCATCAGGTCCTTGGCCTGCCGCGGAGAGGGCGCGGGCGCGGTGGCGGTGAGAAGGAGAAGGAGAGGAAAGAGCGCAACGCAAATATTGGTTGAAGGTCTGCGATGGGTCGCTCTGGCCTTGGTTGCTGCGCGAGGCCGCGGTCGGAGCGTGCGGCGACGCGTGCGTGTCGCGGCGAGCGCAGGGTGCGGCGAGGGAGCGCGGACGCGACCTAGATACGGCCTCAAGCGCGCACCTGAGTCTTCGTTGGAATAACTGACGCAGCTTCCGGCCCCATGATCTCCTGCAGCCACCGGCTCATCGTCGCCAGCACGTCCACGACGCTCCCGCGCAGCTCCTCCGGGAGCCCGTCCCCCTGCTTGCCCTTGCCGTCGCCGCCACGGGGCTTCGGTGCCGTGGGGCGCGGGGCGCCGGTGGCGGCCCTGGGTCGCGCGCGCTCGCGGGCCGATGTGCGCTGTTCCGGCACGGACGCGGCGCCCCGGCTGCCGCCCGCGCTCCCGCTGTGCGCGGGGCGCGACGCGGAGGCGGAACGAGCGGGCCGGGAGGGTCGCGAGGGGGGGGGGTCCGGACTTGACAACAGGTGCCGCAGGGCCGACGCGAGGTGCTCGGTGGTGGCGTCGGGGTCCCCGCGGAGCTCGACGTCGTCGTCGTCGTCGGCGCCGGCGCGCCCGCGGCTGCGTCCGCGGCGGGGGGAGTCGGCGGCACTCCCCCCGCCGACGCCGGCCCGCAGCGACGGCGCCTGCGCCAGCGGCGCCGCCCGGGCGTCCACGGGCGACGGCGCGTCCGTTCCACCCGCCGGCCCCGGCGAGAAATCCAGCCGCGACCGCGCACCGCTCGCTGGCGCGTCGACGTCGTGCTGCGAGCGCTGCAGCGCAGCCTGCAGCTCCGCACCGTCGACGAAGCCCTCGTCGTCCGGCCGGATGAGCCCCGAGGACTCGAGCTGCGCGAGCCCGAACGACAGCGGGCGATCCGACGGCCCGGCGTCCGTTGGCGAGGTCTCGAACATCTCATCGCCCAGACTCGGGCTGACGCGATACTGCCGGAAGAACTGCCCAGGGCTGCCCTGCACGGCGATCTCCGGGGCGTCACGCGGCTCCGCACGCGAGCCCTGCTGCAGCCGGGGGGTCTGCGCGCCCGACGCTGACGCGCCCCCCCCCTGTTGCTGCGCACCGCCGCGGCTGCTGTATTCGAGCTGGCGGCGCGGGTTCCGCGCGCGTTCCGCCGCCGGTGCACCGATCGCGGGCCCCGCGGCGGCCCGCGGCGGCGCGGCGTGGTGCACGTGGACATGCGGGCTGTACACGTGCACAGCCGGCGCCTCGTGCACCGACTCCGGGAGCTCCACCGCGACGATGTCGCGCTCTTCGTCGCCTGCGTGCTGCTGGGACGCCGACGCCTGCGACCGCCGGATCGCAGCGATCAGTTCGTGTCGCGGCGCGTGCCACAGCGGGTCTGACGCGTCGGGGGGGGGTCTCGGCTGCGGTCCGACTCGGTGCTGGCGTCCGCGGGTCGCGCAGGGGACGGTGCGGGGTCCGTGGCGCGGCCTGCGCGGCGGGGAGTTGCGACAACGCGTGCAAAGTGTTACAAGTGCACAGATGATCGTGTGCCGCCGAAGCGTGGCGCGGACGACGAGCGGGGACGCCGTGAACGTGGAGGTTGTTCGTGGTGGGGGCGCCGTACCGGGGGGTTGGACGCGCGAGGGGCCGGCCGGCTCCGGGGGCGCAGCTGTTGCTGCAGGAACGCTTGTGCGCGCGCGGGTCAGTGCGGACGGCACGGTGACGCGCGGCATCGGCGCGGGCGACACGGCCTGCGGGTTCCCGGACGCGATCTGGACGAGCCGCGCGACCGAGGACGCCGGGCCAGGCCCGAGCGGCTCCGTAGCCGGAGCGCGAGTCCTGTCGTCAGCGTTGGCAGCCCCCCGCTCGGCGTGCTGAGCGGCGCGCGCGGGCCCCGCGGCCACGGTGGCGCTCGAGGTCTGCGGTGCGTAGGCCGCTGTGGACCCGAGGGTTCCCGGCGACCGCGAGGAGGGCTCCCCGCGCTGCCTGATGCTGTCCGCGAGGCTTCGAATGTCCGAGGCCGCGCGGCCCAGGGCTCCCGCGAGCCCAGACATGCCGTGGGAGGGCGAGCTGGAGCTGTGCGCCTGCCGGGACACGCTGTCCTGCGCCGAGCCGCTGACGCTGCGCAGTTCCCGCAGCTGCTCGCGCAGCATCTTGAGAGACGGCAGCGGGCCCGCGCTGTCCGGCGGCCCCACGTGCTCGCCGTACATCTTTGAATATCGGTATATTCGCTACGCCATGCGCCGCGCTGGGCCGCCGGACGCCTTCCCCACGACCCGCTCCAGCGAAAAGGTGTTCTGTCGAGAGCTGTGTGCCAGCTCGAAGCGGTGGAACCACGCTTTCCTAGCTCGCGAGGCAGCACATGTACGAAACCGCGCCCCGGGACAGCGGCAACGGCGTCCCGGCCAGCGCACCTCCGCAACAGAGCCCTCCAGAGCACCCCACGCCTCCACGTGACCCGGTCAGGCCCCCAGCGCCCGCCACGGCATCTTTCCTGCCGCGCCGCGCCCCGCTCGCACTCCTCTCTCCGCCCGTTCTTCCCGGCTGCCGTCTTGGGCCCGTTCGCGCCCGCAGGCGTCGCGCAATGCGTATAGAGCGCTGCTGGAAGTGCCCCGCACCATGACTGCGCCCGTATCAGGGCCCCGCGGGGCCCCGATGCTGGCTGGGATCGTCACGGTGGACTTCAGCGTGCCGCACGCCGTCGAGGAGGTCCTGGTGACGCAGGAAACGCGACCAGTAATACGGTTTCACGGTCGCCGGGCGATTCTGTGGCTCCGCGAGCCCGCGCACGGTGGGCACGATGCGTTCGACGGCGACACCGACGCCTTCATGCCAGGGGACGGCGACGAGCCCGGAGAGATGGTCGCGGAGGCCCGCTGGGGCAGCGGGCACAGGAGCAACGCAACGGCCTTTTGGGAGGTGCGCCACGTCGCGCGGTGTCCGCACACGCGCGCTTTGAAGCGACGATACGAGCCCTCACTCATACATCCTGCGGGGGCGCAAACGTTCGGGAAGATCTCTGTCCCTCCGGGGCCGCTGCCGCCACCGTCACCAGCTGAGGGGGCTTCCGGCGCGCGCTGCGTCCAGTCACACATTTTGTTTATACCTCCGGTCGGTCCGCGATGTTCGCTGCAGGCGGTGTACGTCCTGCAGTCCCGGGACAACGACCGTGTGCGGCTCGAGGTCGCAGCGGCCCACCCGTTGCGCGCCAAGCCAGGAAGCAGCGTCTCCGTGCCCGTCGAGGTCTGGCTGCTGCCCGGATTCTTCACGGCGCCGCCGTCAGTTGCTAACGGCGCCGGCGCGTCGGACGGGCACGCCGGAAACGCCCCGAACGGGGACGTTCCGGGCCAGTTGCTGGACAGTGGGACACTGCAGCAGCGCAGAGCGCAAACGTCGCAAGTGCGGGCGGCCCGGAACCTCGTCGCCTACCTCGAGGCCGGGGAGGACGGCGACCAGGACATGGCAGACGCGGTAAGAAGACACAAACAAAGAGATTGTGTTGAAAGAGCTCTGTTATATTCGGGCATAGCCCCGCTCTGGTCGACGACGCGGTCGCGCACGTCGGCGAAAAAGCAGAGCGTCGTGTGCTGCGTGGGCGCAGGACGGCGGACGCCAGGTGGGGGGGGACGAGGGCGTTTTGGGCATGAGCGACTCAGAGGACGAGAAGGACCCCGCGGAGACGGTCCGCGACGACGTCTTCGCGATCATTCAGCCCTCTGGCTGGATGCGCGCGTCGGAGAACCCGGAGGGCATGCGCGTGCCTCTGTACAGGTGCGGAGTGCTCTCGAGTGTGGATGCAACAGCTTGAACGCGCCCCGTGCGCCCCCAGAATCCGCGCAAGAACTCCGACGACGGCTTCTGCGATTTTTCCTCAGCGATCGCGTCGAGCGATTCCAGAGTCGCGGGACGGGTCGGCACAGGAACAGCCGTCAGCACGCACAACACCGCACACTCCCCGCCCTGGCCGCGCAGGTACCAGCGGCGCGCCCTGGCTTGGATGGAGTGGCGAGAGCGACAGGGTACGGGCGACCCCGACACGCAGGACGGCCCGTCCGGGGGCTTTGCGGCCTCGATGGGTCAGCGCGGCGGGGGCACCGCGGGGCCCTCCTCCGGCTCGCTGCTGCACGCGCTGTGGGAGCCGGTGCGCCTGGTGGGCGGCGCCGAGGTGTACGTCAACATGCACACGGGCGAGGTGTCCCCCACGGCGGTGCTGCGGACGAACGAAGTGCCAGGAGGCATCCTCGCCGACGGTGCGTACGTACACGCGGGGGGGGGCGGTCTGGGACCCACGTGGTGCACGCACGGACGATGCGGCGCGGCGGAAGCCGCGCACCTGACCTGAATGCTCCGTTAGCGGCGGAACATGCGATCGCGACAGCCAAATTAACCCCTGACATTTTTTCACATCCCCCCTCTCCTGGGCTGCGGACGCTCGCATCGGTCTTGGCTGCGCCTGCCTGTCCGCTGTCCACTTCCGACCTTTCCTCCCCGCGTCGTCCTTGTGTCGCAGAGATGGGCCTCGGGAAGAGCGCGGAAGTAATTGCGCTGATGCTGTCGCGCCCAGGACCGCCCTGCGCGCCGCTCGGGTCGGCCCCGAGCGGTGCCGCGGCGGCGGAGTGGGACGGCCCGACGCTGATCGTGGCGCCCGCCGCGATCGTGCTGCAGTGGGAGCAGGAGATCGAGAAATTCTCCAACCTCAAAGTGCTGGTCTACGATGGTCTCGAGAGCAAGAACCTCGACGCGAAGCTGAAGGACTTCGCGCGCGAGCTCCGCGACGCCGGCGCCGACGGCGGCGGCATCTACGAACCCCCCCCCGCCGTGACGCCCAAACGCCCCCGGCAGAAACGCATGTCATACCGCGAGGCGCTCCAGCGCGGCCCAGACCCCCCCCACGAGGCCTCCACGCGCGCCGAGCTCGTGCGGCACTCGATGAAGTGGATGCTCGACCTCCAGCGCATGCACCGCCGCGTCGAGGGCGACAGCGACCCCAACGCCAAGGTCAAGCGCGCCGAGCTCGTGGCGGAGCTGATGCGGCGGTACGACGTCGTGCTGACGTCCTTCACGGTGCTGTCGTCCGAGGTGCACCTGCAGAAGTGCCAGCGCACGTTCCGCCGCGCCAAGGTGTACCACCCGCCGGAGTGCCCCCTCATCCAGCTGCGGTGGTGGCGCTTGGTGGTGGACGAGGCGCAGCAGGTGGGCGCGGGCATCGGGCACGTCGCGGAGATGGCGCTGCGGGTGCGGTCGCGGCACCGGTGGTGCGTGACCGGGACGCCGCTCGGGCCGCACGGCCTCGACGACCTGCAGGTGAGCGGCGGAGCGGGAGCCCTTCCTCCCCGAATCACGGCAGCCTTGTTTTCCCTTTCGTCCTTCTCGCCGATCCGTGACTTGAGGTGCACCAGGTGGCTTGTTTTCAAGCGCCTGGCCGCGACTCGTGCCCACGGCAGTGCTCCCAGCACTTGGACACAAAGTCGCGGACAGGTGCTCGAAGTCAAGCCATGGAGTACCTCACGTCGCGGGTCGCGCAGGAACGCTGACGACGTGCAAGGGGCGTGTCGTGCCGCGCGCGCCCGGTCTTCGCGCGCCGTCCGTCGTCGCGGGGTCCGCGCTCCCCCGCGGCCAGTGCTGCTCGAGGAGTCCGTGAACGTGCTCCTCCTGCGAGACCGGCACACCAAAGGGAGACCTCAATGCCTTACGTTCCGCAGGGGCTGCTCCGGGTGCTGCACCACGACCCTCTCGCTGACGAGCGGATCTTCCGGCGGCTGCTGCGGGACCCGTTCATGCGGTCGGAGCGCGGGTCGCGGGAGCGCCTCGCGGCGGCGTTGCTGCCCGTGATGTGGAGGAACACCAAGGAGGCGGCCGCGGCGGAGGTGCCGCTGCCGCCGCGGCAGCTGCGCGTCGCGAAGCTCTCGGTGCGCGCGCGCTGGCGCCTCCCATCACGCTTCGATGCTGGGGAATGCGCTTTTTTACCTCTTTGATTGAGTCTTGATTGATTTTTTACGTCTTTGATTGATTTTTTTCGTCTTTGGTTGATTTGTCGCTCATGGCGTGCGTCCGTTGCGTTTGTGCGCGCAGCTGTCGGAGCAGGAGCGCGTGTTCTACAGCCTCGTGCGGGACCGCGGCAGGCAGGCGCGCGAGGCCCTGCGCGGCGCCTACCACGAGGCCATTGCCGCTGCCGCCGACGCGTACGACGAGGCGCACGGGAGCTCGCCCGTCCCCGCGGGCATGCGTCTGGCGCGCGTGCGGCACGCGGAGTCCAAGCAGCGCGCTTCGGAGGCCAAGTACCAGCTCGCCTGCCAGGACGCTGTCCTGCAGGAGCGGTACAGCGCTATACACCCCCAACTGACGCACTACTGGCGTACAATGGGGACCCAGCAGCTCCAGGCGAGCGACGGCGGCGCGGGGATGACGGAGGTGATGGGGACGGTGCGGAGCAACACCCAGAGCGAGCTGCAGGCCAGGGAGCGCGAGTTGTGCACGGTGCTCAACTTTGCCGCCTCGAAGATGCTCGCGCTCGCGGACGCGCGCGCCGCGAAGGCGCAGGGCACGCCGCGGAAGCGCAAGGGCGAGCCGAGCCGCGCGGAGCTCGACGCGAAGCGCGCTCGCGGGCCGGACGCGCCGCGCGCGCACGCGTCGCAGCAGGGCGGCAGCGGGAGCGACGACGAGGGCGCGGACGCCCCGAACAGCCCCGCGACGCTGCGCGCGAGGGGCCCGTTCTTCGGGCTCAGTCCGGACGAGCTCCGGCGCGACGCGAGGCACTACGTGGAGATCAGTTACAAGGTTGGCGACAAGGGGATTGGGGCGCTCGATGGGGAGGAGGGCGGGGACGAGAACATCTCGCTGGACTCCGGGGCGATTCGCGCGTGGCGGCTGCTCGAGGTGAACACGCACGCGATGCTGATCCGCATGCTGCAGCCTTACGCGGAGGGGAGGGCTGCCGAGACGGCGGAGGAGGGCGAGGCGGCGGCGGAGCGGTTGGACAAGCTGCGGTGCGGACCCCGACGTGCTGGATGTCGTGCGCTTGACGAGGGCGCGGTGGATGATGTACTGAGTGGCTGTTGGGCGTGATTTATGACGAGAGAGTGTTTATGATTATGGGAAAAGTGATGTTTAGGTCTTGGAGAGTTGAGTATGGCGGTGTGGGGGCTGTGCGGCGCAGGTTGGACGCGGAGAAGAAGGACAAGGACTATTTGTGGAGCGCGGATCAGGAGCTGGAGCAGGCGAGCGAGGCGCACAAGGCCGCGTGCGAGAAGGTCGAGTCCCTGAGCAGGGCGCTCAAGGCGTGCTGGGCGCGCTGCAAGGCCGGGCCCAAGATCGACTGGGTCGTCGCAGGTGCGCGGCACGCCGGCGGGCGGCCCGCAGTCTCGGAACTGCCGAAATTCGCGGATTTCCGACTCGAATTCGATTCGACTGCGTTGAACCAACTAACGCCGGTTGTGTGGCGCTCGCAGGGCTCGAGGAGGGCGCGCTGGGCGCGCGCGGCAGGGCGTTCGACGCGGCGCTGTGGGAGCGGCAGGTCATGGAGGGAGTCGAGAAGGCGGCGGCGGAGGAAGAAGCCTGGTTGGCGTCTCAGGAAGACCAGCAAATTCAGTCTGTCCTGGGGCACCACGTGGCCGACTTCCTCGAGCACCAGTCGTCCCGCGTGCAGAGCATGCGAACCGCGCTCGCGGACGCCGGCTTCCTGCGCCACGAGGTCAAAGACTGCGTTCGTGCACTCCCGAAGACTCTGCTCATCAACTCCAGTTCCCTGCCGCCAACCCCGTGCCCGCCGTGCCCCGAGAAGCCCCCGGGGCTGTCCGTATGCCACAAGATCCTCCTCGGCGCCGACCTTCCCGCGAAGCCGGGCGGCTTGAGCAAGGGGGCGGCCGTGGCGGCCGCCGCACTGTACCAGCACTGCGACGAGCAGGACAAGACCTTTGAATCGTACTTCATTGAGAAGAAGTGCCTCAGGAACTTCGAGAAGATGCTCGAGCGGATCCGCGAGCCCCCCGGGCCCCTCGTGCCCGGCGGCGCGAAGGGCGCCGACAGCGGCGCGGTCCTGCCTGCGGTGCTGGTGGTGAAACGATGCTTCGACCTGCTGGGCGCACTGCGGGACCGGCACGTCAAGGCGCGCGGCGTCGTCGTGAAGAAATGGGGCAGAGAACGTGCGCAGGAGCTGGTGAGCGCCTGCTGCCCCGCACGCAGGCACGCGTGATGGCGACAACGACGGACCGCGCTGCGCTGCGTGAGTCGCTCTCTCGCATCTGAAGCCGCGCCGCGATCCCGTGTGTCCGTCGCAGCTCCAGCAGGCCCGCGAAGAGACCCCGAACGTGCCGAGTCAGGTCCGCAGCAGCACCGGCGTGCAGCTCGTGCGTCGAATTGAGGAGCTCAAAGCCAAGTGCCGGTACCTGCGCCACCAGTACAAGTACCTCGGGCAGGTCATCGGAGCCGGCACCGAGAAGCCGGCGGCCCCCGCCGACAACGCAGCTGGCTCGCAGGCGCAGGCGCAGGCGCAGGCGGGGGACAGCGGCGGCGACGACGCGCACGAGACGTGCCCATCGTGCCTCGAGCCCATCGACGTGAGGGGCAAGGACGTCCACATGTACCCGTGCGGGCACCGGGTCTGCAAGGACTGCAACGTGAAGATCTGGGACAACCCCGCGCTCCGCGGCCGCTGCATCACGTGCAAGCGCAAGGCCCGGCGCGGCGAGATCTGGGCATACAAGGTCGGTGCGCGGAGCGGGAAGGGCGGCGACGGGCGCGCGGGTGGCCCTGACGGCGGCGACGAGTGCACGGACTGGCCAGAGCTGCGGTTCGTACGGTTCGAGCCCACCGCCGAGGCGGGGACGAAGCTCGGCGCCGTCGTGCGGCGGCTCACGTTGCTCGGCAAGACGCGGCCGGACGAGAAGACGCTTGTCTTCAGCCAGTTCCCGAACGCGCTGCAGCTCCTCGGGAAGCTTCTGACGGCGGCGCACATCCCCCACGTGTCCCTGCTGTCGTCGGGCGGGCGGCAGGGGCACCGCGAGGAGATGCTGCGCTTCACGCAGGACCCCGAGTGCCGCGTCTTCCTCCTCGCGCTCCGCGCGGGGGGTGTCGGGCTGACGTTGGTGCAGGCGTCCAATGTTATTCTGCTGGAGCCTGCGACGGACCCGGCGATCGAGCAGCAGGCGGTGGCGCGCGTGCACCGCATCGGGCAGACGCGGCCGGTCGTGGTGACCAGGATGTTGGTGCGCGACACAGTCGAGGTTCCAGTTCTGGAAATGAACCGGCGGAAACAGGGGCTGGCCGGACACGAGGAGGTCGGCGACGGCGAGGAGGCGCTGGCGGGGACGGCGGCGCTCGGCGGCGGGGAGGCCACGACGATGGCCGCGCTGGCGCCCACGGCGGAGGGGATGTCTGCGGTGGACTTGGAGGCCCTCTTGGGGGAGTGACCAATCTGTCTGACAGACGGCGGGCGGGATTGCGTCGCATCACAAGTGGCGAGCCCCGTGCCCGGGAGAAGGGTGCTTGTGGGGCTCGCGGGCGCCGGGCGGCCGGACATGGAGCCTCTCATGGTCACGCCGTGCCAGGCATGTTGGCGGCGAGGCCGCCGTGCTTGGTGGTGAACATGGTCTCCAGGAAGTCGCGCTTGCCGACGAAGGAGCTCATGAGCCTGCGGTGGGGATGTGGGCGGACGAGCCACATAGGGTTGTGTGAGGGTTACCAACACATGGGGTTGTGCCTAGTGTGGGAACCACGTGGGGTTGCGGCAAGGCAATGGCGAGCGCTGGCTGGGAGGCGCCGTCTCTGTGCGAGAAGCGACCGGCGTGAGCGCGCGCGGAGGGGTCGAGAGGGCGTTTTTTCGGCAGGAACAGGTTCGGGAGTTAGTGGGGTTGGCGGACCTGTCCATGATCATCTGCTTGATGGCGGTCCACGACGGCGGGTCGGATCCGAACACATACAGGGTCTCGGCGACCTCGTCGCCGAACTCCTTCTCGAGCACGCACGTCTGGTGCGAGAAGGTGGCCGGCGTGATGTGGCGGCCAGTGTAGGTGCTCTTCGTCTTCTCCACAGAGATCGACGGCTTCGTGCACACCTGCAAACACCACGCCGCGCTCAGTCAGCTCCCCGTCCGCGTCGGCACCGGTTCCAGCCCCGTGCGGCGCGCGTTCAGCGCAGGTTGCGGCTGCCGTACGCACCAGCTTGACCGCAGCGGCGTCGCCCGCGATCCCGTCCGCGACCGGCTCCGTCACGATGCTGCAGGAGCCCGTCTCGACGCGGAAGGACGCGCCGGGGCCCTGCCAGACCGCGGGGACGCGCTCGGGCGGCGAGAAGCTGGGAGGGGTGCAGTAATTGGCCTCGAGGACGTCGACGACGTCCACGATGTCCTTCGCGTCCTCCATTCCGTCGATGCCGGAGCCCGCCAGGAGCGTGCCGAGCGAGCCGTTGAACTTCTTCGTGGAGAGCAGCTGCGCGGGACGCCGCACGGCGTGCGTTGTTGCTGTCGGGGCGTTCGAGGCCGAGCACGTGGGTGGGCGCGTCGGACGGATGGCGCGGTTTCGCGAGCGGGCTTTGCGCTGGTCGTGCGGGGCTAGGGTTTCGCGGAATCGAGGAGCGTTGGTGGTCGAACGCGCACCGTTTGCAGGACGGCAGCGGGCTTCGTGAACCCGCCGGAGAGGAGCGACGCGAACTTGCTGCCGTCCCCGAGCGGCTCGCCGTTGATCTTGATGTTGTTGAGGTTCGCGCCGGTGCCTAGCGAGCCCTTGATGCCGTTGAAGGCGCTTTGAATACCTGCATTCATCAAAGCACGCTCTTCCGGGAATCAGACAGCTTACGCGCGCGTCCGGCTCCGCCTGGCTCGAAGAGAGCCAAACCACACAATTTCCTGCGCTTCGCAGTGGTTTCCGGCCGCCTCGCATACGCGGCAACCGAGCGGTTCATGCACTCCGAGGGTCCGCCGCGCAGGAAGCACGCAGGGGTCTGGCGCCTCACCGTCAATCACCGACGCCTGCGCATGTGCACCAGCGCACAGCGAGACACCGATCACCGCTGCCACGGTGAGGTCGCGCGCGTACCGCATCCCGTCCACACGAGCGCCCCGCTTGTCCAACGAAACAATTCAGAAAGGGAAATCACGAACCACGTTCGCGTCTTAGCCTTCTCGCACAGCGCACGGTCTTCCTCGAGCAGCTCGAAGTAGCGCCGCGCCCCGGCGCCCCCGCACGTTGTATCCCGCGCCGTCCCGCGGCAGCGCGCCACCACCCCCGCTGCCATCGGGGACCGGAAACACCCCCCCCGCGACCTCGCGAGCCACGCACCCGCCGGCGACTGCCCGGCCCGGGCCTCGCCGACGCAGACCGGCCTCGCTGCGACAACGTCAACGCGTCGTGCGGCAGAGAGTGCGGAGAGCGGCCGCGCTCCGTTGGCAGGAGAACACGAGACGCTTTCGGCGCCCATCGCGCTACCACTCGATCGCTCGCCTCGTCAGCTCGATCTCGGGGCGTTCTCGGTTCAGTTCGCGCTCGAGACACAGGGGCCCCTCCGCGCACGGCTGCACCCCGCTCTCCTGCAGCAGCGCCAGCAACAGGTCCACCAGCTCCCGCTCCGCCGCGGCCGAGCGCCGCGCGTGCTCCGATCGCCGGTACTCGCGCAGCTCCGCCAAGGCCTCGTCCAGCCGCCCCGCGTGCAGGTACATCACGCCGAGGTCGCGACGCTCCCACGGCGCGCTGCGAGACACCGGAATAGCACTTGTTGTTTCACCAACATCCAGGGTCCGATTGAGAGGGAGGTGTCGCGAACAGCATCCGTGCGACGTGTGCGCGTCGTTCGCGGTGCGTGCGTGCCCCCCTGAGATCCGCGCTCGAGCACGTGCCGCACAGACATGGCAAACAAACATGTGTGTCTATGAATGGCAACAAATATACCAACCACTCGTCCGCTGCAGTCGCGGCCCTGTCTCACCTGTCCCCGCACAGCAGTACGAGCCGCTCGCACGCCGGCACGCACCGCCGCAGGTCCCCCGCGCCCGTGCTGGTATAAATGCCCCGTTTCAACCTATACTTCGCGAACCGCGAGATCGCCTCCGTCGTCGCGTCGTCGTCGCCCTCCAGCGCCGTCCGCGCCGCGGCCTCGAACCCCCCCTGCGCGCCCGTCGGGTCCGCGGCCACGTTCGACTCCCACGCGAACGGCCAGAAAGCGCGCTTGAGCGTGCGCAGCACCTCGCACAGCGCGTCCGTGGTGCATGTGTTCGCCACGCGGCCGTCCGCGGCGACGAGCGCCTCGCGAGTGAAGCCCGGCGCGGGGCGTGCCGTCGGGGGCTCGGTGAAGTCCTCGCAGTCCACGATGACGCCGCAAGACAACGCGCCGGAGACTAGCAGGCGCTGAAACACGTCGATCAGGACGATCGCGAGCGACGCGGGGGTGCCGACGCGGTTGCACAGCACCTGCGTGGGAATGGGGGGTGTTGGGGGGAGTTGAGAGCGGGCAGGGAGGTGTGTGTGCTGTCGGCGAGGGAAAGGGGGGGTGTTTGGTGGCTGGGGTGGCGGCGTGCCTGGTTGAGGTACGCGTGGCTGGAGCGCTCCCAGACGCCCGGGTGCGCGACGACGGACTCCCCCGGCACCGACGACTTCCCTGTGTCGGGCACGCGGAGACCGCCCGCGCCCAGCACGCACTCCATCACCACCGCGACTGCCTCCTCGTCCGACAGCTCCCCCTCCTCGCCGCCGGTCTCCCGTCGTCTGCAGGGAGCATTCCCTCACCCCAGACAGTTCGCTCAAAGACGCTGGATCAAATATGCGCATCAAATCATCAACATATCTAAAAAACTGTTTTGACATCGACGCCTCGTCCTTCTACTCGTGCGGCGCTGCGTCCGAGCCAGCAATGCAGCCCTGCATCGCCGCCGCCGCCCCATGCGAGCAGATACGCACGCGGCGGGCTCGTGCGCGCTCCGACGCACCTTGCCCCCTCCGCCGCAAGCGCAGCGCCGCAGTTGTCCGCGAGGCGCGCGAGGCGCTGCTTGAACGCGTCCACCGGCAGCCGCACGGGCGAGTTCGTCGCGAGAGCGTCGTCCTCGGCTGCGAGGGACAGCGCGGCGGCGTAGCGCGCACGTCACTTGCGCAGCGAGCTCGGTGCGCATACGAGTCCCAGAACCGGCGACGGAGGTCGCGCGAGCCCGCGTGGACGCACCTGCTGCCCAGAGGGCTGCGTCCGCGAGCCGCAGGAACGACGTGCCTTGCTGCAGCTCGGCCAGAAAGCCCCGCCGCGCCTCCCAAGCGTGCGGGGACGCGAGGTCGAAGCTGCGGTACCGTGGATCCCGGGCCTCGCCGCGCAAATCGTCCTCGTCCGTGTTCCGGTCGTCCTGCTGCGAGCCCCGCACGCGGCCCGGTCCGTCGCCCGCCCCGTGGGCGCTGCAGCGACACCGCCGCTGAGCGTGACGCTCCCGTGCTGGTCGAGGCGCGGGGCTGGACCGCCGCACGACCGGGAACACCACTGAAACGCAACGGCGCCAACAACGCGCAGGGACAGCCCTCGGAGCTCTCAGGCACGGCATGCTGGCGGACGTGCTGGTCATCATGCGGAGTGGAAACGACTCGCAGGGCCGCCTGGTCCCGCGCACACAGACCCGCAATCCAATCCGCGTGGAGTGTGGGAGGGCGGTCCGGGCCTGCGGCGAAGAAGCGAGGCCCGCCGCGTCGACACCGTGTCACACGGGCCCGACTGGCTGGTGGGGCTGTGAGACACGTCCTCGATCCCTCCCGGCGTAATTGCGGCCCGGCGCCCGTCGCGATCCGCGCACCACCTCCCCGCGCACACTGAGGCCATCGCGGTCGCCACGTTGCTCGTTGCACGCGTCCTCGGCGACCACACGTCGCTTCCCGCCCTGGAGCGCACATCCGACGACACTCCGCGCGTTTTCGCCGCACCTGGAACCGCAAGGCGCGCGTTCGGCGCCGTTTCGCGTCGGCTGTCTTGCTTCCTACGACCTGCAGTGCGAGAAATAGGATTTCGATCATGGGTGAGGAGCCGGGCAAGGCAGCAGCTGAAGCAGAGGATGTGTTCAGGACACCAAAGCGGCCGCGCCAGAGCGCCCTGTACGGCGTCGACCCCAACAGCCCGATGCTGAGCATTCCGAGCCCCGGGCCTGCCTCGGCGGCGAGGCTGAGGGACGCACCCGGGAGCGTGCGCGGCCCTCGCGCTGCTGTTGAGGCTGGCGGACCGGAGATGGCCCCACCCTGCCAGCTCGACCGAATCGTGTTCTCGCCCACGCGGCCCCTGGCCGCTCTGCCCGAGTTCGCCTTTCAGCGCACGGTCGACGTCGATGTTCAGAAACGACCCCCGAAGGCCGCACGGGCGGCGCGGGAGCGCTCAGAGCAGGGCTCCGGTGCAGGGGCCGCCTCGCCGCTTCGCGTCAGGTCCGCCGGCCCCGCACGCCGCCTTCCCGCCCCGTTCCAAGCTCGAATCACCACGCCGCGTATTCTATTCGGAAATTCCCGGACACAACGCCGCGCATTCCGGCGGGTTTGTCCAGGAACGCTATCGCCCCTGACGCTCGCTGGACGGCCCCTCAGATCGCGCCCCTGCTCGCGTCGCATGTTCGCAGGATCGTCGCCGCGGCAGGGTGCTCGAGGCCGACGTCGGAGCTCGGCGCGCAGCTGGCTGCACCGCGCACACTGCAGACAGCTCCAACGGAGCTCGCGCAGCCGAGCGGTCCGAGCGGCACGGACGCTGCGCCGTCCGCGGACCTCAAGCTGCTCGGGCTGCTCCGGGGGGCGTCGGGCGGGCACGCCTGGCGGGCCTGCGGCCCGCCCGAGGACGCAAGTGACGCAGTGCTACGTGGGGCGCCAGGGGACCAAACCGGCGCGCAGCGGCACGAGGACGAGGCGCAGGAGCTGGTGCCGAGGCAGCCGGGCAACGCGCCGCCCTCGGACCGGCAAGGCGCGCCGCAGGCACTCCCCCCTGACTCGGCTTCCGATTCAGTCCCCCCGGAGTACGCCGAGCTCGATGCGCTGTTTGGGGGCCTTCTCGAGGTGTGGCCGATCATCGTGGGGCGCGGCATGCAGCGCAGGACCCTCGCCGGCGTCGCAGGTGCGCCCGGACGCGCCGCCCGCAGCACTGCAGCGTGTCAACGCCTCAAGCCCGCGCGCGCGCCGCACCATCACGCTGACGCCACGCGTGCGCGCCGTGCGGTGCAGACTCCATCCAGCGCCACGTTGGCAGGAAGTGCCACGCCAGGGAGGTGTATAGCATGACTCAGCTTCTACCGCAGCATTTGTCAGTCTCGCGCACGGCGGCGCCCGCCGCGGCCGCGCCGAGCGACGCGGCGCGCAGCGCCGCGCAGGCGGACGCCGGGGCCGCGGTCGGGGCGGCCGTGCTGAGCGTGACGTCCCCGCGCGAGGCGCTCGGGGGCACGGGGGCCACCAACCGCCGCCTGAGCGCAGCCGACGTCGCTCTGCTCCGCGCAGCGATGCGCCGCGCCATGAACGACGCCGCTCGGGGCCCGCACGGCCACGGCCCGGCGGCCACAGCGAAACACCCCCCCCACCCTGACTCAGCCCCCTCCGCCGACGCCGCACGGCGCCGCGACGCCAGCGCCGCCCCTGCGGCGCACGACACGGCCGGCGCGGCCCCGGCCCAGCCGTCAGGCGGCCGCGGCGCCCCTCAGAACCACGCTTCACAGCCCGCGCTCGCCATCGCGGTCTCCGACGGGCTCCGCGCGGGCGTGCGCGGGATGCTCGAGAGGGAGCGCGTTGCGACGGAGGAAGCCAGGCCCGACAGCGTCCGCGCCCGCACGAGCCAGCGCGCCCTCTCGTCGCTGCTCCGCGCCTTTGACGTGCTGTGGGGCATCGTGGGGCCCACCGGGCGGTGCGCGCGGCCGCGCGCGGAGCTCGAGCGCGAGATGCGGGAGGCCTCCGCGCGGCGCGGGCAGCCGACGGAGGCCGCGGAGGTGGCGGCGCATCTGGACCTGTTGCTTGCGCTGGCGCCGGAGTGGGTCAGCGTGGTGCACTCCAAGGTGCTCGGGCGCGACCTGGTGCGCGTGAGCCGCAAGGTGAATCCGACCGTGGTGCGGAAGCGCGTCGCGGAGGCCGCGGCGCGGCGCGGACCGCCGACGTGAGCGACGTTGTTTGTACTTTGGTGACCTACGAGCACCCTCGCCGCGAGGACGCTTGAGCGACCGAAATGGTGCGGCAGGCGAGACTCCTTGCGCGGCGACGAGATGAGGGAGGAGTTTTGTGATTCACGGGACGAGCCGTAGCCCCGGCGCGCGCGCGAGATGTATAACATGCGAACTGCACTTTCAGTCCGACTGGCGCAGGTGCTACCTCGCGACAGGGACACTCACGCTCACGCGCGCCTGGACACTCGTCCGAGCGCGCCAGGCCGTCCGGCGAAAGCGGTGCTCGCCGCTAGACTTGGCCGCACGTCATGCAATGCAGGGAGATATCGTAGAGGGGGGCGGGGGGGTCCGGGGATCATCAGGGGGGGAGTGTCAGGTCAGCAGGCAACATGGGGTCTCCGCGGCGCCTTGCGTCGGGGGCGTATCTCTCAGACCACGTGGGTGGCTAACGACGCAAGGCGCGGGACGTAGAGGGTCGCATGTGAGCGCCGTGTCGCTGTCGTTCGCAGTGGCCGGGGGAACGGGTTGCTAGGTGCATGTGGGAGTGTGAGCGCGGCGCGAGATGTGCGTCGAAGGTCGCGTGCGCTCCGCAGGGTGCTGTGAGGGCGAGGCTGCGAAGGGCCGGCCCGCCTGCAGCGTGTGTGAGCGGCACCGGCACCATGGCTTCTGGGTGCAGGACTGGCAGCATGGGGCTGCCCGACGCGACAGCGCAGGCTGGCAGATGCAGCGCGGACGCTTGCGAGCGGTTGTGCAGCTAGGCGCGAGATGAGTCCGCATCCGAACAGCTCGATGCCGCGCACATGCCTCCTCCTGGTCCTCGTTCGCAGTCGGCCGCCCTTCCTTTCTTGCGATAGCTATGTGCTGTTGTCAGGCCGCCGTGTGCGCCTCTGCTGCGCCCTCGCAGTAGGATGTGGCCTCCCGGTTATGGACGCACGCGACGGTGTTGAGCAGCGCGAGGCAGTCGCAGTGGAACGGGTACGCGTCCTTGATGACGCGCGCGCCCTGCATCGGCGTGAGAAGACTCTTGAAAGTGACGAACTCCAGTTCGCTGGCAGCCTTCTGTTCGTCCTTCAAGTTCTCCTTGAGCTCGCTCAGGACGCGCGCGACCGACGCGTTCTCCTTCTGGCGGTCCAAGAGGCCCTCCTGCGCGGCCTCCGCGGGGCCCTTCACGCTGTTGGGCGCCAGCTGCACGATCGCTGCCGCGTTCAGGGATTGCCGCTGCTTGTACACCGCGGCGAGGCGGGTGAGGTGCTTGCCCCGCGCAGACATCATGGCGTCGATCTGCTGCTCGGACAGGTCCAAGCTGCGCACCACCGACACCCACAGCGCCTTGCGCGCTCGGTCCGTCGGCACCTGCCCGCTGAGGACCGGGTTCGTCGCGCCCGACATCAGCTTCGCGACGTCGACGCCCTCCATGCACGCCAGGGCCCGCGTCGCGTACATGCACGTCGTGCAGATGTTGTCGATCTGCGCCGATAGCCGCGACACGAGCTGCAACCGCCGCACCACAACGCAGGCCGCAGTTAGCTCCGCACGCGGCGCGACCGCGCAGCGAAGACCGCAGGCGCGCGAGCGACATCGTGGGAGACCCACCTGCTGGTCCGTGAGCGTCGGAACTGAGTCAAGGTCCTGTTCTCTCCAGAACTCTTTCAGGCTTTCTACCTGCGTGGAGAAGAGCTGCTCGAGGCGCTCGCAGCACTTGAAGCCCTGCTCCTCCTCCGGCATGTTCGTGAGCCGGGGCTGCGGCGCCGGGACGCAGCCGCCCGAACCTCGGTCGCCCTCCTGCGGCTTGCTGGCAGCCTCGTTCGTGCCGTCGTTCGGGGGCCTTCCGCCGCGGCCCGTCGACACCCCGGAGCCCCTGCGCGCGCAGCCAAGGCCGTCGGATGCCGGGCCTCGCGTCGTCGACTTCCGGCGTGGCACGACGGCGGCATCGCAAGCGCAGCTGGCGGGGCGAGGCGCGCACCAGTTTGAGGAGCTGTCGAGCTTCAGCGCTTGCAGCTGCGCGTCCTTCTCCACGAGGAGCGCCTCCATCTCGCGGAGCTTCGCCTTGGCCGCGGCGGCCTCCGCGTTGGCCCGCTGCAGTTCCTCCACGCGCAGCTGCAGCTCGTCGACTGCCTGGGCCATCTGGGCAGCCTTCTCCTTCTTCCGTTGCCTGTACCGCTGCTGCGCTTGCCGGTTCAGGAGCTGCTGCTTCGCCGTGCGCGCCCGCTTGCCCCGGCCACTGCCAGCACCGCTGTCGGGATCGTCCTCCGCCGGCGTCGACACGGACGACCTCCGCTTGCTCTTCGCCGTGCCTGCGACGGAGCAGGCCAAGGACATGCGCTCGGCGCCAGCGGAAAACGGATCCGGACCGCGGTGCGCGCTGGGAGGCCGGAAGGCAGCATTCAAGGCATGGGCTCGAAACACCGGTGCACGGGGTGATGAGGACGCGTCCACGGCAGGTCCGACTCGATCGTCGCTGTCGGTACCGGAAACACGGACGCGGTCGCGAGGATAAGGCCCGCCCGCGCGTGTGCGGCTCACTGCGCTTTTGGGCAGTGGGAGCGCACCGTCCTCTCCGGAGGCCGCCGCCTCCGCGTGCGCCCCGCCTCCGGCCTCCTCCTTGCCGGATACGGACGCGAGGGGCAGCCAGCTCTGCTGAAACGCCGGGTTGACGATGTTCGGGAGATGAGTAACCTGCACTGCCGTACCGTCCCCCATCGTCACCGCGCCGCCTCCGAGCTGGTTGCCGAACTGCTCGGCAACCTGCCGGCCAATGTTGCCGGGCTCCGGCAGCGAGTAGGGCCCGGGATCCGCCCCAGGCGGGCCTGCTGTTGCTCCCGGTGCTTGCGGGCGCCCCGCGTGCCCGTTGTCCTGCGCGGGCACGCGGTTGCTCCCCGTATTTGGATCCTCGGCGTCATCCTGCATCTGCACGCGAGTCCGGGCCGACGCCTGCTTCTCAACACGCGCGCAGCCGACCATGCTCATCAGCAAAACGCTCGCGGCCGCATGCGCCTCCCTCCTCCCGCGCGCGCATGCCCCTGGCCGCAAACTTTGGCACTCAACACGCGCTCTCGGGCCGTGGCGGCGCGCTGCGCGCCGGTCAGGGCACACACGCGCGCACGGTGTCCTCTCACCAGGAAGTCCGCATCGTTTCCCGTCAGGGCGTTCAAATAGTCGTCGAAGAAGTCGTCGACGGGCAGCACATACTCGTTGAACCCCCCGCCCGACTGCCGCGGCTGCCCGACCATCGTGGGCCCCGCGGTCGCGCCCACGCCTGCGCTCTCCAACCGCCAACGCGGATCCGATGTCGCGCGCGCCCGTGCCGCGCTCCTCGTCACCTCTCTGCCGTGAACGCGCACCGCGGACCCCGCATGACGACGAGCGAAGCCCGGTCAGACCGCCAGCGCCCCGGGGGGGTCTGGCAGCTCGCGCAGTACAACGGAGACACGGGGGGGGGTCTCTCTGTCCGTGCAGCTGGTCCGTTTCGCGGAGGCTGGTACCCCGCGGCCGCAATGGACGTGCGCGTGAGCCCGCTCCGCCAGTGCGTGCGCCGCCCCTGGCTCCGTGGCCGATCATTGCCGTGCGACAGTTCACGTCCCGTCTGACACTCGAGCGCGGGTGCCCAGGCGCGGAGCCGCTTCGGCGGCTACGTGCAGTCCCGCGAGTGCCAGATGGCGACCCGCACGCTGCGGGGGCCGTCGTCGTCGCTGAACGGAGGATAAAACTTGTTGTTGGCCCATGATGTAGCGCCCGGCCGGGGCTCGCGGGCGCTCATGGGGCGCGCGTGGCGGCGCCGTAGCGACGGTAGGAGAGGCGCCGCGGGCGGCGCGTCGGTCGCTGGACTGGGCCCCGTCGCTGGGCCGTCGGTGCGGGAGGGAATTAAAAGAGGAAAGGCGTTCGTTGGGGGCCGAGGCGACCTGTGACGGCCGTGACGGTGCGGGGTCTGCGTTGGGCGCCGTGCGTGGGCGCGGTGCGGCGTCGGTGCGACAGGCGGGCCGGTCGCACGGGCCCAGCAGTGCCACCTCAGGCGGACCTGACGTGGGCACAAAACGCCCCTCCGGCGCCATGGCGCGCGGGTTCCGCATCCGCAGCCACTTGCAGAGCCGTTGGTCCGCACGTGGGCACCACCGACAGCGATCGGATCCGTCGCAGCGAGCCGGGAGCGCGTGTTGTTCGCACTGCAAGTGTGGTTCGCGTACTCCGCGGCGCACCGCGCGGCGCGCCCGCCTGCTGGAGCCGGGCAGCCGACCGTTGAGTCAAAGGGGAGGCGCCTGGGCCTCTGAGCCGCGCAGAAGCCGCGCAGCGGCGGCAGGCCAGCACTAGGGGAGCCTATGGGCTTCGTGCAGAGCCCCGCGGGGGTTCTGGGCGTCGCCTTCAACCAGGATGCGTCGTTCTTCGTCGTTGCGCTAGAGAAGGGCTTCCGCGTGTACAACGCGGAGTCCCCCGTCGACTCGGTGAGCCGCTGCGCCCGCCAACAAGACGCTGGGCCTGCATGGAGGTCTCGCGGGGGAACGCGAACCGTTTCCGGGCCTCATTTGCGACCGTTCCGATACCATCTGGGCGCAAGCACTTCCTTCGAGGCTCTTGCGCCCGCGCCAGCGCGATCCCGCCACTCAGCCGCGCGAACTCGCGGCATTGCCTCCCTGCGGCACGCTGACAGCTCTGATGCGACTCGCCTTTCGTTGCGACCGTCCCCGGCCGCTTGAGCGGCCCCATTCAGCGGACCAGACCCTCTACGTGAATCACGCGGACTTGTCGGGCCTCCCCAGCCGTACCGCAGAGCCGCACGCGGCTCTGTGTCACCGCGATGTCCCCTCCTCACCGCTGCGCACGCGAGCCGCGGAATGTCGCGTCCGGCCGCCGCCGCCCGCCCACAGCCCCGCTGTCTCGCCCCCGCGCGCGCAGATGCGGCGGGAGGACGGCCAGGGCATCGCACAGGTGGAAATGCTGTTTCGGTGCAACATCTTCGCCCTAGTCGGCGGCGGTGCGGACCCGCAGTACTCCCCGAGCAAGGTCATGATCTGGGACGACCACCAGGGCAGCTGCATCGGCGAGCTCAGCTTCCGGTGCGCCCCCGCCGCGCCGCAAAGCCCCCATGGGACACCCCTGCTCCGTCACACAGCCCGCCCACGCCCGCCCGACGCCCCCGCGACGCGCAGGTCCCCCGTCCGCCGCGTCTGCCTACGGCGGGACCGCGTCGCCGTCGCCCTCGAGCACAAGGCGCTTGTGTATAACTTCGCAGACCTGCGCCTGTTGCACCAAATCGAGACCATCGACAACGCCGAGGGCCTGCTCGCGCTGTCCGCGGGCGCGTCGACCGTGCTCGCGTGCCCCGGGCTGCACAAGGGCCAGGTGCGGCTCGAGCTGTACGACCTCCGGCGTACGCGGTTCGTGCGCGCGCACGACTCAGGGTTGCAGAAGATTGCGCTGAGCGCGGACGGGAGCCGGCTCGCGACGGCGTCGGAGCGGGGCACGCTCGTGCGGATATTCAACACCGCGGACGGCGCGCCGCTGCAGGAGCTGCGCCGGGGGGCCGACGCCGCGACGATTTTCAGGTGAGACCCCCGGGGGTGTGGCGCGGCGCGTGGCGGGTCCCGCCGGTGCTGCGCGGCGGCGGCGCACGCAGCGGTTGAACGGTCGGTGGCCGGACAGTTCCCGCCGTGCCAAGAATAAAGCGGTTCGCTGGCATTCGGGAAACAAAGTCTGGTATTCCCACGCGTCTTCCTTTCTGCAGCATCGCGTTCTCGCCGGACGGCACGAAGCTCGCCGCAACGTCGGACCGCGGCACGGTCCACGTCTTCGGCCTGCGCGACGGCGCCGTGGCGCCCGACGGCGCGGCCAGCGACAGCAGCAGCGGCGCGGCACCAGGCACTAAGAATCGCACCCTCGGCACTGCGCACAAGGCACTCGGAGTGATCTCCGGCTTCCTGCCGCGGTACTTCAACTCGGAGTGGTCCGCGCTGCACTTCCGGCTGCCGCAAGCGGAGGCCGTGCGGCCGTCGGTGGTGGCCTTCGCCCCGTCGAGTGATGCGGTGTACGTGGTGACGCACTCCGGGGCGTACTTGCGCGTGGAGCTGGACGAGGCGAACCAGCAGTGCGTGCAGCGGGCGTACGTCAAGTATCTAGAGATCGGCGAGCGGTGACGCGGCGGGGCTGGGGTTGGGGCTCGCGTTAGCGCCGTTGGCTGCCTGCTGCGGCCGCCGACGTTGGCGGTGTTTGCCGCGCGGGTGCATTTGAATTGTATATAGTGGTTGCGTTGGCCGCGGACCTGTGTGAGCCTCGACGCTGGCAGCCAATGTCCCGCGATCACCCTCACTACGCGTGTTGTGTTGCTGCGGGATCCGAGACGAGACTGCGCAGACTTCCTCCCCGCACGACCCGCACGCGCACTCTCATGTGCAAGTCTCGTCAGCGGCTGCGCTGAAACCATGCGTCGGGCGATGCACGTACGAACCTCACACACCGTTGCCATCCGCCATCATACGCCGCGCAGCGCGGCAGCCTACCGCAGCGCCTTGTTCGCGACGACTTCCCCGAGCGCCAGGCTCGAAGTCAGCCCGGGGCTCTCGATTCCGAACAAGTTAATTAGGCCCTTGATTCCATGATCTCCAGGACCTTGAATCACGAAGTCTCCCGGCCTCTCAGCGCCAGGGCCCACGACCTTGGGCCTCACGCCCGCGTAGGACGGCTCCAGCTGCGACCCGCCGTCCCGCAGAACCCCCGGCCAGTACTCCGCGATCGCTTTCGCGAACCCCGCGGCCCGGCCAGGGTTGACCTCGTAGCTGACGTCAGCCGGGGCAGTCCCCTCCGGGAGCCACTCGACGTCGGGCCCGAAGCGGGCGTTGCCCTGGAGGTCGAGCGTGAGGTGCACGCCGAGGCCTCCAGAGCCCGAGGGGACGGGGTAAATCAGTCGAGACATGCTCATTGGTTTTGGACCGGAAGAGATGGTGAAATAGTTGCCCTTGGCGAGCCACAGAGGCGGGATCATCGACCGGTCGAGCCCGCTCGTGGCCCGTGCGATGTTCTGCGCGTCCAGCCCCGCCGCGTTCACGACGCACGCGGCGTCCAGCGGTAACTCCTCCCCAGTACTTGTGTCCTCCGCGTGGACGCGCAGCCGGCCGTCGGGCGTCGGCTCGATCCCTGCGAACACTCACGAGGTCCGGGCCGTCCAATGGCGCAACGCGGAGCGACGGGCGAGCCGCGGCACGGTGCGCGGCAGCGAGAGGAAGTGTGTACCTTTCACGACGCTTCCGAGGGCGAGGACGGCTCCGGAGGCCTCCGCGTCGGCGAGCAGGGACTGCATGTAAGCGTGCGAGTCCATGATGCCGGTTGATTCCGACAGCAGCGCCGACCCGCACGACACTTCGGGCTCCAACGACCTTGCCTGCAATACACCCCCTCCGAGCCACCCGCGATCACGGCGCAAATCGCACAATCGATTTCTCCTGGCCCGGCGCGTGCGGGTACGCGCCGTTCGCACCTCTTCGCCCGTGAGACGGTGCAGGCCCTCGACGCCGTTGCGCAGCGCGGTCTCGAAGATGCGGTCCAGGGCCGGGGAGCTGCTCTGAGGGGCCGCGAGGATCTTTCCGAGCCTCTTGTGAGGAATGTTGCGGCTGCTGAGGTAGTCGTAGAGCATGTGGCGCCCCTCCACGCACAGCCTGGCCTTGTGGCTTCCTGGCTGGTAGTACAGCCCCGCGTGGATGACCTCGCTGTTGCGCGACGACGTGCCCATGCCGATGCCCTTGCTCTCCCTCTCGAGGATGAAAACGTCGCGGCCGCGGGACGCCAGCGCACGGGCGCACGCAAGGCCAACTGCGCCCGCGCCGATCACCACGGCACCCACGCGCTCCACCGCCATGCTGGCGCGCCCGCTTGTGCGTGGACAACTCGCAACTGGCATGTACGCTGTCGGGCCTCGTGCCCTTCGGAGGGCTTTGGCCGTGCGCACGACCTTGCATCAGGTGGGGGACTCACAGCGCCCTGACGTCGCGTTGGTGGCGTTTCGACGCTGTTGCGGGCCGCCACGAGCGGCGTGATACCACTGCCGTTCTCGTCCGTTGCAGCACACAGTCGCTGAAACCCCCTGTTTGATACACGAGGCTCCTAAACAGGAAACAGGGTAGTCGGAATTACGCAACAACCACGCGCCGCAACGGCGAGGCGGGGCGCGTGCTGAGCGAGCACTCGAGCCGGGGTGTTGCGCGCTCGCCACGCGATCGCCCCGTCGTGCATGGTGGCCGCCTGGCAAGGCGCCCTCACAAGAGCTTGCAGGATTCAGCTCGCCGCCGATCGAGCGACGGACTACGTCAGGCGCCGCGTCGCACCCATGTTGAGAGGCCACTTCTCCGGCGTCTGCAGCGCTCAACGCACTCCGCGCGCCGCTCACGTCGACGGTGGCTCGCTGCGCACTCGATCAGCGCGCGTGTGCGCCCTGCGCGGCGGCGCATTCGCGGCCACGCAGCGCGCACACGGGGCACAGAGCCGTGCGCATGCGGATTTAGGCGCAAGATTTCACGCATTCAGCGCCAGCGGCGGCCAGAGCCGTACATTGGCCACACACGCACTACGGCACGGCGGCTGCCTTTCGCGCGCGGTCTCCGGGTCGAACCGACACGCCTGCAATCTCAGGGAGATGTCCCAGTCCAGGAGCTTCAACGCGGCGGTCAGTCTTCCTCGCATCAAGTACTGGAGAGCCGGATCCGTGGGTGCTGGTGCCTCCATGGCTACGGCACCTTGTGCGCTCCCGCTGCAAACGGTCGTCGTCGACTTCGACGAAACCTTGACAGGCAAGCCGCTTCAACATCGTTCGACCGCACTACGCGCTCCTCCGGCGCCGCCGCCCGCCAGCAACCCCGCCTGCGCCCAAGCCCCCAGCGGCGACGTCGCTGTGCGGTGCCAGCGCGGCGCGCTCCCCGCCCACCGCCCGCCTGCGGCCCCGGCGTCTCCGCAGAAACCGACACGACCTTCCTGCTCGGGCAGCTCGCGGCGGAGAGCGCGGGCCCCGCTGGCAGCAGCGAGCGCGCACGTCGCGAGCAAGAGTGGGCAGCGGCGGTCGACAACTACTCCGCGAAGTACGCCGAATGGTCGCGGAACCACCCGTTTCCCAGCGCCGCGGAGCCCGGCTGGCTCCAGAGCTGGTACGCGGCGGCGGACACCTTTGACAAGTCGATGGTTGCCGCGGTGTCTGAGCCGCGCGTGCTGCGCGGCATCCCCGCCGAGGTGCTCAGAACGGCCGCCGCCGACCGCGTGCAGCTCAGGCCCGGCGCTGCGGCGGCGCTGCGGGCGCTCGCGCGCGCGGGCGTCCCGCTGAGCGTGCTTTCTGTCAACTTTAGCTCCGAAATGATCTGTGCGTGTCTGCGGGCGAACGGCGTGGTGTCCGAGGCTGGAAGGAAGGTGGCGATCTTCGCGAATGATCTGGCGGTCGACGACGCGGGCGCGACGACGGGGGAGGTGGCCATGCGGTGCAATTCCGGGTCAGACAAGCGCGTGCGCATGCGGGCGCTGCTGGCGGCCGCGGCCGCGCAGTGCGCGCCGGGCCTCAGCGCGTACGTCGGGGACTCCGCCGGCGACGTGCCGGCGATGCTGCTGGTGCGAGAACGCCCCCTGGGACTCGAATACCTGCAATTTTCTACTGCCAACCATTAATGTTTGAATAAGAGCCTGTTGAGAACAGGCTCACACTCGTACCGCGTTTCGAAACCACCACGCGCAGGCGGACGTTCCGATCCTCGTCGGACAGTCCGGATCCGCTCGGAAGGCCATCGCCGCTGCCGGGGCCCGCCTCGTGCCTTTGTCAGGGACAGACCCCTCCCAGATTGGGGGGCGTACCGGCCCGCTCGTCGTGTACGAGGCCGCAGGGTGGGACGAAATCGGCGCGCTGTTCGAAGCGCTCGCGGGAGCGCGGTCGGGAGAGGACACGGCGTCGTCAGCGGCCCCGCGCGCGCCGCGAAACATGCCCCGCGTGCTTTCGATCGCCGGGTCGGACAGCGGCGGCGGCGCGGGGATCCAGGCGGACCTGAAGGCGTGCGAGGCGCTGGGGGCGTTCGGCATGACGGCCATCACGGCGGTGACGGCGCAGAACACGCGGGGGGTGCATGGGGTGGTGTCTGTTGACTCAGGATTCCTGGAGCTGCAGATCGACAGCTGCCTGGGCGACATCGGCGCGGACGTGATCAAGACGGGCATGCTCCCCACGCCCGAGGCCGTGCGGGCGGTCGCGGCCGCCGTCGACAAGCATGGTGCGCAACACAGCCCCGGGGGCGTATTAGAGCAGACCAACCTCGAGAAGCGCGCTGTTCGGCGGACTCGTGCGGTTGCTGCGTGGCGAAGTGCGTGAGTAATACCGAGATTAGCGACGTCTGATCGTTCGCTTCTCGCAGGGGTACGGAATGTGGTTGTTGACCCGGTGCTGGTTGCCACGTCCGGCGACGCGCTCGCGGAGTCCGACAGCGCCCACGCGATGCGCGAGGAGCTCTTTCCGCGCGCGACGATCATCACGCCCAACGTGCCCGAGGCCGAGGCGCTCCTGGGCCGCAAGATCGCCACCGTCGACGACATGCGCATGGCTGCCCGCGATCTCCACGCAATGGGCCCGCGGTGGGTCCTGGTCAAGGGCGGGCACCTCGTGGGGTCAGAGGACATGTCCGGCGGCGTCGTCGACGTGCTCTTCGACGGCGTCGACGCAAGAGACCTCGAGGGGAGTCTCGTTGCGTCAGACAACACGCACGGCACGGGCTGCACGCTCGCGAGCTCGATCGCGGCGGGCCTCGCGCGCGGCATGCCCGTCGAGGCCGCGGTCCGCGCCGCGAAGCAGTACATTCAGGAAACGATCGCGGCGTCGGCCGGGCTCGGCACCTCTCTCGGCGACGGCGTGCAGCGGCCGCTGTTGCACGGCAGCGCCCTGCGGGCGTCGCGGCGGGTGGCATCGCGGCGCGCGGGGGCCAGCGCGGCAGCTGCGGCGCAGTATTTGAAGGTGTACGGCGTGACGGATCCCGGGTGCGATGAGCGGACGGGGCGCGGGACGGAGGAGCAGGTGAGGCGGGCGGTGGAGGGCGGGGCGACGATTATTCAGCTGCGGGAGAAGGAGGCCGGGGGCGGGGACTTCGTGCGGCAGGCGCGGGCGGCGCTGGCGGTGTGCCGCGCGCACGGGTGAGTGGCACTGGGAATGCGTTGGTTGCGGAACGGGGGCTGTTCGCGCGCGGACGGCTGTTCGAGAGCATGCGCGGAAGCGCTGTGGAGTCGACCGTGCGCTGGCGCGAAAGCAAGCAAGTATGAGGGTTGGAAAGTAGATCATGATTAATTGATTGAAGAACCAAAAAGATATTGAGACGGTTTGGTGTGTGCAGGGTTCCGCTGATCATCAACGACAGGGTGGACGTCGCGCTCGCCGTCGGCGCCGACGGCGTGCACGTCGGGCAGTCGGACATGCCCGCCCGGGACGTGCGCGCGCTCATCGGCCCCGACCGCATCCTGGGGGTGTCTTGCAAAAGTCCCCCCGAAGCCCACGCCGCCGAGGCGGACGGGGCCGACTACATCGGCGTCGGCGCCGTCACGGGCACGCCCACGAAGAAGGACAGCAATCTGATCGGCATGGGGGGACTAAAGGAGGTGTGTCGGTCTACATGTCTCCCCGTAGTTGCCATCGGGGGCGTCGACGCCGGAAACGCGGCGGAGTGCATTGCGGCGGGCGCGCAGGGCGTCGCGGTCGTGCGCGCGATCTTCGAGGCCGCGGATCCCGCGGCGGCGGCCAGGGAGCTCCTCGAGATCGTCGAGGGCGCGCTGGAACAGCAGCTACGGTGACTGGCGGTGATTTTGTGAGCTCGACTTGCGAACGCGTGCGAAGCACATGCCCGTGGGCTCGCACAGGCGGCCTGCGTCCCAATGCAGCCGAGTATAAGTCCATGGAGGGTTGTTTTCGTGCAACTGCCTGACTTACTACTCAGGAAACATTACCCCCCCCCCGACCCGAGGTCTGCGAGCGCGCCGCTAATCGACCACGGACACGATGCCCCACACCTCCACCTGCACGGCCTTGAAGTCCTCCGCGCTCGACAGACACGTGCTGCCGAAGGTCTGACACACCCCCGAGTGCCCGTGCTGCAGGTCCGAGTCCAGCCAGAGCGCGAAGTGCGACCCGCCGCCGACCGCGAGCGACTCCGGCGACGAGAACTGGAAGAACGAGTTCCGCGTCGGGTCCCCCTGCCGCCACCGGAAGGCCACGGCGTGCGGCGCCAGCTGGAACACAAAACACTCCCCCGTGCCGTAATACCGCGGCGACACCTTCCACGGCTCCGTCGCGTACGTCCCGAACACGTACCCGCCCGAGTCCCGCACGACGAGCACGCTGTGCGCCGCGCTGCATTGCCGGTACAGCGTCGCGAGGGACGTGCCGTGCCGCGCCGAGGTGTATTGCAACACCCAGCGCCGCTGCCGCACGCGCAGCGGCAGCGCCGCCGTGAGCGACCGGATCTGCGCCTCCCCGAGGATCCGCGACGATCCAACGACCTCTGGCAGGAACGGTCCCGGCGCCAAGTGCTCCGGTTGGATGTACCAAATCGCCCTGGCGTCTTTGTCTGGCATCTCGCCCGGCAGCAGCGCCTCCGCGCTGGAGAGCACCTCTGGCTGCGACGGCGAGCGCCGCCGCCCGGCCGCCTTGCGGATCACGTCCGCGGCGCCGGCCTGCGCGCTGGGCACAATGTCTGACGCGCGGCCCGACGCGCTGTCGACCGCGACGACCGGGGGGGTGCTGGCGTCGCGCGCGGAGTCCGACTCGAGGATGTTGCGCGCTGCGGCGGGCAGCGTCTGCTCCGGCGCCCGGGCGATCCGCCGGCCAAGCGCCACGGACCACGCCTGCACTTGCCCGTCCATCACCGCCCGGGTGCGCGTCGGAGCCTCGAAAACGACCTTCCGCAGCTCCCCCTCGCCGCCGCCCTCCTTCCAGTACACCTCCCACACCGGCCGCGACGCGTCGTCGTCCCCGCCGGACTCCCCCCCTGCCTCGAAGCTAAACACCTCCCGCCCCGGGTCCGACGCCGACGTTTCGCGCCCCGGCAGCCCGGGATCGCTATCTGGCTGCGAAGCACACCGTTCGCCGACGTCGAGCGCCGCGCCGCCGGGCCGCGCAACCTGACTCGGGAGGGTGTCGTGGGACACCCCCGCCACGCCCGCCTGCGACGGGCTTCTCTGCGGCGACCGCGCGGCGGGCTTCGGCGCCTCCGTCGCGGACGCTCCCCGCGCGCCCGTGAGACCAAGCCGGTTGAGGAAACTGCGAGACTGTTTAATAGGACTAGTGGCGGGCACCCCACCGAGTCTCTGAGGCGGCTTTGCGTGCGCAGCGCCCTGCGAGGCGGGGGCCAGCGGCGGCCGCGGGGTCGCGGAGGCTGCGGTCGGCGCCGGCCTGCGCCCGTGGGTGATCCCGACGAAATCCTTGGCGAAGATGCGCGCCTTGACCTGCACGAAACGTGGATCGCAGATCGAGGTTTTGAGACTCGCGCGCCACAGCGGGGGCCGTCGCCGCGGTGCGAGCACCGCCTCGCCGAACCGGCCTCAGGGGCGGAAGGAAGCCCGCGACAGACGGCGCCGCGTGCGCGAGCGCTCACGCGTCGGCGGTAGAGCTCGTGTTGGTTCAGCATGGCACGCGCATGTTCCAGCTATGGCCGTTCGCGCGCGCGCCGCGGTGGGACAAGCACGCGCCTCGACGATCTGCATGCACGTATCCGAGAGAATCACCGACGCCTGCGAGGACCGCCCGCTCGGAGAGTACAGCCGCACGGGATGTTCGTCCTCCTGCAGTTGCTGTAACTCCCCGCCCTGGGGCCGCGCCTTCGGGGACGACACGCTCGAGACCATGCCCTGCGCGCAGCCGGAGGACGCGGCCGTCAAGCGGGGCCGCGCGCGCGAGCTGCCGGCGGCGCCCCGCGACGCGGACTACACAGCGCGTGGCGCGTACAGGTGATGGCGGTGGAGGGGGGCGGGGTGCGGGGTCGGTGAAGGGCGGACGGACCTCGAGGGCCGAGGCGAGGCTGTCTTGCTGCGCTATCGCCCCGTTGTGCTCCCCGGATCGCCGGGAGCGGTTGGCGTACAAATGCTCAGGTCCTGTGGTGGGGACTCCGCCCGGGATGTGGCTCTCGTCGACGCCGACGGCGACGAGCGCGCGGCGGAGATCATTGTTGTGCTGCAGGAGGTGCTTCTCGCGCAGCCTGCGCGTGCGGAGCCGCGGTGGGTGGGCGCTGTGTGACGGGACGTCGCGTACGGGCGCTGAGGGGGCGCGCTGGACCTCGCGTGGACGTGTGTCGATGGATTAGGGTGTGAGGAAGACGTAGATGCCACGCAGATGGGCGTCGGGCCATGATTCAGCGCGTGCACGAGGGGCCAAGGTGTGGCGGGGTGCCCGCGTGCCGTGCGCACCTGTACCCCTCGATGCGAGCAAGTGCGATAGCGAGGGAATCCTGCGTATCTCGCAGACGATTGCGGAGCTTCGAGACCTCGTCCTCTGGCGCCATCACCCCGTTGACCAGGCAAGGTTCATCGTCCGCAACAAGAGCAAGGGCCACCGGTCAGACGCGGGTCGCCCTACTGATTTCAGCGCGCCCAGACGGTGCTGTGCGATAATACGTACACGTGCGGGGCGTTCGTCGCTGGCAATCGTTCCAGGCGTGCGCGTTTCGCGCCTTTGCAGAACTGCGCTTCGTTGCTGCTGTTCTTGGACCGATGCTGCGGTTTCTAAGATTACTCTCAACGTCATGTCGAAGAACGACCGTGCGCTCGCCATGTAAGCCGAGCGGCACCGCGCGGCAGGCCGCCTGAGCCAGGGGAGGACTCCGCAGAGGGGGCGTTGCAAACCTGCCCTACGCGCACCGGCGCGCGCGTGACATGTACGGCCGCGCCCGCCCCCGCTCCGCAGCGCCACCAACCTCTCGCTGCATCAACGTGCTTGGTCTTCGGCGCGTAGCTTTGCCCGCTGTCGGGCTACAGAGGTGCGCTCATTGGGCGGGCCGCAGAGGCGCCGTTCGCCGCGCATCATGTCCGCGGACTACTACTTGGAGGACTCTCTTGCGGCCGAGATCCTCGAGATCAACGGCCGGAGGTACCGCGTCCAGTGCGAGGCGGACCTCGACCACCAAAGCATCGGTGCGCACTCCTTCCACTCCAATTCCCCTTCATACGCAGTCCTGACACGCAAATTCCACTCCGAGACGCAAATCATAGCTCATACACCCCTTTCATGCACCATACGTCTCACACATCCCCCCCACCAGCGCTGAAGGCTACCTACGCCGTCCGCGCAGGCTTCGGGGCCGAGCCCGCGCGCGCCGGCCATGGCCCAGCGGACGCGCCCAGCGCGGCCAGCGGCCCGCCGCGCGACGCGGCCCCGCCGGCGCCGTCCTGCACCGAAGCTGACGTCAGTCAGTATCACATTCGAGAGGACCCCCCGGGGCGGTGGAGCGGGCGCGTGTACGCCGACCCCGAGATCATGGGCCCGCTCATCGGCACCGGCGGCAGCACGAAGCGCGCCCTGGAGTCCGAGACGGGCTGCACGCTGCGAATCCCCCCCCGGGGGACTCCGCGCGACGACTCGGTGGTTGCCGTGCACGGAGACTCCCCCGAGGCCGTCGCGACCTGCCTCCGGCGCGTCGCTGCGACGATCGAGCAGACCGTGCGCGCCAAGCGCACCAAGTACAACTATTTCGTCTCGCTGCCGCTGCGCGGCGCTGTCGCCAATGGCGCGCGCAGCCTGCGGGAGGCCGCCCTCGCGGACGCCGCGGGCGAGGGCGTGGAGGAGGCGGTGTTCGTGCAGCCGGAGCGCCTGCACGTCACCGTGCTGATGCTGAAGCTGTACGGGGAGGACAAGCGGGCCGCGGCGGGCCGCGCGCTGGCGGCGGCGTGCGAGCGGATCCGGCGCGCCGGGCCGCTGCGCGTGCGGATCGGCGGACTCGAGATCATGGGCGGGGACCCGCCGGAGGCGGCGCACGTGGTGTACGCCGGCGTGCGGGACGCGGCGGGCGAGGGGGGGAGTGCGGGCAGCGGCGGGGGAGTCAAGCACGCGTGCGACGTGCTGGTCGAGGAGTTCGCGAAGGCGAAGCTGAAGTATCCTGGGGCCCCGCCGCTGAAGCTGCACGCGACGGTGCTGAACAGCAAGTACAGGGGGTCGGACGGCGGGGGCGCGTCAGGGCGCGCAAAACCGTGCGACGTGCGCGGGCTGCTGGAGCGGCACGGGGCGGTCGAGCTCGGGGAGTGCGAGCTTGCGGAGGCGCACGTGAGCGAGCGCGGCAGGACGGACGCGGAGAGTGGTTACTACGCGTGCTTGCACCGCGAGCCGCTGTCGTGATGGGGCTGTGAGGAAGCAATGACTTGCTGCGAAGCGAGCGAGCTGGAGTTGAGCGTGTCGTGCGTGTCGAGTCGGGGCCGCACTGACCTTGATACGCGGCGGCCGAGAACAACAACAACAAAAAGCTGTGTGCGGAGTGAAAAAGCGGATTGACAAAGAAATGACCACGAGAGCCGAATGCGTCGTCGCGGTCGGCACAGCGCACGACAGCCGACGTCGTGCACCACCGGCGGCGCCCGCGCCCCGCATCGCACAACGACAAGAAGAGGAGCAGCAACAACAAGGAGCAGGACACGCCGTGACCCTCCTCCTGTCCTCCGTCTCACACCCGCGGCCCAGCCGGCCGCGCTACTGCTCCTGCGGCGCCTCCAGCGTGATCAGGTCGTCGATCCGCAGCACGGTGATCGCGGCCTCGGTCGCAAACCTCAGGATGTTGACCTTGCTGATCGCGGGCTCCACCACGCCGGCCTCGATGTTGTTCCGGATCACGCCCTCGACCAGGTCGAGCCCGAACTGGCTCAGGTGCGGCTTCCGGCGCTTCTCGTCCTTGAGCTGGCTCGTGTAGTGATACGACCGCAGCTTGGCTACCAGCTCCGTCGCGTCCTTGGCCGCGTTCACCGACAGCGTCTTCGGGATGACGAGCAGCGCCTCGGCGAACTCCGCGATCGCGAGCTGCTCGCGCGACCCGAGCGTGACCGCGAAGCTCTCCAGGTGGATGCTAAGCGCTGTCTCCACGGCGCCGCCGCCCGGCACCACGCTCCCGGACTCGAGCACGCGCTTCACGATGCACAGCGCGTCGTGCAGCGACCGGTCCATCTCGTCCAGCATGTAGTCGTTCGCGCCGCGCAGCAGCATCGTCACCGCGTGCGCCTCATGGCAGCCCTTGATCATGACCATGTCGTCGTCCGCGACGCGCTCCTCGCAGACCTCGTCCGCGCTGCCGAGGCACGCCGCGTCGTACGTCTCCTCCCCGTCCATGTCGGCCAGGCTCGCCACCACCTGCGCGCCCGTCGCCGACGCGATCCGCTTCATGTCGTCCTTCGCCACGCGCCGGCACGCGATGACCCCGGCCTCCACGAAGTACTTCAACGCCATGTCGTCGATGCCCTTGGTCGTCAGCACCACGTTCGCGCCGGCGTCCAGGATCTTCTGGATCCGCTCCTTTGTGATATCCGATTCGCGCTCCCGGATCTTCTCGAGCTCGTTCGGGTCGCTCACGAGCACCTGCACGCCCATCTGCATCCGCGCCTTGCGCAGGTCCATGTCCAGGCACGCGATCCGCGCCCCCTTCACGACCTTGGGCATGCCCTGCGCGGCACGCCCCATGTTGAGGGCGTAGCCCGGGAGCAGCGTCGACTCGCGCGCGGAGCGCCCGTGCGCCTTGAGCACGTTCACGGCCTTGACGGGGTACGTCACGGCGCGCGTGAACGGGTCCTCGCGCTTCACGGACGTGATGGCGTCGACGACCATGCGCGCAAAGAAGTCCCCGTCCGCCCCGACGATCTTGGACGACATGGCCGTCTTCGCGGCGTTGACGAGCGTGTCCTTGCCGAGCTTCTCGACGGGGATCGCGAGGTGCTCGTTCACGAAGCGCACGGCCTCTTTCGCGGCGAGGCGGAAACCAGAGATGATCGACGTCGGGTGGATGCGCTGCCGGACGAGCTCGTGGCCCTTGCGGAGGAGCTCGGACGCGACGATCACGACGGAGGTCGTGCCGTCGCCGACTGCGCAGCGCCGGCGGAGCGGGCGGGTGAGCACGTGTGCGCAGCCGCTACAGCGCGCGCGGCGCGCGGGCGGGGAGGGGCGCGGGGAGGTGAGGGATGCGGGGCGCACCGGCCTGGTCCTGTTGGTCCGCGAGTTCGACTAGGATCTTCGCAGCAGGGTGCTGAACCTCGAGGAGCTTCAGGATGGTCGCGCCGTCGTTCGTGATGGTCACGTCGCCGATGTCGTCGACGAGCATCTGCGGGGGAGCGCGGGGGCGGCGGGGCCGGCGCTGAGGCGGGCCGCGGAGGCGCGGCGGGCCGCGGCTGTCTCGGCGAGGGTAGAGGGCGCGGGACGGAGATGGCGGGGGTCCCGGATTGCGTTGGCGCGGCGGGCGGGGGCTCGACGTTTCGTACGAGCCGGTGCGGGGGCGGGAAGGCGGCGGGGGCCGCGGGGGGCGCGCGCGGCCCCCCGCCGCAGGCGCATGCCGGCGTGCCGGTGTTTTGCCGCGGGACGGCGCGCACGCGGCGGTTTTTCGCGCGAAAGCTATCCGACCCGGGCCGTTTCGAACACGGCCGGCCGGCGGGGCGCCGGAGACGGATCAGGCGGCCGCGGGGCGCGCGGGGGAGCGGCGCGGCTCGCCAAGCGCAGCGGCGCTCGCTTCAAGGTAGCTCCAAGGCGCCGCGGCGCGCTGTACGCGGCCCCAAACCCCACGCAAACGCACCCACGTACTATGCAAGCAGTGTGACGCGCAGAAACGCGCCGTTCGGCGCGCGTTGCGCACGCGGGGGCGCACACGCGGATTCAGCATGGAGCGCAGGCGGGAGGGCGCGGCCCGGACCTTGTCGAGTCCGACGGGGCCGAGCGACGACTTGACGATGTTCGCGACGGCCAGGACGGCCGTGGTGTTCTGTTGGCGGACATCGATGCCGGCCTCGCGCTCCCCACCGATCTGCAGGAACGGAGAGCTCCCGGCCGCTTTGGTGCCCATGGTTGCGCCGTTCCGGTCGCCAGCGCGCGCGAAACGATCGAAACCCGGGAGGAGAATTTCAGCTGTGCCGGGGCGCGGGCGGGCGCGCGGCAACGACGCCCCTGCGCGCGCGTGCGCGGCTGCGGTGCTCGGCCCCCCCCTGCGTGGGACAGACCCCGCGTTTGCGCGACGCCGGGGCGCTCGTGGGGCGCGCTCGGCGCACGAGGCGCATGAGTCGCGCGCGCACGCTGCTCTCCGGCCGTTCGGCGCACTATATCGGGCCTCGGCACTCGCGCATTGATCAACCAAGGCTCTTGTTTGGGAGTGATGCTCCTTCCAAGCGCCGCCTGAGCGCAGAATCGCGGGGAGAGAGCGACCGGGCGCGGTCCAAGGGCCGTAGTGCCCGCGATGAGCACCGGGGGCGGCCTGCCGCGCGGGAACGTCGTCGGGAACGGCGGCACGGCCCCCGCAAAGCAGCGCAGGATCGTTCCCGAGCAGATTCCCACGGCGAACGTGGCGGCCTCGCCGGCCGTGCCGTCGCTGGACGTTCCGCGGGGGCCCCGCCGTGGCTACCGCGTGAGTCTGAAGGAATCGTGGATCGTCCGCTGGGACAAGGTGCGTGAAACAACCACGCCGCAGCGTATGGGGCCTCCCGCGCCCTGCCGTCCGGCGCTCTCCGGGGCGCTCCCGGCCCTGCGGCGCGAGAACGCCGCAGCAGCGAGCCCGGCGCGGCGCCGAATCGGATGTTCGCGTTCATGTCACGGCGCGGTGACGCGGGAGTTGTGACTTGCGTGCTCCCGCGGCGGAGCGCGCGCATCCGTGCGCGGCTCGACGGCCGCCGGCGTGCCCGTTCCGCTGCGCAGATCGCTGATGACGAGGACGACGAGCCGGACGCGGACGAGGGCCGCGACGGGCGCGGCGCGGACGGCCACCGTGGTCTGGCGTCCCTTGGAAACCGCTACGGGCAGCTCATCAGCAAAGTTCGCGCGAATGTGCTCGCGGACCCGCACCGCATGAACGATTCCTCGCAAAGCGACGACGACGAGGACGCCGAAGAGGGGCCCTCGGGGGACGAGGAGGCGGAAGACGACGGCGCTGGGGTGCGTCACACTTCACACCGCGCAGAATCCACGCCGCCGCGATCGCCGCGCCCTCGCCGCCGCGTCGCCGGCCCGGGCGCGCCCCCGGGCGTCTTTTCCGCGCGGCTGCGCGGCGGGCGGCCCGCCGCTGCGGGCGCGGCGAGTGAGCAACGAGCGGCGCGTGCGGGCGTCGTGCGGCGCAGGGGGGGGAGTCCGAGGAGGAGAACGGGGACGAGGGGGAGGGGGACGGGGAGGGGGAGAACAGCGGCGAGGAGTCGCCGGAGCGGGCGGAGCGCGGGGGCGAGGGCGAGAGGGAGCGCAAGTCCAAGAAGCGAAAGCACCACGTGGGGTCGTACGACTACAAGGACCCGTTCATCGACGACGCGGAGCTCGAGGACGCCGCGGCGATGGCGGCGATGGCGGAGGACGAGGGCGAGGATGCCTTCGCGGTGTACAAGGTGTGTGCGACGCACCTGCAGCTGCAGTGGTTGGTGGGTGGTTCGTGGGTGGTTCGGGGGTGGTTGGTGGCTGCGCAGCGAAGCGGTCGCCCAGCTGGCCGCAGCTTGGTGGGTTTCCGGCTGCGTGGAGGCCTGTGCGACGCAGCGACGAGCTCGTGTTGTTTTCCCACAAAACGTGCGTGCGATTCTTCCCCCTCGGCGCGACGCGCGTGCAGGGCGAGCTCCAGCCACGCGTTCCGGAGACGCAGTCGGCCCCGAAGCGTCGGAAGGTCGTGGGCCCTGCGCCGAGCCCCGGTGAACGCCTGGACGGCGTGCCAGCCGTGCTGCTCGCCGCGTTCCCCGACAGGCTGCCCGAAGTCATCGCGAACCTCACGCTGGTCTGCGAGCAGCACGCGCCGTCGGGCGACGGCGCCCGGGACCTGCCCCTGCCCGTGCGGAGGGCTGTGCGCCTCGTGGCGGCGCCGGGCGGCGACAAGTGGGGCACGGACGACCTCAGGGCGCACGTCGAGGCGACGGAGAAGGCGCTGGCGAAGTTCGGGTTCGCGCGGGCGCAGGTCGAGGCGGAGCTGCGCGCGGAGGTGGCGGCCAACGTGCGCGACATACAGCGCGGCTGGGCGGAGATTGAGGCACGGGTCGCGAAGGCGCGAGGTGCGTTTGCGGACAAAGTGCTTGTTCTCGCTCGGGCCCGGACGGCAGAGGACGTCGCTGGCCGCAAGGCGCCGGGCTGCGGAGGCACTCGCACAAATAGCCTTTTCCAATTGATTTGTGCTTTTTGGCGTCCTGTCTTCCACGCTGCACCGCGTGCGCGTCCTGGGTGCGCAGAAGCGGGCCAGGGGGTGTCTCGCGACGTCAGCGACGCGCTGTGGACCGTGGTAGAATCCTTGAAGGAGCGGGGGGGTGAGCGGATGCGCCTGGCGGGGGTGTGCCGCGAGGTGGCGGCGCTGTACCAGGACGGCGACGGCGTCGACGAGGACGAGGTCAAGAAGGCGTACTCCAACGCGCGTGCGCGGAAGCGCTTCCAGGAACGCAAGGGGGGGGGTCACGCGCAAGACACCCCCACGGGCGCCCGGACGGCCACGCCGGTAGGTAGACCCGAACCGATGCACATGCGACCGCGCTGCCGCAAAAGGGGGGGAGGGGGGGTGCGACGAAACCTCCCCCACCGCCGCTTACAACCTGACAGAGGCCTGTCTGCTCGTGGGAGCGACACAACACTCTCTAGGAAGGCTCTGCCGTGCCAACACACCGGTAGGACGTCTTCTCCGTCCGCAGGCGTCCGCTGCGCGTGCGCACAGCGGCGGCGCGGGCTCCGGACACGCACCGGCGTCAGCACCTCCCGCCGCCGCCGCCCCAGCGACCCCCGCGCCCGCCGCGGCGACGCCCGCGGCGCCCAGCACGCCGACGTTCGTCGACAAGGCCCTCCTCGACGTCGACCGCGCCGCCGCGCGCACCAAGGGCCTCCACGGCAAGAACAAAGCCTACTGGGCATGTTTCAACATTTGCGAAAAGATAGGCTCGCTGGGGGCCAGGGCGCAGGACGTGATCGAGGGCGCGAAGGGCGCCGGGCTGCTGTGGGACGCGGTGATGCCGACGGACAACGCGGAGGAGAACAAGAAGCGCACCCACAACCTGCGCACGTATGTGTCGGCAGTGTTCAACTCGAGCGAGGCGTTCCTGCGCGTGAGCAAGGGCAAGTACGCGCTGCGCGCGTTCTTCCCGCTCGAGGAGCGCGAGCGGCTGCGGCGGCAGAACCGCGAGGAGGACGAGGCGAAGCGGGCGGCGGCCGCGGCACGCAAGCGCGAGAGGAGTGCTGCGGCGCAGGGGACGAGCACGGCGGGGAGCCAGGGGGATACGTCGCAGCGGGACGCGTGAGGGGGCTGGAGGCGCATCGGGGATCGATGGGGCGGGCCCCGGGGGTGTGACGAGGTGCTGGGGGTGCGCGGGTGATCAATTACTACTCTGGGTGTTGGTTGTTCCGGCGAGGGGGGTGTCGCGGGGTGAGTCGCGTGGGCAGAGACGGTGTCGGCGACAGTGCAGTGTGAGGTGCAGCGAGCGGATCGGTGATGTAAGGGGGGGGGGAGGGGGTGTCTGCTTATGTAGTAAGTGGCAACAGTGCGCTGGCCCGTTGCATGGGCGGGGGGGGGTACGTCGATGATGCCGGGTCGGACCCTGCGGCGCACTGACGCGCGCTGCATGGCTCTGCACCGCCTGCAAGTCCTCGTGCTGGATGCAAAGACACGAAGAACGTAGCCCACGCCCATGCAAACGAACAAGACATAAACGAACAATTGTGAACTTCTGAAATGTGCACTTATTTACTTCACGACTATCTTGGATCGACATCTGCGCCTGCTGCACGGCTACACCCTCGCCGGCACACCCCCCGTCACCCCTCCCACTGCGACGGCGACGCGTCCCACCCATCAGCCTCCCACTCCCCACCCGGAACACCCCCTGCCGCCCCCCCCACAGCCCTGACTGACCCAGCCTCCCCCCCATCCCCGCCAGCCAGCTCCGCCGCCGCTTCCGCCCACCCGTCCGCGTCCACACCCCGCGCCGTCGCCTGCGCTCCCGCCGCCGCCGGCCCCGGCGCGTTCCCCAGCACGGCCGCCCCAGGCACACGGGCCACCGTCGCGACGCGCGCGTCCGGGGCCTTCGGCGGCGCGGACGGCCTCGGCGCCGCGCCATTCGTGCGCGCTTGCAACGGCACCGCTGGCGGCGGCGCCTGCCACCGCCCCGGCACCACGGACTGGTACGCGGCTGAGGCCGCCTGCGCCGGAGCCTGCGCGCCGCTGGCGCGCTGCGACGCGCGGCGGTGGAACTGCGCCGCGAGCGGGGCGCCACTGTCCTGCGACGATGACGGCGACGGCCGCCGCTCCCCGCCTCCAGCGCGGCCATCCGCCCACGCCGCCTCGTCCGGCCGCCACCCACCGCGTTCCCCGCCCTCGCCGGCGCAGGCCGGGGCGTCTTGCGGCGGTCCCGGGGGTCTCATCGCTCGTGCAGACGACTGCGCTAGCGCGCCCTCGAGCCACCCCGGCCGCGGCTCCGCGGCCGACGCGAGCGCGGCGCGGCCGCTCGCGGTCGCCGCCTGGCGCTGCCACCGCTCCAGGGGGGGAGTCCCCCGCTCCGCCATGTTGCCACTCCCCCCCTCGCCGTCGAGGCCGCGCAGCAGCGGCGGCCCGCGGGCCGCGTCGGTCGCGCCGTGCTCCTCCTCGTCGCGCGCCGCGGGCGCGTAGACCTGCGCGATGCTGCAGGGCGTGATGCACAGGTAGTGGTTGCGCGGGCGCACGGCGAGGACCGTCACGTTGCGGAGCGCGAGGACTGCGCCGGGGCCGATGGCGGGCTCGGCGTCGAGGGCCGCGGCGGTCACCGCCGCAGAGATCGTGCCGGTCGGGTCCTGCGGGCGCAGTCAGTCGGGGCGGGAGCATATTGAATATGTACAACATGTTCGAGTCATTTATAATGAAAAGTATGATAACATAGTATATGATACTATTATATATTCTAGTAGTCGTATATACTGGTATATAGTTAATTCATATTATTATGACCAGACAGCACAGTCCGCGAGCGAAGGGGCGCGTCCGGAGCGCTGCATCGGCGGCGTGCGAGATGCACACGCAACGCGTTGCGGGCCGCGGAGTGGCCAGGAGCGATGGCGTTGCAGGATGCCGTCTACGCAGCCAGCGCACGTCGCGCCATCGGTCTGCAGACGCGCTCCCGCGGCCTCGTCGGCCCTGTGCGGGCCAGCCTGCCCGCGCGTCATCCCACGGTGGTTGCAGGTGGGAAGGCGGGGGGGGAGTGAACCGACGCGGCATTACGTTGCTTGTTTGTGGCGGGGACGCACCTTGAGGACGCACCGCGCGTCGCCGGTGCCCGTGAGGCGCAGCGAGGCGACGAGCACGACCATCGCGGCGGCCTTCCCGCGGAACGTCACCGCATTGACGTCGTGGACGGTGCGCAACCCTTGCGGGCCCCCGGCCTCGCCGCCCGCGCCGGCCCCGAAGTGCCGCGGGTCCGAGGGCAGCTCCAGGTCGCCCGCGGCCTGCTTCCACGGCCCGTCACGGAAGCCCGGGTCCGCGCAGAGGCCGTGAGGCGCGCCAGCGCTGGCGTCAGGGCCACTTTCGGGCGCGTGGGCCGGGTTTCCGCCGTCCCGAGCCTCCGCGGCCATCGACACGAGCTGCTCGAGGGTCTCGACGACGCAGCCGCGGTCCTCGAGCTGCTGGAGG